CATGTGTTAGGCATGTGGTCAGGTCAGTTGCAGATCTTAGTGGGAGAGCCCCAAATTGTTGCCTTGCTAATACTTTATGGTGTATAGAGATCCATGCCATATTCCGTGCCACCAAGCGCTCCAGTCCTTTGCCAAGTACTGATAGGAGAGCGATTGGTCTGTATGATCTAGGTGAAGACCAATCAGTCTTTTTTGGTTTCTGGATGATTGCTAAGATTGCGTGTCGAAAGCATTTAGGATGATGACCAATCTTTAGGCACCCTTGATATAGCATTAGTACCTTATCTTTGATCAGAGGCCAGGCTACTTTGAGTATGCAGGTTGGGATTTCATCTGCGCCAGGGGCTGTGTTTCCTGCCTGAAGTACTGACTCCTCCACTTGTAGCATCGATATATCTGGGAAGTAGAGACTAGTGGAAGGCACTGTTGGGGAGTCCAGAGGTATGTCTCCTGCCTCTGCCGAGTTCTGGAGAAGATTGCGGACTAGTACGTCTCGTTTCTTGTGTACAGTAACTGCTGGGAGGCTGTTGGGCCTTAGCGGATCTTTTAGTGGAGGGCTTCGGAAGATGCCTGTAGACTTATGCCATTTGCTCATGTCAAAAACATCCTTCATTTGTGTTACCGTAGAGAGCTTCTCTCGCCAAAATTGTCGTTGAGACCATCTAGTTATCCTGCGGAAGTCTGTCTTTGAGCAGAGGCCTAAGCGGTAATTGTGTAAAGCTTTCTTGCAGTCTTCGTTCCACCATGGTTGTCCTATGCCTTGTGTCATGGTCCTCTTAGCAGAGCCTCTATATGCTCCTTGAATTGCAGATGTCAGTTTTTCGGCGAAAGCATCAAGATCTTCTTCTGTCGCGGCTGAGCTCTCGGTGCCAGCAAGATTAGAGGCGAGGAGCGAAAGGAAGGAAGTGTGATCTAGTGTGTCAAATCTCAGTTTCTGAGCTGTTTCCTTGTATCTCTGATCCCATGGAACAGTGGTAATTAGTGGTTGATGATCTGAGGTTGCATCTAAGTGGCTCGCTATGCTAGCTTTGGCTCCTGCGAGTGCCAGAGGGCTTGAGGCGAAACTGAGGTCTAACACGTTACCCCTTTCATGTGTGGGACAGTCTATGTCGGAAATGAGTACTAGACCCTGGAGATCCAGCCAGTTAATAAATGGCTCTGCGAAAGGTGTGGGGCTGCGATGTAGCGAGGGCTGCCATCTATTGTGTAGTAGGTTGAGATCGCCTGCAAGTATTGTTGCTTGAGGGAGATACGCCTCTGGCAGGGTTGTGAGAGCTTTCGCGGCTTCACCTGCTCTGATGGAGCCTGCTGGGGCGTTATAGATGTTGACTATCAGAGCAGACTTTCCTGTGGGTGAGAAAATCTGAAGGAACAGGAGATCCGAGGCCTCTTTAGTGTCAGTTGTGAAGGGGCGGAGCTGGGAGGTCCGAATGCCTTTCTTCTTTCGAACATAGGTGAGGACTCGTGGTCGGCCACTTATCGCCCAACTGTCAGTTGGGGAGAAGCATTCATATGATGGGTGTTTTTTAGTGATCTGTCGACTAAGATCTTTGAAAGTATATGGTTCTTGGATTAGGATAATATCAATATCGCTTGTGTATGCCAATGTGAGAGCTATTTCATGTGCATCTGGCGCGTGCCCTACATTTAGCTGTAGGATTTTGAGAGGCGCCTTCTGAGTTAGATAGTGATAGATCATAGTTCCCGTTCAAGAAGAGAGGCGAACCGGTTTTGTGATTGAGGTGTTGTAAAGCGGACTGCGCGAGCTGTAATTGGAGGATCTTCAGTTGGGGCGCGAGGTGGGGGGGTTACTGAACGGAAAGGAGAGATAATCTTGTGGGTTGGAGGCTGAGTTGGCATCTCATCTAATGCCATAGGTGTTTCTTGTGTGCCAATGGAAAGCTGAGAGCTACATCCTCCTTCAGTTCGAGCTTTTGCGAGGTTTATGGCGCAGGATTTGCGGATCTCTGCTTGTTGAGCTTTAGTATGTTTAGTGTTGCCTTTAGGGCGCAGGAGGCATTCTGGGAAATCAGCTGGATGTGGTCCATGGCAGTGTATGCATCTGGGAGGGCACTGATGAGGCTCTAGGGCTGTGCAGCGGTTGACATGGCCCTCTTCAGTATGCTCTAAGGAGCCGCAGAGCCGGCATCGAGAGGGGCGGGCACAGGATCGTGTGTTATGCCATTTCCAGCATCGTGTGCATTGGATAACTGTTGTTCTCTTAGAGAGGTGACGGGCATTGGTGATAGTGCCAAAAAGACGTAGTTGGATAGGCAGTGGTGATTTCGTGCCTTCTGGGAAGTTGACAAACCAGCTTGAGGAAAGAGTATTAGGGTTGGCGGCACTTGTAGCGGTCTCGCTGATAGATATAGGCTTGAGCCCAGTAGTTTCGCTGATTTCTAAGGATAGTAGTGTAGGATTGATAGGGATTAGAGAGTATCGGCCATCCAAGATTTGGCCAATTTTCCTTGGCACATTGGTGACTCGGTATGAGACCCGTCGGGAGCTGCGTTCTATCTGGCAGTTAACAAAGAATGCAGAGATAGTCTCTTTTTGGGCCTCAAGGGCTAGGAGGGCTTCTGGAGATGAGGGGCATAGTGCGAAGCCAGTCTTTGTGGCTTGAACTTCTTTTAGCACTGCACTGTTTGAGTTTAGTTGAGACCGTAGGCTAGAGTAGATGGCGTAGGCTTCCATTTTTCTAGCTGCATGGTCAGCTGGGAGGCGTACGAAGAGCCGGTTGTCAGGAAGGGGTTGTTTCACCAGAGGCATAGGCTTTTTAACAGGGGATTTAGAGTGAGTAGTGGGGGTTGATTTGACCGGGGCATATTGGGTAATAGTCGCATAAGTTGACTGGTTAAGACCTGAGGGGGGACGTGAGGGAGGGGGTGAAGGGGGTAAGGGATTTAGGATGGGGGAAGAGGAAGGGGAAGGAGACAGGGCAGGTAGAATGGAGGTCGTCGAGATACCGCTAATATAGGCGTTGAAATGTTGTTGAGCTACCGAGGCGAGGTCATCGCTTAGGGCGGTGAGGGCTCTCAGTAGGTGAGGAGCAAGGCCGGTGGTTTGGCTGCGGTGTTTATCAAGGAATGCAGCTATGGGGCTGAAGATCTTCTGTCCTTCAGAAGCTCTTGTTGTGGCTGCAGACGTGGATTCTAGAAGGGCTGTCTGTAGAGGGCCGTCTGTACCAGGGCCTTTACGCGCCATGGTGTTGCCGGGCGCGTTGAGACGCGTCAAAGGCTGCACTCCTGGGAGCTAGGTGGTAGAGAGGGTTGAGGATTTTGAGCCTCCGACTGTTTGATATGAATAATTATAAGGAAGTCGCCTATCAACTCGAAAATCTTGTGCCTGAGACAGTACGGGTATGAACGAACAGTCGATCATGTGAAAGAGTGTCACGTGCCTACGTTACTTGGTTTATCAAACCCTAGAGGATACGACATGCTGATAGAACACGGGATCAATTCCTTGTGTTCCCCGAGTTTCCGGGAAATGTAATCTCCAAGCTCTGTGATTATCGTCACCAACAGGTCAAATGGACTCAACTATGCTATAACACGGCCACACGGACCCTACTTGTTAAAATCATCTTGAATAGTGCGGCTTATGAGGTAGCAAGGAGGATGTTTACACTTTGCATGCGCGATGAGTTTCTGGCAGTGAGTATTAGGGATGAAGTTTATGCACTTGGGACTACTGATGTAGTATTTGGGAATTGGAGGAAGAACCTTGATGAATCCTGGGCCACTGCAGGCCGGGCCCCCCGACTAAAAAGCTGTCTTGGACATTGGATTACCTGAATCTGCTAGTAGCTTGGCTCTTGTTGCTCAAGGCTGGTTAGAACTGACTAGTTCAACAGTGCAATTGACTATTACAATGTGTATTGATGCAGATTCTCCTCGTATCGCCATTCAGCGCTGGCAACTCTGCCGCAATAGTCCCCCAGCATGCTTGCTTGATTCAAACAATCACCATGACTCTAGAAGATGGCTCGATAATTGTCTCGGGGAGACTTGCTTTTGCCCCTTAGCCAATTTGTTGGTCGTGCAATTAACCCGAACAAGCCAGCTGAAAGTGATTTGATCTCTTATCAAGACCTCCAAGACATTGCTGAAACAGTTTGGAGAATACAAAAGTTCATCGGCTGTTCCTCATAAGCTCAAGTCCATCTATGAACACAAGCTGTCGCTGAATTCAGATGATAATTGCTACACAATTTAACAACTTCAAAAAATAGCCTGTTAATTGTAGATATGTAGTAATAATCGTTCGGTTAGATAACTGATAGCCTTGTCGTGTGGGGACACTCCCCGCATGACAATAATTCGCCGATAAAATATGTAGCCTCGGTTGAACATGGAATATCTTTTGTGTCGGCCTCTCTTTCCGTAACGACACACACAACAGCCAACGACCTGCAAACGTTGTGACTTGATCAGTAACTACTGAATATTCCAGGTCAATTACGGGCGACATATATACTATCACAATGGCATCCACAGATCAGGCCGGCGAGACCGCGGATAAGCGCGATGAGCAAAAGACACCTCTTGCCGTTGAAAATAAAGCAGAACTAGAGGTCAATGATACGACGAAACTGATGACAGATGATGAAGGCTCCGAATGGGAGGATCTAGATGGTATGATCTGATTGTTTTCTAGCTCTGGTTGCAAGAGGCTCATTAATTTCCATTCAATAGAAGTGCTAGACGATTTCAGCGGCCCGAAACGACCAACACAATCCACCGCGTCATTGTCCTCAAAGCCGTCGCATTCTCAGAATGATGCATCAGAAGATGCATTTATGAAACAACTAGAGGCAGACATGCTCGCCCAGCTACTAGGTGCAGGTGGTGAACCCAGTGGCGAGGGCAAGGAGAATGCAGCAGCACCAACGACAAAACAGACGGAAAAGGGCGCTCTACTAGACGATCTGAGTTTCCTGCAAAACATGTCAGAAAAGGACCTGGACAAATTCGGCGAGTTATTAGAATCAGAGGGCGGAATGACAAAAATTGTTCAAGAGCTCTTCGGTTCAGATGGGCCACCGGCAGGGGATTCAACAAAAGGGAAGGACAAGCCTGTTACAGCGGCTGGAGAACCGTTCCAAGACACCATTCAACGAACTCTAGATCGCATGAAAGAATCAGGCGACAAGATCACGGTAGAAGCTCAAACGAACCAGGACAAATTAATCGATGCATCGGTCATGAAATTGATGGAAATTATGAACGAGACAGCTACGAGTGGCGGCAGTTTTAATATCGAGGAGGTATTCAGTGATATTATCAAAGAAATGTCTAACAAGGAGATGTTGTACGAGCCTATGAAGGAGTACAATGTCAAATATGGTCCTTGGTTGGAAGAGAATAAGGCCACACTATCGTCAGAGGACTATGAGCGATTTGAGAAACAGGCTGGTGTGGTGAAGAAGATTGTCGAGAGATTCGAGGCTGAGGATTATACGGATGAGAAACCGGAATGCCTTGCTTCGATTTGGGATCTTATGCAACAGGTATCCCCCCCAAGCTCCCAAGACTACTAAATGGTATCAACTAACTTTGTGATAGATGGAAGCTTGTGGTCCTCCTCCAGAAGACCTCATCAAAGGTTCTATGGGCGACGGAGTCCTACCCAGTCTTACCCCGTTTTTAGATCGTAATGAGCCTGAAGGGGACAAAGGTAACAAAGATCCCGACCAGATACCTCCTCCAGAATGCAACCCGCAATGAACGACAATTTAGAAATGAAGTTGTTGTCTTTAATCTATGTGGAAACTTGGAACAATTTCGACATGTGATTCGGTTCTTGCCAAGGGATGCTCTCGGCAGTGCAAATTATGTATATAGAAAGACGATGACTCCTTTTTATGATACCCATCCTGATTATCTCAGGAATAAAAAAAAAGAAGCCTTATACACAGACAGACCATAAACGCTAACGCCGATTCGCCAACCCGAAGATGAATGTAAAATCTACACGGTTGATGTGGATTATCAATCAACAAGTTCCATAAAGATATCATCATAATCACCATCATCACCACCAAATAATGACCCGTCACTCCTCGCCGGTGAACGAGGACGATTATCGGCATTGGGAAAATTCTCCACTAACGCTGAATCAATATCCTCCTCTTGCATTATAAACTCCTCGAGAGCAGACTGTTCAGGGTCAAGCATCATCTCATTGCTCTCATAATCATCATTATTATCCTCATCTTCCTCTTCATCAAGGATTGCCCCGTCTTCGATATGATATTGTTGCGAAAGCGTATCTGCTCGTCGACGCATCTGTTCGTCCCACGACTGTTGTTCGGAGTGATATTCCATCATCGCGAGCGATTCGCCCCGGTAACCGTATCGCGCATCGTCACGGTTCTGTTTTACGCGGTTGAGGAAGAGTTGCCGATGTTTGGAGGATGTCGATGTGCCGCTGTTATTAGGGCTACCATTGCTAGAAGGGGAGCCGAAGATTCGGGTATAAGGGTTTCTTGATCCACCGGATTTTTTGAATTGTTCTTCGTATGCTGTTGAACGGCGAGATGGGGGTGTTACGGTATTGTATGCTGGAGGAGAAAAGGAGAATGATTTGCTGTCGTTGTTTTGTAGCTTGTGGAATAATGAAGACGGGGAATTCTCCTGGTCTTGAAGTTCTGCTGACTGATTATTCTGGTTGCGCTCGTTCATGGCTTGAGCATTGACATTGCGTAATCCCAACGGCGAAGGGGATGTTGGAGTATATGGGAATCCACCAAGGTATTGGCTGCAGTGATAGCTCTGTTGTTGCGGTGTTTGAGGAATATACTGATATTGAGAAGACTGTTGAGGAAGCATTTCGAGCATTTTCTCGTCGCGATATGAGCTGTGAGATTTGTTTGGTTGTGAATCCGAATGGTGTAATGATCTGAACGAGTACTGATCCAGTTGATTTGTGTTACTATAGACTCGGACAGGTAGTTATCAAGCATAAATACCCTCTCAGAGATGTAATTCAGAGTTATGTGCAGCCACCAGTATTGCAGCCAAAAGTCGCGTCGAGCATAGCGCGGCATCGCGTGAGTTGATAAGATACGGCCGACTGCCACTAGCCGTCTTTAGACTAGCGTCATAAGGCATCAAAGTAGAGAGAGACATTTAGCCCTAATTTCGTGCAGATAGATAGACAATGTGTTCATTTTTACTATCTTTCATAGTAGATGATTGTATTAAGCACTAGTATACTTATCTACTGCAGATATAGCAGTTGCATAAATCATAAAACACATATATCAAAGGATCATAAGTCGCAAATCAAAATAAAATCGCCTTGCGTGATAGTCGTCTGTTGAGGAGGAGCTTGAGTAACGCTTAGTGAGGTAACTGATGTTATTACGAGAGATGTAGTAGTCGTATCTAATGCGGTTGATGTCGACGTAGATGTTGTAGAGGTTGATGAGGATAAAACCGAAGTTGACGTTGACGTTGTAGTCGTCAATTCTAAAGTAGAGGTACTAGTTGACGAGCTAGCTGTGCTCGAGCTGGAAACGAGGTCGGCCTCATTCAGGTTTAAGCAGCTTTCTGTAATGAGTTACTCCATTAGCAAGGTGATATCCACGGAGTTGGACCGTAGCGGACGTACTTTGCTGATTCTCGCAGTCAGACACTGAGAATTGCGCGGTTTTATCGGTGTTTGCTATCTGGTTGACAATCAGTATGGCCAAAACGGACATTCAGGTCTGCTAAAAGAAGTAGAACTTACTAATTGGCATGTATTGAATTGATCACCGCAGCTGCAGTCAAGGGATCAAATCAGCCATCGTCCACAGACTGAAATAGCCAAAACCAGAATACGAACCTCCGCTGTCTCGCTGAGGGAAAATCTGTCTATACTCAGCCATCAGTAACGAATCCAATCTCGTCGAAGATAATGTACTAACAAAAGTGTTATTCTGCACACTAAACGGTCTCTTCGTATCATCCGTCAGCGTAACAGGCGGCGGCGCAGCTCCAAGAATCTTTGGTGACCCCTATGTCTTCTTCTTAGTACCAGTCTTTTATTCGTATTCTAAAATCCCGAGACCAGAAGCTCATCTCTCTGCAATCAACCCTGATCGGACAGAGGTCGGATAAAGACGTTGATTCCTACTTACTGCTCTCTTATCAATAACCCCAGATGCATTCATCTGAAAACCCATCAATAATGAATCAACGCCCATTGAAGCTGTAGCTGCCGTAGCTCTTGTCATGAGCAGTAGTAGTACAGATAGTCCAATCAATGTGAGCGAAGATGGTCCTCGGGGTAGTCGAGAAATGATGCTTTGCTGGGGAGAGGATGAAGAAAAGTGCGATATCATTTTATCTTGTCGTCGACGACACTCTGACTGATTCGATGAATTAAGGTGGACGCTGATTTTCATACTATCGTTGTTACTTCTTGGTCTTCATGCTCGGATAGAAGTCGTGAGTTCTGTTCTTAGCCGGGTTGTCACTGTGTTCTGTTATCACATTGCATGGTGTATTCGTTATTCAGGATACGAAGTAAAAAAAAATTGATGGGATAATCATAAAGACAAAAATAGAATGTCTTCAAAGATATATGGGGTCGTACACTAGTTATCACATTCGTCCCCGAGGCCCCCGAGGAAGAGTGTCGAAGGTCTAACAGCACCTGAGACTATCTCGGGATTTATCACGAAATACTGCCGCAGGAGTTTCCACCATGTCAAGTTTGACTATACGTATATCCTGTCACAGAAGCTCGTGTCTAACGGGGTGGTTGGGGGGTGCTCCTAAGCGCGATGAGTTTCACAATGGTTTGATGTCGCCCAATTGATGCCCATGTCTTTTCTGATTGGCTTATTGCACAGAGCGTCAGGCTTTGGAGTCTTCCTCATCGCCAGATTTTTCCCTTTATAGTAGAACCTAGCTATAATAACGAAAGGAAGGTCGCCTCATACTTCCACTGATATCAGCTTGGATTACTTTAATATGGAGCTGGAGAGCATCCTATTTACGAACATTAGAATAGTTAAGTATATTGAAGGTGCCGTTCATCCCTAAATCGAACTCACTTCTGGATATATTGACTTGGATCCCGAGAGGCCTGCTGTTCGTTATGACCAGGTTTTACTGTACGTCAGTCGAGTAATGTTCAAAATTTCTAAAAGGACTATAATAATTGCATAATTAAAGTATATGATACAAAAGCAGGTTGTGGACGCAGCAACGCAAGTTTTTGTGACCACCGTTTGAAATCCAGTAAGTACAAGCAGATGCATTGATACATACACGCAAGGCTACAACGAGATAGCAGAGAATGCTAGAACGTTTGTTTTTTTCTTTTCTTCACCAAGGATAACAAACTAACGAACCTTTCGTGACAGAGAACAGAAAATTTGTAAATTTTGAAACCGAGAGAAAATATTCAGGTTCAAAAATAGGGTATTCGAATAAAATCGACAGATATACCACGCGATCAAAGCAAATAATAGCCGTCGGCGCGTAAGTCTGATGAGTCGCAATCGTAAGGAGTGTCGTAGTGATGTAAGATCAAAAGTAGATGACAGTATGATTGCCGGTGCTGTGGAAAACAGTCTATAAGGAATGAATAAGTTAATGTATCAAGTGTGGAATGGTGATTCATGAGAAATCAGCATCTCCGTCAAACATATCTCCAAGAACGCCGCTGTAAAATAGAATAAACAAAACAACCCAATACGATGAAAAGAGCGGAATATGCCACGAAGTGTGACACTCGAGGTTCATCTCGTCTAAAAGTTAGACGCAGCGTTCACAGGGCCAGGGTTGTGATATTGATCGAGAGTAGAGCGGAATTGAGTGCCACCAGAAGATGGGCTAGGAGCCTTTTCACGAAGGTTGGAACCAACAGCAGTGCCGGCACTCATCAAGTCATCTTCGTCGTTGTCGTTGTTGTGTCTGTTTCGTCCCCAGACCCTCCATGCAACAAAACCGACACCTGCGAGAAGAATGGCACCACCCACACCGACAACAACACCGATGATGGTGTTCTTAGCACCCTTGCTCAATCCACTGCTAGAGTTTGAGGAACCCGAGCTGAGAGAAGGCGATGAAGTGCCAGTGGAAGAGGTCGAAGATACAGAGGATGTGGAAGTTTGAGTTGTTGCAACGCCGCTAATGGTAGTGGTTCGGGTGACGATTTGTTCGGTTTGGCTAGCAGAAGTAGGAGCGTCGGTAGCCTTGGTTGTAGATTCAGACGTCGCTGAAGTCTTGGCCGTTGCGGGATCTGTGGTTGCGGGATCTGTTGTAGAGGTTGACGAAGATGTCTTGCTGGATGTAGACGACGTCGAAGTAGATGACGAAGAGGAGGTGGTGGAGGTTGACGATGATGACGAAGATGACGATGCGGATGTTGTAGGCCCGAGACTAGTAGAGGTAGGCTCTGCGGATGTTGTTGGAGCGGCTGAGGTTTCAGTAGTAGCACTAGAAGTCGGCTCACTGGTGACTGAGGCGGCGGTGGTAGCAACGGTTGGTGAAGGGAGCAAGTCGGTTAGAGACAAATTATCCCTCTTCTCAGGCTCTGCACCGGCGACGGTCGCAGCAAGTACGTAGACACCAGCTAAAAACAACGAAGAACGCATCTTTGCGATAATTCCTGCCGTGTACGACTCGTATGCTGTAGCGAGGCTCTCAAAGTTGATGAGAAACGAACGGGCAGGTTGAAATTTGACGGGTCGGCGAACTGCCAGACGCACTGGTTTCAGATCGGGAGGGTGAGTGAATGACTCGATGGAAGGGAGCAGCGTGGCAAAGAACAGATGGAGAGCGAATATACAAAACGAGAGGAAGAAGATAAAAGAAACGAGCGTTAATAGAGGGTCAACTTGGTGTGGTGTGGTGTGAGCGAGATGATTATTTCTCTTCTTGAAGAGGAAGCATAAACAGCGGGAGACGAGGGAAAGACCCAAGGGACACGATCATCCGGTACTAGCGTATTTGGCTCAGGCACCGATACATAAATTACTCATAATATGACATGTATTTTACAATACACGTACAGCACAGCCTCGTTTTTTCTTTTACTGTTGCATTTACAGAGTGACACCCGGTGAAAACCTTCAGCTCAGGGGGATTGAACATCGCAAATTCATTCCTTTACTACGGAGTACAGAGCAAACATACACACACAAAAACAATACAAATACAATACAAATACATTCTGCCTCAATACAGCAAAATTTTTACGCCGCATTCACCAGTGCAAAATTTCATACAACTGTCGAGACACTACGGTGAAACAAGTGGGAGGCAAACCCACAGGAAAGCCGCCGACAGATCCGCGTATCCTTCTTTGCAGTCTGATTGTTGATTATCTCATATCGGCAGTGATTATCATAGTGTGGCTGTTAAGCATTAACAATCCAGAAGTAATAAATTAACTAGTTTTCTCCCTAATGATGTCAACGGCTCTATGGAGGGAAGATGTTTCGATTCCAACAGCACGGTGTACGAACCGAAACAGTTCCGGAACTATGCTACATGGCATGCATAGCAATACGCTCCAGATCCACATCGCAATGGTCATCATCAGGGTTCTTCTCGAGTTTCATATCGAGCATGCCCGAATATTTATAGACTGCCAGATAACTTGCTGAAAGTCTAAAAGGAGGGAGCCCCAAAGCAGATATACCTCCAGTACAAACTGTAGGGTAGACAGCCAATGTCTATGACAATCTCCATGGCATGCCGGATGATATTCTTTGTTCAGTGAACAAGCTATAACCCTAACCCTAGGACACAACACCGCGGAATACCATGCTGAGTTGAATTATAGGCTGGCTGCCTTCATCGGTATGGCCGATACAGGATATCGGTCGGCTCTGGAATAGTTGGCGAAATAAGCAAACGCGGCCCATCGGCATTTCTGTCGTTCAAAGAGGGAGAAGTGCCGTCAATAATCCTGGCAACTCTTGACAGAGAGCCCATCTCAAAGACGAAAGTCACTCTTGCATTCTGGGTATCATAATGTAGAACTATGCAATAGATAACGAAGCAGACGTCATGGTATCAATTCCGTTTCGTCGGCTTGCCTTTGAGTTGGTCCTGGATCTGTTCCTTGAACAAGCGTAGAAAATGTTTTGCCCCAGCTGCTCGAAATGCAAGAATTAATCTCGAATCCAGATCAGAAACTTATGTGACATTTAAGGGGCACGAACATGTCTCCTCAATATTTGTTCCTCCCATTTCCTCCGGCGGCACACCGTGTCTGACGCGTTCCACTCGCCGGTGAACGTTACGGACCATTTGATGGAAGGCCGGACTGCGCAGAAGCTATTCGAAGCAACATTAGAAGGTATACGATGGAAAACTCGAAGTTATCGTACTTACGCGATTGATAGCCCACGCCTGGAAGCGGTTGGTTAGCCAGATGGTTTCATGGCACGAGCAGTCCGACGGGGAGTCTCACCTCTAAAAACCGAAGCCAGAACATATTCAGCTAGCCAGATAGAAATCCGTCTAAACATGAGTACGATCAAGCATCATCAGTTACCGGTCAGTTGACGACCGTGGGAGGCGACACGTGTAAGTTTAGAAACCAAGCTCGACGGAAGATGAATAATTGACCCGCCGGCGTTTACCCGTAGTAAGGCTTAAACAAGCCTCACACAGCCCAAATTTCATTGAGGAGAAATTTATCGACGCCTCCCCCTAATAAATTTGTCAGGTTATTTAGTCTTTTTTTGTACATCTTTAGAGGTTTATGGAGGATTTTTCTGAATATATATTTTCTCGGGCTATCCTCTACTATCCTGACTGCTGGATCGGTCTATAATAATTTTATAAGTTTGACAGTTGCATCTGCACTCCAACGCCTCGATATCATTCACGCGACCGCAAACTAGAGGGATACGCTGAGTGATTTCTGGTCCTCACGTTAACCGCCACTATCGTGTTGCTTGCAGCGACAGGGCCGAAGTTGCTAGGGTTTATTGTCCAACGAATTACCAGCGAACCCCTCCATCTTGGGCGTCGCTCGTTCAGCGGCCGACTGGGGCCCCTCCAACATCAACAACCGGAATCCTGGACACCCCAAAATCTCCCAGCAGCTCCCTCAGCTGCCCGGATCTGACTTCGTTGCAGATCACTTTGCAGAATCGGAGTCCTCCCAGCCCAATCTCGCTGAATCCTTTAGGCGACGACGACGACTCCTTCTCTGAGAGGTGTGCTTCCCGACCCTCGTCTCCCTCCGCGTTAGGTCCTCGAGGCCGATCGCGAGCAAAAATCGCTGCGACCGGAAAGAAAGCGTCAAGAAAAGCCCTTAGTGTGCTGAATCGCTTTCGCGCTCTGCATCATAAGTCATCTAGGAAAATGGCACAGTCGCCCATTCGAATCGACACGGACATTCATGGGACTAAACGAGGACTTCCGTACGATGGGTCTGAAGGATCGGATTATGTGCCGGTAGGGGACGAGGATCAGGTAGATACACAGACAACAGCTCCTGTTCCAGGACTGCCGCCGTTCTTGAATCTACCCTATACAGGTAAAAAGCAATTTGGTTTACTGCGGTCATAGAAGATGTACACAACTGACCGCGTGATGTGCGCTTGCGATCAGAAATACGAAAGAAATTCGAAGATCTCGAATGGCTCCAACGCTCACGGATAGCAGAAGGCGCAATGTCCAAAGATCCCTCACACAGATGGGCTCTTGAGACAAGCCCAGAAGTCAAAGCACGGAATCGTTACCAGAATGTCCAAGCTTGGGCGAATTCGCGCATCCGATTAAAGGTCCCTGAGGGACAGTGCGACTTTATCAATGCATCACCAATCATACTGAAGGATTCCCGCACGGGCGATGAGACGAGGTATATTGCTACGCAGGTATGCTATTCTCTACATTATCAAGCTGTTGGAAGTCTAGGCTGAATGTTTGGTTACAGGGCCCAAAAGTCGGCGTTCACTTGGCGCATTTCTGGCACATGGTGTTCCACGAAAGCGCAGATGTGGCGGTGATCGTTATGTTAACACAGACAGTCGAGGCTGGAAGAGAGAAATGCGCGCAATACTTCCCATTAGACGAGGACGATGCTGTTATGACCTTTCCGGCGGAGGCGGTCGATTCTCCGGGCAGTGATCAAGATGCCCAACAGGAAGAGGAGGAGGAGGAGGAAGAAGAAGAAGAAAAAGAGACAGGACAGGATGCCAACCACCCAGAAATATCGGGAAGCATTACACTTCGCGAGCATCATTTCGACGAGGCATGTCGATCTGAGATCCGGAAATTGGAATTACAGATAGGCAACGAAAGCAAGACTGTATGGCACTTCCTGTTTGGAGGATGGGCGGATTACTCAAAACCTGAAGGAGAAGACCGTGAAGCACTTCTACAACTCTTTCAGCGCACAGCGGAGAAGTCATCCCTGAAGAACCCCCGCATAGTCCACTGCAGTGCAGGAGTTGGTCGGACTGGTACATTCATTGCCCTCGATCATCTTTTACGAGAACTGGACTCTGGCGAACTGCTGAGTCCCAAATATTTTATCGAAGACCCGATTTATGAAACGGTCAACCAATTACGAGAGCAACGGATGATGATGGTTTACAATGAGATGCAGCTACAGTTCATTTATGAAGTCATTAGAGAACAAAGCATCCAGAAGTTGGGAGTCTCACTGGGCGATGAGATGAGTCTAGACTTGCGGTCGCCCAAAGTTGCGCGATTGTCGGGGGACGAGAACTATACAGTTTCGGACAAGCCAGAATTGGAGCCTATAACCAACGAAGGCAATCCGGTTGCAGAAAGCCCCGTGCAGTCTCCAGCGACTTCAGATGATGATTAGCGAGGGCGGCTGATTGCACCCAAATACATTGTTTCCTTACCTACATACATACGATGCCCATGATTATCTATAGATCTCATACGATACTGCCTTCATCTGGCCCTTGTTCACTTGTTTCTTGTTTCTTGTTTGTCCTCTTCTGCTTCTTCGTATATGCTTACTGTCGCTGTTCCTACGCATGTGCATAGCAAGCAGCAGATACCCTTTCCCTTTTGGTGTGGAGAGCCCAGCATAGCATCATATAGTTCATTGTGTATAATTTAATTCTATATTCTGGTATATTTAATCTGATAGAAATTATTTTGCATATAGAAAAAGTGCCTTCGGTGCTTAGGTGTGGGAGCCTGTAGGCAATATAGACATTCGTGATACCTAGGTCGATGGAATGTGCTCATCGTAAATGTCAAGCTTACAACATGAAGGATGCTCGGTATAAACCTCAAACAACCAACCCATAGTGTATAGAGTAGAGAAATATGATAAATCAAACATATTAAGAAAAAATTCGTTCCCGTTGCCGCATTCACTATCATGATCCATTTGTACTAATCATTCCTCATTTTAGCATTACCACTCTCTTCATCAGGATCGGGCCCATCTTCGGTATCCCAGTTATCGACAGCGTTCTCGTCCCAATTATCGATTTCACGCTCTAAATTCGTAACGACGCCGGTTTCTTGAGGTCCCATATCTTCATGATTCAGACGGTGACTCTCCGAAGCGCCGAGTCCCAGTTCAATATCGTCGCCGCGAGGCTCTCCGCCAATGTCGTCCGACAAGGCTCCGAAGCGTGCTTGACGTCGTCTCTCCAACATGCGCCGATGGTACCAACCGCAGAGACCAATAGCTCCAACACTGCCGACTACATTGGCAAGGATATCGAAGGGGTCAAAGAGTCGGTCGTTGGGAAGAAGACCTTGGACTATTTCGGATCCGATTCCCAGACAAAGTGTGCAGACTAGTAAACTGGCCTGTATCGCTCTTCGGCGAGATGTGTCGGGTATCCAGTAGAAGACGAGAGATAGTAGGAAGAAAGTTATGAAGTGTAGGAATTTATCGTTGGGTTGTAGATTCGTCGGTATAGTGTTTGATGTGCTATGTGGTAGAAGTCCCATATAAGCAGAAAAGAGGAGGAGTAGCACAAATGCGCCTGGTCATTGAAAGCATCATTAGCATGTTACCGCTTACATGGCAGTTCCTGGACTTCCAAAGTGATTGGATACTCACCGAGAAAATAGAAACGGATCCTCATTGTTGAGAAGTATATGTCCCAGCCTCCAGAAAAATGTGACTATTGTTGTTCAGCTCAGCGTTGTAGTTGAATCTGACCACGCAATCCCGATAGAGCTTCGGAAGCAGATATGCGCTATGAGTTCCGATGTAGGCATAACAGCAAACGCCGCGACGCAAGAATAGAAGAGCTATTTTTGGTTTGAATGGGATCAATCAGAGCATGTAAAGTATTGACAGCGGCATTGCTCAATAGCGAGAAGCAGTCGTTATTGTTGTAAGCTGATTGTTGGGTTAGCTCAGCCAAGCACGGGAGCGGAAAACGGGGCTAAAGAGCAACTACGCATTTGGTCTGCGGAGGCCGCCAAACTTAACGGCCTCTCTCAACCTCAGTCCGTCATTACTACCAAAAAGAGCCCTACATCTGCCATCAACCCTCTCTTCATTTCATCGTTTTGATCCTCAAAACCAATATAGGGTTATTTTTCAAGATCTGAAGACTACATTGAAGATTTTTTAGAGCCCAGAACGCTCTCATTCTGCCCTGGACCGACCCGACGAATCAAGTGGTCCCCTCGACGGGGTTTCCTCAGGGCGCGGATATGTCCCTCGGTCAAAATTTGGCCTGGATGCCCCCAGGCCACCTGCGCCCCCCAGATGATCACCATTCCGATGCGCGAGGTGTCAATGGTCTATCCAGAGTCTCGTCTGGTACGCGAACGCCTCAAATGCGCTTTTCCGTCAGTGAACAGGGCTCCCAGGCCGGAAATATGATCGCCGACGCAGACGCTGCCGCGGAGGAAGATGCTCGCATCACCCTTTTTCGCGACCTCTACAATCTCAGCGAAGCCAAGATAAACGCCTTGTTCAGCGCTAAAAGAAGCGAATCCGCGCCTTCAGAGGCAGTTGCGACCGTCCCAGAAGCCCCGGAAATTACTCCGGCCCGGCCCCAGGACTCGGGCCAACCGGCGAAGAAAGCTGCGCGAAAACTTGACGATGACAATTACGACGAATATGACGACGAGGAAGAAAGCGAAACTCAAGAAAATGCAAACGCGTCTCCCTTGAAGGCTAGATCTGCTGTGACGCCGCTCTACGATGCGTCGCCCGCTCAACGACCGTCTCCCGCAACAGCTACTCCCGCAGACAGTGGCAAGGATACCAAGAAAGACACATTGGAGGAAACACGAAAGAAACTCGAAGAGGGCAAGAAGGCCACCGAACAGGCTGCGCGCCAAAGCTTTCAGACTATGTTCCACACCCTCGAAAATGACCATGATGCCATGAAGGAGCAGGAACGACTCGAGGAGTCGGAGAGGCTCGTGGAAGCTGAGATGTCCGGACAAGGTGTTAACAACTCTGGGAACAATGGGAGCAGCGGCGCCAATGGGTACGGGTCGCTGAGTAATGCCAACCTCGGTGCCTCCAGTCTAACATTGAAGAACCTCATTGCCCGCATTGATATGAAGCGCACAATGGTGCAAGCATCCGATGCCGAGCTTCGCAGCTTGATGAGCGAGGTCCGCAAAAATCGGAGTAAGTGGGCTAGCGAGGAGAAGGTAGGCCAGGAAGAACTTTATGAAGCCGCCGAGAAGGTTCTGAGCGAACTGAAAGCCATGACTGAGCACTCATCGTTCTTCTTGTCGAGAGTTAACAAGCGCGAGGCCCCGGACTATCATACTGGTGAGCTCAACTTATGAAAGACTCCTGTTATATAGATTAGGCTGACATTTAAAAGTTATCAAACATCCGATGGATTTGGGAACCATGACAAAGAAGCTCAAGACCTTGCAATACAAATCGAAGCAGGAGTTTGTTGACGACCTTAACCTTATCTGGGCCAACTGTTTGAAATATAACGCATCGCCGGAACACTTTTTGCGCAAACATGCCCTATTTATGAGAAAAGAGACAGAAAAACTTGTCCCCTTGATACCCGATATTGTGATTAGGGATCGTGCAGAGGTAGAGGCAGAAGAGCGTAGACTTCAGCTAGCCGAAATGGACGGTGCAGAAGAGAGTGATGACGAACCTATCATGTCGTCAAGAGGCAGAAAGGCCCCCGGAAAAAAGACATCTCAGAAAGGAGCTGCTGCCCCAAGCCGGCAAACACCAAGTGGCTCAGAGGCCCCTTCCGGACCATTAGGCTCTCAACCGAAGAATTCGGTAGGCCCCGATGCAGATGGTCTGGCAGAAGGGAGTCAGAACGGATTGTCCACTCCGCCACCAGGAACACTAACCCCTCTTGGTGCAAATGGCATTGGAGCAGCCGCCTCTGGTAGTCAGCTCGATGCCATGGAGATGGACAGTTTTGTTGCACCTGCTCTGACAATGGCTGGCACGTCTGCGATAGGCTTTGATTACGACGACCCCGAATATCAAATTTGGAAGCAGGTCACCAAGAAGGATCGCGCTCTCATCGCAGCTGAACGACATCGTCTTTTCAAAGGAGACAAATTGAATGCTGAAGAGCGCGCGCTACTTCGGACCAAGACGGGCATGCGAAGATGGCTAAAAAATCAGAAACAGGCTGGCCCTGAATCTGATAAAGCGGTCGAATCTCAGAGTAATGCTTTGCAGCCGGAGACCAGTGAAACGCTTGCTGAGGGAATTGAGGAAGAAGACGACAGAGTCATTCCAGATTATTATGATGTCATGTCAGGGATTCCAGATATTCCACCACATTTGGTGTGGCGCGAAGATGCTGAGGGTAACGTGGTCGATAACATGGAGGAATTCTTACATATTCTGCCAAAGGGATCTTTTACGCAGCCTGATAGCAAACTGTCTCGAAGGATGGATGCTAATATGCGACAAATGCAAGAGACGAGGAAGATCTGTTCCAAAGTCAGCATTGTCAAGCAGATGCAACTTCAGTCTCAGGTTTATCAGAATCAATTCCAGAAATATAATCCTGAACCATTCGTGGAACAGGATGTGTCAACACACGTTATGAATGATGAAGGACCTGTGATAAACCCATGGATCTCCAAAGCGGCACTGCAGCGGTCCGTTGGAAAACTTCTTTATCATACTGGATTCGAAGAGTATCAACCATCGGCTTTGGACGCCATCACCGACATTGCTTCTGAATTCTTCGTGAAGATCAGTCGGACATTGAAAGAATACATGGAAGCTCCAAAGATTCCAGTCACTGAAACTTCTGACGTATCGAACTCGAGTGCTGCGAAATACAAGTCGCCATATACACAGCAGGAAGTCATTCTTCATACTCTTTCAGCAGTGGGAACCGATGTTGAATCTCTAGAGTCATATATCAAGGATGACATTGAACGTGTTGGGACAAAGCTTGGAGTCATTCATGAACGTCTCCGTGCCCATTTCACTGAATTACTTAGACCGGCGTTCCATGATACCACCGGGGATGGCTCCAATGCATTCAACGACGGGAGCGAGCAATTTGTTGGAGGAGACTTTGCAGAGGATATTGACGAGGATTTCTTTGGTTTCAAGGAAATGGGCTTGGATAGAGAGTTTGGTCTTGCTAGTTTGAGTGTGCCGTTCCATCTTCTTCAAAATAGGATGTACAACGCGCACCAATCACAAAACACAAGGTAAGTGTCGACCATCCTACTACTTATTGCTAGTACCTCCGTACTGACTGCACTTCCTAGTGCTTCCCAAACCGCAAGCACTTTATTCCCCGTCCCACCGCCGTATCCACATATTACGATGGAGTCGCTTCCTTCACAAATTGGTTTGGTACAAAATTTCTTCTTGCAGAAGTTGCAGGCCAACGGTGAAGAGCCTCTTACAGAAGATCTCGAACTTCCTCTCAAACAACGCCCCTCTCGTCCAAAGCTTCCAGGTTCAGGCAAAATTGTTCCGCCCAGCAACTCAAACCTCACAACGAGCCCTCAAAAGCGACCGTTACCACCAAGCATCGCACAGATGTCTTCGAGTAAAACAGGACTCAGCTTTGCAGAGCCTAGCAAGAAGAAAGCCAAGAAGAACAATGGTACCTCTGCTGACACTTCTACTTCGACTACAATGGGACCGTCAGGCAACGACGAGTCATTCGCTTCATTGATCGGTGACTCAAAGCTTTCGACGGAGAACAAACCTGGTGATCAAGCTGCTAGCAACAAACTACCTGGTGAGCATCTCAAAGGCGATCTAGGGGCATCGAATGACGGCGTTGGGATGACGGGTTCCAGCGCTACGTTGACTGGTGAGGTTGATCCACATCATGACAAACTCAATGGTATGTACACACAGCAATAATGCTTGAAGCCCTCCCACAAACCAATCGAGCCGTGTCTTCTAACAGGATTGTAGGCATCAACTCATCCAACAATGAGAACGCCGCCGGGACAACAAGCATGATGAGCCCCGAAAGCATCAACGGCCACTCTTGAAATCGATCATCAAAAACCCGCTCATGTCGCTGTTAATCCACTTTTCCAATAAAAAGATTATCCTATCTCGTTCTGAGGCCCCTCGCAATGCCATTAACTATCCACATATCCACTGTTCTCAATCGTCTTATTCACGTTTCCTCTTTCTTCGCCCACTCTCTTCTTTCATTCACTTTAGTTCAGTATGTAGCTCGGTCTTACCCTCCCATGGATTCATTCTGAAATACATGCCCTGGACGGATGTCTCTGTAATTTAATATTATTGCCACGTTCATACTACGCGTTACTCCCATTGCATCTATATCTCTGGCGGAGGGAGATTTGTCGTTCGAAAACTACCACAGATGAATTATACTGTACTATTGCTTCGAGCGCATGGAAATACTGAGAAAGCCATTATTGTACTGATTCTAAGTCTGTTCTATCTGTTGATGCTCCCTCGTATCATAGTTATTGGTATCCAGTAACGGTTGTATCTAGGATCGTTAGAGTCACCAGCTTGTGAAGCCGGATACAATCGACCAAACTAGTTGCATTAAATTGCTTATGTAAGTAAAAAGAAAAGAGAAAAAATTATCATAATAGCATCATCCTTGAGATTTGAAAGTCCCCATTTCCAGTCTAAACAAACCACATGTCCAGATGATTGTGAGTCTCGCGCTTTGCCATCGGCATTAAAGGCTTCGGAGCAGTGACTTGTTTATGGTGAGCATCCTCCGAAGAACTTTCTTCAGAGCTGTCCACAAATTCATCCTGGCTCTGGGCTTTACCCCGATTGGAAATCAGATGCGCGTAGTAAACCGCAGGGACTATCGCTAGTTAGTAACAGGAGCCAATGTTAAACGAGGGTCGTACTCACATAAAGATACCGAGGTCGTCGAGCGAACATATTGATAACAGTGTTCATTGATCATGTTCTGTAATTGCTCGGGCTTATGCCTCATATCGTCGCGGATAACGTGGTAGTGCACGGGCTTAGCTGTTCCCTGCAAGGCGACATGTGTGACCATGAGGAAGTCCCAGTCATGCGGGCTGGTGACATCTCGCTCAACAAGAGTTCCAGGCAGAGGGTTGCGGAATTTGTCGCCTGCAACCATATCACCCGGTTTTGCAGCAAAACGAATATGATGACGCTTGTTGGCAATCACAACCGTAACTTTAGGAGGTGTCTTCTCGCCACTACCGGTGGAGATGATATCTTGGATAATAGGAACCTCCTGTTCAAGCACCTGAGCGAATTGGCCAGTGGACACGCCGTCGCGGAAGTAATAGATGCATTGAGGGCGACGTCCCTGACCCACTGTTTTGGTCCATTGATCAACCAGAGGCGTCAGCATGCTCTTCATGTTGTGCTCATCGATCATTTCGACACGGCTATACCCAGTCTGAGCACTGCCCATGTACTTAACGCAGTCCAGGTCTGCAGACACTGAGATAGCAGTCAAGGAAGCTGCGATGCTGCCTGGTGCTGCGTGAGAGACATCGGCGCCGATGATCATGCAACCGGGGCGATTCATGGATGCTTGACGGGGAGCAGCCTTGCAAGTCACTCCTCCCAATTTGGCATTGACTTTCATCGCCACGTTTGACATGTACTGCAGTTGCTTTTTAAACACATGAGCCGACTGCAGAACCTGGGAGGCAACGCCAAATCGGGAGTCACAACTCTTCTTGATCTTATGATAGACAAGAACGTCCTTGTTAGGGACGACGAAGAGGAGTAACTGTGGACGTTGTTTGAAATGATTTGCGGTAGTGGTGAATAGGCGCTCCACAGCTGAATGAGTGTCACCCGAAAGGTCAATCAAAACTGGACGCGACGAGATCCGTCCACCGTGACCTTCATACTGCTTCATAAACAACTTGATGAATTCGTCTGCCTGGGTAAAGGTCAAACCACTCCTGGGTGACTTGAAGACACCGACACCCCAGCGCTGCAATGGTTCTCTATTGGTCTTGAGAAACTTCTTGCCACGTAGATCCCAACGACCCTGTGTGCGCGGGTCGATCTTCGTATTAGCGAAATGAATCTCAGGCGCGGCAAGGAGACGTCCCTTGGTGACAATCTCTTGATCTGGGATTTTCATGCCAAAAGTATTGAGAACCCTATCAGTGGAATGAGAAAGCTTCAGTTTGGCAGCCCTGATGTCACCAAACCGCTTTTCAGGTTTGCGAACTGCGTGGTTGATCATTATGGCAGTTTGCTTGTCATTCAACCTGTGGTGATAGCGCTGTAGCCCGATCACTTTAACACATTCCATTGGATACAATGTGTCCTTTGTTGTCATCTCAACGAGAGGCAAGTCCGGCGAAGTAAGCTTGTAGTTGTACCTGGTCAGGTAGTAATTGGCAACCGTAATATCTTCCTCTCTGCCAGTAGCAGGGTTTGTCCATGGGAAAACATAATTTGCGTCATGACGACTAATCTTGCGGACGCTGAACGTGCGGTCCGTTGTGCAATTTGGAAACACGGGTTTCACTTCGAGATGTTTGATCTTGGCCGAAGCAAAGGTCCATGCTGGGCTATCACGAATGCCCCTGGACATGTCGTTGGGATCATTCCACCGCTGCTTCAAAGCTTTGGCGGTCCTTCCCCAGTCGAAGTTCTTAAGGAAGGCATCCGTCAAGCAGGCGATCGTGTTCTGACGCCAAAATGCACAAACAATACTGTCCACGTTCACAATAAGTCTGCCACCCTATATTACCAGTTAGAAATACATTGTATGAGAGCATAGAATCTGATGATAACTCACCCAAGCGGGTCTAATGGCCTGATAGGATCCCTTTCGGAGTTCCATTGTGGCGTCAAAGGTGAGGAACTGTTCTGCTGGATCGAAGAATGCTCGTCGTACTGCAGTGAACCTGGCTGATGGGTATTCCCGCAAAAGATGATCCATAAAGTTCAGGGCCTCCAAGACACGCTCGTCAAAGGAGCCTTTCTTTTGCAGCCAGTTCTGTAGGACTTGAAGATTGACTACCTTGGACTTTCGAACAATAATGCGGTAGGCGGGAGGCTTGTCGTTGCCAGCCTGGTTGTTCAAGTTCACTTCGATCGACTTGTTTTGATCATAGCTGTTTTGGGACCTAAGTCGTTTTGTTAGTGGTGGCAAGTGTTGAAGTATTGGGGAATTGAACGTACCAGGCGAGCTTGTTTCCATCGTAGATCATTTGCTGCCAAGTCGACTTTCGAAGGGTAGTTGCCCAAGCGAACTTTCGCACACGAGGGGGAAGTGACTCATGTTCCTTCCCAATTCTCAAGATGGTAATCTAGCACAAAAGCTGTCAGGCTTTCGAATCTTTCTGAAAGAGGTTATGTAAATTAAATAGTATGGTCACGTACGTCGTATTGATAGACATTTTTAGTCGGGAATTGGGTGACGGGATAGGCATTCGTAAGTAGATTGACTTCACGGCCAGTGGTGTTGTAACCCGGCCTAGGGACGCTCGTAGTGCTGTCAAGATACTGTCGAAAAACATGGTCAGCTTCCCGTGACCCGATAGAGCCTTTGAGGTCATGTTGTGCCTTGGTATCCTTGGTAGACATGGTGATTGGTGCGAAAAGTAACAAATTGAGAACAACAAAAGATAAGCCAAACGATAACGAAGTACTGTTTAGTATCTCCTAAGAAACAAGTCTGGTATGGATTTTGTGAGGAATGAATTTGGACAAGGAATCCAACAGATGCCAGGAGAAGGGGGGGGGGGCGGGGGGGCGTGGAAAACTCGCTTCTTATATAGTGTGCAGTCGGTCGATGACCGACATACGAATGTGGTCACCGACAGTCAATCATACGTCAATGGGGTAAAGGATCAAGACAAAAAAGATCAAGACACAAGGACAATGACAAAAAGATGGCTGGTCATTGATGGCAGCATGGCTGTGCGGGAATGCCCGTCGGGCAATTGACTTGAAGAAAGGAGACAAACGAAGCGCCGACACAGTATTGTGCAACAGGAGCAGTACAAACCGGCTTGCCGAAAGTAAAAGCCTCAGGAGGCAAATCCAAGTTCTTGTATGGGTTGATAAACGGTTTTGGATCCTTGGCGGGATCCCCTTTGACGGATGTCATGCCTGGGGACGTTTGTTCTATTGTGGATGTATTTTGTTAGACTTGAAAAGATTGAAACGATCAACAAGGTGAGGGAGTAAAGGGAAAGAAGAAAGAATTGCTTGGAACAATGAGGAATCTAGAAGTCAGATTTCTGACTACGGGAAGATCAAAGAGATGGGTATTGCTGTAAGGATAGAGTGGTAGTAGATTTGGAGGAGCCCAAGCGCCCAAGGAGAAGATGACAACCTCTGAGTTGAGAATGGAAGTAAAGATGAGGAATCAAGTGAAGAGAAGGAAGTGAGAGTCTGTTGAGGCGTGAAATGAACTGATCTTGGCTTAAAATGCCAATTGTGTTTTGAGAAAGTGAGATATTTCTGTGAGGAAGAGGTGATATGAGTGACAGAGGTGGCAAGATATGAAAAGGAAAATTTGAGAGATAGACATGGGAAAAGAACGAGGAATCGCGAGGAAACGCGAGCAAGAGAGTGAGAAGGGAATGCTTGGGGCTTTCAGAAAGAGAGAATCAGGCTTCACTTACCTTTTCTGGCTCAAATGAGGCTTTTGCTGGCTATTTAGATGATGCTGAATAGAGTTGAAGCAGAATAAAGTAGGATAAGATGATGAGAAAGGATGAAGAAGGGTAGAAGAAGATGAAGGAGGAGGAAGAGTTGACGGGGGAGAGATGAAAGAGGAAGAAGAGGACGGAGGAGGAGGAGGAGGAGGAGGAGGATACGATAGAGGGAAAGAAGGAGCGCTCTTTCCTTTCCGCGATGATTGGCTCTCATCGTTGATATCAAACGCGAGATTCGTTTGTTTGGCAGGTGCTGGGCGTGATCAGAGGGAAGGAGCAGGTCTACGAAAATATCAATACTAAATAGGAAAGAGGATGCGTTTACTTGTCTAGGTAGCTGCGAACTAGAAACAGACTCTCCTTTCCTAGCGATCATTCCTGTCTGTTCACATAGCTGTCCCCATTGTCCCGGCGTAATCAAGGGTTCCCAAGGCTCTGCTTAGAGTTCCTCAGTCAAAGTCATCATTCAGTATGCATGATTTGACGTGATGATGCAGTAGTTGTCGATGCTTCGAGTAAAGCGAAACCATCGAGGCACATCATTACGGCATTGCACGGCTCCTTAACATGCAGCACAGCATGCTCCATGAACAAAGTGGCTCATTTGCAGTGGCTGAGGGAGAGATATCTGTTAAGTTGAGGCTGTGACTCGGAATCAGTGGAGAACTCGGCCCACATCTACTTGGGAGACGTTTTGCCGCAAACTATAAATAAACAACACCCTCTGCCTGCTTGACACTTCAATTGTTATAATTATGCTTCTTCTTCTTCTTCATGAAAAATCCCAAGTTATAAGAAATAAAACATAAACCACTACATCATCAATCACAATTGTGGCGCCGAGCAGTCGCACAGTGCTTTTTATACTCCCCGCCGTGGTTGCACTCCTATCCGCTTGGTTCATCGCATTCACGAACCCGCGATCGGCTTCACCTTATTTCCCTGCAAACCTTGTTGGTATAAAACACGTAAATAGCCAACAACAATCCCTCGAAATGTCTGGATTGAGATCCGTAGTTTACTTTGTCAATTGGGTATGATCCTCGCCTAATTGAAAGATCCCCGCCAAATATCACCTGCCCCATCACTTTCTTCAGCCCCGAATTTATACACCCTAAAGTCTCTTGCGCTTAACACTAATAGACGTATAGGCAATCTACGGACGTAACCACAATCCGCAAGACCTTCCTGCAGACAAGCTCACTCATGTGTTGTACTCGTTTGCCAATGTCCGTCCAGAATCGGGCGAAGTGTGAGTCATCTCTGACGAATTGCCATCAATACTCTACATTCAAATATATCTAATGAGGTTATCTAGCTACCTGACAGACAGTTGGGCGGATACAGAAAAGCACTACCCTACCGATTCATGGAATGACCAGGGTACCAATGCCTACGGCTGCATAAAGCAGCTCTATCTGCTCAAGAAGCAGAACAGAAGACTAAAAGTGCTTATTTCAATCGGCGGCTGGACTTACTCGGCAAATTTCGCGCAACCAGCAAGTACAGAAACTGGAAGGGAGACATTTGCCAAGACGGCTACGCAGTTGGTTCTTGATTTAGGCCTTGACGGTATCGACATTGACTGGGAGTATCCTCAAGGTAGATTATCTAACCAGGCTCTAAATTAACACTGGACTGATGATGTGGCACAGATGATACACAAGCTCAGAACTTTGTTGCCCTTCTTCAGAAATGTCGAGAGGTATGTCCTGTCTCCTCCGTACAAATGTCAGGACCATATGCTGACCATATTGGAAAGACTCTCGATCAAGCAGCAGGTCCAAATAGGAAATTCCTCCTTACAATTGCTTGTCCGGCGGGTAAGGTTACAACCACCAAGAGTACTTTCCAATTCTAATTCGGTTTATACAGGAGCGTCAAACTATCAAAAGCTTCGACTTCGTGAGATGACACCTTATTTAGACTTTTATAACCTGATGGGTTACGACTACGCAGGTCAGTCCTTATGGCCTCAGTCAGTGCCGATCTCAGACGACTGACGGACAAGCAGGTTCATGGGATCAAGTCGCCGGCCATCAGGCCAATCTTTTCCCGTCAAACCAGTACGCTTCAGCCACTCCATTCTCCACCGTCGGTGCCCTTGATTACTACATCAAAGCCGCCGGTGTACCCCCCTCAAAGATGGTACTGGGAATGCCACTTTATGGGCGTGCGTTCCAGAATACTCAAGGACCAGGCACATCATACAACGGTGTAGGCGAAGGTAGCTGGGAGCAAGGCGTATGGGACTACAAAGCTCTCCCCCGTCCGGGTGGTACGGATTACGTCGATCCGGAAGTCGGGGCATCTTGGTGCTACGACGGTAGCACAATGGTGAGTTATGACAATGTCCAAGTCGCGGAGATAAAGGCCAATTTCATCCGTAACAATGGACTGGGTGGAGGTATGTGGTGGGAAAGCAGCGGTGACAAAGGAGGGAGCGCCGCTTCAAAGGCGGATGGTTCCTTGATCGGTACCTTTGTGGAAACTGTCGGAGGTGTAGGCGCCCTGGATCAGTCGCCCAATAACCTCGATTTCCCGGAAAGCAAGTTTGATAATATACGAACAGGCATGCAGGGCGCTTGAGAGTTGAGACTTGTGACTTTTTGAGCAAGTCACGTATGGATATATGATTGTGTATGTAGTGCAGACGAAATCCTACAATGAACTACAAGTAAAATCTTGGCAGAATGAACCGATTCCTTTTCTACTAATATCTCATCTAAGCAACAAGGCCACATGATATATTTCGTCATTCCTTCACATCGAATTCGTGTCGAAACGCTTATTTGGACTCATCGAAGATATAGGTAAGGTGGCACTTTCCGCAGTACTGACGGTTGTGCATGGCAGCCATGAAGACACCGGCACCACACTATTGAATGATTAGTATTTGCCTCGAAACACCGGAAAGCCGAGAATACGGTAACATACCTCAGGGGTAGGGCATTCACGGCGGAGACGCTCAATCTTTCCATCGCCATCAACTTTGTAGTACTTGAGCACAGCGAGCTTGGTCTTCTTGCGCTTGTGCTTGATCTTCTTGGGGGTGGTGTAGACCTTCTTCTTGCGCTTCTTACCACCACCACGGAGACGGAGGACCAAGTGAAGGGTCGACTCCTTCTGGATGTTGTAGTCGGAAAGGGTGCGGCCGTCTTCGAGCTGCTTTCCGGCGAAAATCAGACGTTGCTGGTCAGGGGGGATACCCTCCTTGTCTTGGTAAATGTTAGTCGATGTTATGAGAATACGATCGAGGAAGTTTCAAGACAGCTGCGTACCCTGGATCTTGGACTTGACATTGTCAATGGTATCGGAAGACTCCACCTCAAGGGTGATAGTCTTACCCGTAAGGGTCTTGACGAAGATCTGCATCTTGATGAAGGCCTGTAGTTGCACAATAGTTAGTTTTCATCATACCGCTATTGCCAAGGTCGCAGCGAATATGAAACAAGGCAACAGGTCTTCCATGATAGGAAGATGAGCATTGTTCAGAGTAGATTATAATGATATATACTGGGGCCTAACACACCTCGACAAGTTGTCTTCCTCAACCTTCAGTGCGGATCGTTAATGAACAAAATTTAATGGTAAGCGGGCCAAGTCGAGATAAAATGATTGTGTGGTCACGTGGGATGACCCTCTCGGATGAGTCGGATCATCTCTCGCCGGTTGCCGATTGAATAGATCACGTGATTTATTTTCGCGATCCATTGATGCCTGAGATCACAGGCAGAAAGTGCTCCATAAACCGCCCAAAATTATTCGAGGACCCCATCTTGACTACGCCCCTCGCAGCTGCTCAGAAGGAATATATTTTACAGAAGCTAAACAGAATTACTTGAGCAAGTGGAGATTACTGTCTAAGAGCCTATAATGTCACCTGGTCATATTTCCATCACACAATTATTGCTTGCAAAGTCGACGAAGGGAGCTCTTGGCGGCTGAGGTGAAGTCATCAGCCCTGTAAACCGGAGATGGAAGACGCAAGGACGACGATCCACAGTGCGAACTTGCCTGTTAGTCTCATCGTAGGCCTGGCCTCAATCAAGGACGTGTGAACTCCTTTGGTTAGCGGCCCGTAGTGGGATGAGCCCTGTGAGGAGCCCGAGGAAACAGCTCCGTCGCCGCGGCAACCGTTCCATTGTTGACGCAAGTACATCTCCCCCCACGGTAGCTCGAGGAACCTCATACATATCCACACCTTACTCTCTCCATCTGTCTAGTATCACTTTCAATACTTGCAGCTTAGCCGCAATTATTGTTACTGAAAACCCTCCCAACTACTATATCTTCTACTTATCTTTACTAGAAACATAAGACCTTCACTACCCTAGAGGACATCCTCCGGGGAAGGCTAAGTTTCTAGCGTTTTTGTGCTTTTTATTTGGCAAGATCGGAAGCTGACCAAGCCAAGATTCCTTTAGGAAACGCAAGGACGGGTTCGAGTCCGAAAGCCTCAAGGCTCAAGTCAGAAAACATTGCGAGAATTATACATATCTGCTTGCTTGAACTGTTGGCAGAGAATCAATTGACTTCGGCGGCACTCCGCCTGCTTTTCGTTGTGTGAAGGTCCGTATCAATTCAGCAACTTAGAGACAGCAATCTGACGTGATCTTGACAGGATCCAATTTTAGCAATTGAGACGCTTAGCGTATATCCATCAATATATCAACCATGCTTGTCAGTTCACCGGCCGGTATGCAGAGGCATCAACGCCAACACCGGCGACAAAACTCAATCCCAGTTGCTCTGGAGGCAGCTAAAGTCCCACTACTCCCAACCGCTGCTATGCTGCAACGTTACTCAATGCATAAACGAGGGACGAGTCTGGGTCAGCCTGCCAATCTGCAACCATCAATGACAAGTCAGAACCAATATACGAACACCTTACGCGAACAACAACAAACAAGTCAACTCAACCAGCAGTCCTACTTTGACGAGCCTCAACACCAACAATTATCTAATGCAGATAGCCAACGACTTGAGACAAGAGGTTTAAACGTTTATACTAACCAATATAGCAATGAAAATTCTCCGGTAAATGATTGCATGAGCTCTGGAGGGCTGAACATCAAAACAGCAAATACAAAGGGCCGTCGACTTAAGCCTGCTCTTCAGCCTATCCAGCAACATCCACAACGTCAACAACAATGCATTCAAGAAACCATAACACTTACCACTGGACTCGACAATCAGCTCATCGGAGACGGAACATGGAATCCGTATATAGTCAACCAATCCATGCTAGCTCAAATGTACGACCTTAGGCGTGCGTCTGTTCAATCGGATATATCTCAGCAGTCGTACATCCCGTCAACGCCACCGAAACAGGTGCAGTCCAGTATGTTTATCAGACGCAGGGCTGCGGGTTACCATTGCTAATATGATATTAGATTACGTGCCAATTACTCCGGATACAACACCTTTTCGCCGAGGTACAGAGTTTGCTCCGTTTATGCAAAACTTCCACACATCGCCTGTCAAGAATATAGTCTACCAGGCGCAACAGCCTATTTATATGCAGAGAACCAAATCACTCCAAGGAGTCCCAGGAAGCAACTATGCTGAGCCCAAGATCGATGTTCCTTCCCCCCCTAATACTGCCCCCGTTGACTATGATTGTTATGATTTGCTTACTTCACAGGAGAGTGATTTCGAAAGTACAGAGTTCCAACTCGTATCCAAGAGCATGTCTATCAAATCGGAGGATCAAGAAGCATACAACACACAAATACTTTCCGCCACCCACTCATTCCAGTCGTCCCCTGAGATAGCATATATGCCGCTACCATCAAGTCCAACCAAGCCGGCCAAAGTTCCCATCAGCACGGTTACTCCGTCAAAATCAAGCCCAACTGGATCGGGCAGTCAGACACCGGATTTGTCGCCAAACAAACCTAAACTGTCTCCTAAAGTCGCTTCTATCGATAGCCTCAATCTCGATTCCCGTGTCCAAGCTTCTATTACGGAGACAGGGATCACCATTGATGAGATTGCAGCTTACATTTCCGGACCTGATCCCGTTGACGGGAAATGGGTTTGCATTCACCCGGGCTGTGACAGACGCTTTGGAAGAAAAGAAAACATCAAGTCTCACATCCAAACACACCTTGGTGACCGACAATACAAGTGTGATCATTGTGATAAATGTTTCGTCAGAGGCCACGATCTCAAACGTCATGCAAAGATACACACTGGCGACAAGCCTTATGAATGTCTCTGTGGCAATGTGTTTGCGCGACATGATGCCTTGACTCGTCATCGACAACGGGGTATGTGCATCGGAGGTTACAAAGGTGTTGTTCGAAAAACAACAAAGCGTGGACGCCCCAAGAAGAGTCGCCCAGATATGGAGGAACGACAAGATAAAGCCGCCCGAACACGCGAGAGGATCTCTGCAAGATCCGGTACCATGTCTGTATCCGGCTCTGATAGCTCGTGTAGCACGCCACCTTCTGATGGATTCGAGAGCATGAGCATCCAAGCGTCAAGTCCCTTGGAAGACATGGCCATGTTTCAGTCAGGAGACTACTGCTTGCCATCTGAGGTATTTTCTCGCACACCTCCGGCGTCTCCAGGGTACAGTACTGGCCATAATTCTTCGCCAGCGCAGACCTCCCGTTCTCACAGCCCTTTGAGTGATGTCGGATCAATGTCTCGTACTTCATCCAGGCATCCTCTTGAGGACATCGCCGAAGAGATGCCTGATCTCCCACCAATCTCAGAAGCAGCCGGTTGCTTTGATCCAGAGCCAGAAAGCTCGATGCAAACAGATCTTTCTTCGTCTTCAATGGTGCCAGCTTTGACACACTCGACAGCTGGATCTGAGATTGACATCTTCATCAACAACAATTCTAGCTTTTCAGACTTTGGCCAGGAATCAGGAATCTCAAATGATATGGATCTCTTCTCTGGCAAATCAGTTGGCGTGAACGACAACGATTTCTTCTTGGACTTCAACGATGATCATACGACCGATTCTTTCTTCCAATGAGTGCTTCGGCATATTATTTCCTTTGTTACAAGAAGTTACTCATGCTCTCTTCCCACTCTATCATCTTGGATTGGGTATTACGACTCTTTTTACGAACCGCAACGATTTTCCTATTTCTTCGGATCCCCCTAACGCGACCATCGATAGACATGCTCTTGGACGGAACGATATTTTTAATGAAACTGTACAACATTCGATTCACCTCTAGTGTGTAACATCATGACTATCTTGTGGACGGAAAAGCGATAGTGTTTTGATTTTTTATTATATCTCTTTTCTGTTTCCGATTTCATGATATGGATGTATTTCCGCTCTGATCATGTCTATTAATCAGAGAGGACTTGTCATGTACTGCCGGAATGATGCTTATGAATTTTGCTTTTTGTTCGTGCTTATTTTTCTTCTCTTGTTTTCTTCACGTGGAGTTTCTTATCTGTCAGCTTCCTGGGACCAACTATACCGATTGATTTCTTTCTTGTCACGTTATTTTCCAAACGATTGTGTGTTTCTTTCAGGAGCTTGCGACTATGCCTCAGATAACTAGGCTAGCATTGAATGGATTAATAGATTGTTCCAACTTCTAACCATTTTACTGTATACTTCGAGCTAGAGGTCCTATTATGTCTCCGCGGGGCCTCCAAGTGTTTACATTTCAATGTAGCCATTCATTCATCTATATCAGAAAAGCTTCTAGCGTATACAAAACTATCGATGCATCAAAAAGAACGCTCTGTATGTATATATACCTTGACCTCATGTCTCAAACCAAGTAATATTCAACTCAATAGCATGCTCATTATCACCTCCATGGGCAAAGACTTTACTTTGTACGTGACCTTTGGGAGCTTTATCGGCGAAGAAAGTAGTGCTTCCGTTGTATGTTAGCTGGTTGTTATCGGATATCTAATTCGATATCTAAGTTAGCTGATTTCTTTCCTTTTCATTCCTTTTCTTGTGTATTTTTTGTGCAGAGAGAGCGGCAGATCTTACTTCGAATAGAGCTGGTACACGAATTTGATGGCCGCACGTAAAAACATCCTTTACGAACCCACAGGGTCCTCTACGGGTTTGGACATTAAAGCCACCTGAAAACATGAACAATTAATATTATGCCCAACAGGAGTGGAATGAGATGAGCATACCAGTGACTTTTGTTGCTTTGAATGTCGCGCAGGTACCTGACGTAAACCACGTACCATGGCTGATGAGACAGCCACGTTGTTGTTGATCACCCGTATAGACGCGCAGATTTCCTCGACGGGGCTCTACAGGGCCCGTTGGCTCGGGTTGTCCAGGAGGACGAGTGGTCGTAGGATGAGGTCTATGAGGCAGAGCTGAGCGTTTTGGGATATAGCGAATACCGGAGCTAGGACAGTTTGATCCCCCTCCAACTGAAAGATGTTAGTCACTTCTTCTATCAAAAGATGTATGATATGTGCACGTACCTGCATCAGCTGGCTCAAAGGTTCCGGTCTGTAGGCGTCCAGCAACATGATAATGATACCAGATCTCATTGAAAGCTTTTCCGTGACACCTTATAGTAACTCGCGCACCATGAGCATCGTTAAGAGCCTTTTCAATATCCGCCTTTCTGTACGTCTGATCATGTGACGGTACTATACCGGCGTCTACTAGGGTCTGAGTAGGAAACAATCAGTCTAGTCTCCGTCGAGAAGGAGATTGGACAAACCTGATAAGAAGGCAAGCTCTTGAACAAATCCACAGCCTTGTCAAAGTAATCCACCACCTCCTGTTGGGGAATGTAATCAGAATAACACTTCGTTTCAAGTGTACTTATGCATGTGCCGTGCTTATTCCACTCGTGCTCCCATAAATTGGCGTCATCGCCGCGAAAGTCTTTCCAATACTCGCTCATATATTCGAGTAAATCACCACGGCCGGAGTCAACTAAGATCAATGAGATATTGCTATACCGCCTGTGAGAATCACAGTATTGGTCAAATCCACCGTCACAGTGATCTGGCCTACATAAATCATTTAGCCTGCTGAAGCGCGTCAAGTGTAGAAGGTATGTAAACATACCACAATCCATGTATCGTCCACGAATCATTGGGACCAATAGCCGGATCAGCGTCCCAGAACTGGGTTTGGAGGAAATGACCTCCGGGATAGTTGAAGCAGCATGTATCTTGACTATCGTACTTGGTTTGACAGCTCAACTCTGGTTTTGGACATGATGAGAATTTACTGGGTGTCAGGTTTGGATTCTCTGAGCTCAAGAATGGGAGCGTTCCTGCTGTTATGGCCTTTAGGATCTGTTGCGGGTTCGGGATGTATTGCGAAAAAGGTACGAGCTCCATCCTCTGAATTTTTGGGATGCGAAGCTTCAGTGGGCGTCAATATGGTAGTGATAGTGAGAAATAAAGATGAAAGAGATGGATAATCCTGTGCTGCAGGTACAGTTGTTCGTTGAGTCAGTCACCTGGCGAGTTGAAACGCTATGGTTGGTTATCTATGTGAGGCGCATGACCTCCCGGGGTGCCTGAAGCCTAAGGAATCAACTATGACTCCTGGGTGTCGACCAGCCTGTGTAATGCACTTTCTTTTCATGGCAGTTATTGGTTATTGATAAAATTGAGTATCACATAAATGAGTTATAGAAAACATGAAGTTACAATACGGAGCTATCGGGCATATGTTCTAGTCTCTATACACGCGACGAGATGTCTATTAAGTCTAAGTAGAACAAGAGTCGGGTCTTCTCGTTTCTACTAATTTGTTCCATTTTGCTGAGAGGGGTATCTTAATAGCGTAGTTCGTAAATAGAGGTACATTGATCACTATATATACACAGATCAGTTTGTCACTGATTTCTTCTCTTTGCTTTCGTCCTCGCGTTCCTTCCAGAGCCTGAGAACTTCAAACCCGACTTCCACCGCGATCAAGAGAATTATGATCCATTCAAGGCGTAACCCGTGTGTTTCACTGAGTCTTTCGCGAAGGACATTGGCAATGTCTTGTGCGTAGTCCATCCTTTCATTCAAGACCTTTATGCGGATCCCAACATCCAATGCTCTGCCCGCCTCCTCATAATACCCTTCAAGACCAAGCTCGTGTCGACTGTCCCAAAAGATGTCAGGTAAAGAATCAGTCAGTTCTGAGTAGATGTTCAGCTGCGCTCGGACGCTGAGTAGTTGCCCGGTTTTTCGGAGAATGAAATCTCTTGTATATGGTAGTCGCGAGCCCTGTGACAGCAGAGTTGGAATGTTCCGCGTCGATTCAAAATAGTCAGAGAGTAAACTCTCCAGCACGGCAAGCTTCGTGCTGCGCGCCAGTCCTGATGAGAACGCAATTTTGGTCAAAACCGTATCTACAGATTGGCGGTTGGAACCACTCGGCTCAGGACCATCACTAGATTTGGTACCAAGTATGATAGTATCCCCCTTAATGCAGCTGCTTTCTCGCTGAGGATCCTCAATAAACTCCATATTTTCTGTCTCGAGGTTATCTGTATGCGGATTTTCTGCTGCGGGGAGCAATGTCCTGGACGCTAGATACGAAGTAAACCCTTCTGGAAGCGACCAGGCCACAACAGTCCCCGAGGGAAATACAAACACATCACCAGTCTCGTCAGATCCCAAATTGTTGGCTTCCGGATTTGTCATACGCCGAACCGAGTCGATGGGAACTTGTATGTGAACCACTTGAGGGTAAAGGCCCGTGTCGAAGGGATCCGGTTCGTAGCCTTTTTCTTGTAGAATATCCTTGACTTTGCCTATATTGAACTGCTCAGCAACTGCGTATGCTGTGACCGTCTAAAAGAGATTAGCATTGACCAAACACCGTAGGTCACGGACCATACCTTGAGTTCACCCAATCCCTTTTCCAAAAGATGCGTCCTCGAGAGAATCCCACTCCTCGTACGTTGTGCCTCTACTGCAACCCGGCGAAGCGATGAGTTGGCAGCTGGCGAACGAGCTAGTTTTCGTCGTTGTGATTGACTTCCGGATGATCCAGTATCTTTCTCAGTTGGTGGTTCTGTCGCGCCATGTTTCTGCGAGAATCGAGCATTCAGAGAGAAGAGACCTCTTTGTAAACCTGGGCCAAGCAAAGGTCCTACACGCGGAGGATGATGTAAAGACTGTATTGTAACCCGACGGCATGCTAGGCATATATAAGACAGGCCGACATGACGTGAAAAGGTCTGGACGATGCCAGGTTTTGTCGAGTATTGGTTGAGAACGTTCATCAGGAGAAAACGCAGCAATTGAGAATGTTATTAATATGGGAGATCAGCGAGTTCATCCCGAATTGCGATATCATAACCTATTCACAGAGGGCGATGTGAGAAGGAGGATTGTTCCACGAAAGATTGCGGCGGGTCTTCAAGGCTCAAGCTTCCTTCCTGCCGAATCCACAGCGTCATTTCGCATGAGATGCTTAGTCATCATCCCATCGTAGTTACCCCAACGGAGCTCCGCATTCGCTAGAAGTTACAGCTCCCTACGCGCTCACCTGGCGCTAAGCATGGATCTACCAGGTGCTGCTGAGGGCAGTAATGATGCCGATACATTGAAAATCCAGTCACCATCCGCCGAATCTTCGTCCCGCCTCGCCGCAGACGATTCCTCCCGCGACCAGCCTGAGGACGACCGCGATTCACGGGAGCAGGACGAGTCCGCGGATGATAATGAGGGTAATGAGGGAGACGAGGAGAATGAGGAGGAAGAGGAAGAGGAGGAGGAAGATGAGGAACCTCGATTGAAGTACGTTTACTTGACCAAGTGTCTACCGTCTCTATATCGCGGAGGAGATGCAACAAGTACGCTTCTAGTTGGAGGAGATAAGATGGTATAGTAACCGCAATTCGAGAGATTGGAATAGCTTAGATTAACTGGATTTGGTTACCTAGATTGTCGGTACACATAACGGTAACATTGTGAGTATACCTGACCTTCGATAACGGTAGTGATATGCCACTAATTCCGCTATAGCATGTTGTATCGTTACCGACGCTCAAAGCTCTTCGTGTTTATACCGCACATTCTGCAAGCGTGACTTCTGTTTCGATATCGCCGCTATTATTGTCTCATACTATAACACGACACAATCTGATTAACAGATCTTTCGAGGAAGATGACGTCCCATCTCCGAATGCGTCTCTACGATCGAAGGGCAAGCCTGCACACGCAGCCGGACTTCCACCAACGGCCCTGAACTCTATACATATAGCTACCTCATCCATTGACGGAAACGTCTGCGTGTATTCGTTACTGGATCCGAAGGATGTCCTTCTCCGAAACTTCGGCCGACCTGTCCAAGCTGTGGCATTGTCCCCAGAGTACAAGAGTGACCGACAATATCTTTCAGGAGGGCGTGCTGGACAGCTGATTCTTACTGTCGGAGGCCGGCCAGGTACAACAGAAAAGTCTACAACATTAAACGGCGCGGCTTCAGCAGCTGGGTGGCTAGGATCGTTGGGCTTAGGTGCCAATTCCGGAAAAGATACCGTTTTACATAGTGGTGAAGGAGCAATCAACACCATAAAATGGTCACTTTCCGGAAAATATGTGGCTTGGGTCAATGAAGAAGGCATTAAAATCATGCGATCGAATCTACATCTGGAGGCAGCCGACGCAGAATTTGCATGGACAAGGATAAGACACATAGACAGACCGAATCGACCGCAGTGGGAAGAAATGGCCAGTGTTTGGAAAGCGCACGCCGAATGGGTTGATATGAAAGCCTTTGAGATCTCCGAAAATAGCGACGCCGAGTCTATCTCAAGACAGCAAAGTGCTAGTGGAGTATCAGAAGTCGAGAAACTTGTAGTAGGCTGGGGCGGCACGATCTGGGTTATCAACGTATACCCAGATCGCACGTCACCTCCTGGAACACGAGCAGGGAATCGAAAACTCGGAGACGCCGAGGTGGTCACAATGTACGTATTTAGTCAACTCGTTTCTTACTTGCAGCGTGTTTTGAAACTAATACACCAAGAAGTCTACGAACCGACTCCATCATTTCAGGTGTCGCCATGTACAGTCCAAGACTTCTACTTGTTTTAGCATACCTCGAAAGCGACAATAGTGATCTTGAGGAGCAACCACAGAGTAGTCGTCGACATAAAGCAGCTGAACCTGAACTTCGCCTTATAGATCTCGAAACCCAGGAGGAAGTCAGTGCTGATACGCTCTCAATTACTCGGTATCAAAACCTTGCTTCATCCGATTATCATATGAGCATTCTGAGACCTCCCCGCTTAACAGCAGCCACTGTACAGCGCGGTGCTTTGGGCACTTTAGGCACCGGTCTTCTGGACGCAACGCTATATCCAGCTAGACTTTTCGCATCAAGTGCTAGTGTAAGAAGCAACGGAAGCAATGGCGATAGAGGCTCTGAAAGAGTTGCTGGGTCGTTCATCTCTGGCTCCATTTCGGGAGTTTCCACAATTCCGAAAGAGATTCAGACTCTCTCAGCGGCTAAAGGCCTCAAGGTCTTTGTTCATAGTCCATATGACTGCATCGCAGCCATGTCAAGAGATTTAACGGATCGTCTTGCGTGGCTGGAATCACACCAAAAGTACGAAGAAGCGTGGGCTCTCATCGATCAGAATCCGGGTGTTCTAAATCCCCCAGCTGAACAACAAACCGAAGCTTTTGTGAGATCTCAGACCAGCCTGGCGGATTTCTTTGCCGATGACAGTTCTTCGGTCGTGACAGCAGGTCAACCATTGAGTGCGACTGTTAGAAATGAAAAAAGCCGTATTGGAGAACTTTGGATTGAGCAGCACATACAAAACAATGGGTGGGTTACTGCTGGAGAAATCTGCGCTAAAGTTCTCGACGTCCCAGATAGGTGGGAGCACTGGATCTGGAAATTTGTTGAAGCCGGGAAGTATGACGAAGTCGCCCAGTATATTCCGATAAATACCCGACCTCCTCTTTCATCAGCTATCTTCGATGCTTTCCTCGAACATTATGTGTCCCATAATCGTCAGACGTTCGAACATTTGCTATCTCAATGGCCGCCAGAACTTTTTGATATTACGAAAGCAATCTCTACCATTGAAGACTGCTTAGAGTCGGAGAGAATACCAGCTGATTCGAACGATTGGCGGATTTTAATGGGGAGCCTTGGAAAGCTGTTCCTGGCTAATGGGCAGCACCGGGAAGCTTTGCGGTGTTACATCCGGCTACAAGATGCTGAGGAAGCCCTTCGTCTTATAAGTGAATATCGTTTGGCAGATGCTATTTCTGACGATGTTCTTAACTTCATACTTCTTCGCGTTTCAAAATATCAGTGGGCGAAAGCTCCGATCTCTGAATTGGAGCAAGTGACTGCAGAATCTATTAGTATCCTAGTCAGAGAAGCATACAACGGTATTGTTCGCCCAGGAACGGTTGTTTCACAATTGTACACCTCATCTGGGCGCCTATACCTTTTCTTCTATCTTCGCGCACTGTGGAAAGGTGAATCTCACCCATCAAAAGCGGAAGCAAAGCCTCAGCTCCGTGGACGCGGTCGCCATGCCAGAGACGCAGCCGAAAAGCTTGCCGCGGATGAAGGCAAAAGTCTTGTTGAACCATTCGCAGACATTACGTTGGATCTTTTTGCCGACTATGATAGGCAACTGCTCATGGATTTTCTGCAAGCGAGTACAGCTTACTCGTTCGGTGAGGCTTGCAGGATCTGCGAAGAGAAGCACTACACGTCAGAACTTATATACCTTCTGTCTAAGACTGGGCAAACAAAGCGAGCTCTTAACCTCATACTTTCTGACTTGAACGATGTCTCTCAAGCAATCAACTTTGCGAAGTCGCAAGACGATCCTGACCTATGGGAGGATCTGCTCAGTTATTCAATGGACAAGCCCGCCTTCATACATGCCTTGCTTACCGAAGCTGGCACATCTATTGACCCAATCAAACTCGTCAGGCGTATTCCGAGTGGTTTGGAGATCGAAGGGCTCCGGGATGGACTTACTAGATTACTTCGAGATCACGACATCCAGGCTAGTATCAGTCAAGGGGCAGCGAAGGTGCTTCAGGGTGAAGTTGCTATCGGAATGGATGCTTTAAGGCGAGGCCAACGGCGTGGAATCAAGTTTGATGTTCACAAGCAATCTAATGATGAAAATGAGCCAGAAATGACAGCTGACACTGAAGATTCTGGCGAAGTTGCGCATGAATCTGAGAACGATGAGGGTCTTTCAAGTACAACTGGCCAGTCTAGCAGGTTTCATCGTGTTGCACCCGGTCAATGCGGAGGCTGCTTGCAGGCCTTTCATGAGAATGGTAAGTTGGGGCACTATTTACGGAAAATTGGTGTGGAAGCATGTTTCTAATGATATTATGTGTTGCAGAGAAGGAAATATTAGTGGGATTCGCATGCGGCCATGTGTTCCACCTGTCTCACGTTCAAGAACCGGCTCACACCCATGATAACGAATCGACGAATATCAACGAGACAACACCTACACCTCCGGCGGAAGATGATATTGAGGACTCTCAACTTTATACGACGTCTCGCACAGTTGGACCCAAGGTCATTACTGCTCGACTAATACGAGATAAAATTGGAGATGGATGTAGGATATGCGCATTGAATAGGCAAGTAGCTAACGCAGCAGCTCCTGAAAACACGTAGCCTATGAGTCTATTCACCGAAATTGATCATGCTTCGTTTGATTCGCGATGAGATTATTTTTGGCTTGCAATCTACATCATGCGTTTGTTACCCGTTTCGTTTCGTTGCACTGATACCCATTCTACACAAGTCGCAGAAGGAGTAATTCTGTATTTTACTTTTATGCATATTACAATCCACTCTGGAGGAGTCTTCAATGTTGTTGCGATATTACCACAATGAACAGATTTGTACATTTATGACACTGGGACGTTTCACAGGAGGTATGACAGCTCAGCCCTAATCAGATCTCCGGATCTCGATAAGCATTCCGATTCGCCCCGCACAGTCCATGAGCAAGGTACGAATCCTGCTTGAGATAAGAATCGTTCCATTCGAATAACGAGATATAACAATCCGTTCCCTTGCACTTTGATTCTGAGAATGTTCGACTTTACAGTCTACGTGGTTTACATCCTTTGCTGCGATACAAGAAGAGCTTGATGATGTCATCTCCCAGCAGCGCTATTATTGGCTCTGAATCCCTAATGGCGCCATCGCGGGGATTTTTTTCAGAGGTTCAACTCTCACCGACCCTAAGAGAAATGATCTTATAAATGCGATCGTCAATTCTCCTTTATTTTGCTCTCATAGACCTGCATTGATTTCTGATTGAGTGTCATTCTCTTCTTCGATTGATTTAGAGTCATTTTACTGTCTGCTGAATATGGCGCAATTCTCGGATCGCGCAGAGGAAGTGCGCAATGTACGTTGACAAGCACTTGGCCTTATATCACTTACTCTAACCTCTCACCGAGATTTGCAAGTATTTGACTAACGGCTATTCTTGATATAGTTACTCGGGGCCGTACAGGACTTGCTCATTCCCTTCATAAGTTCAGCAGACTCTACCCCAACTTCAAACGGGGACTCCGCAAATGGCATACATACCGATATCAATACGCCAAGTACTTCCCTTGTCGATTATAAGAGTCCTGAGGAGCTCCGGAAGATTTTGAAGCTTGATTTGCCTTCTTCCGGGCAAGGACAGGAAGGTCTTCTCCAGGCACTTCAGCAAGTACTACGTTACTCGGTGAACACCTGGCACCAGGGGTTTCTAGACAAGCTATATGCTTCCACGAATGCTCCAGGAGTAGCTGCAGAACTCATTCTCGCCGCTCTCAATACAAACGTCCATGTATATCAAGTTTCGCCTGTCCTCACCCTGATCGAAAAACACACGGCAAAGCAATTGGCATTGTTATTCGGTCTCAATGGACCTCACTCCGGCGGAATCTCCGTCCAAGGTGGATCAGCATCAAATACCACCTCTATTGTGATAGCAAGAAACGTACTATATCCCAAAGCCAAGACTGAGGGTAATGGTAATTATCGATTCGTCATTTTCACTAGCGGTCATGGCCATTACAGCATCGAGAAAGCAGCCCAGATGCTTGGACTCGGAAGTAGTGCTGTCTGGGCCGTGCCTATTGACAATCAAGGTCGCATGATTTCCTCAGAACTAGAAAATCTGATAGAAAAGGCCAAATCCGAAGGCCGAACGCCATTCTATGTCAACGCTACTGCTGGTACTACCGTTTTGGGATCCTTTGATCCATTTCACGAAATCGCGGCTATTTGCAAGAAATACAACCTCTGGTTCCACATTGATGGGTCATGGGGTGGATCATTTATCTTCTCTGCCCGTCAGAAGCACAAGCTTTCTGGGGCAGAAAAAGCTAATAGTATTGCTATCAATCCGCATAAGATGCTTGGTGTGCCTGTAACTTGTTCATTCTTATTGGCGGCAGATATCCGTCAATTTCACCGTGCAAATACCCTCCCTGCTGGATATCTGTTCCATAATAACCCAGAATTAGAACAAACCAATGGTTACCTCCATGAAGATCCAGCTACCGATTTGCAGGTTGATTCACCTGAAGTCTGGGACCTGGCAGATTTGACCCTCCAATGTGGCCGTCGAGCCGACTCACTCAAATTGTTTTTGAGTTGGACATATTATGGATCACAAGGCTATGAACGCCGTATAGATGAAGCCACTGATGTGGCCGCACATCTGGCAACCCTCATTGACAATCACCCTGATTTCGTTCTCGTCAGTGAGAATCCTCCACCATGTCTTCAAGTTTGCTTCTACTATGCACCCGGCAAGCGTTTTGCGTGCGAAGCCGATGGCTCAATCGATTCGGACAATGTGCACGCCGCGAAAAATAGCAGAGTGACTGAAGAAGTTACCCGCGCAATCGTAAGCAAAGGCTATATGGTTGATTATGCACCTCCTTCCGGCGATGACGTTGATCTTAGAGGAAAAGGAAAGTTCTTCCGTTGCGTTGTGAATATCTCGACTGAGAGGCGGACGGTTGAGGGTTTAATTCGTGCCATTGAGGATGTTGGTCCGGCAGTAATCAAGAAGCTGAAACTTGATTCAACCGCTTAGTATATACCAATAATGACGTGTTAATCCACGTCCACCACTTTACATAGAGTCTTCATGTATCTAGACATAGACATTTTCAGAAAATAAATTTGCATTTGGCCTTAAGATGTACGATACCAAATATTATTGATGCTGGAACTTGCATAAAGCGTGACATCCATGAATTTTTATATTCTTCAATTCTTCGCAGGATATGACGCTTTATCTACTACCTAGGTATAAATGGATATGTATAAATTAGATAGATAGGGTATCTGTGCTTAACTGCGGATTTCGACTCGTTTTTCCAGTACTGCTCTCGCTTCCGCCTCAGTCAATGTTTCGATTTCCAGCTCGTTTAGAACTTCGCGAGCGCTTTCATTATTGACGAACAGTCTCCTTTCCACTTCCCATAGCCCTAACTCGATTTCATGGAACTCGCTGATCTCATCTCGTTTGGTGGTGGTGGTGGTGCTCTGGGGTTTTATTCTGAGACCTAGGAGGACCAGAACCTCGTTAAGTTTTCGCATGACTCGACTTGCTTCCCCTTGATAAGCTGCCGGTGAGGGATGGTGTGCGAGAGCACTATCAATGACTCCACATAGATGATCGATATCACTCGTAAGCTGGGACACGCCGGCGGCGGAGAAAGAATGACGCAAGATCACATTATCCAGGATAAAGCTTTGCAAGGATAGAAGGACTTGTCTGTTGATCCTCCTCAAAGGAGCCGTACCTAAGGCGCGGGCAAGGAAGGAGAGATTAGAGGAGATAATGCGAACTGTAGGGGTAAGCTCAGAGGTAAGCGGGTGAGGATAGCTTGCTGAAGGGGAGGAAAGTGAAGACCACATTGACACACGAGAGTATGGCCGGAGAGAAGAGTGGACTTCGGATGAGAATGTGGATACTATGATGCTTTCGGAGCGTAACCTGAGGCGGCGATATGCTGATGCTGTTTCGTCAAATAATGCGCCCTCAGAGCTTCGGCCTTGGCTAGTCTCAGCAACCGCCTGAGATGTTCTTTGAGCGACTTCGGCCACTGACATTAGGCCTACAACATTCTCTCCGTCGCCTTGATTTCGTCGGACTCGATCTTGCAACTCGTACCACAAGTCAAGAAAGAAGACATCATCACTCCAATCTTGCATCTTCTTCTCTAGGTACTCCGCACTTCCGAAGATTCGACACAGTCGATCGAGGCCAGCCACTCCTTCCAGATTCCCTTGATCACCACCTTGTACAGTACGTCCAATAGTGGAGGTCATTGCGAGGTAGGCCTCCAATCCAGAGTGCAAACGTTCGTGGAACTGATCAAATATAGTGATTTGAATATCGATCAAAAATCGTAGTTTCTGGCTGAATGAGGACAGTGGTCTATACAGATCTGTTATCGTTTCAAGGAGGTCGTTAACCCTAATGGCAGCACTCGTTGGTTTCGTGGCATTGGCATCAACGCCATCATAGTCAATTTGTCCGCTTTCAGGGGCATCAATGATATCCCTGTATCGAGACAAAGCAAACTCTTTCTCCACTTGGAGCCACCGTTCAAACCAGTTCTGTTGGGTAAGGATCTCCGACGCGAGTCCCTTCCAGTTCTCAGTCGAATAAGGATTCGGAAGATAATTCCACGTTTGTCGAAGGTCATCATCAAATTTCATGAGCTCGTGAACAAAATGACTGAGTAGTTGTGGGCTTGTCTCAACTTGTGGAAGGAACGAAGCAATTTTTCCTCTGAGCATGGGAAGAAGAGACATGATGAAGGCATTATTTGCACTCAGAAAATGCCATTTCAACCCTTCGTCGACGATGTCGGCTCGTCGATCTAGTATAGGCTGTAAATATGTCGTGAAAACCCCAATGTAGGTACTTATCAGGTCCGAAATATGCGACAAGAAATACTCCGGCTTTCATTATGTCAGTTTCTGGACTTCTAAGATATCTTTAGCAACTTACCTTATCAAGTCTATTGGTTGGTTTAGCGCCGCTGAAATGATACTTGAAGCGGAGCTCCAGTGGATGCACCATAATTTCCAGTGGCAAAAGCACTTGTACATCTTCATCGAGGAAGGATGTAGATGATTCGGAGTAGGATTTTAAGTCACTACAAAATAATATGCACGAGTAAGTAAGCCGCCATCGGTGGTCAATATGTTAGTCGGTAACACATACGGTTCTTGTAGGTCAAGCAATAAGTCGACACTTGTTGCCCATTCTTGCACGAAACCATCGTTAAGCACCAGTTCCCTGCTGGGCCACTTCAGCTTATCAAGTGTCTTCTGTAATCGGCTACTGAGTCGATCCTGTAGCTGCTTCTTCACCGAATTCGCAAGCTGTTCCGCATGGTCAACAAGGTGAGGAGCAGCGCCCTCCGCAGCGACCTGAGCTGTCTGTAACGACGTGGAGATAATTCGCAGGGATTTATACGGAGGTATCGCGGATGCTGGGGCACTATCCACATGTTCCAATGCATTCTTACTAGAGCGTTGTCAACCGGAGCTCACTGTCAACATATAAGCGGTTAAATTACCTTAATGTCTCTATTTCCTGCAATTGTGATAGATAACCCTTCGCGATATCTAGTCTTTGAAGTTTTTCCATACTCGATTCAAATATACGCACAGCTTCGTCGCTGGTTTCGGAATGGGTGATAATCATTAGACGCCGGTCGATATCTGCTTGTTCACGATTGAACGTCTCAATTTGCTTTCGAACCGCATCGCGATGATCGTTAGAGGCTTTCGTAGCATCTTCAAGTGCCTCCTGCGCTTCCACCAGCTGTGAAGTGTAAGCCTTATGTCTGATGTCCTGTGTTGATATGGTGGTTGGTCGCATACCTGCTTGCGTTGCAACTCATGCTGTGTACGAAGAGTCTGTAGCAGCGAGTCCAAGCTCTCGAGGTCCTCTTCGGACTGCAGTTTATCATTCAGATAGTCTTCTACCCGAGCATGCTCCTGCGAGGACAGTAAAGTGAGTTGCGCAGCCATTGTAACTGTGTTGTGTGGGGAAGAAGTGGCTACTCTGTTCACTCAGCAATTGTTGTTGGGCTACTTATGACGTGTGGAGTCGCGGGAGCTTAAGCTCCAGGCTTCTCTACCCTGTGCATTAACTTGACTTCCAACTTGCCATCATAACTTCTATAGATGGGCATAAATGTCATCAGTATTTTCAGCAGAAGTACATATCTAGATGGCCTGTCGTGAATATGCCGAGTCCAGCAAAAAAGAGAAAGATCAACGGATCGACTTCTATGCGGAGTATTGAATCATTCTTTTCCGCTCAAAATGCGCAGCCAGCAACGAAATCGGAACTGAGCACGGCAATCATCGAAGACAATAAGGAATTTTTGACGGATGAAGAGCTTGCTCGGAAGTTGCAAGATGAATGGAATCAAGTTGATCAAGCGCCAGCCTCAGAGTCTATCCAGGTTACAGCGGAAGAAAGCAATCAGCCAAGCAAAGTACTAGATGAACCGCAATCGCCGCCCGTCAAGTTGACAGAAATTGCGAGACAGACACAAAACTCAACTTCACGTATACTTCAGAAAGATACATTGAGTTTACAATCATCCCTGGGTTCGGAAGACACAATCGTCTCGAGCATTCCCCTTGATGAAAGCCCATTGACTTTCGACCCTGCCAAATACCTACCTGAGCTCCAGAAACACTGGAAGCAGGACGGAGGTGATGCTTCTTATGCACTTTTAACGCATGCCTTCATACTCGTTAACAGCACGACGAAACGAATCAAAATAGTTGATACACTAGTCAATCTCTTGCGCATTTTGATAGAAGGCGCACCAGATAGTTTGTTACCCGCAGTGTGGCTGGCGACCAATTCTTTTGCTCCTCCTTATGAACCTGCAGAGTTAGGACTCGGGGGCTCTGTGATATCCAAAGCTTTCAAGAACATATATGGACTGAATGCCCAGGGGCTCAAGACACTGTACAACAAGCACGGCGACGCGGGAGATGTGGCCTTCGAAGCTAAGAAGCGGCAAAGCTTCACGCTTAAGAAACCGAAGCCGCTGACAATCAAAGGCGTATACCAATCATTGACCAAGATTGCAAAAAGCAAAGGGACCGGCAGTCAGGAGACTAAACAGCGAATCGTTGAAAGGCTGCTTCAGGATACTCGAAGTGCTGAAGAGTCTCGCTACATAGTACGGACTCTGGTTCAGCACTTGCGCATTGGTGCAGTTAAGACTACGATGCTAATAGCACTTGCACGAGCATTTCTATTTTCAAAACCGCCGGATGCTAAGTTTTCTACAAAAGGGATGGAGTATTTAGCGAAATTGAAAAAGGAAGAACTTACTGAAGTATACCTGAGGGCAGAAGAAACCGTCAAGGCATCTTATGCGAGACATCCAAATTATGATGACTTGGTACCATGTTTACTTGAGATCGGGGTTACAAAAGAATTGCTTGTGCGATGTGGTCTCACCCTGCACATACCTTTACGACCTATGCTAGGTAGTATCACACGGGATCTTTCAGATATGTTGACCAAACTGCAAGGACGAGACTTTGCATGTGAATATAAATACGATGGGCAACGAGCTCAGGTTCATTGTGACTCAAACGGAAAAGTTAGCATTTTCTCTCGTCACCTCGAATTGATGACGGACAAGTATCCGGACTTGGTATCTCTCGTGCCGCAGATCAGAGGAGAGTCCGTCTCCAGCTTTATTCTGGAAGGCGAAGTAGTTGCAGTGGATCAAGACACGGGCGATCTCCAGGCGTTCCAAATTCTGACGAATCGAGCGAAGAAGAATGTCGAGATTGGAAGCATCAAAGTAAATGTCTGCCTGTTTGCGTTTGACTTGATGTACCTCAATGGAGAGCCTCTCCTTGATCGGTCGTTTCGGGAGCGTCGAGATATGCTTCGAAGTCTTTTCACGGAAATACCATATCGATTTACGTGGGTGAAGAATCTAGATGCCACTTCGGCAGACTCCGAGACAGTTTTGGAATTTTTCAAGAGTGCGATAGACGTCAAATGCGAGGGCATCATGGTGAAGGTTCTCGATAACGAGATAAAACCCGGCAATGGTATTACCGACTCTGTCAATGGAAACTTCGATGAGGAACCAGCGGCGAATGAAGAAGTACAGGACAAGCAACTTTCACTAGCAGCAACGAAGAAAAAAGAGAGAAACACGCGACGTAAAGTTCTGCTCTCAACGTATGAACCTGACAAGCGACTTGAATCCTGGCTCAAAGTTAAAAAGGACTACAGTACGTCCTCGGATACTCTCGACCTGATCCCAATAGCAGCCTGGCACGGGAACGGCCGCAAAGCTAAATGGTGGTCGCCGATCCTACTTGCGGTTCGCAATCCCGAGACTGGTCTTCTCGAAGCCGTCACCAAGTGCATGTCAGGTTTCACGGACAAGTTTTACCAATCCAATAAAGAAAAATACTCTGAAAACGGTGAAAATGTCATCTCTCGACCGAGCTATATCGACTACGCTGGGCATCCAGATGTATGGTTTGAGCCACAGGAAGTCTGGGAAATGGCCTTTGCAGATATTACACTTAGCCCCACTTACACAGCTGCTATCGGTTTGGTGAGCGAGGAGAGAGGGTTGAGTCTACGTTTCCCACGATTTTTGCGTGTACGAGAGGACAAGTCCATCGACGAGGCGAGTACATCCGATTATCTAGCTTCTCTATATAGGAAACAAGTGGAACGGGCAAGGGAGGAAGAAGTGGCATTAGATCCTTCAGTGGATGACAATATCGATGACCAAGAGGAGCAGGCATATCGTGATCTGGACGAGGTTTGAGATTTGGAGTGCCAGTGTCAAGCTGAAAAGAGAAATTGATTGGTCATTGATGATTGCTGCAAGATCTAAAGGAGAGATGTCTTCAGCCAATCATTAGCTAAGATGACGCCAGTGGGGCCATAGATCTGAAATCCAGACGCGCCAAGACACGCTAAGATCGGCGATCTTAATGCGCTAGCCGTAAAAGGAAATCCTGACATACACAGTGTCGCGAAAATGACGCGCGACGCGTCGCGGTACGCGTCTTGACTTTTTGATTGACACAAGACCACCAATCTTGTACTCTAGGCTCTACACATCTGCGTCAAATTAGATTAATGACGTGGACAGTGGGTAAAAGAGGGGTTGCACATAACATAACAACCAGTTATTTTCCAATTAAGGATTTCTCCTGATTGATTGAATTGATTCAGCTTATCACTAACAGGTTTTATTGGTGGTACTCCATACAGAAGCTGGGCAAAGTTTAAAACATGATCATCATAAACATGAAATGAAAAGGCTAACCGTCATAGCGCAAAAACATATTACGTATCAGCCCTCATTCAAACATAATGAAATTTGAACATGAATGATAGACAGTAAAATCCTGGCATGAAAAGACAACCTGTCCCAGGGACACGTGTTAGAAAAGTACAGAAAGGAAAAAATCCCAGGTAGTAGAACCGGCCAAGTGATGTGTATCGATACAACAGTAATATCTCATCAGTGGAAGGACCGAGTAGGTCAAACTGAAGTAGAATGCAAATGCGCCGATTAATATGCAAAAAGAAAAAGGAAACTGCTGTGAATAGCGTATAGAATCGTAGTCAAGTCATCTCAGGCATAACAGGTACATAGTACAGGGAGTCTCGGCATAATCATGGCCGTAACTCTTCTCCTAGTTGCAGTGCAAGACCAGTATCCTTGCTATGCCCGACAGGACTATGCACATCTGGAGGGACCAGGTTGTCAAAATTCAGAGACTTCCTCGCAGTCCTTAAAAGCGGGGTCTTCGATAAACTTCCTGGAGTCCGACCTCCCCAGGGGCGCTGAGCGGGGCTGGGAGTAACATTCACAAAATCGGAAAAGTTGAATTGCTGGCTGGGAGTACCGAAATTTCCAAACAGCCCGCCCCCAGGGGTTGGAGTCATGTTCGGCAGAGCGGCATATTGGCTTGGTGGAGTTGACGGAGGAAAGTCTCTGGTTTGTGTTTTTGTATTGACTCTTGCTGGGGTAGGAGAGTTTGCTAGGAAGAGCAGTAGATCCGCACCATCCTCGTTCCCTGTATCTTTATCGGTCCTTGGCAGACGAGCTTGTCGTAGAGTAGGAGTGCGCGGCGGCGACGAGCTGACCATAGATGAGCTGACATTGCGGGCTCGAGGTACTGGAAGCTCTGGGTCGTTCTCCTCATCTGACGCCGAAAGGCCAGATGAAGGAACGTCGTAAGATGGAGGGTGATTCGAATAGATCTGCAACTGTCGTGCATGGACAGGAGAGGACTCTGGAAGATGATGTGAAGCCTTCCACGATAACTTGGGGACTTTTGCTGGTCTATCTGTAATCGAATTCGACCGAATACGTTTCCGACTAGCATTAAGCATGGGCTGTATCACCTCCGGATTGAAAGTAGCTGCATGCTTGTTTTTCGCGGACCGGGGGAGTTCATGAGAGAACGTTGCATTTCTCGCTGGAGAGGATGTAAACGGCGTTTCGTAGCGGCTGTAGGTGATTTCTGAGGAAGAATCGGAGGGCCTGTCTGAGTCTGAGCGGTGATTGCGCCAGTCTTTGAGGTCGGAAGCGCCCAGTCGACCTAGCTCGTACTTGACTTTGGCGAGGCCGAGACGATCTTGAAGGCTCATGCATACCTATGTGGAAATGAAGAAGTGTGAGGAATTGATTCGTTTCCAGATTCAGAGTGCGGTAGTGCAGTCTTACCTGAGCAATATTCTTGCGAGCTGCCGGGTTCACTTTCCGATCCTTCATGGTTGATCTTACTCTTGGAATTCTTTAATGGATCCCAAAAGAAATTAGAAGTCTCAGAAAGCGAATGGACTATGTAGGAATCAAAGTAAAGTATATACTCGGTGGAGTGAACAATTCTGGGGTAGATTTGTCGCAAGCGCCTGGTCTGTCCTTGAAGTGGGAGCAAGGATCAACTCCAGCTGAAGGGTCGTCGTCGAGAGGGGGCTATCCTGTCGAGAAGTGGATTTTCCTTGTAACAAATTGACCAATTGTAAATAATTGGTCAGAATACGAGAAAATATAAGTTCAAGGGACGCATGCAAAAGGAAGTTCCTTAATTGTTGCAATGTAGTGAGTTGTTATGCAGAAATGCATCGAAACGAGGCTGGGATGATGGACAGACAGGATTTGAGCAAACAAAAGACAAAAGACGCCGGCCCTAAATAGCGAGCCTTGGTGCCTGGGAGCCTGGGAGCCTGAACCGTCGCCGGGCCATTACCCGTGGAATGCACGGGGCATCTATTCTCTTCAACCCCTTTACCGAAAATGATCTGAAAGAATGCCCATAACTATCGTAACTTAGAATACAGTATTGTCGGTTTGCTGGTGCAAACGATTTTCGTCCAGCCTATTGTCCGGTTTCAGACCCTGATTACTTGACAGCTGGCAACCGCTAACCGACGACTCTTCCTTTGCCTGCAGTAGCTCGAGTGACAATGATAATCCAGCGAGCATTCAATATGTTCACCTGAGTATCGCCGGATGAACAAACTCTAGCACTGTTGTACTTCTCATTGATGCAAAGTTCCGAGGCCCAGTTACTGGTTTTACCAGTTCTACTGTCTAGCACAGAAGCGGGCGTTCTTCTGTTCACAGAATGTCCCAACGAGAACAGCTAGGAATAGCTTTCGAGAAGGGACAATAGTGCTCAACGCCGCAGTGACTAGCATTCATAAAAATTTCCGCTCATTTCTGAGTCTCACAGTGGTTGGCTCTCCGATGTCGAATACAGATTACTCTACATTCAGACATAGCCCTAACCCTGATATGTACATGAATCATCCCTGCAGCGATACATTCTGTTCATCCAGTCCAGAAATTTAATGTGAGTTATCATGTAGGAGCGGTGTTATTATCAGCGCCATCAACCTAGACATTTGTCCTAGTGCTCACCATCGATTGCATGAAGTCTTCTCCGGTGTCAACGATGTCTTTGCCTGGACTGCCGAGAAAAATGGGCGTTTCTTCGCAGACACAGTAGCACTCTATGAGAATAGAGGTCATCGCAAAGTATGTCCATCATGGGTGACCGTCATCCTATCCACAATGTACTCCATGCTCCCTATACGCACTTATACGCACCCACTGACAACGACTTACTTCAGACTCCTGCAAGCGCAACAATCTGCCTATTTGAACTGATGCAAGCCTGTTTGGGGCCAAATTATCTCCAGCAAACACCACGTCCATTTCAGCCGGACGTGATGTCGTTCAAGGACAATCTGATTATCAAGCACCACCTAAGAATACGCTACGGGACCGCTCTTGATAACCAGAGAGGAATACGAGGCCATCTTTGCTCCTAGAAGAGCTGATAATTATTAATAACAGTCAAAAAACCAACAGCATGGACTGTATTCTATTGGTGGTTTTAGTAATCAGCCCTAATTCATGATCGAAACTGACCAATTGGCGAGCTTCGCCTTCGGGTTCGGGTTCGATGGTATATTCAAGTATGACAAAGTATGGACTGGGACCCACCCCTATCACCCAAATGAGGCTCCAGCTAGAGAAGAGTAGATTTCAGTCAGGAACATGTACAATATAAAGAGTCTGGATGACGATCGGTGCAGCACTGAATATTTTCCTATCACGTCAACGGGTATCAATCAGGCATACATGGCATACATCTCGCTCAACTTATTCCAATATAGATTTTGAATAATGGCACAATCCTATGTGACAGCTCTTCAAGCCTTCTCAAAGAAAATCCAGAGATAAAATGCACGCTACCTTCCTCTCCTGATTATGCGTCAGATCGAAAAATCTATCTTAATTCACGCACAGCCAATCCGTTGGCAATAGCTCATCCGGAGTCGGCTGAGCAAGTGAGCGCACTGGCACGATTTCTCCGATCTCATGGCATCAAATTCACCGTCCGAGGAGGTTGCCATAACCTCCAAGGATTGTGTATAGAGGAGGACGCTTTGACGATTGACATGCGAGCATTTACATCAGTCAAGATTGCGGCTGATCGCCAAACTGCAACGGTAGGCGGCGGAATATTGCAAGATGAGCTGTCCAATGCCTTGTGGAGTGAGAGGCTCGCTACACCAACAGGCTCTATCCCCTCAGTGGGTTATGTTGGCTGGGCAATGTATGGAGGATACGGTCCCTTTTCGTCCAGCTGGGGTCTGGGAGCGGATCAGATCGTTGCTGCCACCGTCGTTGATGCTAGTGGTAGAATTACCGAAGCCGATGAAACTTTATTGAATGGTATTCGTGGTGCAGGAGGAGCATTCGGACTTATACTGGATGTTTCGATCAAAGTATATCCATTGAAAACTGTAAGTTTGAGCATTCTTATCGTGTCCAGGCGAAGGAGAGGCCAGGAACTTATCAATCATATAGCTGTTCGCCGGTGTGATCATGTACGATTCGCAGGATATCAGGAAAACGCTTGCGGAATACAACGCGAAATATCGGAAATTATCGCAGGATGGTCTTCCAAAAGAGCTTACTCTCCAACAAATGGTCTTTAATTCGCCTCAGGGGAAACTATTCGGTGTCAGTTTCACTTGGAGTTCCGAAGATATAGAAGAGGGCAGCCGTTGGAGAGAGCGAATTGGATCTTTGGGGACTCTCTTGATGAACACAGTCTCAGAGACCACTATTCCGCAATGGTATAAAGGAATTGCGGCACTGGTGCCAGCGACTGCTTATGGCTCGTTTCGTACGCACAACCTGCATGAGATCCCCCCAGAGGTAGCGGAATGTCTCGGTCACCATCTAGCAAAGATGCCATCAGACCCAGCAGCGATGTTTACAATCTACCAGTCAAGGATGTCGACTTCAACACCGATCAGTGACTCCGTCTTTCCAGCAAGGGAACCTCACTTCATGCTGGAGATAATTGGCTGCTCCACAACCAAGGAAAAGGCCCCAGAGTCAGAACAGTGGGCTTTAGATCTCTGGAGCAATGTGAGCATAACCGACAAAAACAACTTCCTCAGTGCCGCTTATATCTCGTTGGAATTTATCGAGGAACCACCTCACCCAGCCACACTTGGTAGGCTTTTCGGTTCCCATGTCGACGACATTCTTGCAACAAAGAAAAGATACGACCCGGAAAACGTATTTGATCTCACAGTTCCTCGACTGAGTCACTATTTATAGAGTGAGAACTATATCTACGCCTGTTGGTTTCGATATTTTGATATTCGTAGACTTTAACCTTATCCGAGATAAGTCGTTGGGGCCAATCCATAACCCACAACCAATCACGAGTTAACGTTCTTTGAATGCCTTGAATAGCATGGATATAGATCCGAACTTTCCCAGCTCCATGAATGTACCAAGCCCTTGAAGTATTTTTGAAGAGGGCAAGCAAGGCGTATGCACGTGCCACCAGGGCTAGAGCTAGCGGCTCTTCGCGCTCTAAGAGTTGTATGAATGGCGGAGGTACTCGATGGAGATGAGTGACAATTGTATACTCTTTCGTTGTGATGTCCACGGAATTATCCGTCACCACTGTGTACATGCGCCAGAGCTCCATTAGCACTTGACGGTACACTTCTTTATCTTCCTGATCTATTTCCGCGTGCTGGATATAGTCGAGTAAAGTTCTGCTGTCCTGTGCGGCTTGGGCCATAATCGTTCCATGACTAGAAAACTGGATCGGTGTTTTGGGCGCACCACCCTGGTAGAGAAACGCATACCTAGACCAGTCCTTAGAGATCTTTGTGGTCAGTGCCTGGTAACCACGGCACAGATGATAGGGACCAAGTTTGGAGAGTCGCATGTCTGAGCTTTCGTCGCTCTGAGATAGAAGCCAGCTAAGGTGGGCAAGGACAACACCAGCTATGAACGCCGGAGACAAGTCTTGGTCATTGCTGGGCTGGAGGGCCAATCTTTGGAGATTCAAAGCCTTTCCAAAATACAGTCGGGATGCCGTGATCAACTGTGTGTCATCCGGATTCAAGGACCATAAATGCCATGCCGAGATACCTAAGAGAGCATACAAGACAGGCTCCGAGGTGAAAGCTATAGAAGGGATTTTGACCTTCCAGAGAAACCGAGCCAAGGAATCGTTTTGGGAAGAACTGATTGACTGACCGATGTCAAAGGCTATGGAGTAATGATGCATAAGTCGCAGGGCCAGCATATTGGTTGGGTCCAATTTCGCTGGTCTTACCGACACGGTCGTCAGTTGTGGTGTCGGTGTTACGGTCTTTGGACGAGGATGCTTGCCATATTGGCAAGCAGAAACATCGGTATAATACCGTTTACAATTTCCGCAGACAGGACGGGCTTCATCACACTGAACCAGTTCGATGATCAGTCGTGCTTGAGGTATACAAAGAGGTGTCTCCTCTGGCTGGGACAGAGCCTACCTTGATTTTTCGAGATTTGCAGGCACCGCAGCCCTGGACATGTGTATTAGTGGGGACCTGGCGAGCTGCAAGATATCAAGAATGTAAGCTGTTTACTGACCAAAGTGGACTTTTTGTACTGCCTTCTGTGAGTGGTTCGTCCGGAAAGGCCTGGCGAATCCGATTGCTGCATCACGCCCAGGTGGTTACTATGCATTGTAGTTTGTGCTGAATGCCAGGTGGAATATTCGAGTCCTCTTTCTCAAAGGGCGAGAGAAAGCTGGAAAGATTTGGTTGATGATCTTGCGTTTCTTGGCGGTCGTTCAGCTGGCAGTCTAGTCTACTAACAGTTTAAGGTCTTCGTAGTTCGCATCGTCTTGATAATCAGCCTTGACGCCTCAGGCCTCAATTTCTCGGATTTTAAGATTAGTTAATATTAGTCACTGTGGCGCAGCGCTAATCCTAATCCGGCAGATATTTGACCTTATTCCGTAAAAGGCTAGTGCGTAGGCACCAAGGCACCCCTACCAAGGCACGGGGCATCAACTTTCGGGTTTCCGCCACAAACAAGCTTCTCAGCAGCAACGCCATGTAGAACAGAATCATAGTGATGGCAGAACTGGATATTTCGGGTCTTGGACGAAGATAACTATAGCCAAGAGAATTCAAGATAGAATGGAATATGACAATCTCTTGTTTCGGTCTGAACATAGCACAGACGGCTAAACATCCTGGGTGAAACATGACCGTCTCCATCCGGGAAGACTCCGCGTCATCAGCTCTGAAATCCGGCAATCAGCTTAATTGCTACATAGTAGATGTCCAATCGATTTCTACTATGTAGAAGTTAGTCATTTAAAATCAATTGTGTGAAAAGCGCGCATTCCAGATGACATCTTGAAGAAGGGCGGCGCGGTTAATATCGACTACCTGTCCTTTGCCGGCCCTTTTTCTCGCTCACTCAAGAGAGGTTATTTATCCATCCGCTCGTTCCTTCCTCGAGTATCTCTTTCCCGGTCGCACCTTCTTGGTTGGACAGATTTCAAGGAAGTCGTGCCTTCCCTTTTGATCTCACCCGCAACCGTACGTCACTTTCCTTCCGAGCCCCCCACTTGCCAGAGCCAAAGCTTGGAAAGGACCCCGACCACATTAAAATCAACAAAACAAGCCCATCAACTCCAACTAACTCTCGTCAAACAGACTTATTGGGGGCACTTCCCGCCTGTTGGCGGTGCAATTGAGTTCTTTCTTTCGATCTATACCCTCGCTTTCACCTTTGATCGATAGACCGACGTCGCACTTGCAGAGAAAAAAAGGAGGAAAGCACCAGGGAGAAGATGTCGATATTTAAGGAGCTCCGGCGGCGATCCAGAGCCAGCTTCCGAACAAGCACCTCTACCGATTCTCAGTCCAATGACAACACGAACAGTGGCCAATCCTCCTCCACAATAGGAACGGTAGACAATTCAACATCGCCGACCTCGTCTATTAAACCCTCCATATCTTCTCCTAATCTCAGTGCCCTCAACGAGACAGCGAACGGCTCTGGAGCGCCCCCTGTGCCATCGCCACTCCCCCAACGTCCTGTACCTATAACCTCTCAATCAAACCGCCAAAGCTACTATGTATCCGGGCCCTCATCCTCGAAAACTTGTCATGTCTGTACTAATCGAGGACTCTTTGCTTGTAGTCAACCAATAGCTCCCCCGCGAACGGCTCTATTCGAACACCCATGGCAACCTCTCCATACGCACCACGCATCATATCTATATCGGACAATTCATGGGTACGGGCCTCGGCACTTAATGTCTTTTGTCATACAATTTCACTCACTATCTGGCTGTCTTTCTAGGTACATCAAAAAATATTGTTAGTGTCGGGCCACATAGGCGACCCACGACAGCGTCCAATTGACGGAACCATAACCCTACATCACAACCAGGACAGCTTTCCGGCGACTTCATGGCCGGTTTGCGACTCTCATTTCAAGGTACTTGTTCACTTGGTCCCTGGACCGAATCGACTGCGGTTCGATTTTAGTTCCCCCAAATTGTCCTCCAGCTCAGTCTCCAGCCATTCGTCCTGGCATAGCATCAACTACCTCCCTTTAACGAATTCGCCGCCGCTTGACTTGGTGATACTGCTAGCAAAAGATTCGCCGGGAACGTTCGACTCTGTACCTGAACGTATTCAGAGCGAGGGGAATGATCTCGACTTGGCTGTGAAGAAGTATCGAATGGCTGCGTACCTATGGCAAGCTTTCACCGGCGAACAAATGTTTCGTAATAATTTCGGGAGAAGATGTTTTCGATTGGAAGAAGAATGGCAAACGGGAACTTTAAGCCAGCGGGACTCTTCTACGGGACAGATCAGAAACGAAGCAAGAGTGCATATTGTGCGAAGCGACAAGACTGTCGCTGAATTACGAGACTTGAACATAGCTCAACAGTACGGGCCTGCGACAAGAAAAGACGAGTTGTTCAACATTACAAAAGAAGCAGTGACAGCGTACTTCCGGCCTCACCCTGAGCAGAAGCGTTATGTTTCGGTTTTACTGCTCGACTCACATTGGGACACTTCATCTCAAGTGATTACAGCACACGCTGCTCTAGGTTCTGACGGTGGTAACATAAAGATGGCAATCTTCGGTTCGCATAGTCTGCACAGCTACCCATCCTGTTTGGAAGAGGTCGTTTCTGCTTTCTCTGACTGCGCAGAAACCGATACCAGATACGTCGCAAACGATTGTGGAGAAGCAGGAAGTAATTGGGAGGCAGCCAATATCGGCATTGGTGCTCATTTGCATGAGGTCGGTCATTTGTTTGGCAATCCACATCGAGAATCTGGTGTCATGCTACGTGATTATACTCGCTTGAATCGAACCTTCACTACTCGTGAGCCGTATTCGACTCGCACCCAGTCTCAGGGCCTCAAACTTTGCCTGCCAGCCGACGAATGCCAATGGCACCGCCTCGACGTCCTTAGATTTAGATTTCATCCTTGCTTCCGTCTACCGAGCGACCCTCCCAGTCATCCAGATGACAGCATTCAATCTTGGGCAGTAGACAATGGGAAAATATTGATCACGGCAGCATCAGGTGTGGCTTACCTGGAGCTTTATACGGAAGGCGATGATCTCTGCCACAAGTATATGGAATTCATCAACAACGAATCTCCGAACAGCGGCATACCGAGACAGGTGGCCATCACCGAAACTGAGCTGCGGCAGCTCCTGCCTGCTGACCAGCAAAAGAAGAAAATACGGGTTGAGATATTTTCAGGCAATCTTGGGACGCATAAAATAGATGATTTGGGGGATTTGAAGTCGAAAAGGTCCATTGTCAAACTTCCCAAAGGGCAGGCGGGCTTCCGAAGCAGCAAACTAGGGTGCTCCCAGTTAGAAGGCAGTGAACCTCAGGAAGTCATTCTGGATAGTGTCTTTATTCAGAAGAAGCTGTTGACGTCCATCAAGGTCTACCATGGCTATGCTCTTGATGGTCTTGAGTTCTGTTATGAAGATGCAACCAGTCAACTGTTTGGCAAACGAGGTGGGAAGCCCGGGGGTGATGAATTTGTTTTTGGTCAGTCACCTCGCTTCCTTTAATATAGTCTTTTCCTTTTTATGACTAACAATCTGTAGACACACGACGGGGAGAACATTTACTAGGTTTCTATATCCGAGCTGGTCTCTGGATTGATGGTATTGAGATTATCACGAGTTTCGGGAGGAAATCGGGGGTATATGGGAACGCTACCGGAGGATCTGGGTAAGTGATGGTTGCAGTGACGTGGAATCACATCGGCCGACTGATACTGATACGCGAGTGCAGACATACGTTAATACCTCCTCGGGGCTACAGCGTTGCTGGGGTGTCTGGATCATGTGGTCCATGGGTTGACGGATTTTCATTGATCATCACAAGGTAACGGCCTCGTTTGGTGTGATCGACTGTATGCTTATCTACAAATGGGGTGGCTCATTTATTTTCGACTGTTTAATTTCGACATTCTTTATGACGCTTGATGCGCTTGTGCAGGGTGATGACAGCACCTGGAACATATTTGCGAATAATAGCCCGTCGCTAACTGCTTACTGTGAATTTTAATATTTGGCATAATTTGGCCACTTGCAGATATGTTTATATACAGCCGATCCTAGGTATTTTGGGTCCTCTTTTTATGGCATCTGCGTTTATATATACTTGCGTGAGCCGCCGCCAGCCTAGAGGTTGGAATGGCCACGATTTGCATACTTTGTGGATATAGCAAGGATAGAGATACCAGTGAATCGAGCATGCAGGATATACGAACCTGTCTTTGAAGTTGCTGTTGCTGCGCAGATATTCTTTAGGATATTGCACCGAATCGACCTACCCGTGTAGCTGTCCGACTTGTGAATTGTGAAGGACTTTTTTCTCAAGGTCCTGGAATCGTAGTTGCCGATGGTTCGTACCTAGATATGGTCGTGCACCATCCTGTGGCTCTTCGTCAAGGACCTCCGACGTCTCGTTGTAACAGCCGCGCGTTTACCGTCGTACTTGTCGCGTCGCCTCCCCCACCCTTCCCAACCGCAGGGTGGGGGGAGGCGACGCGACAAGTACAGCAGATGTTACACACAGTTGACGATCTGCCCATCGAAGGACCGTTTCAAAAGCACACTGGTGCGCGGACAAGATAGGCAACGAACACATCGTATGAGCGTGATACGACTGTACAACCCGACGAGAAGATCATCAGTTCTTTGTGCGCCTAGGTTGCGACTTGCAAGAGTTGTCTCAACTGTAGTTCGAGCATGGACTTCGTTCGCCGGGCAATCCTGTCGGATAAGACTTCGTTCATCATGAAGAGCGCATTCTTCAATGGGCTCTTTTGATGCATATGCTATATCCGGTTCGACCTTGAACGGGCAATGCTCGATTACTCGCAATGTCATCATCCATTCCTTAGACCGCGATCTATAATATAGAGACAGAAGAAGAAGAAGAAGCAAAAATTCAATAATAAGCGGAAGCTTTCTCCGCAGTCTTTATATAAGAATGAAGTTGTGTAGTTATTGGTCGGAATTATGTACCATCTAGTCATGTCCGTCAACTGCTTAATCCGGTATGAATATAGAGCTGATGGATGGTTTTGTGGGGTGTGCTGCATATTGCGACTAGTCAAGATATGGTATGTATGTATGCTGTACTTGATATGTATGAGATAGCTAGATACAATAACAAAAAGATATTATGCTTACCTCCTATATCCGTACCTAGGTAGACACGTAGTTGTCCGCTCAATGCTTGATTCTTCGGATATATGTACGCAGCTATAGACCAACCTAGGTATGTGCGTAGATAGGACAAAGCAGATTCAATATCATTCGCAAGTAAATAGCTCATACTACTCGGTAGACTCTCACTAAATATTTCTAGGCTTGTCTCTGCACCTAGTGAGATACTAGACCAGCCAGATTTCCGCCGAGTCTCTTTATTGATTGCATCCATTGATACGATTGGATCCCGACGTCGAAGATGTACTTCACACGCCGAATACGTTGAGCCTTTGTGGTTCACTCCCATCTACGGACAATGATATCAATTGCAGTTGTAGCCGGTCCAACGAGAGGATACTCATAAGCAACCAGGCAGAAGCATATTCACATCAATATCAACCACAGGCAAACCGAAATCGTGGCTGAAGGCTCGTGCTACAGATAATATATTCACTCGCCACTTGATATGTGGCCGCGATGAGGTCTGATTCGATAGCCGGGGGTTGCACAGCCATCTACAGGCCGTCATAGCCGGTGCGCATGTTCGGTTAAGCCACGTATAATTTATATAAGTACTTCTTTTTTTTTTTTTAAACCTAACGTTATGAATCTTATGATTAGATTACCTAGGATAGTCCTACTGATTGACTTCCTTTGAGCATGCGATCGAATCATCTGTGCAATATTTGGACCGTGGGTGTCCTGATGTGGCGATAAACGGTTGAACGCGGCCGGTTGTTGATGGAATTCTCGGAGACCTTCTCCTGCGATGCTTTTTCGCTTTGTGAGAGTTCCCGTATTCAGTCTGTCAAAGAATAGTGGTTGTTGTGAGTCCATTCAACTATTCGTCTGATGTACGACTGATACGAGAGTACAATTTCAATGTTTGGTGATACCCTCCTTGGTACTAGTTCACGTCCATTCTTTGTGGATTCTTCGACTGCGTAATAGCGGTATCCAGATGATTGTTAGCATTCTACTCCTCGTAGACTTGGTCCCCTGCTATCGGAAAAGGGAACCGTATCACCAGGGGTATTGTGATTCTGATACAGAGTAAGCATGAGCGTTTCCGAGAGTGGAGCGCTTATGTTGTCGATTTAATATAGGACGTCATCTAACTGAGAGTGGTAAGAGAAATTTAATGTCCTGCGACACGAGAGTCAACATAATTAATCAATCATCTTGCTCTTGCGCTTATGCTTGGTTAGTTACTCCCTAGCTTAAAACTTAGCCCTAATCTGCTAGATGCGGGACTCCTATTCCGTGCTCCATACCCAACCACAACTGAAATAAAACGGAAAAGTGGCGGATCGACGCACTAGCTAGACGGCTCAGACCTCCTCTTCAAAGTTCAAAGGAGCTTTACGACGATCTTTTTCCCAGGTGGACTATCAGTCTGACTAGCCCCAAGTCCAGATGAAAGCCCCAAGGAATCATCAGATCGCAACGAATCGATTGCATTGCTCGGAGTTAGCTTAAAAATGTTAGCCTAATGTCACTTGCCCTCGGAACGTCGATAATCAATCTCATTCTTTCGTACGAGGTATTCAATTCTTTTTGAGACAGCATTTTTGGGGATATTATTACGCGGCAATAATAATATCGAAGTAGTATTGTCGCCGTAAGAAGACGGACTTTGCGCCGAGTTGACTGACTCAAGTCCGATGTTTTGATTGGCCGCCCCGCAGTTATCTGTCTCTACATGACAAGACAAGCCAAGCCAAGCCAAGCCACATTCAACGTCTGATGGAGGGAGAAATTGAGTGTTGTCTGTTTGTTGTTCGTCAACCCTCCAAAAATATTCGAGATCTGATGCGAGATCTGTTGTTATTACTAAAACTGTCTCATGGCTAAGTCTTAGTTGATCGGATGCCGAGTCGATCAGTAAGCATTTGGTAGATGATATTAACATCAAGGGACTACTATGTAAACTATCACCACGTTCAATCAGCTGTTGTCTGGTTGATCAGCCCACAGTTAGTTATCTCTGGTTCGATCTAGCCCGGCTTCTTCGGAAAAGAATGCCGTACTCCGTACACAACGATAAACTCACCAGATCGTTGCTAATACACAAAAAGTTAGAGTGTTACGTATGCAGTGCCAATAGGAATGTCAGTTTACTTTCTTTCCCATGCGGAGGAATCGAAGTGGCAAATATCCGAGGTCGCTCATGGACTATAGAGAGGGCTTCTTATCCGACAACATGATATCAACTCACAGTCGCAGCAGCAGTCGTCTATCTACTATTAGACCTCTATGTCGGCCCACCTGTAAACACATTGCAATACTATGAGACTCGGTAGTCCCGCTAGGTTGCTTTTGCACCAGCGCACTGATATTAAATACTCTGTAGAGGTATCGACCAAACAACGAACGTGTCAGTGCTGAGTTCGCGGGCTCGAAGCGCAGATAAAGTTTATTATATCGATCCGGGGGCGTCTACAGTGCCACACTTCATCGTTGCACCCTGAGCAGAGCCCGCAAATCTCGCCGTTTGAAATAAGAAACGCATCGTGTGGTACTCGCATGCCAACGGAGGTGCTGGTTGCTAGACATAAACGGCAGGTGCATAGCTCAATGTAATTAATAGGGCTAATTATTTATCCATGAACGTTTTTTTTGAGACTTGTGGTGATATCAATAAGATCTGACGACTGGCCAATGAAACATAGACGATATGTCACCGATACTGCATATGATGTAGAACGGGAGAGGCTATTCATTTCCCCATAAACGGAGCACAGACACCTAGATCTGTCACTCAAAGATGAAGCCCGTATCGAAAAATAAAGACGGCCCCTGAGTTCAAGCAGATACGCTGTATGGTAAAATACATACATCTAAGTTATACTTCCCGTTGAGGGGGCTTTTTCCGGCCCCACAGACCTATTACAGTCTAGTGAGAAACGTATTGTTTAGGGATGGTACTGGAATTAGCATCTCTGATTGGTGGAATTCTGTTCCGATGCACGCCTTACATAACGCCGTTTCTGGGGCTGGCCAATGACCAGCGCATTGGGTCTTCAGATGGCATTCGACATTTGATATTTGATAGTTAACTATTCATCGCGATGTTGTCCCTGGAATTAATAGACTTTTCTCTGCTACACTAATGCAGGTAGAACACGTCATTGTTCCACCGTATCAAGTCCTTCATAGCGCTTTAGAGATTCTATGGAGAACTGATGGAGCTTGTCACCCCGTCCAATTTTCTATAAAAAGGTCCTGACGTAGACTTATGACATCATATGTAACTGCATGCAGCAGTATTTGACTCTGTGCGACTTGATAATCAATATTTGATATTTATGGAGAAGTACTAGTGCATGCCGTTGAAGAGTCCAAATACTGCGGACGAGCTGTCTCCCGGATAAAGTATCCGGACACCTATCCACCCTGCAGAACGATCTACAGACAATTCGACATCTAGAAAATATGAGATGATCAGCTGAATCTCGCAATCATCAGAGAATGTCTCATTCACATCCCTCATACCATACTTGCCAATACGAACTACTACCACGCTAATCTGATATTGATACCTAATGTGACCAGCACATGTCAAAACCAAAAAGGGAAAAAAAAAGTGTTGTCGCCTCTGTCTTGGATGGTATCGTATCAAATAATCGCAAATGCAAGCCTCACAATCTGCATGCGGTAGTGATAGACAAGCCACCTCATGGGATGAGTGGGGGGTGGTGTGAGGCGCATCTATGCATCGAAGAAGGCGTGGCGAATGAGCATTGGTAGCCATGGGGTGCACGTGTGGCGTCGCGGGCTTGCAATCAGTTCTCGAATGTTTGGTTCGATTGATACATAGTACATACATGATAGAAAGGAAAGAAAAAAAAAGAAAAAATTGATTCGTTATCAAAACAATCTCCTAGCCTTAGGGTTTCATTGATTTAAAGAATGACCAATAGAAAACCACTGTGGCTGCATCTTGACTTTTTTTTTGACTGTAGATTAACCAGACCTCTCCTTTCCTTTCCTTTCTTCCTATTCTCCCTTGACTCCCTTCCGCGTCGAACATTCTGCTTTGATATCAGTCCCCATATTTGTTCAGAATCGCGCAATAAGACTTGATGGAGATGAACGCCGAGCAATCCTTTCGGGACGGGATAGTATCATGTATGCACCGCCATAACTAAGCGTCTTTTGCGGGTGAAAGTGTCAATCGATAGCTCTAATCTCGAAGATAGTTTTTTTTTTTTCTTTAGCTCCTCACTGAGATTCCAGACATTTTGGTGACAGTGAGTTGCAGGCGAATTCGCTGATTCAGGAGCGACTAACCTGAAAGTCACTAGTCAGTCCACTAGCCTAAACATGCAGTAGTGCGAAATAAATCTGTATCAGATGAGTACCGTACGAGGTTATCAGTACGGCAGATCGGTGCAATTCTGTCCCTACTAGTACATCTGTGACATGGAGCGTAAATTACACAAGTAATGCCAATAATTCATCCCCACCTTTGTGGCTTGCAAGCGTCCCACATTCACTGTACGGTGTACATACCGTATTATCTTTCGGCGTTGCGGCTTTCTCCCGTTCCGTACTTCCTCTTTTCCCTCCTTACTATTCTCACCTCAAACCTCAATCCACACCTTTCGCTACCACAACGACTACGACTGTTTCTTCTGTTGGTGTGAAGTCATAAAATGTGGTTCCCCTGAGAGTTCATTGCTTGGCCTTAGCCGCAAGGGACCACCTGTCTGACTACAACGTACTCTGGTACATTCGAAAGTTCGGCGTCCTGGTACCGGCCGTCTACTCGTCTAAACTGCTTCTCTTTTTCCATTTTTATTTCTTCCCCTTCCTCTTCGGTCCTCTTTTTTCGCCATCCACCTTTCGGTCGAGAGCGCGTTCTAACCATTCCGTGATACTCAGCTCTCCATTAGGCAACGTCTCACACATCCATCTCGAGCCGTGGTTTATCATAGCGGGTAACAACGTAAACCTTCCGCGAAGGCGTCCAAACACCCCGCCCCTCAACGGAAGGTCGATGAACTTTTTTTTTTGAGCTGGATCAGATTCACTTATATTCTTGTCAACTACGCGTTGCCGTCGGAAAGAATTCTACACTAAAGCATACTAATCACTCGTCTCGCTTCTTATTCGGTTCGAAAGAAAAAAAAAAAAGGAAACACTTCGCCGTGCTATTCGGAACATCCAGCTTCATCACCAGTTGATTCTTCGTCGAAGAGCGCATTTGTCCTAATCACTCGTTGGGCTCCTTGATCTATCCAAACAAGGTTGATTTGGTAATCAGCGTCATCCAGATATCGGGGTTCAAAGGTCGATCAGAAAACCGCTATCACTACCGTCACCACTTAACATTGCAACGTACGGCTAAAGCGAGGAAAAAGGCAGGCTGGGTCCGATCCGAATGTTGCAGGTGGACTTGCCTCCGTTTCTCTCCTCTATAACTCTCTCCCTTCAACAGTTTTCCTCCCCGATCTGAGTCTCTGCGACTCGAGTCGTTCCAGATGTTTCGCAACAGGTGAGTCTTCAATTCATGTGAGGAGGTGATGATATATTGCTAATCACTTGCTACAGGAGAACGTCGCAAAAGCCGGACGAAGAGCTTATCAGCAAGTTCAAAAAGACATTTCCCGATGTCAATTCAACAGGCTCACTGTCCGGCGATAGCAGGCATGGCTCTATTAATCCCGCTGCTGTAGAAGGAGGGCTTCCTGTACAGTATGTTCTCTACAACTCACTTGCATTATAATCTTGCTAATACTCTTGCCAATAGACCCGACGAAGATGAGATCAAAGCCAACGATCCAACTCCCAGGAACCTTCAAGACCTCCGTTTTACGCCGTCCTTAATGGATCCAAACTCGTTCCAGTTCATGGCATTAGCAAATCAACCACCAGGCTATTATACGCCTACACCTGGAGGAATGACGACAATATATCACCACCAGGCCGGTGACCTTCACACACCGCTTGGCTACAATCTTGTCACCCCTATTTCTATACCGAACACGCTTTCCGCCGGCTTCCCGGCCGGTCCTAATGGCGAATTGCATGTTAACCATTTCCCCGCCCAGCAGCCACAGTTCATGCCACAAAACTACAACCCTTTCGCTCAACAAACAACCTTTGCGCCGCCGAGTGCGTTTGTGCATCGAGATTCTATCTACGACCCTATGGACGGATCAGAGGCATCGTCGTCACTAGACCAGCTGACGGTACCGAGTGCTCAATCGCTGAATATGATGATGCCCAGCGTCGGATTTGCGGATCAAATGGAAGTGAATTCGGAAACAGATGGCGAGAAGTAAGCATAAGAGATCTCATCTAATGATAGTTTTTACCCAACTCCGATATACGGAAAGATGGCATTCTTTCATTTGTTTAAAATTTCTGGCGGTTAACATAAGACAGATTCCGATTTGGCGTCGCCTTACGCGCTCCTACGGCCATGGTGAAGCATGCAGATGAAATTCCCGTGACTTATCTGAATAAGGGTCAAGCATACTCAGTATCGGTTGTTGACAATTCACCCCCTCCACCGGGTACTCAACTCCGCAAGTATCGAACCTTCATCCGTGTTTCGTTTGAAGATGAACAGCAACGATCCAAGCCTGCTACCTGCTGGCAATTATGGAAGGAAGGGCGTGGGTCGAGTGAAGCCCATCAAAGAGGCGGGAAGTTGCTGGCAGTAGAATACGTGGACCCCAACCAGAATACAGACGTCGACCAGAATCAATGCCACGTTGAGCTGGAAAAGGCTTCGTTCGATGGTTTCTGTGTCACGTGGACGGCGAACTCTGCGAGCGCTTCCGCGGACTGTTCAATCTCAGTGCGTTTCAACTTCCTCTCGACCGACTTTAGCCATTCCAAGGGTGTCAAAGGTATACCTGTCCGATTCTGCGCCAAAACCGAAATACTTTCTCCGAACGACCCGACGTCGACGACGCCTGATCTGCCGATATCCGAAGTAGCTTATTGCAAGGTCAAACTCTTCCGAGACCATGGCGCCGAACGAAAGCTTTCCAACGACGTTGCCCACGTCAAAAAGACGATGGAGAAATTAAAACAACAAATGGCCCAACTTGAGATGGGTGGAGGTAATTTTGGCAAACGCAAACGTAATAATGTAAATGTCTCGATTAGAGAATCTGACAATACTCGCCCAGTCAAAGTTCCAAAGCATAAACGAACGTGGTCGATGGAATCGCAAGAAAACGGCGGCAAGCTCTCTCCGGAAGACGACCTCCAACTGAAATATACGATGATGCAAGACATGTTTTCGTCCACCCGCCCCGTTAGTGTACTCAGCCTTCGAGGTGACGATCAAGATGACCCCGATTTGTTCCCCGTCGTGTTACCCGGTGATCTACAAGAATTCAAGTTCGAGCGTCTCTCCCGACAGAGCACTCGCGAGTCACTTTACAGCAACGATGCAGCTTCCGGCGTGTCCAATATTCTTTCCCCTACCACCAGCAGTTTCTCTAATGCCAATTCCCCACGACGGCCGAGTCACACTTTGATGAGTCAGGAAGAAGGCATGGAATGGGCCAATCCCAATCTGATCAACCAACCTGTGAAGGTGAAGAAAGGCACGACAGGTTACATCGAGGCTATCGACATCGACCCAACCTACAGGCCCCCTGCAGAACGTCCTCCCAAACCAAGTAAGTATTCGGCGTCTTTGGTACTGGTTAATTTAGGCTAATAGGTTTCACAGTTGCGTGTTTTTATATTCGATTCCCCGATGAGCAAAACGGCGATTACTACAGAGCAGTCTATCTAACGGAGAGGACAGTTCGGGATCTCATGACCAAGATATCAGAGAAATATAAGATTGACCCGGATCGCATTGTTCGTGTATTGCGTGTTAGTCGAGACGGCCTCAAGATTATGGTGGACGATGATGTGGTTCAACAACTGCCTGAGGGACAGGACATGGTAGCCGAAATCACCGAGGCGTCGAAATTGGAGGTTACCACACCGGACATTAATACTCCGCCAACAGCGGCGGTGGAAGTAAAATTGACTTACTAGGATGGCCACTGCGATGATTTCATCAACACAAAAAACATCACCTGATCAATAATGAAACCTGCAATACCAATTACAGCGGCATCGCCACATTCTTCTCCAGAACTCGGTTGACCCGACCATTTGATCCGTTTTTCTGCATGTCGATACCAAATTTCATCTAATTCATATGACGTTTAATGGTGATTTCAACTTTGCGGCGTCTTGACGTTTTCTTTTTACTACCGTTATTTTCGACTAATCTCCATTCTACAACTTCACGATTAGCCGGCGACACTTCTTTTTGTCTTGTCAGGTCCCGGAGAAACATGCTTTTTTTTTTTTTTTTTCCTTTTGGTGCGTGGCCTGGTTTGTGTTTTTCGTTGAGTCTTAAAACCATGAACACGTGTTTTAATACGGCGTCTGGGTGCTACTTTTTTTTTTATGGGCGTTGAATACGTGGACAATACACGAGTCCTCGGGCAATGATACCCTGTCGTTTTTAGTTTCGAACATTTCTTCCCTTCTTGCCTACACTTGATGCTTGACTGTTATTTTATAGTTGCTACCTGCATTTCTGCGAAAACGCGATATACACATGTGGTGCTGTCTTACGAAGGCTATGAAGGCGATAAACGGGTCTTCATGCGATTATGTCGGAATGGTGCACTATACATGAGCGCATTGTTCATTTTCTGCGTGGTTTTTATTGACCCTTCTGGTCAATGCTATTCTTTTTGAATGGAACACATGGTGCGAAGTACACGAATATCTTGCGTGTTCTATTTACTGAAAACTCTACTCCCTTCGAATTGGTCAGGTCAGTTTTGTACAGAATTGTCCTGGCCTTCAAGTCTTGTGTGACTTAACAATACCCGTCAAAGATGTTGTACCAGCAGTTTGATCCGAGTCATCCAGAATCAATCAGATGAGAAGAGACATGTCACTGCTTTCAGAACGTAGCTACGTACATCTCAAGATTTATGATTAACTATCAACCCGCGTCTTAGTCAGTAGACTAGTACCTCATGAGGACTCCCGACTCCGGCCCTGGGGTAGTCCCGGGGAGTTAACAACTTAACATTTGATCAACGTAGATAAGTAACTGAGCCACACCTCGTTTAACTAGCTAAATACTTCCCGAAGAGTAGAAACTTTACGAATCTGCTCGTGATTGACTGATCCTTCTCACCAAAACAATCTCGCTTACAGAATGTCCCCCTGACGCCTAACGATTCTCATCCAATCCGTGCCCTTACAGCCAAAGTATCACTTAGGAAACCAACCGGGATAGACCGCCATCTCACATACATGATACGTACCCTTTTATTTTCTTTTTTTCAATTCGATCTACCGGTCCCATGATGGATAAATCGGCACATCTCGACAAAATCTATGGTGTGCCTGATACATTCCTTTCTGTCTGTCCTCTAAGATAGCCATAACCGTCATGGAAACCGTACATCCATCGACTTAACTACGTCCTCGGGCCTTCTCCCTGTTTCATAATGTAGGCAGCTGTAAATATATGACGTCAACAGTGGAGTTAAAATGCAGTGGGTTGCTTTGATGTGTGTGTGTGTGGCATGCATTGGCATGCCTCCATAGTGTACGCAGCGCCGACTCGCATGTACTTTTTTCCCTTTTTCATCTTTCGCGCAATACGGACGTAGTGAGGTTATCCGTTTATTTTTTCCGTAGGGCCTGTGAGTGGCTGAAGAGCCACCAAAGTATCATCTGGTACGCTAGTAAGCGATCTAAATCTTACCGATGGTGGGTCTTATCGAAATACGGTACGCATTTACGTATCCATCCGTACCGAACTATTTTGTATCAATGCTAGGTCCATTAGTTCTTGGTACTTTTAATGAAGATACGGAGTATTCGGTCTTTTTCTTATCAAGAGTCATGGGGTCGGAGTAATTATCAAGTGGCTAATTCAGGTCTCTCCACATACCTTTTTTCATTTCAGATTTTCATGGGATGATATTTCTTGAATGCACCAAACACTGAGAAACCACCCATACATCAAAGTTATCGAGTCAGGTCAGAAAACTGAAACAAATCACAAGTCAGTAAATCCCAAATACGACTGATACATGACTCAACTTTCAATCAGTGCAATAGGTAACCACGTAACATACATTTGCATTTCCATGGACGTGCTTTGGCTAGAACCAAGAAAAGCCGTTGGTACTTGATACAGACTTTACTCCGTGCATAGCTGCGTATGTAATTCATGGAATATGTTTCGTATTATGCACTAGGAATTGTGGGCTCGGCCAACCATTGTTCTTTATTTATAATTGCGACAAAAATTACATCGTATTCCCGCCGTAACTAGTACGGTGTTCGTACAGTATCGTAAGATACGAAGGGCGGTCAAGATCTATACTGTCAAGCCATGCAATTTAGGGTTATCTGGGACCCGCTCTCGTCCAAATATATCAATCGATCCAATACCACATGCATGTGATATATCCAGTACGATTAGTGAATTGATATGAATTTGGAGCGAGCTGTCTAGATCAAAAAACTTTACGCTCAGGAATATCTTTCACCGTGCAAAGGTTGTGGCTCTTTGGATCGGATGCTTTGAGCATCTTGTTTGACTTCAAAGACGAGCCAATATATAGGTCTTTTTTTTGAGTGTTAGACAAAGAGAAAGGAGATGGAACAGACTGGCCTGATCTTGTGTCTCTCTACTACATCCGATTGAACTTTACACATGCAACTCGATACTTCACTCTACTACCGTTTTGGCTATTTCGCCTTGGACCATTGTCAAGACCAAGTTACTGACGCCTTCACTAGAACAATCGGGAATAGTACGTCTCGATGTTCCAAGGTTGAGGTCATAATAAGGTTGATTGCATAATGCAGGTGACGAGAGACGCCACCGTACTACATACACGACTCGACATCTGACGCTTTTAAACTCTGATAAATCCTTTTATACAATGAAATCCTATAGACATGTCAAATTTTCATGGTAATGCCAGTCCTGCCGCCCTCAATTTTGGCAGCAGATTTCTTTGAAGCATCATACCGCTCCCTGGCAAGGTCAAGTTTCGACTTGGTCCGTGCCTTCTCATCGACATTATTCAATGCTGTTTGGTTATCAATCCCCTTTGCCTTTCCTTTCCATTCTCCTCGTCGTCGCTTATAAAGATCCATTGACCAATTCTTCCATACCGCGCGACCAATGAATGAATCACGGAGATCATGCTCACTGTCGGCAAGTTCTTGCGCTAATCTCTCTTTAACAAAGTATATATCTTTCGAGGCATACCAGAGGGCATCGACGACATGGGATCCACTCGTATCTAGAGCGAGTTGCTTCATATGACCCAAAAATCGAGGTACGAATTGACGACGGAACTGAGTAGTTGATGTAGGAGCTGTGAGGGCTTTTTGTAGAACATGCGACGTGACTGAGTTGCAGGCCATGCTTATAGTGGTGTCTGTAGAGGTCGCTAATAATCCGGAATAAACAAGTTCACTCAATGCACCGGGAGCTTCTAGCATTTTTTGTACAAAGAGTGATTTGTGTAGGAGCACTGGAGACGCGGCTTTTGGCTTCCCTTGAGTGGGGTTTTCAGAAGGTTGGGATGTTCTCCCTGTCGAACCATCTGTAGTACTTGATTCAAGTAACTGATGTAATCGCCTAGCGGGATCTTTATCAAGTGATTCGGCTACTGCCTTTGCAAGAGGAGCCGTGTCGATATTCCGAACGAGGCAGCGCTCAATCAATGCTCTGGGCACAGTAAGTCGTGACCTCTCAATGAGATTAGGAATTTCCGGAATAATCAACTCCAAGTCAGTTTGTAGATCATCTTTACCAACTCGCTCCAGACAGCGGACCAGGACATATGAAGCAATCTCATTGCGTGAGAGAGACGCTATCCTCTCACGAATGATATTTTTGTGTATATTCTTGAACAATTTGCCAGGTGCAGAGCGCACAATAGTCTCGACTAATCTTGACCCTACCGGATCATATAGCAAACCAGTCAAGAAAATAGCACTCTGTGTACCTTCCTCCACGGTATCCTCCGGTATTAATCGTCGCAAGACAGAGCGTGGATCTTTGCCGGTTGATTTGCCGAAATGGGATAGCTCCAATGAAACCAGAAGCTGCAAAACAGGGTTACCGATATGGTGAGTAGCCAATGCTCGCAGATAAGTATCATCCAGCCCAGCGGTCATATCCTTCATGACTTTTTTCAATACATCCATGAACGCATCGGGGACAATGTGATGCTTTGTGGACACAGATTGATCTCTCCCCTCTACTCGATGCACTTCGACTCCCTCTTTCGCCTTGCTTGCAACAACCGAGCTATGCGATGACAAGTCCACCGGCTCACCTGCCAAAACAAGCAAGAGAACGCGAATTGTGTGAGAGGCGAACCTTTCTGTCATCAAGTAACCCCAATTACTCTCCAGCTCTGCAATAACTTGTAGAAACATATCAGCCAGTGATAGGGATGGCTCATCGTTCTCTTCCTCCTCTATGATCTGCTTCTTCGCGACCTTGGGTGTTTTATGAGTGAGAGCGGGCGCTACTTTGACAAAGAGCGTCTCGCAGCAATGGCTCGCAAATCGGTGTTGTATAAGATGTAAGAAATGTCCAAGGAATTTGCCAAAGAGTCGTCGAAGTTGATCAGTGTTAGAAAGGGCTATGATTTTCTCCAAAAGACGTGAGCAAGACTGGCTGCATGCAATCTTCAATTCCTTTCCTTTTGCTTCTTCATATACACTCTCGACGAAAATGCTCTGTTCCTCGGCCGTCTGAAACTGATTCAATTCGAGAACTTCGGCGGCTCTCGAGAAATATTCTTGTTCCTCGGAGTCGAGTAATCCATAAAAGGGTGTATCATTTTGTTCCGCATTTGGCGCATCTGTCTCCTGTTCCCCAGAGTCGAACGGTATGTAGTCTTCAGGCTGATTCTCTGTTGATGGCCGTTGTCGTTTGAGTGCTGGCTCCTCGTGGTCGTCTTCAAGTTTTCGCTTGTTTTCCTCGCTTTTCTCTTTTTCTTGCGCACGACGCCCTCTTTTTTGCTTTTCACGAGGCATGTTCAGCTGTGCACCTCAGCGCTTATGCCGAATTCTTTGTATATGAATGGACGTTGACTTTGAGATTTATTTTCTTGCAGAGGGAAATTTTTCGATAAGCGTTGGTCCGTGCACGGCCGATAACGCTTTGTTTGCATCATTTGCATCATGCGTATATCTTACAAATTAGGGCTAGCGGGAATAGCCTCTATGTTATGCGCGACAACTTTATGATCTTGAAGATCGACGATAGTCAGAGAGCAAACAGACTTTCATTATAAAGCGGACGAAGGAGTCATAGAAGTGAGATTATATTACATGATATCGTACAAAACTAAGCTTTAACCGAATAGACGGCAGTAACCTGCCTGCCACATTCTATCCGTTGTTTGCCTGGAATAACCTGAAACCGAGCCTCATCGAGGTTTGTAGAGGTCACTAGGTCAGGTGGAGGCAGTATATGGATCGGAGTGGGAACATTGCTTCGCTTGCCAGTTCCAACCTGGAGAGATTCGTTGCCTCCCCACCACAATGTATCCTGGCCCCATGTGATATCAGCGAGTGATGATTTCTTCGCATTTGTCAAGTGTGTATTATTTCCCAGTACGGCAGCAGCATGGGTAGCACCGACTGCTATTTGCACGGGTCGGATAGGTTGGACTTTCTGGGTCTTCTCGTCATATTCGCTGAGACCACTGAGTGCCTTCAGTTTGCTAGGAGTGTCTTGAAAATGCGTCCATTTTCCATTGCCTAGAGCGCCATGAATGCCTCTTCCAAAAGCCCATGTATCGACACTCAGTGCGCCTGGCTTCACGGGTGCTGATGCGTCGTCTGAAAGAAGCTTTCGCACTGCATCGATGGTAATGAAACTGGTGTAACCGCCTGCGGCGATACTCGTAACCTGCGCGGACCAGTTTTTGCTTGAGTAAAGACCATTTATAGGTAATTGCGTCGGGGTATCGATCATAGGCAAGGCTGGATCATACTCAAATCCCAGTTGTCCGACGGAGTTGTCTCCAAAGCTGAAAACACGGCCGTCTTTATCAAGCAACAGCGAATGGAAATCACCACTTGCTATTTGAACAATTTTGTAATCTTTTAATGTTGACAATTCGTGGCAATAATCCACAGGTCCTTTTGGTCGAGTTGCCCATGTTAGACCGGGTACTCCTAATTGACCCCTTGAGGGATAAACCTCGGTAGCCGCAGCAGCAGAGAATACACGGCCAGCATTAGTAAGTAATAGAACATGCTCCAGACCACTGGTGATTGACGTAACTTTCTCGCCTAGACTCAACAGAGGTGCGAGCTGTCGATAGCTAATTGGAGCCTTGGAGGACCACCCTGGAATCCAGGAACCTTCGGACGGCTTTGAACCTGACTGCTGATCAATCTTTGAGGTTGGAATTGAATATACGCTTCCATTGGAGGAAAGTGCGATAATTCTGTCCCGTGACATGCTAATCTTGATCAAATTCTTTCCCGTAAGAGTCCGAGATGGTTGAAAATCGGTTTCCGAGTATCCTTTGCCCCATTGAACCAAATCACCATTTTCAGTCACAGCAGCCCCTGAAGTCTGATCCAATTTGATATCTCTGAGAAGTTGGCCTTCGAAGTAGCGCAAGCGACGTGGTTCTTTGATTATTGTTTCTTCCGAGTCTGGATCCACGACACGATATTTATTAGATCCCCAAATATAGATGCCGGGATTGGCCGACATCTTCTTTATTTGTGCATGCTGAGCACTGAGGAGCTCGCGATTTCGCTCTTCCGTCACCGAGGCATCGGTTTTGGGCTTCTCAAACGTGACCTTCTCTAACCGCCTTGAGGGTTTCTCTTCTGTAGTTCCTTGATGACCTTTCAAAACGTAAGCCGCGGTTGCCGCTGTAAATGTTCCGAGAAGGGCGACTGCAGGTCCGGCCCATCGTCGAGAGCCCCCAATGCGCGTTGTCTGCTGGCTATAGCTTCGTCTGAAATTTCGTGCGCGAAGTCGAGCTCTGAGTAAACGTGACGAGGATCCGATCGCTATCGAGATCGGCTGTCTTGCGTGGCTTGCAGGCATTATTAGCACAGGGTTCTTGTTATTGAATCCGGGATTTTGCTGAGTTCTCACACTGAGAAACGTAGGGTCTTAGCTTTCCTCGAAGGGCTTCATCCAGATTTAAAGTTGAAGCTGGCTGCGTAGGCGGTGGCAGAATCTTTCAGATCTCCGCAAGTCTGGATGCACAACAGGAAGTGTCCTCTCAGTGTCAAAGATATCCAATGAAATGTCTAGCTTTGGTTACTGGAAATTTGAACTGGAGATCATGAATAATTGATTTTATTTCATATTTTCTATATTGATTTGCGTTCTCTAAAGCACGCCTCCTTCGGGAAACACAGTTCATATAATGCTGGCACTGTCCGCGGGGCGTCTCCGGAGTCCCAGTGACCCATCAGGTACACAACGAAAGAAAGCAAAAGCAAAAGCACCGGTGCAATTCACTCAGGTAGAGGAAGAAGCCGATATTACTACGATCAACGATGAGGTGGAATTTGGAAAGTGTTACCATACTGTGGAAGAAGACTTGCTAGACGCAAGTCACGAAGCATATCAGTATGTTCGATCACAGTCGCCAGACTACAGAAGTTCGTCTAACGTATGACCAGATCATGTCTCCACGAACTCGAAATTTCTAGAGTACACCTCGACTCTCTTCTTGCTGATACGTCGTCAACCCTCGAACTCTTGTCGAGCCTCTCCAAATCATTCCAAGCTGTCGACCTGCAGACATCTACGTTTCAGAAGCAATGTGAAGGACTGTTAACCGCGCAAGCAAAGAATACTCGCCTGGCAGATGATATTAGGGATAACCTTGTATATTACGAGTTTCTGGACCCTGCTTCTCGCAAGCTCAATGCTCCAGGTGCAGGGAAGACAGTCCGCAACAGTGATTTCTCAGATATGCTGAGAAAACTTGACGAGTGTTTGGATTATATGGAGTCTCATGTAGGTGTCTCGACAATTTACTTTTGGAGGAGGACGACCGCTGATGATGCTTTATAGCCCGAGCAAAAGGAGGCGGAAACTTACCGCTCCAGATACCGGTTGCTATTGACACGTGCGTTGACACTTATCCGTGGAAACTTTGTAGCTGCACTGCGAGAGACGGCGTCCGGGGTATCGAAGAGAATTGCAGACAAGCAGCTCAATGACACCACAATGTCAGCCTTATTGTATGCGAAATTCCGCATCGGAGCTGCTGAAATGAAACAGACTGGATTAGAGATCCAAAAGAGAGCTGTCCCGCCAGTTGATCCAGAGCAGGGAACCGAAGCGGAGTATCAAAGTCTTATGAACGAGTTACACATAAGCTTTGCTGCAACACGAGGAAAGCTTATTATCCCACTAGCGCGAAAAAAGCTCGCTAGCATTGCGCAAGCCCCTAGCACTTCTAAGGACTTGGTAGCGTTCGCTAGAGCCAGTATCGGCTACGTACGTGGGGTGTGTCTAGACGAGTTTGAACTTTGGGGCGAATGGTTCCATGGTCAAGCAGGCTTATATGATTTCTTAGAGTCCATCTGTGAGCCTCTTTATGATCATTTGAGGCCTCGGATCATCCACGAAACGAACTTGGTCAAACTCTGCCAATTGTGCACATTGCTACAAACTCGTTATATGTCTGATCCAGAAGATGAGACAGAATATAACGATCCAAATCAACTGGATTTCTCCGTCTTGATCCAGCCTGCTCTTGCAGATGCACAGACTCGTCTGGTATTTCAAGTGCAAGGTATTCTTCGTAGCGAAATCGAGAGATACCGTCCAAAGCCAGAGGACTTGGATTATCCGACTCGAATTCAACAAATATCTTCCACTGCTAAGGGCATTCCTCTGTCGGGTCGAAAAGGATCCGCGCTGCCAAAGACCCCTACGATCGTTGACGAAGACACTGATTCTCCAACAGAAAAAGACTCTCTTTGGGACATTGAGACTCAAGCCACATTTCAGGCCTGGTATCCCACATTGCGAAAAGCCATTTGGCTGCTCAGTCGTATCTATAGGCTAGTCAACGTGAGTTTGTGATCTTTCCCATTTTCAAATGCTTTCTAAACATTGACTAGTCAACCGTTTTTGATGACCTCGCGCATCAAATTGTCCATCAGACGACAGTCTCACTCCACCAAGCAAGCACACAGATATCAAACAAACATTCTCCTACGGACGGTCAATTATTCTTGATCAAACACCTTCTCATCCTCAAACAGCAGATCGTCGCGTTCGACATTGAGTATGTCACACCCGACATATCACTTGATTTCTCTGGAGTCACGAATACTTTCTGGGAGATTCGCGAACGTGGGGGTCTCTTCAACACGAGCAATCTTATGCGCCTAGTGGGCGGTGGTCTTTTACCAAAAGTCGTCGAAAATATGCTCGACGCGAAAGTCGAACTTGACGGCAGACTGCGGACGGTAATCAACGACTTTACCAACAATTTCGCTACTCGTATGACTTCGACTTTACCCACAAAATTCATAGAAAAGGGAAACATGGCGGATGGAGGTGCAATAAGTCCTGCTTGCCGCAGCATTGAGGAAGAAGTACCCCTATTACGTAAAGCTCTGGATGACTATCTGGAAGATACACGCACAAAAGAAACTCTAGTTGGTGCAGTGCAAGACCGCGTCATACAAATTTACGAGGAATTTTATGAAGGTTATACAGCTTCGTTGGCTAGAAGTAAAGGCGTACCAGCCAATGTGAAGGGCAAAGGTCGACAGGATGCTGTGTGGGATGTTGATACCTTCGAGGAATGGAGTGAAGGAGTTTTCAGGGTTGGCGTTGCTGGTTTGCGTTCTCCCAATAATGAGGAAGATGACGAAGACCATGACTCGGATGTATCGTAAGAGGCTTTTCGGTGGTTCGGGCCTTACCTATGCTACTATAACTTCTTTATATATACTTATTATAGGCGATCTTGAAGATACTCTGGAATCGTATTCTGTATATCTACTGATAAGCATGCGCTATGCAAGTCAATACAAAACCAAAGTCGCCAATATGCATTAGACCTTCGAAGTCAAACATGCGTTGCAACGACTATCCAGCACACTCAAAGCCGGTTCATAAAGGTACTAGAGCACATCACGAATCTTGGCATATAACTCCGTCTCTTCAAAGTTGAAATTCGGATCTGGAGCACAGAAAGGATGTTGGTTGAGAAGGGTGTCAGCAGTTGGACGATCAAATGTGTCACTAATGCTAGGTTAGCAGGGCGTGAACAACAAGTAGCAAAAAGAGAAGAGCTTTGCAGTTAGATAACTCACATTGTAAAACAGTCGTACATAAAAGCCAATGCTGCAGGACTGATATTCACAGACACATCTTCTGGGATTGGCGGTGCTTGACTGAGACTACCCAACTTGAAAATAGCACCAATCGCTTCTTCCCTACTCCATGGTCTACGACCGGCAAACATTTCCAAAACCACGCATCCAAGCGACCAGATATCCACCTTGGCACTGTATCCCTGGCCTTGAGATTGCACAACTTCCGGGGCCATCCAGAACACAGATCCTTGCATCGAGTTAGACGCATCATTGCCGTAGATGTTATCTGTTTTCTTCGATATACCAAAATCTGAGATTTTGCATGTGCCATCTAAATCGAGGAGAATGTTGTCTGCTTTAAGATCACGATGCAGGATACCTTGGTCGTGAAGATAGGACAGGCCCATGAGAGTCTGTCGGGTGAGTGACTTGACAACCGACTCTTCGAACTTGCCATGTTTGCGTAAACAGCTGCCGATGGAGCCACCAGAGATATACTCTAGATAGATCGAAATAGACAGCTCACCACGTTCACAACCAAGATACTGGACGATATTCGGATGCTCAAGATGCTGCATGGTATCGATCTCTTGGTCCATGGCGGCAACCATTTCCTTCACACGATCTTTGTCCTGACCAGCTATTCTAGGGTTGACCTCAACTTGTTTCACAGCAAGAACCTCTCCCGTATCGGCATTCATGCCCAGGTACACTCTACCATATGTACCTTTTCCAATAAGCTGACCTCGAATGATACGGAATGTCTGCTCCCGCTTAGGGACACTATTCAACTGGCTCAAACGACTTCCAGGCTTTGGACTGATTTGCATGATTTTTGCGCCGAACATCTTTGTGCTCTTCCTTCGCAGTATATCGCCCGACTTTTTGTTGGTTGGGCCTGCAGTACTTCGGTTTCTGTGAACTTGTTGTGCGCCTCTAGCAACTTCACGTATAGACTTCATACGAGTCAACCCTCCTGCCTTGTTGATGTTGCGTTGTGCGACTGAGTATCTGGCGTTTGGATCGCTGGGCCCTTGTTGATCAGATCCCTGATGAGGATTATTCGGCGGCGTCGGGAACGAAGACCCTGGCTTGTCTTTCATGACTGTGTTGACTGGAGAACTGGGAGGAGAGTTGCCTGGAGCCTCAAGGTAAGGTTCGTCGAGGTCAATGTTGGGGAAGAAATCGTCGAGGTTATTAATGACGCCTTCAACAGGAGGTCGACTGGCCCAGATGTCATCTCTCGCAAACGAGTCTCTGCGATCATGTCGTTCATCCTCCGGTGATGATAGATCATCCGTGAAGGGTGCGCCGCTTTTCTCATATACTGAGCGCAAATCTGCCGGCATAACTGCTGAGCTGGGGTACGAAGGACCAGCAGATCTCTCATCACTGGTGTTGGGCGACTTGAAACTAACCGACAAGCCCTTAGTCGATCTTGTCGAAGTGTTAACTGTAAGAGAAGGCTTCTGGGACTTTAGAGGCGTAACCTCTGAACTAAGTCCCTTGCCCTTAGATTGTGTATCCTTTTTAGTTGAAAGAGGAACTGCGAACAACCCATCATCGGAATCTTCCTCTGATTCTTCGGGTTCCATTTGAGGTGTTCGAGGTGCATTGAATGTGACATTGGCTTCTTCAAAGTCATACTCTGGACCAAACGATTTGCGACTTTGTAGTGGTGGTGGCCTGAACGAGGCCGTCGATGGATTTCTTCGCACGGTATTAGAGGTGGTATCAGTGATGGTAGACTGCGATGATGTGGAGGAAGACGTAACAGTTCCGGACATGGATACATGTGATTGCTCAGAATTTGTATATGAAGGATCGGTAGCTCTACTCGTGCCAGTAATAACAGGAGCCAGCCTTGTTTCTGGTGATTCTTCCTCTTGAATTAATGTATATTTAGGTGATTGATGCTGAATCCTTGTCTGCAAGCGAGGACGATCAGTACTTCTCTTACTAAGTGAGTTGACTTTGGTGAGCGTATTCGACTCAGAGGGCGCAGATGGGGGCTTTCGTTGAGGAACAAGCCCCTCATGCCGTTTATCCTCGTATGGAGAAATCCGCCGTTGGTCAAAATCGATGACACCCTTGCTTCGATACCCGTTCTCACTATAATTCTCCTTGTGAAGCTGTAATTCCGAGGGTTGCTTCGACCTAGAGAAAGTACGCTGTTTCCGGTCAACATCGAGTTCATGTCGCGATGCTGAATCACCGCCAGAGCTAGTGTTGCCAAATGTACTTTCATGCAGAGATGGTGATGACTGGTCAGAGCTCGTTTTCGCTGTAAGATGGTGAGCTAAAGGAGGCGAGCCGGACGCTCCTTGGGTATGTGGAGTGCCACGATGGACACCGTCGTCTTCCAAAGGCTTTCTATGCACTTGGTAATGGGCTGAAATAGGAGAGGATGCGACCTTATCAGGGAAGGATACGCCCAAGCCAGTGGAATCTACAGATGGATTGCAGCGCACATAAAACTTGAGAGATCCTAAGGGATCCGCTCGCGCGCGACGGCTAAGAATCAGCACCGAGTCGTCGAGAAAATCTTCATGCTCCATTTGTCCTGGCTCTGTGACTGCAATTTGGGCGTTGTGCCAATCAGCGATACCTAGATTTTGGCAGATTACTGTTCGTAGACTCTCCGCTGTTTCAGCATCTGTAACATCCACCAGGCGATAGTTCCAGCCATCTAAAGTGGCCATCACGTATCTTTGCTTTGCAGATTTCAGTCGAGCTGTGCTTCTCTCGTAGTCAGAGAAGGATGAGGATAAGGGACGCTCGCCTAGCGACAAATCGCTATTATTAAAGGATGACTTGTTAAAAGGGCTGTTCAAGCCATTGTGGCGCATAAATGAAGGGCTTGTGGGTGAATCCAGAAGCTGATCTTCTGGCGATGGATTCGAATCGTGATAGCGGGGTTTCTTCTTGAAAAATTGAAAGAAGCCTTTTCCGGGATCCTTGCCAGTATCTTGGGGTGTTAGACGTGTATTATCATGTGCCTGCTTTCGGTTTTCGTAAAACCGAGGGACAGTGGAATTTCCACGCCCAGTGAGTGATTCAGTGCTATTTCCTCGGTGATGTTCAAACCTGGAGGTCAGGTCTCCAGTTGAAGATGAGGTTAATCCCGACTGAACATGGGTGGCATGCTGGGCTGCCGGACTTCCACTTTGGGGACTATCTTCGTAAGCTTTGAGCGACGGCGCTGGAAACATGCCGCCATCGCTAGTAGAAGGACTTTGCCTTCGATGTTCATCTAAATTAGAAAGTGCGCTTCTGGAGTATTCCGACCGTTGGTTTACAGCCAGGTCACTGTCAGTAACGTCATGTTTTTGCGCTGATGGGGCTGTAACGGGGCGGGCTTGAACATTCTGCTTGTTGACCTGAGGGGGAGGTGGACGGTGAGCAGGGTGACTGTAAGTATTTTCCATCGTCGTAGGCGCAAATGGCGGAAACGGCGAATCCCAGGCCAAGTTAGGAGAGTTCTCTACACCACCATCAGTAGAAGCACTAGGAAGTGTCTGTGACTCCCGTCGGCGGTCTGTCAGCGTGGCCACGTCACTCCCATCATCGTGTATCTGGCGGATCAGTTTCCGCATCCTTTTGCCTTCGTCACGTTCTCGAGCTTGGTCCCAACCGATCCCGCTCTTTTGGCACTCCTTTGCTAGTTGAGGATAGACAACTTGGTGCATTTTACCCAAATTGCCGCGGCCATTCGAGCCTTGGCCAAGCTCCAGGAAGTCTGCACCTTGAAGCTCTAGCGATTTGAAAGTCTCCTGCCAATCCTTGGAAAAGCCATTCCTCGCAAGCCAGCTAACCACCCTTTCAAGAGGCCACTGGACCGCCGCATCTCCAGCGGACACACCGCCAAATGATGTACCGCTGGCATTATGCTTGTGGCTTGAGGTCCGCACTGGTTCGGTGCCAGGATTCTGTAATGTCGCTGTGGCTGGTCCCGGAGACATGTTGTTGTGGTTGACATTTCCAAGTACAAGAGAAGGAGGCAAATTTCGAGATGGAGTGGGAGGAATGCTACCATCTCTTCTATATGAAGTATCCGAAGACGCGCTATCCCATGTGGTGGCACTTGGACGTGGCCGCTCTGTAGCTACAGAGTGTCCATAATTCTCATAGAGCGGCGGGATGCCTACCCCTGGCCCAAAAGTCTCGCTCGATGGTATGTAAGTGGCAGAAGTGAGCGGTTGCCCCTCAGATGGCGGCGCAAGTATCGGTATGGACAACGGCGTGGGTTGTTGACGAAGATAGGCTTGGTTCGCCGGCATCAGGGACGGATGAGGCACGGGAGGAGGAGGTGGCGGAGGGGGGAAGTTCTGTGTGCGCCATCCTGGCCATTGATTCGACCCTGGGTAAGCCGATTGAGGCGGCGGTCCGGGTGGAGGAGGAGGAATTAGACCATGCTGTTGCGTCGATGGCCTTGGGGGTGGGGGAGGTAGAGGGATTATATGAGACTGGTTGGGTTGCGATAGTGGAGGCGGAGGTGGAATATATTGTTGTCGTTGTTCCATGATAACAGAACTCGTTTATATCACGGTTAGAGAGGCGTTGGTCGCATATTCAAGGACGTGACTCAAGCTGGCTCATTGGAAGCTCTCAATTGATGATGTATAGAAATGTACACTGTCCATGCAGCAAACTTCATGATCGGTGATGTCGAAGAAAAATATAGGTGCCTTGCCAGCGCTAGAATTCTCATAAAATGGGTATCAATGCTAAAGCCGGCCGATATTTAAAGAACGCGTCGAGCGTTTCGGTCAACGAACGTCGCTCGGTGGAATTGGAGTGAAGCAGGTAATGTGTCGGCCTGATCGCAGTATATTGGGTCTCCGCAGAGTATCTGATCAGCCCAGTCTTTAAAGGTTCTGCCAGCAACCACAAAGCAAGGTTACTACGGTAAGAGACTCCGAAGTCAAGACCCACGGAGGCGCTGGTGGGTCCCCTTTGAGGAACGTAAGGACAAGGTTTGTTGATATAAAGATAGCCTATAGCTGACAGAAGTTCTATGACAGAACTGTATCAGGGATATATCGTGCTAAGGAGCCGATGGGCAGCTTTACGGTTTGCTGGCACTTGCATCGACGGCCAGGATAGAGTGGTCGCATGTTTTCTGCTGGCTTCGGCGGTGGGTCGATGATCGAGAATCACGTGAAACCCGTTGCAGCCTTAGGGCGCCATTGGGCCAAATCTGATATTATTGGTAACCAGAATAGAGTTTTGATTGGCTGAACCAGGGGTATTTTTATATAAGACAAAGCTGCCCAGTCGTAGCCCGCAGTTCCCCTGGATTAAAGACATAGACTTGGAAAGAAGAGAACAATCTAAATATCATAATCTATATGTATCTAACTGGAAAACAACCAAGTACCCGTCATAATGCAATACTTATTCATAAGGTGAGAATAAAGAAAGAATTTTCAGCCCATGTTAGCTTGACCTAACCACGCCCCCACAATATAACCAGTCTCGAAAGAAGCTGGCGCTATTCGCTTTAGGCACTCTGGTTCCTTTTCTCTGAGGCCTCCGCGGTCGATTTCAGTGATAAAGGAGCGTCATCACGAGGCATGTATAGTTCCACGAACTGGACTAAGTTAGTCGAATGTCACTGGCGGTTCTATGAAATTAAACAAGCTTACCTGCAAGCACTTATTGGAAGAGAAATCCTCGTTTGCAAACAAGTCCAACAGTGCTTTTCGGGTCTTGATTTGATGTGTCTGATATTCACCAGCCTTTCCGCCGAAAGCCGCAGGAATGTCAACGAACTTCCATGGTTGGATATCATTGTAAGACGCATCCCAACCATGAATGTATCTCTCAATGGTATAGCCGTCGTTGCAAATTACGAAACTATTTATTTCGTTAGCTCATACAATCCAAATTGGGTCGAGGGAATCAGGGCCTGCGTACATGATAGGCTTAAGCTTCTTTCTCAACATGGTGCTCACTTCCTGTGCAGTGAGCTGGAAACTTCCATCACCAACGAAGAGAACAGTTCGTTGATTACTCTTGAGGTCTTCTGCGGCCAACGCTGCACCATGACAAGCGCCTACAGAATACCCAATGGAACCCCAGAGAATCTGGTTAATAGCAGTCACACCTTTGGGGAAGCGAGTCTCCCAGGCGCCAAAGTTCGCGGTTCCGGTCTCTGTGATGAAGATGTCGTTCTCGCGAAGCCACTGGCCAACAGTGGGCCATAGCCATGCGTGCGTAATGTTTTGGTCTTTTGAATCTATTTCACTTTTGGGGAGTTTGTTGGAAACATGGGGGATCTTGCCAACATTCAAATCTCCCATTCGGTCTATAACCTTTCGTAGAACGCCTTTCATGTTGATGCCGGGATATTCTGAATACCGAACTCTGACAAGGTAGCTGTGGAAGTCAATGGTATTCAGCTGGCCGATGCGATACGTGAAACCGGCTGTGTTGAAGTCGGACTTGATAGCGCCAATACTGAGGATGAGGTCAGATCCCTCCACTATTTCCCTAACACCTGCGTTTGATCCGTCTCCCGCATAAACTCCGCCATAGTTTGGATGGGTCTCATTGACCGCACCTTTACCCATTGGGGCAACAAAGGTCGGTAATCCAGACTTCTGGACAAGGTCATGGACTTCTTCAAGCACACGATGGCGAATGGCACAAGCATCGACTAGAATAACAGGGTTCTTTGCCTCGTGTAATAATCTTAAGACCAAGTTCACGACATATTCTTCTTTCTCGGGGTCATTTGGCTTCCTGTTGAGGTCCAGGGGAGTCTCGAGTCGTTTGCCTTCAACTTTTTTGAGCACCATGTCCGTTGGTAGACCGATGTAAACCGGTCTGCTTTGAACCCAGCATTCGCGGATGGCATTGTCTATCAATGTCGCGGCGTTGAGAGGATCATTCAAGCGCGCTACTGAACACGATACTTGTTCGCTCATATCGGCGAACACGTTGTAGTTTCCGTTACCGAGTGTGTGGTGCAACAGCATACCATCTCTCTGTGACGCAGTATGTGGCTGGCCGACAATATGGACGATAGGGACGAATTCTGAGTATGCTCCAGCCATTGCGTTGATTGCCGAAAGTTCTCCAACACCGAATGTCGTGATCATAGCCGAGATTCCCTTAACTCGAGCGTAGCCATCAGCGGCGTAGCCTACATAAAACGTCAGTCTCGACATTTTCCGCGACTTTTTAGGTTGGTTCCCATACCAGCATTGAGCTCGTTGCAATTTCCCACCCATTCTAAGCCGCACTTGGGCAGATAATCGAGAGCTAGCAGGTTATAATCACCTATTCAATTCGGTTAGCGGTGATTTTCATTCATATCCCCCGTTTAAGGACTCACCAGGTACTCCATGAACCGAGCGGACTCCCACCTCGTGCAAACGACGGTAGAGATACTCCACCACGGTGATGGGCTGCTGCAGTTCTCTGGTTACGATGTCGGAAGACATTGTGTATAACTGGAATAAGTTTTATCGATTGAGTCTTGATAGTGTGATAATCGTGGAAAGAAAGAACTCTCAGAGTGCCAGAGGGCCCAATAGATATACTCTTGCTGTCTCGGCGAGCATGATGTAATCAATCGTATGACGACAGTGGGGTGCTCATCAGGAGACGTTGATGCTATACGCTGCAACCATCACCGCAACACTCTTTGAGTTAGTTGTTGTTGAACGATAAGCAAGTTGCATGTTCTGGAGGAGCTCATATCATACGATGGCACTACTATGCAGTGCCAGGGTCAGAACGGTGTGGCGGTGGACTGATGATCTACTTGCCGTAACCTTAGGAGTCGCGACGATGGCCCCGCACCTTCCGATTTGATTTTTTTTCTATCCTCCGAACAACTCAGACAAGAGAGTTAACGCCACAAATTCGATATCTTTTCAGCATCTAAGCATCAGAGTAATATTTGTGGCGAGCCGCAAGTCTCAGACACCCTGTGAGGCTCCACTTGCCAGGCTCTTCTTGGATAGCTTATCTGCTAACGCGCTACGTGATCCAGTCTTCACCTCCGTTGCCAGGGCTAAAGGATGGCGAGTAGGCCTCCGAATCGGGTTTCGAAACCGAAAAAGGTCTTACTTGTGCGCTTCCTTGAGATTTACTTCCACTGAACTCACAATTCCATTATAGGGCGGCGGCAATTATAAAAAATCGAAGGGCGGTCCAGCGTACAAGGTCGCTTTCGAGTCAGGCGATGCCGGAGTTTTCATTACATGCGATATGGGGCGAGAAGGGAAATGTGCTGGAGAAATTCTAGATATATTCACGGAGGTCAGCTTTTTCGTCATTCCAGGCGGATTTTGTTGAGGGGGCGCGTGGCGTGACGAGCGAGACTGAAACGAATCAACAATACAGTACTATGAGAAGTCATTGGGCAAGCAGAATCTCAGTGGTGCAACCGGTCAGAATATTGAAAGTGAAGACGATAACGAAGACGATAGCGATGCTGGTGATGACATTGAGGCTCAAATCAGAAAGGAAGTTGAGGGCCTGAAACCCAAGGCATCCAAGCCTCGATTGTTTCAGAAAGTCACTGCGAACATGCCTTGCAGTAAGCCATCACCTGCGATCTCCACTGGGATGGACTTTCCTCTGGACATGAAATGATGTTGATATTTGTTAGTGGTTTTCTACCGGGTCGATAAATCCATAGATCCGGTGAAGCTCGTCCACGACATATGCGAAGAAGCAAAAGCCAACCCGGAGGAGAGAAAAACTCGATGGATCAAGCGCATGACTCCAATCACTCAAATCCGAAAAGTTTTGAGTGTGGATTTGGCTGCATTCGCCAAGGAGGTCTTAGAGCCTTACTTCCATGGAGACGCTGGACCCAAGAAGGTCAGTCTATATTCAATTTCTGCCTTGGTTTTGATGCCCCTTCTGGTACTACTAGCATGGGGGGGCTAGCTCTATATTGGTCATCCTTCTGGGGTTTCTGCAGATCCCAGGCTAAATGATATATACCGTGATTAGTTTGCGATTCGTCCTGCAGTTCGCAACAACAACAGCTTCAACAGGGACGACATCATTAAAACAGTTGCAGCAGCCGTCGGACCTGGACACAAAGTTGATCTCAAGAATCCTGACTACACGATTTTAGTTGAGATCGCTCAGGTAGGCATATCACTTCCGCGGGCCGCTTGTGCATAAGACTTTTTTTTCTCACTGACATGTTCGGTTTTATAGAATCTGATTGGTATGAGCGTCGTCGAAAGTGATTATGACAAGCTCAAACGGTTCAATTTGATGGAAATATATAGTCCAACCCCAAAACCGCAACAAAACCCGGCAGCATGAATGAGAATGAGGCAGAGCGCAACCATTCCGTCAAGCTACGAGAACAATAACCCTGTCCATCGCAGCGTCATCGTGCATACTGCACAAGAGGGAAGGAATTGGATCTTCTCCGCGGGAATCCTAGACATCACCTATTGGACTGACACTAACTATGTGGTAGTGGTCAGTTGAAGAGAGCAGCAAACTCAAAACATCGCCAATATGGTTCTGAATAGCGATATGCTTGTACTGCCTTATCTCAACGGTAACGATATTATCATCAACTACTGCACTGGTTACTATAACCATTGAGAGACGGAGATGACTGTTTCTGAACCTGCTTCAATTCTTGAACATACTTCAAGCCAATATAAATAGTTGAGTAGGATCCTATGGGATACTTTATGTCTGAAGAAGCCTTCTTGTAGACCCCTGGTTTGTATTTTTGATGATCTGATCCATGTCCCATTTCGAAAAGGATCTCATTCGCTCGAAGATATCCGAGTCAGCCCATCCACATATACTCGCATATGCGTGCAGAGCAATGGGACTATCAATTGATGCCATCGTCGTCTATGCTCTTGGATATAGTATAGAAGTTATCCGAATTCTGAGAACCAATCGGGTCGCTGCAACAGAGACCTCCTGCCATTTCGGGCCATCTCGCCAATCCGTGGTTCTGATTGGCCAGCGACAACCCTGGAAGCGAGCGGACGAGTTGTGGCTTCCATCCGGCTCTACTTCAAGACTCCTAACACACGACGACCTTCTCTCCAGATCAAGGAATATCGCCGTTATGCATTGGTCGCTCGCATATCTCGCTTCATAAGCGACCTCGCAGCCACTCACTCCAGTCCAACAACGTGAGCAGATTGCCAACCGTCTAAGCGACGCCTGGCTGGCCTCGAGGGCTGTTGCGAAACGACAATGCCAATACTAGTCAGCATATGACGAGCTGAACAGTAAACACCAACAGTTTCTCGCGGCCCACACAGCCAGTCACTAAGTACGTACATGGAACTGAGTTTGTTGGCCGTGATGCAGTTCTGCAGTGTTGAGTTTTCCGTCTGCCAGACCTGAGGTTTACCGAGATCTACACGATACAGCTCTCTTTTCTAATGTGCTTTGACATCTCGGTTCTGTGGGTCCGATTTCAGACCGATACAGTTTTCTGCAACTGCAAGATGTGACGTTATATAATATGAGTTATTTATTATTAGGGCTGGTCTCACCTACGGGAAGTCAATCGTCCCCCCAACTATCCTCAGGAGAAAGATCGACCAGTCTATCGCATCGCATGAGGTGGTTTCGGCCTTTGAGCATTCCTGGCATTAGATGATGATGTTTCCTGTCTAGCCCGGCATCTACACCCTCATCAGTTTGCGTGGTCCTATCTCACTCTAGCCTGGTGTGATGACGATGCGGTTGCCTTCACTGGAAGTTGTCGATGGCCATTCCCTTGGTAAAGCCTCACACGATGTCAGCTTCTCAGCTCATATGCTGATGGGATTCAGCGCGTCTGACAACTGTTTTCGGAACGTGGTGCAGCTATTATTCCCACCTACCGTCTATCTTCGCAGTACACGAATCCTTTCTTCGCGTGTTTATCGGGTTTATCATTTAAATCTGTCAAATGGGCATCAACTCGTCCTCCGAGCGTCCCCACCACCAGCTATACCGCTCCTTCGAAGAGAACGGGCTTCTCTTGAAACAGAAATGAGAGCCCTCACTATATTAGCCCCCATCAACAGTCCCTGCATACCAAGGCTATATCGACATATATCTCGTGACGCTTCTCCAAGCGTTTCATTGCTTGTCAGGCAATACATAGACGGCATTCCTCTGGCAGAAATGCAAGATCAACTATCTGCGAAGGATCTTAATGACGTTGATAGACAGCTCGGATCACTGATCAAGGCCGTTGGCCAACAGGTATCGACAGCCTTTGGACCGCTTAGCAAGGTAGCTGCAGGAACGGGGCACCGACATTGGCGTGAAGCATTTGTTACACTCTTCGAAGAAGTCCTTCGAGACGCAGAAGACATGTTCATCCATCTTCCATATCATCAGATACGGAGAGAAGTCTCTCGGTTGTCCGCTGTTCTTGACGAGGTTACCACTCCTAGATTAGTGGTCATGAATCTTGGCCGTCCATCAGAAGTGCTACTCGATCCCAGCACGAGGCAATTGTGTGGACTATTAGATTTTGGGAGTGCCTTGTGGGGCGATATTATGTTGGCAGAAATATTTGAATCACCCTCAGACGCCTTGCTCGCAGAGTTCGGGTCGTTTCCGCAATCCCGCTCTATCAGATCTCTGTTGTAAGCTTTTGTGTCTAATGACTACACTAAGTTTTCGCACTAACGAGTTTGCAGATACTCATGTTACAGACATGTCTACAAGATCACCGAGCTCTACTATCGGAACAGCAATAATGCGATAGAGATGGAGGTCCGCCGTAGGTTGACGGACCTTCTACAAACCCTGACAATGACAGAGTTGCCCTATTGATGTGATGTATGAATTCTGGGAGGGGAGTACGTCTCTTTTTGTCTTGTTTGTGCCATCAAGGTATGCTTCTCATAGTATCAGAATTTACTGCACTCGACTTTGGTGGTTTAGCTGGTCATTACACCTATGATCACGCCATAAGCCATCACAACCAATAAAATCTATATGGAATAGAATAGAAATGATTAATTTAGATTAAATTCAAGCTACAACCTTGGAATATATCAATTCGATGGTATTTTATTATCTATATAAGCAGGGTAACTGAATGCTTGTCTCTATTCAATGTTGCTGCCTGTCCTCAATGCTACCTAACTATCCGAAATCATTTTAGCTTAGCAGCTTTATCAACCCATTAAGCCAATCACATATATTTGCACAAAATATGATGTTGGGACTAACTAGCTAGATCAAAAAGCCGCACACATAGTCACATATAGTTTAATGCTGATAAAGGTGGTCACGTGGAGTGAGGTGGTATTCCAAGATACGATCATTATAGCTGCCTATATCTAATCCTACACTTCAAAAACATCGCATGCGGGAAGGACTAAAAGTTTCCATCTGCTGTGACTGGAATTGGTCTCGTCCACTACCGAGACAGCATCGCAATCATAGTCATCATCAACCGGGAATCCAAGATGCCATTCTTTCCAGGACAGGACGACTTACTCCAGCTGGATGAACAGCGATTTGACTTCAATATACAGTTCGAACAGTTATTCTTCTCGATCATACCATCTGTCGTGTTTATTGTCACATCGTTATGGCGGACCGCATCGCAGGCGCGAAAGCCCACTGTGGTGAATGCTCCAGTGTTTCAACTGATCAAATTGGTACGCTCCTAGCTATGCACACGATCGATAATACCGACAGCTCGCTGATCAATCTGTATTAGGGCGCAATTACAACATATTTTGGCCTTGATCTTTCACTCCTGATCCTGGTCGTTGTTGGCTCCTTTCAAGTCACGGCTATTTTTATAGCTTCCTCGGTCCTCAAGCTTGTGTCAACCCTTTTCATGATAGTGCTGAGCCTTGTTGATCACAGTAAAAGCCCAAGACCGTCTATGTTATTGAATAGCTACCTGTTCTTGACCCTTCTATTGGATGCAACCCAGGCAAGAACGTTCTTTCTATTATCAGGCGACAGACCCGAGCTCAGCTACAGTAGCATCTTCGCTGCGGCTATAGCCCTTAAAGTAGGAATATTGCTGTTAGAAGCCCAACGCAAGTCACAATGGGTGAATTGGGACGAAAAAGAGCACAGTCCGGAGGAGACAAGCGGGATCTTCTCTCTTGGTGTCTTCTTTTGGCTTAACAAGATCTTCTTAGATGGTTACAAGAAGATATTAGCTATAAAGGACCTGTACCCGCTTGATAGCTCTTTGAGCGCCGAATCACTGCACGAAAAGTTCTCGGAGAATATAGACTACACGAAACTAAAGGGCGACAAATTTGGTCTTCTGAAAGTGCTTATGCGCACGTTGAAAGTACCCCTTTTAGTCCCTATACCCCCACGCCTTGCGCTACTTGGGTTCACCTTCTCCCAACCATTCTACATTGAGAAGCTATTGGATTACCTAATGCAGTCTAAACCCGACGTTAATTTTGGGTATGGCTTCATCGGCGCCAGTGTACTAATTTACTTAGGAATTGCCGTTTCTACAGCTCTCTACTGGTATGCGGCAATTATCCCAGAAGAAATGTGAATTTTACCCTTCTAATCTACGTATAGGTACTTTCATCATCGAATGCGTGCCATGACAAGGTCGATCTTAGTCACTGAGATCTTCCAAAAGGCCATTAAAGCTCGAACCGGGTCTGGCGATGACAGCGCTGCGCTGACCTTAATGAGTACCGACATAGAGCGAATCGACATGGGCTTCAGAACCTTGCATGACATGTGGGCGAGCGTTATCCAGGCCGGCGTAGCTAGTTGGATGTTGTATAATCAACTTGGCGTGGTATTTGTCGCGCCAATGGGGGTCGTCACATTATGCTCCATCGGTTTGGCAATTCTCATGAAATTCACTGGTGACTCGCAAAGGGACTGGATGGCAGGAGTCCAGAAGCGGGTTGGTCTGACTGCTACAGTCATTGCTAACATGAAAAATTTGAAAATATCTGGCCTCTCTGGTGCAGTTGGTGACTTTGTGCAAAGGCTTCGTGTAGAAGAGCTAGCTTCAGCAACCCAATTCCGCCGAATACTCATCATTGCGGCTCTCTTCGGTTTCTTTCCAATGCTAATAAGTCCGCCGCTAACATTTGCATTTGCTCAACGGACATTGGATGTTTCGAGGATATTTACGAGTCTCTCTTGGCTTTTGCTGTTAACGAACCCGCTCTCTCAAATCTTCCAGTCAGTCCCGTCGCTTCTCTCGGGCCTAGCTTGTTTAGGCCGAATTCAGGAGTTTCTGGAGTGTGAAGATCGCCATGACTTCCGCGAAATTCTTGCTGATATTGGACGAAACTCGGGAATGGCCCCGGCAAATGTAATGGTCTCTTCTGCTTCCGAGCTAGAAAAATCGCACCCAGTTATCATAATAAATGGAGACTTTGGCTGGGAAGCAGATAAGCTCGTCCTACGAAACATAAATACCCAGTTGCCCAAGGCCTCCCTCACCATTGTCGTTGGACCAGTTGGTTCGGGAAAATCCACACTCTGCAAGGCACTACTCGGAGAAATTCCTTTCAGTGACGGTAATATTATATTGAGCAACAGATTTCGTCACGTTGGATTCTGTGACCAGACAGCATTCCTTTGGAACGGCTCTATCAGAGACAACATCGTGGGATTCTCCACATTCAACTACGAGAGATATGCGGAAGTTATCCAGGCTACATCCTTGGACTTTGACTTTGAGGCACTTCCACAGGGAGACAGAACGAATATTGGCTCTGATGGCATCACATTATCTGGAGGCCAGAAACAACGAGTTTCTCTCGCACGTGCCCTGTATTTGCAATCCGATCTTTTGGTTCTGGACGATGTCTTCAGCGGCTTAGATGCGGACACTGAGGAGCAAGTCTTCCGGCAAGTCTTCGGTTCAAATGGACTACTCAGGCGAAGGCGTTGCACCGTCGTGTTGTGCACCCATAGTATCAAGCACCTACCTGCGGCGGATTACATTATAGCACTAGGAGACGGCACCATTCTTGAACAAGGTAGCTATGACGAGTTAGTCGCCCGTCAAGGATATATTAAACGTCTAGGATTGAGCGGATCTCTTGACAGTAGTGCTTCATCCGATAAATCAACTTCCATGAAAGGCATTCGAGAAGTGAACTCACAACTACTTCGCACGACAACTATCAATATATCATCTTCTGAGCCTGACACCGATAGTTCACGGCAAGTTGGCGATAAAACGGTATACATACATTATTTCAAGAGCATGGGTTGGTTTCTGGCAGCATGTAGTCTGTTTTTGGCAGCTCTATGGGGTTTCTTCTCAACCTTCCCAAACATATGTGAGTAGAATATATATCCGCGCAGCAACTCCAGTCGATTCGAGGCCGGGTCCAAGGGAGGCCGCCTATCAGAGACACGACTAAACAACATCTTTCTGCAGGGCTCAAATACTGGTCTGATGACGCTTATTCGGAGCATCCAGCTCACACTTATGCCTACTACGCTGGGATATATGCTCTGTTTCAGATATGTGCCATGATATCGCTCTTCCTATTTGCCATCGCGATCATCATCGTCTCTGTGAGCAGAGCTGGTGCAAATCTCCATCAAGATGCTTTGCAAACACTCATCCGAGCTCCGCTACGCTTCTTCACAACCACAGATACTGGTGTCATCACCAATCTATTTTCACAGGACCTGAATCTTATAGATACAGAGCTGCCAAATGCTCTATTGAATACCATGTCCAGTGTACGTTTACTCCCATAAGCAAGCTGCAGTGATATTGCTTCTCCTCAGCCTTCAGAGACTGTTTGAATCAAGCTGTTTAATCTAACGTCCATCAGGTTTTTCAAGCAATCGGAGAAGCAGCCGTTATACTTACTTCGTCTCCGTACATGGCCATAAGCTACCCGTTCCTCGGTGCCCTACTTTATATCCTGCAGAAGTTCTATCTGAGGACTTCTAGACAGCTCAGGTTGCTAGATCTTGAGGCTAAAAGTCCTTTGTAGTATGTCAACCCGTCTCTGCTGTCAATTGGCCGTCGAGTGTTTTCCGAACTGATATATATCTCTCTAGCACTCATTTCCTCGACACTCTCAAGGGTATTGCAACTCTGAGGGCTTTCGGTGAGTAACATGCAATCCACGAATTTCATAACTGATAATCCTAGATATATGGTATGAAACTGACACTGTATATGCGCCAGGATTTCTTTCCGATGATATCCACAAAAACGTTCGACTAATCAACTCCAGCCAACGGCCCGCATACCTCCTCGTCATGATTCAGCAATGGCTGAACCTGGTTCTAGACCTTGTAGTCATGATAATGGCAGTGGTGCTGACAGCTCTTGCAGTTCGACTACACTCCAACTCCGGGTTTATCGGTGCTTCTCTAGTGACACTCATGAACTTCGGTGAGAATCTCTCAGGCATTGTCATATTCTACACCAGATTAGAGACTTCTATTGGCGCGGTAACCAGACTGAAGGCGTTCAACGAAAACGTGAAGCCGGAGGACAGGGATGAAGAGGATATTGTTCCTCCTGAACAGTGGCCGCAAAATGGTTTAATAGAATTGAAGGGGGTTTCTGCGAGTTACGAGTAAGAATTCATCTGCACAAATGACACATTATTCGGAAGAAGCTAACATCTTTAGTAGTGGGGAGGAACAAGTCAATAGTACACCCAACTTAGCCCTCCGCAAAGTTAACCTGAGGATCAACTCAGGGGAGAAAGTGGCCATCTGTGGCCGTACTGGCAGTGGCAAGTCCAGCCTCATCGCCCTGCTGCTCAAGCTCCTGGACCCGGTCTCGGAAACTGCAGAGCATGCAGTTATTGATGGTATCCCGCTCCGTCGCATCTCTCGATCTGCGTTACGGCAGCGTATAATAGCAGTACCACAAGAAGCCGTGTTCTTGCCGGACGGCTCAACATTTAGGACTAATCTAGACCCGCTCGACGCTTCCACGGCAGAAGAGTGCCAGAATGTCCTCGCGGCTGTAGATATGTGGCGTTTCGTCCAGGAACGGGGTGGCCTAGATGCAGCAATGAGTGCAGGAAGTTTAAGCGCGGGACAACGGCAACTAATGTCCCTTGGACGTGCGTTACTGAGACGACGTACCCGGGCGCGGAGCTTAGGGTTCAATGCCGACTTCTCAGAGAGCGGTATCCTGCTATTGGACGAGGTGAGCTCGAGTGTTGACCACGAGACAGAGCGTGTTATGCAGGAGATTATCAGAACCGAGTTTAAGGCATACACGGTTGTAGCTGTTAGCCATCGCCTGGATATGATCATGGACTTTGACAGAGTCGTTGTCATGGACACGGGCGAGGTTGTGGAAGTAGGAAACCCGGTCAAGTTGGCAGAGAAGGAGGGGACCAGATTCGGGGAGCTCGTGAGAGCAGGGGCTAAATAACTAGGAACGTATAATGTGTGGAAATACGACTTCACTCCGAAATGAACCTGTTTCCGACTGCATCGTTGCCATTAGGTCGCCTCATATGAGTATCAGCTCATTAGAATAGTAACTCCAAGACCTTCGAGAGTACTTTCAGGGAAAGTCAGCAACGAATGAACGAGACAAAAAAAGAAAAAAATTGAAGAATATCGAGAAGAAATATACTCAGTTGCCCAGACCATGAATCGAACATGGCTCACATCGGCCACAACGATGTATCATAACCACTAGACCATCTGGGCTGTTGCGATGTGGCTCCACCGTCTTAGCGCTCTTATTTTTGAAGAGGAAATTTTTATGTGCTGAGAAGCCCTAATCAATCTTATCGAGAGTTAATCTTCGGTGGTTAGCCGCTAGTTTATCTGCTAGACTATATCGGGGTAAGCACCTCTCGGCTTCCCGGAGATGGGACTACGTCACCCCGCTCCTTGTTCGATAACTTCAATTTGTTGCTTTCGATCCTCATGTAGCGACCTTGATACCATTCTGATATAGGGATCTGCAGAGGAATAATTTATTGGCGATAAGATTGATACTAGCGGCGCCTAGCTCTTTCGAGACTGCCCTCAATGGCTCACTTCCTACGCGGCAAGCAGGCAGGCATCCAGAAGGATCTCTCCGAGAGCCTATCGCCTACACTCTTCACACTCGATGAGGTTTGTTATTATCAATAACGGATTCTTACTCTCAATTCTGACCGTGGTGAAATAGTATACCCGATATGGCATTAACTCCCGCATCTCCGCCATCGCCTACGATCCCGTCCAGTCCCTGCTGGCAGTTGGAACCAGTGATACACAGTTTGGAAGCGGACAAATCTACGTCTTTGGCCAACGGCGGGTTTCCGTCATTTTTAGTCTACCGCGCAAAGCGTCTGCAAAGTTTTTACACTTCTGCGCTGATAAGCTCGTCAGCGTTGATTCCAAGAGTGAGCTTTCTATCTTCTCATTAGAGACGAAGAAGACACTGGTTTCATATGCCCCCCCAAGCCATGTATCTGCGGTAGCGGTTGATCCTAGTATTGATTACGTGGTTCTCGGCCTTCAAAATGGTATGCTCCTCGTGACGAAACTTGATTCTGTGATGCTTACCTTTATTTCGATTGTTTGCAGGGGAGATAATTGCCTACGATATGGACAGAGAATGCCTTACACCATTCAGACTACCGAACTTATGGCTCGAAAAGAATCCCCGGGTGAGGATGGCTCCTGTCGTATCTTTAGCCTTTGCACCGCGGGATATTGGAAAACTGTTGATTGGTTATCCGGAAGGAGCAGTCATATTTTCCATTAAACAGAATATTCCTCAGAACTTCTTCGAATACGAAATTCCTGCAGGTGCTCCTGGTGGTGACTCGGACCCAACTCTATCTCGTATCCCACGGAAACCCAAATTGACCCAAGCCTTGTGGCATCCCACAAACACTTTCATTCTTACGGTACACGAAGATACGAGCTTAGTCTTTTGGGATGCAAAAGATGGACGCCGGGTCATGGCACGAACTATCGAGGACGTCAACATCGACAAACCAGGATCTCGCGCAGAGAATCCAACTTCTCCCCGTGGTACTTGCAGTGTCAAGGACCCGATCTTTCAGGTCGCCTGGTGCGCCAAGGAGAATCCAGATAATACAGGGTTGTTGATTGCGGGCGGCCATCCATCCAACGAGAGGCAGAAAGGACTCACATTTCTAGATCTAGGGCCCACTCCTGTTTATCAGACCTCCTCGTGGCAAATATTGTCCAGCTACTTTGAAAATCCTAAGGGTCGTTTCACTCTACAAACTCCACCTGGGGCGGAGGTTGTCGACTTCTGTTTAATACCCCGTGCTTCCCCGTTCTTCGGCGGTGCTCAAGATCCAATCGCTGTTATTGCTCTTCTATCTACAGGCGAAATTGTGACTCTCAGTTTCCCCAATGGACACCCGATTTCTCCAACAAATATGCTGCATATATCATTATCATTCGTACATCCTTTCGTTACCAAAGCGATTTTGACACCTGTTAGCCGGAACAATTGGCTTGGACTGAAGGAAAAGAGGGGTCAAGGCCCGAAATTCCTTATGGGAGGTGCTGAGGGCAAGAAAGCTCTGAAACGATTTGAAGACCGCAATATTGCTGTCACTGCACATGCAGATGGAGTTGTGCGACTATGGGATGCAGGGCACGATGACGAGATTGAGAACGGGGATGTCATTCAAGTCGATCTTACGCGTGCTATCGCACGCAACGTTAACACTCAGGTCTCTCAAATGTCATTCTCCGGTGCATCTGGCGAGCTATCCGTGGGCCTTCGCAGTGGAGAAGTAGTCATTTTCCGCTGGGGTAAAAACCAGCATGCCGGACACGAACAGGCCCCAGGTGCGAACGCGGGACCAGGCAAAATCACAAACATAATTCACCGAACCGATCCAAATTTGAGGGATGGATTACTCCCGCTCATTCTTTTAGAGATGCAAAACGGACCTGTGACGGCTCTCAAGCATAGCGATGTTGGATTTGTCTGTGCCGGCTTCGAGGAAGGTCAACTGGTGTTCATCGATCTGCGTGGCCCAGCGATTATCCACAATGCTGACATCCGTAACTTCCTCAAGGCAAGTAATAGGCGCGGGAGCATTCGTAAGAGCCGCACGGGGGACAGTGCTCCTTTAGAGTGGCCAACTAGCATTGAATTTGGCGTTTTGACACTAGATGGTGAAGGTAAGCATGCTTGTTGTCAGCCAAAATAGCTGTATGCTAACGAGAGGTTTAGATTATTCAAGTATTTGCTGCTTCGTCGGCACAAACCGTGGAAACCTTGCTACATTTAAGATATTGCCATCGAATAGTGGCACATATTCTGTGTCATTTGTTGGCTTTACTACTCTCGACGATACAGTTATTGGAATCTTCCCAATCAACGCTGATTCTGGGGAACTTGCGTTAGCAACCCAAATGGCTGTTTCGGGTCTTCGAAATGGTGCCAAAATCAACGGGGTGGTCATCGCAGTAACCTCATCGGATTGCAGGGTTTTCAAACCGGCAACCAGCAAAGGTGCTTCTAAGTCATGGGGTGATTTTCTCTGCGACTCCGCCGGCTTTGTAAAGACAGAAGGTCGAGGCTACAGCCTTGTTGGCTTGTTCGGAGACGGCAATGTTCGCGCCTATTCAATTCCAGGTCTGAAAGAAATTGGTTGTACCACAATTAGTAATATCTTGGATGTGCAGCGCTTCTCAGAGGCAATGATTTCTCCTTCTGGGGATGTCATTGGCTGGACTGGGCCATCAGAAGTTGCAATTGTCAATGTCTGGGGTTCTGGTACTCCTATGTGCGTTTCTCTTTCTCTCCGAGAGGCTTCTATTAGTGAAAGTCTGAAACCTAACAGTCTCTTAGTCTACCTCCAGATGATAAGCTTTTCAATCCAGATGCCATGCTTCCTCCCAGACCTACGATATCCAACTTCCAATGGATATCCGGTACCCAATACGTGTCACCCGCAGACATGGACCTACTAAGTAAGTACTCTTGTTTTTCGGTTATAAAAATTCTAACATGTTATATTAGTCGGTGGACCTGACCGCCCAATGTCAAAACGAATGATGGAGCAAATGAAGTATGAGGAACTCGAACGCCGCAAAGAAGGACGACAAGGACGCTCTGTCCCTCCGTCTTCTAAAGATGATGAAGGCTACTGGGCATACATGCAACGCCAGGTTCAAGAAAGAACAGAGCGGCTTGGAATCATGGGCGACAGCATGGATAGACTTGAAGAGAACAGTAGTAATTGGGCAAATGATGTTAGCAATTTCGTCTCGAAGCAAAAACGAAAAGCTGTTCTTGGTGGTAAGTGCTCTATATATCATCTCATTTTTCTTATTCCGTACTTTAATGCGCCGATATTGACGACTCATCTTTACAGCACTGGGATCAAAATTCGGGTTCTAGTACGATCAATTCTACCCCCATATTGTTTCTTATCCCCACAATACTGTATATGATACCCATGAAATTTTATTATGACCTTACAGATTTGACCCAGCACTGGAATAAGGATCTCCTGAGGACCCTATGCCATTCTCAGTATCTTCATGCTATTCCAAGGTTCCAAGGTTTGTAAGATGTTTCGCCATAATTATTTTCACATCCTCGCCTCTTTATACACGATATTTATATACCTAGATAGTATCTACCTTTGAAGCACGGTATGTAAGTAGACCATCGAACCTAGCAACGGTCAATTTAGTTTTACAAATAACCGACGAGTCCTACGAAGTAAGGGGGACTTTGATATCTTAGAAAGGTCGGGATACCTAGGAATCTTTTCCTAACAACCTTCAAGGGTATTGAGGTCAGAAACGACCTCGGGATCATACATATTTGGCGAATTACTGAGCTCTCGATCATTTATCTATTTCTACATATGGATTGAATGGCATGGATGGTTCGTAGCTTAGATATTTCTTTTCGGTGTTAGAATGAGCGCATTCTTGAGGGTAAATCTAAATATCAAATCGAGGGGTGCAATGGGCTAGGGGCTAATTTACTTTGTTTTTTGACGAATAAGAGTGCTGTGGTAGTTTGCGCATGCAATAAAGCAACAAAGCGGTTTTGAGTTCGTTATAGAAAGATCGTCATTATCAGATACGGAAGACATGCAATCGTTATAATCAGGTAAAGTAGATGTAGAGAGCCTGTATCCCACGGGTTGAGCCACTCGTAAAACTGAAACTCCACGGGTATTTGTTTGTGTGCGTGATCCAGATATTTGTTAAAATTAAGTCGACGATGATGGTCAAGGCGAGTTTAATGGACCATCACTTCAGGCTGGGATTGAGGCCGGGCGGATCCAGGATTGGCGTCGTCGGCCATTTCGACATCATCGTCACCGTCACCAGCGTCCTCCTCATCAAGGTCTTCCTCCTCGCTCTCACTGCTTTCGGCCTCCAGATCCTCACTGGCGGCATCTGAGGCGTCATCATCTTCAGCCGCAGCAGTAGCAGCGCTGGTGCCTTCCATTTCATGGTCCTCGCCATCTTGGTGTTCAACTTCCTCCAATTCCTTGATCAATGCATTCTCCAATTCAACCTCCTCGGCACCATATGCGGCACCATCGTCATCCAATTGGTCGGCCTCTGGTTGCTCAGGAGGATATTCGGCAGGAGCAGATTCTTCCGAGTCCCTATAGTTATATCTCAGTCAGATATGTCCACTGTTAATGGCAAAGTGAAAGCATACCACTTGATGGCAAATCGAGTTACGCGAGGTTTCTCAGCGAGCACGTTGCGACGCACACGCTCAATAATAGGTTTTGATGGAGGATCCGCATTGAGCTCTTCTGAATCATATTCGTTGTTCACGTAATAACCGACTCGCACGAATTCTCGACCGTCGTAGCTACATGTGAGGAGAATCACGGTAACACCGAGGATCTCAGTCTGGGGAATGCGCTTGAGATCTGGAGGGTCGGCCTCGAATATGAACTTATTGACACCAACTGGAATTGGGCCGACTAGTAAAGAGTCGAGTTCTTGGTCGTGTTCGGATCTGAAGAGACTGTTAGTGCGTGACTTGTCAGTGTGGAGGGCAAATAGCATACGAAGTGGCGGATCCGACATAAGTGAGTTTCCACTCGAGATCTGAAATATACATTAGCAATCGTAACTGGAGAAGTTTTTTTGGAGGTAGCGCTGTATCTTTTTACCTTTCTGTAGCTGCTCCAAGCACTCGAAGGTGATTTCGAACTCGTATGGATCGGAGAAAGCGGCGGGGTTATTCAAGACCTTGACACCGAGGAGTGACACGACCGACATGGTGGATGTGTTGTATGTTGTTTAAAAGCTTTGATGAAATTGAGAGTGATATTTCAAAGAGAAGGTGTGAAGAGCAATAAACAGTAAGGTGAGTGGAGTTGTATAATCTATGAGGCAGGCGCTTCTTAAATAGAAAATCGATCAATCAAAGAGACGCGCCCACACCGCGTCTCTCCTTGCATTTCGCGCTATTGACCCGTCAGTATCACGTGACTAATTAACGACAGAAAAAGCTTGGAGAAACATCATCTAAGACTGCCCAACCTGCAACATAACAACAGCAACAACAGCAACAACACAGCAAAAACAACAACAACAACAGGCCATAACGATCGCCTTGGTTACAATTACTTACCCTCGTATTTCTCTAGCGATACTTATCCCTTTTTTACTTTGGAATTTGTGCCAACATCGCATCTGCTAGATCACCCCACTAGCTACAACCATCAATCCACATTACATTCCTGGTGCGGTTCTTCTGCTAATCGATCACATTTGAAGCAGCTCACAAGCATTACTGACGATTATTATTGATGCTTAGTGTTAGTTGTTGATTCCCCGTTTCGTTCCTCGAGTGCGCGCGGCGCTCAGATCATGGCCGAGGAAGACGCCGAGCAGGCGTTTTTCCAGACGCAAGCCATGAGCAATGAGTATGATCCTGCCGGAGTGGCACAAGATGTCCAAGGCACAGAATCAGAGGATGACTATGATCCATCGAATACATTGCATGATGAGTACTCAGTTACAGTAGCAGAACCTAATCCAAATGGCGCCGAAAGCAATGATGCTTCTTCCGCTACTCAGTCTATCCCTCATGATTCTTATCAGCCTGAAGAAGTTGACACTACACAAACTTCCCAAGCTCCGTCCAGACGTGACTCGCAAACCTCTGTATTAGCGCCTTCATCTACTGTGCATGTACAGCCGAAGACCAAGACCATAGGCGGCTTTGTTGTTGATGATGATGATGAAGATGAGGAACAGAATGAGGGAGAGGATGAGGATAAGGATGAGGCAGAGTATGAGCCACCAGGAGTCTTGGAAACTATTGAACATGGTGGACATATTTCTGCAGGCGCTTCTGAGCAGCTTCCTTATTCTGACAAAAATGCAAATGAAACTATTTCTACATCTGGTGTATCAATACAACCCCTTGTGCCTGATATGGCCACTTCCAAAGATGTTTCTAATAATCCCGTTTCTTCCTATTCTGCTCACAATCTGTACATTGAAGCGATGTATGGAGGCATTACTGATAGCAATGCACCAACTCCCATTCCCTTGGCAGCGGATTCTGCGGCATCTCGGAATCGCCTGCCTCATGATCGCATTGGATTGTTGGAGGATAGAATCAAAGAAGATCCTCGTGGAGATATACGCGCATGGATCGAACTGATAGCCGAACACCGAAGTCGTAACAGACTTGACAATGCGCGAGAAGTGTACGAGCGGTTTCTCAAAGTCTTCCCATCTTCTGTAAGACGTTTTTTATCTTAACATGACATGAACTGAGCTGACTGGTGCTTTCGCAGGCTGAGCAATGGGTGGCATATATCAAGATGGAATCCGAGAATAATGAGTTGCAACGCCTTGAGCAGATCTTTAACCGTACATTGCTAAACATTCCCAATGTGCAACTATGGACTGTATACCTGGACTACATACGCCGAAGACATCCTCTGACCACAGACACATCCGGTCAAGCAAGACGAACTATCACATCTGCCTATGACCTGGCTCTTACTCATGTCGGATTGGATAGGGATGCAGCCTCGTTGTGGTTGGATTATGTTGAGTTTATAAAGACAGGACCCGGTGTCGTTGGTGGCACGAATTGGCAGGACCAGCAAAAGATGGATTTACTACGCAAGGCCTATCAAAGGGCTATCTGTGTACCCACTCATTCTCTGAATACCCTCTGGAAGGAGTACGATCAGTTCGAGATGGGGTTGAACAAACTCACGGTAACATACTCTTTGTTTTCAAGCGTACTATGAATGCACTAATAAAAATATTCTACTAGGGACGCAAATTCTTGCAAGAGCGGTCACCTGCATACATGACAGCTAGAAGCTCTTATACTGAATTGCAGAATTTAACTCGAGATCTTGATCGTACAACTCTTCCCCAAATGCCTCCAGCTCCTGGATTTGCGGGGGAGGCCGAGTTTCAATATCAAGTCGGACTATGGCGTCGATGGATCAATTGGGAGAAAGGAGACCCTCTCGTTCTGAAGGAAGAGGACATATCTGCGTACAGAAACAGAGTGCTATACGCCTACAAGCAAGCATTAATGGCACTGCGATTCGTGCCGGATATATGGTTTGAAGCTGCAGACTTTTGTTTTCAGAACGGCATGGACTCCGAAGGAAATGACTTTCTCAACCAAGGCATTGAGGCGAACCCAGAAAGTTGCTTGCTCGCCTTCAAGCGTGCTGATAGATTGGAAATTGAATCAGAACCGGAACAAGATCTTCAAAAAAGGGGCGCTAAAGTTAGAGAAGTTTTTGACAAACTCTTGGATGCTCTGTACGCTCTCAATAGCAAGGCCCGTGAGCGAGAAGAGCAAGACATTGCCAGAATCAAAGAGCAGTTTGCCAACGAGTCCGACGATTATCATCCTGTCGCTGACGATGAAGATGAGGCGGAGCGGTCACAAGAAGCTCAAGCAAAAGAGGCAGCAAAGAAGAGTCAAATAGATGCAATGCGCAAGGCGCACGCGACACAAATCACCATGACCTCCAAGTTGATCTCTTTCGCTTGGATAGCTTTGATGCGTGCAATGCGCCGTATTCAGGGCAAGGGTAAACCGGGGGAACTTGCTGGCTCTCGGCAGGTTTTTGCTGAAGCTCGCAAGCGTGGTCGTATTACGAGTGACGTTTACATAGCTAGTGCCTTGATTGAATACCATTGCTATAAAGATCCGGCTGCAACGAGGATTTTTGAACGTGGTGCCAGGTTGTTTCCGGATGATGAGAATTTTGCGCTTGAGTATTTGAAGCATCTTTTTGATATCAACGATGTGACGAGTAAGTTATTTGTCTCATGCTGTGAATACTATCAGCACTAACAATTATAGATGCTCGTGCTGTCTTTGAAATGACCATCAGAAGACTGGCTAGCAAACCAGAAAACGTAGTCAAGACCAAACCTATCTTTACCTTTCTACATGACTACGAGTCTCGATATGGCGACTTGGGTCAAGTCATCAACCTGGAAAACCGCATGCGCGAGCTTTTCCCCGACGATCCTACGCTTTCCCAATTCGCTCATCGCCACACATCTGCCAACTTCGATCCAATTGCGGCACAGCCAGTCATCTCATTATCACAAGTCCGTCCTCGATCAATGACCTCGCTCGACCAACAGCAACAACAGCAGACCTCACTTCAAGGGACACCTACGCGTTATCTCGATGTACCTCCCACCGGCTCACCCAAACGACCCTTCCCATTAGACGATTTCGAAGATGAAAATAGACCTCGAAAATTCGCCCGTGCCGAATCCCCCCTGAAGGGTATCCCAGCCCGTCGACCAGATCAATTAAAACGACCCACCACTGGCCAGGTGAATGGCGGCGGTCAATACCGTCCACAACCTTCAGCAGCTCCTTTACCGCGTGACGTTGTTCATCTTTTGAGCATTATCCCTCCTGCTTCCGCATACAACGCTGGACGGTTTTCGGCAGAGAAGTTGGTGGATTTGATTCGTAAGATAGATATTCCATCTTCTACTTCGCAACTTCGACATCCTGCTGGGATGGGGTATTAGTCATACAGTGGTAAGTCTTTTCTCTAAAGTCACGCTTCGATATCAAGAATGAAACTGATATTCAGTTCTATAGGTAATTTTCGTAACCGTTTTTGGAGCCATTTCACATCTCACATCTTGCATTTCTATAATAAGCCTTGTATTATGTCTGCAACATTGAACTGGAAAAAGCCCTGTATCATTATGAACCAATTTCCTTTTTAATTGATAAACGAAAACTCCGGTTTTGTGTATTTGGATATCCGTATTAGTCTCTGCGCTTGCTGTTGCTGTAGCTTCTAAATGATACAGTTGAATTTCAACCGAAGCTGGTGCTACTGGATTGCAACATGAAGGGACGGATTTATCTGATCCTCATCAGCGATATTGCGTCTTAATTAGTATTGGACGGTATTAATTTGCTTCAACTAGAAACGCCTGCCCCGATCTTCGGTATCAATATCCACGATACTGCATGTGCCCGAATAAAAGAAGAAATGCCCCGTCTCATCCAGGAATAAAGACCACCACATCCCAGGATACGCCACGAAAAGCAATACATGATTAATAAAGCGAAGCGAAATGTTTTCCTTTCGAAATAAGAGCATTGTAGAGATCACACCATTTCATCGTTATCAATACTGTAAGCCACCCCGTCACCTTGAGGGTCTTGGATGACCTGCTGCAAGATGGTTGGCATGGAAGTAGAAGCGGTGGATGTCGAAACACGCGTTGCCGAGTGTTTTGGACGCCCACCAGGCCACAAGCCGAAGAAACCATTTTGTGTTCCCTGATGCTCAGAACCGCCAATTGGAGGATCGGTGAGATATGAAGCAGAGGACGACGACCATTGGATGTCTGAAAGCTGACTATCGTCAACGTACCCATCCCACATGCCACACAATTGAGCGATTAAGCGTAGAAAGGCGACTAGGATAGTAATTATCGGGGTTAGGATACTTGAAATATGTGACCAGCGCCAGAGCATTGTTGGCAGCACAAATGGGAATTGCGGAGCGTCCGGTTGTAGACAATAGCCATCACAGACTTCAGCGACAGTAGGATGGCAGTAAATATCGCACATGATACTCTCAGTGAGATACCAACAACCAAAATAGATCATCACCCAGCCTAGGAATGTCGGGCGTAGGCGCTGAGTGCTGCTCTCCCGTTTCCAGAGACGAGGGATCGGAATGGCAAGGTAAACACGTCCATCGCAGTGCGCATGTTTAGCGTTCCCACAGGTTTCGCAGAGTTTTTCGCTTACGTCCGGGAGTATAACCTTGCCGTTTCCTGGTACGATGGCATGCTCAATCACGTTGAGACCCGTTCGCGCATCCTGTATACTATGGATGATCGACTGTAGCTTCGATCCCAGACGATCTAGTGATTTCGTATACCTGTCGCCACTTTGACTCTGGGTTGTGTCAGCTCTTTTTGCATCAAGCTCCTTTTCCAATTCTTCTTCTTTCAACTTTGCGAACGTAGACGATACTTTCGCGTCTGTCCCATCCATCAGTCCCTCTAAAGAGGCTATTGTATCATCACCCAATGATAAAGGGTTGCCATTAGATTTCGCATCCTCAATGAAAGTCTCTAGGGCGCTCTTCGGTAATTTCGGTTTGACGAGTTCTGGCTTTGGCTCCTTCTTACTGTCGATGTTAAGTGACTTTTCAGTCAACACATTGGGCTTTGAAGGAGCTTGTTGTGTGCTAGGTTTGGTCGTAATTTTATCTTCTGATTCCTTCTTGGATGAGTCCTCAGCAATTGGGGTTTGTGATTCTCTCTTTGGCGCAATCGTCGTGGAGTTTGGAGCTGCCTTGCTCGGAGAATTGATTTCTTCCGTGTTATCTTTGTTATTCTCCCTCTTTCGAACAGTCATCGGCGTATCAACCCAAGCCCCTATTACAACAGGTGTTTTCTGCGGGAGAGGAGTCTCCTCTGGCCTTTGCTGTGCGGGTGTACTCTGTTGTGGGGGACTCTCAGTGCGGGCCAACTTGCGGAGTAGCTCTCGAGAATCACTTCGTAATTTCTGAGATGGATCTCTGGATGTTGACTTATAGATCGTGATCGGCGTGTTTGAAATGCTGTCGCCTGTTAAGCCATTTCTACCCAGTGATCGCGATCTGGAACGAGAAGTGTTGTGAAGACCGTCTGATGGTGGAGCTCCCAGACGAGACCTCTCCGATCTGGATGCGAATTCTTGGCTCGTCTTTCGATCAAACCGTGAAGGTGACTTGTCACTGAGACGAGGTGAACGGCTTCTTGACTCAATCCTGGACCCTCTTTCTCTCGCAGTGCTGCGTCCAGATGCGTCAGCACGAGGGGTATCGCCTGTGATGGAGGTCAGCCATCGTCGATGACTACTCGATTTGTTTCCCCAGGTTTTGGGCACATTTAACCCAAGACGAAGGCCATCCTCTTCTCCACCAACGTCTTGACTTGCTTCCTCTGCTCGGGGATCCGAATCGCGTCGTTGTAACCCTTCTGCTCTCGACCCAACTTTTGCTCTGCTAAATACCGGCGATTGACTAGAAGTTACACGACTTAAACGTTCCTCGTCGCGTTTATATGTTGATAGTTTTCCCCGCACATAGTCATCCGTAGCATCGTCCAGGTAGCTAAAACCTGGGTCCAAGTTTGCTTCCGTCTGAGTGTGTTGAGTGTTCATAGGTCCAGGAGAATCGCGCCTCCTCCGCTCTCCGGAGCTTTTTCGAGATAATCCATTCCCGAGGTAGTCTTGGTCATCCTCTGAAACCAAATCCGCCAAGTCGTCCGCATCGTTGATTCTCTGGTACGTTTCTAGTATTTCGGCTGGCGGGGGGCTTGTGACTTCTGCGTAGGGGGATGGCAGGGTATAACTTCGCTGATGTCGGCGTATTGGACTTGTTGTACGGTCAATTGCTGTTGGAGGTGGGGCGCCATCGTTCGAGTCCATGGCGATTGTTCGCGATGTGGCTTCGAACGCGTCTTTCAATGTTCTCGTCAGTCGAAAGTTACTGCGAGATCGCGGCCCATCTTTGTCGGCTGTGGTAGGTTTTCGAGAATATTTTCGTTCAGAGGGATACGCGCGGGTAAGATCAAGGTCGAAGTTCAGGTGCGCCCTTTGAAGGTGTGGAGAAAGAGCACCCTGCTGTAGTTGCTGTTTGTTGTCCCAGCGCCGAGAGGAACCACGATGTGTGATGTGATCTGATAAGGACATGGCTGAAAGAATATAACCAAAACAAACATAGTTATTATAATAACTCAGCAATTCCTGCACATATTCCAGCTATCAAACATACCCCTTGCACAGATATAAAGTAACTGCTGCTCATAGTGTTCAGCAGAGTCATGGTTCCTGCAAATCTATGATGTTTTTGTCAGTCAAAAGGCACCTACCCCAATTAGGTAAGGCGCAAATATGTCCCCACATAAGCATTCAGTGTTCTTTTTTGATCCTTAGCTTATGCTTCAGTTTTATTCAGTGATAATGTTCAAGACAGAATATTCTATATGTAAAAGCTGTAACCCTCCCTCTTCTCTATGTTCTTATTCACTTGGCTAATGTCACTTCATAGATAAAAGAAAAATTCCTCGGTTTACTCTATGGCATATGACATTCGGTTGTTCTAGTCAAATGCCGAGTTTCATCAACAGTCAACCATAAGACATATATCCAATACCATTCAAGCATGGCCAAAGCCACAAAACGATCGGTAAAAGGCAAAGAGCCCTCGAAATCCACGGCAAAACCACCAACGCCATTTGTCAAGGCGCCTTCCATTTTGAAGCCATTCCTGGAGTTACTCTCACTAAATGAAATATATCTCATACATATCGACAGAGAAAGTCCAGACTTCAAGAAACAGCTGTTTATTCTACCTGTCCTCCTGAATACCGCTATTGTCCTGTTCTTCGCGTATCGCATCTACAACGGGTTCTACGTTTACCCAGACATCTTTGCCTCGGCGCTAGGGCTATCAACAAAATCAACAGTGGACCTGACATCACAACCCATGAAAAGTGCAGTTAGCACGGTCCTTCGGCGCACACTCACCTTCTCGATCGATTATTTCTTAGTCACCATCTTCCTCCTTTGGCCCATCCGTTTCATCCAGGGGCCGATTTACTGGCGGCGAAAAGTCGGATTTCGTCAGCGAGAAGTTGTTGTACGACAGAGTCGAAGTACTTGGTCAGCAACTCTCGAACGCAACCGCTGGGTCTATGGTGACGAGAAGGTTGTCCGAGAGAAGGTGGTGCCAGCTGTAGCTCCGCAAAGAATCAAGAAAAGCGGATATCTTCTCATTGACGCTGATTGGGATCTAGACTACAAAGCTATGGTGCGGGCACATGAGTTGATTGACAACATCAACAAAGGTTCCGGGGTGCAACTTGACGAATTCCGCACCGCCATTCTCGTGAACACGGATGACGAAGGATGGCTTATCTGGAGGGTTGCGGATGAGAATAACAAAGAGCGAGAACAGCAACGAGATCAACTCTTTGCATTTCAGGAAAAACTGACAAGTATGGGCAAGGAAGATCTTTTCTTTCGCTGGGTTGAATTGGTCCAGTACGAGAGTTCTCAGCCTGGTGGCTTTACACCTGAACGACAACGCAACGCAATGTTACAAGCTCAAGAAATGTTCGAATCGGAGGGAGTGGATTTTTCTCAGTTTTGGAGGGAAGTCGGTGGTATGCAAGGCATAGACTTGTCATGAGTTTTCGAGATATACTCTTCCACTATATGTATTATATCCTACGTGCCTATACATATGCCGTTGATCGGGAAGGCGTAGCTCGTGGTTCTGATCTTGGCGCTACGAGGTTGACAACTAGCGTCTTGAACGTTTACCCAAGCTTTCGGTGGGGCATATAGAGGTTATCAACACCCAATCATGATTCATGACATTGTAACATGAATATGTAGCCCCTGATGAAAAAGAGACCTCGGTTCTTGTCGTGAGCCCCAAGAAAATAAGCTTTGATATCAAGAGATCGATACATATTATACATGGTACATGCTTGAGTCCAGCTTCTGATGACCCTGACAATTCGGAGGTTCGGCTTTAGAGCTGACTAGAGAGATTGGAAGTGATACTTGAGCTTGTAGCAATTGGCCACGTTGTAGCATTTAGTATGCGGCCTTGAAGTCTAGACGCGACTCATGCTGCAACTACAACAACCTTGGGCATGGTCAGCGTCCCTAGGATTAGACCACATCTCATGCCTTGGGTTGGGATGTCGAGATCATGAATGACTCGATCGTCAAATCGATATCGAGTCATTGACTGGTTGAGTACGAGTCCTCTTTCATATTCACAATATAGGCGAAGTAGTCCCTCTGAGATGATTCGATGGAAGCGCTTGAGCAAGGAGCGTATAGCATATCAAGATCCCGCCTGGTCTCAGAGCGAGGCCAATTAAGTCGGCACTAAAACCATCGAGCGGTGGGGAAAGCGGTACATACAGGTATATTGCGTCATCACCCGTCGTCCAATTACGACGGCTAAATCCGCGGCGGTGGCCACCATGATTGCTAATCTGGACGGCAAGACTTTAGGCTCTTGAAAAGGAACGGTTAACTGGCAGGCTGAGCAGCAAATATGATTTGAAGCTAGTATCAGACAGGCAATTTATGCTCTGTCGGAATGGACCCCTCTTGACGTCCGCCGAAACAAGCGCAGAGTTTTTTCTTCGTTGACGGGTTGACTCGTTGCGCGCTAGTCTTCCGCTAGTCCGTATTGGATTGGCGCGAGATGAGGTTACACTTTCTCGTGGAATTCCTGTCGTCGTCACCGTGATCTCATCGTCCCGCGCCTTGCCTTTTCTTGCCTGTCTTCTTTCATACATCAGCTAGTCATACAGTTTGATGCCTGCCAACAATTATCAATGAGAGCAATACTATAATAGTGATATTCATTACATAGAATGGAAAATAATAACTGAAAATTTCTTCACCCAGGATATCATGATCTGGCATTCGATTGGATTCGAGGAAAACGGTACCACCCAAGTCTGCGGTGGCCAAAGTTACGTGGGCCATCGGCCAGTCTAAATTAGCCTCTGATGCGTTACAGTGACTCTATTGGTCGGGTCGATGGTCGAAGGGGGCGGAGAGTGCCAATTTGGTCGTTTGATTCCTTCCATGACAAACAGCATTCCACTTCTTTCCACCCATTCGCCTTTTCATGTATGTTTTATCTCGCTCCACTGACTGTGTTGTATGCGAATATTCTCGGTAGTAAAGCTTCGCTGTGTTCTTTGAACAGGTAGGCTGGACTCCCTCTGTATTGTCCAAGCTAGTTATATCTGTCGTGTGCTGCTGCATGCTGGTGTCGGTTGGAGCACTAACCCACTAGCGTATGGATCGTGCTGAATGGCCCACCACAAATGCATATGATAGACTCAGTCCAGGCCGAGCTGGCATAGAAGAGGCCAACCAGTGACAACGTCAGCATTGCTGGGTGTCACCCATCTCCTGCCAAAACGTCTTCGCTGGCCCTGCCCTGCTTTCTTCGTCGTTCCTTCCCTTCTTCGTTCCTTCCCGCCAAATAAGTACCCTCCCAGCCCAGGCTACGTCACCTTTCCTCCTTCCACTCTCCCTTCTTCCAAATCCGTTCTGGGTACTGCATCATCACCATCATCATCATAGCCCTCGACATCCCCTCGATATTGATGCTTCACTCTATGACTGTCCACTGAAAGTCTATCTAGTGACTGCAATTCTTATTATTCTATTATTATTATTTTTTTTTTTAATTCGCGTATCGCTATCGTTACGTGATAATTTTTTTTTTTTCCCTTTTCCTTTTTCCCATTTTTCTCTTTCCTCGTTAATCCCGACCGGGCTTGATCGTTGTCGCAGCGCGTCGTCCTCCCCGGTCGCCCTCCATTCGATCGATCTTTCTCCTTCACGACGACGCTTCTACGAGATCATGTCTGCTGCCGTCGCTCAGAGGGCTCCTCTGGGCAGGACCTCATCCCCCATGGACACGAAGAAGAACATAATGAAGTCTGAAGGTCAGTGTCTTCCTTCCCTCCTTTGGTAGACCGTCTTTATGTGCTCCTCCCCCTTGAGCGTTGGACCCAATGACTGGCGGCCTCTGGCTCGAGGTTGTCTCCCATGACCTCACAATTACCCTTATCGATTCGCTCAAAGTTCGGATGGCCTATCGCGCCTATCGCCCATCCGTCGCAATAACATCATCTTCAACCACACCCGTTCTACCTTGTCGCATTCCCTATTGTTCTTGCGCTGCATAAAAATGATTCTAGATTTTCATCCTTGATTCATCTGGATATTATCAATTCTTGTTATACGTTACCAAGTCGGGAACGCGCATTGTATTAACCTCGTCTTGGCACTGCAGACTCTTCCGCGAACACCAAAGATCAGAAACCTGCGATCGACACCGAAACCTCGCAGTCGCTTGCACCACCACCCCGCCCGGCCGCTTCTGGTCCTGGCGATACACCAGACTACTTCAATTCGCTCCACAACCCCTTCTCACTCGAGCCCAACCCATTCGAACAGTCTTTCGGAAGCACATCCGGAGAGACCCCCGGAAAGTCATTGCTTCCCCCAGTTGCATCTATTACGTCTCCCGCGCTTCCCGGAACTAGCTCAGCTGGCTACAACTGGTCTAACTCATTGCGCTCCGGACCTTTGAGTCCTGCTATGCTCGCAGGTCCTACTGGCTCTGATTATTTCGATAGTATTGGACGCGGCTTTCCGACACCGAACGAATCTTCTCTACGGACCGGATTGACCCCTGGCGGCGGCGGGTCGATGTTCCCGGCCCCAAGCCCTAATACCCAAGCAATTCTTTCTCAGCTTCAAAGCGGCGGCGCAACTCCTTCGACTCTCGAGTTCCACCGCACTGCCCTGAACGCAGCCAAGCGTAGCGGCTTCAACGTCAATGTACCAACGTCTAACCCGACTAGCGAGCCCGAGCAGCTCCAGACCATGGATCAGAAGACTGTACAACCCCCTGCCGTCGACCAGTTTACGCACCACGACGCTGCAGATGCAGCCAATGGCCTCTTTATGCTCGCAAAAGGTGGCCCTAACAGCGACGCGTTTTCGGCACCTACGAATAAGCCCGCGGATGTTCTCGATACCAAGCGCATGACGCGAAATACTAATAACTCGGTAAGCAGTGGTCGCGAAATGACTGCCGAAGGTTCCGACACCCAAGGCGAACAGGCCAAACCAGTATCCAGAGGCAAGGGCAAGAAGAGCACGCCTGCCAAACAAACTTCAACCGTCAACGGCCGTCGCAAGGCGGAAGAAACGCCCAGAGGCTCCAACAAGAGAGCGAAGACGAATAATGGTTCTATGGAAGTAACGCCGGAAGAGGAGTCAGAAGAGGAAGATATTAAGGATAACGGAAGCGGCAAGGACCCGAAGAAGATGACTGATGAAGAGAAGCGAAAGAACTTTTTGGAGCGGAATCGGTATGTGCAGAGTGTTCAGCTTATGCTTACCTTTCTCGCGTGACTCTTGCTAATACTTTTGTCACAGTGTCGCTGCTCTCAAGTGTCGCCAACGTAAGAAACAGTGGCTCGCAAACCTTCAGGCTAAGGTCGAGCTCTTCACAACCGAAAACGATGCTCTAACCGCGACTGTCACTCAACTGCGAGAAGAAATCGTGAACCTCAAGACCCTTTTGCTTGCGCACAAGGATTGCCCGGTTTCGCAAGCGCAAGGCCTTGGTCCTTTAATTATGAATGGCATGTCGGCCGGTTTTGACCCCCACCCGTACAACATCGCGAGCAACATGGCCATGCAACCCGGTGCACCAATTCCCCAAGCCATTCGCCGATAGGCACAGCAACCAATAATTAATAAAACGACCCAAGTCAGCGAGAGTTAATCGACATACAAGCAGATATGGTCTCTATTCACCGTCTGACTTGCACTCTCGAATACGGCGAGGTCTCTTGTAACAGTTACTTTTCACTTCTCTCTACTTTTTTACCGGCCCTGCTCACTTCACTGGAGTACGGAGGCTGATTTCCTTTTTTCGTCTGTTACTTGCGCCTTCACATAGGAGGTCATTGGCATGGGCGGAGTTCTAATGATGCATCGGACAAAAAATGGACATGGTCAAAATTTGGATGGTGGCATGTGGGCGTGTACATCATCATCCTTCACCTTGAGGCGTGCGAGACTCGCTTTGATTTTTCATCGGACGACTGAACTTTTACCGATTTGTGTTCAGTGTATTTTTCTTTTTTTCTTTTTTTTTTTTGCTGTGGCGTTTGTTCGTTGTTTTTTACTGGTGGCGATATTCTTCGGATTGGTCGATTTCCCTGGAGTTTAGAGTTCCCCTGTACCTTCTGTGTTGTTGCCTTAGCCCCTGGTTTCTTCTTTTCCGGGTAAGGGTTTCTATTATTCTTATATTCTTTTTCGTGTGTGATATTTCCTCCCTATTTTTACGATGCTGTGCACTTTCTATTTCGATGCTGAAGTTGACAGAATTTCGCTTGCTGGTCTAGACTGTGATTCCTTCTTCATCGTGGCTATGAATTACCTTTTCCAAGAGTTAGCTAGAAGTTATGGGCTAAGTAAACGAGCAGTCATACTGACTAGCAATGATTTAATGCCAGATGAATTGAAGAATGAAATGAAACGAAGGTGTAGGAGTAGATGCTCAAGTGCTAAGTTAGTTCGAGTGAATGTTATTGATGATGGTGAGTGATAATTTTCATGATCCAGGAAGGAGCATATGATACAGAGTTCTGAAGAACGGGCGTGATTGCCCTTGTAGCTCAGTGGTTAGATCGTCGTGCTTATACTATAATTGTCCAATCTGGATGATTATGTTGGTATCACGAATGTCCGAGGTTCGACCCCTCGCTGGGGCATCAACTTTTTTTTCTTTCTCTTTTACCTGCTGCCGCATACGATTCATTCACGTGTCTTACATACAGTATCGGGATGATAATCTTTTTTTATCCAAGGATTGTGGATCGTTTCTGCGCTTATTTGACTTACTTAATTTAATCCACGGACATTTGCGCCAGGCACACACACTCAGTTTATCGATAGAGAACTAAAACAAACAGTGCAAACAAAAACATCAGGTCCCGCGCCACGACAAGCAGTTAGTTCATTTGTCGACTGTTGACAGCAATTGAAACTGGGAGCGATCTTTCTAGTCAGGTCACCAAGTACCTTCGAACATGGTATTGTGGTTGTTCCGCATGGTTTCAGTCTATTTGCGATGTTCCTGACGAACGAGCGCGGTAAAACGTGATTTAAGCTTTATTTACGCTTCAACCTCATTCTATGCGAATAAGAAACGATCGATAAAGAAGAAAGACTACATCAAAGCGGTCTGTTCTCAGATCGACAAATGTCAGCACGACGCGCACCGGCGCGCTCACGCCGTGTGGACGATGCCTTGTCCCAACTCGTCGACTCCCTGTTACCACCTATCTCTCCCACCGCGCTCGGTGACGATTTCTCAGGCGACGAAGAGGACGCGGTGACCGCAGCCGAGGAGCAACGACTTCAAGAGCGTCTCACTCGCGCATGGCACATTTTGGAGGTTGTCGGAGCCGAGAAAGAACAATCCGGAATCGATGGAAATGGAGGATCTGCGGCAGAGAATATCAACAATGCCTCTGATCTGATTAAACGAAAGTTACTGCGAGAAAACGCTAGTCCGGATAAGGCGGTACGGTTTTCGAATCTTTATTCAAGGTTGTTGACGCAACCTGTTCTCGGTCAGAAGTGGGCTATTCTCTACTTGTTGTACCGACTGTCGGAACAAGAAGGTGATGATATCAATAATGGCGAAAAAGATGTGATTATGAATGAAGGTGGTCGAAGTCGGAGCCCCCTTTTAGATGATGGGCATCTAGACAATTTATTATTCAAGTCACGAGCCGGTATGAGGGGAGCGCTAGTTGATGATGATGAAGGTCCTGCTATTAGTTCATCTGTTTCACAGAGAGGAGAAGCTGTAGATCGAAGGCGATCTGTACCAGCTAATCCAATGGAAAAACAACGACGCAGTCATCTAGTGCCAACTGACGAGGCCAGAGAACCCATCACCTCAGGGCGGCCAAGGGGAACAAGCACACCGAGAGAAGCTCAACTGAACACTGAATCGCAGACTGAACCACACAAACCAACGCCTATCAAGTCCGCAGAATCATCTTTACTCCGAGATTTACCTTTCATCCTTCAAGGTCTGTCGTCAACGAATATGGAATTTTCGTCATCTACAATGTTGAAACTACCCACCAATTTACCGATTCCAATGATATCATTGCTGCATACACTAGCTGAGCCGTGCCTACTGTATAAAGAGTTGGCCGGATTTGTTGACAGTTCTGAGGGAGGTCTTGTGAGCCAAGCTTTGAGAGCATCCATCTTCAATGAACTCCGCTCTTATTTAGGGTTAGTTGCAACTCTTGAAGGAGAGATACGACGAGCCTTGGCCGCCACAGCCAGCGATGATCCTAAAGGAATGGTTAAAGGTGCTGTTACCCTCAAACGCTGTGTAGTCTGGACTAGGGATGCTACCATGGCCTTGCGACTAATGAGTATAATGGTGGAAGAAGCAAGAGGTGAGTTTATTCCTGACTCGTAATTTCGGAGCTAGAGAATTCTAACATAACCTACTTGAAGAGAAAAGAGGTGGCCAGTTGATATCCTTAATCCATGGCTATTCGTCATCCCACGGGGACCCTTTCGTCGGCAATTTTGCGGAGAAATTGCTGTCACACATTACGCGCCCATTCTACGACATGCTACGGCAATGGATTTATGATGGGGAACTTTCTGATCCATATAAAGAATTCTTCGTCATTGAAACAGAATTCCGACCCAGCGCTGACCCTCGGCGCATCGCCTCGAGCGTATGGGAGGACAAGTACAAACTGGATGAAGAGATGATTCCGTCTTTCATCACCCAGGATTTTGCGAAGAAGGTTTTTCTTATTGGAAAATCTCTAAACTTCATCAGATACGGCTGTGGAGATTCTGCCTGGGTTGAAGCGTACTCGAAAGAAACATCGAAAGAGCTTCGCTATGGAGATACCGCGCGACTCGAAAACTCCATTGATGAAGCTTATAAGACCACGATGGCTCGATTGATTCATTTGATGGACACCAAATTCAAATTATTCGAACACCTTCGTGCTTTGAAGAAATATCTTCTCCTGGGGCAAGGTGACTTTATCGCCTTGCTCATGGAATCACTTGCGTCAAATCTGGATCGCCCGGCCAATTCGCAATATCGACATACTTTGACTGCTCAGTTAGAACATGCTATTCGGTCATCAAACGCGCAGTTCGATTCTCCAGATGTCTTACGTCGTCTGGATGCGCGTATGCTGGAGCTCAGTCACGGCGAGATTGGTTGGGACTGCTTCACGCTCGAATATAAGATTGACGCCCCTGTAGATGTGGTTATTACTCCATGGGGATCAACACAATACCTCAAAGTTTTCAATTTCCTCTGGCGCGTAAAAAGGGTCGAGTTCGCGTTGGAAAGTACATGGCGAAGATTCATGACAGGAGCTCGCGGTATTCTCGGCAGCGTCGAAGACAAAGTTGGATCGGACTGGAAACGCGCAAGGTGCGTGATAGCCGAGATGATCCATTTCGTATGCCAGTTGCAGTATTATATCCTTTTTGAAGTGATTGAAGCCAGTTGGGATCAATTGCAAGCAGCGATCTCCAAACCCGGTTGTACCCTAGATGATCTAATTGAGGCTCATACCAAGTACCTCAATTCCATTACGCACAAGGGTCTTCTAGGTTCGTCAAGTTCGTCACGGAGTTCTTCGTCATCTGCAAAGCAGCCAGAGGAAAGCTTCCTCGCTCAGCTACATCAGATCCTCAAGATTATGCTGAACTACAAGGATGCTGTTGACGGGCTGTATTCCTTCTCAGTCGCAGAGTTCACGCGCCGTCAAGAACTGAACGCAAAGATTGAGACTCGTACAGCACGTGGCCAATGGGGTGTGACAGAGCACGACTTCAACAACCCGTCTCCTTTCCTATCAAATCAGGAAAATACAAATCTATCTGCAGATGATCATATGCTTGCCTCCTTGCAAACCCGTCTTCGTGATTTGTCCGCTGATTTCCGTGCCCGTCTAAACGTCTTACTCGGTGACTTGGCTTATCAACCGGATGTTGACATGCGCTTTTTGGGTGTAGTCATGAACTTCAATGATGTCTATGAACCCGTACGAAGACGACGCACTACAACCTCGGCAACTTCAGCGGGGGCGGCATCAACGACTCGGGATAGGGACAAAGATCGGAGAGGTCGCAGGAATGTGGTGCAATCAAATAACAATGCTGCTGGTGCTGGTCCTGCTGGCAGTGCAGAGACTAAAGAATCGCAAGGCGATGCGCAATAAGCTCTCTTTATTAATTATGAATACGCATTTGCAGGCGCAATTGGAGAGCGACGTTTTGTTCAGATCCTAACAGTGAGGAAGGCATATACCCATTTATGATGTATGTATAGGAACCGTTGTAGAGTAGCAGTATGAATTAACTACCAGTACGTTCATATATACTCCATATAGATGTATCTCAACCAATTGATTGAATCTGATTAGCTCTGGTATGTGGGGCCAACCCAAAGCTTAAAAAAGTTTCCGACAAAAAGTTTCGATCAGGTGAATATTCACCTCAACTACACTACTTTTTCAAAGATTCCTCTCTATTCTCTATCCTCGAATATTCAATTTTATTTGAATATTTGAAGCAGAAAAACAGGGGGACAAATTGAACGTATAAAAGTCTTATTTTCTTCTTCCCGCAAAGCAAAGTTGAGCAATAGCCGAAACTCAACATGTCCGTCGAAGAGAGCAAACACAAACTCAGTGCGAGTGAGCTAAAACCGAAAAAGAAGGAAGAGAAGAGGCGATTGAAAGAATCAAAAAAAAAATCAGTGGACGATACGGTAAATGACAAGAGTGAGAAAAAATCGAAAAAGAAATCCAAGAAGCGATCACGCGACGATGTCAACGAAGAGAAACAACACGATGAATACGACAATGCCGATAAGATAGAGGAAGACGGTGAGACAGAGAAGAGATCACGCAAGAAGAGAAAGTCGGTTTCCTTTGCAGATAACATAACCATTGAGAACAAGGATCAAACCAATGATACCGGCGAGGACAAGAAAAATGATGGCGATGATAATACTTCCCCGACGGAGAATGAAGAGCAAAGTCGCGAGAGGAGGAAAAAGGAGAAGAGAGAGAAACGTGAACAGCGACGGAAACACGACGGCCAGAAAGCTGCTACCATTACTTCGACTAAAGGAGATAAACAACCCACAACGGATTCAGTGGACAACAAGTCTATTCTCGCCTATTTATCGCAGTACTACAATGACCGTGCGTCATGGAAGTTTCAAAAGATCCGGGAAGCCCAGCTTCTCAAACATGTGTTTTCTCTGGACCATGTTCCCTCTGAATATAATCCAGCGCTGCTAGCGTACCTGAAAGGACTGAAGAGTGAAGGCGCAAGAACACGGCTCCGCAAAAGTGCACAGGAAGTTATAAAACATGACGAGAAACATATTACTGCTACATCGGAAACGGCGGACGAAACTACGACAGAAGAAACAAATGATATTGCCAAATTACCTGTCTTACCGGAGTCGTTGAGAGAGGCTTATGGGGATGCTGTGTATCGTTTCAAGGGAAACTTGAACGCAGGCATCAAGAATTTAAATGAAGGTGTCTCCTTGACTGTGCCGAATGGAGACAACAATGAAAATAGCGAAGTCGATGCCAACGTTCTGGCTAGACTGGAACATCGGAAACGAGCGGAAATGGTCCAGTGGACTGTATCGGGCAGGATAAGCAAATTCGCCTCTGCCAGTGAGCAACAGGACAAGCAAACAGAACCGGAATCAGAACCCACAGGCACTACGACAGCATCGGCTGCGAAGAAGGAAAATAAGCAGAAAGCCCCGGCAAGGAAGAAGAGGAAGAATCGAACTATGATTGTGGAGATTTCGAGTAGTAGCGAGAGTTCTGATTCTGATAGCGATTGAGCTGGGTACAAAAATAAAGCTTGCATTCTTTACGCCCATCATAGCATATTGTTAGGGAGTTTCTAGGGTTTCTTATGTACAATAGAGTTGCTCAAATTATCACATTGTAGGTAATGATTCGAATCGTTTCTGGGTCTGTGTCTGAGCAAGGTTCGAAGATGTTTTCTGAATCGGCGTTTAACTTCCACCCAGAGATGGACCATGATATATTTCAGTGAAATAATCGAGTTAACTGAGTAGTCGGTCAATTGGTCTGGCAGCGAGTCATCTGGAGCAATTCAAAAATATCATGCACATGCGCACGACTGGTAGCGTTTTCCTATCTGGAGAATAGCTAAACCAGTGGATGGCATAGTAACTTGTAGCGAAGCTGATGAATTCCAAGTAGAAAATCATGTTATGTCTTGGCAGGAGAATAGGAAAAAGGCGGTGAATCCTGAGTGGCAGAATGAGCTGGGAGCTAGTGCTATGGCCGTCAAGCTCAGGCAGCTTCCTTGCACGCGCAACTCAACCTCATCCGACTTCAACTCATCCTTCCAGGCTTCTATCTCGAATTTTTGGTGATAGGTGGACATTGCGCAACTGCCTAAATACTAGAAAAGAAAAGTATCCAGATTTGGGACATTACTGATCATCACCATGTCGGGTTAGGATCCCGCCATTCCATCATCTGTTTGATTTTCTAGCTTGAATCTAACGAATGTTCCAACAGGGAGCGCAGGCTATGACCGACATATCACCATCTTCTCTGATACGGGTCGCCTATATCAAGTTGGTTAGTTTGAAACCTCCGTGCGCAGCTCTCCCAGTTGATTTCCAGGGAAACGATAACCCTTCCATCCATCATCCCCAAGCCTACCTCCGCAGTCAAGTCAACCAGCTAACGAGATGTTTCACCATAGAATATGCATTCAAGGCGATTACAGCAGCAAACATAACGTCCCTCGGTGTTCGTGGCAAGAACTGTGCCGTTGTCCTATCACAAAAGAAGGTCCCTGTAAGTTGGATTTGGGCCTACCTATCAGTCAGACTGGACAGCTTATGGATGCGTCAACCCGCAGGATAAATTGATCGAACCGTCTTCAGTCTCCCACATCTTCAAAATCTCTCCCTCTGTAGGATGTGTCATGACAGGATCCATAGCTGATGCCCGGGCATGCGTCGACCGTGCTCGTGGTGAGGCTGCTGAGTTCAGGTATAAATACGGATATGAGATGCCTTGTGATGTATTGGCGAAGCGCCTGGCCAATATCAACCAAGTTTACACGCAACGGGTACGTGCTACACTGCATATGTGCAGCCTCTATTATTCATCAATCTTTAAATGATAACCTGGCTGACATTACGACTCATCTACAGGCTTACATGCGTCCGCTCGGTGTTGCCATTACACTGATCTCGGTAGACGATGAGAAGGGACCTCAAGTGTACAAATGCGATCCCGCAGGATATTTTGCGGGGTACAAGGCCACTGCCTCCGGCCCCAAGCAACAGGAGGCACTCAACTTCCTCGAGAAGAAGCTGAAGAACAAGGAATATGCCGAAGGTGATTGGGAAGAAGTCGTGGAGCTCGGAATCACGGCTTTGAGCAATGTTCTCAGCGTTGACTTCAAGAAGAATGAGTTGGAGATTGGCATTGTTGGGGGCCCTCGATCTGACGGCCAGGATGGCACAGCGCTGGAGTTCCGGGCTTTGACTGAAGAAGAGATTGATGAACGGCTGCAGGCAATTGCGGAGAAGGATTGAGGGATCAAGAATGTATTCTCAAGTCTCTATTTGTCAAGATTTTCCGAGCCACAACAAAGAGTATCTATCAGTAAGCCTTCCTATAGCCGTTGAGGCTTGAATCACAACCTGAGTAAATTTGTTCATGAATCAGCGCGGATCCAGGCGTCGTCTGCTTGATTCTAGCCACGCTGAAGACTCGTATTCGTAAGCATTATGGTCTTGTATACAGTTCAGGTGCGCCTCGTTCGGAATGCTGTTAACAAAGTGAAGTCTGAGTTCATAAACACATTTGTGTTGTTTTGACAGCCAAAAATGACAGGATTTGCCACAATCAAGCATCAGCCACGACCCCAGCTCCCAATGCGGTAAGGCGCCGCTCCAGTTTCAGCTTGGATGGTCCGCGCTAAATTCGTGGCTTGGTGCAGTTCTGAGCTTGTGATTGGCCAATTCCTGCTGAACTTTTTTCGTTCTTTTTTCGTCTTTCCCACGTTTATTCCTCTTCATACGTACTATAGCATACCATCCTTCCTGGACCTCCCCTGCTTTAGTCTGCTTAGTCTTACACTACGACTCTGACGTGTTTCTGTCCCTTAATGGCCCGGAGGAGACCCGGTTCCATAGCCATAAGAGCTGGGAGGGAGTGGCGGTTATGCATGCATGAACGATAGACTAGAAAAAAAAACGATCTCAATCAGGCCGCAATGGCCGAACAAGGGTCCACAGGTCCACGGACAATATGCAGTGTGTCATTGATTATGTCTACTGTAAAACCCCCCCCGGACCGTCTAGGAAGCTATGTACTGCGTTGCAAGTAGCGGGGACGGAACCATCTTTTGGGAGATCCATCTACAGCTGCCTCTGACACGAATAGTATAGTGTCGAGAACTTGAGAGTATGATGTACATGTATATGCACGGCACGGAAACTCTATATGGCTGGCTGATCCAAAACCCACCATCCGTTCCCCTGGCGTACGCATATGAGTCTCGACACATAGTCTTTCTACCGGTCCCTTTCTATAACCCTAGGCCGATACTAGCAACGATTGGCTAGTCCCGGACGGAAAAGCCTGCAGAAAGAAAAGTAAAAAAAGGCATCTTCCGAGATAGTGTCAGATCCACTTGGAACTGTCCCAGATTTCGGACGTGATCCAGAAGCTCGGATAATCTCTTCCCATGTCGTTGCTTGAGGCTATTGGCTTAGTCGATCCTGACTAGCTAGTATGTACGCACGTTGTCCACAGTGCACATACCAAATGATGTCGTTGATAGGTAGGGTTTCCACTCGAAGGGGAAGGGGAGCCACGCATTATACTTTTACTACTTAAAAGAGAGGAATTCATCCATCATTCGGATGAGCTGCTTAGTTGAACAGATGGCTTCTGGCTTTGAACTTTATACAGCAAGCATTTGACTTTGTCTCTTTTTTTCATAACATTCTTTCTTCTACTTTTATTCATTTCGCTTTAATTGCTTGCGTCTGTTTTTCCTTACGACGTATCTAATCATTCGTTTTAAGCATTGAGTTGCTCATATTCCAGATATCAAGAGATATGGCTGACGGCCGTACGTCCTGCCCCTCCCTAAAGTTTTGAAAAGAAGACCTGGACTTTATCCGGTGCTCTTTCAGAGTTTTCATGCCTTTATTCTGACTCGAGCCTTTGATTGTCTTCGCTTTGGCTTGGTTCTAGTTAATGATGCACGAGCAATGAGAGTTGCCGAATTGATTAATGACTACCGAACGCTTCAACTTCATATCTCGCAGCAATTGGCTTCTGTGTCAATGGGGAATGTGCAACTGGAAGGATATCGTGTTCTCGCACAAAGCTCAGCGGCAGCACAGCGTCTGTTGGCAACGGGGTTTACGAGTATGCCGATTGAAGATCAGGGGAGCGATCCGGAGATGGAAAAGGCTCAATTGCGCCAGTAAGTATACCTGTCTGCTCGAGGACAGTTCGGCGAAGGAATACCGGTTATTGATCGAATATACAGGGTCATCCTCGACGCAAGCGTCCGTCGATTCCAAGCTCACAAGATCTATCTCCGTGTTGCAGCTGCGAAAAGATGGGTCATCAACCGCAATGAGCTCCTTGCACGGTCATCCAAGGCTAATTCTCAAGTACGAGAGGTCGATCAATTACTACGCCAAGTATGTCTTTCTCATAAACCCAAGCAGACTATGTTGCGCGCAATTGGCGCTAATCGCACCGGTGCAGGAACTCGACAGTATCACTGATCACACGATCTTCTCCGATCTTCGACAAGCGGACTCGAGAGCTGGTCTCTGGGTGTCTGAAGATCCTCCGCTGGCGGCGATTCAACTTTGGATCAACAACTCTCGAAACTAACGTTCTACTTACGTTGAGTTTCCACCACGTACAATGTCTGGGAGTTATGCTGGACATGATGACTTCAAGTTGTGGACTGGGAAAGAATGCTACATGACACTACACGATGTTCATTGATATCCTATTTCTTTTCTCTCTCTCTCTCTCTGCCTTTCTTTACCTTTTTGTTCTTTTCCAGGAAGATCGAAGCTGGCTTGAAACATTAGCATAAATTTGCATTTGACGGAGCGACTGGCTTTTCTTTTCGTTTTTGGCATTGAAGCGTGTCTAGATACGTCTCCTTGATGAAGAGTTTCGGGGTTGCATTGCAAGTGGTGCTGGCGCTACCTAGTATTGCTAGTATAGGGGACATTGAACCTAATAACCTGTTAATAAGGATAGTATCTCTACTTGGTATTATTGTCGTACTGTCCGGAATCTCGGAATAGTTGCACGGATAAGTTTTGGTGTTGTACTCGCCATTGACCAATAGATCGCAAATCCGAGCATAAAATGATATCCTATTCAGATCATTTGTTCGCAGTCGGGGTTGCCGAAGCACGATGGGGCTTTGCTAATCCGGTCCAAGGCTCTTGTTATTGATTCTAGTAAGGCACATAGTAAGCAGCAATCATTACTGATCCACCACCAACCATACCACGTAGTAGATCTAAGAACCAAGTCCAGCTGAACAGCAAACACAAAACTTGTCATTGATCAGTGTGGGGAGGTAAGAAAAAAGATTTAGACTAATTGACTAGCTTGTAATTGTTAGCTTGTTCGAGTTAGGGCAAAGAAGTAGCATCGCGGTTCTTAATTCCCGGACTGCTGATTGGCTCACGCATGCCACGAACCGTTTTCTTTTCAGCTGTTGTCCGCCACGATACCCTAGACTCCTGACTCCTGCATGGTGATGAGGTCAAATTCGAAGTTTCGAGTACGTGCGTATGCTCTATGTGGGAATCAATTGGTGGAAGTCAATTAGAGTACGCAATACTATCATGCGTAGATGTAAGACCCCATATGTTCAACAGAGAAACCGGAAATCCTACAGATCGATCGCTGCTGACAATTGGTCGAGATCGCTGATATAGATCAAAGGGTCCAGATCAACTTGCTCCTCAAAAGAGGACCTCAGGAACTATATCACACTCCTACTATAGCATCCAGACGAAAGCAAAAGGCCGTCTGGTCATCCGGCTCGGTGGAAATCACCTTTTTTGTGTATACGACTTCTTGTTCTATTTTGCGGTCACATATTGGCGGGAAATGGACGGAATATGCTGCTCGTAGTCCACTTTTCTCTTTTAAAGAAACAGCAGTCGAACGTCTGAACAAAAGACAACAAGTAGATTACCAAAAGAATGACGACGGAGGATGTTGTGATATGAATCAGTCAATGGGAGCCGCTGATTGGTGGACCGGATATGCCTGAGCTCCTCCGCAAGGACACCTCTCCACTTGCTTTCTCCAAACTATCCCAAAGACAACAACGACAATCCTCGATTACACCGATTATATCAAAGAAAGGCACTATCTATTACACCGGAACAGAGCACCTTACTGACTCGAGACAACAAAGTAATATAACAATGCTGTCCGCCCTCGGAGGCAACCTGTCCAATGCGCGACAATCGATTGCTCAGGTCCTAAACTTCGCCCTTGTCCTCTCTACAGCTTTCATGCTATGGAAAGGCGTTTCGATAGTGTCGAACTCTAGCAGTCCCATCGTGGTCGTGCTCTCCGGGTCTATGGAACCGGCATTCCAGCGAGGGGATCTACTGTTTTTATGGAATCGGGGTGAGAGGGCTGAGGTGGGAGAGATTGTGGTTTATAATGTTCGAGGTATTACAGGCTCCATTGAAATACAGTGACCGTAGCTTATGGAGAAGACTGACTGGTTCCAAGGCAAGGATATTCCAATTGTCCACCGAGTCGTGCGATCATATACCGAAGAAGACAAGAAGTTGAAGGCCAAGAAGACGAAGGCTGGGTACGTTCCGGCAGTATCTTTCTTATAGGCGAATACTAATCAGAGTCTTGCTGATTTATAACAGGCTTCCTTACGTCGCACCCCAGAAATTACTCACAAAAGGAGATAACAACCTTGCCGACGACACCGAATTGTACGCTCGAGGACAGGAATTCCTAGATCGCAAGGAGGATATTGTGGGTAGTGTCCGAGGATATATTCCCGGGGTGGGATATGTCACAATCATGTTGAGCGAACATCCATGGCTCAAGACCGTATTGTTAGGCGTTATGGGATTGATGGTCGTTTTTCAGAGGGAGTGATTCACTGTTGCTTTTTTCTACAGTATGGTTTTATAAGCGTTGCATTTTGTGGGATTCTTCTCCAGATGGAATACAGTACTTGAATAGAATATATTCTTTTGATATGTGGCCGTTCACTATCTGCATACATTATTGCATGCTCCTCGTGTGACCTGTCTGAAGCACAGCCCGACTTGAGAAGTATCGAAGCATATATCCATGTAGTCAAGCGAACCTTTTTGTTGGCTGGTTGTAAACAATTGCGCTGCCTGAATGTGTCAATCTACCGGGTATCAAAGATGGAGGACTCCATAGTATGGAAAGAGCTAAGCTCATGTACCCAAGAGCTACCCCGCCAAGATAAAGGTACCTTACTCACCCCTCTTGGCCATCACCACAACAACCTCTTCTTGTTATTTACATTTAGTTCTTTCTCTTTGATCTATCACTTTATCTAGACTCAGATCAGCACCATGGGTAGCATTAAGCGCATCAGCAAGGTTTGTTTGTTCCTTTCCATGTCTCCCAGATCTTATGACGACGCTTCAATGATTATTTCATTTAGATTTCAGACTGACCTGTTTCCACGAATAATAGGAGTTGGCCGAACTTATAGAAACGCCGCCCACTGGAATCTCAGTCCAGCTTGTCGATGAATCAGACGTGTACAAATGGAAAGTTACTATGAAGGGCCCCGAAGATACGCCATACGAAGTACGCCTCTGTACCGACTCGTTTTATGAAAGCAAAAGCATTTACTAACCAGATCGTTTAAATAGGGAGGCACATTCATCGTCAACCTCACGCTGCCAAATGAATACCCATTCAAGCCTCCCACCGTCTCCTTCGCTACCAAAATCTACCACCCTAACGTCTCCAACGACGATAAAGGATCCATGTGTCTCGGTATGCTAAAGTCGGACGAATGGAAACCCTCATCGCGCATTGCAGCTGTGCTCGAATTTGCAAGACAATTGTTGGTTGAGCCCATGCCGGATGATGCTGTCGAGGGACGGATTGCGGAGCAATATCAAAACGATCGAAAGCGGTTCGAGGAGGTTGCCAGGGATTGGACGAGAAGATATGCTAGAGAAGCGAATTAGTCTTTCTTTTGACTCGATTTCACATTGATTCGACCTTTATCCCGACGGCTCGTCCTTCTCGGCTTGAAGCCCCCTATTTATTTCATTCATTCATACCAAAGGAGGAGCAGAGCAGAGCAGAGGTAGCATTGATCATTTTATGGCGTTTGGGTCTGGTTCTTCCGTCATTCGATTTTGGTGCTGTTCGGTGTTTGCTGTCTATTTACCAGAAACCTCTGTGCATGTATGTAGTATGTAGACCCTTGCTGGAAGCATAACGAAACTACGAGTGACTGTTTTTCTTTTCTTTTTCGTTCTACGTATCTGGTTTCCTCTATATTAAAACGCCGAGGAGATACCCGCCGGTCCAGAGGGACTCGGGATTTGATTCAGATCTAGCCGGTGCAGCTTGATAGGTCCAATCCAAAGCCACGGAATTTGAGATGTAGGGAATCTAGGTTTGAAGGGCACTGGAGATTCGCTTAACATGGACATTTTCGTCGACCATGCTTGAGGCTGCCGTGGAATTTGGCGAATATCCACCAGCGAACTTCATCGGATCTTCCACTGTGGCATTGCACAGCACAGCCCGGAGTCACCTTCAGCGTGGCTTTGGTCAGACTGCCGGGTGGAACATGGATGTATGTGAGATGGTACTACATGTCACCTCGCATATGATCAATATGACACAGAACGGCTTGAATCACGTCTGAATGATATGTCGGAAAAATGGACGAGGAGATGAGATCAGTCGACAACGGATGTTCGGACCGTTACTCTAGCCTCTCAAGGATGGAATTAGTCTCTCGAGTTGGGAGTAGTTGGTATGTTTGTAAAGAATGTAGTGACAATTTGTCGATAACAGCAAATACAGTAATATCAAGCAAAAGTAGCAGATCGTATGAGGCCGTAAGGGTACTCCATAGCCGAAGCTGATTGGATCCGCCTTCTCGGGCGCTTCGGATGGTCCCGCGTTGCTGCCGCTATTTTCTCCATGGTTTACTTCTTCTCGTCTTTTAACATCAACCCAGCCGGGTCCTGGTCTCTCCATTTCTCTTCTTGATCTTCGTTTCTTCTGTCCGTCTGACAGGCATGGACTGCCTCTTGCTGAACTCTTGATCTTAACTTGAAAGGCCCGATTTGTGAGACCTGGTGTTGTCTCTTCCATTCATTGTGCCAAAAGACGGCCATTCATTCCCTCCTTTGTCTCTCTACACCAATTGAAGCTCGACATCAATTGTTTCGTTTGCTCGAGCTAGAAAAAACAGAAGCAGGAAGAAAATCGTTAGCCTGGACTGGAACAAACAAAAAGTTGAAAAAGGACCGAAACAACGGCAAAGAAACCCCGACCATTTCGAGAAGCCTAATGAAGACACGTATATTGCCCGCGTGTTCGACAAAGAGGCTTTGATTAATCCTCTTGTCCAAACAGGGAAACTATCTTTAGAAATCGTCTGGCAACAAATGCACAGCGGGAACGGCGCGTTTTTCAGTGGCCATGGTCACACCGCATGGGGGTCCGCCCCTGGACACTCCGAGCCCTAGTGATGATATCGTTCATCGCCATCGCGTCCCTCCGCCACACCTGACCCTGAACAACAATATTAATAATAACACTAGTGGTTCAAATGATCGCCACAACCTGACTCCAAACCCAGCGCTGTCTCCGACGTCTCCTGCGAAGCCTACCAAATACATTCCTTACAGTCCACGTCTGGCCCGGCCTAGCCTGGATCAACTCTCCTACAACACTGAAACCTCCCTCCACAACACCCCGTCGCGAAATGAAGAGCTCTATTTCAATACACCTGTATCAGATCCCATGTCCTCTCGCCACGACATACCAATTGCCAGCTCGCCGCCGGCCAAAACCTCAAGATTTCCCAACAAGCATGAGGAGCAAGAGCAAGAAGCCGCTTGGCCGTTACCGATGACCGATGCTGCGCAGAGCATCAACAGCGTGCCTCGGATGCGGCCAACGCGAACAGGCTTACGGATATCCATGTCAACGTCTTCCCTGAATGGAAGACGTCGTTCGCCTCATCCCGATCGCCAATATGCGGATATGAGCGCCGCCAGCAGACCCCTACCCCGATTCCCACCTCGCGTTACCCCTGATCTTATGCAGTATAATGATCCACTACGCTCCAGCCAGACATCGGGTCAAACGTCATACTCGAGTTTCGAACAAATGAGTGGGACCGAACGGAGCAGCATTGCGACCAAAACTAGCTCCATCACCGATATGTCGCCGGACACCCCGAACGGCTATTTTGGAGAAGATGAAGATATGACTGTTGAGGATGCAATTGGCATGTATCTTGACGATATCATCGATCTCCCTGAAGATTCGACATCTACTCACTCTGTACCACCCGGCGGCGAGCTAGATGTCATAGCCGAAAATATATACTCACCTACCAAACGCACCTCCGTCGCTTCGCTAAATCCTGGGCCTGAAGTTCCGGTAATGGAAAAACAAGAGGTACTTTCTGGACATAATCAAAGTCCGTCACATGATCAATCAGTGGACGAGCTAGAGACGAAAGATGAACAGAAAACTGCCGACGACTCAAACGAACAATTCGAACAGCGGCAAGAAGTGGAAGCATCGCGATCGACTGGATCATCGCAACCAACGGTAGAGCCAGTAGGACCGGCAGACAACGAAACCGCTTCTCCAAAATCGACAGGGTCCAGACAACAATCCTCTAAAAACCTCTCTATCAACGTCTCTGCGACTCTCAAAATGGATACAACTAAAGCCGTGAATCAACCAATACCTAGCCCCCGTTATTCAACCGTGGTACGTGTCGCAGGAAAAGTTCCGCCTTCATTTCTTCCGGGCACTGACGACCGCGATCGCTATGGTTTTCGCAAAGTCACTCACCATGTTTCAAGAGAACAATTTGAAGCTTGGCACAAGCCGTACGCCGCGTCGGCGGAGCATCGTCGGCTGAAATGGGTCAAATTGATGGAGTCCTCCGGGTTGCCGACTGAGTGTCCTGTTACGTTCCCTCCCAAATCTAACGTGCTCAAGAGATTCGTCCGAAAGGGCATTCCAAGCGAATACCGAGGTGCCGCCTGGTTCTATTACGCGGGAGGCTATCAACACATGCATCCGAACCCGGGCCACTATGCTAAATTAGTGCAGGAAGCCATGTCTTCATCCATCAACACTGACAAAGAGCACATTGAACGCGACCTTTATCGGACTTTCCCGGATAATGTTCACTTCAAACCAGAGATGTCGGCGGACTTGGCGGGCATTGATACTGCGGGAAGCGATATTCCTAAGCATAGCTCAGTTATAATTGAGACCCAAATGATCAGGTCTCTGCGACGGGTGCTCTATGCATTTGCGCTTCACAATCCCCGTATTGGATACACGCAATCGCTGAACTTCATCGCTGGGATGCTGCTTCTCTTCCTACCAGAAGAAAAAGCTTTCTGGATGCTTCATATAATAACCACTGAGTTGTTTCCGGGTACGCATGAGATTAGCCTCGAGGGCGCCAATGTGGATATGTGGATCTTGATGGTCTTGTTGAGAGACAACCTACCACATGTCTACACCAAACTGGTCACAACCACGCCGACAACGGCAAAGGGCAAAGCTCCCGCATTGACTGTCAATACGCGATTGCCTGACATCACACTTGGTCTCACTAACTGGCTCATGTCAATGTTCATTGGCAGTCTACCGTTGGAAACGACTCTGCGGGTATGGGACTGCTTCTTCTACGAAGGATCCAAGACTTTCTTCCGGGTTGCATTGGGAATCTTCAAGGCTGGCGAACGGGAGATCCTGTCGGTATCAGATCCGATGGAGGTCTTTCAGATTGTTCAGACCATTCCGAAGAAGTTGCTTGATGCCAATGCATTGATGGAAGAAAGTTTGAGCCGGAAATACCGTATGGGCCAGGCGCGCATTGATTTACTGCGTGACCAGCGGAGAGAAGCTGTGCGTCAGGAAAAGACGCGGCTGTCATTGTTCACAAGCAAGGGCTTAGGGCAGGATCGACCAGCCACTCGGACCGGAGCCAGAAGCCCTATTCCTCGTCTAGATGGATGGCGAGCTATCAAAAAGAATACATTCAATTAGAACTCTTTCGAATCATTTTTTTCACCTCGTTACTTTCGATTCTTTGTGTCATCATTGCATACGATACTCTTGGGATGAGGTATCTGAGCGTATAGGCGTTGATACCCTGGTTGGTTGATTTTCATTTCATTCCCTCCTTTTGGGACGTTCTTTGCATGTAAATTCATTGTACCTCTTGTCTGCACCCGGGGGGGGGATTGGCTTTCGACGGGTAGATGAGGTGGTATATGTTCGAGTTACCTATTGGGAAAAGTTGGAAAACGGCTTGATGCTTCCAAGCGGTTAGATAGATTTGGAATCTGATCTATGACTGAAAACACTTCTCGGAATCAAGGAATTCGTATATGCTGATCTTCACTGGCCTAGCGTAAGTGAGTGAGTGAGTAGAATATTAACCTTGGAAGATTATCATGCATCTATGCTGGTAAATGTCATCATGTATTGAATAGATGTACCCATTTTTCTCCAACTTGTTGATTTCCGTGTTGTGAGAGGAGATAATCAGCTCTCTCGTACGAGAGAGTGTCGAGGGGATAATCCAAATCCACGCTTATCTAGATCGAGTATCCCATTGACAAGTGATTCCTCCTCAAATTGAATCAATTTATGACTGTTGGCGCGCACTTAGATCTTTGTTGAGCGCCCTCTAATCTGTCTTGCAAGGTCAATCGGGGGATATTATAAATCCTTACAGCTTGCGATACACGTGACATCCGTTCATTTTGCAAATCGGAAATAGCTAATAGGATTCGTCCCTCTTGCTCAGCTAAATACTTTTAATTTTTATTGCGAATTGTGGCATATTGACGTGTTGAATAATATGGAATCAAGATTGTATACGCGTTCCGGGAACATTGACGGTTCACTTACGTTGACGGTTAGGTTAAGTTACCGATTACGTTACGGTCTCTAGGCCTATTTAAGCTCATATCCGAGTCATATTTTGACACAGACAAAAATAAATTGTGATAACGATTTCCCCTGAACCATGAACGGAACTAACAGGTTTGACATTAGCTCCCAGAAATTATGTTAGCCGTAACCATGACATATCGGGATCTAATGATAGGACATCTCGGAGGTGCATGGATAGTTTCGGAATATTTCCTAATGCGGAAATATTGAAGATATATCCAGATAGGATTCGGCGTCATGAAAGTTTATCCCGAATCGTCTACGGGGTTAGCCCATAATAAAGGTGTGGTAAGTTGATTATGACCGGTACTTCATTTGATGCACCATTCTTGGCTATCCTCAAAAAGCTGGCCATTTACTACATTCTCTCCCTCTCGAGAATACCTGCCACTAGGCAATTCGGGCACCAACCGGAGTAACGAAGGGAGCACTAAAATGAAAAGGGAAAGCCATGGTGTGTCAAGGGAAATCTGGTATGTAGGTAGCATTCGCTGCATTCCAGCTCTAATAGAATCAGATTCTCGCATGACTTGTATTAGATCTACTTAAGTACATATCCATTGACGTAATCAATGGCGGCCATTGGAAAGGGCTAGTGAATCTCACGATCAGCTTGGTAGCTGTTTTCACGGCTTGATGGGCTACAACGCGATCATCCGAGGTCTGACATTCCATACCATGAGTGGCAGGCAAACCGATATTACTATCCAAGTACTGTGTAAACCAGTATTCGATACTCATAATTGCATTTTGTGTCTCATCTGAGGTGTCGATCATGGTACATGGCCCATGTAAGCGTGTTAAGGGGACCAGGCCGCTCCGAGTACCAAATCTGGCTGATTAAACGGATATGGCTTTGCAGACAGATAATGCATGCATGAAGCTCTTTGACAGTTTGACTAGGTACAAGACATTAGTTTCATCAATGTATCTACCTATTGGATCGCCAATATTACCCATGTTCTGCATAGTGCATCGATTGATCCATTCCCATCATTCTTCATTCTACTTTCGCAGAATCAAATAGCTTGACGCGCTGTGAAGTCCACTTTTTCTGCAATTAATTTGCACTGCTACATATTCATACCAGTCAGCTATCCTGGCGAACCTAATTGTACGATAAGACGCGTCAAGTAGTTAACAGTTGTTGTAAGCGCATTCTGGAACAAACCCTAACTCGACCAACCTTCTTTTCACTCAAACACCAAACATGCTCCATAGAATGATCGTCTCATCTACACATTCCATCAGGCCATCTTTCTTTGGAAGGCGAACGTATGATTACTGTATGTTGCTAGTCCAACGACCCTTGATTAGATCCGCGTTTTTGTATGTGTTTTACTTTTCATCATTTGGTATGCTATCGAGTTCGAAGCATTTGGCTATGTTAAGCCGCTATGCCAGCCAGCATCATGGCGCATTGAGCATGGAATCAGAGCAAAACAAATCGTATCTATATCAATAGCTGCTCTACCCTGACCAATTCTCAGAAATTTGGACTCGCGCGACAAATCAACTACATCAGCGGTTCCTTCGACAAAAGCGATACTTCAGCTAATATCCACTCGCTACTTCGACTTTGATCAACACATTCGTTAGCAAAAATGCGTTCACTCGTTACTCTTATCGCATTTGCCGCTGCTGCTACTGCAGCTACATCCTCTCTCGTTGCAAGGGAAGATGCCCAGACCTGCGCTGTAAGTTGTACCTGCTGGGATTAGTAGTCTTCGCAGCATTACTGACTATAGTAGATGCGCACTCTTCTTTCTAGTAGCGCTTGCAATACCGGCGATGCTGCCTGTCTCTGCTCTGACTCTGCACGCACGGCCGTCATGCAGGAGATCAAGGCTGCATGTGGTGCTGAACAGAGTGACTGTATGTTTAGACCTGGTGCGCTTTGAATAGTGTATATGCTAATACATCAGTACAGTGACCGATAGCCTCGCCAGCGAGGCATGCCGTATGCAGAAAGTGCGTCGTGCAACTCAACCCTCCGCCACCGTCGTGCACATGGGTCTTGCAACACCCTCATCGTCACCAGCAGGCCGCGTTAACGGTGCACAGGAAAGCTCTGGTCAAGAAGCATGCACTTGCGCCAATACAAACACCAAGTCCAACACTCCCTCCGCCTTATCTGAGAACGACACCGAAGACTCCGAACTCAGTGGATCATCCTCCCACGAGTCCAACATCCCTGCTCAGAGCAGCCGTGTCTATGCTCCTAGCATGATGGCTACACCCGCTGCTTCCTCTGCTGCTCACCACGGCGTTATGACTCCTCCTTCTACATCATCATCGGCTCGTGTTGCTACTCCAAGTGGTGCTGATGCCTACTCGCCCTTCAAGGGTGCTGGTAGCCAAGTTATTCCTAGCTTGAGTGCTGTTGCTGGTGGTGTCTTGGCTGGTGTCGTTGCCGTTTTTGCTACCTTGTAAGAAGCTACGGATTGTCTGGTTTTCGGTGTTGTCAAAAGGAAAGGTGAAATAAAACTGTCTTGATTTGTTTATATTGATGAGTATACTCCTGTCTATTAGTGTTACTGTTTCTTGGATGGCGTCTTTTGTTATATGGGGATTTTTACTTTGTTTGCATGTCAATGTGTAATGTTGCGCCATATTTCTTTGAAAGGAGGAATATCTGAATCTTTCCGGGTGGTTGCATTGGCATGGCATGTACGTGACATATTTAGCTTTCTGGAGAATAAAATAGAGTCAAAGATACCTATGTTCACTTCAATGTTGTCTTGCCGACATCTGTAACGGAGCTATCAATCAAATCTAGCCCTCTACTCAAGGTGCTGGAGTGTGGTTAGCTTTATCTTATCCATAATCCCCTGTAGTCTCCCGTCTACTATCAATGCCACTGCATCTCTCCCAGTTTCGAAATACTCTTCCAAAGCACCAACTCTGTGAGCAACGACGATAACGGTATGACCGTGTTTGGTAAACTCGCTGTCAACAATACGATAAACAGTCGATTCTGTTTCGATATCAAGAGATGATGTGACCTCGTCCAAGATAATAACGGGCTTCACTCCATATTGCAGCAAGAGCTTAGCTTTGAGAACTGCCCGGCATATTGCGAACAGTTGGCACTGTCCTATCGAAAGCTCTGGAAATAAAGAGAGCTTACGATTCAGAATCGGATGATTATCGTCAGAGTCTGAAATATCGACGATAGTAGCTCCCTCTCCATCCAACTGTCTGCTCCCTTCGTAGAAATGTGACCACAAGCCGGCGTCCGTTAATGCATCAACAAGGGCATCATCTGGCACTGAACAATCCAGGTCTAAGTTGAAACGCAAGGTCTCGTTGGGCAGGAGTAAAGGATCTTGAGATACTGTGATAAAGCACCGTTGCCGTAGCAGATCCAGTCTCATGCTCCTGATATCAATACCGTCTAGCTCTATCTTGCCGGATTGTAGCTCCAATAGACGTAGTAGTGTCAATAGTAATGTACTTTTACCACTGAAGTCAAGTGAGCCCTTGAGTCAGACCGAGTTTAACGATTTGAATTGACTAACCTGCCTGTACGTCCGCACACAACAAGTTTCTGACCAGCAGGAATATTTAGAGACAAATTCCGTAGAGCAACAGACCTAGACCTAAATTTGCACGTGTCAGTATAAGAGATATTGCCGGAGGCTACCATCAGGAAACATACTGATATGACGCAGTAATATTCTTAAACTCGATGTTACCCCTTGAAGGCCAGTTCGCAGGCGGTTCTAAAGTTTCGGCAGTTCCACCCTCAGACGGCGTCACCTCCTCGAGAGTCTTCAATCGAGAAAGAGCACCAAGGGATGTCTCCAGCACGGTCCAGTTCTCCACAAGTCTCAACAATGTCGTGTTGGCTACAAGCATGATATTGAGCGCAATCCCAACTTGCGCACCAGTGATATGCGTCCTATATGCCGCTGCTATAGCAACTGTACTTGTTGCTATCACAGCAGCTAAGAGATCCAAGACGATATTGAGCCATCTTTGAAGACACAAGAGAAGAAATTCTGGACGTTGCGAGTTCTCGACACTTAGAATGTTCTCTTCTATCATAGCCTTGGACCAGCCGAACGATCTTATAGTCTCGATGCCTTCAACCTGGGAGATTCGGTTAGGCTACAATAGTTATTAGAGAGTCCGAAGACTTACACTTTCCAAGAAGTTCGAAAATACCCCAGCACGGGACTCCAGTTCCAAAAATCGAAGTTGCCTCGACGTCCGGAGATAGGTTTTTTGCACTACAAAGACCACAAGTATACAGGCCGGTAAAGATACTATGAGCCACCTTTCGGTAACACAAAGAAGTATTGTCTGCATGAGGAGCTTGCAGATTTCTGGAGGTGTTATTACATCACACAAATCCGATAAGAGGGTATAATACCTACGAGTCACAACAGTCTGAAGGGCCGATGGTAATTGCTTGTCGATAAGCTGCATGTCTTGACTGAATCTGGATACTATAAGCATTGACTCGACCTTGCGGACATGGTAACTCACCTGTTCAGGATCGAGCCAACATCGGTCTTCGAAAAGTAGGATAAGGGTGCCCTATGCATCGTTGGCTATTTATACTCGAAGTCATCATCATCTCTTGGAATGTGAAATAACTCACCTTGCCACGATGTATAGAAGACGCTCATGTAACTTCGACCCCGATTGTGGAGCAAGTCGAATAAGAACAGACCTATTGTGTCGATTTAGTTGATACTATCTAGGCAGAGACCCCGAATGTCAAGAACACACCACATCTGAGTGCTGGTGGAAGCCCACGACATGATTGAGAGGAAGAGGAATCCACATGCGTAGAACACGGGGTCTCTACCACCGAGCTCCGTCCACAACCGCAGCCAGTACTGAGGGAATGCAATGAAGAAAGAGTATGACATGGTGCAAGCTATAAGAAGTAAAAGATTTCTCGAACCAATGTAACCAAAGTAGTACCCTAACCGTCCTATTAGCTGTGCATCACGGATATGGATCTGGGAGGGAATCCTTAAACTCACTGTATAATGCAGGATCTCCAGTCCGTCTTGCAAGGTCTATTTCAGCCTCATATTTTGATCTCAACTGACTGTTGAGCTTCTCAGTGTTTGCCAATAGGATAATGCTGTCTTTGCCACGAGAACTGGAAGAAAACTTTGCTTTGGATGTGGCTTTGTACTGGATGTTCTGCCAATTGCCTTGATCAAGGATTTCACGATCTTTGAGAACCACAATATGGTCCGCTGCATGGAAGTAGTGGGCTATCTCTGGCATAAGTCTGTATTCCCATAGCTGAGAATGAGCAAGGAGCAGCTTACTTGAATTGGAAACAAGGATCACAGTGGTATTCAGCCGCCTGACTACACCTGAGGAACCGAAAAGATTGTCGAAGATAGTCTGCTCTGTCTCACCATCCAGACCACTGAATGTGTCATCAAGAAGGAGTATATCGCATCTTGCAAACAATGCACGTGCGAGGCTCTGCAATTTTATTTCCGGGTCAGTCTTAGAGTAGTCAGCATGTCTAAAGAAACATACCACGCGCTGTCTCTGTCCTCCAGATAAATTGAGCCCCTTACTGCCAATTTGTGTCTGGTCACCACCCGGAAGGTTTTTAAAATCATGATTGAGACAACATATCTCTATTATCTCATGGTACCATCTTTCGTGATACTCTTGCCTGACATTATGCATTTTAGCAATCCCGTAGATGGCATCTTTGATCGTACCATTGGGTAGCTACGGCTTCTGTGCACAATATGCTATATTTCGAGTCGACAAACTGATTGAACCTTGGGTAGGAGTGACTTCGCCAAGAATAGCACGCAACAGATTCGATTTACCACTGCCCGTAGGGCCTGATATTATGGTAAATGACCCTGGTGCCACTTCGATATTTATGTTCTGTAGAACAACCGATTCATGGCCGATTTGTACGTCACGAATTTGAATGGCAGGGCTAGATTGAGTCTCTTCTTGTAGTATTTGACGAGTATCCTGTAAGGATGGTTGAAGCAAGAATGCTTGAATTCTTTCGAACCCAGCAAATGCCGCCACTACCCGCGGCACAATAGTCATAACCATATTAGCAGGATGTGTGACCATGCTCAGAATGGCTATAGTGGTGAATGCAGTTTCTGTATCCAACCTTCCACCACGAGCCACCGATATAAGTGCTGAGATAACCAGTGTTATGGCCGGAGAGAATATTCCAAGAGCGTTGGCTGTACTGTGTCAGATATACTTTATTTATAATGATATTAGTGCTGAGGATTGACAAACCTGACATGTTGTAGTAGACCATTATCCATCTAAGTTTTGATGCCGCCCAGAGCTCCTCTCCTCGAAGCTCTTGAATGCGGTTCACAAGATTATGTTGATATCCCAGCATCTTGACGACTTTCATTGAGCTTAACATAGAGCTTATAGCAGCTATACGACTCTGCGTTGTACTATTCCAAGCTTTCTGGCGAGGCTGTAGATTCTTTGTAACGAATCGACTCATATATGAGCATACTATATAGATTAGTGTGTAGTCCAAACGTAATGGCGAGCATGCTTACAATAGATCAGAAGTAGCGGAAGAGGCCAAATCCAGCCCACCTGGCTAGCTAGTAATCCAATACCGATAATCACTTCGATGACATGGGCCCATATCTCATGAACCATTCCAGCAACATCGTCGAGACTATCTGCATCGGTACTCATGAGTGTAGTGGCTTCCCCATTGTCATACGAGACGGCAGGTGAGTTTATTATTTTGTGATGAATAACCCCGACGAGACAGCTTCTAGTCATGAGCTTCAGTCTATTCTTCCGGTGTTGATAAACCGCTGTCGACAACTAAAGCCGGATGTTAATGTATGGGACAGGGAGGGGGACAGAGATCTGAACCCACAGCGAGACCAAGATAGACAGCGATAGCGGATAGAACAAGCCAAAATCCTTGATTACTTTCTGTATTCGTAGGATATGCTACAACATATCTGATACTCTCTCTAATCAAGATAGGTTGAGAATACTGAAAGATGATCAAGAAGAGTCGAGGCACAATAGCAGCGAGAAAAGGTTGCTTTACGCACTTCATCAAGGCCAAGGGTAAACTCATCTTTGTTTCGGGTTTGGCTACTCTTGTAGTAAGTCATAGACCAACTTATGTTGAGATTTGACCAACCTCGCTTAGACCATGCTTGAATCATTGCTTCCCTTGTGAGCTCTGGCTTCATATATTGACTGAGCGGCGGCAGATCTTGGTTAACGAGGACGTTGGTATACCACTGGAGAAGGATTGGGTTGATCCATAGGAAGAATATTCTGCTCAAGATGCCATGTCGCTCTTCGGGAGCCCGCTGCTTCCTGATAGCATCAGATGCGGCATGCCGCTTAGTACAACATTCAATGACGAGAAGCATCGAGTGTATACAGCAACGGAAAGATACCGCACGTGAAATATATGCATGTCTATCGACCTGCGAAGGAGCAGCGAGTATTATAACATCGCACAGTGTAGATGCAAGAAGATATAAAGTAGTAAAATCCGATGCTCTATAAGACCGCTGACTCTCCTTGAGTAGAAGTAGGCTCAGGCCCAATGCAGCAAGTGTAGACACAAACAGTGCTCCCAGATACTCGAGTTTTTGCTGAACATGCAAGCCTAAAAGTTGTGCCCCAGATGTGCACAATATGAAAGCAAGCAATATTTCAAAACCCTGGGCGGTAGTAATCAGGCATCAGAAATGTAATTGATACTTTTATAAAAGGGGCCGGGAGATACTGACTGCTTTGAAGGAACCCCGCCACTCTGGAGGATATCTGATATTAGAATCATGGAGCTTCCATAGCCTTGCTGGGAGAATCAGGATAAATATAGCGTCACAGATTGTAGATACGATATAGAAGACTCCCGCAGGATCCGGAGCCATTGTGCATTCTGAACGTTGGAAGAATTGCGTTTGAGATGAACGCGAGTAGGTTGATAGATAAGGAAACAACAAGTATTTCCTAGAATGACTGATTCAATGTCTCAGAATATCGCCTAATTTTAGTAGCCATAATAGCCCTAACGTCGACGAACCCCTGCACCTTTCCGTCATTTCTTTATTCTCTGCGTAAAAATATAGATTAAATCTTGTGTTGAACGATTATTATGATTATATTGCATCAAGCAACTACCCTTAGATGTCGGAACTACCAAAATTGGTTGTTCTAGGGCCCCTGTTCGCATAAGTTCGCGACAGCACTGCTTACGGTAGACATCGATCACTTTACCCAACTCGGACTCTCCCTCTCGCCGCTTTGTGAGGCGTGTTACCTCCGCGGCGCGGCGCGGCGTGGTCGGGAAGACCCCACCGCCCGAGAGGTACCGCAGCAATGTGGAGTTGGGCATGAGCTCAGACCGCAAGCACTCTTCTGGCTTCCCAAATTCAAATCCGACGTCCCCTCATCTTGATTCTGCGAACATTTCAGTCTAGAAATTTCCATGACGAGTGGCTGTGGCTATGGAAGCATGCGATGGTACACCGGGAGCGAATCTCACTCTGGCTAGCATTTATCACCAGCTCATGGAGCTGGATTCTATCGATAGAGCTCTCAGAGACCAAATAGTCTCCATCAGAGTTCAATCGACGATGGCCGAGTATGTGGGATCGACTAGGGACGCAGAGAGTCGATCGCTTGGACCCGATGATTGGCCTGGCGACTCTTTCCAGAAAATTGTTCACGAACTGGAGCAGACCAGGTATAAAGTGGCGAGTTTGCACGGTTCTATGCGCGAGGCTGCCAATGCGTCTTCGCGGTCCCGGATTCGTTCTCTCAATATTCTGGACCTACCTGACGAGTTATTAAGGGCGATCTTCGAACAATCTAGGAAACGGTGGGTATCAACTGAAAATTACTTCTTTATTCCCGACTATGGCAATTGGGAAGGAATCAAGGACATCAAAAACATCCGACTGACTTGTCGGCGGTTCTGTAATACAAGTTCCCACCTTCTTCTCCGCCATATCGATGTTTCCATGCGTCCATCCTCCCTTGCTCACCTGGAAGAGGTAGCACGTCATCCACTTCTCAGCAAAGGGATCCAGGCGGTTCGAGTCCACCTCAACTACTTTAGTGCCCACCTAGCGACGGATATGTTTCATTTCACCGCGCTTGCTATTATGCACTTGGAAGATACACTGGATTTTTACAGATTCGATTTTGAGCGTGATTCAGACGAGCAACCTTTCGACATACCGCGCGAGAAACTAGGACCGGCCATCGAGAAGGCTGAACTGATTTTAGAAGAATGGTCGGAGTTTTTGAATGTACTACGGGACTCGGACGGAGACCCAGACATCATCGAAGAAGAAATTGCCAAGAGCAGGGAAGTAGCAGGACTGGTAAGCGCTCATGAGATTTACCGGCAGAAATACTTAGCACAGGAGAGCGTGCTTAAAGACGGCGCGTTTGTTCAAGCTATTGTCACTGCCATGTCAAAGATGCCCACTGCAAAAAAGCTGTTTGTGGGGGACTTATTTCGAGATTTCGAGGACGGTCGACGCAACTATGTGAAGCCTTTTGTGGACGCGGTGGAGGATCCTGAAGGTCTTGCCGCAGTTGGGACGGTTAGGGCCCTGGATTGGGACGCTGCGAGGTCTAAACAGCTGGATGACCAGCCCAAAGAGATCCTCCTTCAACTTCTCATGACTGTCTTCGATAATCACATTCCGATTAATTATCTTTGTATAGAACTTTCGCCTGCTGCTGACTTGTCAATCCCAGCCACCCAGGAGCAGCTTCAGCAGCTAGCAGCAGGGATGGAACACCTGCGAGTGTTCGACTTCCGAGGATCTGCTTCTCAAACAGGCGGAGGACCGATAGTTGACCATGGCCCGGAGCAAATCGCCAGCTTTGGCTCGTTGATTTCAGCATGCATGGGAGGGAAGGCTCTTACGCGACTCGACGTTTACCTGAGCTTTGCACTCGATGATTTTGCCCCTCAACCACCTGTTAGTATGGGTTCTCTTCTCGTGTCACGACATTGTCCAAACTTGGAGACTCTGCGCCTGTCACACTTCCCTCTTCATCTGAGCGAACTGAAAACATTCATTGAAGGCCTTAACGGGCCTCTTTGCATTAATTTGGATAATGTCTTGTTACTGAGCGGTACCTGGACTGAAGCGCTTGACCTGATTCGTAAAAAGGCAAACTGGGAATCATTCGTTACACGGCAGCGCGGCGCTGAGTGCGATGACATGTCTGAGGAAGAAACCCTGGTCATCTTCGGCAAGGATAGCTTTCCTTCTTTTGGCGAGGAAGGCAAAGCGACTTGGTATGTCAGAGGCTCTATAAAGGACAATCCGCTGAGAATTCGAGAGGGCACTTCGGCCTCATGACAGGCTGCGAAAAAGTGCTGGAAACATTATGTGGAAAGCTAAGTTTTTGAAACCCACGAGTCTAATCACAAATGAGGATGACCCCTTTTTAAAGGAATGGCTACGATCGCTTTGGGAGTTATAAACTCTGCTCATCGCCATCTCTCGAAAGGAGCCGCTGGCCATTAAATTGGGGATTGGGGAGCATACTACTGACTATACATCCCAATGTGACAGCTTCTCTTACCTACTTGTCCTGGCTTAGAGACCGTGCAAAGCAGCCCCGTCTGCTCCCCACGGTTGCGCTTCTGTGCTCGCACTCGTCTTGGCGCTCGGAATAGTTAGGCCGTGCTTGTGAACATTCTTTGTTGTTCTTCGTTGCTCGTCATTACTTGCTATATTTAGTTATCTTATTTCCGATATTTCTTTCTTGCATCTTTGTACGAGAAATGCTCTCACTGCTTCTCTATGTTTTACAATATTTGCCATGCCGACTTGGGAGCTCTATGATGTGCCGGATGAAGCTTATAAGGAGCTCATCTCGCCCACCGAGTTCTTCATTGGGAATTAGCAGTCCTCTCTTGTTTTTACTCCAGTGTCTAGTTTTCTAGTCAGTTCTTACTATTTTGATCCACGCCGAGAGTCGGCTCCTTACATCACGCATCTCTACATCGGTACCTCCGGATCGACATTTATTAGCAAGGATCTTTTACCTCGTTATTATAGTACTTTACGAGAGCGAGTTGTTAACGAGCTACGCCGGGGGCTTGAAGATATTTCTCGCACTGAACGAGTAGAATGAATCTGACTATAACCAAAGGAAGGCCACTCCATGTTTGCACTAATATTAGCTTGGATGACTTTAATATGCCCAGGTGGAACTGACGAGCATCTAATTTGTTAATACTGAAATGGATTAATATATTGGAGGTGCCCGGGCTTCATCCCTAAATCGAACTCACTTCTAAATATATGGGCTTAGACCCTGAGCGGCCGTCTGTTCGTTATAACCAGACTCTACCTGTATATTAAATCTTGTGTTTAACGATTGATTAGGTTATATTGCACGAATCACCGCTATATACACCACTAAACGCCTTGCTACTGCCCTAGACAAAATCCTAAACCATACTCCTGCGATAACAAGGACACCCCTGAAAGGAATCTTGGAAAGAGATGAAAACGAAAGACATCAGAATTTCTCACTGGTCACGCATCGAGTCACATTAACCACCATCCATACAGCGCATTTGACCCCAGCAGATAATATCGTAACAACAACCTGTAACCCAAGAACTAGCAGGTTCACCAGCATCTTGGCTGGTCCAGGTAATTCCTGACCTTCTCTGCTCGATCCCTGACCAAAATGGCCGTATTTCTCCAGATCAAATTCCTCGACTATGATCTGCTTCGTTTTGCCGTCTGTCTTCTTCTTGCCGCTACCTAAAAATGAGAACATCCCACCTTTTTTCTTCTCAATCGTGCTGGGCTTCCTTTTCCTACTACGTTCCTTGGCTTCCGCTGCATGGATTTGAGCCATTAGCTTGGCTTCTTCTTCTGCTTCTTCTCTCTCGGCAAATGTGGTAAAGTATTTCCCTGAATACGTAGATTTGTTCATCTTTTGAGCTGTAGAAGCAACAGAATTTCGGAAAAATCGGCTTTTACGACGCTGTTGTGGTATCTGTCTCGGGGTTCGAGGTGATTCCAGACCAGGGACGTATAACTCTGTGTTGGCGAGTACAGGCCAAGTGCTTTCGTCTGTGACAGCAACAGCAAGCATGGCTGCAATCAAAGAATCGATGGCATAAAGGGATGGGATTATGCTTGTGGTAAGTCCGGCGCAGATGGAAAGAGTCATGGTGCTAAGATCCAGGGACGCCAATGGTTCATCGATATCCGCCTGCGGTAACGTTGATGTCCGTGGTGTCGCTTCCATATCTCCTGCTTGTATGCTGTTGGGTGATCGCGGACTCGTCACCATGATGACAGGGGGTTGGTAATGCTCGCTGTCCCTCTCCGCGGTAGGAGAAACGGTGATATGTAGGATGCCCGGTTTCGCAGTCTGCACCCGGGGCAGTGGGTTACCATCCTCACCTACCAAGGCCGAGGAATGCTGCTTGAGTAGAGATGGGTGTTGCAACTCGTATCGATGTTGCAGTGCGTTCCAGATCAGACGACATGACTCTTGGGCGGCCGCCCGGTTTACTGCATTTGTCTCGACCTCCATGGCTTCGGATGGGGCAAGTGAATGATGCCGAGTCAGTTCCGCAGCCTGTTCAATTGCGAGCATCGCTGCGAGTTTTGAAAATATGACCGTCACTAGCCCATTGTGCGGAGGTTGGCGACGAGCTGGATTTTCAAAATTCAAGACCATAACTTGTACACCGCGGTTGCGTTTCAATGGATGATTTCTTAGGAGCGAGAACCCATCCATACTAGCGTTTAGAGTATAGAACGGCAGCTGAGGGTCACCGAACGTGAAGGCAGTAGTGTCAACCCTGTTGAAGCCTGGTCAGCATGACTGATTTAGAATGATGATCAAACTGCAGGCGTACCTCTCTGCGCGTAGATTGAACGTTCCCAAGGACTCTTGCAGTTCTTGTCCATTAGCAGACTCCCATAATGTCACCAATTCTTCTGCAGAAGAGTATTGTATCCGAGGACTCAGTGCTCCGGAAGGGAAGTTGAATACGCTTGCGGGTACAGTCTTGGGCCCGAGAACGGCATCAACCTCAGTAGGCGGGACATCTTGCTCACAAACAGTACCAGCTGTGGAACTACTACTCTGATGAGATGTGTTTTTCGTGCCCCTATTTTGTGGGAAGTAAGCCTGCTTATTCAACGGCAACTGAGGGTTGTACTGCGGAAATATTGAGTTGATCGGTTTGCCGGGAGAAACAGGAGACTTTTGCCGTTGTTGGGGTCCTAATTGCGTTGTATCTGGAAGTATCTCCGAGTGTGAGGCATCTGGCGAAGGTACCGGCCAGGGCTGGATTGTGTCTGTGTTTGTGTCCTCGATAATCTTGATAATGACGGATTCTGTCTGAATACCGGCCTTGATGCTGTCATCATTATCAGCGACAATCGGAGATTTACTCCTTGGTTCCTCTTTGGCGGGTATAGTTCTGAACGGATTCTTCTTGCTCTTCACCGGAGATGGAAAAAGCTGAAATGAAGCCTTTGCAGCCATGGTTTCGTTCGAACAAAAGGACGAAACAAATGAATTAGAAAAGGACCCAAGAGACGATTGGTATATAATCAAGAGACCGGCTCTGTAAGGAATCCAAGAAACAAGAAACAAATCACTGACACGGCCTGCCGAAAGTAGTACTGGAATCGCAACGCCTTAGCAAATGCAGAATAGCAAGTGATCGAAGGAAACAAGAAAAGAAATCAACACAAAACTACTGAAAAAGGATATCTGACCTCTAGCATCATCCTTCCTCAAGGGGGTTTCTTCGTCTTATGAATTGCAAAAACTATGCTCGAACCTCCACATCGCTAAGGGACGTAAGTGCAATCTGCTGTTCGACAGACCAATAGCCATCCTGAAGAATTCCAAGGTGTTGGCACACTATCTGCAGTGATACCACTAAACTGCTATACCCTCACCTTGTGACAGGTTCAAGAAGTGTGAAGAGCACAAAGCAGAGTGCATTGAGCCAGTGATGCAGCTCTACTAGACGCTCGAAGGTGACCTGTGGCTGCTGATTGGCTGTAGAGGGAGAGAATGGGCCTGTAATAGCGGCGGTTAACTGGCTCAAGTGTTTCCTGCTGCTGACCAATCAGAGCGCCGTTTCCGGCTGTTCCTGGATGCCTTGACAAACCGGCAGCCTTAGACGCCTGTTCTTATTTTAGATGACCAATCACTGAACAAATCTCCTTGAAATGCTTCAGTCACCAACTCGCAGTATAGCAGAATGCTTGCTCTCTCATGATTTTTGTTGTAGCCAATAGCATGACTGTAATGTGTTATTCACGATTCAATATCAACACCACTGAGCTGCGATGAAATGTTAGTGATTGCATCACACAATATACAAAAAGAGTTGGAATGCAAAAGACAGTCAACTATAGTACAGATATATTAGTTTCATATAACATACACAATGAGTACCGCCGTGACGTGCTTATTTCTGTTGATCGTACAAGGACTCAGCCAGCTCTTTCACTGTTCGGATGGCACCTTCCATATCCCCCTTATTGAACAGAAAAAGGCCCTGAAGGGCAGCAGTACTGAGAGTTTTGGACATGTCCAATTTGTTTCCATTCCTGTCCTCGATGAGTCCAAATTCGACAAGACGGTCCAAGAATCTCTCCTTGTAGACACCATTAGGATCAAATTCTCTGTAGAACCGATCCCATAATGCCGCAACCTGATACCGAGTAGCCTCTCCTAGTCGGACGGTCATGTCGACGCGACCTGGTCTAACCAATGCTTCATCAAGTCGATCAACGTGATTCGTGGTCAGGAATATAATGCGTTCTTCCGCACTTGCAACTCCGTCAAGCGCATTCAAGAGCCCAGAGAATGTTACATTGGCGCCTCTGTATCCATCTTCGTCCGTCTGAACTCGACGATTGGAAAAGGCTGCGTCAACATCCTCGAGCAGAACTAATGTCCGGTTTGGTATGATAGTCAATAGATGGTTGAGTCGATCATCCGTGAGACCGCGTTCACTCAAGTTCAGAATTGCGATATCGTAGTCGAGTTCTCCTGCCAATGCCTGAATGAACGAACTCTTACCGCTGCCAGGAGGTCCATGCAGGAGATAGCCTCTGCGGTAAGGAATTCCACGATCGTAATACCAGCTGCCACTTTCAAGAAAGTCCTTCACATCCTGTACGATTTTTTCTTTAATGCCTTGATCTAATATCACTGACTCCAGCGGTCGCTTCCGTCGAGGATGCCCGAATTGTTGCCATTCCGCGCCCCAGCTGTTATATATCCGTGTCTTCCCCTCATGAGATTTGGCAGCCACGGCATGTGCTTCAGTAAACATTTCTTCAAATATATGTCGATGCGCATATAACGTTGTAAGCGTAACCGTCTCCCACGGTCGACCTGATTGAAGGTCCCGTGACGAAGACTCTCGCACCCGATTGACAAAGACAAAAGCATTCTTATACCGTAGCACATGCCTTCCCGGACCCGGTATTAGTGTAAATTGCGTATGAATGGCACCGTTCGCATGTTCGACTTTTTGCGTCTGGATTGAGAGCTGTCGCATCCCCGGAGTAACTTTTCGAAGTAATGTTTCTATTATCCCCACTTTCTCACCACTTTTCGTTGCCGCAGAGCGAGCACCGTTGAGCTGCGATTGTTGGTATAAGGTCATCCAGTGTAAGAACCATGGGTATGAATCATCTTTGATGTTGATTTCGACATCGACGAGCATACGCCGACGGATGAGAGCGGCGCCATGTTTGAGTCCTCTTTGCGCGAGTGCAGCAGCAGTACCTAGACCAGCTAGGCCGAATCCCTGTAAAGACGACACACGTCAGTCAAAGAGATGAAAATATAAGAAAGTGAGTATATGTGGTCCACTTACTGCCGTGAAGAAAGGGTTGCTCAGCAGTTGAGATAGAATCCCTCCATCGTTACTGTTCAGTTGCGGAAGACCTTGCAAAGCTCCGCTCTTCTGCTGAAGAATCAATTCCGCTGGAGATGATGACCTCAAAGCTCTGGTTGGCCCTTCTGTGTCCATTCCAGGGAATTAGTTGTTATCAAGACGAGATACATCAGAGAAGTGAGGAAAAGGATGAACATATTCTGACAAAATAATTTTCCATATTCCTTCCAGACGCGGTGGTTCCCTCTTTGCCGGGAGCTTAATGACACGGAACCAATCAGATAGTGGATCTTATCAGATTAGATCAAACTTCTACTCCGCCTTCCGGCCAATCAGGGTTCGATAATTGGATGCTCTTCGATCTCACTACATAATGCAGCACATTACCTTTTACTGCAACATGTAGATGCAATACAATAACTCTTTTATGACAAGTGGATTGGGCCTTCTCCTAATGACAGGCTCCTGTTGTGCAACGGGTAAACCCATCGTGATACTAGGGCATTCACTGCGAGACTAAGTAGCGTAGAGGGTATGACAACCAATGCAGTATTTCAAGTAAAAGTTTCCAAACTATAAATCGTAACTTTTCTCTGTTACTGGCAAAGAAAAGTGCCTCTGGTTGTTGATTTTGATAGGCATCGACGCCCCAATTTGCGAAGACGAAACAAACACACTAGATGGGTTTACGCTCAGCTGTCAGGCAAACAGCAAAATATGAGTGCTTGTCGTATCGCTTAACAAAGAGACTGCGGCCGTGTAGTGTGTGTTAATCTCCCCAGGAAATTTTTCGTCAATTTCTCGCACAGAAGCCCCTCGTCTAATTTTGTCTCGGTGGCAGAAATCTATTTGACTATCTCGCTATCATTTTCTTGCTTGACCCCAAGAATTCATCTGACTTCGACACTCTTGTAGTCTTGCATTTATTTCTGAACACTGCATCTTGGTTCTCATTCGAACATTGCCCAACTATCTTTGAGACACACATTCTGGTCAATCTGCTGTTCTAGCGAGCATTCTGTATGAGATGACGCCTCGCCCAACATGCCTTCAAGACAACGTTATATGAGCTACAGCTCGTCTGCACTTCCAACAGCAACAGCGACATACGGTCACACAGAGCAACCAAGGCCACACTCGCAATGTATCTCGCCTCTGGATTTCAACAGAAATGCATACTACATGGATGACTGCGCGTCGGTTGGCTCATCTCTGAGCGATGACATGGTAGATGAAGAAGAAATCTTTGTCCCCCTCAACCCAAGAGCTTTGGCTGCAATCCCTAGCCGTCTTCAAAAAATCATGCGCGAGATACAGGCAGAACGGTACGAGACGCTGAAGAAAGAGTACCCAGACCTACGTGTCATGACAGCCGATTACTGGATCAAACCTGTCGAGCATGTTCGCAAAAAACCAATCCGTTATGACCGTGCTCCAACCCCTTTGTACTTTGCAGTGCCACCTCCAACAAGCAGGTGCAATGGTTTTCAGCAGGCGACCAGTCGTGCAGCCAAAGGAAGCCCCACTAGTCAGAGTCTTGGACCTGGAGATCGCTACAGGTGGGCCACACATTCAGGAGTTGCGAATTATGCTTCACACGCACAACGTCCAACCACCTCTCATGGTTGCTCTCTGACTCGAAGCGCCCAGATGCTTAATAAACGTGTGGCTCCAGCAAGAGAATCCCGAGTCCTCAATGGTTACCATCAACCTATGCCTCCGAATCTAGCGGTGAACCAGAAGCACCGAAAGCATCACAACAGGCGATCCTCAGGCTTGAGGTCTCTGTCAGTCAAACCGGTCGCATCGAATTTGCGTGCGCGTCTCAAGCGGAGTTTATCCCGTTTGAACAAGTGGATGAAGAATGAAAACTAGACCACACAACAGAGCAATCTGCCAGTTAAATTTGGATGGCTCCTGCAGCAAATTGTACTTCGCAATTATGTTTCAAAAAGAAGCCTTTGAGAGATGAACACTCAGAAAACGACTGTATGCAACTGAATGGACTTGCCATTACCTGTCAATAAATCAGAGCTCGTTTAATACCGTGAGATGGTAGAGGATAATTCGCGTACATTATGATTGAATCCTGATCTTATGAATGAAGATATGATTTTCCATGAGCAATCGCATCCGTAGACAGTTGTTCTAAGCACGGGGATGTAGATAAATAGCGCTAGTACACAACAAGCCTAGCGCAACACAGGCAGCGGAAGCAGCAATCCCACTTTAAGAATGGGAAATTTGACTTGATAGCTTGAGCCATAAATACTTCGCAAGCTCCCTTTCCTCGCTTGGTCTCAAGGAGCGTATATCAACACACTCTTCTCCTTTGATTCTGTGTTATTTATTTCATTTCAAACACATAGTGTCCTGTCTGCGGGTCAAAGAACCTGCTCACCATCAACATGCAGGCGCCAGTCGTGGTCATGAGTATGATTTTATCCCCCGCCATTTGCACCCCTAAAAGTCTTCAACAACACATCAACTGACAATGCGTACAAGATACCCAGAAGGGTGATCGACAGGTTGGTCGGCAAGCTCAGTTGTCCAATATCACAGCTGCCAAAACGTACGATGAGTCTCAATCCAGCAACTCACTCTTTTCTGTATACACTCTAACTTCGTCTCTCCCAGTGTCGCCGATATTATTCGATCCTGTCTTGGTCCCAAGGCTATGTTGAAGATGCTGTTGGATCCTATGGGAGGTATTGTGCTTACAAATGATGGACATGCGATCCTCCGAGAAATCGAAGTTGCCCACCCCGCAGCAAAGAGCATGATTGAGCTTAGTCGCACACAAGATGAAGAAGTTGGAGACGGAACAACAACAGTCATTATTTTGGGTATGAAGTCTATATATTATTCAACGAAGAGACATCTAACAGTTACATAGCTGGTGAAATGCTCGCTCAAGCCCTTCCTCAGCTAGAACGAAACATCCACCCCGTCCAGATCATTTCCGCCTACAAGCGGGCCCTCAATGACGCTCTTCAAATCGTGGAAGAGATCTCTATGCCAGTTGACATCGATAATGACAAAGCCATGTACAGCCTGATTCAATCGTCTATCGGCACCAAGTTCGTCTCCAGATGGTCAGAGCTCATGTGCAGTCTTGCCCTCAAGGCCGTCCGCACCGTGTCCTTTGAAGTCGGGGGTGGAAAACGTGAAGTCGACATTAAGCGATATGCTCGTGTTGAGAAGATTCCCGGTGGTGAAATTGAGGATAGTGCGGTGATTGATGGAGTGATGGTCAACAAGGATATTACACACCCGAAGATGCGAAGACGGATCGAGAATCCCAGAATCATCCTTCTCGACTGCCCCCTTGAGTACAAGAAGGGTGAATCTCAGACGAATATTGAAGTTTCTAAGGAGGACGACTGGAACCGGATATTGGAAATTGAAGAAGAACAGGTGAAACATATGTGCGACGCCATTTTGGCATTGAAGCCAGACGTCGTCATCACTGAAAAGGGTGTTTCTGGTAAGTCAATTCCGGGTAGCAGCGAATGGAGTGTGACATCAGAGCTAACAGTGCAAAGATCTCGCCCAACATTTCCTCGTCAAGAACAACGTGACAGCACTCCGTCGTGTGAGAAAGACTGACAACAATCGTATCGCACGTGCTACCGGTGCAACGATTGTCAACCGTGTCGATGACCTTCAGGAATCAGATGTTGGAACGCGATGCGGCTTGTTCGAGATTGAGAAGATTGGTGACGAATACTTTACATTCATGCGGAAATGCGAGGACCCCAAAGCCTGCACAATCCTTCTACGCGGCCCATCAAAGGATATCTTGAACGAAATTGAGCGAAACCTCCAGGATGCTATGGCTGTTGCTCGAAATGTCATCTTCCACCCCCGCCTCGCTCCCGGTGGCGGTGCTACTGAGATGGCAGTCTCGGTCAAGCTCCAACAGCTTGCAAAGTCGGTCGAAGGCGTTCAGCAATGGCCATATAAGGCTGTTGCAGAGGCAATGGAGGTTATTCCTCGAACTTTGGTTGAAAACGCCGGTGACAGCCCCATCCGAGTGCTTACCCGTTTGCGTGCCAAGCATGTTGAGGGAAACTATAGCTGGGGTATCAATGGCGATACCGGTGCTATTGTCGATATGAAAGAGTACGGTGTTTGGGAGCCAGAAGCTGTCAAGTTGCAAAGCATTAAGACTGCTGTTGAGGTATGTAATCGATAATTTTACTTTGCCTTACGATCAATTGGCTAACATAATATCCCTAGTCTGCATGCCTACTCCTTCGCGTGGACGACATTTGCAGCGCCAAATCCGCGCAACAGGCCGGTGCCAATGTCGGTGGTGGTGGCGAGGAATAAAACGTCCATGTCTGGAAATAAAATACAGAAGAATGAAAGAATAGAGCTAATCAGTTATGTTGCATGACCCAAATTATTGAATAGTTGTACAAATACATATTTTAATTTTGAGGGAGTCAAAAAGATATTTTCCAATATTGAGCCCATGACATGAATCACAGATATAGAGCGTAAGTCACACTCAATCGTCATGAATTATAACTCCTTGTTCTTCGTGAGACCTCTGTTCCTCATTATTATCATCCACTTGCGTGTCCTGATCCCTGTCTCGTGGAGGAAGAGGCCCAAGCCGAGAAAGCGCCTGTTTTGGCTTTTTCTCAGCATCACCATCTACATCCATCGCAGTTGAAGAGTTCCCATTCTTAGTCTTCGCTGCCGCTGCTTTGCGTTTCTCACGTTTCCTTCTATTCCGCTCTGTCTTCTCCTGATCCTTCCGTATCGTCTCGGCCCTCTTTTTCTCAAATTCCTCGTTTGATTTCTCCCGTTTGGATTCTTCTTCCATCAAGCGTATGCGCTCGTATTCCCGTCGACGACTGGCTTTGTAGACGTGGAATTCGCCGGAGCCTGCACCAGCGGATGAACCCTGAACATTTGCGACGATTTCTGGCGGTGGTGCAAGAGAATCGAGCGTTCGCGGTTTGGATATTGGTGGTAAATGCACTTCTCTGATGGGGTCCTTGAATAGGACGTTGATTTGGTTTGCTTGTTCGGAGACGGGTGTGAGTTGCCGGCGCTTCGTTGGCCGCTTGCTTCTTGGGTCGGCGCTGGTGGGTATCGACTCTTTGCCGGGTTCTGACATTTCCGGTCTTATATATGGTTGATCTGGTGTTCGCGACTGTTCTGAGTGTTGTCAATTGCAACGGGGAGGACACTTTTCTACGTCCGCCTCTGGTATGCGGGTGTCGCGACGATAGTTCCCAACCCTTTTGTCCGCTATTACTGACGAGTTCAATTTGTAATGCTAGGTTGTATGGCGATGTTTTTCGTGGCTGTGTCGCGCAAGATGCGATTAGGTGTTGTTGAAGCTTTGAGATATTTAAGGTCGGAAAGTCGCATACTGACGTAAATACGGTAAATTTGAAAATCAGCGGCGTACCTTACCCAGACTAGCTAACTTAGGGCCAGTACTATGTACGGTAACGGTAGCGATACCGCTATACAATTGCGTCCATTTATCTATCTTTTATCTTCCTCAGCGTTTTTGAATGGACTCTGGGGTATATTTGACGATTTTTGCTGCAGGATAGAAGTCACATGTTGTAGACAAACGGGTACTGAGAAGGGAGGTGCTCAGTGCGGGTTCTACTTCAGTCTATTCCTTGCTCCTGTCGTATCCATCCACTTCTTTTTTTCTTTTTTTCTGTACATACTTCTTCCTTTCCCATTAATCCTTCTCTTTTTCTCTTCTAAAATCATCCTTACCATTGACTTTCATCAGTTATCTTGTCGGATTGACTGCTGCAAATCGCTCTCTGTCTGAGTATTTTTGGAGACCCGTGTCGTTTCGTGTCATGGGTAGCTACCGCATCGGTATGTGCTTGACAATCTGACTTGAGGCATCATCTGCCCAACCCCTCACCTGGCGCTCGCATACGTATAGCTACGTCTGTAGTCAAGGCTGATGATACTGCATCTATTTCGTGCTATTCAATATGTTGACATTTATTTCCTTTGACTAACCATCTACAGAGGAGTCTCCTAACAAGCGGGCCGGTTGCTCTGTCAAGGCATGCAAAGACCACAAGATCAAGATCCAGAAGGGCGAACTTCGTCTAGGAACCTGGGTTGACACCGAACGATTTCAGAGCTGGTCTTACCGCCATTGGTCCGTCTGTCTTGCTAAACATCTTATCTTTGAATAAATCCTGCTAACACTATATACGATAGGGGATGTATTACCTCTCGGGTTCTTGCAAACATCTTAGAGTCCATTTCGGAAGATGGTGAACCAAACTTTGACATGGTAGATGGCCTGGAGGAGTTGTCTGCTGAAAACCAGGAGAAAGTCAAGAAGGCTATCGAGACGGGTGAGATTGATGAAGCTGATAAGACCGATGTAAGTGAGCCTGGCGGAGATAAGTGTCCATCACTAATGATTTTCATTCAGCACTCGCTCTTAAATGGCGATGCTAGCGAGGTATGTCTCAAACACACCCGTAATCCTGTGGAAAAGCGAAAACTTACCTGTACTTGCAGGAGGTGCAGAATGAGATTGATGGTTCGTCTAAGAAGGCCGAGGCCGATACTGTAGCCAAAAGCAAGAAGCGATCTCGTGCAGATGTAGAAGAAGAAGCGCACAGTAAGAATACCAAAAAGACCAAAGGCAAACCCGCCGCCCAAGAAGAGGCGCCTGAAGAAAGGCCAGCAAAGCGCAGCAGAGCACGCAAGGCAGTGGAAGAAGCAACTGCTACGCAGCCAGAGAAACCCGTGAAGAAATCAAGGAAGAAGGCCTCTGCAGCGAATGGTCACGAAGATGGAGAACACGAGAGAGTTGAGCAAGAAGCGACCAAAGTCAATGAGCCAGCAAAGAAAGTCCGCGGCAAGGCGGCTACTACCAACAGCGAAAAGCCAAAGCGCGGACGCAAAAAGAAGGCCGTCGAGGATGAAGAGTGAATCAGAAAAATACAACATTTTTAAAGTACGTCCACTGATTTCGTTTAACGGCTTGGTAAAGGGACGCCTTCCGTTGAACTATCCATTTCTTTCGGATCTATTTTTTTTTTCACACTTCAATGCATGTATCATTACCATGTTAAGGGAAGGGGTATGTTTCTGCATTCTCATATTCGTCAGAGATCACAGCATGTTGAAGTAGAATATTTGGACATTTTCGAAATCTGAAAATAATGAACATTTCATCTTATTCCATCCCTTGAAGTTCAGGAAAGACCATACGCCTGGAAATCCCATTAACAAGCATTCCTGGTGTAGGAAGCTACGCAGTAACGTATGCCACTCAATTCATCGAGGCCATGTCTATCGAACCTCTTCGAAAAGATTACAAATACTTTAAGCATGGATCTCTCAGAATTATTCAGACAGGATTATCTCCAGCGCTATAATCTCACGTTTCATTTTGACTACCCTCGGCCAGATTTGACATAGGCGCATCTGCATAGTTTTTGAATAGGTCTCGGCCAAAATCGATAGGTACTCTAGGACTCGTCTATATAAGAAGTATAATGTACATCCATGGATCCTCGCCTTGACTCGGAAAATCTTAGGTATATACAGCAGCATTGTTTGTCTACTTGATCTATATTCACATATCAATACATCATCACTTGACGACAGAATGCCCAAAACCATTGCCCTCATCAGCGGCGCCAACCAAGGCATCGGCCTGGCAACAGCAACTCGTCTAGCACGCGAACACGGCTATCAAGTCATAATCGGTTCTCGCAATGCCAACAACGGCCTCAAGGCAGCCAAGGAACTTCAATCCGAGGGCTTATCGGTCGATAGCGTACAGTTAGACATCACATCCGACGAGTCCATCGCCAAGGCAGCTGAATACATCACTCAAAAATACAGCAGACTAGACGTTCTCATCAACAACGCTGGCATCCAGCTAGATGTACGCGTACAAGGTGAAGCCGCAAACATGTCATTGCGTCAACTCTGGGAACTCACATTGTCTACGAATGTGATTGGTACTGCCTGTCTGACGGAGGCCATGATTCCCTTGTTGCGCAAATCGAGTCAACGCCCGCGCGTGATCTTTGTGTCGACTCGGATGGCTTCATTGGCCGAGAGTCTGAATCCGAATACCTTGTATTATAAGATCGATTATAAGATGTATGACACTAGCAAAGTTGGTGTGAACATGCTCGTCTCGAATTATGCGCGCATATTGGGCGAAGAGATGAGAGCGCGTGTCAATGCTGTTTGTCCGGGTCTCATCCAAACGCAGCTTACAGGGTATATACCCTATGGCGAAAAACCGGAGGCTGGCGCCCAACGTATTGTCGAGTTGGCCACTGTTCCTGACGACGATGAGACGACGGGGACCTTCTCAGATCGTCATGGTGTCATTCCATGGTAGATAGGGCTTTTGTCTTTCTTCAGATCTTCGTTGCATGTCAATCTCGAGTCATGTACACAGCAAGATTCAACAAAACACCTAGATTGTCAATTCCTGCATTCCATGCTTCCAACTGTTTTGCCTTTGCGGCTCTATCTGCAGGTGAGCCTCTATGCGCATCTATCAAGTCACCGAAGGTTTGTATAGAGGTGGCAGTTTGAGAGTTCCTGGCCTTGTAATACTCTTTTCTCCATTCTTCTTCCGTCTGTGCCTCCCATTCAGTCTTGGTACAAGGTAAAGGTATACTTCCAGTGGAATCGGCCACTTTGCAGGGTGCTCCACTGCGTATTTGATATACCACACTTAAAGAAAACCAGACCCAAGCGACTCTGCATTCATTGCATGTCAGAGAGTTTATATGATACGGCGAGTTATACGATACTGAATAGAGCAATGCATACCGTTTAACTGATTCATCGAATATCCAGTCCTTCCATTGCCGATTAGGATCATTGACTTCCGGAGCAACGTGGTTACCGATTTTTTGCAGGGTATAATCACATATAATCTATGTCTCATTAGTTCATGTCAAATAAAGTGAAATATGATAATCAATCATTGGCATACGGACCTCATGAGCTCGTATTAGCTCGAGATCGGGTGCCGACTCCTGTCGCCCTGTCTCTATTGCGCGCATGATCAGATACAAGAGCGATGCCTGCAATGCACTGAACAGTTCGAATTTATTCATCGATTCGAGCTGTTATGGTATCTTAGCGGGGCCCCACTGAAACAAGCAACGAAGATCAGATAATTACCTTGGTCAGAACACTTCTGACTTCAGCCATCACGGTGGTCCAAACAAACGGCCGAGTATCATCCGTCCGGGAAACGAACAATTGTGCAATGCCCATACAATTCGTCAATACTTGAGGAAATGTATCACATCCCTCATAGAGGTAACAGTGAGGGTGCACAAAAGGGGGAAACGTTTCACGTCGAGTCATCATGAGGGGATATGCGCGAATCATGTCAACAAGCATGCTCGTGAATAGTTGTTGTGCCGGGGTTACGATCTTGTTTCGACTGAAATGGACCCTCGTGGTCGAGATCTCCGTACTAGGAATCGATAAAGGTGTTGATACTTGTGCCGGAAGAATTAAATCCAGGGTTTTGCTAGTGCTAGTATCTGAGGTGAGATCCAAATCATCACTTTGTAATAAGGACATGTAAGTATCCAAATCCGATGAAAAAGTTGTTGGCATCTGCAGATCGCCCACAGAGCTTATCTCCTTATGCCTGGAGCCGCCCCAATTGAATTCGGTCGCTGGCATCGTAAAAAGGCCATCGCTATCAAGGTCAGGCATATCTCCTGGGCGGAGTAATCCAAGCGAGTCCCTATCAAGTCCATGTCCCAAAAGATTCGAGGTAGAGACCTGCTCTAAGCCATGAGTGCTGTGGCTAGCCCAGAAGTCACTGATCGTAATAGGAGCATCATTTGCTACCGGCTCTTTCCGAGATGGCTCATACACACAATCCAACCCCTTGCGGGTGCACTGATTGCATGGGTCTCGGAAGTTGCATTTGATCTTGGCCTGGTTGCAAGCTCTACAAGAGCGAGGCCGCGTCCGGAGTCGGCTTTGATTTCTTCGGCAATAAGCTTGGTGTCGCCGATGTTGTCTTTCTATATGTTCCCGTTAGTAATTCATTAGAATGACCAGAATCATATTGTCCGCCCACCTTGAGTGAATGGCTTGCCACATAAAGAGCATAGGTGAACAGGGATGGCGTAGTTTACTTCCATCGTGCGTCTAACAGTCAATAGTGGCCTCAAACTAACGACAGCCTAGATTATGAGAAGGTCGAGTTTGCTGAAGCTATCCCCTTGCTGATGAAGAACGCCGGCCAAATTGGCCGGGCCGATTAATAATCATAACGGTACAGCGTAACTAAGTCAAGGGCTTCCGTATTGCCCCTCCATATCGACATCTGAATAATCTGGATCGAAAGTACGGTGAATAAAAGCACCGCCAAAGGATCAGCTCAACAGAAATTGAGGCTTCGAGATGCAAAGAGAGAATGATTCTCCGAAAAGCCATTGGCTCTGGAGACAAAAGATTGTCCCGCCTGGCGGGGCGCGATGAGCTGTCAGCCGTTGCCGGGACAACCTCGACGTCACAGCTCGAGGAAAACATCGAGATAAAATTCTAGCTGAACGACGCAAACATCCTTGCAATTACAATTGACTTGTCTCTCGGACCAGCTCTATGAGTTTACATTCTACCCGAATTGATTTTGAGAGATCAATGAAGTGCAATCATATTGACGTTCCAAAATCGAATCATCACAATGACTTCCTTGACGAAACAGTCGTCAAACCAGACCTCGCTATTTCAAGTCTACCTGAGACTCCGACCTCCCATCACAAAGGAAGAAGCAGCTCATGCACACCGTGGCGAACGATATCTGACAGTTGAGCCCCCTGAACCCACAGAAGATGACAATGCATCAAAGACACAGAGCCGCCGCCCCACGCATATTACTTTACAGCCGCCAAATGATTCACGAAAGCGGGCAGTCGAGAAATTCGCCTTTACCAGAGTTTTTGAAGAGGATTCAAAACAACTCGAGGTTTTTGAGAATACAGGCGTACCCAGTCTGATCCAAGGTGTTCTGAAAGAAGGTCGAGATGGACTGGTTGCTACACTCGGGGTTACTGGTAGTGGAAAAGTAAGTGACGGACCCTGGAGAAAGACTCTCTAGGCACTGACAGCAAATAGAGCCATACTATCCTGGGATCAAAGCACCAACGCGGAATAACACAAATGTCCCTTGATGTTCTCTTTCGATCTCTTGGTAATACCATACGTTCCGCGGATAATTTTGAAGATCCGACTCTTCTTGCCTCTCTAAGTGCAGCAGATTCGTCGGAGGCTCAATTATTTTCTGCTCGAAACTTTATTCACAGTATATATGGCGACCCCAGTGAGCGAGGGCGAGCTTCCAGAGCACAGACTCCAATGTCTAGGGGCCAAACTCCGCTACTAGTAAGGCTACACGACTCTAACTATAGCTGCAAAGTCAAGTTTCTTACAAATGGTTTCAGGAATCGACTTCGGCACCATTACTATCCCGGCGTTATTTGAATCAGCGCCTCAACGCTTTACCGTCCGTGCCCCATGTGTCCCATCTGACCATACCGATAGATACACAAGCGGAATACGTGGTTGTTGTCTCCATGTACGAAGTCTACAATGACCGTATCTTTGACCTACTCTCCCCATCACCAGTCTCTGGTACCGCAAGCCGACAAGGAAACGGCAAAGAGAAACGAAGACCTCTACTTTTCAAATCTACAGAAGGCTCACCAGACCGCAAAATTGTTGCTGGCTTGCGTAAAGTCGTGTGTAGCACATACGAGGAAGCTATGACGGTCCTAGAAACTGGTCTGACTGAACGCCGCATTGCTGGAACCGGAAGCAATAACGCCAGTTCTCGAAGTCATGGATTTTTCTGTCTTGAAGTGAAAAAGAAAGTCCGTGGCCGTCGATATGGAGAGATTTCATGGGCCGGAAATACTTTGACGGTGGTAGACCTTGCTGGTATGTTTATTCCGTCCTAAATGCAAGACCTTTGGCTGATTAAAATAGGCTCTGAACGTGCGCGCAATGCTAGAACAGCTGGTGCGACATTGGCTGAAGCTGGCAAGATCAACGAGAGTTTGATGTATCTCGGCCAATGTTTGCAGATGCAAAGTGACTTCTCCGAGGGAAATAAGGTATTTGCTTTTTCTCTTCTTGCTGAACACTCCTGGCTAACAGAACAAGACCGTGGTTCCATACAGACAATGCAAGCTCACTGAGTTGCTATTTTCAAACTCTTTCCCATCTTCCCACTCGGCATCTCACAACCGCTATCCACAGAAGGCAGTCATGATTGTTACCGCCGATCCATTGGGTGACTTCAACGCCACATCACAAATCCTTCGGTATTCAGCCTTGGCTCGGGAGGTCACCGTTCCTCGAATCCCATCCGTCTCAAGCACGATTCTGTCTAGCTCAGCCTCAACTCAAAGCCGTCCACAAACCTCAAACGGCCGAAATACACCCTATGCAGCAGCTTCTACAGAAGATCTTCAGGAGGCTGCTCGGGAAATTGTCAGAATCACAGATGACTACGAGGCCTTGATTGTCAGGCTTGCAGAGGAGGAGATAGCCCGTCAAGAGGCAGAGTTGAAACTCCAAGCGGCGGAGGGAAGGTGTCTCATGATTGAGCAGGAGATCCGTGAGGAGTGCTGCGCAGAAATGGATGAGAAGATGGAGGAGGAACGCAAGCGATGGCAAGAGGCTATGGACCGACAGGTTCGTCTACTTACTTTGTAAACGTTTTTTCTCACTGACAACTTCTCTAGGCGGGCCATCATGAGGAGCATCTCGACAATAAACTAGAAATAGCCTCTCGCGGCATTAAGAGTAAGTCAAGACTTACCCTCCCCCTTCTCAAAGGATAAGGAACTCATTCAATCATTAGTCTACGAAGATCCTGAACCAACAGCTGACGAGCGAGTCGACGAACTTGAGCGTGAAAATGAATATCTAAGAAGCAAATTAGCCGCTCTAGAGCGTCAACTCAACACCCAAACTTCGCCAACTCGCAAACCAAAACCTCGCGCTGCTCCCGTACGTAGCGGTGGCACAGGATTTGGCCAGAGACTCGTGAGCGGTGACAGCAGCAGTGATCTCGAAAACATGTTTCAGCGTGTAACTGCTTTCAAAGTCGCGGAAACCTACAAGTCGCCTGTTAAGCCCAAGGCTGCCCTGGTGAATGGTGCCAGAAACCCGAGAAGAGTGACGTCCCGAAAGAAAGATTTGGGTCCTGAGGACGATATATGACTTTTAAGTACAAATTGATTCAGACTAACGTCCTTCCGCTTTTCTATCCTTTTGGGGTTTTTTTTGGGTTTTTTTTTGGGTTTATATCTGTGTTCTATTCTTATCCATGTTTCTATTTGCATACTACTTTGGATCGGAAGTTCTGGTTGGATGGGTCCGGGTTGGAAATTAGGGTAAAATGGGAATGGGGATGGGGATATGGGTTTTACTGGGTCGGCATGGATATTTGGTTATCTCATACTTTTTGGTGTTTTGACATTTATTGAATATCAGAATCCCTTCTTTTTTTTTTTAATATATACTTGAATGTTGTCCGATTGATCGGTTGTAGACTATCGGATTCATTGAGCCAATCTTCCATAGAGCTATATATATAGTCACGATCAACCGCAAGATCATGCATAAGTACTGCAAAGATAACGCCATCATATAAGCCCATGAAACCCCAACCTGTCAGTATACCTTACAACCCTAAAGTGATCAACCCCGCCTGAGAACAAAGCACACTCAAGGAAACAGATAGTAATTGAACAACATAGAACAGCATATAAATGAGAAACCCCGCCGCTAATTGTACATTTCATATCCTTCGAAGAAAGGTGTGGTTAAATCAAGATACCTCATTTTCATCTGCAGCATTTTTCTTCTCAGAGATCTTTTGAGGCTTCACTTTCGCCAGGCCCATTAATTGTTGCGGGTTTGTTCTCTTCGTCTTCTTTTCCTTTCTCTTCCTCGGCCAAATTTTCAGTCTCCTTGCCATTGGGCTGGACCATGCTTTCTTCTTGCTCGGTCTCATCGCCCTTTTTCAAAGTTATCACTGTTTCATCTCCGACTTCTTCGATGTTAGTGTCTCCGTCGAATTCAGTATCCACTTTGTCGACATCCATGTCCACATCTTCTGGTTCTTCATCGACGTTCCCCATCTCTTCATCTTCGTCCGGGCCTACTTGGAATTCTGTATCTCCATCCTCTCCTTCCATGTCGTCTTCACCATCAGCTTCATTGTTTTCATCGTCAAGAGTCATGTCTTTCTCATTCCCGTCCCCATCAACACTGACTGCCGTGGATAGCTCTGAGACTGGTTCTGGGGATTTCATGGATTTCAAATTTGGAAACAAAAGACTTTGTTCTGCTTTGAGCTTGGCAAGGTACTCCTCATCAACCTCACTCAGTTCACTTTCATCGTCGGCACTCTCATGTAAACTGGCAGACATACTATCCTGTTGTGCAGACTTGTTTTCTGTCGCGAGTTCCTGAATGTTGTTAAGAGTAGGAACCCGGACAATCGGTGCAGTAGAAAATTTCTCTTCATCAACCGGGGTAGCAGCCGTCTTCGTTACCGCAGGTCGAGTATGACGACTGACAATGGCTTCGGCTCGCTTCTGAATGTCCCTGCGGGAAATACCCTTTGTTCGACCGCGTGGTACTGGTGCCTCCGATGCGGGAGCTGATGTAGGAGGCGTAGGTACATCTGCAGAGCCGTCGGTATTCATCAGAAGATGGTCAACTCTCATCCTTCCCCTATTCTCTTCATTTGCCTGTTCAATGAAACGATGTTTATTCTCCTCGTACAACCGCGCATAAATGTCAGCGGTGAGGTCTTCGAACATGGTAACTTTGATGAGATTGTTGTTTAGTTTCTTGAACTCCACTGCTTCCCGAAGCAAGTCCATCGTTGGCCCGTTGGTTGTCGGAAGATCTTTGAAATCATCCAAACGAGCGGTATTTGCAACGAATTCATCCCAGCCAACCTGCTTGAAGACGCCCTCTTCATAGTGTTCGGTAATATTTCCCGCACGCCGAACAAGCTGAGACTTGAGTTAGTAATAGCTTCAAATGTATAATGTGCGAATACGCAGCTCACCTTTGCATACACAATACACATATCTTCCCACAGCTTCGTATGATTGATATAGTCTCCTTGCTTCTTTCTCACTCGTCGTAGTAATTGTTCGAGGTTAACATGATCACTGATTCGGTCCAACAATTTGGTGAAGTAAGCCACATATTGAGTGGTATAGACGAAATGTCGTCCAGGTCTTTCATACTCTGGACGCCAGACTTGCAGAACCATGGTTTTGGTAAAGATCTGAGGCATCAATTCGTTCTTTGCTGCTGTTGCCGCATCAACATCACCATGGCCATCGTAATGAACCTTTGCCATCCTTGAAAGTATGCGATGATGCCAGTTAGATTTGTCCGCATGTTTGAGTTTCTTCAGGACGTCCAGTACATAAGGCTTCCATTCTTCCGTATTCTGAGGAGGCGACAGATTCTTAGACCAAGAAGTTTCGGCTAGAATCTCTCCAGCTTTGCTGGGCTCGAGTTGATGTCGCAAAACAAGTTTGTGAAGTACAGAAACTAGCCGAAAGTGTGGCTCAAGGATCCGGTCTGGTAATGAACTCCTTTCTTTTCGTTGCGGTAATACTTCAATCGCATCAAGTAGAGGATTCAAGACATCATCTATTGTCACCGATTTACCACGGCCTCGCGTCGCTTCGTCACTGTTGAACATCTTCCAACGACATTTACTTAGCATATAGTGGTTAACCCAGTTGGTAGGTTTCTCAACCATAGCACGCCTGAACATGTGAGCTGCAAGACTCCAAACGGAGTAGATCTCTAGTTCTTTGAATGGTTTACCCGTGTATACTTCCTGGCTGTCAAAGCGGCTATAATGACGTTCAAAATCTTCGAGACTGAAAGCAGCCATATTGAGCGGTTCTCGCGAAGATGCATACAGGCGCATTCCAAAGTCAGTGAACAGCTCCGAGATTGTCTGTCGTGTCTTTGAATCATCATCAGCAGCTTTTAATGCACCAGCAACTGCCATGGCATAGCAATGAATTGCACATCGTTGACTGCTGGCTAGCTCGGCTTGATTATTGTTGATCTTGTCAGCAGACCACATAATATCTTCTTCAAGCTTGGAATCGTATGTTTGAGCAAGTCTATACCATGTCTCCCAGCGTTCTGTCGCATACTCCAGATCTTGTCGAAAGTATCCAATGGCGTCGTCTAGATCATTAGTAGGTACTGCATTCAAGCGCTTTTGAGAACGAAACTTCGTCAAAGACGCATGACCGAGTAAGAAATACCAGCCTTTCTTTGCATTTTCAGAATGGGATATAGGTAGGGACCTCAATACGAGACCACCGACGCCTCGCACAAGTTCGAAAAGTTCTGATGGATTGATAGGGGATTTAAGATAGGCTGACACGATTCGCTTGTTGAATGATAACGAAGGATGTTTGATCGGCCCAATAGCCTGCTGTACCTTCTCAATAGTTGTCTTCAAGTCCGACCTAGACAGATCTTTCATGTTCAGCCGGTTGACTTGCATGAGGACAAAATCTATCATCATCGATGCAGATTCTGAGTCGGGATTTTCTATCGGGCATCCGTGATCAGAAGTACCCATCTGGATGGAGAACTTGAGGCCGTGCAAATCAAGAAGGACTTGTGCAATATCAAACTCGCAATCTTCCTGAGTCTCAAGGCTCAGAAGCTCAGATTTCATCAGTCGGAGTAATAGCTTGTCAGCATATTTGCAAGCTGAGCGAACCCCGAGCGCATTGTGCACGGCTCTTAGATACTGTATCTGATCGTCTGATGGCGTAGGGAACTTTTCCTTTTCCTGTGTCATATACTCCTTCAACAGCATATACTGGAGAACCCAACACCTAACTTGCATATCTCGAAGTTTCTCCTTGAAATTGTCTAGAGATTTCCCTAAAGCTCCTCGAAGCTCCAACGGCGGCCGTTGCCCTACTTTGACTGCATCCTCATATAGAGTAAAACTGTGAAGAAGCCGTGCTAGGTGGGCGACAGCAGTCATTGAAGAATGCAAGTGGTCGACGTCGATACATTCGAATGACTTGGCGGGATCATCGATCAGCTGCGGTAGAAGTTTGGATAAGATATTATTAATGGACTTTAGCCACCGAAGCAGAATTGAAGCCCGATCATCTTGCGTCTCGAGATAAACCTTTCCCCGAAGTTCGTTGATAATTGCCTCAATACTCCTAAGTTGGCACGACACGACTTTTGGGGTGTACTCGATAGCCTGATAAGCGTCTTGTAATCTGCGCCACAGGAAAAGGCGAAGCGTTGCATCTCCTTTGTCGAGAAACGATGCCAATTCTTGAAAGTGAACTGGAACAGATGAAGTGGTTTTATCGCTAGCGCCGTCTTCATGGACAAACTTGACGGAAGCAGGGTCCAAGACAGGCTCAATGCTTTCTATCAAAGAGACTGGGTCTTCACCATCTGATCCAAAAATTCTCATGAAGAAACCCATGGAATTGAGGCGGGTTATTTCCTGATCTAAAGCCGCAGCAGAAACTTCGGGCATGAACGCATTATTAGTAAGTGTTATCTCTGGATTACCGAACGAGACCAAGGCTTCTTTGAGATCCTGAAGACAGCGTAGGATATGATCACGGCTAACGTCCTCCGCCATATTTGAATAAAATGTCATTGACCAAAGGTGGCGAAGAGAGATCTTATCAAGTTGCTTATTCCCTGGTTCAGTATCCAAGAGATTGTTGACCGCCGTTTGGGCTAACGCACCCCATCTGGTTAAGCGATCACGTTGTAAAGCACGGGTGTCCTGATCGATCTCGCTATTGGGGTTATTCATATGAGCATGAATGTCCAGGTGAAGCTCATGTATCGTTTGTACCATTTCCACTTTGGCGTAAAGGTCACTCGTACACGTCAGAGAAGTGTCTGTCATCGCTTGATGCAAAGCTTGCTGTTCCGTTTCAGCAATGAAGTCGGACAATCTCTCGTAGATATAGGCGTCTTCGTGAATGAGAAGCTGCACTATTGTCTCCTTCAAACCCTCTGGCCACGGTAAAGACACGTAAGAAGATTCTGTTGAATGTCTGTCAGAAGCTGCATGAGAGAACTGGGCCCTCCCAGGTTGTAGAAGACTGCTTAACCATTGGAAGGCAATTTCGTGGATATGAAGCCAGCATTCATTGATATTCGACGTAAATTCAGCTAAGCCACTGCTTTCAAACAGCGGCTTCTTTTTGCTGGTTTTCTGCGTAGACTTCCGTGAATGATCGAGAAATATTGCTAATCCGGATCGTTGTCTACCACGGCTGTCCAGTAACGCAGTAGAGCTGTCTCCCTGCATAGCAGAACGAGACTTTTCTTCATTCCACGTTCTGAGAGCGCTTTGGAGGTCATGAACGAGAGTCGAATCGATATCTTGTGACTGATAAGAACTTGGACTATTCGCCAGTAACATTTGCTTTTTGAGATCGTCTACCGTTCCGAGAACGTCAACGCCTGCTTTCAAGAGCAGTTCGCCCAGAGTCCCAAACATCCACCTATCAGCATGCGCAAAATCTTCTAGACGGTCTTCGAAATATCTGTTATCGAGATTGATGTCCTCTGTCTGCTGCAGGCTTTCCACATTCGACTCCCTGGCACGAATACGACGACTTTTCGCCCTTAAATTCTCCCCCGTCTCATCATTCGCCAAAGATGTTGATGACCGTTTTCTAGGATTGACATTGGATGATTTGCTATCGACGTTATCATCTAGCTTCTCTTCTGCTATCGTACCCTGACTCTCGGCAGATTGTTTAGAAAACCCTTCAAGAGATTCTCTAAGCTGTGATTCCGCATGCTGATCAATCGAAGACTGGTCATCTACTGGGTCGATCATATTTGGAGCTTCAAGGATTGTCGTAGTCTTCTCAGAGACACTGGGATTCGCAGATACTGGCAGTGTGTTGTCGCCTGGACTTTGTGGTGAAACCTCTTGGAATGGTATTTCAATACCTACAGCAGCGCCAGACTCCAGGACCTTTGGTTTTCTCTGTATCTCCGTCAGTAGTTGCATGATGGCTTTGCCCACGCCATCCCATGTTCTAACAGGAGATTCCATAATATGACGTTTTAATGGTTGATTCGGAGTAGAAGAAGCTATGTCGGATAGGTTTGGCGACAAACCGGGAAGGTACGGGTAGAGATCCTGGGAGTGTTTCCGAAAAATCGAAATAGTGACGGTCGTGGTTTCCTCAATGGAGGTGCCTGGATAGAGGAGAGCTCGTCCTTCAGCGCTTGGACTAAATTTCGAAGGTCTTCCGCAGCAAATGCCTCATCCAAACCTAGCTGTTCAGTTCGCACTTCAACCTCATTGTCGTCGCCGACTAGAACGCTCTCCAGACAATATCGAGCCAGACGGTAGCTGTTCAAAGCGGCCCCTATGCGGGCGCTTTTCCGCCAAAGATCCAAATCTGTATCATCCCTTTCAAGGGCCGACGCAAAGATCTTCATAGCAGACCGTGATCCGTCCAATATATGCAAACGCCGTTCGTCCGCAGTTAACGGCCGCCGAAGCATATCCTTCACAAGATCCAAGATAAACTGTCCATTGTTTTTGTACGCTAGAAAGATCGTTCGAGGCAATGCACTCGCGGCCGCATCGTTGACGTCGATCTCACCAAGCGCATCGATAGCAGCGTCTTCGTTATCCCCGTCTGTCAGGGCGCTCCGTTGATAGTCCGAGATCGCTTCTGGGTATTTGAAAATTTCGGACTGTAAGAGAGCAGAATATGCAGCTTTGGCCTGTGGGTAGAAGGCTGGTCCTTGAGAATGAAGTTTGAGAGCATTCTGATACAGCTTGAGAGCCTCTTCGATCTGAAGCTCTTTAGTATCGTCAACCTCTTCCTGAATGTCCTCCGCGGGCTCGATATTTAGGGCAGTAAAGCTCGCCATGGCTGAAAGACATGAAGTATCACGCTAGCAGAGTTTGATTGAGATATCATAGACGTTGTAGTGTTGCGACACGGTCAGCAGCTCTGCGCTGCAAGTAAGCATTGAAGATGGCGCATTAAGAGCACATCACGATGCGGTCCGTTCGTTGAAAATTGGGCTAAAGGCGAAGCTTCTATTGAGAGGACTGCAACAGTTATGATTAAATCAATGAAAATATATTGAAGCTGAAGCTGGATAGCTGTCGTACAGCCTGTCGTGTGAGGAAGATGAAGAATGGAGAAAGTTCAAAAGATGACCGACAGGAACACATGTAGACGCCAGGCGCGCTCGGGGAAGCTGTGACCCTCCCAGATTAGGCGCTAAAAAGCCTTACGTAGTAAAAGCCCGCAAATCAAGGTGCCTAAGGCTGCCATCCAAGCCTCCATTGCGGGAGTCGCGGGACTGTGCGTCACGGGCCAATGGGAAGCGTTGTTTGCGGGCTCCTGCTGTTTAGGACGTCTCCACGTGTTAGTCCAGGAACAAATTGAAGCTGATTACGACGACAACAGCTGTACACTACTATACTTGATATTTCATTCTCATCTATTGCATTGAGAAACACTCGGCCAACGCTCCGATCAATTGCGGCCCGATCAATCCCTCGTTACTTTTGTGTTGCGACTGCAGCTCAGCAGTTTGCGACCCGGCCTATTGGTTGTCTGAGGGTCGTGTGCGTTCTGCGGCCCTTATTACAGTATTCGTCGACCTCGATTCTTTGAGCGCGTCGTTCGGACTATTATAAGTCCTTGAGCCCTGAGCATTATGGTTCTCCCAGCTGTTCCTGAGTACGTACTTTGTTCTTATCGTCTCAACCTCAGAAAACCGGATGGCCTAATGGGCTAATGAGGATTGTTTGTATAGAATCTATGAGGAGGAGGATGTCTTTACCGCAGTCGACGCTCGCACGGACGCGCTGCAAAATCTACGAGAATTAGGACCTCCGGATCTGGTTTACCTTGTTAAGCAATCCAAGACCAATCCAACGCGCCAGGTATGCTTGTATCATACAATTGACCTCGATCGGTTGATCACATGGGATTAATGGAGAAATCTTGCAGACCGGTGTCTATCACCATGTTACAGGCATCGATGCGTCGTCCTCTGCCAGTCTCGCCGCATACGTTAACACGCTTACATATTCGCCCGTTGATAAACAAAATAAGGTGATCTCAGGGGTCTACTGGTTGGTGATCCCATGGCAATGTCAGTTGGTTTTCCGAAAAGCTTTGCTGATAAAACATACTCTCTAGCTGTTATAATGCCTTTTCTCATTTGGATATGCGAGTAGAGGTTAAAATTCCCGGCAGTCTTGAAAGCTATTGTATCGATGAGCGTGGAGACAAACGGGTTGCGACAGATGCTCTATGGCTCGAGACATTTCTTTGTGCAGTTCTGCGGTCATACACGTACGCAGACGACGGCACGGGCGACGCGATCAAGAAAATTGTCGGGGTGCGCAGATTCAACCCGGTGACGAATACGGAGATGGAACACAAGTTCTTGGAGGCGGCGGAGAGACTATTTTTCATGGGTAAGACGTGCCGTGCCGCATGCAGTGTTCAACGATACTAAAAATGTATGTTGCACAGGACGACAACTCAGTTCAGAACCCGAAACACAAGTACCCAATACTGTCGCAAATCATTTGACCTCGGGCCTTCTCAAGTATATACACACTACCGGTCGGTATGCGTCAGGTATCAATCTCTTTGAGAAGCTGCGAACAAAGGATGTCGAAGTATCTTCCCTTCTCGCGCGGGTCCTCATTTCTGCAGACGAGGAAGTGCAAGCTGTTCGTCTTATGCACGATGCTCTGCAGGATGTACCCATGGACTACGCGCTTTTGGACTGTCAAGCGGCTTTCTGTCTCAGCAAGGGTGAAGGAGAGCTTGCTCTTGAATGTGCCAAGCGCAGTGTTACTGCAGCGCCCAGCGAATTCAGTACATGGGCTCGACTAGCCGAAGTATATGTCGCCTTGGAGCAGTGGGACTTGGCGCTTCTTACTCTGAACTCATGTCCAATGTTCACATATCAAGATAAAGATATTCCTCGAATGCCTCCTCCGTCGCGAGTCCTTCTCCCAATTTTAGCAGAAAGTGCCCTGGATGAAATTGATGAAGGCCAGCCCAAACAAGGAGACCCGCATGACTTTGTACATCCGTCTCTGCGAAAGCTGCATGCTACCGGTTACCAGGGAACATTTTTGAAGGCCTATGAGTTGCTCACAAAAATTGCAGCTGCTATCGGTTGGGATCAGCTTTTGAAAATTCGAAGTGATGTGTTTGTGATGGAAGAAGAGTATCGAGTCGAACGGCAACAGACAACCAAACCCAGCCACTCGCATAACGCCAGCACCGTCGCACTTCATCCACCTGCCAGTCCTAACACAGCCACGGCTAGTGATGATGGCGATACGGGCGCGGATCACTCCGATCGACCAAACGGCACTGAGAATGGAATTGGAAATCTTGAGCCAACGGAAGCTAGCACGATTGAAAAACCCGAACACACTGTAGCTTCGGAAACCGTCAAGTCCGGAAACGAAGATGTGAATAGACCTCACTTGAATGCGGAATACGTTACTAACAATTATCTACAGCCGGATCCTTCACATGGCGACTACGCTCAATTCCAGAACAAACGCTTGTGTGAGCGGTGGTTGGATAATCTTTTTATGGTCTTGTACGAAGACCTTCGCATTTATACTATATGGCGATCGGAGATGGCTCAGTCACGGCACCAATCGCTTGACTACAAGAAAACCGCGACTGAGTGGGAAATACTAGGAGAGCTGGCCGAGCGACTCCATCATTTTGACGAGGCTATTGAGGCATACAGACAGTGTCTATCGATACGGTTCTCGCCCAAGGCTATGCGTGGTATCTTGAAGCTGTATGAGAAGCAAGGTGATACACGAGGCATGCTCAATGCGCTGATCCGGTTGATAGCCTGGCAGTACCGCTGGTATTCAGAAGTAAGTCTCCTGTCTCGTTTCCTGATGCTGATATGCTGAATTTTACGTCTAGTTCTCTCCGGATCTGTTATTATTAGTACGCAAACTCATTGAAGAAGAAGGCGCGGTCAAAGTCCGCAGTATTGTGCAAGCGACCAACTTGCCGCAACCTGTGCTCGATTTGACGCATCAGTACTGCCAGATTTGTGCTACATTTCGCAGCACTGGCAGCGATGTTTGATATGTGTGGTCGGTATAAATGTACTTACATATTTTAATTCGATTTCTTTCTAATGTGAGCATAATATTCAATCATGCATACAACGAACAGATATCTTACTCCTCTCTCTGCTCCAAGAATAATAAGAGCACGTGCAAGCAGTCCATCACGTGACCCGATCTCGAGGTTAGGGCAGCGCCAGTCCCGTGCCTGATTGATTCCTCAATGCTAAGGCCACTACCCTTCCCTAATGAACGCAGCAGCCCCTCCTCCCCTTCTTCCTCGTCTTTTTGGAATGATCAATTAATTCTCTCTCTTTCTTTGTAACTTTCTTACTGCTTAGTAATTTTCATCCCCTGCTGGTTGACATTCTGGTCACGTAAACCTACCTGAAATCCATTACTCGCACTCCGCTCCCCCCGATGCCCCCAACCCCCGACTCTTAAATCTCGCCCTCGCCGTCCCCCATTATTTATTATTTATTCTTTCCTTTCCCAATTCTTACACTATCCCAGCCTTGTGCTACATCCTTACTCACTGAAGACACCAAATTGAGTCTCGTTTTCGTCTCAAATTAATTTCTTTATCTATTCATTCACTGCTAGTATACTTCCCGGAAACCAGAGTTCACAGTACGTAATCCATCATGTCGACGCGCAAGAGAAAGCAAGACGCCGAGGAGGAGGAAGACTTCCAAGCTCTTCCCAGTGATGAAAGTGAAGAGGAAGAAGAGTAAGTTCTTCGTTGTTTTGGTTTTGTGATGGTGGTTTATCGTTTACGATTGCGATTGCGATTGCGACCTGTTGGCGCATTTATTGTCTTCTCCCTTGTTGTCGTCATTGCGTCCATACTCTGTCGCCGGTATCACGAACTCGGTATCCCCGTCGCATACTTTACGCGATCAGGATTCTATAATATAAAATTGCTATTTCGTTGTTACTATTTATTTATTCAATTGATCTACCCCCGGGCTAGCATGTTCATCGCATCGTGATTACTGACTAATCTCATCTCGGCAGGTACCAATCCTCCGATGCCGAGGGAGACGACTATGATGATAGTGAAGAGGAGGAGGAAGAGGAAGAGGAAGAAGAAGAAGAAGGTGAAGGAGGAGAAGGAGGAGAAGGAGAAAAAGAAGAAGAAACCACCAAGGAAGAAGGTAAGACCCATACTCCAGCCAGGCAACGCATAAACCACCATCGATCTATCCGCCCCATCCACCCCATCCACCCTGTCTTTATGAAACCTATTGAAATTTAAGTCCACTAAAAACTAACAATCAACTCAGCCCCAGCACCCAAAAAGCGCAAAACCGCCCATGACAGCAAAGCCGAAGAGGACGGTGAAGGCGAAGAAAAGGAAGAAGAGGAAGACGCAAACGATACCGCCGACAAATCCGGTCCAGCTCAAGCCGCTAAGAAGGCTAAAGGTGGTCAAGTTCCCAAGGAAGATGATCTGTCTGAGGAAACTGAGGGTGAAGAGTGATGAGTTAACTTATCGTCTCATCGGATACCGCGTTATCTCTTCTTCTCAATCATCTCGTGTATCTCTCAACACCTAGGTCGCGCAGATTTCAGTCTATCTGATCTTGTGATAGATGGATCTAATTTTTTTTCTATATCTAGAAATAACCAAGCAGATGGTTTGTCGGTCACCGACATTTCCCTAAAGTGGAAATATTAATGGTAGTCTTTCTCCGCATCTTGACCGATATTTGTCGCATATGTAGAGCTAGTAGGAGAACGAGCTAAGAAAACAAAGGTTGATATATCTCAGATATTTACTACTCTTAGCTAATGGTCATGTTTCAGTCGAAGATCAGCCTAGTGATGATTGATACTAGGTAGCGCCTGTCTTGCCCTAAAGGCTGACTACTGAAGATCCTAGACGTCTTACTTGCATGACTTGCCTAGGTGATATACGACCTAGATAAAGACGACTTCGGTAATAAGATAAGCCGAAAACCAGTAATAGCCGCGATAACCTCTATATAAACGCCAATATGCATGACTCGTTTCTCGCTAATATCATATAAATACTCCCAAGAGGAGGGCTACTGCGACATATACTCAAATCCCGGTATAGTAGGATCCATCAACTGCTCATCCAAGCCAAATCCATAAGTTCCGACCATTGTATAAATAAGATCTGGCGGTGGTAGCCCCTGAGCCATCGCATTCGCGCCTCCTGGTATAGACCGTCTTCTCCCGCTGGTGCTGTTATTATCGGTATTCACTACTGATGAAGAGGTGTGTAGGACAGCATTATTAGCGATTGTAGTGCCAGTGGAAGTCATTGGGTCATCGTAGCCGTTCGTAGTACCTCCAGCATTGTTACCGAGGGACATTGTGACGGAGGATTTGCCGTTGCTATTGTGATGATTATTGAACCAGCCTTCCCAAGCATTAAACCGTTCAAGCATTTTGCTAAGACCACGCGCAATATGGCGGGTGAGATGTCGTTCGCCCGCGCTCACACAGTTCATTAATTCAATCACTCTTTCAACTGTGTGCCGAACCTGTCGACCGTCAATATTGAGATACGCCGAGTTCCAGTTAACGGCGACTTTGAGTAGGAATACGGCTGAAAATGTGACCATTGTGTGAGTGAATATGGGGACACCGACAATCGCGTCGCGAACGTCTTGTTCTTCGAGGAACATGTTTAGACATGACATGGCTGCTGAAATCGCTGTGTTGGCGCATTCCTTGCGATCCATGGAGAAGACTGGTGTGTTTGTTGGTGATAAAGCTCGAAGAGCGAGCGAGTTAAGTTGAAATTTGGCGAAATGGTAGTGCAGAACCACTCCTTTGGATGGATAAGTACGGACGTACGGGCTGTCGGCTGCTTGAATCAGCCAAACATCCACTACAAGAGAACTATAAAAATGAAATAAAAGAAGCTCACCTGATCGAGGCTGCCAAAGAAGTCGCCATTGATCAACCGCTACATTATAAACACGCAGCTGTCCAAAGTCTTCTTCCCTAAGCGGCTGTTCAGCATCAGAGCCGAATGTGTGGTATGCTTCAGTCAGAATGAGAAAGAGAGCGACCTGTGCCATCAACCGAATATCTCCCGGAACTACAAATCGAGACTGTAAAAAGACCTCGTTATTCTTAATTGCGCTATCTTCGTGGATCACTGGAGGTCTTCCATATGCAATACTGAAATGATGATCGCACACGTATAGCAGATACCAGAGTTGAGCCCTTTCGTAGTGATACTGATCCGCATAGCCGCGAGTCATCTTATGAAAGCTCTGGTGCAGACCCATCTCTGTTGCGATCCGAACGGCATGTCCAGACAATTTCCAACTAAGGTCCGGCAGCCAGAATGCGCCTGCGCACAGCCCGCGAATATCGTCTAGTGTATGTGACCGGGTCAATGCCATATTAGATACAAGCGACACGTATTCGTTGTAACAGGTATTGAGCGTCTCTGTTCGATTCGGTATATGTAACGCAGCTACCGTTAGGACAGCAGCCAGAAGCAAGGTCGACGCTCGTCGTACCGACGTCAGATCTAGATGAGGAACAACAATACCGCCCCATAATAGTTGATTCATCGTCCGACTGAAATAAGCAAACAATTCCTCCGCTTCATGTAGCGATACATATCCCCGCGAGATGAAGTCTTCTTCCAGTAACGTGGACTTGGGCTTTTCAGTCATATGAGTTCCGAAATTCCGTAGCTTTGTTACTTCGTACAGACTGCGCATCGGCGCTGAAACGATTTCCGGCTCTTCGTAATTCCCGTCCTGGGAAGTCTCTCTGGCCATCATCTGTCCGCCGATAGCAGCGCTTGAACTAACTGCTGGTACGCTCAATCTTTTCTGGTCTTGAGACGGCAGTCGAACACTTGGAGTGACTGCAGCTTCCGGTGTCCGGTCTGCATTACTTTCCGATGGGGAAAAGCTTGAAAGTTCAGGAAGATTATTGTGACGAAGGAGATGGGAGACAGCAGCTTGTAGCTGCTGTATAGTCGCATTTGCTTGCGCCTTCCATCTAACAATAAATTAGCCTTACATGTTGTTGCTCTATCAGACAGTCATCACTCACGCTAAATCGTCATCCACAAATTTCTGCGAAAAGTCATTGACAACACATTTGATTCCACTGCGGAGACATTTTGTACAACTTGTTTCGCCAGGCTTCACCTCGCATTTGATCTTGTGCCGTTTGCACTCGGCGCCTGGTATGATAGTTAGCGCTTAACAATTTAACGGACTGTTTAAGTACACGCACAGGCACGAGCTTTCGACACCTTCGGCACTGAAGTTTTGGTCTCGACGCCGATGACAGAATCATCCTGGTCCAACCCAGCTTCTACGGCGGATCGCTTGAGTGGCGTAGCATTTGTTGACATGCTTGGTAATCAGCGGGCTCACATCGCCATGCGCCGTCAGAGCAACCGAGTGTTATCACTATTCAGAAGAATAAAAAGGGTTAAGCTTGTCGAATCGAGTCACGATACTCGGCGCATCATCGATATGGAGCCTTGTTCAAGAGATAAAGAGAAAGAAGTCGATCAATGATATTATCACGCACAATTTGTCCGAGTCTCCGGCGCTAGTAATTTACTAGTATATGTTACCCCGGACTTCCTCCATCCACTCATACGATGTTACATTTATACGCTGTCAATATTCCCATGTCAGGTCATGAATTGATTGAAGCATATGGCTGATTCGCAAGTAGGCTCATATCATGCAATTCACCGAGTCCGAGACCCTGAACTGCTAAGCTTCGCTTCGCGACCGGACAGCTGAATATCCACCCAAGTATGGACCATGCGACATTACGACTCGACACATAAAAGTTAGAAAGATCTCTTGCAGCGTCAAAGATCACACACATTATTGGAGTTCATACAAATAGCACAGGCAAGGTATTGTGAGCGAGAAAGTAAAGTCGGAGCAACTCCGAGAAATCGGGGCCGCTCTAATGCGGAGACAATCTGGAGCAAATATGAGGGGAACCTTTACAGCGTGGGGTGCTACTGATTTATAGCAACATGCCAACAGGGTCTACTTACACTGAGAAGTTTAACTCGAGATCATTCCAATCTCCTCTCATCTCACACGCTGTCATATGACTCATTTGAAACAAGAACAATGAATATCCTCATCACCGGAGCCGCCGGATTCATCGGCCAACTTCTCGCAACAGAACTTCTAAACGACCCTGCATACAAACTCGTTCTCGTCGACATTGTTGACCCTCCAATTCAATCCGGCGTAAAATACCCCCAAAACGCAAAAATCATCAAAACCGATCTAGTAGCGGACAACCTCGAGACATTGGTCCATGAATCCGCCCCTGATGCCGTATACGCATTCCACGGAATCATGTCCTCAGGCTCCGAAGCCAACTTTGAGCTCGGGATGAAAGCAAACGTCGACGCAACTCGTGCTCTACTCGAAGCTCTCCGTAAGAAAGCTCCTCCAGGTGTACGGTTTATTTATTCCTCTAGTCAGGCTGTATACGGTCAACCTCTACCCAAGACCGTGACGGATGAGGTTATACCAACGCCCGAATCATCCTACGGCGCAGCAAAGCTTATATGCGAGGCATTGGTTAATGAATATACTCGTCGAGGATTTATTATGGGTTTCACGCTCCGATTTCCTACCATCTCAGTGCGACCCGGGAAACCAACTGCAGCGGCATCTTCGTTTTTATCCGGTATGATTCGGGAACCCCTAAATGGACAAGAGGCAATTATCCCTCTTGAAGATCGATCTTTTGAGTCATGGCTCTGTTCTCCTAGGACACTAGTGCGGAATTTGATATTTACTCTCTCTTTACCGGGAGATTGTGTGCCGCCTCATATTCGCCAGATCAATGTTCCAGGGATCTGTGTGACGATTCAGGATATGATGGATGCACTGGAGAAAGTAGGCGGAAAGGATAAATTGGGGTTGCTGAAGGAAAAGGAAGATCCGGTCATTAAAAGGATTGTGTACTCGTGGCCGACGAGGTTTGATAATAGTCAGGCTATTGGATTGGGGTTTCAGAGGGATGAGTCGTTTGAGCAGGCTGTTAGGGATTTTAAAGAGAGTGTGGAGAGTTGACATTTCACCAGGTCGTACGAGATCAATGGTGGAAAAGCTCCATGTAAGTAGATACATCCATCAATCATAGACATAACTAAAATAATGTACAAGAATCATGCAGTCAATCAACAAATATCCCACACCTGATCTCCCATAGCAACCAAACGATTAAACAACTGATCCCTCGTCTTCATGGCTGTAATATGGAAATTCTGCTTCGGATCTTTCCCTATAATCCTCAATCCATCAATAACTTCCTTCTCAGTCTCTGCCCATCCAACAACAAGTTTCCCCTTCCAGCCCATTCCACCCAATTTCTTCAAATGCCGTATATCCCTGACAGGCATGGCGAAGAGGACCCTCTTTGCATTCTCGATAGTTGGGGGCTCGGTACCAGGTTCGGTGGTGAAGAATAGGACAGGTTTTTCTTTACTAGAGTCAATTACAAGACATCCCTTCTTACCCTGATATCGACATTGGAAATCCACAGGTCCACCCGGCGTTGCCTTGGAACCTTTCTTGGGAAGAATGCCCAGATGATTCTTTGCGTGTCGATAACCAAGAGTGGCGAGTGCATAGTATGTAGCCAGCTTAGTCTCAATTCCAGTAGCAGTTGTCCCCTTGAAAAATCGGACCATGGCAGGTAGGAAACCCTTCTTTTTGGATCTCTTGGCTTTCTCGTTGGTAGCGTCTGGCTCGGTGGCTTGTTTGGTCATGATCGGATCCGGTCTTACAGCACTTTCAATTTCGGCTCGAGATGCGTCCAAGGGAATATCTTCGTGAACAGATGCGGGCTTTGAAGGTGCTTGTTCGAGGGATATTGGAGGTGAAGGGATTGGTGTTCCGTTTACCTCTCCGAGACGAAGAAGGGTGATGGTAAGTTGGGCATTGGTCGGTACACCTTTGAGGATAGAACTATGTACAGTCAGTATAAATGTATGATCAGAGGGAATAGATGTACTGACTTTCTAAGTTCCAAAACCTTCTGCCAGCGTGGGAAGCGGCGATTGAGGTACTTGGCACCTCTGATGAGCACTGGGTCTCCAAAGAATACAAAACCGAACATGAATCCGCTGGTTTTGACGACCACGTAAGAAGTTAGGAAGAACGAACCCAAGGCCATTGGAGCTAGAATAGCGGCAAGTCTGAGCCGAGCTGCATATTTTGGGAACGGTGTAGTTGGAGACAACGCGCTGTTCAACTGTTTAGCCTTATAAAAAATATGTGGAAGACGCCCGGGTAAACATACTTGCCAAACCGTTCGTACGTATCAGTTATATCACCGAGAATGTGCATCACTGGCTTCATCTTTGTCCAGACAGCATCCGACATTGGCTTCTTCGTCTTGTCATGTTTCGTAGATGGAATGCCTCCACCTGCAGAGTCTTGTAAATCACCAACTTGAGAAGCTACATCCGTCACATCCGGAACTTTATCTTCCATGGGAGCATCGTCAGGGACTGCTGGGTCATGTTTTCCTGCTGCGCTTCCTATGGCAACGCCGGCGACGCTGCTGACTAGGTTACTGGCCTCTTGCTCAACTGCCTCGCCACGATATCGTTCTGGAGCACCCGTGAGACTATCTTTGGATCCGAGAACGCCGGCTCTTGGTTTCTGGACACCGCCAGTTTGGGAATCCACCAGCGCAATAGGCGCAGGGGGAAAGAGAATTGAGCGACTCGATGGATAGAGAATCAAGACGATGACAACAGACAGAATCATAGGCACTATAATATCCAATAGCCATGCTACAAAATAAGCCTATTGTAAACATTAGCCATGACCTTGCCAATGCCTTGAGCGATCATTACTCACAGCACAAAAAACAGCTGTGCGTCGTTGTTCGCGCCATGACCTGAGTCTAACAATGTGTTTCCAAAGACTCATCAACCCAACAATAACAGTCATATACAGCCGCTCAATGTTTGACCGGAGCTTGTCGGGGGAGAACTCCTCGTCATCGACAGGGTTGAGATCCAAGTTATCAAGAGGTAGCGTAGACGCAGCTCTAACATGGTATACTTGCTGCAAGGATATGTTGTCAGTCCTCATCATTACTATACATTAAGCTAGAAACATACCTTGTTAAATCGTCGGATCAACATATACAAATCCTCATTCGATATTCCGACGATAATGGGTTCGTCAAACTCGTCCGGCTGTTGTCGCCAGCCAATGTCAGAGGTGGCTTCATCACCTGGCAATTTGCGAATCAAGCTGGTTTCTTCCACCTCGGCGTGCGCTAGAGCATGACTATCTGTTGGGGCGTCGGTCTCACTCTTGATGATGTCGACTTTGTTGATGTCGGCTGTTACATTGCCTATGGTGTTGGTCGGACGCTGGCCGGATGAGGCTGTAGCGGGAGTGACGTTTTCCGATACCATGACAGATACCAACCATTCACGAGAATTGAATTGATTGATGGAATATAAATATGATCTTGAATGGGTGCAAGTGTATAATTATATCTGCAAGAAATAGTGGGCAAGGGGTCGACATCATCACTATACAAGACCTAAGTTAGATCTGTGAACCCTGACTCAATATAAATATATTGGTTAATAGCTCTCAGATCTCCTATGATGTTAATGTCAATAATGGTCAAATCATATTGCAGGTTAGAGATCAATCTGGGTCCCGATCTGAAATCTTGCAATTGACAGAGACAGGAGATCGGCCAATGGTATATATAGCTTCAGGATATATCATACTATGTGCAACGCAACTCAGCAACCTCATGAGTCATGATGCAAGGCATTCTAACCTTCAATGATTGACATCAATTCGATCAGGATGTTATTTTTGAAGAATATGTTCTATCTCTGCTTTATAAAAGACGTTCAATATGACGTAGTTTGCACATCACGTGACCTTATCGCTAGCGTGTTCGCTTTACGCGTAGCGCGAAGTCCTTTATACGTCTTCCCCTGACACTCTCGGAGACAGGTACGAGGACAAGTGAGCCCTCGCATCTAAATAAATGGCCGACACATGTGCCAATCCACTCCTCCTGGGCTGGATCAAGGAATGGCTTGACCAGGCACGAGAGCGGAACTCAAAAGGCTTCACAGTGTTAGTCTAATATCCCTAGCGGGTCTATGGGATCTCTGTATTGACTATTTACAGCTACAAGAAAGCCTACGAGTCGATGAAAGCTTGTCCTTTAGAATTCAGTCATCCTTCAGAAGCTATTCAACTAAACGGCCTAGGGCCCAAACTCTGCGACAGACTCACGGAAAAGCTCAAGGAGTACTGCGAGCAACATGGCTTACCCATGCCGGAACTACCAAATAATAAGAAAAGTCAGAAACGACAATCCGGAGATGACCTTCCGCTTCAAGACCAGCCCGCCAAAAAAGTCAAGAAAGCCAAACCATACGTCCCTGCTTTGCGTTCTGGAGCCTACGCTTTGATACTGGGTCTGTCAACAATGGACGAAAACTCGTTGCAAGGAATATCCAAAGCGCAACTAATTGAAATCGCTCAACCGCATTCTGATTCGTCGTTTACGGCTCCTAGTGATCCTACCAAGTTCTATACAGCATGGAACTCGATGAAGACGCTTATACAAAAGGAGCTTGTCTACGAACATGGACGACCTCTGAAAAAATACGCCCTCACAGAAGAAGGATGGGAATGTGCAAGGCGGATCAGAAACACAAGTGCGGTGGGCCTACCTCTAGGAAATCAACCGACACTGTCTTGCGGACCGAGTATTCCTAAACCAAATGGTACGCTCCAGAATAACGACAGGGCTTTCACTTCGCTTGACGACGATCTCGAAATCCAGGTCTTGGATGATATTGACCCAGACCCCGCTGCACGAAGAAAAGATCAACCTCGGCTTCAAACGTCAACCCATACAAAACCGATCATCTTACCGCCGAACAGTTTCACAATTGAGCTCATACTAGACTCCCGCGAGGTTCGTGCTAGAAATGATCGAGATTACATATCAAAAGAGCTGGAAGCAAAAGGCATCACAACCCAAGTGCGAGCGCTTGAACTTGGCGATGCAATGTGGGTTGCTAAATGTACAAAGCCAGACTATCTAACTCGACACGGCGAAGAAGGCGACGAGGTGATGTTGGATTGGATTGTAGAGCGCAAAAGACTCGATGATCTGATCGGCTCTATAAAAGATGGACGGTTCCACGAACAGAAGTTTCGACTTCGTCGCAGCGGTATTTCAAATGTGGTCTACCTTATTGAAGAATTTGCCGTCTCACACTCGTCTGCCAATGCAAGTGGGAATGTTCCGAACTACCAGGACGCTGTGGCCTCGGCCATTGCATCAACACAGGTTGTCAACGGTTATTTTGTCAAGAAGACGAAGAACCTGGACGACACTATACGATACCTAGCGCGAATGACATTTCTTCTTCGCAAAATGTACGGCACTGACGCTCTTCCAGCGTCCTCATTGGGATCGAGTCAACCAAGCCGTAGCAGCGTCAAACCGAAATCAGTAGCCCTAATTCCTAGCTCCAACCTCTCATCTTCCGAATCATACCTTACGACCCTTCGCGAACTTCGGTCAGGCAGGTCCTCCGAAACCACAACCTACGGCGTATCATTCTCAACCTTTTCAGCACTTACATCCAAGTCCGACACTCTAACCTTACGAGATGTATTCCTCAAAATGCTCATGTGTACGAGAGGCATTACTGGAGATAAAGCATTAGAAATACAACGACACTGGCGTACACCACGAGCGTTTATGGAAGCTTTTGAAATAGTCTCTTCGTCTGCGACAAATCCTCAGGAAGCCGCGAAAGCGAAAGAAAAAATGCTCACAGATAAGATGGGGAATCTAATTGCGAGGAAGAGGATCACTAGTACTCTGAGTAGAAAGGTGGCTGAAATTTGGGGCGAGAAGGAATAACTTCTTTTGGTCTTGCAATTTTACTGCGAGCGACCTTCAACTTTTACTATCAAGATGTGGACGTTTGTTTCTATTTTCATCCACTCCGCAGTGCTTTCTATTGATCTACTTACTAAGCAGTCAACATGCTAAATAACTATACGTCCTCAAATACTCAACCAACGCCATGATCGCCATAGCCTGTCCATACGGCATTGCGGTGATCGGAATCTCCCTATAAAAATCCAGACTATGACCCATTGCCGTCCCAAAACTGGTATTTTGAAGCTCTCCACGCGAATCAATCGCACTCAGTACCGCCTGAATTGCCTTTTCCGCCGTGCCGCGATACTGATTGCCTATATATCGCTTACGTTGACCCTTGAGCATGCCGTATGCGAATCCGGCGGTGGCGGAGGCTTCGACGTATGAACTCTTGTCCGCTTGATCAATCAATGTTCGCCAATATCCCGATGGATGTTGGAATCTTTTTAGAGCTTCGCATTGTGCGTCCAATGTATGAATCAGATGTAACCGGATAGGATCATTGATATCGAATTCAAGCAACTCCAGGATCTCCGGTATGACAATGGTGATCCAACTGTTTCCACGAGCCCATCGGGCTTGTGCAAAGCTGTGTCCTCCACCTTTTGCATCATCAAACTCCCACCCATGGAAAAACAAACCGGTGCGAGGGTCAAATAGGTATTTGATATGAATCAAGAACTGTCTCTTAGCTTCTGCCACATATTCTGGCCGACCTAGCAGTTTTCCGATCTTGGCTAATGGTAAAACAGTCATCATCGAAGTATCATCCCATGGTTGTTGCGAATTCACAGCGTTATAGGTGATGTGCTGCATTCCACCGTATTTTGTTCGCGGCAGGTCATACATTGCCCATTCGGCCCATGAATCGAGCCACGGCAGATAAACCATATTTCAAGTCTTTTCATAAACATATGCAAGCGTGAGAAACACGGCCATCGTGTTGATATTCTTGGTTGTCCCTCCTTCGGCAAATCGAGCTGCAAACCAATCTTCGATGATTTTCAGCATAGATCCGTCTCCCGTCATCTCGTAGTATTTCCAGACTCCGTACAAACCGATACCGTGCGTCCATTCCCAGCCAGCCCATGATTTGGTGTCGATCACGCGCCCGTCTTCTAGATACAGCGGGAATTTGCCTGTCTCATCTTTGATGTTTACGAGATTGTCAATTAAGAGTCTGATTGCGCTGTGGACGTCTGCGGCTGTTGGTTTTGAGGCGGACATTGCTGTAACCCACGGTGTTGATAAAGATCGGTCACTATCAGGTATCTCTTTTTCCCAGATTCAAAAAGATTATGAAGAAAAGGGCTAAGTGCGCTAGCTAAACTAGTTGGTGAACACGTTAATCCCCTCTTTTATAGAAGGGTCTACCAATCTACCGAGGCCGGGGTATCACTACCCCGAGTTCTCCCTCTCCTCTCCCCCACCAACTCAGATTCGTCTCGAATCCCACGCCACAATGATCCCCGCTTGAGATGATTGTTTCAATCGATTTGGCTTGAACAGTCTCTTGGCCTGGAGAAGTCATTTCCGTCTTTTACAGTTGGAGGCTTCTATTGGCAGAACTATGACAGCTGAGCCCCTCTTCCCCGGCTTCTACAAAATAGGGTCCGTGGGCTATAACGAAACAGAATACCTCTCGGGACCAAGGTCAATATATCCAGAAGTGAGTTTGACCTAGAGATGAAGAGCGCCTCCAAATTATTAATCCAATTCAGTATTAACAGATCGCATGCTCTTCAGTTCCAAATTATATTCATCCAAACCGATAATAGTGGAAATATGGAGTGGCCTTCCTCTCGTTATGGCCAGGTTCTACTGTAGTACGGTACTTCCGGCTCACGACATGTATCTACATCGCCGTGCTGATTGTCCAATACCCAGCCAACCGGGTCATTCAGCAGAGTGCCTTGGGGCGAGGGTCAATTGCTGGGGCATTGTTCTCGCATACCATGCAGCATGTATTAATTTTGCAGGCTTGTTTACTGTCCGAACTCTTCTAGGTACATTTGAATCTTTTATCATTCTGTCAGGTCATGTGACGCGAACTAAACCGTACCGTAAATGGCAACAACCGGAATGGTGACTTCCTCTTATCGAACTACCTTCTGGTCATTTTAACTATCACGGAATTCTCATCTCATCCACACAAGCATCTGTCATTGAGAATTCCTGGAGCCTTTGGAGCAGCTTCGAAAAGGACTAGATCCTCATCCATTCAGGAACTATCGACAGTTGCGGAACCTTTTAAACGATCGCCAGTTAGCATTATATGCTGACAAAACACGAGAACGATTCCTTCTGATTACTGAAGCTCCAAAAAGCGAGGCTTCTAAGCTTAGCGACGATTCCTACCCAGAATATTCAGTTGCTCGATTTTGCTACAATACGATCACTCGAATTCTAGTTGTTAAGGTCATGGCTAGCCCTGCCCATGAATTAGTATAAGAGAATTTGAGCATTGCATATATGAAGAACTCCTTGAAAATGAACCTTACCAATGAGGTTGATTCACTTGGTACCACTTATGGGAATTGGAAAAGAGAGCAGATGAATGTCGGGTGCCTAGGGCTCAAAATAGACGACTTCAAGCTATTTTCGAAATTTGATTATCTGACTCTGCCAGACGCTTAGCTATCGATGCTCGAGGCTGGACTGAAACGAGAGGCTCGACGGTAACACTGGCTCATTACAATGTCTGTTAACCGAGACAATCTTCATTTTACTATCCAACACTGGGAAATCAACAATACGCAGACCCCCGCTATGATTACTCGAAATAGACCCAGGTCTGCTCATCTAATTCAAGAAATCATCATCAGTCGCCAAAATAATATGACTAATGTTTCGGGAGACTTAACTTTGCCTTTTAGGCAATTTGTTGGTCGTGCTAGTAACCCAAACACAGCAGAAAGAGATCTCTTCATCCCTCGTCAAAGACTCAAAACACTTGCAGGAAAATTTTGGAGGATACAGCATATGATGGCCTGATGGGAAACAATCGCACCATCAAATCCTGGCAGGCCATCTCCGTACTGCACGGCATCATCCTCATCATAGTCATGCCGGACTCACCCATGCGCACAAACCACTTCACTGAAGAAGAGAAACACCTCATGGTCGAGCGCGTACGAAGCGATCGTACGATATTACAATACCAGACTTTTCGTACCTATTAAGTTAAAGAAACCCTTCTTGATCCGCAGACATGGTGTTATTGCGCCATTCAAGTCTTTACCACATTACCAACCAGCGGATTGGGGAGCTTTGCCAATATCATTATCATTTCTTTGCACTTTATGGTTTGCAGACCCATCTGCTTTCTATGTGCTTGGGGCTTATATTATTGTTGTGCTTTTGACTTCAACATGGATCGTTAATCGGACTGCTCAGAATCTGTCGGCAGAAAATATGCCTATATTACACATAAATTACCACCCCATTAACGGTGCCCCGTTTTTGGTCGAACGGTATATTTTCTGGCTTTCAGAATCTTCTAATTCCGTAAGTTAAGCCTCGAGAGCCCCTCTTCAAGCCATAACCAAGATTTCATTCTAACATGAATATATCATTCCGACAGGTTGGTGGTGATCCAAATATGATTCATGCCTTTGAGGGTCGTACTGACTGAGGGAATGTGCATTTTCGCTATGTCTATTAATCGGGTCATAAGGGCTGGTACATCTCGCCCCCCTCCACGCTAGACGAGCTTATAGTGTTCACGCGCATAAGTTCGTGCAAACCAGGAACTGACTCTCTACGCTGGCTGGTGCTATACCAAACAGCGGCGTGGTCACTATGCAAAGCTTACCTATCCTGATCCTTCGCCCATAAGGTAAGCTAGTAGTCACCACTAGCAGCTAGAGATCACCTATAAGAGGCAATAAGGATAAATATTTATAGCCGAGCGTACCCCATATATCTCAGAAAGATATAGGACAAGACATTATAACATTAACGTCTTTACTAAGGTTCGGGAGCAAACCCCCATCTCTATTAAGGTACTTCGGGGTCCGAGGTGCCTAAAAATAAAGAATAGACACCAAATCAGCAAGGATTAGGATAGTAGCGAGGAAGGCCTAGAAAGCAATAGACACCGCTAAGGGTAGGGTGTTTCCAATAATATACATCCAACCTTAGTACGGCATCCAAAACCTATCCCGGTGGGAGTGGCCCTAGGCAAGGTTCGATTCCTGTATATGGCGCTCTGGTGGACAGCGGCACCTCCCTTAGACGGCTTAAGCTCACTAATAAAAACAAATTCTACGCCATAAGGTTGGCTACATGTAGGGAGGATTAGCTGTGCATTTGAATTTGATTATACTATATTTCAGGATCAACTATTACATCTGATGTTCCAATGCTTGCCTGTGGGTATATATGCGTGACTTCAAAGTTGTATTATGAAAGTAACAAATCAAATCAAATCGTCATGGCAGCAACCAGACTGTAAACATAAAATGAAAATACCATAACAACCGGGATATCATATTTCATCAACATCAATCATCAAAATCACGTCGTAGCAGAAAAAGGAATCATATTAATGCGTCCAGCGCATCATTATCTCCATGGAAGATCGGCCTCCTCAATTCGAGTGCATGTCAAATACGGTAAACCTCCAATACCACCGTCTCCAACTCCGCTTCCCCCGGAGCCTCCGCTGTGATCACTTCCTTTGAGGTCCAGCTCAAGGAAGTTTCTTATCAGAGGTTTCACTACTTCTCGTGCTAGGCGCTTGATTTCATCCATCTTACGTTCGAAGCGCTTGAAGTTATCGCGCGTGTAGAGCGATTCAGATGTAGATGAAGCCTTCAGTTTGAGAAATCGTTTGAGTTCGTCGTGAGGCAGATAGGCCTCTGACGAGGACGAACCAATAAGTCTATAGACGCGACCTGAAGGGATAGGAGTGCCAGCGGAGCGTCGAGTGTCAGCACTGGCGGAAACAGACCGACTCTCTCCCGAATTCTTCAATATAGGTGCCGGCGGTGGTGTTGTATTCTCGACAAACCACTGTCGAAAGAGAGAAACCGCAAGCCAGTCTAGGTACGCATTAGACGGACTGACGCGTTCACCTCGAGACGTTGTCAAGGTGAGACGGAACAATTTAGCATCAATTCGAGTTTTGAGATCCTCTAAGTCATCAACCTTATCCTCGATCAAATCCAGAACAGTATCAGGCAAGGGTGAGAATGAACCATTATTCAGCTGGGCCTGTGCCGCTGGCCATTGTCCAACCACATGTATGAGGGCTTCCGTGAATATGACACGGCTGCGAGCTAAATAACCCAACTTGAGGTAACTCGGGGGATACTTTGCAATCTGCTTGAATAATCGAGACGAAAACCGGAGCAAATGATGGTCGATACGAGACCCAACCACCCCGAGCGCATCATACATGTCCGCCAGCCCGAGCAAAGCTTTGCATTCCGAGTATGCAGTAGCAATATTCACACTATTCAAGATCGGTGCGAAATTATAGAATATCCGAAAGAGGTTGTCATAATCGCGAATAAGTGGATGCGTCTGTGCATCCGGTACCACGGCATTCGAAGGTATATGCACAGCTGATTGCATGCCGGCGAGGTTGGCTACAGATCGAAAGAATCCTGCTCGCGGTGCAACTGGCTTTGTAATCGATTGAGGTGGTGGGATGGAGTATGACGACTGTACTGCGAAGATCGGATCGGACGTCGGGGGCTATCATATCAGATCAGCATGCTAGAATCACAGATGATGTGTGTTGTTCTATTTGAAACAAACCTTCTGAACCAAGATCGGATCTTCGTCCGACTCTTTATTCTGCCAGTCGAGTTCGTATCTCCATCTTAGCTTCGGCGGCATAGACGACCCCTGCGCGCTACCCCGGCGTGACAGAATAGAGGAACCATCTTCAGCAATGCTCTGCAAACTAGGATCGGAATCGACAGCAGCGCTGGCTGACTCTGCCTGGGCCTGAGAACGCGACCATTCCTCACTAGTACTTGCTTCGAAGAAGCCCGAGCATTGCGATAAGATAAGACGATGTAGCAAATATCGTTTTTCCTGTCCTCCTGCTGCAATGACTATTTCGACGTCACCCGTATGCGCAAATATTGGGAATTCATTTTGCGCGGTATACGAAGATCCACCGTGATGCGACCGACCATGGCGATGCCGTCGACTAGAATGTGAGAGACGTGACGAGGACGAAGCTGGAGGAGGAGCGTGTGTACGGTCAACTGTTTCCGGATAGGAGACCATGGCCATCGAAGTCTATCTGAGTAAGGGCGCCAGTCTCCTTACTCAGGCATCGTCAAGACACGAGACTAGGATTGTTGGAAGTAAAGACCAGAAGACGGAAGAACGTAACGACCTTGGCACATGTGACTCCAGCTTCCCCGCAGTTGCGCTCTCCTGAGCAGACTGGAAGACGCGTCGAAGGAAGCACTCGCTAAGCGAGAGACTATGAGCGAGCGTGCGTAGAAGCGAAACACACGATACAACGGGGTCGAGAATCAGATGAAGCGACAGAAGAAGAGGTCAAAACAAGACTCGGCTCGGACAACGCGTTGGAGGATTTCCAGACGAAGTTTACCAAATCCGAGAAATGTATGGGAGGGCTGCATTCAGCCAATTATGATTGCGTGTTTCGCGGCTAATGCGGAATAGTGGGGCACATGAGGCTGTGTACAGTACATTTATGGTTTGTGATTGGTCAGTTGCCGCAAACAGGCCTCAGGCCATAATAGCTCAGGTGGCGATACCGACTAGTCCTGATTTGGATGCCAACTCTAACATTTTGCCAAGGTATCTGATAGAAGAAAAGAAATTCTTGATGTGATATGAGAACTATCCAGAGCATGTGAGTATCTCCCTAAAGAGACTCATGCAGTCAAAAGGCACGTGCGCGTAGAGGATTGCAAGCCCGGCCGCGGTCTTAGTCGCCATATTATGCCTGAGGCAGCCAATGAGATTTCCCGGCCCCGCCGTCTTTGTCAATGGCAACTCGCCATCGCTGACTGACTCAACTGCAACAACCTGACAATAAAATAAGCATTCGCACTGAACTCTCGCTTATTAGACACAGCTTCATAGCAGGGTGTATAATTCGTGCCGTCCATCTGGGATGGCGTCGATTGCAATACAGCAGTAATCGACTCGGCCCTTATCATGACCAAAGGATGCTACACTTGTCGCCGACGTCGAATTGTCTGCGACAATGGATTTCCTACCTGTCGCAAGTGCCGCAATGCCGGCAAGGAGTGTTTGGGTTATCAGAAGCCCTTGGTATGGGTTAAGGGAGGAGTCGCAAGTCGTGGAAAGATGATGGGTCTGAGCTTTGATGATGTATCTGGTCCTTCTCAATCGAGCGGCAATTCCTTCGTTATGTCGTCCGGAGCTGGAATGCATTCTCAATCGATGTTACCGTTCGATTCTGTGAATGGGGATGTAGATTCTGCAATGGATCAACATCATGGCGCTTTGGAGCACTCTCCACACTACCAGACAGAAACTCCCATGTACTCTCTCGTCGACCCGCTATTCCAAGACGTCAATAAGACCTCAAGATTCTACATAAATATATGTAAGTTACGCTTCTTACGCTTCTTGACTTATACAAGGCATCTAATCGAGCTAGTCAATCATTTGAGCGTTCGCTGCCTCGCTCTATATGATGAGGTCAGAAACCCCTACCGCGAACTAATCCCCTACATCAACGGGTCTCCCGTGTTAGCGGATTCTCTGGCAGCTATCGGGGCATTACAATTCATATACAAGTCCGAGGACTACGGACGATCCCTTATCAACGCAGCAGCGGGTGATGAATCATCGCTCAGAGCAGGAATGTCACTCATGAAACCCCGAGATAGGAAAGTATATGAACATTTCCTACGACTAAAACAGCGCGCATTACACCAGTTATCTACAGAAGTGTCGCATTCCACGACACGCATTGATGACCGGACGGTTGCAGCCATGTTTGTTTTGATACTACTTGATGTGATCGAATCCGGCAACACATCCTGGATGTATCACCTTGAAGGAGCGAAGAATATACTAAAAAGCAGATTTTCGGATTTTAACCGAATCCCCACTACAGACGGGATATATTCGTTCGTGATTGATTCTTGTTTGATAACGGAGATTATGGGTTCAACTCTGGCGAGACCTGGAGTCCTGTCCAGGCCCTTTTTTTCACCGAGTATGGGTTCCGCCGTGCTCAAACGCCTTGAAAAGACCGCGTTTGTCGGCTGTCCAGCCTATCTCCTAGACGTGATCTTCTTCGTTCATGCACAGCGCTATTCTGAATCGGACGAGAAGACAGCAGAGTACTCGTTATCATTCCTGTCTCCATCTGGAGAAGCGACTCGAGCCGAATCACCGCTCGCAGTCCTGCGCCACATTGATTCCTTTGACGATCGCGAATGGGCCGAGGAAATGCAATCATATCTGACTCTACCAGATCTATCCGCACGACTCGCTCTCGCCCGAGCCTACAAGGCGGCAGTCCACCTCTACGCTCGAAGAGTACTCTCCAAAACAAACGCTTTCGCATCCGACTGCGCCTTGACAACAACAACAACAACGGATACTATACTACGAAGTCGACGAACAGTCGAAACCGAACTTATCCAAAACCTCCTTTCCATCCCACCAGAAGACGAACATTTCAAATGTCTCATATGGCCTACTTTCATAGCCGGTGCCGAAAGTTCATCCCGCGAACAACGCGCGATAACCTTACGGCTTTTGGGATTCTTGTGGAATGGAGTTTATAGTTTGAATTTGCAGAATGCTGCTTGTGTGTTGAAGGTTATGTGGGATAAACAGGATGAGAGACGGCAGGCGACTGCCGATCGACTCCCTGATGAAGAGGAGGAAGAAGATGATGAAGGGTTCGATTGGATCCAGGAACTTGATCAGTCGAGTACTGATTGGCTATTTATATGATGGCTTTTTTTTCTTATGGAATTCATATGATTATTTTTCGGGGCGCACATACTTTCAATGTCTATAAGTTATGGGAGGATATCCCACGACAAGCCTGAGTTAATAGTCTCCTACACATGTATATATTGCAGTCGATTTCGCATAGACTTATTTTTTAGCCATTTACAAGTTCACTCTGAAACTGTGTCGAAACATCTTCATTATACCTAGACCACCAATGCAGCGCCAACCAATAACTCAAGCATGGCTTTAAATACCTCAAATCGATCGAGTTGAAATCGAAAAAGAAATACCTTGTCCCCTCCGCTAAGCAAGGGCAGTGAGCAAGACGAGGTCAGAAAAGAACAAATCAAAATTTGTATGCATCGATATCAGGAGATTTGGAGAAAAAGATCAACGCCAGCCGAGGGGATTCTCATTTGCTATGCAGATATATAAAGGAGAAGGAAAAGACAAAGAAGAAAAGAAGAGAAGAAAGAAGGTCCAGTATAATGCAATATGCTATCAAGTATTGGTAGCAATGGAAAGAATAATGAGAGGCCAAGAAAGGGGAAGAGTCAAGGGGTGAAAAGGTAAGGATGAAAACGGTACGCATGCTTTGGATAAGGACTTGATAAAAAAGTAATCCATCATAATAATTTCTCTAACGCTCAATCAATCAAATAGTGAAATCCCAAGCTTTCAAACTTTCAACAACTTTCAATCTTTTTTCAATGTTCAACTTTCGGAGGAAGAGGGTATCAGAATGGGATAAAGTGTATCAATGATCAATGATGAGTAAAATAAAAGGAAAGAAAAAGACGAAAAGAGCGTTGATGTTATTTTGGTTAAGGTTAAAAGACTGCAGCCAGGCCATTCTTGGAATGTCTTTTGCTGAATCGCTTCTTTCCTTTGAGTGAATCGTTATCTCCTGAATTCTTCTGGAGAGTTGCTCGCATAGACGGTTGGACTTCGGTTTGTAAGTCTGAACTGTGGTCTAATGTGTTTGCCTGACTTGAAAATCCAGAGGAGAGATCGCGGTATTCATCGCCAGAGTATGTGCTGCTTTGTTGTGACATGGCCAGTTCTTTGGCCCGGTCTAGAGTATCAATCCATTCCTGTATTGAGTTGGCCGATGAGGTGGCGCTGGAAGAGCTGCTTTTCGGCTCTTCAAATACGAAATGTTTATCGCGCTGTATGATATATTAGTCTTTGCATTCCACATATATAGACCGTCTGCGTGATATTGAACTCACCGTGTCAACAACCCAAGATGCAGCGCCCTTGGCATCTATCGTACTCTTATATGTCGTTTTAGGGGCTAAGAGTGAAATTTCCAGTTTTACCCTTTTCTCGTCCCCGCCAGCGGCAGTGAGGATAATTCGCGCTTGAGACGTAATCATCACAAGTCTCTGCTTCTTCTTCGTCGTACTTCCGCCAAAGAACCGGGAGAATTTCCTGTGTGTTTCCGAATCTCCATTCCCGTTGCTTCCTGGACTGTGGGAAGCGTGAGAAGACAAGACAGTCAAAATGCCCAGCTTTAGAATTCGCTCGTTATCTCTCTTCAGCACTGGCGACCATTCAATATCCAGTTGACTGGGAGGAGGTAGTTCCGTGATTACGCGCGGATACGCTCTCGTCGTGGGCATTCCACCAGAAGCGGCGGAAGAGATGTTCGGAGGAAAGTTGTCCTCATCACCCCCACCAGATAATTTGATGGGCTCTCGTGGTGGAGGAACGTAAGCTTTCAGGCGTGGCGCTTTCTGCTTCCACAGTCCTCGTCCCCATGTGATTCCATCAAAGAACTGGTGATTCTTAATGTGTTCGATGGGGAGACGACGTGCCGGATCCAATACGAGCAATCTCTCAACGAGATCGCGGGCCACAGCAGGAAAACCTGTAGGAAACTCGTACTCCAGAGCAACGATTTTTTGGAAAGTCAAGTACTCATTGGCGGCCTTGAAGGGTGGACGGCCGGCAAGAAGCTGGAAGATGATACAGCCAAAAGCCCACAGATCGCTGGCCTTGCAGGCGTTTTTATCGGTGAGCAATTCCGGGCTAACATACTCTGCAGTCCCAACAAATGAGCCTGCTCGCTCTTGTTCTGGAGGGTCAGTTGAATCCAGTGATGGAATGTCGCCAGAGCCATCTTCGCCCTTCTTTGATGTATCAAGGATTTTCGCGGTCCCGAAGTCGGTGATCTTGGTATGCATTTGACTATCCAGTAGGATATTCTCAGGTTTAAGATCTCGATGTATAATCCCTCGTTTGTGCATATAGTCAATTGTATCCAGAATCTGAGCTCCATAGAACTGTGTGCATTCTTCGTCGAATGTCACCATGCGCTTGAGAACTCCAAGAAGTTCTCCACCTTTACAATAGTCGAGTACAAAGTAGAGCGAGCGTTCGTCCTGGAAAGTATAATACAGTCGGACAATTCCTGGGTGATCGGTGAGACGGTTCAACGCATCTTTTTCCACATTCACATATTTAACCTTCTTCTCCTTGATAATATGTCGCTTATCCAAAATTTTGATCGCGTATTCATTGAGTGTCTGGCGGTCGGTCCCCAGACAAACCGTACTATACGATCCCTCGCCCAAGGTCTGCCCAAATGAAAAGTCCCGCACACCCTTCTTGATATACCGAGATACAGTCCTTCCATTGGCATCCACTTCTTGCCTTATACCGACTGCAGCTCCCCGATCCTGCCATTCCTCGCTACTTGCAGGCGGACCATTTTCCAGCGCATAGGGCGAACCTATGGGATTGCCATGTCCCATCCGCGAGCCTTTTCGGTTAGGAACAGGGCCATTCCCGGCGAGATATTGGGCGTGTTTATACGATCGGTCGCTATGGCTGTTATCCCTTGATGGCACTCCGGCTTGAAGGGCCGCGGAACCGCCTCTCGAGTCTGCACGGGACATCTTTTCGGGTCCGGACGTGGAAGAATCGGTACGTATACGGTAGTTGTTTAAATCTCCTCGGACAGCGGCCGACGCGGATCCATTCGCGTAATGGTTATGCACATGAGTGGATGCAGAGCGCGGTATATTCTGATGGTGTTGACTCGAGCTTGGATTCTCGGGTAAGTAAGCAACTGACGAGCGGTAGGCGGCATTTCGGTGGGAGGAAGTAGTCTCGACAGGGGGAAGAATTTGAGATCTGTATGAACTCGAGAAGTCTGGCGTTGACTCTGGTACATGCTCAGATTTAGACCCATCGTGTAATTGTAACGAGTGGACTGAACTTCCGAGGTAGTCGTGGGTGGATTCGTGGTCAGGAGGAAGTCTGGTTTGTGAGGACGATGGGACCGACTGGGTAGGTGTGCCTGACCCTATCGCATCTTCTGAGTTTAGAGAGGAATCATCGGGGTTAGCTATCCTCAATCCGCCCAAGGACTGCGATAAGCTTAGGTCGCCGTCCATCGTGATATCTCTGGGGTGGCTACTAAATAGTGGATAGCTTTCGGAATGATAACCAAGGACAAAAGTAGGGAGGATTGCGTCGACGGATGGGAACTCGGGGATCGAGGATACTGAGATATACCCAGCCAGATGGCACAGATAGGATGTACCTAGGCTTATGGCGGCGGTGATGGCATTGGCATTGGCATTGGACGCATGATACGGTGGAACGCGAGACTGAATGAGGATGACGGGTGCGGTTTGGAGGAGTCGACGATGAGCGGGAGTCTGGAAGAAACAACGGAGCCAAGCGTGGCTGGCGATAACGATGGGCAACGAAATGCAAGCGGAGGAAGTCGAGATACGGCGGGAATTGACAATATTAGCGAGAACAAGACAGCGGATGAAATCAAAAGAGTGCTGGGAGTCGCGAGTGAGTGAGTTGAGAGAGGGAAAGTGTAGGCGACGTCCTTCAGGTACGTCGTTGTGCTTAATTTGGGGCCCGCGTTGGAAAGGGGGGGGGGAATGGGACACGCAACCTTTGCCGCCTAACTGGGCCCTCAGTTCATACCAAAACATGCTATCATTTACCTAGGTATCTATCTTATTTATTATTGCGATCATTCGGTTGTTATTCTCATACATGCCATCATGATATATCAGTGAATGGCGCCTCATTAGTCCTAAGTTGATCAGGCATTAATCTATGCACTTCAGGCACAACCTACGCCCTGGTATTTGGTCAACGTTTACAAAGTATCCATAGCACACATTTGTTTCGAAATCAGAAGGTGACCGATTACTCAAACCCGTCCGGCATCCACTGTGGGTGAACAAGCAGCTCAGACAGGGCAAGCAATGTGGCGCAATGCGCGAGTTACGTCGACGGCTATGCTACTGCCTACAGACCTATTCCAAGCTTGATTCTGAGACATCAACATCATCTGTGAGGCGATTGTGCATATGCCAGAGACTCGAGAGCGACGCAGCTGGGAAGAAGACGTTGTAAATAGGTAAGCCAGGGCTTGGCAGGGCTATTTTTGGGTATGGATACGTGATAATCGATGGAGTCGGTTATCGTGGTCTTGGATCGAGCGATGCGCGAGAAGATGGTACGACTGTCGAGTATCGAATGTCAAGCGCTGACATGGGGATAGAAAGTAGAGAGTAGAATAGAAGAGAGAAGAGAGAAGAGAGAAGAGAGAAGAGGAAGAGGAAGAGACACAAGGCTCCTTCCAGCTAATTACTCAAAAAGGCAGGAGCACAACCACCATGCAGTCACCAGCTTCTCTTTTCTGTTGCAGTCTCTCTCTCCAACTAGCAGCTATACAAACACGTATCTACAGCATTACAGTATTGCTTCAGCTATCTACCTACCATGTTGCGGACTCCGCCAACCCAGATCTCCCTATCCGAGTACGAGGTCCTCCAAACCATACAGTCAATCTATATCCAGAAAGCCATGAGTCTTTCTCTCAAATACTACGGCACGGAAGGGGAAGGAGAAGCTGAATATTATTACGACTCGTCATGTACAAGCCCGTCGACCGAGTACACCACGTCCGAATATGACAAACTAGCTTGCGAGGTGGTGAAACACTATCACGACGCGAAGATCTACTTGAATTCGTTAACCCCGGGTTCTCGCGGTGTGGCTTTGTCCGATTCGGATCTCTCGTTATCTGATTATCCTGCCCAACTTCGCGCCATACTGAGCACTCGCACTGTTGGCCGCATTGAACGTGACGATAGCGAAGGTACTGTGACATCAACATATTAAGCCACAAGCTTCACTACTAACTAGGATCAAGAAATATATGAAAATGCCACAGAAATCCCGGAATCAACTCAAGCATCTTCAACGCCTCTGATGGAGCCATCTGCGGAGACGTCACCTCCAGCAACGACCATCCACTCCCCCAGATCTCCAGATCCGACTCCCCGAGCCCGCAGGGTGAGCAGGGTGCACAGGTCAGGGCATCATGGAATAGTCCCTGTCTTGCAGGTACAAGTGCCATATTTTCACGAGAGAATATCGGACATGCTTCTATCCGATTATATGGCCGAATGGCAAAGTGGACCACCCGGCAACCTTCGAGATACTTATTCCCGTCTTCCGCTTAGACGAGACCAACAATCGAATTGGGGTCGATATGTGTTAGGGCAACTATCCAAAGACACCTCGAGGAACACGGAAGTACAGTCCGCCGAAAACTGGCAAGACGAAAATATATGCCCGACAACCCATCCACGATCAAGGAAAAGTTTGCTGTTAGAAGTGATTGATCAGAACGACGAGGAGCGTGATGACGAAGAGTCCCAATCAGGTGCTGAATAGGCAGATGGACGGAATCAAGTTTCGAGGCTACATATGTTGTTATGAGTGTAATACTACTCCCCATCGAAGAATACCATGAATAAATTAGTACCTTGGCGCAATCCTCCACGGCATCATAACCTCAGAAATTCTCAATATAACTAGTTAAATAAACTGTTATAAATCTTTGCACATTGAAATAGATATATCCATGTATTGTATCTAAAAAAATTGGATAAGAACAAAAGGGGGTTTAAAACGGTTAACTAATCGATGCTCCAGTCCATGGTCAATAATGTCATTCATCACACGCGCAAAAGGCGTTCCTTAAAAAGATTCCAACATCAGCAAAAAAAAGGGGGGGTAGAAGAAGAAAGGGAAAATGACAAAGGAAATCTAGCATAAAATCTTTCAGAAGAATTGTCAAGAAAAGTCATCCTTTTCATATATTCCAACACTTTCTTCCTTGTCCTGAATTTACTTCTTCTTGGCGAAGACCTGAGCACCATCGACGAGACGACGCTCAGTGTTCTGTCGGCCGTTGACGAAATCGGGGTAGTTGAGGGTCAGCTCGACGGCACCGTTGACAATGTTGTCAACAGCCTCGACACCAAGCATGAAAGAGTGGTCCTGGTTACCGACCTCATAGCGCCAGCTACCGAAACGGCCACGAGACCAGATGCCCTTCTCTTGGAGCTTAGGAAGAAGCTGGGTGAGAGCACCCTCACGCTCCAAGGATGGGGTAGGATATCCGTGGTCGAATCGGCGGTGGTAGGTAGAGACGATTTCATCTCCAGGCTTGAGCATCTCAGTATTAACGAGGCCCTGGATGGACTCCTTTACAATGGTCTCAACGTCAACAGGCTTGTAAGATGACTCAGAGACCTCCAACATGATGGACCAGTAAGGACCGGCCTTGGGCTCACTGCTGGCAGGTCGGGAACCATCGGCAAGTTGCTGAGTAGGGAGCTTCTTGGAGGCGTCAGGTTGGTTGTATGGGGAGTAGTTGGAGAAGATGGTGGCACGGTAGAAGGGGCAGTTGTCCTCGGGGAAGTAGAGCTATTTTGGATTGTTAGTGAATTATTCATCTTCAGCCGCGCGAGAAAAAAAAAAAAAACATACCCAGCACTTGTCGCCAATGCGCTCGGGGCGCTCTCCACGAATACCAACACCGATGACGTGAGTGGAAGAGTAGAAGAGCTCCTTGGTGTGGTCGATGAGTTCTTTGTCACCGATTTGCTCGCACAAAGCATCAACAGCCATGGTGGAGACGAGCTTCTCGTAACCGACAGTGGTACCATCTGCCAAAGTGACAACCTTGGAATTGGGGTTCACTTTGGTGACCTTGCCGTGTTCACCGAAGCGAGTCTTCTCCTTGGGGAGAGTGTTGGCGACGGCAATCCAGATACCACCGGTACCATCACGGGCAGGGAAACGGAAAGTAGCGTTAGGACCCCAGTTACCGGCAGTTTTGTTCAAGATGACATTGGTGGTCACAGCCTTGACATTAGGGGCGGCGACACGCTCACCGAGCCACGAGCATTGCATCTATCAGAGCAGTCAGCGCCGTTGCACAGGGTTCGACTCGACCGTGTTTCTTTACCTTGGTGGTGGGAACAGCCCACACTTTGAAGTTGTATGGTCGCATGAAAAGATCAGCGATACCGACACCCATTTGGCGGATAATCCACTCGTCGAAGGTCTTAGGCTTTGTGTTAGAGACGCGAGCTTCCAAAGCGGCGTCAATCATGCCCTCAATGCAGCGAACCTGCTCGTGCTTGGGAAGCATGGAGATGTTGTTTTGGAAGGGGTAGGGAACCCATTGGCCCTGGCAACGGACGTAGGAGATACGCTGGTGAGTATACCAGTCGTCGGGCTTGGGGAGAGCCTCATCAATGCAGTCATCGAAGTACTTGTAGTGGGAGAAGATGACGTGACCGCCGACATCGTACAACTACACGAGAGATATTGTTAGAAAACCACCCTCTTGGTCTCGCCAGGTTCCCTGTACTTACGAATCCCTCAGGAGTGACATCTGTTGAGGCGAGACCACCAGGGATCTCATTCGAGTCGACAATGAGCCATGATGGGCCGTCCTGTATTCATCATTAGTTTCGCTTCTTCGAACCCCCTATTTTCTTTCCCTTTTTCCTTCTCTCTTTTTTTTTTTTGGTTTGTTTTGTGGTTTCCGGCGGGTGTAGCGGGGAAGTACGTACGATCTGATTCAAGCGCTTTGCAGCACCAAGACCAGTAGGGCCTGCACCAATGACGAGAACGTCAACAGTACTGTGCAGCACAGCAATTGTCAGCTCTTTAATTGTCCAGGTGATGATGAATCGACATTTAAAGAGGGGGGAATGCGCTCACATGTCTGGGTGGCTCATCCTGCCTTGGAGAATATCCTGGAAGCTGGGCACACGTTGTAGAGTTTTGCGGGCGATATTAAGCATAGAAGAAGACTTTTCTCCGCTGACGGACGCAGCAACAATTTATTAGACAGGAGTGGTTTGGGGATGATTGAAGGAGGAAGAGAGTGTCTCAGGAAAAGGAAAGAAAAAGAGGAAGCTGTTGCACGGGAAGGAGCGAGGGTGCGTGCTTGCCTGTGGGGGTGGGCGGTGTACTAGTACTATTTGTCTCCAGCTGGATCTCTCCTTTTTCGCCCTCTGTCTCTCTGCGAAAGTCTTGACTGTCTGATTATTCCACTTTCTGATTGACTGGTGCTTTAGTTCGAGAAGACGTGCTCCTGTTATTTGACAACTACAGGTCGGGTCGAGTGGAGCTGGCGTTCTGGGTCTGGGAAAGGGGCAAACCCATCGAGTTCAGACCACCTTGACAACATCTTCACTTTCACCACTCTGTCTCTACATGTGCCTAATGCAGAAATCTAGCCAGTCACAATCGCCAATCCGGAATACTAGTCTCATCTCATTCTCGCCCCGATTGAGATTCGACGTTGACAGCCTCGTGCGAGACCGGATTTCCACTTGTCGTATCTTTCGGTCCCCTGAGTCTGGAATTTTGGTGCGCCACCAATTTCCTAAATTAATTCTAACCGGGGGCTTCTTGAGCCTTAAACATCGCGCACGGGTTCCTCGCCAATAGCCTCAACTCTCTACATTGCACGGCATTGATCATTCTATCAATCTTATTCTGGACCGTCACCGTTTCTGGAATTCTGCAAGACGGTAGTCTATGAACAGGGACAGGAACACGATACATTCCGATGCAGAAGATCTAAGCTCAGTGCTTGGCAATCACAGCGCCGGAAGCGGCTTTGCCAAGCATTGTCCAGCTACGTACATATGTATCTATGTAGTGTGATACGGAATTGCACATGGCCACGACGATGTCGTGTATCTTTTATCGCATCCAATAACGGCTGTTTGCAATACATGGCAAATGTGACGGACGGATTGGCTGTAGCGGCTACTGAACTACGATCGACGTGCTGCCGTCAGGGACTCAGAGCTAACCAATGGCCTAGAGTACCGCCAGGACCCTTGTCAGTTACATTCAACATAAAACAGAGAGGTACGTAAGTTAGTAACGAGCCTGTGATCAGGGATTGCTTGGGGTGGTATCGTACTCTATCTCCCCTGGGCAGTGAAGACAATGTGCTCCCTCCATCGCGGTAACTACGGAAATGAAGAAACAACAATAATAGTCAGCATTGAGCAAGATTTATGACTTTGGTCACACTGGACTACCGGACTACCGACCCTAGGATCATCTCGTGAAGCCGCTCGGTCGATCTCTGGGTCAGTGGATTATATACCGCCGAGTCAGGGAGTCCTCCGTAAAATCATTCATCATCGTTTCCCTATGTAAAACGATGGTGAAATTGTTGGTCCCACTGATGGACGTACCGCAAGGATTTTGTATTCGTCACCAAAGAAGTCGATCAACGAGTGTGTCCGACCAACCTATCTGTTCTCCATTCTTTTTGTCGATCCGCTGGAGCGATCTTATTTCGTGGTCATGTGACCTCGGATGAGATGCGACCCATAAGGCTATGGCAGGATGCTCCATAGGGACGTCAGCTCTAGCCTCTCGGTAGTTTCTGCACGAAATCATCGGCTGAGAGTTCCCCCATGGACTCAAAGTCAAGAGTCAAGATGTCTGAGCACTGTGAGCAGGCTTGAATAGGAGAGATTTGACACGATGTTCACTAAGTTAGTCTTAAGCTTAGTGCTCTTAGTCATGATTAGCCTCCGTTAGAAGATAGCCAGCCAGCTCCTGATTGGCCATTCAGCGTATGAGGCTTAACCAACCAAGTTACATTAGTACGGAGTAGACGAATCAATTACGCGTCTTTTTATTGACACGTCCTGCTGATCTCTGATCGGTGCCCATAACGCTCCATAACAAACAATCGGGATAGTTTCTTAGATCGAATCGGCATTGAAAAATTCAAAACTCCATACCCATGGTTGTTTGGACTTTGGGAGCTGAGTCTGACATTGATTCTATGGACTTTTTACTGTTTGGCCTTTCAAGATACTCCGGCCGCCCCTACTGGTATCGTGACGACATCTCTCTTTTTTGCCCTGAAACTATCGATTGACACATTCCGTACGGCGTACCACGTACTACGTAGATCCCGACATATCGGACCCTACGAAGGGGATCCCCGGTACAATTCAATTGCTACAGGCTACAGCTGCATAGGTACGGCAGCTACATCCTTTACTCAATTGTTGAAGCTAGTAGTCCTGGGTCGCAACCCTGAAGTTCAATGCACGATGGTGGATGTTCCATTACCGAGAGATGCCGGATGGCATAATCGGTCGGTGGAAGACTCAAGGGCTTGGAAGTGGCTTAGAAACTCTGCGTTTGGGGCAAGATATTCATCAGTAATTTCTTCTTATTCAAGACTTGATTCATATGGTACGGAGTACAGCGACTGACTCCCAGAAAGTTCGGAGATGTCTTTCGCCTTACCACTTGAATCACTCGCAGTAGGTGTACGGAGTAGTACGTACAGTATCCGGAACACTGGGATAAAAATATCCGCCGTTGACCTGATCTCAGTCAATGTTCCAGATGTTCTATGGAAAACCTGGAAACAGTGAAACATTGACTGAGCCGCAACAGTATGCAGGGGCGTGGAAGTAGGCCAGCAGTGCCGTGGGAGTACGTAACGTAATTTCGCGTTCGGTATGGTATTTTAGATAGACGGAAACGGGCTGATTCTCGTCGTCTCCTCGTGTAAGATTACGCGGCTAGTCCCAACCAGGCAAGAATCGGTATATTTAGTAACTATTGACGAGGGTGGCGCCAACGGGTGTCATGTTAGACCTGAAACCGTGCGCCGTGTTTCAAGCCAAACACCCACTTTCCCGTGCCACATCCGCCAGCTTGGACCCTCCTTCCCCTTTTTCTGCTGGCCAGGGAAAGAAAAAAAAAAACCACGCACTGCTTGCAGCGACCTCAGTCTTCTATCTCGTATCTCTCTACCTCTCAGATTCTATCATCCTTGTCCTATATTCGTGCATGAATTCCTCTAACGGCGCCCCGAACCTATCCCTATCCCGGCCTGGACGTTGTCTGAGCGAGCCCACGGTCCTGGTCGATCTCCGCTTGTTCGATATCTACTAAATCTCTAGTCCGCCCCAGTCAAATACAGCCAGTCCTCTTCCTTTCCTTTCAACTTCAGCCCCCAGCAAGTCAACAAACAGACAGACAAGGAAAAGGGGTGCCAGCGAACGGCAAAGAGATTGGCCAGCCTCTGTTAATCTGTACGTGTGGCCTTTTCCTCCTACGTCCTAGACGCGGAACCAAAAGAGATCCTATCCACTCTGTTGCGTCTGGAATCCGTCTGAACTCTGTCTCTCTTTTTTGTCAATTTTTTTTCCTGCCTGCTTATTCGCGTTGGACCTCTGCCCCCTCCCTAACCACTAAAGTTAGCACCTGCTCACCACGGTAGCAGTACACGTACTCACCCCCCATTCCATCCCTTGAAATCTCTCAGAGCCTATTTTGTCTTCTACCATCATCATTACTATTTTTTTTTTCCCCCTACAAACTTCCATTCCTCTTCCCCATGCCCGGTTACGTGCTTCTGTTCTAATTCTTATAACCTTTTTTTTTTTTACTTGCTGTTGTGTTTTTTTTATCCGTGTTCGTCACTTGCTCACACGGCAGTCGATCACAGCCACTCGTTAAGCCTTGTTACGTACCTCGAATATCCGGAGTTGCTCTCAACAACCGACTTTAATTAATTCTTCCTCCTCCAACCTTCCTCGTGGCATCCTCGTCTTTCGGCAACAGCAGCCATTTTCGGCAGCGCCCTTTCGATCTCCAGCGATTTTTCAGTGAACAAGCTCGCATTATCGCAACGACAATGAGCTCCGATAACGAAAAGGCCCGTACCTCGGGCGAGGTCTCTCGCCCAGAGCCTGTTCTTCCCACCATCAACCCAGAAGCAACCAAGTCGGAGCCTCCTAAGCCCGCTTTGCATCCTGCCTTCTACGTCGGGTGAGTGTTGATTTTGGTCTGAGAATATAAGAGGGCGGGCAACAGCTGACCGGCTTGACAGTACTTGGATTGCTTTGAGTTCCAGTGTCATTTTGTTCAACAAACACATTTTGGACTACGCTCAGTTCCGTAAGTGACTTATCATATTCCATATCATTGGACGTACAGTGATACTAATGTATACTCTGCAGGTTATCGTATGTGAAATAACTAAGTCCCTTTTGATGAATAGCATTATTCTAACCGATCGCTAGCGATTTTCTTGACAACATGGCATTTGGCCTTCGCAACCCTTATGACCCAGATCCTCGCCCGCACTACGACATTACTTGATGGCCGCAAGACCGTCAAGATGACTGGCCGCGTCTACCTCCGTGCTATCGTCCCCATCGGTCTCTTCTTCAGTCTGAGTTTGATCTGCGGCAACGTCACCTACTTGTACCTCAGTGTCGCTTTCATCCAGATGCTCAAGGCCACTACTCCCGTGGCTGTTCTTTTCGCAACTTGGGGATTGGGAATGGCTCCTGTCAACTTGAAGGTGCTCATGAACGTCTCGGCTATTGTCATCGGTGTCATCATTGCTTCCTTCGGTGAGATCAAGTTCGTTTTCATCGGCTTCTTGTTCCAGATCGGTGGTATCATCTTCGAGGCTATTCGCTTGGTCATGGTTCAACGTCTGTTGAGCTCTGCCGAGTTCAAGATGGATCCTCTTGTTTCGCTCTACTATTTCGCACCTGTCTGCGCTGTCATGAACGGTATCACCGCTCTTTTCCTTGAAGTCCCTAAGATGACCATGGGCGATATCTACAACGTCGGTTTGATTACTCTCTTGGCCAACGCCATGGTCGCTTTCATGTTGAACGTTTCCGTTGTCTTCTTGGTAAGTGACTGATCCATGTCTGAATGTGTTTTTTTTTTTTTTTTTTTTTTTTTTTTTTTTTTTCAATTTCTGACTTGTTACACAGATTGGCAAGACTTCGTCATTGGTCATGACCCTCTGCGGTGTCTTGAAGGATATTCTTCTTGTCGCTGCTTCCATGGCTATCTGGCACACTCCCGTCACTGGTCTTCAATTCTTTGGTTATTCCATTGCCCTTGGTGGCCTTGTCTACTACAAGCTCGGTAGTGAGAAGATCAAAGAATACTCCAGCCAGGCTCAACGTTCTTGGGCCGAATACGGTAGCACCAACCCTGGCCAGCGTCGTCTCGTTATCATTGGTGCTGTCGTCCTCGGTTTCTTCTTGTTTGTTGGTGCTCTTGCTCCCAGCTATGCACCAGAGTCTGTTGACCACATTCGCGGTGCCCTTGGCGGTGCGTCTGCCGGTCGCGTTTAACCTCTGCATCTACCACAAAAACCGCCACTGATTCAAATCGACCATGGTTGATTCCGATTCCTCGCAAGCCTGTATCGTTTGATTGATTGGCATGTTTTTGGTGCTTGCACTCAATATAGGCCCGACATACATTTGTACGGCATAATCGTTATGATAAGACTCGAGATGCCGTATGATGTTGTACACGGAAGGCCTTGGTGTATTGCATTGACTGCAACGGTTGGATCCGCTGGAAACTGCAGCCAGTTTTGTGTAATATTCGGGAGGACGTTTTCAACTACACGCCTTTGGACCTTCCTTATCTCACTACTTCACTTCTTTCCAGCTCCTATTTGATCCTTCCCTTTCACCTTTGGTTTCATGTCTTTTTTTTTTCTCTCTTTTTCTCTTCTCGGAGAAGGATCTACGAAAATACTTTTTTAAACCAGCCTTTGATGTTACGTTTCCCATTTCATTGCCGTGCGTATCTAGGTCATTTTTCATTTTCATGCCGCATTGTGACTATACGCGAGTCGTTTCCATTTCTGTTCTGTGTGTTTGAAATAGATGGTGCACCGGGGCTTTGTAGATTGATACGAAAATCGAAAACACTAATCATTCCATTTCTTATTTTCTGGGCTATGTTCGGAGTATCGTCCTCGTTCTACCATAGTACAAGACTGTGACTGGTGCTACCTCGGGTTCCCACTCTAGGATAGCGTGACAATGTGGCCCAGCGGCGCTACAACCTCGCACTCTGATTGGCTTGCAGATATCCTTGTTACTCACCATTCATTGGCTATTTTCTCAAACCTTAGTGAGGCCGCCTGACTCGGCCGTCGAATAATATTCCCTCCTGTCAGCCACAGATGGGTTGCCAAGGTCATCGTTACCGAATTCTGACAGGCCAATGACTCGCAGAAATATATGTGGGTCGGTCGCCAATCCTGCCTTTTGTGTGGTTCTGCCTCGTAGCCTCAGGCATTTCGGGTTGCCCAGCAGGACCGCCCGTGGCCCAAAAAGGCTTAGCGTACAGCCAAAGTCATGTTTGTCATCGCCCGGGCAAAGTTTTCCTATTGGCTGTCCATGTCAGCCGCTCCACTGCCTCAGGCACTCCCTTGTCTGGATCGACGCGGCTATTGGCTCAAGCACTCCTCCGCATCGCATCGCAAACCCGGCAGAATCATGTTCCGTGTCCGCATTCGTTCCTCTGTCCAGAACCTCCATCCATCCTCTTTTTCCCTCTCCATGCAATCAATCCTTGGTGAGGCAAGCTTGCTCCGACTTTTCCGTTGCTTTCATTCCCCGTGAGCCTCGCCCTCTTCTTCTCTTTCTTCTTCCTTTCTCTCTTTCTTCCTTTCATCTCTCTTCCATCTGCCCACCTCTCGACTCTTTCAATTACCTTCTCACACATCGCGTCTTCAACTCGTGACCTCCTTCCTCTTATGCTTACTACCTCATCCTCTCTCTTCTCCTTTGTCACGTCAACAGAATCAATACGACGCGACCTTTCTCGCGCTACCGAACCTTTCTGCTCCATTGCAGTGAATATCCATTGGGTCTTGTACTGTTATCTTTCAGGATAACTGGCGTACTGACTTTCGACACATCCAAAGGTTTCTAATAGCTCACTAGGATTTCAAACTCACCTTTCTAGACAGGCACTTACGGCTCACTTTGACCCGTTCTCACTCTTTCTACTCAATTAATCCTCTCGAAACCAAATATCACCCAAGCGAATCTGCCAACATGGGCTCAGTCTACAACCGCTTCTCTGACGGCCCAACCATGATCCTACCCTCATCTCAAAACCATCCCTCATTTCAGTTCCCTTCCCAGTCCGTACAGGGCTTCCAGGCCTACGATTCTGGCTCCTGGTCAATGGACGCGGTATACGCGAACCAATTCAAAGGTCCAACGCGTCACTCTTCTAGCTGGACCCCTTCCTCTTCTTCCAAGACTATATTCACCAACCCCTCACGCAAGAGGTCGCGTAACGACAGCGAGGATGATGATATCTCTAGCTCGAAACTGAGCTTTGCGCCTTCTATACCTGCCGTAGAAGCACCGATCTACGGTGAAGGCATGGTCCTTTTGAACCCTCGTACTGGTATGGCCGTGTCAGCCGAAAGCCAGACCGGCACATGGTACGAAGAAGAAGCTGTAAAGAAAACCATATCTTCACGGATGCAGCAATTCAACAACGGAGATGGACCAAGTCGCAAATCTCAACGTCTTGACACTTCGGCATCCCACGCTGACGACGTTGAACTCGCTTGGATTCAACAGCAAATGCAAGCTACGACAAATGACGACAACCGCCGCTCGTTTGGCAAGAATAGTCCTCTCGATATGGCAGATGAACCTCGCGTTGATGACGTGACTCTTCTGCTTGGTATAAGCTGGCAACGCGTCATCCATGATGGCGACATGGGACCAGCCGTCTCTGGCTGGGAAAAGTATATTAACAATCATTTTTATAAATATATGCGGAACGCTCGCATCATTCTGAAAAACCGCAGCCTCAACGCATATCTGGTTGCTGCCCTTCCAGCACAAGATGTTCCGCTTCAGGATACTCCTATGCATAGTAACTACGCTGCTATGTCTAGTATGTATCAGTTTGATCCATCTTCCTATTTCTTCCTTTTCAAGGAGGATTTGACAGAAGCACAATTGGTTGCCTCGACATTAGACAACTGTCTACGAAACATTCGATCGACACCGATTCAGTTTGAAGGATTTGAAGTATTACGCGCTTCTGAACGATCACCTGAGCGCACTGTTGTTCCAAGCGATGTCATCAACTGTGTCGTTGGAAACGGCATCCCAATTGCACGCATTAGCAAAGAAGACCATGCTGTAACCGGCGAGAAGGTCAATATGAACAATGATATGGCAATGAGCATGGGCACGGACATGGACGTCGATCTATAACTTTTCTTTCCTCCGACACGCTGGCTTTTCTTCGACTCGTTGTTTTCGCTTTTTCCAAACGCAGATTCGTCTTTGGCATTCGACGTTTTGCTACGATTTTCCTTCGGCGTTATTTATTGTTACTAATCTGCTTTCCGAGAGATACGAGTGGGAAAGTTCACTTGACATTTATTCGATATTTGTTTTCTGATTTAACAAAAGCAAGACATCTCAAACAGTAAGTCATAAGACGACAGATACTCTCAATGAAAGAAACATTATAAATTCTTTTCTGTTGTAGACTGTAGTCCAGAATCATAAAACCATGTACATCTAATTATTTACTCCACGATCTCTGGATAGCACTGTAATCCATTGACAAAGAACAATCGTCTGTGGCAATTGGATAGGGAGAATCGGGAATCGAAACAGTTGGACGAGCCAGAAAACCATTCTGGTCAAGTCACATGACCTGAATCGAATCCGCCATTCCGCTCGGCCATCGTCAGAGAAAAGAAAGATTTGTTCCCCTCTAACTCCGCGTCGCTGGACTCTCTCACCTCTACATAACGCGTACGCGATACCTTTTTTTTTTTACTGAGTCCCGTTTAGGAAGGAAGAAATTCCGATTTATTGTTCTTGGCTGTTTGTCGCTCGCCGCCCTATTGACTTCGGTTATTGTTCTATTGTTCCTCGTTTGTATGCGTCAAGCCTGGAATTTTTTTTCTTTCCTCAGGCATCCAAGCGGGGAACTAATTAATCGGTGCGATGATAGACTGATATCAGATAAGGCGAATGTTCAACCCCGACATTCTACAACTTGAAAAGAAGAAAACAAGACATCTTCTTCAGCATGCCTCTTGTCAAACCGCCTGTGCAGCCACGGTCGCGACAGCCCGTAAGCAGGCTGCACAGCATCAAACCACCTCAATCAGGGGGTATACCACTCAAACGTCCTCAGGGGATACCAGTTCCACGAGTCGGCAGTGTTGGCAGTAGTAGTACTAGCAATGCAGCAGCAGCAGCACTACCATCACCACTAAAAAGACCAGAAAACAAAAAGCCAGCAGAAACTTGCCCTAACCCAAACTGTCCTGATCCTCGCATCATTCGTGATGAGGAAATGAAGGTCTGTGAGACCTGTGGTGCGGTCGTGAGTGAGGATCATCTCGTCTCCGAGATCAGCTTTGGAGAGACCTCGGCCGGTGCAGCGGTTGTTCAGGGATCGTATGTCGGTGCCGATCAGACTCATACCCGGAGCAGTGGGCCGGGTTTCCATCGCGGAGGAGGTATGGAAAGTCGTGAAATTACGGAGCAGAATGGTGCCCGCTATATTCAGCAGATGGCTCTTGCGTTGGATATTCCGGAAAGTGCGCAAAAGGCTGCTGGTCAGGTGTTTAAATTGGCGGTCGGCTTGAATTTTATTCAGGGTCGACGGACCAAGACCGTTGCGGCTGTGTGTTTGTATATTGCCTGTCGACGCCAGCCGGGGAATACGGTTATGTTGATTGATTTGTCGGATGTGTTGATGATCAACGTTTTCAAAGTCGGTCGCGCGTATAAGATGTTGCTGGAAGAATTGCGACTCGGTGGCACTGTCTTCACTATGAACCCGGTTGATCCTGAGAATTTGATTTTGCGATTTGCCAGGCAACTTGAATTCGGTAACAAGACGATGCATGTTGCGAAAGAAGCTGCGAGAATTGTGCAACGTATGAATCGTGACTGGATGACAACCGGACGTCGTCCAGCGGGAATTTGTGGTGCAGCTCTGATTCTAGCGGCACGAATGAACAATTTTCGACGTACTGTCCGAGAAGTTGTTTACGTTGTCAAGGTCACTGAGGTGACCATCAACCAACGACTGAACGAGTTTAGTTCCACGGATAGCGGTGATCTTACAGTCGACCAGTTTCGATCGGTTCATTTGGAGACTGCACATGATCCTCCGTCTTTCAATCCCAAGAAGAAAGAAGGCCGAAAAAGAAAGGCGAAAGTAGTAGACACTGCAGCAGAAATCGAAGAGTCTGAATCAGAGACAGAGACAGAAGCTCAGCCCGCACCACCACCGGCAAAGCGACCGCGTGTCGATGCAGATGGCTTTGCTATTCCTGAAATTCCTATAGATCCAGCATTGACAGCTGAGACTTATCAGATTGCATTAGATCAAGACACCATATCCAACATCGAGGCGGAACTTTTAGCAAAGTCAGTCCTCGAGAGTGAGCAAGAACAAACATCGAAGAAAGGAAAAAAGAAACAACTAGTACCGGAACCAACACCTGAAGAACTTGCGTCGGAAGAAGCTCTCGAAAATGAAATGCATCAATTCCTGGCTAATGGTTCCGACATGGTGGAAGCTGCAACGGCGAAGATGCCAGTCACAGCAACAGCAGCGGCGGCACCAACAACTATAAAGGCTAGGGCACCGATCTCGGATAATGTTGAGATTGAAGCCTCTGAATTCGAGTCCGACCCGGAAGTCGCAAACTGTCTTCTCTCACCGGCAGAAGTTGAAATCAAAGAACGGATCTGGGTCCATGAAAACCGAGACTATCTCCGCACGCAGCAAGCAAAAGCTCTAAAGCGGGCATTGTCCCAAGGCGAAGACGACGGCACTACACAGAAAAAGCCACGAAAGCGGCGCAAAGGCAGATTGGGCGACGTTACCTATTTACAAGGTGAAGACGGGAAAGGTAGTCGCGCATCTACACCGGCGGAAGCGACAAGACTCATGCTTGAGCAGCGAGGATACAGTAAGAAGATTAACTATAAGATGTTATTCGACTTGTACGGCGATGAAGGTGCGGCTGAGGCCGAGAAGGCAGAGGCACAGAGACAAAGTCGAAGTCAGAGCGTGGCATCAGAAGCGGCTTCTGCAGTATCTTCTGCTAATATCAAACCTCTGATCGCGTCTACCATAACACCCAAGATCACCACATCGAGTCAAGGTGGATTCAACGAAGCGGATTACGATGACGAGGAGGATGATGCAGAGGGAGTGGAGGCGGGTGGTGAGGACCGGGATGATGATCAGGACATTGAGAATGCCTTTGCTGGGAATTATGATGAAGATGATTATTATGAGGGCAGCGATTATGAGTATTAGCCATATTATTTTCATCATTATAGTGTATGTCAATAACATTAGTACCTTCTATCATGTCGATTTCATTGGTAAGAAAGACTTGTTCTCATCATGTTTCAGTTTCGTGTATGCTGTCGACGTTTCAACCATGAAACGTCAAAGATGCCAATTGACAATCGCCAATACAGTATACCCTGGTTATAACGGAATGAAGGCCTCTCCATATTTATATTGATCTCTGGTTGCATTACTTTGGTATAGAACTGAAGAGCACCCTAATTATTGATACTAAAATAGGATATTATGTTAAAGTGCCCTTTATTTTCAAATCAAACTCACATCTGGATGTATTGACTTATATCCCGAGAGCCTTCTGTTCGTTATAACCAGGCCCTACTGCATATCAATATAGAGTATTCATTCCATGATAACCTGGAACACTTGAAGGGTCTAACAACCAAAGACGCATCTGGCCTGTCGCAGAAAACCCTCAGGGCGGCCTCAGGCACCCCGCTGATTGGGCAGGAGTGATGCGGCATTTGTGCGTAATTCCTACGCTTTTTCCTTTTTCGACTTCAACAGGCACAAAAGACGCAAAACCTGGGCGTTTTTGTTTGATAATGTATTTTTCTATTCCTATTTCTTCTTTTCAGATCAGAGAAGATGGTTGATTTGTCTGCACGATTCCATCGCTCTTACTCATCTTGTTTCTGCTTTGTTTGCCACCGCTATGTGATATGGGATAAATAAAAGAACAGTTTCAAGATCTTCGAAACAGATCTTCAGATAGCAACGATACTTAATACTTTTTCAACCATCTTGTGTTTCTATTAAGGTTCGTCACAAGATGGCGTCCAAATCAGCAACAGGACTCATCACAGTCCTCCTAGCAACAAACATCCATTGCGCATCATGCGTCGCTCTCGTAAAAGAGGTACTCACCTTCTACGAATCCATCACAAGCGTCGATGTCTCCGTTCTTCAACAACAAGTCCGGATCCAGCATGGTCCTGGAATCAGTGCATCAGACCTAGCAAGGACGCTCATCGACGCAGCTTTTGAGGTACAGATTGCAACGACTCAGGATGAAGCCACGGGACAGGTTCTGGAGTCTATCGATACTTCTTCTTGGGGCTCGTCGCCGCCCGTCTTACGATCTCCTCTTTTATCCCCTAGTTCGCATAACAGCAGAGCTACGCGGGAAAGGAAGTTGTATGAATACCAGCATCGAAAACATATAGATAACTGCAAGGCTTGCCAGACTGAACGGCAGTATGCGCTTTATGAAGCTGAGAAGTCACCTCCAAAGTACGACAGGACTTGGATGGAGAAGTTGGTGACAACATCGAAGAGACCTCCAGAGGATACTGAGAAACAACCGCCTCTGGAGTCTGTGCAGGTTACGCAACCACACCCGCCGGATGTGTTCCAGGCTCGTATCAGCATATCTGGAATGACATGCGGTGCATGTGCTAATTCGGTTACTGAGATGGTACAGCAACTAGGATTTGTCAAGGACGTATCCGTTACATTATTAACGAACAGCGCTGTTGTGACTTTTACCGGCCCACGAGAGAACATTGACAAGATCATTGACGAAGTAGAGTCTACCGGGTTTGATGCCGCAGTCGATACGTTAGAGAATGTTGCCGGGTCAGCGGAGGGCCAAGCAGTGCCCATTTATGAGGCTCAGTTTGGCATTGGCGGAATGACTTGTGCTTCTTGCGTGAATGCTGTTACTCATCATGTCAAGCAGCTGGATAATGTGAAAGATGTGACCGTCAGCTTATTGACAAACAGCGCTACGGTTGTGTTCTCAGGAGATCAGTCATATAGCAAGACAATATGTGATGAGATCGAGGCTATCGGATACGACGCTTCGTTGATCGAAGTCGTGCAACAGAATAACTCAGCCTCTGATCGTCCCATGTCTGATAAATACATAGCGAATATCAGCATTAACGGCATGAGCTGTGGTGCATGTGTCGGAAAAGTCACGCAAGCCGTTCAGGGCCTCTCATACGTTAAAGATGTTGCGGTTGACTTGCTCTCGTCTAGCGCGAGGGTTGAATTTGAGGGCAGGGACAACGTGCAAAATATACTGAATGAGATTGAAGACATTGGCTACGAAGCTACGCTCATTGATTGCAAATCGGCCAAAGAAGAACTCGCCTCAAAATCAACGGAACGAACAGTAATGATCCGAGTTGACGGGATGTTTTGTCACCACTGCCCTGAGAAGGTACTATTGTCGCTTAAAGATCTAGATGATAGCATCCAAATATCCAAAGACCCCACGTTAAAGGACCCCATCGTCAAAGTCACGTATACGCCCACACAGCCGAATTTGACAATCCGACGAATCTTGGCTATTATTGACTCGTCTCATGAGAACTTCAAAGCAAGCCTTTATCATCCCCCATCTATTGAAGATCGCTCTCGGGCGATGCAACTTCGCGAGAGACGCCGATTCCTTTTCCGCCTTGCATTTGTCCTGATGGTCGCTATACCAACGTTCATAATTGGAATTGTCTTTATGGACCTTGTCCCATCGGACAATCCTGCTCACCAGTACCTCTCACAGCCAATATTGGGAGGTTCTGTGTCTCGAATGGAATGGGCAATGTTCTTTGCAACCACCCCTGTCATGTTTTACGGCGCAGATGTATTCCATATCCGAGCCATGAAGGAAGTGCATGCCCTATGGCGGCCAGGCAGTAAAGTGCCCATCTTGCGTCGATTCTACCGTTTCGGCAGTATGAATTTGTTGATTTCGGCTGGGACATCTGTGGCGTATATTGCATCCCTCGGTGTGCTAATAGCCGGTGCAACAACGAAATCTTCTGATGCTGCAGATGTCACGACCTATTTCGATAGTGTCGTGTTCTTGACATTGTTCATCCTAGCTGGGCGCGCTCTGGAGGCTTATAGCAAATCCAAAGCCGGCGATGCTGTCTCCGATTTGGGCAAACTCCGACCAAGCGAAGCATTATTGGTTGATCCCTCGTCATCAACTGAGAGCGTTCAGAGAACCAATGTTGACCTGCTCGAATTCGGTGACGTAGTCATCATCCCTCACGGTGCATCCCCTCCGGCAGATGGTATAGTCACGAGTTCCGGCGATTATCAATTCGATGAGAGCTCTCTAACCGGTGAATCGCGACCCGTCTCAAAATCAACGGGTGATGAAATCTATTCTGGATCCGTCAACGTTGGTCAACAGGTCTCCATCAAAGTGACCGAAGTTGGAGGTGCTTCCATGCTTGACAAAATCGTCAGTGTTGTCCGAGAGGGACAGAGCAAGAGGGCGCCCATGGAACGGATCGCAGATTTGATTGTTGCATATTTCGTGCCTGTCATCACACTAATAGCCATCCTAACTTTTATCATCTGGCTCGCACTTGGGCAATCCGGAGCTCTTCCATTAGGATATCTTGACACTACGCTCGGTGGCTGGACATTCTGGAGCTTGCAGTTCGCCATCGCGGTATTTGTAGTGGCATGTCCATGTGGTTTGGCACTTGCCGCCCCGACGGCGCTCTTTGTCGGAGTTGGGCTTGCAGCGAAGCGTGGTATTCTAGTCAGGGGAGGCGGAGAAGCTTTCCAAGAAGCTACACGACTCGATGCGATTGTATTCGACAAGACCGGCACTTTAACTGAGGGCGGGAACCTCAGGGTGTCTGAGCATGAAGTCTTGGACAATTCAGACCCCCAAAAGGTTGCTATTGCGTGGACGTTGGCTCGAGAACTGGAACAGACTAGTAACCATCCTATTGCCAAGGCGATTGTTGAGTTTTGCAAGGATAAACTGTCTGGCGAGTATCAGATTGGAGTCAAATCATCTGATATTCTGGAAATCTCTGGACAAGGAATGAAAGGCAAGTTCACAATCTCAGTCAATGGCGAGAATGCGACATACGAAGCTGTTATTGGCAATGAGCGACTTGCAAAGAGCGTTGCCACTACGACGGACTCGCAATCCTATTTCTTTGCAAATGCTCTATCCAAGTACCAGTCATCCGGTCGTTCTACGGCAGTACTCCTCCTCCACAAGTTTCAAGCGTCGACAACAACCAGCCCAAAGGACAAAGAAACTGGAGCTAACACAATCGACACTGAACCGTTCATCCCTACGATCATCTTTGCAACATCAGACCCCATCCGCGCCGAATCCGCTCAGGTTATTGCCCAACTCCAAAAGCGCAATATAGCCGTATACATGTGCACCGGCGATAACGAAATGACCGCCTACGCCGTTGCGTCTACACTGGGCATCCCACACACAAACGTCCTCGCAAACGTGATGCCAGCGCAGAAAGCAGAATACATCCGCAAAATCCAATTCTCATCACTATCGTCTCTGGACGATGGGAATCAACAACCACAAGGCAAAGGCAGGAAAATAGTCGCTTTCGTAGGTGACGGGACAAATGATTCACCGGCCCTCACTGCCGCGGACGTCAGTATCGCAATGTCTTCCGGCTCAGATGTGGCTATTTCTTCATCTTCGTTTATCCTTTTGAACTCGAATCTCACCACCATCTTCGAACTGGTTCAATTATCGCGCCGTGTCTTTAATCGGATAAAGTTGAATTTCTTCTGGGCTGCGATTTACAATGTGATCCTCGTCCCTGTTGCGGCCGGTGTATTCTATGCTATTCCCGACGGGACGCACACTGTTACCGGCTCTGGTGGACATGATGTGCAGGTTAATGGGCATTGGAGACTCAGTCCTGTTTGGGCTTCTCTTGCGATGGCTTTGAGTAGTGTTAGTGTTGTGACGAGTAGTTTGGCGTTGAGGATTGAGTGGAGGGATGTCAAGAGGTGGATGAAGAAATGTTTGGGACGGTCATGAATGAAGTATGAGTTATGACTTGTTTTTGCAATCGCACGGGTATCGAGCGTGAGGATTGATGTGTGTAGCTGGTTACTACACTTCACTGTTACAGAAGTCTGATTGAAATGGGCCCTATAATTCATGTTCATTTAGTAGTCACCCTATCTCAACGATACAACCCTAATCACAAGCAAGAGGGGTATATAATAAGGATATATGAATCGTACCAATCAGATACCATCGCACGCTGATTTAAAGCGATTCGCGTCATTTTTCTATTCCAAATCAAGTAACTGTGGACTTCGAACGTTTCCCTCGTCTTACAAATATCTACTCGCTGATTCTTTCGTTGTGTTTTCGCTTTTCTTTGACAGATATCAGATCGATATATTCAATTAACCATGGCTTCAACAGAATCTCGCGAGGATGGGCTTACCAATCCGATCCCGAATGAAGAGGAGCCTCTTTTAGGGTCTACCGGCAGTGTTACGCAGAAGGATACTACACCAATTTATTACAATTTTCTTACTGGTTCGTACTCTCTATTTCTGATCAGGAGCTCGCATTTACGATGCTGTCGTCGCAGGAACTGCTGTAGTCGCGCAAGCCGGTATCTGGGTGGTATGTATACATCCTATTTTCGTCTTGCTAGCTAACGCTCTGAAGTTATTCGCCGTCATCTGGTCGGCCATCTTTTCTCATGACTTGATCTTTTTTTCTGCGCATCCGGTATGCCATGCCCATCGAAAATTTACCTGAGAGCTTCACTGACACTGACCCTGGTAGCTGCTCAATTCCACCGCTCTCCTGCTCCAAGTACAAGGCATTCTCGTCCTACAGCCTACATCAACACCTCGCCAGAAAACGCTAGGCGCACATATCCATTTCGCCTTACTATTCCTCAGCCTTGCAGCATTTATCTCGGCCTTTGTAGTCATTGAAATCAACAAAGATCCCGAACACCGACTAACATCCATACACGGAATCCTGGGCTTCATCACCTACATTCTAATCATAATCCAGGCTCTAGTCGGAATTGCTCAATTCTGGATTCCGCGATGGGTTTTTGGAAGTATCGAGAAGGGCAAGAACGTGTATAGATATCACCGGATTTTTGGGTATGTCTTGCTGGTGCTGGAGTTTGCGGCCGTGGCGGCGGCGACGCAGACTACGTATAATATCTCTGTGCTGAATATTGCGCTGTGGGCTGTGTTGGTTACGTCTGTCATCACTTTGTTGGGTGTTGGTGCGCGAGTCAAGATAAGCAAGTTTGGTATCTGATGAATCTCATGAATACAGTATACAAGTGGTGAGCGCCTTGATAGGCGCGTGCGTTATACATGTGTTCCAATGTTGCGTCTTTGATAATTTCGATGCCAATATCTGTTAGGTCTTTATTATTATTGCTAGAATTGATGTGTTGTAAGGATTTCTCAGGAACAGAGAGAGAGATACGAGAAAAAAGTGCAAAGTAAAAGTAAGGTACTGCCTCAGGCACTTATCTGCGGCCTCGCGTGGTGTGATAGTTAGTTTCAATTATCTCCGCAAAAGTTTCAACCTGGAGGAACAACAACCATTCTAATGGCGTCCACACGGATACGACTGACTCAATGCAATTCCATCATTCGACGAAACTTTACTTCTTCATGTAGACGATGTCGCAATGCTGAATTGTCCCGTCCACCCACCGCACCCAAACCAGTCCCCGATGTGAAGCTGATTCGAGAACACGCCGACCTGTTTGCGCGCAATTGCGTAGATCGCAACTATGCCGCCTACCAAGACTATCCACATCGTATCAAGGAACTATACGCAGAGACAAAAACACTTGAAGAAGCCCTGCTGAATCCGCGACGGAAAATAAAGGAATTGGAAAAGGAGATTGGCCGGGTTGCTTCAAGCCGAGTATCTTCGCAAGAACTCAACGGGGAAGGGAAGCAGCAGGCATTAGCAGCGTTGCGGCAGGAGGCACAAAGGCTAAAGAAGGGCTCCCAAGAGACGTTACTTCGAAAAGAGTCACTGGAAAATGAGATTCAGAAACTCGCTCTTTCGTTACCGAACCTTACCTCCCGCGAGGCCCCCGTTGGCGATGATCCGAGAGTAGTCGGATATATCAATTACAATCCCGAAAACTCATCCACCTGGCTCGAGCAGAAACAACCATATCGGTCGCATGTGGAGATTGGGACTACGCTTGAATTACTCGATTTTACGAGCTCGGCCACATCGACAGGTTGGGGGTGGTATTTTCTTACTAACGAGGGAGCTCTTTTAGAACAAGCGTTGATTCAGTATTCAATGGATGTCGCACTAAAACGAGGATGGAAAGCCGTCGCACCTCCCTCTATTGTTTATTCTTATATCCAAGAAGCATGCGGATACCAACCACGAGATCAGAATAATGAACAGCAAATCTGGCACATTGAGCAAAGCGAAAAAGACAAAGCCAAGCCCCAGCGATCGCTTGCTGGAACAGCCGAGATTCCTCTGGCTGCTATGTATGCCGGACGAGACATTGACGAGTCACTCTTACCTCTAAAATTCGTCGGAACAAGTCGATGCTACCGCGCTGAGGCCGGTGCGCGCGGCGTCGATACCAAGGGGCTGTATCGGGTTCACGAGTTTACAAAAGTAGAACTATTTGGATGGTCGAATAATCCTCGATCCGACGAGTCTGATCCCCTATTCGTGAATTGTGTCCCTCTCAATGACTTGTTTGATGAACTCTTGCAGATTCAGGTTGAGATTCTGACCGCTCTGAATTTACCATGTCGGATATTAGAAATGCCCACCAATGACCTGGGGGCTAGTGCGACGAGGAAACGTGATATAGAAGCATTATTCCCTTCGCGTCTACGTGCAATTGAATCATCTGGATCCGCGGAAAACAAAGGATACGACCTCGAGACAGGATGGGGAGAAGTCACATCCGCCTCGATATGCACAGACTACCAAAGCCGGCGATTAGGAACGAGGATCCGTAACAACCAAGATCAAAAGTCTCGCTATCCATTGACCGTCAACGGAACAGCCGTTGCAGTTCCTCGAGTACTGGCGGCTATACTTGAGAATGGTTGGGATGAGGAGAGACAGGTTGTTGTGATTCCGGAGAGTTTGAGGCAGTGGATGGGAGGGATGGAGACGATTGGGAGGAAATAAAAGCAATCCATATGTCTCCATCAGTTATCTTACGATGTACATTATTGCATAGCGAGCGGGTGGTCGAGACTCAACTCTAATTCGATGTCACCATATCAGTAGAAAATGATCAATCTGGCCGTCTCGGTACCTCATAACTTACAGAACGTCGCCTACGACAGAAAGATAAACACTTTTCCGAAGGCATAGAGATATCGGCGATTTCCGATGGAGCATAGCCGATGTCGGGAAAGCGGTCGTTCTATCAGATTGAGGCTGGAGTTGATACACCTGATGAAAATATAAGACCTTAGCAATTTCGACCCACTGAAAAGTGTATCTGTAGGGATTTTAGGATCGTACCAATAGTATGGTGGTACATAGGTAGGTATATGTACAGGTGGAAGTTGTACCGATAAGATAAGAACCCCTCCCTGCCCACTTGTACTTGGAATTGTCACAACACTCTCTTTCTCTCTAGTATAGAAGACATATACCAAATCACTCAATTGATCTGTCTGGCCTCTTGAAAATGGAAGCCCCAACCGTCCCCGTTGACAAAGCCGCCGAACTCTCCGGCATCACTACATCCGGAAAAGTAACAGTCACACGAGTCCCCAACGACTCAATCGACAAGACATTCGCACGAACCACAAACCTCGCCTCATCGGCTCTCAACGCGAGGATTCTGTCAAAATCAAACGATTATTTCGCCGCGGCCGAGAATCTGCTTACCCCTACACCACCGATACACAAACCCGGCGTCTTTGTGCATACCGGCGCATGGTACGATGGGTGGGAGACGCGCCGCCACAACCCCGAACCATATGATTGGGTCGTTATAAAACTGGGCGTATCAAGCGGAGCTATTGAAGGTGTCGAGGTTGACACGGCTTATTTCGTGGGTAATTACGGCGAAAAGGCCGAGTTGCAGGGTACTTATGCCCCTGCGGGAAGTGCAGATAGCGACGAACAAATCGCTAGTCCAGATTATAAGGGATGGAAAACGATATTACCGGTTGTAGAGTGTGGGCCGAGTCAGCGACGAGCGTGGAGGATTGATTCGTACGATGCTAAGAACCCAACACCATATACACATGTACGTCTATTGATGTATCCGGATGGCGGGTTTGCGCGTTTGAGACTTTATGGACATGCTATTCCTCCTCCTGTTGCTGCAGCATCCAGTACGGAAGAAGAGCTTTCATCTGCTCTGGTGGGTGGTCTTGCCCTCTCCGCGTCCGATCAACATTACACCCCAGCATCAAACACCATCCTTCCAGGTCGCGGGAAGGATATGGGCGACGGCTGGGAAACGGCTCGCTCACGCACACCGGGCCATGTCGACTGGGCCATCTTCCGACTCGGCCTACCAGGCACAGTGCACAAGATCGTAGTCGACACGAAAGATTTCCGCGGCAATTTCCCGCGCGAAGTTCGTGTTCACGGTCTCGTCAAGGACGACGCAACCAAAGATGAAGATGTCACTAATGAGCATCCTGGTTGGATTGAGTTGTTGAATGGTGACAAGAAGACCCAGGCTGATACGGAGCATGTGTTTGAAGGAGCGGAATTGGCGGTTGGTAAGGGTGATGAGAGGGTTTTCTCTCATGTCAAGTTGACTTTGGTACCGGATGGAGGTGTGAAGAGGTTTAGGGTGTTTGGGCAGAGGCGTTGATAGTCTAGAATGGTAGTTATAACTGCATATTTCCCATTCCATTCTAGTGCTCACCTTGACTCACTGAGCACGCTGACCTTCCATATGCTTAGACATGCTCAGTGACCTGAAGCTGACCAGTCTCATCCGAGATGCAGATATGGGCCTATGTATGTACTGTTTGAGCAGCGTTATTGGCTTCGATTTCATTGTACAAAATATCAGCCTGCGTCTTGCTTGCTGCAACTCCGCATTCCGTATCCTCTCAGACCCTCTATGGCTCTCGTATCATCCTCCGGTTTTTGTCCATTCAGTCTTGTCTGTGCAGTTCTCCTTTATACACAATTGGCGAGAGTGGTGTGAGTTGATAGTCGGTTTCTCAATCAGTTAGTGCGTGTATTGGGGTCATTAAAGTCACCTTTGGATTGTAATCCCATCACCACTTGTCTGGGGTTCTTCCAAATTTGATGCTTTCTGGCTGATTGAGTACTTGAATTGGACTTCACCGGTTTCAAGATCAGTATGGAAGTTCCATAAAAGTCCAGCAGCTCCTTTTCTCCTAGGAAATAAAGTCCTTCTGCTTTGTTTCTCGGAGACTTGTCACGTTAAATATAATGGTTTTTATCAAAGGTATATTTGTCAAACAGGTAAAGCTAAGAAACAGAGGGGAATGGAGATCAATATTAATTACTCTTTAATATGAGAAGGAAGACTATCTAGTCCTGGATCAACAAATGCTGCCTGAGAGGTTTATATCTAGGAATAATACGGGAAAGGCATGCCATAATTCTCGAAACCTGGAACTTTTCAGCTAAACGAGTGAGAGAGTTATTGTTGGCAAAATTCTGCATGTGAATTTACTGTCGAATATGTGTAGTCTGCTTAAAAGTCAACACTTGCTTCAGGTCGGTCCCAGTGCGGTCCCAGAACGTGTCTTTTCCTTTCTCATTCGAACATAATGATTATTGATCCCTCGTCATCCGACCAAATATCTGTCATGTGAGGATCCAATCCTGGCACGACAGCCAGTTGACTAAAAGATGTGCCAGTTGAGGTGTTGACAGCATTATATTACTAGATATGTCTTTCAACCTTGGAAGTTGAACAATGGGGCAGCAACACACATGTACTGCAAGATTTTGTCGGAATCCTTGTATAGCGTTCTACAGCTGTAACATCGCAGCTCTGGTATTCGGTTAAGCTTGGTGGTTCCAAGGCTTTTGGGATGTACATATTGAGAAAACAGCCGTTTAAGAAACATAAGATTGATCTCTCGCAGTTATCATTTACCCCATTTTTCACATTCCTGAAATATAGTCTATAAATTAAATTCGAAGAAACGAACCACCAAACCGCACAATTTTGACAAGTCAAAATTAGAAAAAAGAAAATCCAGGTATACAAGGCGCCATCATAACCATCATGGTACGTGTGGATATCATAAAACGGAAATCATAAAAAGTGAATCGAGAAGAATCACGCATAAGTTAGAAATCTCCAAGTATTTTTTTGGCCATCCCAGTCACGTTTCCCCCAGTATGGTATAAGAAAATTAAAAATAGGATATACAAGAAATGGATCTGTCTGAAGAACGGAAGATGTATGAACAAATAAAGGATGTCATTTCTTCCGACTGCACGGGGGGAAGATTAGAATTTATTATTTGGTTGAGTGGATGAAGATTGCTGTTCAGAACGTTTCAACCGTTCCGGAATCTGATCTGTACGCGTTGCTGGTGAGGAATCAGTCGGCGGAGATATCGCTGGCAATGAAACAGCTGGCGACGGCAGAGCTGGCGGTGAAACAACTGGAGAGGTAGACTGTTGTAATCGTTCATCATCAGGGGTCAGAGCAATAGTCTGACTAGCCGAAGACGATGATGTCTGACTCCCTGGTGTTCCAGACCCATCAGAACGTGAATCTTCACCACTTTGGCGGGTGACGGGACGTCGTCGAAGTTTTGTCGGACGAGCAGGTGCCAAGTATTGATCCAACATCTCGCTAAGAACAGAAGATCGTACTGGCTTAGCAAGATAGTCGTTCATACCCGCTTCCAAGCACTTCTCCCGATCACCTTCAATTGCACTGGCAGTCATCGCAATCACAAGCGCTTGGTTGACGTTAGGGTCCGTCTCTTTTCTAATCTCACGAGTAGCATCGTAGCCGTCTAGAACTGGCATCTGAACATCCATAAGGACAACGTGGAAGGGCCGTCCTTCCTTTGAACGTTGACGAAGTGCATCCACAGCTTGCTGCCCATCGCTGAACGCTTCGCATTCTAATCCCAATCCCCGCACAAATTTGACTGCAATCTTCTGATTGATCGGGTTGTCCTCTGCAATACAGACACGGATTTTCTCACGAGGAACCATCGTCAGATCCCGTCCCACAACTTGCGTAACTCGCGGAACGTCATGTTTGTCGGCCTGGTTGAAGTTTTGCATCCATGGTGCAGTGACAGCAGAGTCCTTGGGGGCTCGCTGAAATACAAGCTGGAATGTGACTGTCGTACCCACTCCGGGTGTGGAGTCGAGCCAGATCAATCCTCCAAGTACGTCTTCAATAATTGCCTTGCAGATACTCAGACCCAAGCCACTACCGCCATATGATCGAGCCGTAGAATTGTCTGCTTGGGAGAATGGCCTGAATAGTCTTGATTTGTGTTCTTCGGGAATTCCAATTCCAGTGTCTGCGACAGAACACTCTAGGCGCACTCGTCCCTTTCCTTCGCGAACAACCATGGCTGAAACTTTGACGTAGCCTTTGGGAGTGAACTTGTAACTATTGCTGAGCAGGTTCATGAATATCTGATGAAGACGAACGGGGTCGCCCATGACGACCAAGTCTTCTGGAACCTTATCCAAATCCTCAATTGTCTCCAGACCCCGATCGCGATGGGTATACCGCAGAGCTCGAACCACCTCACGAATTGTCTCTTTGAGGCTTAACGGCACAGTAGAAATTTTCATTTTGCCGGCCTCAAGTTTCGAGAAATCCAGGATATCGTTGATAAGAGTGAGCAAAGTATCCGCACAAACTCGGATTGACTCTACATAGTTATCCTGTTCTTTATCAAGCTTCGTGCCCTTCAGTAGCTCAGACAACCCAATCACACCATTCATTGGCGTTCTCAGATCATGAGAGACGTTGGCAAGGAATACGGACTTTGCTCTTGCTGCATCTTCCTTCAATTTGACGTTATGGTTTGCCTCGGCCTCTGCAATTTTGGCCTTCTGCTCCGCCTCACGCGCCTGGGCCAACGCACGCTTCTGAGACTCGACCATTGCTGCATTCGTAGCACTTACTTTACGCACTCTTCGGAACAAGAAAGCATTGCTGAGTGAAATTCCGACTTGGTTGCACAGAAGACGAAGAACAACCACATTGCGTTGAGTGAATGAGTTGGGCTTTCCCTCGATGTGAATGACACCAAGTAAATTGTTGGCCTGTATGATTGGCAGCGTAATGACAGATCGACCCGCTGGATACCTTGCGTTGTATCCTTCGCTAACAATGGAAAATCTCTCGTCCTCCAATACATTATGAACGAGTACTTCTTGTCTGGTTCGCAGCGTGTAATGAGTAATCTGTTGAGCCATTTTATCCTCCATCTCCGAAAACGGCAGTCCGTCAAGGAATGCCTTCTGCCCGTCGTCCTGGGAGCCGATAGCCGCAATTGCGAACCCGGTATCTTCAAATTCAGTCGTAATGATAGCTGTATCTGAACCACTGCAAGATTCAAGAATAATTTCAATCATCTTGGTAAGCAATTTATCAATTTGAAGTTCTGAAGACATCACTTGACTGAACTCAAGAATACTTGACAGATCGATAATATCTGAAAAAGAATGTCAACTGGCATCCAACAAATCGAAAGACGTCAAGACTTACCCAACCCAACACTTGGTATATCCAGAGGTCCGGTTTCAACATGAGAGCCCGAATTCTCTAACCAGTGTTTCTTCCTATCATCCTCCAAATTTGTTTGAACTGCAGGTGTGGCTACGGCTGTATCATGGTTAATATTAGCAAGAGAGTCAACGGTCTGTGTGCTGGCGTCGTTGTGTCTGGGAGCAGTAGCTGTCTTCAGCAACCACTCATGCTTTTCTGACAAATGCTCTGCCTTTCCAACCGCGCCGAGGCCCGTCCAGGCAGCAATGGCCTCTTTAATGATGGCCCTCGCCGGCCGTTTTGAGCCTTTTCGAACAAGGAAATCACCTACATGAATAGTTAGTTATGTATCGGATGCTAAATCATGGGTAACTCATCACTCACCGTACAATTCCAGGGCCATTGCCTCTTCCAGAGGAAAGCCGTGGACCTCGCAGTGATCAATAGCAGCTTCATAAGCTTGTACAGCAGAATTGAACTTCTTTTCATGCTCATGCATAAGTGCTTCAATGAGCAAAGCCCACATTGCATAATTAACATCACAAGCTTTTCGACTCAAATCGATTATCTCCTTGCATTTCAATACAAGACGCATATACTCTTCCAAACCACCGGTGTTGGAATTGTCAATATGCTTTGTAAGAATGGCAAGCGGGAGGATGAAATGTGTGAGATGAGATACTCTCATGCACCAGAGTCGTTCAATGCTCTCCATCATGCCAGTACCGAGCTCAATAATCTTGTCATAGTGGCCGTAGGCATAGAGGGGGATCATGGCATAACTCCAGTAGATATTGTAAGGGCGATCTGCTCGCATAGAATGCCGACACACATGTTCCATGTATTCAATAGTACTGTGCTGATCGTCCGTCATGATGAGATCGGGGTTCCTCCACGAAGTTTTGCCTTGTAGTGCTCGTGTTACTTGCTTGACAGCTATGAGAAGCACTCCTGCCCGAACATCCCGCGTCCAATCTAAGATCTCATCGGGCGTCTCTGTGCAAAAGGTCTCAATTTCGGACATATCCTGGCCCAGATACAAACGGGTGGCTGCCATCAATCCGAAACTAGTGAGCATCAAATACGGATCATTTGAGTTGAAAGCATATTCCACAGACGTCTCAATAAAGGGCAGAATCGTGCGTAATGGAACCCTAAGATGCTCAACCATGAATGACTGTAGTATGAACCCAGTTCCACGTGATGAAGGTTCTGCATAAGACTCGAAGACCAAGAGGGACAAGTCACTCATGCTGGCTGCAAATTCCAAATCCTTATGGCGACTGTATGCTGCCATAGCTAGGTGACAACAAGCCAAGCCCACTTGCGAAAAACGGCCTGTGAACAAATGAAGCCTCATCATCTCAACGCCCAAATGCATGTACGTCAAGTCGTCGCCCCAAAAGGCTACAGCCATGGCTTCCGCAAGCACAAGTCCCAAAGCAGTAACCATAGGATCTTGACTGATCGGTTGTAGGATTAGAGTCTCAAAGTCTCGGGGTTGGAGATAGTCTCTCAGCTCCTTGAAAGCAATATCACATTGTTCATATGTAGTTGGCTGGCGAATCTGAATGCCAAGCTCTTCCAACGACGATAGTAGAGCGTCCATAGCGCCGTTGAAGTCTCCAGCGAGAGTCGCAATTTTGCTTTTGATGATCCAGCCTCTTGACTTATCTGCTGCACTCCTAGCGTGTCGGAATACCTGCTCCAAAAGTGTGAGAGCCTCCTTATTGTCTTCTTGGTATGAAAGCAGCTCGGCTGTTGAATTGTGGAGTTGTAAGGTCTCCTCGTAATCCACATCAGGAGCCTTTGCATCCCAGCAGTTAGGCTGTAACAGCTTAAGAGCGTGACGTGAGTACATAAGTGCGGTGGGTCGGGCGCCAAGAGATAATGCAATCCGCGCAGAATTCAGAAGAACCTTCCTATAACGATGTCGGTTTCTGACTCGTTTCCGGATCAAGTCTGTGGATTGACAGATATGGTGCGACTTGGGGTACATCTCGCCCTCCCTTGTGCAATACTTCATCATGGTTTGAGCAATGACAAAATGCATCTTCTCGACATTGTGACATTCGCTCAATGTCCCAACAGCTCGAGCGAATCGATCATGTGCGAATCTATCACTTTGTGTTAGAAAATTGTATACCCAACAAACTCAAGGCAGTCCATACCGAAACTCATCATCACTGTCCCCTGGTAAAACAATATACCCTTGTACAAGGAATTGAAGCCCAGAAACAGCTTCAGCTTCAGAACGAGGCGCAAATGCCTTCGATAAAGGCGTAAGATTGCATTTGATACCATCACCATCATCGTACCAGAACTCTCCCTCCATTAGTCTCTGTATGAGCGAAAATGAGAACGGACTTCCAAGGAAGGCTGCCCAAACGAGAATTGCCAAAGCAGACGGAGGAAACTCTTGGAATCTCTTCAAAATGAAATCCGTCCCCAAGCTGTCGCCGTACTCGGGTGAGACAAATTCTGTAAATATGCGATCGATATCAAACTCCCATCTGCTATTCTTCCAAGAATACCAGATGCAATTCTTCCGATAACAGGTTTCAAGCATCATGCGCATAAAGAAGGGGTTTCCTTGACTTTTCTCAATTACCACGACGGAGAGTGGAGTTTGTCGAGGATCCGGTTCCAGTTGCATTGTAGCCGATACGAATCTTGCAACATCTTCTTCAGAAAGAGGGTGTAGCTCGATTTTGGTGATGCTCGGGGTTTCCGCATTGAATAGAGTTAGCATGTCACGCGACTCAATTTCCTGCTTGCGTGCAGCAAGAATAAGTAAACAGGGAATTCTTGTCTTGCAGATATTGCCTATCAAGTCTGATGACTCGTCATCTGCATATTGAAGATCGTCCAAGCAAACACAGATGAGTTTCTGAGAGCACAAATGACGGAGAATTTCCAGATACATCTCCATTAAGCGCATCGTCTTGTTAGATGAGCTTGAAGTAAATATATCTGCCGGGACTGTCCCGTGAAGGAAGCTGGGCCGCTTGGGGATTTCGGTTTTGGAGTTTTCCTTCAAAATATGTTGCGCAACGCCCATCTTCGGGGAAATAGGTTTGTCCTTCTGGTCATTTGATATCAACTGCTCTGGCAGATCGAGCACCTGGTGGAGGGTTGGCCAAAGTGGCCGAAGAAAAGAACGGAGGTTGTTATGATACTCTGTAGTGACGTCTCGCTCAGAGAATATTTGGCGTAGAAGACTAGCCAAGATTTTGGCAAAGGGTTCAAAAGGGATCCTTCTAGCGCGATCAAGTCGTGCTACCCCGATATACCCGAGTTTTCGAATAGCTGGCTGCACGCGTTGGATGAGATCGGTCTTGCCAATACCAGGATTTCCAGTTATTGTGATAACCTCGCAGTGCCCACTACGCCTGACCTTGTTAGCGGCTCTGTGCCGACTCATAGGGTTCAATGTTTCCATGGGGCTGAGGCCGGTGTTCGCGGAGAGATGAGTAGAGTCTCGGTCGCCGCTATCACCGAGGCTCCTATGATCTGCAGAAGAAGAACCTTTTGTTCGATGCATCGGGCCAAACCCTCTTTGAGTCGATAGAGAGGATTCAGTACTGTGCACAGAGTCGCGAGTAGGTACGTGATTAAGGGCAAGTGGGCCCGCGGTTGAGTTGTGTCTTGAAGGAACATAGTTCAAGGAGCCAGAGTCACTCGATCCTTCGCCAAAGTCAAAACTATCTATTCGACTTTCAGATATAGATGACGCCGAGCCGCCAAATGCACTGAGATTCGCCTGAGCGACCATCTTGGCATACAGAGCTTGTTGCCGGCGATGAACTTTCTCTGCAATGTTCATTATCTTCTGGAACTCTTCCTCCCTACCAAACATCTGAGACGGAAGAGTGAAGAACGAGGAAACATCATTTTTAGCAACTTCGAAATTCTTTAGCGCATTGAAGTCTCCATTTCCAAGCAGCTTCACGATCTGCTCGAGATCCTTCTTCACGGCTGTAATGGTGTGGTATCGGTCAAGAAGGCCTTTCTGGGTCATCTTCGCAATAACAGCAGAAACAGCATCTGGAATGTCCATGCGCTTCGAAGAGACCGGCGGTAATTTTCTGCCAAGGACATTCTGTACCACGTCCATCGGAGTGCTGCCAGTGAATGCCGGTTTGCCTACGAGGATGATCCAGAACAGGACCCCCAAGGCATAAATGTCGGTTCGACTATCTGGTTCTGTGGGCATGCGCCCAGTTTGTTCTGGAGCAATGAACTGTAATTTCGTTTTCACGCCCACCTCGCGTGATAATGCCGACCAGCCTTCGCCCAGCGCATTGTCAAAAGACCTCGCACCGTTTCCCATGTTCACCAATTTGACTTTTCCGTTACAGCGATTGAAATGGAAAGCATCCGGACGGATCTCGCCATGTATAGTTTTCAACCCATAGTGCAAGATTTCCAAGCAGTCGCAGGCACCTATAGCGAAATCTAAAAACACGGATAACGAGGCCTGCTCTCCCGGGGTCGTGTTGCTGCTACTTTCGCTAAAGGTGCCGGTGCCAAAACTGAACCAGGCGGGACCGAAAGCGACGAGATCCTTGAGGGAATTGGTACCAGGTGTTTCGGGCGACTCATATATGGATACAAGGAGAGGACCGGGGTCGCCGGGCTCAGGCGGGAGTCTCACAATATCCACAGGGCGAACGGTATGATTGCAATCGGGATCAGAAACCTGAACAATTGTACGCAACATGTGAAACTCCCTTTCGAGGCGAACGACATGGGACGAAACACGGGCTACGACGGGAAGGAAGGTCGGCTCTTGTTCGGTGCGTAGGGAGGAAAGTTCGCTGCTCGATTCACTGAGGCTACTTCGCCAATGGTGACGGAATGGGGGCCGAGAATCTATCCGCGGAGAATCTCGCGTTGTACTGGGCGTCCCCGAAGACGTCGCGGTCGGCGTGGAGATGTCATGGTCAGAGGTCTGGCGTATTCCCGCGACATACCAGTTATCATACGTCGAATGGATCGGCTCGATCGCCTGGTCCCATATGTAACCTGGTAGCAGTGCCAGGCGCTCAAAGAGCCGCGCAGGAGGCAGCGGAAGGTCGTCACCAAGAATATAATCCTCTTCCATATCAAGATCACTTGTGTCCTAGAACCTTGCTGTATCCGGCAATTGCTAGTCCATCACTGAACAGATCTGATACTCGGAAGCTCCGGACGGACGGGGATGGACTTTTGTTCGATATCTTTTACCAATATATGCAATGCGGGCAGCCTCGTAATGAAGAGAATGTCTATTCTGAACGGTTCTGTGTGTTTGCGTGAGTGTGTGTGTGCGACAGGCTGGTGATACCTTCAATAACTTTTCTTTTCGAGAGGCCTTCGGTACCTGTCGGTTGACGACTTTTGAGAGGTTCCTGCCAAAGATGGTAAGGAAATGGACCAGTGGCGAGGAGAAGTATGGGGTAGGTAGGGCTCGCGGGTGGTCACCTGTCATTCAAGCGAGAAGCGAGAAGCGAGAATGCTGCACTCGGAGAACAGGATCTAGGTAGCTGTCAACAGAAAAAGAGGATAGAACGACAGCCGCGACGATTTGTTGTACGTACACCAGACGAATGTTTTGTGAAGAGGGAACTGCTGACTACTGATTAGTGAAGGTGGACTGACGGGAACGGTAAGGTGGTGCACCTGTACCATTGGCCAACCCACACTTAGCGTCGAGTAGCGCATGCGTCAAAGCGCCGATGCGATCACCAAGGCCGGAGTCACCTGACTTGAATACTAAATGCCTGAGGCTCTTCACTGTCGATGCCAAGACCTGTGATGGCGGTTAGTGAAGTGGTACTCTCTAAGAATTCCGGGGATCACGAATATGCTCTACCGTCGAATCAGTTGATAACTATACATTACCTACTCCGTAGCTCCTAGACTACTAGGCACGCGGTGCGCGGTGCGCGGAAGACAATATATACGTAGCGACTACATACCTCGATCTGCCCTCACGGAAGTCGACTTCCACCTCAGCATCATCATGCCTTGCGAAAGAGACCGACTTAAGGAGTGTCGATTGCCTTCTTTTCGTCTGCAAAACAGGAACATGGTTTATGACGTCGGTTGGGTCGACCTTCTAGACTCTGGCGATCCTTCTTTGGGCCTTCCCATTTTGATCGTGAGCTGACATCATCTGCAGCTGGGAAGTCTGGTCATAAAAAGGCATTCATTCAAGGCCACTGAAACCCAGTACATACGGCTACTATATAAGGCATCAAGGCACTAACTTACACTATGCTCGCTTTGTTTACATAGTACTCTGCCGACGGCCCGCGGGATTCCGTAGTGACGACGTCACTTGTAGTTCGTAGTTCCTGGCATGAGACAGTTATTCTTGCCCCGTTTTTAAATGCCGTTGTTGCCCCAATGTGTTCATCCCCGTCCGGCCTGTGGAAATGGATCTCCCATGGATCATGATTGGCCAGATAGTTGGATTTATGATGGTTCTGGTAATCGGTCTCAAGATGGCTTCAATATACGGAGCATTGCTTTGAAAGGCTCTCACAGAAACAAAGATCGAAGGCTCTTCATCTTGACCAGCCAAGAACTCAAATATTAGTGCTACAGCAGTTCTTCGTGACCGCGCCTTCTTCGCGTGGCTGGGGATAGAGATGAGCTTCTCTGTGAACATGCGCGACACTGACACTCTGGATCTGATTGGCCAATGCCAATGTCCGTACAACATCCATTGTGTACTATGTAACTACTCGGGAGCGCCAAGCACAACCTCCTTGTTTGGCATCGAACTCGTGGATCGGATTCTCAGGAGATCCCCTCTGGCCGAAAACGTGACACAGATCAAATTGCCCTCCTTGTTTCCATGCTGGTTACTGGTGGGGAGGATCGATAAGATGCTTGTCCCGGTACAATCTGAGATTCTCGTCCAGGAGCAGAGTTATCAGGACATGAAGCATCGATGCCATTGCTGCGGTTTGGAGACAGTGGGTGCTACTAAATCTGATATCAAGGACACCAACCTCAAGCTCAGGCCAGGTATGCGTGGACTTGGAAAGAAGGAGAATAAGGGAAATGGCAGCGATATCCTTCACGATATATACGATTGGATTCTTGCTGGCGGTGTGGATAGGTTTCAGTTACATACACCACCTACATAGTCTAACCCAACTCAGGTGGGTGGGTATACATTCGGGTCGGATGGATGACGAAACTCGTGCCGTGCAGGTTACACTCTTTTCTCGGCAGACTTCGGTCAATGCTATGCCAAACACACAATACATATTGCTCAGCTCACCGAGACAAACATGGTTTGTTTTAAGATCAAAGAAGACAACCAAGTAGCTATCTTGGATGGGAAGAGATATTAATAATGCGGCGCCCGTCTGGCTGTGAGTGTGCGGTGGTCGGGGCAGTGTGGGGGGGGACCTAGTCATAACGTCGCTCTTGATTGGCTGGCAATTAAAGCCTTCAAGCCTCGCAGCCTTGAAAGAGCTTAGCACTGAAGTCTGACGGTAAACCCGACAGCCTCGCTGCTGGCGCAGCTCAGGAATTTAAAATAAACAAAAAAAGCCACTATTATTATGGAGAAGTATTGATTCCTCCTACCTCATAGAGGCGAGCGAAGAGCACATGATCTGTGGATAGACGCATCGTCGATTGGCCGCCTCTCTGGGGAAGCCGCCGCCAATGGGAAGGGACCTTCGTTGCTTTCCTTTCCCTTTTCTCTCGCACCTGACGCGCTAGCCCATAACGGGCCTAGCACCTCCAGCCCAGTTACGTCATAGCCCAGGCCAGGCCAGACAGACAGGCGCCTTCCCTTTGCACCGTCCACTTTCCAGAAAAAATGCAGAACCAAGTATCCGTAGACCAGAGTAGCACTAGGAACAACACCACGATCTGCCGCCACTTAATCCCCATCTTGAACCTATCCCAACTTACTAGCTAGCTAATATTGATCTCGCTCCTTTGCCCTGCACACACTCATCCAACCCGGTACGATCTCGTCCCCTCTCCCCGTCCCCGTTGGCTAACTTGTGGCCGTGTGCAGATCTTGCCATTCCGTTCTACTGACACTCCCCCGTTTGAGGCAGAATATTCACTTGTCTACACACTACACACTACACACTACACACTACTACTATACACGCTGTGCTCAGTCTCATCCTAGCGTGTTTCCTACACCTCGCCTGCGTCGTTCTTAATTACTCTTCGCCTCCGTCCGCCGATTCATGGATTCTGCCAGCGACCCATCTGTGTCCTGAGCACCCTGGGTACTCTCCCAGCACAAGTAACACCAGCAATCGCAGTCGGAAACCCAAGCGATGCCTGTTATACTGTGTCGTTCATATCAAGCACTTCGAAATATCCAGTAACTCACGCATGATAGAACAAAGGAGGAGTGGAGGAGGAGACTCAACTCGCGGACACCATGCGGCGGAATCCAGCCCGCCTAACGCCTACCAAGGCTCCTTCCCCGTCTGCCGGCCCTCCATCGCATAGTCGCAACTCATCGCGCACAGAGTCTTTGCTACATATCACTGCGACGATTTCTGAGACTTCGCCAACACAGGATGGAACTTTCGATCCTCTATCCGATGCTGCCGCAGATGCGTCCTACACCGCACAGAGTAATGCTCGAAGACTGGAGGAGTTGAAGAGACAAATGGAGCAGACTCTGATGAATCAGCAAGCGCAACACCACCACCACCACCACAAGTCGCCCAAGGCAGGAACAGGAACCGAAAGAAGCCGGAGTCCCACGCGCATGCAGATCCCTTCTCCGGGTAGCGGCCCCCGTACGGCAATCAGCTCGAAGCCTCAGTCGCCATTCGATGCTCCTCCTCATACAGGATCCAACGGATCAGCTACCACTGTCAAGGGTTTGCCCGGCAGGACGCCGGATATTCATGTTCCCAAAACCCCGTCTTATCCGTTCCCATTAATGCCAGCTTTACGAAATCAGCATGCAACAACAAATGGTCAACTACAATCGGATGCCGCCGCGCAGAATGCCAGCAGTCGAATGAAAGAAAAGTCTAAGTCTAAACGAACCGCGTCCAAAGCTCCCGGCACCATTGATATGAGCTCTCCTCCGAAGATCAAATCTGGCTCTCACATGAGCTTCTACCTGCCAGAAAGTGCTAATATATCCGAAGATCCTATGTACCCAAGCCCCAATCTCTACAACGTGATATTGAAACTCAACTCCGAGCCGGGACTGGAAGCATGGTGGAAAAACGTCATTGATATTCTTCAGACTCATTACGGAATGGAGAGAGCATCTCTTGCCGTTCCTGGCGATCCTACTGATCTGGAGAATGTCCCATGGGGCCAGAAAGCCAGCTTCAATCCTAACGAACTTTTCGATGTGGCCGATCCTACAGCATCATCGTCAGACGCGCTGACTGCCTTCAATGAAGGTGCCGTGCAGGAGGAGGAGGAAAAGGACGACGCCTCGTCGAAAAGAGAGGATCTCGGAAACACACCGACTCAAAAGAAACACTCGTCTTCTAAGAGGCCATCGTTACTAGCGCGGCATTCTTTTGCTGGGTTTACCCGAGACCGGAAGAGCGTTGGCACCCCTTCCATCAGCGGTACTCCTGCTAAATCTACCTATGAAGTTTCACCTACAGTCTCATCAATAGGGTACCCGACGAGTAGCGGTGCCGAGTCCCCGCCTTCATCGACTTTTGTATCCCAGGACAATGATATGAAATTGGGCCTAGGCCCTGGGGAACCTCCTGCCCCTAGAGCCTCATCTTCAATGGCCGTTTTTACTATCCCCCGGGACCTAGAAGCAGAAAACCAACCTTTAGTGAAATCAACGGGCATCGTGAAACTCTTCGGCCGAAACAAACCCGCAGTGTTGACTCGAGAATATGCGTATGACCCGGCAGCGCCTTCGTCGTTCGAAGCTGATGTGACCGCCGCGGTACAGAGTCCGAGTGACGTACTACAAGCGACCCCAGCTAGTGAACCGTCACCTTCCATTCGTCCAGAGCCGATCAAGGTCGATAAAGACCATAACGTTATACCACCACCACAGACTCAAGGCAGCAGGGTGAAATCATCAGCGCTCAATCCACATGTTTTGTCGCACAAGAAAGATTCTCCCGGTCAACATGCATTTCCACTTTACGAAGAGTATGAACAGGTTCCAAGCTCACCATGGTCTCAATCTCCAGCGCCATCACCGGCCCCGCGGGTAAATCCAGAGCAAAATCCATTTTTCATGAACCATGCTGTAGATGAAACAGCTTTCGCGCAGGATCCTCCACCCCACGACTATGCTCAGGCGCAACCAGTTGCTGCAATTGGCGTGGACAGGTCAAAGAGTGTCGTTCATGTCCCTTTAATATACGCAGGTAATACACAGGAGCTCACGTCGGAGACGGTTAGGTTTCCTGTGGCTGTTCTCTCTTTTCTATCACCAGTTGTCCCGTATCCGGCAAATTTGAGGTCCTCGCTGTTGTACCTGATGCCCCATCTTACTTCATCCTATTCGCTGGCCCACCAGTACAGTCAGCTCGAAAGACAACTGGTCCCTGGAGTCTACAAACCCCGCTTTGGACATCTTCTCGGTCTTGGTGGCACATTCTCGGACGCGAGCAGCGAGCTTGAGCTGGTAGCTGGCCTTAGCGGCCAAGCAATGACGGATGGTGGTTCCATGTCAGCGCGAGCTAGCGTATCTAGTCCTGATGAAGTTTCCAATGCTTCAAAATTCAGCCCCTCTCTGTCAATCGTGGGCACACCTGCTATCGACAATGTGAGTACAGGTCCTGCCAGTGAGCCAGGCACAACACCGGCGATAGGACAGAATGTCGATCAGAGCGATGGATACTTCAACCTTCACCAAGTGCGAAACTCCGCTGCTCCTCTTACCGCTCGTAGTCGGGGATCAAGATCCAGACAGAATCTCTATCCGTCAATCCCCGTTTCACCGAGCATCGCTCGATCGAAGTCGGTTCGTGAAGAAGATTGGCTGGGCCGGGACTCAAGAACCACTGATCAATCTCATGATAGCGGACGGCCAACACCAGCCTCTGCTCCCACTCGCAGTTCGTCTCGAAACGCCTCGACTACATCAGTGATTGCGCAGTTACAGCGAGAAGGTGTCTCTATTTCTGAACATATATTCCAGCTGATGCTTAATTCAGTACCATTACACCTTTTCTTAGCCAAAGCGTCATCTGGTGAGGTGTTATGGACCAATTCCAAGTTCGACGCTTACCGTCGAAGTCACCCGCAAGAGCAGTCAATTAGAGACCCTTGGCAAAACGTACATCCCGAGGAGGTGGAATCTCTATCGAAGCAGTGGCACAAGGCTCTCCAGACAGGATCTCAGTTTACTGAAAGAGTACGGGTAAAGCGATTCAACGATGATAATGCCTATAGGTGGTTCATCTTCCGCGCAAATCCGTTGCTATCTCAAACAGGGCAAGTTGTTTCATGGATTGGATCGTTTCTGGACATACATGAGCAGCACGTGTCCGAGTTGCGCGCCGCACAGGAACGCGAGACTTTTGCAACTAATGCGAAGTACCGTGCCCTCGCCAACTCGATCCCTCAGATCGTCTTCGAAGCGACCGAGCTTAGAGGATTGATCTCAGCGAACGAACAGTGGCATCTGTACACTGGTCAATCCATCGAAGAGGCAATGAATTACGGTTTCACAGCGTATATCCATCCCGACGATTTGGAAAAATGCGGTATATTGTCATCAGAGATCTTTAGAGGGAGAACTTCAAGTGACGTGGCTTCGAAACATCCCGATGTTGGCCCTCTCAAATTATTCGCTAATGGGGTGACTCCCGGCTTAATTGAGCTCGTCAACCAAGGTATAGTCAATTCTCAGCAAGATGAAAATGGGCGTATCTTCTACACTACTGAGCTCCGAATACGGTCTAAAGGCGGTGGTTATCGCTGGCATCTCGTGCGACTAGTCAAGGTGGAAACTAGCAACTTTGGAGATGACGAGGCATCGTGGTATGGCACTTGTACTGATATCAATGATCGGAAGCTTTTGGAACGCGAATTGAACAAAGCGATGCAAAAGTTGAACCGAGAGATGGAGTCCAAGACAAAGTTCTTCAGCAATATGTCTCATGAAATCAGGACACCATTGAACGGTATACTTGGAACAATCCCGTTCATTCTCGACACAACGCTAGACCATGAACAGCGTCGCATGTTGGATACCATTCAGAACAGCTCAACCAATCTTCGCGAATTGGTTGACAATATTTTGGATGTCTCGCGAGTTGAAGCTGGGAAAATGAATATGGTCAAATCCTGGTTTCACCTTCGCTCTGTTCTCGAAGATGTCATTGATACCGTTGCGCCCAGAGCCATTGACAAGGGTCTCGAAATCAACTATCTCATGGATACCGATGTCCCTGACATGGTTATTGGGGATAGATTCCGTATACGACAAGTACTCATCAACCTCATGGGTAATGCAGTCAAATTTACTCCACATGGAGAAATCTATACTCGATGCTCTGTTTACCGTGAACCCGGAGTTCCACTCAGAGATACCGAGTTATTGCTCAATTTCGAGGTTGTCGATACAGGAAAAGGTTTCAGTAACACGGATGCTCAGAGATTGATGCAACGGTTCAGTCAGCTTGGCGGAAATGGATCTCAGCAAAATGCTGGCAGCGGACTTGGACTTTTCTTGTCAAAGCAGTTGGTCGAGATGCACGGTGGTAAACTAACCCCTAGCAGTAGAGAGGGACAAGGCGCCAAGTTTTCCTTCTACATCAAAGTCGATGCACCTCCGCAAGTACCAGAGCCCCCGTTGACACGACGGTCATCCGATATGTCCGAGGCTGCAACGGCTGCATCTCAGGGAAGCTCCCAGCTTCGCATTCCTTTGCATTCAACCAATTCCACCGATTCCAAAATATTCAGTCTCCAGGATTTATCTCCTGCTCTTGATATGTCTCCCTTGACTGAACTGTCTGGCAGCCCTGATCCTTCTATACGTTCCGGGTTCCATTACCGAACCGGCTCATCAGTCTCTTCAGCAGTAGCGACTCCGGACTCTCTGGCTCCGTCCGAGTTGGGACCAAAGATCAGACCATCTCCACTAGCCCAGGACTTCTCGTCTGCGGACACCAATGAGAGCAACGAGACATTGGTACAGTCTACGCCTACCATTGAGAAGGCCTTGGGACCTAGTTATCTTCGACCAGTTATCTACTCTGTTCTTATCATTTGTCCTCTTGATCATGCTCGAGATGCTGTGAAGCAGCATATTGAGCAGGTCATACCTCTTGAAGTCCCTGCAACATCAACAGCGCTCGCCGATCTAGATGACTGGAAAGATTTGAGAGAGACTAGTAGCTCGGTTACGTTTTCGCACGTTGTCTTGGATTTCCCTGGCGGAGACGAAATCATGGAGGCGTTGCAGTATGTGCTAACCTCTGATATGAAAACGAAACCGTCGATTGTCATTATATGCGATTTGTACCAGAAGCGACAGATCAGCGGCAAGATTGAAGAATTGATATCAGCCGAATTCAGGGTTGATACTGTACCAAAACCCGTCAAACCTTCAGCGTTTTCCCGGATTTTCGATCCCGACAACAGACGTGATTTGAGCAAGGACCGTAATCAGGATATGGCACGAGAGGTTAATAACAACTTCAAGACAATGTCCAAAATGGTCAAAGAGGTCATTGGAAACAAGGGATACCGGATTCTACTGGTTGAAGATGACGAGACTAATCGTATGGTAAGTATTTGCCTGTCCTCAATTTCTCTCCCATCGGCTAAACTTCGATTAGGTCATGTTGAAATACCTGGATAAGGTCAAAGTGGTTTCAGAAACGGCGAGCAATGGACAAGAATGCTTGGACATGGTTCTTTCTCACGAGCCAGGCTACTATTCCTTGATTATTGTAAGTTGAATGTGTCGTTTAATGGTCTGGATCGAGCTAACTGAGATAGTGTGATATTCAAATGCCTATCAAGAATGGATATGAAACTTGTCGGGAGATCAGAGAGTGGGAAGCCAAAAATCACTTCCATCAAATCCCTATTATGGCGCTGTCTGCCAACGCGATGACCGATCAAATCGACGATGCTGCTCGGGCCGGATTTAACGATTACGTGACCAAGCCAATTAAACACAATGAGCTTGGCAAGATGATGATGAATCTCCTTGATCCTAATACGCCTGGAACTCTACTACGAGATCGCAAAGATTGGCGGCAACAAAAAGCTTAGTATAATAATAGCTTACACTGTTTACGCTCTCGTCCTTTGCGTCCTTCTGAGATCGATGATTTCAACTTGAAGAAGACCTTCATTACGATGTCGGCCATCTGTTACATTATATATACATACATAAGGCGTTTGCACGAGCGGATGGTGTCTGGGACTGGATTATAATGCCGTTACTGTTACATGACTTCGCTTCTTGTATTACCCTTTCACATACCCATGCGTTTTGTCTTACCTTTACTTTTGCCTTTCTGTTCCTGGCATGGCATCTATGCGTCTTCGACTTCAATTTTCTCTCCCCTCTAATTCTTGGGTAATATCATGTATATGAAACTCGAAATGCGTGGGATTTTTGTCTTTGTTATTGTTTTGGGGGTTTACTATAAGCGGAGAAAGCATTTTTAAACACGCTGCATGGGATGCTTTTGTTGGGAACAGAATTTGCTTTGTTCTATTGTCTCGTGGGACTTTACATGCATATAATTGGAGTTTATCAAAGAATATACTCGCTGTTTAGCGGAGATACCTAGGTTTGTCGACCAGGCTAACCTCTCCCTATAGACTGCTCTTCCAAGGTTAAAGACCATTCTCGGAGATGAAATCATTCCAATTATCCAAAATAGCATCCTTCTCAACCCCCTTCCACAACTCATCAACCCGTTCAGCAACTCTCGTCGTAAGCGGTCCTCTTCTCAACCCTTCCAATGTAGCAGTCAACTGATCACCAGACCTCGAGCCAACGATAATACCATCCCCATTCTCCCCATCGAGATACGAATGATACACAATCCACCTGTACGCCAACTCAGCCTGCGAGATACCTTCGTCGCGGGCCAATTTTCCGAATTCAGCGAGAAATTCCAACATGGATGGTTTATTGTATAGCGCATGCATCATCTTGCCAAATATCTGACTCGTATCAAACCTCCCTTTAGCATTCGCAATGTCTCCGGGTGTCTTGGTCAGAAATCCACCTGCAATAGGCGAATACGCGTAAAACGCGATGCCGTATTTGCGTAGGATGGGGAATAATTCGGTTTCTATTCGTCGGCCCACGGCGTTGTAGTTTCCTTGGTATACGGAAGGGAGGACGAAGTTGTTCTCTAGAGCGGTGCGGTAGACTTCCTTTACTTGGGCGGGAGAGAAGTTTGACAGGCCGAAGCGTTTGAATTTGCCGGATTTGTGGGCTGCGTTGATGCCGGAGAGGGTGTCTTTAAGGGGGATGCGTTTGTCGGGGGCGTGGATGTAGTATACATCTACCTGTTATCCATCAGTATTCCTTTTATGCTAACCCTAGCAACCCGGGATGAGAAGGGGGATACGAACAGAATCAGTATCGAGTTTCCTCAAACTCTCCTCCACAGCCTTAACAACATTCTCTCCACTGGCTTCCACACGCGACAATCCACCTCCAACTTTCGTGTCAATCACGAACCCACGAGAGGCCGCTTTGGCTGCACCGAGTAATTCTTCACTATCCCCGTAGACCTCGGAACTGTCGATGGTTGTGATACCTTCCTTTTCAAGGTAGTCGAGAACTTCGCTGACATTAGTTGCGGTAGAGCCGTATTGGGTGTTGAATGAGGCGCCACCGTAGATGATTTTGACGTTTCTTGTCATTTTGATTTTTCTTTCGGTAGACAGCGGACTAAGTGTGTACCCTTTTTGTCTTGGGGTAGAGATAGATTCTGGTCGTCTACTCCTAGAGTTTATATACATTGTTTCGTTAGGTTTCTAGATGATACCATTGGTGCCATTAATAATCTCACGGTTTATCAGAATCAGTGTTGACGTCGGGAAAATGGGAAATCACCGGACTAACTCCGTATCATCATAGAATTCAAGCGCAGGGTATCCGGATATAAGATTCGAAGATAATGAAGATTAATAATTCTAATAATTCAGTATCCTCACTGCGTGTATTGTGAGGGTTTCAATGAGTAGAAATAGGGGTTGGTGAGTTTGTATCCATACAGAACTACCAGTTCGCCCTAAAAAGCTATCTAGAAGCCGGCGCTCGGGAGTAACTACTTGGCTCGGAATCAAGACAGTAGATAGCCAACTATAAATACTTATGTCATGGACAGTTATTGGTGCTATATTGTCTGCTTGATATGTTGGCAATCTACATGTATCTCAACATCAATTGATACCATTTCTTGATTATTCTTGAGACCTATTTCCGGTACTATAAGGTACTAGTATGTTGAAAACGGCCATTGCCAGTGTTTGCTAAGTTGATGATTATCAAGCCGCTTCTTACTACGCCCTGTCAAAGACCGTCTATTTCCTGACGTTCATGAACATTGGGAGTGTGACGACGAGGGGATACACCATAAACAGCTTAGGGCTCAGTGGCGGGGATCACCGTTCGGTATCAACATCGGGATACCGCGTGCTTATCAACAAAGGATCTCGGATTTACTACAGTAGAACCTGACTATAACGAACAGAAGACCTCTCGGGTCCCAAGTCAATCTACCTAGAAGTAAGTTCGGTTTAGGGATATAGGGCACCTTCAGTATACATCTATTCTAATGTTTGTAGATAGGATACTCTTCAGTCCCATATTAAAGTAATCCAAGCTCAGATCAGTGAAGATATGACGCAGCCTTCCTTTCGTTATAGCCAATTGGAGCGAGCAAAGGAAAACTCACCCAGCTTGGCTTGAAGAATCTCTAGATATATCAAGTGTAAGATTAAGCCCCGATATTTTTTCTGGATGTCAATCTTACATTTGCAGAGAATCAGCCAAGAGAATTTCTTCCCAGCAACCTGAATTGGAGCACGAGAAAATGGCCAGACGTTTGAAATTATCTGGCAAACAGTCATATTCGTGGGAAGGAAAGTTGAAAATGATGGAAATAGGAAGTCATATTATTACAACCACGAAATAAAAGAGACAAGGTCCCCTCCATTGAGACAGGTCACGTTGCTCGAGAGTTTTGCATCAAAGAAGGCGCTTTAAGTCGATGGATAGACAGTGAATTGATCTCTACATTACCCATTAGCCGAGTCGCCTGCACGAAAGACAGCAGCTTCAAGACCAACGTGATACCCAAGAAGCATCAGGTCAAGATGCTTGCTCAATCCTTCCTACGCCGATAGAAGTTGGAAGCGAACAATTTATCCAGGAGAGTACGGAAACACCTGATCAAAATTATGTCGTTAGATAAAGGCACAAAATTCTTTCAGTGGCGTTTCAGAGATCTCAGACAGATTGGAATATTTACCAATCGTGACTTAGATTATGTTTGTATCTTTTCCCTCATGGTATCATTCAAGATCACTAAGTTGTTCTAGGTGGAAATTTTTGATCGCCCAGTCCATTTTATCGACAGATCCAGCAAATGGAAGAATGCACATACGTATGAAGACGCTTAGACTATCGCGGGTTAATGGAACTAGATTAAAATTATCCGTACAAAGGAGGACCAGCTCAATGGGCCATTCTTCTGACCTTTTATGAAGGCTGCCAGGTTCTCTCCCCCTTGCGCTCTCATTACGCGGAGCTTCTACGACAGACGTGACTACATCAAGTATATATCTGTCTTCCACTACCTTCCAGTGACCTAAATACCTAGGTACATAAATCTTCCTGCAAAGTGGAGGAGAGAAAGAGCCTCGAAAGGAAAAGAAGACATCTGGAGAGCGCTACCTAAGGCATATCCAGAACTCGACGAAGGGGTATCTGGATATGCGATCAAAGATATCGAGAATTAATAATTCAATATCCACCACCGTGTCATACTGCGTGTATATTGTGAGGTTTTTATCAGTTGAAACAGGGGTTAGCAAGTCCTGTATCCACAGACGCACAGGAGAACTAGGTAGGTAGTTACCAATTAACCCTAAAACCAAGATAACCGTTGCACAGTTCATCGGCAATAGCTACTTCGTTCGGCAATGGAGACAGTGGATACTGTCAACTATGAATACGAATATCTTGGGCCAGTGTAATTGTGTAGCCTAGCAGCAGTGTCGCCTGCTCCAGCATCTATGTTCATCTCAAACGTACCCGGTTTGGGAGGAAACCCTAAGCGGGCCATACTCGATCTGCACTGCCTTTTTGAGAGCATCTGAGGAAGACTTGTTATTATTCACCACACAAACAGAAGAGACTCACTGAGTGCACGAGGGATTCCATGCGAGAAAAGTATGGAAGGTGCACTCTGTTTGGCCTATTACTTATTTAGGAAGTTTGCATCTCGACCTCATGCCGAGTTTTGTGCAAGTTCTCTCTTTGAATTTGCTGATATAGGAGGAGAATAACTTTTCTATAAAAGATCGCTATGACTAAACAATCACAAAGGAAATAATACAAAGCATGGTGTAATCACAAACGACACCATCCCTTACACATCCACAAGCACCTAGGGAGATATCTACCTCATCTCATGATAGTTACTCTCCCGATCAACATCCGATATCGACATCAAACCATTAGACTGATAGTACTTCCCATCCTTGCGACCCTTCATCGCTTTTGCCAACTCACGCCATTCACTCCTCCAAATCAATCCCGGATGAAACACCGTCAAAGCAATCACTGCAATAGAGATCATCGCACCCTCAAGGATCATGAATGTAACCTCATCATTAGCCAGAGACCCATTGAATCCGTCAGAAAGTTCTGCGCAACGGAACACGGAACGAATAAAGATTGTCAATGTGGCAATTCCGAGAGACCACAGGAACAACTTGAACGAGCGCGAGGCACGTAGGGACTCATATTGTGGATTAAAATCCGCGGCTCGCGCACGGCGGACGCGAAGCGCAAAGTCGGTACAGAGGACTGCAAAAATGGCGAGACTGAATACTTGCCATGAGACACCGGCTATCATGATGTTGATACCGGTTTGTTGTGTAGAGCCGGTGGCGCTTGCTGCGATACCACCTCCGGCTGCTTGAAGCAGAAGAGCGATGAAGTCGCCTGCAATGAAGAGGTAGGTGTACACTTTGGGACGGAAATAAGATATTCTAGCACCGTAGACGATGACAATTCGAGAGAAGCAGAGGTAGATAGCGGCCGAAAGGAAGGCGGGAGCAATTGTCAGGCAGACCAGATACCTGTCCTGTCAGAAGAGGCCGTAAACCGAAAAGCCAAAGTTCGGAACTTACTCAAGAAATGGATCCATGGGAAACGGATTAAAATGCATTTGCACTCGTCCAATATATCCAATGATCTCACCAACTAAGCCGCCAATCATGGCGACCAGATAAGTCCATGTTTTGTAGTAGATGCCGAATCCTATTTGCAGCAATAATGCAAGGGCGAAGATGGCGATGTATAAGACGTTGCCGCCGAGTGAAGGGATGTAGTCAACATGAGCCCAGTTTAATGGGCAAGTATCGAGTGTGCATAGGTTGGTATTATTGTAGAGGGTCTCATTGAAGGTGCCTGTCGACGCGTTGAACATCTTATTTAGGGTTCGAGGTTGCCGAAAGTGTAGGAGAGAAGGATCAATTGGTCAATACTGTAGTTATTGCAATTGAGGTCCAAAATTGAAGATCAAAGAAATTCTTGATATTGTTGATGTTCTTTCTTTGTACCTCCGGGTATTCACAGGTCTCTTTATACCTACGTATCTCGGGCTTCATCTTTTTTTTTCAAAATGTACCAAAGATACAAACTAGGCATCTTCTTTTTTTTGCTTTCTTGATATGGGGTCTAAAGCCTCCATTAGTGATACTAGCTGAGCAGTGTCTGACACACTAAACAGCAGTCTGAATAGGCCCGAAATCTAAGCCTCCCTCGGGAGAACGCTAACCACCGCAAATCGGGGTACAAGATCATATCGGATCTGGTATCAATGCCCAGTTACTGTCTGTTAAATCGACCGTGATTAGCCAGATCAGATGCGGTAGCATATAATTCATTTAAGGGTTCGTATTCAGGACCTATTTTTATCCACTTTAATTGGGATGCCTGAAAAAGCTTGGCCTAAATGGGTCCTGCCCAGATTTAAACTATTGTGCTAGTTTTTAGCACTATGTACATACGAAGCACTGCTTAGCATTGTCTGCTGTCAAATTATTAATAGTGTACATAGTTGTTTAAACGAAAGTCCGCGCTTACAAATTTGGGGGAAACTGTCATGACTCGCGGACAATTGATGGACCAGCTGAGTCGTGGTTTCAACTAGGGCATTCACAGACCAACTTGCAATTGGGGTCCGTTTTTGACGTGTACAGTTAGGTAAGTTGCGTAGGCGTTAACCACTCTTTCATACTAAAGGGTAATGCGAAAACATATAGATTGACTTGCTTCGCCAAGGAGTCTTTTGGTCCTTTGGGACCTTAGCGTTTAGGCTGCTATGTTACCAATATTGATGGACTAGTTAACTAATGACTTGGATGTCTTAGTAACTGTGCACCTATCGATGGGTAAACCGACAGCGGATTATTGAGCGAATTCGCTTTGATGAAGCGTAGGGTACCCAGGGGATTATAAAGAGGCTATTATTAGATCGAGGTTATGGATAGAGTCGTGGTGGACATAGGCGTCGATTCTGAGAATAGATGTATGATTCAAAGGACAATGTTGGATGTATTGGTATGCCATCTAAGCTCCTTTACACAACTATCAACTGTGATAATAACTGACTGTTGTGAAGTACTAGATTAGCCCTAATCGACTTCCTGCGCTATTAGTTTTTATAGCGGAATCGGCTGGTTTTGGCCGGAACCGGGACTCGAGAAGTATAACTTCAATACAGCATTGCAGGAGAGAATACAGCGCCCTTACCATGAAACTATATACCCGACTTTGTTGACTTCAAAATGAGTAATCTAATTGCCGGGGATGAGGAGAAGAGCGCTCCCGTTGATGGGGATGCGATTGCTCCGACTGAAACTGCACCCGTTCCGCACACATCAAACCAAGCAGAGCAGGAGAAGAAGTCAAGTGCAATCCCTAATCTAGAGGGCAATACTGGTAACCAGTCAGGAGACTCTGAACAAGGGAGAAGACCATCAAGAGCTGCCGATGGTCCATATTGCATACTGGCGGAACGGCAAAAGGTCTTTGTGATACTTCTTTGCTCCTTTTCTGCGATGATTTCACCCATATCGAGCAGCATATACTTCCCTGCTATGAACAGTATTGGAAATGATCTTGGGGTGTCAATTAATACGATGAATCTCACTATCACGATGTATCTGGTTGGTAGAGCAAAAGACATCTCGTTCATCGGTGTGAAGTATTTGGCTAAAAGTGTGCGCAGATTTTCCAAGGGATAGCTCCATCCTTCATCGGAAACTTCTCAGATATCCATGGCCGACGGCCAGCATACCTGATCTGCTTTACAATATACCTGGCAGCTAATATCGGATTGGAAATTCAAAACGACTATGCAGCCCTCATGGTCCTTCGATGTCTTCAGAGCTCCGGAAGTAGCGGTACCATTGCACTGGGTAGTGCAACAGTTGCTGACATATCGACCCGCGCTGAAAGAGGGAAATATATTGGATACGCGACCATGGGAGTCACGCTTGGACCAGCTTTGGGTCCTATTATCGGAGGATTGATAGATCATTACTTGGGTTGGCGGTGGATTTTTCGGTTTTTGATTATCCTCGCCGGAGTGTATGCGACTTTTCTCGTCGTTTTCCTTCCAGAGACATGCCGTGCAGTTGTGGGTGACGGATCTGTACCGACCGCCAAGTGGAATCGATCTGTGTGGCAGATTGTGAGTAGCAAGCTCCAACCCTCGAAGATCAAGGAACCAAACTATGATTCCGTGCAAAAACGCAAGCGCCGACCCAACGTCTTTGCTTCTGCATTGATTGCCACTGAGAAGGAACCTGCCATCATCCTGGCTTATGGATCTTTGATTTATTGCGGTTATATGTCTGTTTTGAGCACACTGACATCTCAACTAAAGACCCAGTACGGCTTTAATTCAATCCAAATCGGGCTGTGCTATCTTCCACTAGGCTGTGGTAGCCTGACTTCTCGATGGACGGTAGGGTTCCTGCTTGACTGGAATTTCAAACGGGAAGCTGCACGACAGGGCATGCCAATAATCAAGAACCGACAACAAAATATTGAAAAGTTCAATATCGAGGTGGCCCGACTTGCAATCACCATCCCGTTTGTGTACGGAGGCGCACTGTGTTTGATTGCCTACGGATGGGTAATGCAATTCAAAACCTCTCTCCCAGGACCAATGGTCATGCTGTTCTTCATGGGCCATTTGACCACTGGAGCTTTTAGTTCACTGAACACATTGATCGTTGACACGCAACCTGGAAGTCCAGCAACAGCTGTGGCTGCAAACAATCTCTGGCGTTGCCTGACTGCTGCCGGCGCAGTTGCAGCAGCAGGTCCCCTAATTGAACGAATTGGAATTGGTTGGACCGCTAGTTTTATTGCATTCCTGTGGCTATTGTTCAGTCCGTTGATGTGGGCGGTTTATAAAATGGGATATGTTTGGCGGGAAAATTTGCGCAAGAAGCGTGAACATTCAGTTTAGCCCTTGCCAGTTTGAGATGGAGTTAAAAGTTGTCGGATTAGTCGGTTTATTCCAGGCCAATCCTGAAGAGTGTTCTACTAGGATGAAAAGAAAAGAAGTGACTAGCAAGATTGTATGTATTCAGTTCTCTTTCTCTCTCTGTTCATCAAGTTTCAAAGCTCGGGTTTTCATAAACATCTTTGGCGGGATGATTTGTGAGCTATCATGAGGGGTAAGCATTGAGCTGAAATCTAGGTGCCCAGATATATGCCCTAAAGGGCCGTTTTAGACCTGTAAGATCGAACGTCGGATCTCTCTGCCTCGTTTGTAATCCGGATTATCGTATGTAATGACCGTTAACGTTACCGTCATGTTATACTCCCTGCCAAGATATATATATGGCTTGAAGCCAAGCATATTTCTAAGAATACTATATAGTAGCCAATAGGAAACTAAGTTTCACTATTGATATGGGGCTGTCAGCCTCCTTTAATTCTGATTGGGCATCCTGCCGCAAGGGATCTTCAACTTAACCCTGATTGGCTTCATTTTAACTTTTGAACTCACATGAATGCTCGATCGATTTGAAAGTTTCTTCTTCTCTTTCTGCTTTTCGAGGTCAAGATTAAAAAATATGGTTCCAAAAGGTTCATGCAATGCCTATATAGTTTTTGTGGCAGGATAAAGAGGCACAAATAAAGTCGGAATACAATGCATTTCCAATCCGTCGGGCTCACAGATCCGAATGTTTCTCACGTCACTACTCCGTATGGAACGATCAAAGCGTCGGAGTTATGTCCTCGTATCCTGCCACTACTTGATTGGTATTCTCTCTTCAATTGTTCAGGCGCGCAGTGCAAATTACCATCAAAGGAAATGTAGGCCGTCTAACACAGCCATGCATACGTGGTGCGGCTGTACAGAGAGGGTTTTGGCTGCAGGACTAAAAATGATAGTGCGATCCCTGCATGATTATTAATAGGTCAACCAACTTGAGCCAGTATCCAACGCGTTGGTTCTTGGATTGAGTGATATTTTCTTATCTTTTTAAGCCCAGTTGTTGGGAATCCTTTTGAATATTCTGTGAGGTCGGTGATCAAGTGTATAGGGGGATTGAGCAATGGCTGCTTGGCTATCGTCTAGCTACATCGAACACTATCTGGAAATTAGGTTAGATCTCCCAAAATGCGACTACTAATCCGTCACCAATATCTTTCTCTCGTCCCGGTTGCGGCTCTTTTTTTCATATTCGGTACTATTTATTCGACGCATCGCTGGGAAAGTACCCGACAACTCAACAAAGATCAATGGACGCAAAGACTAGGCAATCAGGGCACTCAACAATCTCACAATGGCCAAAACTACGACGATCCCAACTGTGTCGATTTCCCGCGCGACCGTCTCCGAGATATTCAAATCGTTTTTAGGATCGGCTCAACTCAGCCGTTTGATCAGATCTCGTCTCATATCAACAATATTACAAACTGTATATCGAATTTGATCGTCATTTCGGACCGAGTAGAAGAGATCGGGAATGGATTTTGGTCTCACGATATCATCGCCGATCTACCGAAAGTATACTGGGAAGGAATAGACAAAGACGATGACGAAACCGATCAAACTGCTGGGTTGAAGGCGTACGCAAATATAAACAAGGGCGATAGCTCGTGGAAACAGGGGAAATATGCAAGTGACCGCTTGACTCATAGACAAGGTTGGCTATTGGATCGGTTCAAGTTTTTGCCAATGGTCGAATATGCATACAATGTGAATCCTCAGGCAAAGTGGTTCTACTTCATTGAAGCGGATACATATGTTGTGTGGGACACACTGTTCCAACTTCTCGAACAGTATGATTCCCGACAAGCATGGTATATGGGTTCCCCATCACCGGGTCGGCAACTGCACGGCGAGACTACGTGGTTTGCCTACGGAGGCGATGGATTTATACTCAGCCGGTCGGCTATTCAGCGACTCGTAACCAAGGATCCGGTCAAAGACGAGGAATCGAACAACACAAATCGGACCGAGTTATCTCTTACGGAGAGATGGGCGGATATAGTCAAAAGTGACTGCTGCGGAGACTCTGTTTTGGGTTATGCCTTGGTCAGAAAGGGTATACTTTTGTCTGGGCTGTATCCTATATTCAATCCTCATCCCTTGCATGGTATCCCATTCGGCCCTAGTGGGAAGCCGTACTGGTGTCAACCAGTGCTCAGTCTACACAAGACATGGCCGGGTGATGTGAGCGCATTGACGCAATTCGTGAAACATCGTTCCAACGAGGTATGTAAATTGTCCGCCTATCTTGGTATCGTACCAGACTAGTAAATTAACATTTCAATTCTCATCACTCTCAGCAAACCTTAATATATGCCGACTTATTTTACTACCTTAACCTAGACCGCTTGAAACCACGCGAAAACTGGCAAAACTCAGACTGGAACGGATTCGAAGAAGGGCCCGAATCGCCTGTTCACGAATCCATCGAGGCATGTGTTGATGGATGTCACACTCATAACGAATGTTTCCAATGGACTTATTGGACGGAGACCTCGTGGGAATGGAATTCCGTTCCAAAGAAGAAATGCACATTTGTGCGCTCGATACGGTTGGGATCACGCAGAGACCGTGAAGAGTCGTGGACCACGACTGTTACTTGGACAAGTGGTTGGGATATAGAAAAGATCTCCACTTGGGCAACAGAAAATAGATGTGAGAAACCGGAATGGGTTGAACCGAGTTCAGAGAGGATATACTAGACGACGTTCACAAAATCACACATGGAATCTAGGCGAATCTAGATACGCTTAAGACTGTGATATAATTCAAAGTATTGGCTACAATGTTACGAATCCGCATATCTAAGCAGTTCCGTAACATGCACAACCTTGTAACCTCTTCTCTTCAACTCCGGAAGAACACTTCTCAGCATCGGCAACGTCCAGGGTCGTCCATCATGACAAATGATGATTCCTCCAGGTCTCGCCATGCGAAGGATATGCGCGGCATTGACTTTTGCGAACGGAATCTGAGGATCGTGGGGATACACATCACCCAAGACGAGCTTATACCGAAGACGACTGACGATGTTGCGCATTCTCGTAGTGTACCAACCACTTCCTGGACGATAATATCTCGGAAGCGTGTTGTTGCTATCCATCGGTACAGTATTTACAGCTTCGTAGGCATTCTGGATGACTTTATCAACTGCATTGATTTGTGACACGAGCTCGTCGTCGGGTAGCCTGCATGCCGGTTCATCGTACATGCCGTGATTACCCAGCTCATTTCCACCACGAATCAGTCCCTGAAGAATCTTGTCCCGGTCATCTTTCAGTTTCGAAACGTGCGACCCAATAATGAAAAATGTGGCTGTTGCATGGTTCGCTTCGAGTATTTCCAGAATCTCGGCGGTGTAGATTGACGGTCCATCGTCTATGGTGAGTGCGATCACTTTTTCCGGTGTTGATACTTGCCAAAGCACGTCAGGGTGACAGCACTGCAAGTATTGAATTAAGCAGAATGGGGGATAGTATACAACATAAAGTAAAAATAATAGTACCAGCAGCAGGAGCAGCAACAGGAGAAGCAGCATGGTTTCGCCTTCCCGCACATGCGAATCTCCATCAATTGAGTGGCACTCTCTATTGAGTCCGGTCGTGTTGCTTGACGAAATGAACTGGAAGAAGTTACCACTTCGTTTAGTTAAATCTGGATGAGGTGCGAGATTATGAGAGATGAAAGAGCTCGAAGAAGCTCGGGAGTTGGAAAGGAAACATAATTTGTCGAGGAGTTACCGCCGGCGAAACGTTGCCTAACTACACTTTCCACATTGCGCAAACATCCCACTGTTCTAAACTTCCAATTAACTTCTAGATTATCTACACTCGTGAACTTATCTTGATGGATGCATAGAGTTCGTGAATGTTATTGACATCTACCAAGGATCGGAGTTCGGCAATTTTACCGGCCACATGTCATTAATGTCGTCACACCACGGAGGTGCTCCGAGTCACGCAACTCCCCCAAAGCTTAAACCAACAACCTCAGTTGTCCCTTTACTCTGTCGTGTTACTAGCATTGCATGAATTTCAACCACTAAGATGGGGATCATCGGTCGCTTCCTCAAATTGACAACCTACGGTGGTGCTGCCACCCTTGGCGCGCACTTCGTCTGGACTCGCAATTCGCAAGTCGAACCTCTCCCGCCCACGGATTATCTCTTTTCCTCATTATCGTTCAAGAGGCTCAACCCCAATCAGAATGCGGCGCTGAGTGACGTTTGTATTCGGAAAGTTCCTCTGTCGCAGATTGATCCCAAGCTATTGGAGAAGAAGGGTAAGCTAGTCGAGGCATTTTGTGCGGGTGTTTGGGGCGGTCTCGGTAAGTCAAGTTGATGGCTATTTCGCGATGGTTTATGGAATTCCGTTTACTGATATTTGAATTCCCGACGAATGATAGGCTACGCTTTCCAACGCCAATATCTTGCCAGAAAATATCAAGGCCCTTCTACCGCTCATCAGCTCTGGTCGACCCATGACCTCCTCTCGTCAAACTATGAAGTCGGCACCGAAATCACAGACCATTTCCAAGTCGTCGAAAAGGCAGATAACAGAATCGTGGTTCGCTGTGGAGACTCGCCATTGAAGCGCGAGGTTCGGGAATCTGATGGCCTTTTCGAGATGTCGGTTGACATTAAAAAGGACGAAGGAGTTGCGGTGTTTCATTTGAAGAGCGTCTTTTTCAATGGTTTGACTGGGAAAAAAGAGGGTCCCGTTATGCCGTATTATATGGAGCTGCTACATCGGGAATATGACAAGATCTGGATGGAGAGCGCGTTGCGCAATGTCTACGCTTAGAACATAAGTTGGTTGTTGATTTATTTTGTAAGAGATACACCTTCTGGTTAGTCGAATGACACATCTGTTCACATAGCGCCCTATCACATTCTAAGTATCACCAAACCATGCTTACGATATCCTAACGAAGGCTTATACAAAAACAGGATTGATTATTACTGTCCGAAACAAGGTATGTACACAGGATGATATGGACTGCGCAAACACATACACTAATAGCATCTCATGAACACTACGCTTTCGCTGAACTATCCTCGACCTTCTCCTCCGTACTTGGAGGATCTACGTCAGCAGTTGTCAACGTTACTGCCAGCACAGTCGGTATGACCAGCACCAAAGACCCTATACACAAGCCCCAGTCCATGAAGAATTGAACGACAGGCGACACCTCCAAGGCATTGATCCTCCACGCAATTGCGCCGCCAACACTCTGAAAGGCCTTGTATGCACACACGAGAATGGCCGTCACCGTAGCCGAGTTTGACTGCGCTCCAATCAGCCAGTAACAGAACGATTGCCAGAATGCATCGTATGCACCATAGAAACTGTATAGAAACATTGGTCCGACAGAGACAGATCTCCAAGTGAAATCAATATCCTGTTTGAGATGCTTCTCATTGATGCGATGACTCGACCATTTCTGGAACGCATATCCGCCCCCCCAGATACACATTCCAGTGCAGAAAAGGAATATCCATCCTAGGCGCGCTCTTTGTGGCCTACTGAGCCCGGGAAGATCGAGAAGCAAGCCCATAACAAGTCCTCCAACCATTTGGGCTAGCCAGTATAGAGCACCATTAAGCGACCGCGTGCGAATATTGAAGCTCCTTCCGTTGACTTCGTTTTGCTGGTACGAATAAAAGACATTGGCGCTGAAGAAAAGTGGAATCATGCAAAGTATGCGCCAATCGCTCGACATCTTGAGGCAGACATCCAACAACTTGACCGGAGACTTCTGATGACTCTCATCAATATTGTTGTGGTTTCGTACTGAAGATGGAGGACAAATAAAGACCCCAAGCAGCCATCCGATTGTCATGATGACCAGAAGGGAAACATACGTCGCATCCGAAACTGTGCCGGTAGTTGAACGATAGTTTAAGCCAAGACTTGCGAGAGAACCAACTCCGCCGCCGAGGTTGAATATCACCCAGAATAAGGCGATTGCGCGTCCTTTTTGTTGTTCTGGTACATAGGTTGTCATGATAGCACCTTGCGATACCCATACGAAGGAGGCTCCTATACCCAAGATTGCTCCCGCGACAATGACAAAGGCGCCATTTCCGTTTTCTACTTTGAGTCAGTTCATTTACGGACCTGATGCTCTTCCTAACTTATTGGGTGAGATGAAGATAGAACATACTGTTAAAGCTCAAGAGAGCACCTGAGTAAAGCGGATACGCCCAACCACCGAGTAACAAGCATGCACGCGGTCCAAATTGGTTGAAAACCGGTCCAACAATGAAGAGAGATGTCACTGCCATGGCTGAAAGTAAAGCTACAGTGGCATTCGCAGCCACCGTGGGATCAACTTGTCCCGAGCCACCGATACCCGTTAAAGCATTGTACATCTGCAGTACGCCTCAGTATTAAACCCTATGAAACTTGAGGAGAACTACTTACCCCAGGACAGCAAAAACATATACCACTGATAAGAAGTATCTGGAACCACGGGTTCGAATATATCCTATAAAGCGCTGGAGGCGGCGTTTCCTCGTCGATTGCTAGTTGTGCAGCATTTGTCGCCATTACCTCCTCAGCATTGAGTGTCTCTGTCGATGAGGATGAGATGCATGTTACTGCAGAATTCGCAGATGCAGCTGTTGGAGATAATCCAGACATGGCTCTAGGTTCCGCCAGGAATGACAGATTTTGCAGCACCGATCATGGACGAAAATCTAGATGCAAGGACAGAGAAGATCTCATGGTCCATCTAGGTCGTGTAACGTTTAAATGCGATTTCTCGTCACATTTTTCTGGTCTTCTCATTGTTTGTTCGTGGATTTTCCTGTTTCCGGGACAGCGGGTGGAATGTGGAATGTTGATTGATGACAAGTGTAAAGAAACGGTGCATGTGTAACAGCGTAACGTCTAATGCAGTCGTGATATATTGATACGTTCTCCTGAGACTAAATCCACTGGTCTCAATCTGATCACTGGCCTGTCAACAAGCGTATACAGAATCTTGAAATCATGTGATGTGGAAGCAGATACGGTGGATCGTATGTGAGGCCAATTATCGAAGATCTGAAGCGCCGAATCTTGTCGATTTTCTGCAAAATAGCTTTTCATGTTTGTAATCATAGTTTGATTCGATCGCAAGATGTTTTGAGGGAGACGTCTTGAATCTAGGAGTCATTTCTCAACTGTATGGTTAAAGTTAGGGTTCAGGGCTTGACCCTAACTGCAATTCTGATCCGTTTGACGGTCAGCACCGTAGAACTGCTGTTTGCAGTACTTTCTAACCGTACAAATACATTCCTTACTTAAACTTGGAATTTTATAGTTAAGGACTCTATTTCTTAAACATCCGGGGTTATGATAGATACATAGCATTGAATCATTGAGTCACAGATGAAGCCGGCGCCGCTAAGCTTGAGGATGAAGGTTGGTTTCTTTCAGACTTTTATCTTTTCGGCCATGTATTTTCTCATGTTCACAGCCTGACGCCTAACCAGATTTCGATGACCAGCGAGCCACCTGAGGATCTTGTGCTCAAGTACGAAGAATATGCACACAGAGACCCGAAAGGAGAGCGAAGAATGTACTTGATAAGGACATGCTACCAGCGATCCAGCAATCTCGTACTTTACGCGTTGTCCCACGGCATAATCTTTTACAACGTTTCATGAGCACCTTGAAAGAGCAATCGCGGCTAGCTAAAGAGAATGATGAGCATCTATTAATACTGCTTTTTGGCCACAGAGATATCGATACGTTTGGTGTGTATATCGCTGGCCGTGTTTCAGGTGGTTTGCCAAAGCTGAGGATGGATGATGTCAAACTCGTCTACAGCGAAATGTACCAATCACTCTCTTTATGACATCGTGCTTCTCCGGAGGCTGGCTTGTCCAGTCAATCGCCAATACATCTCAGCATATCAATGCAACAGGCATAACAGTAGCAGGACCACAAGCAGTAAACCTCGGTTGGCCACTTAGTGCTAGCCTAGGATGAGTATGTGGAGGTAGGCTTGCAACTGGGATTCTGAGATCCGCCCTTGACGTTGAAGAATCACAAGAAATGAGTGAGGTCTGTGAAGACCTTACGTACATTGCACTTGCAGATTCTGTTCGTGAAATATACAAGAAGAATGTCAAATCCATTTTTCGGCCCAATTGATAGGTGGGGGGATCATTTTATAAGCCGAAGTGGACTGCCGTCATCACGATTAAAAGCACGCTGGGAGTATTTACGCTTGATTCCATCGGGTGACTACTGTCGAGAAGAAGACCAAGAAGTCTTGAGAGCGGGTATCATGTGCTTTGGACTGATAAGAAAGCGTCGCAAATTGGACTGTGCAGCCCGACAGTACCTCTCCGCGAAACCTGGCGAGTAGTTTGGCTAGCAATATTGGATTACATGGGTCATTGAACCGCTTTCTCAGAGACAAGAAAAGTTGAGTGATGAGGATATCTCTGAAATGCTTGAAGAAGTGGAGGAATATCGCATTGATGCCCTTGATCAAGCTAATAAACTTGCAATCGTTATGAGTGTCAACAACCAATTTTTCGACGCATTTTCATACGATCAGCACTGGCCAAGGTCCGCAGAGGAAGAGAAGATTTATTCTATCGCCTGGCGGCTGTTGGCTACCAAACAGCTAGTGGACAAACCAAGTTTTGATCTTCGATATGCTCTTGCCTCAGTTTCCTGGACCAAGCCGATTAGCTTTCTTGCTACTTGCTTTGCCAAGTCTGTTCTAACTCCAACCGATATTCCTCAGAGGATAGCTTTGGCACTGACTTACAAAACCCAAGAAGATTGGACTATTTTGTTTCTGTTTGGTAGACGAACTACAAGTGATGCAGAAGTGGTTCACTGTCGCGAGCTGGCGCCGAACAAAATTCGGAGCTGGAAAGCGAAGGTTACGGAGCATTCTATGACTAATTGTGTAGGAGGATCGTAACTGACAGGGTTATTATACGTCTATGCGGGATATAAGAATGAGCAAGGATAACAAATTAGACTAAATACTGTATGGTATATAGTTATAACTGTGATGGGATGTTCGATGACCGGACGATACATTATCGTAAGACAAAGCATGTTGTTAGTGTAGGGATTAGTTTCGGGTAAAGTACGTCTCTGAAGGGAAAGTTCATTGGCGTTGGTTAATCCAGTTGAAAGGTATAGATTCTGAAGAAGCGAGGTCACCGCGGAGGTCAAGTAGCTCATTGGGCTCAGGGAGTGAACCAGAGTGCTCAGCTTCAACTCACTGAGCATGTATCTTAGCATATATGAAGCTCACTGGTCTGCTCAGCACGCTCAAAGGCGTGCTCGGCTCTACTCAGTGAGAAAGCGGCGAGGGGGCAAGCACTAAAAATGGGAAAGCCGAAAAGCGTCAACTAGAAAGGAAATACGGTATGTAGGTAGGCCCAACCAACCTCAAAAGCCATTTGTCTGAAAACTAGTTACAGTCCACCCATTCTGCTCATCATATTGGTTCGGTGGAGTACTGCCATACAGCGGCGAATAGTGTACTTCTTGCGCACAATGCCCATTCAGACAAGTAACAACTTGTTCAGCGGCACTCTGACCTTCATACCAAGCCCCTTGCAAGAAACCAAAGTACTCAGCACTTGTAGCTTCACCAGCGAAATATAGGCGACCAAGATTTGCGCGGAGGTTTTGATGCATTTCCAGAGTTACGCCATACGGCCAGTTCGAGTAGCTTCCGTATGACCATGGCTCAAGGCTCCAACGTGGGTACATGAATGCAATTGGGTCAGGAACTTTGTCCGCACCAAACATATCTCGAAGCACCGCCAGGACCTGATTTTTCGTTTCCTCGTCTGTTTGAGCTTCAACGCGATAAGATTGGTCGTGCACGACGGTCACAAATATGATACCAGAGCCCTCGAGGAAGCCTGGAGTGTCGAGTGATTGGAAAACGGGATAGAATCCGCGCTCCACAGGATCGGCGTATAGGAAGTATTGCGTGTCTTTGGGCCAGAAGACCTTATCCGGTGGAAACTGGAGGAAGATCTTGGTGTATGTGCCCATGTCAAAGTTGTCGATTCCATCTTGCTTCCATTCTGGGAATTCGGGCTGGAAGCTGACAGCTTCGTTTTGGAGAACACCGAGTCTTGACACGGTTAGGAGCGTAGGGCACAGAGTTGAAATATATTGAACTCACGAGAATGTGCAAATGGCGTAGTCTGCCTGGTAACAGCCTCCCTGGCTATCAGTAATAGTCACACCGGTGTCACTATAAGTGACGTTCGTGACGGTGGTGTTGAGACGCAGCCGTGTATCGTTCTTTTTCAAAAATGTGCTTGCCTCGCCCTTGAGCCAGGTGTTGAATCCTCGCTGATCCACGACGAAGTTGTTTTCGTCTGACCACTGGTAAAATGTCGTATTCTGTCGAATAATTAGGTAAAGTCCCGTCTGAGCGTGCATTTGGACTTACAAAGTTCACAATACCAAAAACCAACGAACTGACTTCGGGCTCGTATGCATATTCCCAGTCTGGTCATAAAAGTTCAGCGCTCATCATCTGACAGGCTATGGAGCGACGTACCCCATTCCCACCATTCAACAGCTTGCATCTTCATATCCTTCTTGGGGCGCCAATCACCACGAGTAAAACCCGCCCTGGCGTTACGATCCTGTAGATTCTCAGACAGGATTGTCCCTGCCAACTCTTCGGTAACCGAATAAGCATTTTCATAGTCATCGAAGAGACTGGAGTAGTTGACGTAGCCAGTCTCGTCATAGGTCAGGATTGAACTATAGTCAGAATAGGTGTTGTTGACTCCATATTTTTGAGCCTGTGAATGTCCTTAATGTAAGCGTTGTGAATTTTGTTTTGAGGCTGCTTCTTTCAGATAATTCATTTCGATACAACATACCAGAAGCCAGATGGGGTTTTGCGGACCACCATTTGTTCCCAACCCCTGAATCCAATTTGCCCCGAGTTCAACCGTCAATGGCTTTCCATTCGCGTCCTGCCCGAATGTGGTATGTCGCATACGACCGCCAATATCGGAGTTGTATTCGAGAATAATGAAGTCGTGTATGGAGCTGTTACTGAGGGTTTGCTAAAAATAACCTTATCAGGTATGGACCTTCGGGATATACGGCATCATTATAGGGCAACTCACGGCCGCTGTAATGCCGGCGACACCACCACCACTATTCTCACATTGTCAGCGGTGGTCTCTCGACAAGGAAAACTGGAATATAACTGACAGAATTGCAACGCTAGTCTTTTCGCATTTCTTCGCAGGACTACCGAGTACTGAACTAGCCAGAGCCAGGGGAACTAAGAGGAGATGTTTGTAGTTTGCCATATTGTGAGACTATCTGCCTACGCAGGTAGCGATTATCAGCTGATCATAGTCTCAGTCTGGTCGAAAATCTTATGTCACCTGGTGGTTATCTATGTATTATATACCCTAGGCTTTGTTTCTGCAGTGTAACTGTCTACGACTTGCACAGCTTCCACCAAGCTCTTTCAACCAGCTTAGCTCAAAGCATACGCATCTAGCGGTAGGTAGATTTAAAGTTTCAAACACCACAATCTAAACAGCCGCCAATGATACTTGAATTCGTCGCCAAGATACAGACTTATCACCGCGTAAGCCGACGCAACTATTCCAGATGAGGTATCTAAAGAGGCCGCCCCTGTAGAAACAATTACGCCGATTGATCTTAGGTCATATTCGGCAGGTGAATTGCTCCAGACAATTGCATCTCTAGATCGACAATCCATGTTCCATCGAGATAAGCGGGTGGGGGGAGCACGCATGTACCTACTGTTCCCGGAAGCTCTCCGCACTTGTGCACGCGGCTGGCCCTGATAACGATTCTACAATATACGGAGTACTAGGACGTATATGGACAGTTGTCTGGTCCACTTGCTTCCGGCATATCCTACGCAGGGTTCAAGGGGTAAATAGAATTACTTATCGATGGAAGATGTATATCGATAACTTGGAGTCCCGCAAGAACAAGAAAGTCTAAGGGTTCGCACATATCAGAAGAGAAGAGACACGTTGATCAAGAAGTAAATTCTCTATTCTGCATATTTCCCAGAAAATCCATAAACTCAATCACCAGTATACCCTCACTATCTAAAGTCCTTGGTCCGAGTTCCTCAACATCGGGGTTCGGTTATTCATTATTTGAATTGTCGTCTTCGCGTTTGCTTTAAGGTCGTCAGGACACACTATTCCTAGGATCGTCTCCCCTTTGGCGCCAGCCATGTATCATTATACCTTGACCTTGGCTGGTGAGAGCCGGAAATTAGACCGTTTGATCAAAAACAAGACCCCGTGCTCGGTAATCAGTTGATTGACTTCCTGGTTATAACAGCTTATAATACGACGCTTCGAATTCTCTCTCCCCTGAGGTGTATGACGAGTAGACCAACAGCCGGCGTCGGTTCGTCTAGGTTACTACGCAAATAGCAACGTAGACCGGCTATTCCGAAAAGCTGCAAATAAGTCGATATCCTTGGATCCCAAGAACACGACCGAAGACTAGAGACTATCGAGATTGGTGATGGTGAGGTGTAGATATCTTCCTACCCCCCTAGACAATTGTGATCCGTGTCGTAAGCGAGACGGTGCCTATTTAGGAAGGAATAAGATACAAACAGCCAGAGTTCTTGCAAATGAAGCATATTTTCCGACCTTTTGAGAAAGAACGTTCACGGGGTGAATGGCTCCAGTAGGGTGAGCGTGACCAGGTGTTGTGATAACGTCGATCTGTAAAGAATTGGTCGGTACCTCTTGGTGCGGTGTAGTGCTGAGGTGCAGTTCTTCTCAGATTTTGGTAATGCCTGATGTATGGGGTGGTAATTTGTATGGTTTATGAAGGCATTTTTGAGGCATATTTCCTGCTGACAACTGGTCTCAGCTGATATGTGTTGTTCCGTAAGAGTGTCTTCTCCGTGCTCAATGCCAGTCAAATCATCTTCTGAACTAGGTGCAGGTGTGACGACGAGCAAGCAACACGAATGGTATTGGTCTCTATGTACGAGAATATTAAGCATGAGGAGGAAAACAAACAGTAGGCTAGGCGCTCGCTCGTAGTTCCAGTCAGGTGACTCCTCAATCGGGAAATTAGGGTAACGTCCATAGCCCTACATTCATCTATCAGCTACGCCGTCACAATAGGAATAGGGAGTTGCTTAGTCTGAGGAATTTCTGTAAGCACCAGCGGTTCAGCATCGTCATGTTGAGGCTGATCGACGGACACGCGCTCATAAAGTTCTCTGATGGACTGAATTTCTCCATTAGTTGCGACACGTCGTTTTGTTTTGACAGATACCTGTCTAGGTGTCTCGGTAGTGGAATCTGTCGCTCTAAACTTGAGGTGGATATCCGGGTACAAATCGAGCCACAATGAGACAGGCGTGCTCAAGAGTAATGCATTTCGAAGTGGCTTCAACAATCTCCTCGATTTTCGTGAACCCTTTCCGAGCCAGCCATACATGGATGCAATATCGAGGTCAGCAACTGTCATCGGAACGGCTCCATTAAGTTCGGCTCCACGAAGTCGTATACGTCGCGTGATCGCTCTTTGAGTATCCAGCAAGTAATGACTGAGATTTGTCGTTCTTGTCACTTTCATATCAAGATGGAAGACTTGCGTAATTTGTGCTATCTGTCGATCTGAATCGGAGAATACCCGTACCAACGTTGGGCATCGAATATAGATGCGTTGAATTTAGGTATTTTGCACGTCGAGGTACGTTTCAAACCTGCCATGAGGTAAGATGATGTGGAAAACGGTACGAGAACCGGAAATTATACCATTCGGCCAAAAGGAGGCTTCGTTATGGGGTTGGAATTTGAGAGGTTGGTGTAGGCCTATTGAGTGTAATAAGAAATATTTCTCAGGGGAGAAATGATGTTGTCTGGGAAGATATTTTCAAGAAGCATATTTTCGGCTGATAGATGGATCTCCCAATGGAAGCCATTGGTAACACTGTTTCTAGGTACCATGAACGGAGACGACAATTTGTCAGGGATTGCCACGAATCATTGTTATTTGTGTAGCGAAGGTACTTGTCATGTGGGTGGACGACTGCAATACAATCCTACCGAACCGATTATCCCCAGACAACGAAGGCCCATATCGGGGTAAGTTTCAAGCTTGCTATGAGGTAATGGGGGTGTCGACAAGGTTCTCCATTATACGTGACGGTACATGGATCTCAGTAGTATTGGGGCCGCAGAGGAAAACCACTTGTAGACGGCTACTTGAAATCGACTCTTGCGTATTGGTCAAGATAACAGGCATCAATATCTGCAAACTGATGTAAACCTAAGGTCACGCTAGGACATGGGTAGTGAATACAGACTCTTGATTCCATATGGCAATCCCGTGGTTTCTTGGTCCTTCTCTTTTATATACATTCTTGGTCAAAAATGATACCAATATTGGTTTACTCCTTGCAAAGATGATGAGCTTCCAGGGTTGATATGCCGAGGTGGTGCTCAGAGATACTTAGAAGACTGAGCACGAGTAAGCCTTCCTCATGAAGGGAAGGAAACAGAGCCTCAGCAAGTCTCATATTTATGTTTATGTGCGGCTGGCCAGCTCAACGGATCTCTCCGTATAATGAAAACAACAAAGCGCTGCGGTGTCCCACTACGGCTCCGATATGTAACCGTAATATCAGATCAATTATCCTCAGGAACCATACAAAGACACTCGGTCAAGAGTATGGAACAAGCCGTCAGAGACATATTATGTCAAGGCAGCTCCAGGGCTGGTATGGATCAATAAGTTCTCAAGGAAGAAGACCGACAGACAAAAAGAACAAAGAGGAACCATCTAATCTATCATTTTCAGGGCGTAGATATGTGTCTGGAAGCTCGTGTTAGCCTTGGTCAACCAGGCATAGATACGTACATCAGAGCTGCATTGGGATACAGACCACGCTTTGTGTATTTTTCAAAGTAACGGACATGTCCGTCATATTGAGGGACGGTCGAATATAAATAAAGGCCACTCCCCCATTTTACACTTCTTTCTATTTATATCTTTCAAGAAATCTGCCGATACTACTCATGTCAACCCACAATCTGCTTCCGGGGGACACCTTGAAATGCAAAAAAAAGAGAAGTTGGGTGTGAGTTGACATGAGTGGAAACAACCCCTAACCCTATAGGGAAAAAAAATTAGGTTGACAAGAGGGGGATTCGAACCCCCGCCTCTTGCGAGACTGCGAAATCCCTGTGCGCGGTCGGTAAAACCGGCACAGTGTACCCTATAGGGGTTTGCCCCTACAAGCTCACTTGAATGCAGCGCCTTAGACCGCTCGGCCATCTTGCCTCGTTACATGTGAGAGTATCTTTTCTCTGAACTATAACGCAATTTTGCAATCTGTAGATAGTGGTACGAATGGCTTAGCTTGAGACGCGGGTTTAAGCTTCACCTGTCGTCCATCGTTGATTGGTATCACAGGGGGTAAGGAGCTTACCCTATGATGGTCTTCGTCTCCTGAAATGCTCCCCTGGACATAAAGAATGGATTTTGTATGCATTGCTTATCACTCACACATGCTTCAAGACTGCTAATTGTTGTTCAACAGTGGTCTCGGCTTGTTGGCGGTTCCCGTACTGCTTCCAAAACCCCTCGAACAAGCAGCCCCGTAGAACGACTGACAGCATTTAAAAGATCCTGCAACACTCTGCAAGTAAGTCATTGCCTTATCTCGCAACAAGATGGGCCTCTCTCTGACTGTTACTGTGGAAAAGCAAATATGGCGGACGAGCAACTCCCCTTCCAACGAGCTTGCCGCGACGTCTCAGGCGCGGGCCTGCGTTGACCGTTTGAACCACGTTCTTACCGAGGAATCCAGAGGGCCTGCGCCCCATCCATGCCTGTCGTATGCATCCACTTCACAAATATTTGTGACGGTCACGAAGCTGGCTTTGACCTATCGGGATGAAGGATTGGTACGATCATCGGCAGTCTTCTTCAATACGCTGATTGATGGCGAGGTGGACGGAATTGTCGATAACCGTGTTTTTTCACGCGCCTTGGTTGACCTTGTTCGAAGAAACTCGGTGCGTACGGATGATACAGAGTCGCGGCTGGTCGAGTTGCTCTTCGGTGTTGCCAACAATATTCGTCTGCGTCCTCAAATCTTGACTGCGTGGTTTATCCCAAAACAAGCCGAACTGCCAGAGAGAGAGCTAGAAGAGGATGAGCAGTTTGCAGGTGTCACACGCAAAGATGATTTTCCACTCTTTTACCTCCTGGTAGACTATGTTCACCGTGAAGGTCGTGCAGGTGACTTTGCACGTACAGGCCTTTTGTATCTTATTGAAACCGCGACTCGTTCGAGGATACTTGAGAAATGGTTGATTGAAAGCGACTTAGCCACTTTGATGGCAACGGGCCTCGGAGCAGTATACAGTCAACTGAGCAGGTACGTTGTGTCGGTCTTGATAATTCCAAAAACTAACGCCTCATAGAAATGTCCATCCTACATTTGTTGAAGGAAATGTCCCAACAATTATAGCACTTTCCGATGAGAACGACGATATCCAGCGGAATTCCGAAGCAACAATGCGTTCTGACGTCGATTCTTTCATATCCTACTTGCTCTTTTGGCAGGATACGGTAGAGCACTGTCAATCAAAAGAAGTCAATGATACACTTTTAGATCATTTCGAGGTCCTATTCCTACAACAGCTTCTGTAAGGACTTTCCCGGTCAAAGAACTGTTTTTTGGCGCACTGAATCACTGACAAAGCAAGGTATCCATCTTTGTTGGAATCATCGGACATGAAGGGTGGGTCGACTTCCACTGTGCTCTCGTATCTGTGTCGAGTGCTTGAATCCATTGATCAGCCGAAACTTGCTCACCGCACTCTTCGATTCTTGATGGCGAGTCCCACTGATGCCGAGCCGAGTTTGGAGGTTTCTCAGGATCTACAAAAAAAGCATTTATCTGTCAGCCGGCGCAAGTCCCTAGACATGCTTGCCACCTTGGCAGAAGCCGAGGAACAACAGCCGTCCCCGTCATTATTCAATCTTGCTGATTTGATATTGATGAGCATCAAATCACAAAATAAAGAGACAATTGTAGCGACTTTGCACTTATTGACGGTCATAGTACGCAGACATCATCCTTTTGCAGGATCTTTAATCAAAACGAAGGACCCGGTGTCTGGGCCACAGCGTACCGTTGGTGCTCTCAATGAAGAGCTTCGCAGGTATTTATCATTCGCAACAAGCATTATCGACGATCCATCCTTGAATGAGTCTTTTGAACATTACTCCAAAGATGCCACAGTCGTCCTCGAATCTCGTCTTTTCATACCATCCCCGAACAGTAGCATCTTGGATGGGCCGGCCGACCAACCACTCGATCTTTCCCTGGATGATGCAATCTTCAAGGAGATTCTGAATCTCCTGGATAGATTCTTTTCGAACAGTGTGACGGTAAACCTCGGACTGACTGAGCTCATCACCAGTCTTGCTTCATCAAATCTAATTTCACTCAACGGATGGCTCTTAGTTGATCCTTCAAACTACAATTACAAATCAGAATTGCCGCCTACAGCAACAGGTTCTTCGACGATAACGGAGGGGGTCATTTCCAACATCCACGACGAACGGTCTGGGCCTGTTGACCCTTTAGCAGGTATCATGGCTAGTCTGGCGCCAGCGACCTGGTTAGATGGGGACGAGTCCTGCATCTCGAAGTCTTTACGGAAACTTACCGAACATCTCGAAGATTGGAGGAGGGATATCCCAGATTTTGATATTCTAGTCGCCGCTCGTCGAGACCTCTTACATAGTGACGATGATGACGATAAATCCAAATATCAACGCTCGGTCAATACATCTCGTCAACCCTCACAAGCTCCAAATACGCGGTCTGTGGAGGCACCTCTTTCTCCGCGCGGCAGACCTATCAGTAATAGCATTACCCAAGAAGGACCACTTTCGAGCACCCCAGGCTCTCTACCACGCAGTACGATCGGATCTCCTTTGCGTGAGTCATCCATCCAATCACATATGTCCTCATCTCCGACTCGACGTCCTGTTGCGGTTGAGGACCTCCGCCAAAGACTTGCCAGCTCGTATCGCCTTGATAAAACTACAGACCGCCTAACCCCTTCTCAGCAAGAAAACAAGCACAATGCTGGAGAGACACAGGTTGATAAAGCAGCTGAAGGTGGTGAGGAACCGAGTGACGATTCATCACCAGCCCAGATTGAAACCGTTGTTACACTTGGGCATATTCTTACGAATGCCGTTATCCTATACGAGTTCATCCTGGAGTTAGCGGCCATGGTGCAAGTTAGGGCTACAGTATTTGAGGAGGCGGGTTATGCATAAAGAGCCGCCTGGATTCTACATCTGTTTATTATCGTTATAATCTGGCCATACTAATACCCCTCTATGTTCTGGCAGTTGAAACTGTTTTCTCGTTTATTCAATCTAAGCATATAGAGTGATTGAGCTCCTCCAGAAATGACCCAAAACATACCTCACGTAAGATCAAATTGATGAGTTCCATATTATCACTCTTCAGACTAATATGACCAGTGACCAGAAAATAATCAGCACAACAGCAAAAAGGAAATAAAAGACCGAGTGGAAGCTCCGAGAATGGCTGACACCGGGGAATTAATTCCAAAACTATTTGCCGGGCTACAGAGAACCAACCCAAGTTTGGCCGCACATCCCATGCAGAAAAATCGATTTGAGAGGATCCAATAGTTGAGATCAACTCTTTGGTCCAACTAATAACTTATGAATAGTCAGTCGGCATATCGGACTCATCTTACAACATCGCGGAAAGTACCCTATTCCAGAGCCATGATTGATACAGTGGATACACGCTTCTAATAGTGTGTTGTTTGCGTGATAATCAAACTGCGGAATCGGAGCGAATGTGAGCAATTTTGCATTTTCCCGTACGAGAATTGTGTATTAAAGTATGGCTTGTTACAAATTTCTCTACATCCGGTCGCAATATTCGGGCAAAGCATGTAGCACACCAGCCCGCGCCAGACTGAGTGTCGACCCATCCCTTGGATGTACGTATAAATATTCTTCTGGCCGGGATGCTCTTCTGTTCGAGGTTTATCATACTTTTCTCTAAGTTTTGCTACCTAGGTCGCTTGGCTACCCCTTCCTCATCTTGATCCCTGAACCATCATATCGTTGTGCGACGGCGAGGCAAAGACAAAATGGCAGCTCCCAGTAATCAAGCAGCATGGATCAATGAAAAGAACGCCAAACCCCTCGAAGTCAAAGAAGCTCCCTACACAAAACCAGCTGCCAACGAACTAGTAATCAAGAATGCCGCCGTCGCCATCAACCCTATGGACTGGATGCTCCAGGAAACCGGCCACCTCGCATTCACCTGGATCAAATACCCTTTCGTGCTTGGTGCCGATATAGCTGGAGAAGTAGTCGAAGTGGGCAGTGAAGTGACACGATTCAAAGTCGGGGACCGCGTCCTCGCTATGGGCTGTGGATCGGATCAGGATCGAAACAGGGCCGCCGAGGGCGCTTTCCAGAAATATGCTGTTGTGTTGGAGAATTTTACCTCGCCTATTCCATCTACTTTGTCATTTCCGGATGCCGCTGTCTTGCCTCTTGGCGTGTCTACTGCTGCAGCAGGACTTTTCCAGAAGAATTTCCTTAATTTGCAGTTACCCACTGTACCGCCACAGGCACCAACTGGTCAAACTCTTTTGATCTGGGGAGGATCAACGAGCGTGGGTAGCAATGCAATTCAGCTTGCTGCAGCTGCCGGCTATGAAGTATACACCACGGCTTCACCCAAGAATTTTGACTACGTCAAGAAGCTTGGTGCGTCGCAAGTATTCGATTACAATTCCAAGACCATCGTCAAGGATCTGGTTGCAGCCCTAAAAGATAAGACTGTGGCCGGTGCTTACGCTATCGGAGTTGGCTCTCTATCCCTCTGTGTGGACGTCATCAGCAAGACCAAAGGCGTGAAATTTGTCACCGACGTGGGATCAACCGATATCCCCAAGGACAAGAAACTAGCCGGATTCATACTCATCCCATTCTTGCTCGGCACAATGAGCCGCGGTGCAGCATTATGGGTGAAGACAAGACGCACCGGCGTTCGTACAAAGTTTGTCTATGCAAGTGACATTAAGAAGACCTCGTTGGCTAAATCTATTTATGCGGATTTCCTTCCTCAGGCTCTGGCTGAGGGCCGTTATCTTGCGGCTCCGGAACCACAAATTGTCGGTCATGGGTTGGAGAATGTACAGGAAGGATTTGGGTTGTTGAGGAAGGGGGTTTCGGCTCAGAAACTGGTTGTCACATTATAGAACACCATTTCCTCACCGTACACCACCGGCGATACCTAGAGAGAAGTCACTTCCTCTCTTCGTAGTTTACTTCTTGTAAGCCTGATTTGTCAGGATTTCCAGTGATTGTTATATTTAGATTAGTACTAATATTCAATATACCCCTTTGTTATTCCGAATCATCTATGCCTTTTCTACAACTAGACAGGGACTCTCTTGGCTGATCAGCCTGACTGACCGAGACCAATGGATACCTTGCCATGCCAGCTTACGACATCAAATCTCCTGTAGTATGATAGTTATCCTTTTGTATGGAAGATCATTAAGTCCGATGTCTATTGGAACGATTGACCATATACATGCTGAGAGCATTCAGCCACAATATGCAAACGAAGCCTAGTACGTAACCCCAAAAGCCTCCCCACAAGAGAGATTGGCTACTGTGGGGTAACAATGGACTTGGCAAAGAGAAACCAAAGACACATAAAAAGACTGTTGACTCATCCACAGTTGAAGCCAGCAGTATATCAAGACGACACGGTAACACAAGCTCATGCCCTGAAATGGAGTCTACTCTTGACCTCCTCTTCGACTCATCCTCATTGATCCCGTCCGAAATCAAATCGGAGTATCCTGCGGGGTACACAGTACGCCCCCTTGCACGAGATGATTACCATCGTGGATTCTTCGAATGTCTTAAAGATTTGACTTGGACCGGAGATATAAGCGAGAACGACTACCATGAACGCTTTGACTGGCAAAAGGAGAATGGCAAGGGTTGGTACTACTGCGTGGTCATCGTTGATGATGCCGCAGATCGCATCGTTGGAACGGGGACTGTTGTTATTGAGAAGAAATTGTCAGTATCTATTTCCTCAGCCTTCTTCATACGCCTGCTCTCTCTTGTTAGTTTCATGGGTAGCAACCAGTTGCTAATTTCTTAATAGCATCCATAACCTCAGCATCACCGGACACATTGAAGATGTCTCAATAGCCAAGGATCACCAAGGGAAACACTTTGGTCAGAGACTTTTGAAATCATTAAATGCCATCGCCCTTAATGCCGGCTGCGTCAAGGCGATACTGAACTGCGCGCCTCATAATGAAGGTTTCTATGCGAAGTGTGGTTACGAGAAGGCTGGGACGGAAATGTCGTGTCACTTTGAGAAGTTCCGCGAGTACTGGTAACTTTTGTATACAAGGCGAATGGATGATGATACATATTAAGTGACTCTAAGATCTGGCGGTAATGAAAGTGAAATGTTATGGATGGAGACATGATTTCTAGGGTTAGGGCTTAATATATATAAACCCTAACCCAGCCCGGGAGCCGCGGATAAAATCCGATACAAGCGTGGATGATTGGCTCAAGTATATACCCAACCCACTCATCCTAGCAAGCATCATTGGCTCGGAGCTGAAGCCGAGTCCTCGGGTGTAGAGATCTTGCCTCTAAGCTTAACGTATTTATATCCGGGCTGTGTCGCAGCATGCTTCAGCTGTGAAACTCAACTGGAACTTAGCCTACTTCCTACTTCAACTCCCTCCTTCAACGCGCTCAAATCAAGCCGGAATATCGCGCAATGCTGTGACTTCTGGAAGGAAAATTGACTGCTGCGGTCAATGACGTATCATTTATCCTTGAGTCGCTTCATTTTCATTGTGCAAAAATCGCCGATTAGTGCGGGCCGTTACCCTGACTCGTGTTTGACGTGACGGCTATTGAAGACGATAAAGGATACACGTATCTGATTTATATAGTAGAAAGGACAATCATGCAGGCCCTACAGGACAATGCCGAAGATCGCTTTGCGGACCGAGAAGATGCGCCATTTCTTGACCCGAGCCAGCCAAAGAACGAGCGGCCATCCCGGAAGGAGAAAAATGCGTCTCGCGAGAAGCTGCGGATCCGGCTCATGATTACCCTATATGCAATTATCCTGTTAGTTGAAATGGGGAACGCAATGACAAACGGCCCTTTTACACGCATATTCGAGTCGATCGTCTGCAAAAACTGGTACCGGGAGCATGATCCATCAAAGCTCGGAAGTGATGGAGAAGTGCCGGAAGATCAATGCAAATCGTCAGCTATTCAAGGCGAGGTTGCTACAATCAAAGGAGTCATGGAGTTCTTTGATGGAATCACTAGCGTGTTACTCGCTATTCCCTACGGTTTACTGGCCGATCGGATTGGACGAAAGCCCACAATCATGCTGAGTATCCCGGGGTTTATCCTCAACATGGTGGTCAGCGGAGTTGTGCTGTGGTGGTCGGATATCTTTCCACTTCGTGCAATATGGTTCTCGGCTTTGACATGGCTGTTTGGCGGTGGGCTAGTTGTCGCGTCCGCGTTGGTATGGACAATGATGGCCGACGTCACGACGGAGCAACAACGATCGGCCATGTTCTTTCAGTTTGGCGTCGTTGTTATGGGTTCCGAGTTTCTGAGTAATTCACTCGGATCATGGTTAATGCTGTTCTCGCCTTGGAGACCCTTACTTATTGGTTGGGGCATTATCATTATTGGTCTGTGTCTGGGCCTGACACTGCCGGAAACCAAGAATGCGTTCTCTTCCGCCATCTCAGAGCCGGACTACTCTGAGCATGAAATGTCTGACTTGTCGACTGTCGTAGATGAAGAAGAGCAGGAAGGCATCTTGCCTTTTGCGAAAGCAACCGGCGCAGCACATCAGCCACCAAGCTCAGCTTGGATGAAAATCAAGACGTCCTTCCTCGCATACACTTTCTTCTTCCAAGACAGACAAGTGGTCTTGCTCTCTTCAGCTTTTTTGGTCTACAAACTCAGTCGAGGAACCGCATGGTTCCTGATTCAGTATGTCTCCATCAGATATGGATGGAGCCTTGCGGCAGCAAACATGATCACTTCGCTTAAATCAATCCTGATGGTTTTTCTGTTTGTTGCTATACTGCCATTGGCTTCGTGGTACTTACAGAAGAAGCGAGGCGCTGACGGTCGTACCAAGGATATGATTCTTACCAAAGGTAGCGTCTTATGCCTATTAATAGGCACTCTGGGCATGGGCCTCTCACCACATATTGCTATTATGATATTTTTCCTCGTCATCCAGACTATGGGTGCTGGATTCGTCTATACTACCCGTTCGGTCGTTACCACTATGATCCATCGTGACCAGACGGCTCGCTTATATACATTGATTGAGATTATTCAGGCTTTGGGTATGATTCTGGCTAGTCCGATAATGACTGGCTTCTTCAATTTGGGGTTGCAATTGGATGGTTTCTGGATAGGGTTGGCCTGGATGGTAGCTGCAGGTCTCTTTGGTATTGTGGGTTTGATCATCTGGAGGGTCAGGTTGCCTGCTCATACAACCAGATCCGATGATTAATTTGCATTGTTGTGTCGGGACAAAAGGTTTTTATCTGCAGGGAGTTGCAATTTTTGTACATGTACATAGCATGTTTTCATCGGAGATTTCGAGCATATATATTACAGATAGAGCCTTATGACTGGAATATATTGAATGGGTACTATTTCGGTGCCTCGATCAAGTTACATGCTGTTCATATGATGGTGTACACTCATACCTATTTAGATACCTTACCAGTCATGGTCAAATTCGACGCTTTTGCTCTTGCAAATCCATTATTGTGGCCCTTTTTCGCTCTCTAAAGACATTCACAGTCTAAACAAGTCGTTGATCTCATCACTTTTTAGCGCCGATATGAACTCCAACCCTTAAGGAGGAACTGGGCCCTATCCTAGCCATTATTGACGTTTGCGAAATCGGACAAGTGCCTGAAGTTTGACCATATTCTGGCTACTAATAAGGAAAATCATGATGACCATATAGCTCTCTGGTGGAAGACTATTCGAATAAGCAGTAACAATCAATGACAAAATCTATAGATCTCGAAAGCCGCTTTTACAAAGACGAACATGATAACCAAAATCAGGGGTCAGCGTATATAGTCCACAGCAATACATCAGTTCCTCTGGCAATCTATACAAGTCTGAAAGGAAAGACAAATGAAGCTTGGTGTCAATGGATAGTAGGAATCAATTTCAAGCTCCACCTGCAACGACCATATCCGGCGCTGCTGTTTTGAATAACCTCTCCTTTTTCATCAGCAGCGCACAGATCACTGTGATTCCTCCGGCCGCAATGCTAATAGTGTAAACTTTGCTGATGGCATCTATGATAGCCGAAATGGCTTGTGACTTCATAGAGGGAGTCAGAGACGCAAATAGGGTGCTCTGTGTTCCTGCAACGGCACTCCTGATATCCTCTTGAGAGAAATCTAGGCCATGCAAGACACGAGTAAGGTTTTTCATCGCTAGACTTTGAAAGATCTGGCCACCTATAAGCAGACTTCCCATTTGGAAACCAAGCTGAGAAAGGTTGAGCATGGAAATGACACGCTGGACATCCAAGCCAGAGCCTGTTCTCATCATAGTTTTGACCCCTCCAACTGTGTAACCGGCCTGGAAGATCAAGCCAGTGCCAGCACCCAGAAGGACGCTGTATCCATAGACGTTTGCCATACGAGTGTCGATGTCGACAGTGTACAGAGTAGCACCCCCGATTGTCATGAGGATACCACCAAACAAGTACAACGCCCAGCTAAAAGAAAAGTCGTCAGCTTGTGAAGAAGAAACATAGCAGATAATGGCTCTTACTAATAACTGATCCGCGGAAGGAACGCGCCAGAGAGCATATTCATGGACGCAAGGAAGCAAATATAAGGAAGCAGGCGGACGGCAGCCATGAGTGCTGAGTCTCCATGCACAAACGAGCAATAGACGGGGATGTAATAAACCGGCACGTAGATATTTGTCGCACCCGCGGCAGTAACGATGTTTAATAGGATTAGGGTGCTATCCTTGAGAATGTGGCGTGGGGGAAACATGCGAGCTGGGCGGTTGGTAAATAGGACAAAGTACTGCTGGAGAAGCACCAGAATGAGGAGCACACCAGCAACAACGAATGTTGTGATTGTACGGCCATCATTCCAGGCCCAAATCGAGCCAGCGAAAGTTAAAGCCATCACAAAGGATAGCATTGCTCCAGTACCTCCAATAAAGCCAATCCAGTCCAGATTCCTGAGCCTTGCGAAAACAGAGGTGTCTGGCGCGCCTGGTGGTTTTACTGACGGGAGGTAGAAGATGTACGCTGGTGCACACACCGCCGCAATGACACTGGAAATCTCAGTAAGCAGAATTGTTTGGTTCATCGAGTAACTTACAGATTAATGTAGAATGCCCATCGCCAGGTTGCAGAAGAAGTGGAAAATGCTCCCCCTACTACAGGGCCAAGGACAGCACCTGTTCCCCAGACCACGCCAATCCCCGAGATATAGCGGCCACGTTCTTTGTCAGACGTTAAGAGGGAGAAGAAGTTGAGAGTACTAGCAGAATGTATAAGCAGAGAGTGAGTAAACTATATTTGTTGAAGAACTTACCCAAGAAAGATGCCAGAACCTCCAAGGCCAGCGATTACTCTGCCCACAATCAATGCGTCCATGTTTGGTGCTGCACCGCAGAGCGCAGAACCAATTTCAAAGAGCAGAATACTTCCAACGAAGAGGGGTTTGAGATCAAAGTTATGGTAAAAGGCAGAACTTCAACCAGCAAGTTAGCTTCAATGTCAATCCAAGGGGAGTGCAGCAGCTTACACAGGTAATATGGCACAGACAGAACCCAGAGGAAAAGCGGTGCCAACCCAAGTAAGACGTTCGACATTATTGAATCGTTCGACGATAGCGGCCTGGATGTCTGCGGCAATGGTGGTATCAAGGCCATAGATGAGAGCTCCGATGTAGAGAGAAGCACAGACTAGGACCCATTTAAAGCCATGTACCGGCCTCGGGCTGTCGTTGTTCGGTTGCAGAGATGTCGTAGGGGACAAGCGAGGTGATTTTTCGATGTCTTCACCAGAGTCGTTTGAGGAGTCACTTTGGACTACCTCCTTAACATCTTCTGTGGAACTCATGGTGGATCGGGCAATAGGGCATAGAACTTCGTGGGCAATGTGTTGGAATGCGACTGTGCCATAGACTTGGGTAAATAAAGTTTATAAATAAAAACATTGCTGAAACTCGTAACGACATAGCATTGACATCTATAGCTCTCTAATTCTCTTTGGATGACAAAGCTGACAAGTGCGATGTTCATTAGTAAGTCTCTCCTACAATTTTGCCGGTTGTTGAGATGCATTCATTGTCATCCGGCCAAATTACCCCGACTGCGGCCACTTTGTTCCGGCATCTCATTCCTTTGTCAGCAGTCTTCTCCGCCTCATTCTCCCTCCCAGAGCAAATGACAGAATGGAGAAATAATTGAGTTTCTCTCGAGTTCATGGAAAATATGATTCTTGGATAAACTTGCTCACCACGTTGGACACATGCATTCCATATCAACGCCGTTCGAGTCGTCCCATGAAACATCCGCGTCGACTTCATTACGGTTCTGTGGGTTTTGTCAGAAGCCGTTCTTGAAGGGTGAACTAATCCTATTCACAACTCTGTTACATTGTATACTGAAAATTGAATGCTAGAAACATCGTATAATCGCCATATTCTATACTGTCGCCGAGCCAAAAATCGGCGTCGGACTCGTGTCAGGTCATGTCGAGCTTGCAGTGCTGCTAAAGCAAAGTGCAGCTTCCAGCCTCAATGCTTGCGATGCACCAACAAGGGCATTGAGTGCGTATACGACACGGCGACTACAATACCTACAGACCAAGTAAGCGATGAACAACACATGGCGCAAATCAATGTGCCAGCCTTCTCCTCGACATCCTTGACGGGAGATGACTTCACCTTCAACGACTTGTTCCCATCTGGCGGGACAACGGACACAGTCGGAGCGCAAATCGACATCGACTGGGATGCACTTGGTGATATCTCTACACAAACCCTTAAGACTAGCCTGCCCCGTTTGAATGACCCGATGCCGAAAGTTACCTCCAGCGGGCCATTTCTCCTCTGTAATCCCGACGGCGTTTCGCCCAATCTTGACCCTGAGAATCTTCTTCAACCCCAGAAACTTCCGTCATCTGCTTTGACTATTCGAGATGGATATTCCTCAACTCTTTCCGGGCCTGCACAGCCCTATGAGCGACCAGAATCAAACTTCCTAGCCCGACTCCCGATATCAGACCCCGTCTCGCATTTCATCGCAACTAGTGTCATACAGATGATTCGTACTTACCCACTGATGATGCTTCGTACAGAGACACTTCCTTCTTTCATACACGGCCACTGGTATCGTCCCTCAGGTGGTATAGAGCCTTCCTTGCCTGAGCCACTTGTCAATTGCATGGGCATAGCACAGATCTTTGCTTCTCATAATACCGAGAGCAAGCCTTTCTTATGGCGCATAGTCAAGATAGAGCAGCGCTCCTTTATTGAAAAGGTACGGGCCAAAACAAGACCGGCATGTACTTTTACAGTCAAAGTTATTAGTCCGGATATGACCAGTAGCAGAAGATACTCTACTCTCATTTCGAAATGACGGCCAGCTAATTTTGTAACAGAACGACCAACGCCAATTCTCTAGAGAAGACCTTCTCGCAGCTATACAAGCCCAGATTATGTATGTTATTATGCGAATCATCGATGACTCGAAAATGGACCAGGGTATGAATCTTGAAATGCTTGTCACTCATGAGGTATGCGATCTTGCTCCCCCGCTAAGACTTTTTCTAATTGAAGTAGATCCTTTGCGAGAGCCTCGTGCAACTGTGCAACGAACCGTTCTGCCAAGATGAGAGACTATACCCGAGTAGCAGCTGGGAAGATTGGGTTTTTGCCGAATCTAAGAGAAGGTAATCACATGAAATTCTCCCCGGTTAATTTTAACTGGAACTAACAGTTGAAAATGTTAGGACTGCATTAGTGTGGTTCCTCATTGCTCAGACGATCCACATCAAGACTGGCGTATCGTGCGAGACGATCAGTGGCTTCCAAGATCTCCCCCTATGTTCCCCCAAGTCACTTTGGGAAGCAAAAACACGTTCGGCATGGCAGGCAGAATATGAGATGTACCAGTCCATGCCGCGGAATGGGCCAGACGTGTTTGGAGACCTCATTGATGCCTGTAAGCAGAGCGATACGGGGTCCGGCAGGCTGAAATTGGACACCTGGAATGCTAATGCGGATAATCTTGGTATTATACTTAGTATGAGCGCTGCGATGATGGCGAAGGATTGAGGACACCTTGATACTATTACTTTCATAGTTTTATTTTCTTATTGAATAGGATCTAGGTCACGGTGGAGTCTCGTTTTACGAAACTGAGTGCTTCAATTTGATTTGGCCGTGTTATCTGCAGCACGTCTTACTACAGAGCCTATCAACTATTGAGCTAGCTTGCTCGCAGAGCCCGTACGAGATTCTATAGATTAAACACAAGCCTAGGACCACGCTTAGCATTAAGTATAATCAGTACTTACGAGCAGCACTTAAGCAGACCTCTCCGTAGATTGCTCGCCGGCCCGTCAATGGGCTGCTAATTGGTTCATACACGAGCTTGGCTAGGCTTGTAGGAGCCCATACCCTGCGTTATATTTGGGGGCGGAAAGTCTCAATCAAACCCCGGGGCAGTTTTAAAGTTCCTAAGAAAAGCTGTAGCGGAATTATTTTTTTCATTAATATCTGGAGCACTACTAAATTACTAAGAAGGTGATCTCATAAAGCTTTCCCGACATAGGGTTAGTGGGTGGTCGAACTAGTTGTTTCCACCGTCAAAACATCATTCCACTGTTCCAGAGCTGTCTTGGAAATTCCGATTTAACCATCAGAGTATGCATACGCAAGTTTATTATCAATACGACGTAGGGCATGCTGAAGTCTTTCCAGTGGTGGGGGTGGGGGTAAGGCCGTAACGTATTGTTTTAGCTCATGCTCATGTCAATCCTACCTAGGTATACTTAAGTGGCTTCTAACAATTGATACTACCTACTACCGTACATGTATCAACGGATGCTGGCCCCCAATCTTGGAACCAGATTGAAGACAGCAATCTGTGGATTACAGCTGTACATGCATATCTATGCTGATAACCACGTTCTAGTATCCACCAGTTTCTATGTAGTCAATCCTACGGTATGCATAACCATTTTAACTTTTGATTCTTATTTCTAACAAGTAGATCCGCGGCACTCCCGCGGTGGGCTGAAGCCACAGTCCCACTGCAAGCTAGGGCCATTTTGTAGTTAGAATGGGGCCTGTGTTGCTGGTTCAGTGGTTATAGATAGCTAGAAATACGTGTAGAAGAAGAGAAAATAGTTATGGCCCAATCCCACTTTTGTGGGGGGAGGGTCCTATAGGGCTATTGCAAATGAAGAAATATGTATGAGAAGGGAGAGGAAGACAATAGACATGCCGGTCTGCAGCGCCCTTACTTATGAAATACGGATTTACAGGGATATCTTCATATCAGACATCTTCGGTGTGCATGAAAAGTCGGGGAATATTTCCTAATGAGAAAGGAGGTGCATGGAAAAGAGCAGATAATCACCTACCATACTAGGATTGCGTGCGGATTGAGTGGACTGAGCGGAGCAATTAAAAATCATGATAAGAAGGGGAAGAAGGAGTGTAAACAGCATGTCCTTATATACACATGTTAGCGAACATGTTAGCAATAATTATTAATACTGTACGTACAATTACCTATCCTTCTTTGGATGGCGGTCGGAGATTAGAGTGAGTCGATAGCCGGATATGGTTTAGCGGGTATACTAACTAACCCTAGTATGGAATAGTGCATCCTCGCATAAAGGTTTTACCGCTTACCATTTTTAGGCAGAGCGCATTACATATATTAGGGTTAGCGGGAAACAGGTCGGTCCTCGAGGAAGTTTGACCTCCCTTCCGTTCCTCCGCCGAAGATAGGACACTGCACACTCGGGAAAATAACCTGTAAGATCATCTACCAGTCAACACTTCGAATAAGGGAATCCCTATACCATCATCGGCAACGACTAAAGTATCCAAACATCAAGCACCCACGTTATGAGAAAAATTTATGCCCTGTCGCGGGTTCAAGCCAGATCTGAGGAAAAGCATGTAATTAGCCCACTAGTGTCCTATAGGGTTTAGTCCCTCCGGGCGTAATAAATATCATTCACTCATCCTCCTACGGCGCTACTGGCTGTAGAACCAACACATTCAGGGGATAATAACACCATACGGCATAGTAGCAATGAGGTTGCTGGCTAGAAACAGATGGCTCGCCAAGCCGCGCAGCCATTTCAGAGTAAATGGATTGGAGACAGCAGTCATATGGAGGCTTTAGCCTTTTACCAAACGGCCCCCACGGGATTCAGCCATGCACTTGCCGATTAACTATCACATACAGAGTACAGTTTACTAATAAAGATTCGCTACTCATCCTATGCCACGTCCTCGTGGAGGTAGAGTCAAGGTGAATAAAGATGAACAACCAAATACATCCACAAGATGCGATTGAGGCCGTACAGCGAAGAAGATATCAGAACCGCATTGCGCAAAGAAACCACCGTAAGTGATGGAGATCGACTAAGCAAATGCAATGTTTGGAATCGACTCACCTAACACCATGTGAGGCAAGGCAAACGCCAGGCAGAGCTGGAACAAAAGCGAATGCGCGAGTTGGACGAAAAGATAGAGAGCCAGAGAAACCAGGGTAGCGAGCCTCGAGTTTCTGTCGAAGGCGCTTATCACGGCGGCGCGGGGATAAAACCCTTGAACAGACCAGAGAACATCTTTCCTGATCAGAACACATCAGATGTGCCCATCCCTAAACCTGTCGGATCCCAGGCCGAGATTACGCAACATCAGCCTCGGGCATTTACTGAATCAGAGCCCGCATGGCCACCGGATAATTTGGCTAGCGCAACGTCTTACATGGATATATATGGAAACATGGACGAGACAATGCCAAGCTTGGTCCTGACATCAGGGTTTGAGTCGCAACGCAGGTCCATACGCTCGCCCACACTGCGCTCTTTGCCTAGCCCATCTCGAATTATTAAAAGTTCCAAGACGCCTCAGGAAGGAAGTAACCACCTTGAGGGCTCAAAGGTATTTGGGGGTTCGGGGACTTTCCCGAGCGAGTCCGGCTCACAGAACCTAGGCAAGACAGCACTTCATATCAGTTCTGAGCGGGGCAGTTTAGGAATCGTACAATTTCTGCTCCTCTCCGGGGTCGATGTCAATGGGACAGATAACTGCGGACGTACGGCGCTGCATTACGCAGCACATGCGGGGCACCTAGATATTGTCTCGCAGTTACTTAGAGGAGGCGCTGATTTAGACGCTCGCGATCATGAAGGCCGAAGCCCTCTGCATCTCGCAGCGCATGCTGAATGTGAGGAAGTGATTCGGTTCCTAGCACAGGAAGGTGCGGACTTAGACGCGGCCATAGGAATAAGTAGACAGATGAGTAGTGAGGATGACGATGACCTTGACCTTGACTATGATAATTGCGAGACGATGAAGTCTTGACCCTGGAAGAGTAGGTCTTTCCAGCCTTTATCGCAAGTCTACCCACTTCTGACACTAATAACTGGACGCATCAGTTCCCGGCTGAGAAACTAAGCTTGATTAAGTCAGCAGAAACTAGGAATGATGGAGTTCGCCTCCATAACTTATCGCTACTTCCTCAGCCGTGTGCTGTTTCAATTGCCATTTCTGAGTACTTTTGTGGCATCAGGCTCACTACGTTGGGGAGAAATTAGCATGATTATTATATGAGAGCAAGAATTGTCCTAGCGTTGCTTTTTGTATTTGCTCAGGGACACACGGTTTAATGTATTTATGGGAATTCTCCCCCTATGATGGCAATATGAGCCGTTAACTACCTGGGTACACATCGATATTTAATTAAGCAAACATTCCCAGAGTGCAGCAATATATAACCTGTTGTGATTGTAGAATATCATCGCTTCATGTCCTCAATTAAGACTCTTATCTGCACTAGTGCTGGATCTTGAGAGTACGTTCTGTTATTTCTTTCATCCAGGTTACTGCACAGCCTTGACCAATCCTGACTCTATATCGAAAATGAAGCCGTGCGTATGCTCTGCTAGTTCAGTGCGCACAAGAGGAGAATGTTTGAGAATATCAACATCATCCCTAACGCTTTGTTCGAGATCTTCTATGGCTCCAAACGTGCCATCTTGGCCAACACTCCCAGGGACTCGCGCATTGACAACCTCGCGGATCATTTGATCGCTGTAATGTGTCGTCCCACAGTCCGTATGGTGTACTACCATGATCTCCTTCATGCCAATAAAAACATCAAGAGCAACGATATCATTGACAAGCGGACCGACACGACCACCTACGTTTCGAAGGATGACGGCGTCCGACGCTGCTTTGAGATGGAGGAACTCGACCGGATCAACTCTAATATCGCAACAGGTGATAACTATGACCGATGGCGGAATTGTTCCAGCGGCTTTAGCCTCGCTCAGTAAAGGTTTGGAGGAGAACGTCTGGATCTGGGATTTGTTCCGGTCGAGAAGGGCCTTAATGTCAGGCGGAGAAGACATGGTCTGGAATCATGGAACCTTTGGACAATGTGCACCTATTTGTATTCATTTGCTTGTTTGACAGCATGCTAAAATCCTGTAGAAACGGCACGAACCGTTTTTCTACATATTTGAAAGCTGTTCAGAGTGAAAGCAAGAGAGATGCTAGCGTGATCTGTCGGCGATAATGCCGAAGGCCAGCGTCGACGCTATTCGGCCTCGGCCCGGTAAAGACGTTGGAGCTCTTTTTGTACTACACGCGAAAGGTCACTAATTATCTGGTGTAAAAGCTCGTTTGCTAATGGTCAGATTGATAGTCCATCCTTCGAACAATTAGTCTTCTGTAGGCATTGACAAACCCGGAACCCACCGTCAATAAGACGACGCAGAGGGACACGGAGGATCGCATATCGAAGGCTAGCAAAAAAGTGAAATAGTTTCAAGTTGTAATGGTGAACTGAGGGCCCAGGGCAGGTTAGAATCAAAAGAACCTTGGAAAGCCCCAAACTGAGCCAGATCCGGGCATAATGAGATCCCAGATCTACTATTCCACTGAATATACTACTGACTCAACACCTCGCTCATCTGTGTAGTGTAGTAAATCTTATGTATCTATTCCTACATAATACTCGTAGACGCATTCCGCCATGGGCCGCCATCCATGGAATCCATGAGGCTATACCTCGTGCCACTCAACTGGTATGACCATGTGAGTAAACCCTAATACAAATAGTCCCATGGCATTTAGAACAAGGCAGCCTCAATATAGCTTTTTCCGCTAATAGTCGACAGCACCGTACCCCCTCCATGCACGTGTGCATGATATTGCAGTATCGGTTTAAGAAATATGACTCTTCGGTCAACACAATTAGAGCAGCACTCGACTGTATGCAGCTCCACCCGCTACCTAGGTAGCTTTTAGGAGCTATATGTAGACTAAGTTCCTGGCAAGTGCGAAACGAAAGAGTATAGATTATCTCTAATGCACATAATTAATCTCCGGACACACCTCATTCGAGTGCACAGGAAAATGTCAAGGGTAAAGAGTGGGCATGCCACGTTGGTCAGCTTACCTGTCAGCTTACGTATCAGCTTACCTGCAGGGGGAATGATACATAGTAGCAAGGATAACCTCATAAGCCTCACGAGTACATAACAAATGAGCTTCCTTCTATTTTGACCCTATACAAGTAGCAGCAACAGCAGTAACAGACTTTTCCGCAGTCTTCGTATTCGCGTCAGCCGTGGTCTCCTGATACTCCCGTAGGACGTCAAGACTTACTATTAAATCCAATATGAGTAGTGGTATGGGGTCAAGACATGCTGCATGCACGGAGTGTCGGCAAAGAAAAGTCAAGTGCGATGGAGGCCAACCGAGCTGTCAGAATTGTTTGCGTCGGGGTAGCGCGTGTGTGTTTGCTGCCAGAAGCTCAGGTCAAGAGAAAGACGAATTGCTTCTCATGATCAGTAAGCTGAGTGATCGCTTGTGTTTGTCCTCCCTTACCTCCCAAGTCAGATACATCTAGGGATGGGTTAATCCTCACATTGCAAAGAGGGACTAATGTGGTTATCGCAAAACAGCGAATGCGGAACAACGTCTTGCATCCGAAAATAAGTCTAGTTATCCACAACTGACGCCTCAGGATATGCATCCAGATCACATAATCTCAGGGACAGAGATGGATTTTCCAGGGCTGTTGGGTCTCCCGGATAATGCTGACAGCTGTACCGACAACGACGGTGCTGTGGCTCTGTTTCCGGAGTCTCAAATTGAATTTGGAATGATGTCTGATATACAGACATCTGCTACTGCACTCGTCCAGTCGTCTGAGATTCATTCTTTCAGCTGGCCCAGTATAGACATAGAGATCGGGACGAGACCAATACCCGATGGCGATGATTTGGGAGGTGAACTGTCCCCCCACACTACACGCGAATTGTACGTACGACATCGATGCTGAAACGTTGAGCTGCAAAGCTGACTGGATTATTCGTAGATACCAGGCCTACTTTGACCAGACAGATCATAGTTGTTACATGTTGGATAAGAACAGCTTCCTCTTAAAGATGGATCATTTGCCCCTTGGACCAGAATCCTTGAGCTTAAAATTCATCGTCCTTGCCCACGGAGCCTCGGCCTCTCCTGCGTATCGCCACTTGCAAAACAAGTTGTATGATACTTCGCGGAGATATTTTGAAAACGCTGAAACGGGAAATCCTTTCATGACCATTGCTGCCCTCCAAGCATGCATCCTTCTCGCGGTGTATGAATTGAAACAACTTTTTTATTCAAGAGCCTGGGGCAGAGTTAACCGCGCAATGTGGATGGCCGAAATGTTTGGCTTGCACAAAATGGATGCGCAATATAGTTCACCTCGACAGCGACAGTCGGGGCTCTATGTCGCGCCAACTACTGATCCCGAAGAGTTGGAGGAGCGCAGAAGGACCTTTTGGTCAGTTTTTATTCTCTGCTGTTTTACAAGCATTAGTGTGGGTTGGAACACATATGCGCAAATCAACTATATGGAGGAGGTATGATGTGATGTTTTTCGCCATCTTCCAAGGTTGTTCCTACCCACTAACATCTTCCAGATCACCACCTTGCTGCCAAATGAAAATAGGGGCGACGACCATACATCGCCATTCCGGCCCACCCTTAATAACACACTCAGACTACCTATGGCGCGAAAGCTCTCAAGCTTCGAAGCATTAATTATCACCAGCGCGCTGCATATCCGTAGTCTGAGGCATGCCGACTTTGCTCTCGTCGAGATTGGGGAGGATTACCTGAGCTATGACTTTTGGATGCATCATTATTACATTACTGAAAGCATCAGCCAGGTGGGTTTCACTCAGCATGTAGAACCTACTTTGCAGAACTCTATGACCGAACCTGCGACACTGTGTGTGACTCTCAGGATTCAGGCAATCTATATCTGTCTCCATCACGCGGCTGTAGTGCGTGAGTCCCAGACGAACTCAACGCGGGCGTTCAGTTCACAGAGCGAGACCAAGTGTCTCATGGCCGCCATGAAACTTACCAGTATGATAAACCAGATACGGGATCAAGCAGGTTCAACTAATGTGAGTCTATCTCTGCTTCAGCCTTCTATCGAATGTTTCCCAGACAGAAATGCTGATTGTTATACAGCCCAATCCTTATACAGTATGGTCGATATACGTTGCCGCACAATTTTATGTTCGAGAGTTGCATGCTAGTAGATGCAAGAACGGGCATCCTATCATGCCTATGCGCACCCCATCGAAGCCGTCCCTTTCGCCGAATGGTCGACCATCATTGCCGGTCTCTGCTAGCCGAGAGCAGAGCAAAAACATGAATATCAGTCACTTTGACGGTACATCCCCCGCAACCATCAACAATCACGCCTCGGGTCTGATCCCAAGTCGCTTCGAACTCTTGCACAATATTGATTTCCTACTCAGCACTCTCTCCGCGCTCAAAAGATCAAACCCCATGGCGGGTACATTTGAAGCTCAAATTTATGACGAGCTGAAAGGAGGCAAGGCAATGACAGATGATCGACCTATCGGCCGAGTCGAATTTCCACTAGACGGAAAATACGTGGCAAATAATTATGCTGAAAATGGGGCCCAAGATAGGAACAAGACCTAGACATGATATTCGGACGTTTGACAATGTTAACGCAGTACGACGCTAGGAGCAACGAAATGGGGGATTATGGGAAGCGTGATAGAATATACTAAATAGACATCCATGAATTTTACTTGATACTAGCTTTTTTGTGCAACTAGATGATAGGAAGATTTAGCAACGTAAATTTGAGATATAGAATCTCTGAGAAAATGCTACCTATGTGGGCAGCTCGGACAACATTCTAAGGTTACACTCCTGACCTGATATCAGAACCCTCGCAAGACTAGCAAGCCAACCTGCCACAGCCAAAAACACTAGGACGTCAGATCGTATTTCAAGCGCTTTCAGTCACCTCACTAGCTTTCGATCCTCGAACCACAAAAAGGAATGACAACATTACACACAAGCTCAGGATAGGCTTGACGGTCCATCTTAACATACTTTGTGTCCATTCACCCAGAGACGGTGCTGATATCACTTTCCTATTCTTTATTTCCAACACCTCATCATCCCACTTCACCGTCCCCTTTAGGTTCCCGGGTACAGGGACAAAGTCGAGTTTGGGCGCAGCCTTGAATAGAGCGCTGGCCTGTTTTGCAAAGGTGTCATCCGGCAAGAAAGGGATGACGCGGGAGAGAATCTTATACCAGAGGTTCTCCCAAGCCTGAGTCTTGGTTGCCAGAGAGGAAAAGTCTATAAACTGGCGCATTCGCACTTGCCGTTCCTTCTGGTACTCAGTGAGCAAACTCTGAAGAGCCGCCCTGTCTGGTTTACCCTGTGGATGCTCCTTTATAGCCTTGTTGAGGAGGTTAGTGAGGACGACGATGCTCTCCATAGCAGAGTTACCACCCAGTCCAATGTTCGGCGTCATCTGAACTCTGATGTTAGGACAACCAGGTAGTTCAGGTGATTTGGCTTACCTTGTGGACAGCGTCGCCGGCGAGAACAACACGTCCGAAAAACATATGTTTGAAGAGACCTTCTTCCACGTTGACAAGCTCAGTCCGGATGGCGGTTTTCCAGAGCTCCCCGAAAACTTGAGTTTCTGAGATGGGACAGTCCATGCATTCAGCGGCGCGTCTCTCTGCATCTGCCTTGGTCCACCTTGGGAGGGCGGGCCAGTGCACTCTTTCGTTCTTGAAGAATACAAACCAGAACGTGTGTTTTTTGCCTCCAATAACCAAGAACGATTTTCCAGGGTAGTGAGTGCAAGTCAGATCGCTCTGGCTCATCTCCGCTTTTGTTTCGCTGAAACCAATCAGAAGACTATAGTCGGCATAGAGACCTTTCACAAGACGTAAGCTTTGGCGGCTTATCAGATGAGGGAGCCAATCTTACTCTTCTTCTCATTCGCAGTGATCATTCCTGGAACAGCCGTGTTGGCATTCCTCCACATAAGGCTTCTGACCAGGCTATGGACTCCATCGACTCCTAACACCAAGTCACCCTCTTCAATGCCTCCGTCAGCGAGTACCACCTTGACACCATCTTCTGAGTCGATAATGTCCACAACCTCGGTATGCGGCTTGACGGCAGATTTGTCAGAGAGCGCCTCGTACATGATTTCTAGGAAACGCCTGCGCTCTAAGACCGGGATTGGATACCCATGGCTGTCTATCGTAAGCTTCCACTCTGAAAGACCGACTGACTGGCATCATTCAAGCATACTATTGTCTCAAAAATTTGAACAGATCGCTGTTGGCGAAGACTGTTCCGTCAGGTAGGAGATCTTTGGCCTTCTCTATTGGGTACGTTTCGTCGTCAACAGCTTTGAGTGTTCCGAACTGTTGGAGAATCCTGGCTCCGTGTGGGTAGATGCCAATACTGGCTCCACGTGCTGGAGCAATTTCGCCCTTCTCCAAGACGACATGGTCGATATTGGCCTTCTCAAAGGCATGAGCGGCAGCAAGGCCTCCAACTCCTCCACCTACTATGATAACTCGAAAAGGCTTCTGGTCTCCCATTGTGTATTCGGGGAAGCGTGCAGCCACAACATCATACTGAGAATTCTGCGAATGCTGCTAGGCTTACCCTATGTACTTATCACAAGGTTTGACCTCCATATGAGAGATGCTAGAGATGCTTACGGGCTCTCATTCCGAGAACGAGATAATGGCTTTAACCCAATGCATTTTCTGCTTCGGTCGCCCCACGCCGAGGCTAGGAACTTAGGGCACGTAGCTCTTCGGTGCTCGGGCCGAAATATCTGCATATTGACAACTATACATGATTACCAGAGAGAGACACAGCGGCATCAAGGTTAGAGATATAATATGCTTAGAATTCCCTATAGCTTAAGTTCCTATTGTAACCATAATCATTCAGTTTATACAGTCTATCGTCTTTGGATTACTTTAATTTAACGAACGCCACAATGGGAGCCCCTACTGTCAACTATCCGACCGTCGTGCCAGCAATAAATCAGGTGGTCGACGTAGTCGCAAAGCGCGTGGTTGGTAAGTTGGCCAAGTGAATTAACTAGCCTCGGCGAATCTGACCTTTTGTAGGAGTGCGCGAGAATGGCCCAACTCTTATCCATTTTGTAAGACACGAATACTCCTTCGGGATCAAGGCCCCAAGGCTGACTAGGGCAACCGAATGTTAGGAGTTTGGAAAAGGAACGCTTGAGACCGTCGAAGGGTTTGAGCCGGCCTTTAAAGCCGAAATCTTCCACGGCGCCGACTGGCTCTCTTTTGACTCCGACGAGAAGCACGCCCGTATTGATGTGAAGGCCGTGGCACAGTAAGTGAATCCACTAGATGTCCCATAGCCTAGCAGCGCTATGTATCTATAACTCTGCAGGTTAGAGCTAACAGAGGGTTCATAGGACCGAGGATGGGGAGACTATCAACTTTCCCTACCACGGCGTCGTGACGCTTGACAAGGATGTTTTGAGCATCTTCAACATGGAGCCCACATCCAAAACTATCCCATTTGGTGCCAGCAGTAGGTTCCCTTTATTTCTATAAAGATGATGCTTCTGCCTGTCAAGGCTAACCTTCGCCTAATAGCCAATACACACTATTTCCACTGTGGATCGGAGAAGCTTAAGGAACTCGAGAACATGACATTCATCGGAAACAGCCGCATGATTGTGAACGAAGAAACAAGGGCAATCCAGGTCGAGACTCGCATCTCGAGAGTCATAGCGGCAACAGGCATGGAGTAGAGATCGAAAATGGCAGAGAAGGGAGCTGTTGCTACTAAGCTTGTCCATGTACCCATTGGGTAGGAGACTTTGACGTCCTGTGGAAAACAGCTCTTTGCTGGCCACAACGCCGACTACAGAGCATTATATTGATAATCTGACTTATTCCCTACAAACACCATGAACTCGTATTGGAAATACTAAGTAATCTGTGTACCTCCATAACGAAAAGTAGCGCCATAGGGTTAATGAAGAATATTCCTGTATTCCTTGGCAGACAAGTTGTATATTGTAAGTCATAGTATTTGCTCTAAAGCCTTATTTTTCGTAAATGGAGATTCTAGCTTTACAGAATAAAGGTGTCTCTAGAGAATATTGTCTTCGAGTATTTAACATACTAGAGCGCTAAAACTACACTTACAACTTTTCTACTAGGGTGACTTTTTGTTAAAATATAATCAATAGTAGCTTATCTATACGTCAGTCAACTCCCTCCACAACGCTCGGTCGTCTCACCGAAGATCTCTCAAGCTAGAGAAACATTGAACCATTTCGGGAAACACACCGAGGTCGACTTCCCGAGGGAAGCCAGGGGAAGAGCTTCAGTGGGAGGCTCCCCGAAGTACCGTCATACATCTGCAACAAGGCTTCTACGGAAAAGAAAGAGACGGCTTGACGACATCTTAATGATCGTTCATAAGTGGTAGATGGAGAAGGCCATTCTTTAAGAGCTTTGCTCCGTCTTTAGCAGGTTTAATCTTGAGAGGTTAGACCCAATTCTAACGTCAGTCCCCGTCAACTCCCACAACAATCCAGAGCTTGTTTAAGTTAAAGATTTAGGTTACTAAAGCTTCAATTGACCTTCTGACTTTGCCCCTATCTGAAACATCCCTATCTAAGAACGTTCTCCAGTTCCTTCAACTCAGATTTCATAATTGGACAATATCATAACCTCCTCTTTCACCATGGTTGCATACCCCGTTCCCCGTCTACATAACAAAGTTACTGTGGTCACTGGTGCGTCTTCTGGATTAGGCCGAGCCATCGCGTTGGCCTTTGCCTCGCACGGCACCAAGCTGGTTGTGTGTGCAGATCTGCAGCCAGAGCCGAGAAGAGGTAGTGACGGCGAGGTCGTTGCTACTCATGAGGCGATCTGTAAGACTTATGGCGATGGGAAGGCACGATTCATCAAGTGTGACGTGGGCGAAAGTGAGGAGGTCAAGGAAGTTATACGGGTGGCAGTTGAGGACGGAGGACGGCTGGATGTGTGAGTTGCCCCCAATGAGAGAATTTCAGTGCCGTACGGAACATGCTAAAAGTTTTTGTGCGTAGAATAGTCAACAACGCGGGCATCGGTCACTCCGACTCAAGCATCCGACTTCATGAGCTCCCTGATCATGAGTGGAACAGATTCATGTCAGTTTGATTTGCTGTCCTAACCAGATTAAGTACCGACTGAGCCGCTGATTTTTAGCATTTAGCCGCATCAATGCTACTGGCGTGTACAATGGCAGTAAGCATGCCCTTGTACAGATGCTAAAGCAAAACCTCGACGCCAAGGGCTGTCGAGGACGTATCATCAATGTCTCTAGCGTGATGGGTCTGGTAGCCTCAGCAGGTGGCGCTGGTCAGTATAATTTCTATGAGCCTACTATCAGTACTTCATTTCCAAATGCTAATGCTTTTCAGGTGCCTACAATGCCTCAAAAGCCGCCTCCCTCAATTTGACCAAGCAGATTGCTCTCGACTACGCTCGCGATCGTATCACCGCCAACGCTCTCTGTCCCGGTTTGATCAAGACAGCCATGACCCGCGACCTAGACGAGGCAGCTGCGACAGCCTTTCTCAAGGCAACACCTTGGGGTGACTGGCTCGACGCAAGAGATGTTGCCGGTGGCGCTGTGTTTTTGGCCAGTGATGATGCGGCAGTGGTGACGGGAATTGCTCTGCCAGTAGATGGCGGGTATGTTGCAATGTGAGCAGAGATGGTTCTCTGTGCACGAATGGAATAAGAACCTTATTATAAAATGCAATGACGGTGTGGAGCAGATGCAGTATGGAATAACGATTGAGGTTAAACTACCCTCAGACCAGTGGCATCATTTTAGAGCACTGGGAATCACAGCTACGCGTAATTACTGCCAGACTACGTGATCTGGAATAGTAGGGTAATATAATATATACTCAAGAACGTTTAATAGACCCTAGTCCCGTGGACCAATCCTCCTTAATCCCTTAAGTCTGACCTGGTGTAAGGAGCGGACTCAGGAAAGTAGCTAAAGTAGAAATAAATGACCAAGCCTAGAAGCTAGATAAAAAAAAGAGGATACTGGCTCCCAGGAATGCTATAGGGACAGAATGAGCGTCATATAGGCCCCATTCTGCAAGTTATAGATCTCACAAATCAGCATGGCAGGTACTGGAAAACATAGAGAAAGAACGCGGTTTCTGCTGCACCAAAATAGGGTCAAGAAGCCACAGAAAATGAAATACCAAATACAGCAAGCATCGACGAGAAACAACGAAGATATGTTTTACTAATAAACACATATTACGTCGTAGTATGACTGGCTAATCTCTCACTCTCTCGCGGGAGTTTCCAGCTGGAGAGAGAGGAAACCCTGCTTGTGGGTCACATATCTACTCACGAAAAATACCATTCTCAAGGCCTTTAACCTTCTGGGTTTCAACCTAAACCTGCCTCTAAGCCTAATATATACGTAGTCCCGACTAATAGTAATAAAGATATATGTTTAACATAAGTTGGGTCGTAGTCTTAATTAAAATAGGGGTAAGATATTCGAGGTCAGCGTGGACAGACTACCTAGTCTTAGAAAGGAAACTTTTCCAGTAACCATTGTGCAGGCTCAGCTCAACTGAACCCGGTCACGGGGATTGAGTCACTTGGTAAAAATGAGCATAGAATTTACTACCCATATATCAAGGCTATACACAGTGTAGTGGCTAGCAAAGTCGAACGCAATATAGGGTCCGATGGACAAGAAGAAAGAAGAATCAAACAAGCCCCTCAACGCTAATCTGTTCCCTCTAGGGGCAATATCCAGCCAGGTAGTTGTGAGGAATCTGACTCTCAGCCTTGGAGACCTTTCCTTTCTAGATCATGCTCAAAGTCCATTTGGCCAAGACAAGAAAGGTGCCGACTCCGGCTAGGAAGACCGCAACTAGTCTTGAATATTGCGATTCCGCAACATGCTTTTTACTGGTCGAGCCGACTCGCTTTTGGGCGTAGTACTCGTCGATAATGCCATTGAAGTCTTCAGGCTTATACGGTGAGAAGTATTCTGCTATGATATTGGACTTTCTGCAAGAGTTGAGACCGAGGTCTTTGCAGAGAGTGTCGACGTACTTGAATTTCCTCATTAGCAACAACTTGAGAAGTGCTAGGAGGAGACTTACTGGGAGGAAGTCATAGAGAGAGTACGGGAATTTCTGACCCTGACTGATGTAACGTTTCCGAGTCCAGGCATTCCATTCGGCAATCTCATTGACCATTTCATCTTCAGAAGGCAAATCAAGCTCCCCTTCCAGATAAAGAATTGCCCAGAAAGTTTGTATTGAAGCGACTAAAGGTGTCTGCACAGTATGGATTTGACCTAGAATGGCGAGCGAACGATCACCCTGTTTGGCAAGAGCAAGTGGCACTACTCTACGGTAGAGCCTCCAGTACTTTTGTGGGACTTTTACCGTCTCCGCATTCCCCAATACTGGTCCTTTGGCTAGGAATGGTAGTTTCTGGTTCACAGATGCATCTGCTTCGCGATCTATGCTTTTCCAGTCTCGATCTACCCAACCTTTCTTTGCTTTCACTGGCAGGCCAACCTCGGATTTACTCTCATCATCGAACATAGCGAAGTGGTCTCCCCATCCGGTACACATGACAATGAAGTCTGATTCGATTGACTTGCCAGACTTAAAGGATATGGTTTTTCTATTGAGAGTCTGCAACTCGTCCCGAATAATTGTGACATCGCCCTTGTGGATTGTACTCCAAAAGTCTGGAAGAGTGACGACACCGAGCCCGGAGTTTGCCCAGAAGACACTATGATACATCAGTCGCGTTCAAATCTGATGGAGAAAAGTCTAACCTTTTGCCATCTATTTCTGGTCTCAAACCAGCCACATGGTCACCATTGTCATAGCCTGCATGGAGATCACTTAAGTACGCCACGATGTCCCAGAACTTCCCCGTCAACCAGCGTCCAATCGGATTGTTCTGGAGGATAGAGTATGCAAGTCCGTGAGTATTTAATATCGAAGGACTGAGACCAGTCATCAACCTAGTGGATGCAACGCCGATACTCGTCCAGTAGCCAAGCAACTCCGATGGTAGAATGGCAAGTGGCCCTGATCCTCCGGGTCGGATTACCCACGTCACCTTTTTGCCCATCGTTAGGAGTAGGTACACAGCATCATATGCAGATTTGGCTGCTCCAACTACCATGATGTGCTTATATTTGCTCTGTTGGAGGCTGCTGAAAGATTCACCCAAATCTCGAGAATGGATGACCGGAACCCGCACGTCCTCGGCCACGTATTCCGGCATATGGGGAATGGACGTGACCCCAGTAGCTACCATGAGCTTCTCAGCATCCAGTATGTTGTTACAGTCTTTGAAGTAAAGACGCCAGCCTCGAGGGCCACGTTCAACTTTGTCGACGTGGGTATTGAAGCGAATGCGACGGAGGAGGTCATGATCCTCGGCATACTTCTGGAGATAGTTGTGAATCATACGTCCTGTGACCTGTCTTTTGCTGTTGACTCCCTCCTTTGGCATCGGTGTATCGATATAATTGAAAAGTCCCAGATTGACCTGCGCAACCAGGTTTGGGTACAGCCGTTTCTCGCTCCATACGCCCCCAACGGTTGAGTCAGAGTCGATTATCAGTATATTCACGTCTGGACGGAGTCGCAGATAGGTACGCGCTGCGACGAGGCCGTACCAGCCTAGTGCCAAATATCAGTAAGCGTCAGGAACTAGACAAAACCGGACAACATTCCAAATTTCTCGTAGACGAGGTTCTACATACCTGCGCCAATGATAGCAACGTCGACATACTGGGGTGGTGAGGACTCCATTGGCAGGGTTTGGGCCTTTTGATTTCTCAATCATTGGGGAAGGGTTATCAATCAATAAATAATTTAGCGGAAGGGAAACGTTTAATGCGTATCCAGATCAACCATATAATATCTTCATGTTTAGGTTGGGTGCCCTTAGAAGATTACATAATACTATCGAAGGAAAACGGGCGAATAGCATGATGTGGCAAGGCCGAAATCTGAAGTGTATGGACTTCGCGCCGAGCTCCGCCTAGGGGAGCAGCACTCGTGTGAAGAGGGCTTCAGTCGAGAAGGTTTGATGACCTCGGGGTTGACACCGAGAAAGTTGACAGTCTACCATCGCAAAAAACTTGTATCGGCATGGCCGAAGTTGCACGGTTACGTGGTATCTTAGTACACATCTGAGAAAGTTCAGCCATTACAAAATCCATCAGGGATGAGCATCCTGTCACATCTCGGTGATTGTCTTCTAGCATTGTCACCTACTGGTAGTTCAAGCTTACACGGCGGAGAACTTAGTACTATGAGTGCTAACCAAGACAGTGAGATGAGATTTCGAAGCTTTTTCAGTACCAGGATATTGTTGAGGACGTGCCTCAAGTTGATTCTCCAATCAGACAGATTCAATTGGCAAAACACCATCAAAACTAGCTAAAATCGAGAGTTGCATTAATAGTCTTCCACAAATTATCAATCGAACCAAGAACATGTAATTTAAGGTACAAATATAGATCATCCTAAATTCTTATTTTTGGGCCTTCCCAGTAACGAGCTTTTTGGTTCGTACGGATCGCAAATGACCCTCTCTCCAGAATAATGCCAATGACACCGTTGCTCCGGGTCCCAACACAACACTGCTGGACAGAAAAATAATGGGTAGAAGTCTGTGGACCCAATGGTTCTCCGGAAGAACTCGTACAGTTAATAAATACGCCCAAGACATGCAGGAAATCGAGATGATGATCAAGTCGTATTGCAAAAAGAGCCACGGTCCACTTGCGAGCTTCTGAGTAGCCCCCTCTGGCCCGGTGAAGAGAAATGGGACATAGACTTTAACAAAGGTGATTGCAGGGTCAGTGGATGCCAATAGTGAACTGATAGCGTATATATGACCAGAAGCCGAAGAGACAGTGGCCAACAGGTAAGACAATTGTGTCCACCAGACAGCTTTCAGATCATTTCTAGTTTTAGAGGATAGTACAAACACCAAAAGTGCCTGGATTGTGGACACCCATATTGGGTCAGGTTGCCAACTGGCTAGAATATTCTGGTGAAGTACATCCGCCCTGGGATACCACGTTGGCAGCATGCCGATGACAGCGGGTAGTAATGCTCCGAGGATGAAACTGGCTGGAAGCGCTCTGGCTGAAGCTGTGTCCATGGGCGACAAGCGATTGCGAGTCTCATCAATCCACTTGAGATGGAGGCGAAAGTAGAGAGGAAGAGCGATGGCAGCGCCAAAAGCCTGCCACATGAGACTCCATATAATCGGGCTGATTGAAATTAGGAACACTAGATTAATTTTTTGTACAATGTTGATGCTTACTTTGAAACGGCAAATGGTTTGTCATTAAGTCGAAAGCTTTCTGCATACAGCCATACGAAAGCTGATTGCAAAGTTGCATATGCATCTATCAAGAAGAGCTGATAGCCAGGGTGTGAGCCATTCGTACCATAGAAGAAAAATGCCACAAGCAAAGAGATGGGAAAATCGATGAGAAAGATGCCGGTGTACTTGGTATTGAAGGGTGTTCCGTCGTCGAAGTTCCCGTTCCACGACGCGGTAATGAGCGCAGAAACAGTCCCATTGAGAAGACTGACACCCCAAAGCAGAATGCAAGCGGTGACTGATAGTGTCAGGAAATAAGTAGATTCCGTAAATAAAGCCATAACGCTAGCCTAGAATTGAAATATGTTGACGTGATGGAAAAGAAGATATGGGTTCCATTTGAGAGAAGAGCATGACTGTATGTTTACAGTAGCTATACTGTGATACAATGTCGGCCCGGAAACCGAACCAATCGGTGCTCTACCGGGCTGCGACCCACTTCCCGAAACTGGAGCCCGCCTTCGGGCCGCCGTATTGTTTGGCGGCGCTAGGCCGAAAGAATGAGTTTTATAACCCTAACTCAACTGATGTTGAAGATAACTTCATAAAGCCAGCATGACTACCTCGAGCTGACTCTGCTGGAAAAATCATATCATCATTACTCTCCAAGAGATATCTTAGCTGCCTAGTTATCTTACTCTTCTAAGATTAATCCGATATGCCTCATTTCGACGAGCCTGTCCACGAGGACAGTATGCTAGAGCCTATTGCCATCGTCGGCATGGGTATGAACACTCCACATTTCATGCAAGATTCCAAGCTAATATTTAGCAGCATGTCGGCTTCCTGGCGGTATCAACTCATCGAGCTCCCTATGGGAAGCACTGAAGGAAAAGCAGTCGATGCAGACCCCAAAGGTGCCTGCATCGCGCTTTAACATTGATGCGTACCTCCATGAGAGATTAGACCGTCCAGGATCGTTCAACGTGCCCGGTGGCTACTTCCTGAATGGCAATGCCGAAGACTTCGATCCCACATTTTTTAATATAACACCAATTGAAGCCATGTGGTTAGATCCGCAGCAGCGCAAGATGCTTGAAGTCACTTATGAATGCCTGGAGTCGGCGGGCTTAACGCTTGAGGATGTCAAAGGCTCGAATACGGCCGTTTTTGTGGGTAGTTTTACCAGTGACTACCAACAAATGAGCACAAAAGATGGTGATTTTCGGCACAATTATGCTGCTACTGGGGTTGATCCAGGCTTGATTAGCGCTCGTATAGGGAACACTTTCGATCTCAACGGGCCCTGCTTTACCATAAACACAGCATGCTCATCTTCTATATATGCCATTCACAATGCCTGTCATGCCCTTCGCACTCGTGATGCCAGCGCCGCTATTGCTGGAGGGGTCAATCTCATTTTAACTGTTGACCAGCATATGAATACGGCAAAGCTTGGCATCCTCTCACCAACATCAACTTGCCATACCTTTGACGCCTCCGCTGATGGTTATGGTCGTGCTGAAGGGGCTGGTGCACTGTATCTGAAGCGACTTTCTGATGCAATTCGTGACGGTGATCCAGTACGCGGTGTTATACGCTCGTCAGCAGTCAACACCAACGGTAAAGTCCCAGGAATGGGAATCACACATCCCAGTGAAGATGGTCAAGAACGTGTCGTACGGCAAGCGTATGCTCGGTCTGGGCTTGACCCGTTGCGCACAGCGTACGTTGAATGCCACGGGACTGGTACTCCGGTTGGCGACCCTATTGAGGCCCATGCAATTGGGCGTGCAATGAATGATGCCCGTCCTTCCGATAAGCCGTTGCTTGTTGGAGCAATCAAAGCCAATATTGGACACAGCGAGGCTGCCAGCGGCATTTTTGCAGTAATGAAAGCGGCTCTGATGACTGAAGAAGGTGTCATTCCCGGTGTGGCAGGACTCAAGACTCTCAACCCCGCAATCCGCGAAAATGAGTGGAATATCAAAGTGAACGTCGACACCGCTCCCTGGCCACGAGGTTTCGCTGAAAAACGAGCGGGTGTCTCATCCTTTGGCTATGGTGGTACCAATGGTCATGTAATTATCGAGGCAGTTGACTCCTTGCACCCGCTCTATAGACATGGGCACAAACGAGGGGACGAGCCACCGAAGGCTGATCGTCCCTTTCTCTTACCCTTCTCTGCACACGATCGCCGTACGCTCGAACGCAACATCACTGCTCATGCCAAAGTTGTTTCCGATTATCATCTGGCAGATATCGCCTACACGTTGGGAGTTCGCCGGTCACGTTTTGCCACCCGTGGCTTCACTGTCGCTGCCGAGCCACTGGACCCAGAAGACTTTGCACTGTCCGCTTTCGCGATCGGGTCCGCGCCCCGCAGCCAGCCAGACTTAGCATTCATCTTCACTGGACAAGGAGCCCAGTGGTCCGGACTCGGCGTCCAGGCAATGCAAGCATTCCCTGTATTTCGCTCCACCATCGAGGCTTTAGACCAGGTCCTACAGCAGCTGGATGCCGCCATTCGTCCAACCTGGAGCCTTAAGTCTTCGCTATTGGCCTCTGCTGCTGCACCCAATATTAATGATGCCAACGTGGCCCAGCCCGTTTGCACTGCTGTTCAGATTGCCATCGTCGACCTATTTGCCTCCTGGGGCATCGCTCCTACAGTTACCGTCGGCCACTCGTCCGGTGAGATTGCTGCTGCTTACGCTGCTGGTTTAATATCTGCTCCCGAGGCCATGATCGCTGCTTTCCTCCGGGGGTATTCTGTTAGTCATCACGCACCTGTGGGATCTATGTTAGCTGTCGGCCTGGGACTCGGCGGTCTTACCAAGTACCAGGAATTGCTCGACAAAGACCTCGTTATTGCATGTCAAAACTCTCCTGAGAGCTTGACATTAAGTGGAACTCTGGAAGCAGTCGCATACGCCAAGAATGTTTTGTCGGAGGACGGCGTATTTGCTCGTGAGCTCCCGACTGGAAAGGCATACCATTCGCCACAAATGAACGATGTTGCCTTCACCTACGATGCACTACTCGCTCGTGCAGTGGAGGGTCTTAATGATGAATCCCTCAAATGGCAACGCCCACGCGCACGGTGGTTCTCTTCCGTCAGCGGTACCGAGTATCCTGGCGACAGTGTTCCTGCATCATACTGGAGTCTCAACCTCCGAAACCGCGTACTCTTTGACGAAGCGGTTACTTCCTTGGGGACCGCGCCAGGCTTAGAGCAGGTTGCAGTTGCCATCGAAATCGGTCCGCATTCAGCTCTTGCTGGCCCTTTCAAGCAGATTTGCAGAGCGAATAAGCTAGATCGCTTCACCTACGTAGCTTCTTTGGTACGCAACAAAGACAGCGCCGTACAGTTATTGAAGACAGCCGGTGCATTGTTTATTCAAAATTATCCCCTGGATCTCGAAGAGGTCAATTCGACCGAAGCGATCAGTGGGAATATGAAGAACAAGGGAAGCCCTCTACTTCTTGTTGACCTTCCACCTTACCAGTGGAATTACGAGAAGCGATACTGGGTAGAGCCTCGTTTCAGCCATGAACAACGAAATCTGACGAGCCCGCGTCATGATCTGCTGGGCAGCAAAATCGTTGGTTTGTCGGATCGCTCGCTTGCGTGGAGGAATGTACTGCGACATATAGATTTACCCTGGCTCAAGGATCACACCGTAAGTTATCTCTGGGACTGAAAAACAATGAAAATGCCAAGCTGACTGCAATCTAGCTTGGAAAAGAAGCCGTATTCCCGGCCGCCGCGCACTTGTCCATGGCAACTGAGGCTCTTAGGCAAGTCTGTGATCAGCGAGGAATCGAGATCCAAAGTGTGACCTTCCGCGACGTGCAGATCAAGGCGGCTTTGATCATCCCTGAGGTCGACGACGGTATCGAGGTACAGCTCCGTCTTGACAAAAAGCAGGAAGATGGAATGTGGTACACATTTGCTGTTGAGTCGTTCGCTAACGGAGAGTGGAGCCTTCATTCGACGGGTTCCGTTGCGGCCAATCACATTGAAGCAGGTACACGTGAGCATCCAGTTGACCTCGTGAAGCTGACACAACGCGTACCTGGTAAAACATGGTATAAGGCCTTCGACAGGGTTGGCTTCGAATATGGACCGTCCTTCCAGGCCCTGAGCAACATCCGAACTAACGGCAAGTATCACCATGCCGCTGCCGATGTCAAAGTGGACACAGCGAGCGGACTCGTCGTCGGTGAGTCGCGGTATATGCTACATCCATCAACTATCGATGGCTGTCTTCAGCTCATTATTATCTCTATCAACTCGGGCATGCACAGAGAGATGCAACATGGCGTGGTTCCGATCAAAATTGAAGAGCTCACCATGTGGAACGCTGGTGAGGCAACCAAAGCTGCTGGCAGATCCATTGCATGGACAGACGAGCTAGATGGCCGGTACTTCAACACGCACACAAAATTATTCGCAGAAAATGGAGATATTTTGCTGGACGTTAAGAGTCTTCGCTGCGTGTCGTACGAGGCAGCTGTTCCGCAGACGACTGTACCACCCCGTCCTCGCGAGCCATACATGGAGACCGTATGGAAGCCAGATATCACCACGCTAACTACCCAGCAAGCACTTCAAACATATCCCTCGATTCAGTTAGAGGAAGATTCCATAGCTGCAATTGTGGAGCTCATGCAACACAAAACACATATTTCTAGTGCTCTTCTGCTTGGTCAAGCCGATTCCAAAACCTTGCAGGCCGTTTTGAAACAAGTCGCCCCCACCACAAAGCTGGTCCTCGCAGGTGTATCAGAAGAGCACTTAGAGAGCCTCACTATCAGCATCGATGCTGGCAACCTTTCTACTGTAAGTTCTAAGAAAGGCTTGTTCGATTGGGGCGAGCAGACACTCGATGCTCAGGACCTCGTCATCGTAGGCAAGGATGCTTGGAGCCACACCAGCGAGCAGGAGCTTCTGACTGAAGTCGCCTCCCTAACTGTCAAAGGTGGCAAGGCGATCTTTTCGGCTCCCAGTCATGTGAGGGAACATTTTGCCAGCACCATCTGCCATCATGGATTCTCTGACCCTGAACTTCTATTCCCGCTTCCAGAAGTGTCCATTATTTCCGCTACACTTTTTGGAAATGATCCGAACGGCCACGCGCACCCAAAACACGAAGTTGTTATCCTTACATCGGATGAGGCCGCCAGATCGTCCTCCTCTCCTATTGCAGCCTTCCTTCGGGAGAGTGGCTGCGCTGTCAACCTCAGTGACTTGCGGGAGGACATCCCTGTGAAGCAAGACAAGGAGGTTACGTATATGATTTATGATGCGACCGGCAGCTTAGTCTCATCACTCGCGGAGGATACATTTGAAAGACTCAAGACAGTCTTAACTGGAAGCAATCCAGTTGTCTGGCTGACATCCGGGGTGAACGAGGGGTCATGTGTCTCTGGTGGCATGAGTCAAGGACTGCTGCGGGCCATCCGATCTGAGCAGGCTTCAGCAAAGATCTTGCTCTTGGATGCCGACACAACGGAAGATATCACGTCCATCGGAGAAGCAATTCTAAGCAAGCTAGGGCATATAGCTACGAAAGACTCAGGCGCTGATACCGAATATTGGCTCCAGAATGGTATTCTCAAAATTGCTAGGGTGTTACCGAACGAACTTTTGAACGCTCACTTCTCTGCTAATCTCGCTCCGCCACAGCTGGCTGTATTGACTTCTGAAAATGCATTATCTGGTAGAATAGTCAATGGGGAACTCGTCTTTCAATCACAGAGCTGGAACAACTCGAGGGTGTTTGCCGAATGGGACGTTGAGTTGCAGGTACAGTACGCGAGCTTCAACAAAGCCGACCTCCAGGCTCCAATAAGCGGTATTTCCATTGTTGCGGGACCGATCAAAGCGGTTGGCAGTAGCCTTGATGAAAGTTTTGTTGGCCGAAATGCCGTCGCGTATGCTGAGAATCCATTTTGCACTGTGTGCACGGCCCCAGTATCAGTAGGCGCCTTCTATTCGGACTTTGAAGCACCTGCACTGGTTGCGACACTTCCAAGCCTCGCTCAGGCCATCAATGCTGTTCTGGACGTTGGAAAGGTCCAAGCCAATGAACGTGTCTTGTTGCTCGCTGCACCGCATGACTTTGTTGCCGCTGTTGCTGAACTCAAACAAGTTCTAGGTTTCCAGCTCACAGTTATTGTGGAATCAGAGCAGGAGAGACAAGGCCTGGCGCTTCGATCCGGTTTGCCCTCCCATGAGCTGTTGCTTGCGCCAGAAGTCAAGACTATCCATTCCCTCCTCGGAGGAAGCGGAAGTAGCAAGCCGGACCTGGTCGTTTCCCATGACTTTTCGCCTTTCAGCCAGGAGGTCTGGCGAGCCATGCCACCAGCTAGTCGCTTTATTCTGAACGACACCACAATTGACGGAAGCCTTGATGCCTTGCCGTTCTCGAAAGGCGTTTCGCTCCTCCTAAGTGGTGTTCGCAATCTGTACAAGACGCGCCCATCCGCCTTAGGCGACCTCCTCACCCGAACTATGAGCTTCATGAAGGAAAAGAAGATTCTTTGGAAGCCCAAGATTTATGATATAGGTGCCATCAGTGACGTCAGGGAATTCTCTCTCGGCCAAGGAATCATGGAAAACGCCGTGATCAAGTACGATTATGACCACAGTTCTGTAAAGGTCAGCCTCGATCGCAGTTGCTCTCTCTCTCTCTCAAGCTTCTAACCAGCCTTCTAGGTCCAACCATCGGGTAACATGATAGAGTTCTCCCCCAACGCCGCGTACTTCCTTGTTGGTTGCCTTGGCGGCTTGGGACGCAGTCTCACCACATTCATGATGGAGCGGGGCGCACGAGACTTTGTCTTTCTCTCACGCTCTGGCGCTGATAAGCCAGACGCTGCAGCCGTAAGTAATGACTATCGAACAAGCCAACTTCAGTTAATTGACAGGTGCAATAGCTCGTCGAATCGATCCAGAAGGCCGGCGCTGCGGTTCAGGTTTTCCGTGGTGATGCCTCAGTTCAGGCTGACGTCGATCGTGCTGTCAATGAAGTGACTGCAACTCGAACTATCAAGGGTGTGATACACGCAGCTATGGTTTTGCAGGTGAGTGGACATCAATATGCATAAGTGCACTGACTAACAGAAAGTGCCAGGACGGAATGTTCAATAACATGACCTTCAATCAATTCGAAGCCGCCCTCAAACCCAAAGTTAATGGCGCGGATACTCTTCACAAAGCCTTCGAAAAAATGCCACTCGACTTTTTCGTTATGACCAGCTCCATTTCGGCGACCATGGGCAATCCCGGCCAAGCCAACTACTGCGCTGGTAACAGCTACCTCGATTCCCTCGCTTGGCACCGCAATCTCCGTGGCCTCCCTGCCACCTCGCTCATCCTGCCAATGGTCCTTGACGTCGGTGTCGTCTCTGAAAACGCTGGGATCGAGGAAGCCCTTTCTCGCAAAGCGATGTACGGCATCGATGAGCGTGAACTCCTTCGCGGGTTTGAGACTGCGATGCTACAGCGCCCTAGGAACACATCTTCTCCATCCCTCGGCGATACCCAGATCATCCTTGGTCTCGAGCCTGCCTACCTCGCGAACGCAATTGCCGCCGCTGAAACCTCCGACGAAGCGTACTGGTACCAGGACTCTCGATTTACGCACCTCCGCTCCATCGTCGAGGACATCCGCACTTCCGCCGGTAGCAGCTCCTCCCGTGAGGGCACCTTTGTTCAGGAACTTGAATCATCTCAGGCCCTTGGTCCCGAGGCCATCCTCCATGCCATATCCTGTCATATCGCCAAGAAACTATCCAACATGCTGCTCATTCCTATCGAGGATTTCGCCTTTGAAGGGACGTCGATATCCGTGTATGGTATTGACAGCATGATTGGCGCGGATCTAAGGAATTGGCTATTTAAGCTGTTTAGCCTGGAAGTGTCGTTCCAGCACCTTCTCGCGCCTAAGATGACGATCCTAGCGTTGGCACGCGCTGTAGCGGAGCATTTGGGCTTGGTAGAAAAGGCGGAGGCTTGATAGGGTCCTCAAGGAGTTCATTACTATCCAGACTACGCGCTCCGAACTAGATCTTAAAGAAAATACCGATCACTATTAGGGGTGATAGCGTCAGAGACACTCAGACTATTACTTCAAATTATTCATCTTCTTAGTGAGACATGTTTAGATAAAGAGTAATTCATGTTTAGGATTATTTTTGGCCTCTTTCAATTTCGATTTGTATGAACGGTAGGTACATTTTTTCGAATCTCTCGGCTTTTACCATACACATTGCGATTTTCGATCCTCAGCTGGCAGTTCTTCTGAATATAAGCCATCGTCTTTCGGGCTGCGTATCCCATCTGGATTTCTTGGTATCTATTCATAGACTGTCAGCCAGCCACAGCGATAATCCGAGTACTGAAGAGGAGAAATTACAAACGATGCAGCCAGCTGCAGTGCAGGCCACCATCACTATGATTCGCGCACACCCCGTGCATCGTTGTACTATGAGCGGCAAGCTTATCAGTTCAACTGAATGGGCAGGAGCATGACAAGGCGCGCATTGCGGGATGATACCACTCAAGACGGCTCGTTGCCTGAAGATGTGAAGCGAATCTAAATAAGTACTGAGGTGAGCTACGGTGTCGGGTATCATACGCCGGGCATAATTTGAGATTGTTTTATTGGGTGTTGGATATTTGATACGCTAATCCCAATCCGGATGTACTTACTAATCTTTGAATCCTCGGAAAAGCAACATATCCGCGAGAACAAGAGCGCCAACAAAGCAGACTACATTTTGGAGTCAGGATTGTTATTTATTCCGTAAATCCGTGATATTTCGCCACTACGTTTTGTATATAAAGAGGATCAGGATGTGTATCTAGAGGGGATTTTAGAGGACGTGCAAATCAGAGTCAATTATTCCTCACCCAAATTGTACGCTGCTATCAGAGCCTAACCCCGTTCGGACTAGTACCAAAAGATTCCAATATTGGGGTTACCTCACGTGACGATCATACTGCGAGATTAGTCTTTTCACCTATACGTACTCCTTACAACTGCATCGTTGCTCGTCATCTCTCACTGACACGCATTCAAGACTTGATTTTCCCGCCCTATGTACCATAGATTCATAGTGCCGTTACATACAAAGACACTTGCCTACACTTGCCTCCTTCTATCTTATCTATCCGTAGGCCGCGGGAAATAAAGGGTTAGCAATACAAAAAAATGTCAGAATTGGTAAGACTGGGGTTCGAACCCAGGTGACTCTCGTCAGCAGGGAATTTGGCAAAAATTGCCTCCTTAAATCTGCCGCCTAATTGGCCAATGTTAGCACTAGAACTGTGTAAATAAGTAGTGCAAACACGACTTACCTTAACCACTCGGCCATCTTACCACTTAGTTCTTATGTGCTACACTAGGCGAGTATTAGCGTCAAGCATTATGTTGAAGTCAGACGAGATGTTGGGATGGATTCTTGCGTTTGTTAGGATAAAATCCGTCTGATTTTTCACTCCGAAGTCTCTGATCGACCCGTTCAAACGTTTACTTTATTCCAGCTCTTTTCACCAATTTCCTTCACCCCTGGCATCTAATTCCAACTACATAAGACTTGCGCAGATGTTTGCATTTCGTGGGACAATCGTCAGAGAATTGCATATTGATGGGATCTATCGAGTGTTCTCTAGTGTTGTTTTTAAGCTCAGTCAACTCATATCAGGTTGCTGTTCGTATTTCAACATCACGTCATGACAATTTCAAAGATCAATCTGCAATCTGGATATCGCGCACAAGGAGTCCACTAGCTGTAGAATAACCTAATGATCCGACCTCACACACCGTTTTCTTCATCACTCGCCAACAGGTCGTAATTCTTGAATTCGCGTGGTGGAACCTTTCGCTCAAAGAGGATATCCAACTCTTCAAATGTCCTGTTTTTCGATTCCGGCAACCTGAAAAAACACCATACGTAACAAACCAAACTAATGGCGCCGAAAAGAAAGCCAGCTTTCCCACGCCAATCCCCTTCGTCGGAGTTGAGCATATACGGCAAGATAACAGTGAAGACAATGTTGGCGGCAGCTTGAACTGCAGTCGCTATGGCGATAGTACGACCGCGAAGACGGGTAGCTGAGATTTCTGATATGATGACGAAGCAAATCGGGCCGACTGTAGTCTGATAGATGAAGGTCCATATGTCCATTAGAGTGGCTTGGGCCCAGACAACGCCGGAATCGTTGCGGCCAAAATCTAGAAAGCCGATAACGAAGAGGATGATTGTCATGAGAATCATGCCGCTGTTGTAAATGGTACGGCGACCGAACTATAAAAGACCACGATCAGTATAGGTGACGGCAGATTCTTGGTAAGATAAACCCACCCGTAGCATCAATGGCCATGATAGACATGTTCCTACAAATCCGAGGGCGGTATTACCGACGCCCACTAATGAGAAGCAACATTAGTATGAACATAGCCAATTCCCCTTCATGTAGTTCGACTTACTATTAAACGATTCCGAGACATCCAAGCCTGCCGTTTCAAAGAAAAAGGTAGCATATGCAATCAGCGGATTACCACCGATGACCTGAATGAGATATACCATAACAGATATTTCAGTCCGGAAAAGATTAGCTTTCTTGAAACAGTCCCAGTAGGTTGTCGTGGCTTCAATTTCCCGCTCTAGTAGATCGGTTTGCTCAATCATGACCAGCATTCCCTCGATATCCGGACAATTCTTTGCGGACGAGAGTCTAACCAGTGATTTGCGAGCGTCTTCCATCCTATTCTTGCGCACTAGCCAGTATGGACTTTCAGGGGCAAACGCGAGACCGGCGAGCAGCACCGCAGGCCATACCCATTGAATGGCAAAGGGTGCTTTGTAGGCCCATTCGTCCGATCGGCTCTCAAGGCCGGCTGCAACCCCCTGTGCAATGAACTGGCCGATGACGAAGGCAAGATTGACTGATGCTGTTAGGACTCCACGGAGAGCAAGAGGGCAGATCTCGGAGGCATATGTGGGAGCAATGACGACATAAAATCCGTATGCAAGGCCTCCAAGGATTTCTCCAGCGCATAGCATGCCGATACTAGTTGAGAAAAACTGCACAAAGACGAAGGCTATAGACCATACACAGCATATAGCCAGCGTCAACCGGCGTCCCAGTTTTTCCAAAGGCCAACCGCAGGCAAGCGCTCCAAGCACTTGGCCAATGGGGTTTCCCTTTCATAACGGTCATGTTCATCAGAACTACTGCGAATATCAATGACGTTGTTACTTACCATGTTCAAGGCCATCTGCCATGGAGCCGAAATGATATAAGTATCGTTGTATTTATAACCGAATCGCCGCTGAAAAGCAGGTAGCGCGAAGAACGTAGTGATTATCTGCGCATCAAATCCAGCCATGACGACAGCGACACAGAAAAGCGTTGCCCATCCTACAGCCTTCGGCCATTGGCGGACAGCCTCCCAGAATGTGGTCTCATGTTCTGCAATTGTAATACCACGGGTCTGCTCAATTGCGAGCACGTTGCCTTTATAAGGGCCAGCATCATCGGTGAGTACTGGAGCAAGTGAGCCGGAAGCGATAGGCTTGGTATCTGGATCTTCCATCTTGACTTGTGTGAAGAACGGGAGATTGGATGGAATAGAGGCACGATTTCGGGAGCATGAACCAGAAATGAAAGTGAGAATCCTTCAGATGACCGCCTTTATAGGTGAGATATAGTCTAGGTACTAAGCTAATAAAGTTCTTATCTGTGCACGAGGTGGTACCTTTAAGTTGCCTCAGGACACACACGACCCTTGTGGTTATTGGACGCGCTGATTGGTCAATGTGATTGGTTAATAATGCGGGGTATGAGCTTAACTAATGATATCCTGCGCTCTCATTGGCATAGCCAGCTTGCCAAGGAATATTTTTCCGTCAAGTCGTTCACACCGTTTACGCCTGAGGCATCTCTTATCTTACGGCCTCAGGCAGATATAGGTTGCTGGTCTTGCCCTAACAAGAATCGTCAAGTGGATGTCAGTACCATTTTTCTCGATAGGCCCCCGGAAAATTGCAATTAGGATATCCTTCTGATCATCTTGTCAATAAGACCTACTTTACGCTACCTGTGAGGCTGATCAGGATACGATCGGATCCTAGTCGGCAGACTCGGCACTGTGTCTATAAGCTACCTCTCATCCGCATCCATATTAGCATTTACGATTACAATATGCTTCACAGATTGATCAAGAAAATATCTTATTGCTATAAAAAAGAAATCAGTGTCTTGCGTTGCGTGTAAATGTCTCTTCGTCAGACCATTCGGGTGTTGGGGTTCCGCACAGCTTAACCCTAAGAGTCAAACCCCTAGCCCTAACAGTCCAACATAAGCTGATCCGACCAATAATGAGGCTTCTATCACCAAGTATGGGCTGATCTATAAACATTGGCAATGAACTGATGTTCTCCTTGGAAGGAAGGAAAGTGGCAGACTTGAAGTTCCATCGTCAGTTTTATACCTCCTGCCATCTCCCTCTTTCTCTTCCCACAAACTTAACACTCCCTTGTACTCAACCCACCTCCCACTCTTCTTGTTTGTATCTATCTTCGATATGGACTCTTCAATTGTGTCTTTTTTTCCTTCGTTCTCTATGCTTTTTCAAGCTTCGGCAATTCTTATTGCATTGATCGGGTTGAGCGTTCTAGTGAACGTCGTGTCTCAATTAGTTGCCAATAGGCAGGGGAACAACCCTCCGCTGGTATTTCATTACTTTCCCATAATTGGGAGTACAGTCAGCTATGGCAAGCATCCACTGAAGTTCTTCGAGGAATGTAGACAGAAAGTGCGTGATTGTCTACCCTTTTCTCTCTCTCGATTAGTGTTGCTGACCATGTTTCTGCCAAAGTACGGAAATGTATTTACCTTCATCCTGGTTGGACGACGTGTTACTGTGTATCTCGGTGCTCAAGGGAATAACTTTGTGTTAAACGGAAAGCAAAGCGAGCTATCAGCAGAAGATGTCTACTCGCGTTTGACGACCCCGGTCTTTGGTTCCGGCGTTATTTTTGACTGTGAAACTAGCAAATTCCTGCAACAAAAAAAGGTATCCAATGACCCCAAAGCTGAAAATCAAGACACCGAAAGCTGACTGATGTTGAAGTTTATAAAATTCGGACTGAGCCAACCCGCACTCGAGTCTTACGTCCGAATAATTGCCAAAGAAGCCACCGATTTCTTCAAGACATATCATGACTTCAACGTGAAAGAAAAAAGCAAGACAGGAATACTTGAGGTCACTTCCGCGATGGCCGAATTGACCATATACACAGCCTCCTCATGCCTTCAAGGGGCTGAAGTACGTCAACAATTCTCATCAGGGGGTTCTCGTATCGCCAACCTGTACCACGACCTCGATATGGGATTTACGCCAATCAACTTCTTTCTCCCATCATGGGTTCCTCTTCCTCGAAACCATAGAAGAGACGTTGCACAACGAGAGATGACCCGGTTCTATACTGATATCATCACAAAGCGTCGTCTGCACGAACTACAGAAGACGAAAACTAGCGCAACGGCCGAGAATGCTGAGGCGAAGGATATGATTTGGAATCTCATGCGCAATAGCACATACAAGGATGGAAGTAAACTATCCGACAGGGATATTGCGCATATAATGATTGCATTGCTCCTCGGAGGACACCATTCAAGTTCTGCGGTTATTGCGTTTTCAATATTGAGCCTAGCTTCCAACCCTGTCATCCAGGAAGAGCTTTATGAAGAGCAAGTGCGAGAACTTGGCGATGGAGAATTAACATACGACAAACTTCAAAGGCTCAAGCTTCATGCAAACGTCATCAAGGAAACGCTCCGGTTGTATAATCCAATTCATTCAATCATGCGTCTTGCGCGGAAACCTCTGCTCGTCCCCGTCCGAGAAGATAACAACGACAGCCATGCTCGGCAGCTTCTTATACCACAAGGGGACATTCTTCTCGCCAGTCCGGCATTTTCTGCTCGTGATGGTTCTTACTTCTCCAACCCCTTGAAATGGGATCCTCATCGGTGGGAGGGGAATGATGCCATCCACTACAATGATGACGACGACTCATTGGGCAAAGGTGCGAATAGCCCTTATTTACCTTTTGGCGGAGGCAGACATAGGTGTATCGGAGAGAAATTTGCATATATACAGCTGGGCGTGATTCTAGCGATTTTTGTCAAATCGTTCCGGGTTACGGCCATTGACAAGAGTGATGGCTCTTTATTGGAGATTGATTATTCGGTATGTTACCACACATCGTTGTCCACTTCCTAGCGGCTAGATTAAGATGCTGATATGCGTTTCGATGTCAAGTCGTTGTTCTCGAGGCCTCAATGGCCTGGTAAGGTCGCCTGGGAACGCAGACCTTGTCAAGCATAGACGCCAGTTCCGGTCCGGGCTGCTTTGTAACATGTCGGAACGGATTGACATGAGAGTTGGATGTATACCTCAATTCCGGAGGTCTAACAAAGCCAGCTTGACAATCCGATTGTACGATAAGCCCAGAATCTATCTTCAACCGTAGCAGGAACATCCAAGGCAAGATTAAAGCTATCCCCAATAAAAAAGTTATCATCCGCTTCAACTTCATTTCTTCCATGGCAAGATGGCCGAGCGGTCTAAGGCGTAAGTTTCCTCCATTTGGCACGTTTCACTCCAATCACTGTCTAACTCGCGGATATAGGCTGCATTCAAGTGGTTCTTGTAGGGGCAAACCTCTATAGGGTACACTATGCCAGGTCTCCTGGCATAGAAATTCGCAGTCTCGCAAGAGGCGGGGGTTCGAATCCCCCTCTTGTCAAGCATCTCTTCGGAGTTTATATTTTTTGTCATCTTTTGGGCCTCCTCTTTCTCTTTTTTCTTTTTGTTGTACAATGATGGAGTCTGCGGTTGTGGGGTGGCGCCGAATCGCTAAGCGTGAAGGCCTGATCCACAAGGACACGGAACCAATGGACGAATTGCAAATGAGGTGAATTCAAGAACCTTTCGAGAACTCTTCGTATGTATGGTAGACTAAATCATCGTAAAGTCTTAAGAGTATCGGAAAAGCAAGCTTGAAATCTAGGTGTCGTTATCCGATACTTTTTTCATCTGTTACAGTAGTTAAGGTTAAGATTAGTCACGTGAAAAGGTGCTTAGAGTAAAAGTGGCAGCAAATTTTTGACTCGATAATTGCAGTCAACACTGTCAACAAGTGAATTGGAAGAGAGAGAAGAAAAAAAAGTAAGATGGGACGCCACACGCCAGTGCAAACCCATCCATCCGTGTCTATCAGAGCATCGTCATGGACCCAGATTCCCCTTCGTCCTATCATCATGAAAAAAATAGTATATACAAGTAGTGTTTAAAAAAAATAGTTTAAAAGTCATCACTGTCAAGGTCTCGTTTTCGTCTTCCACCGCCTGATTTTCGTTTCCCTTCATTATTATGATCACTTCCATCTTCATCGTTCTTTCGCGCTGGTTGATCCGGTACTTTTGAGCATATATCTGCTAAAAAGTCGAGGACTTCGTCTTTGGCGACGGCTTGTTTCAAGTGCGCGGCCGTGACTCGTTTTGAATTTCGGTCTCGGGCTTCCTGTGCGGCTTTGGTGACGAGGGAGATCATGAATAGTTCAAGTGCTTTGGCTTTAGGGAGCGATGTTAGTCATTAATAAGTTTCTCCAAAGATAGAAACTGAGAAGGATGAGAACCGTACAAACTGCGATTGGCGTTACTTGAGCCACTTTCCCGACCTCCTCATCCGCTTGCATAATACGTTTTATCCTGGCTACTGGAAATTTCGTTTTCACGTCAATGCCATCCCACGGTTTCGGTATACGTTCGTCTGATTCTGCTTCCTTTTTGGGCGCGACGTGTTGGTCGAATATGAAGTTTTGTTCGGATTGATGAGCAGCGGGAGATTGGACATGGGCGTGGATTGATGGAGGAGGTTGTGTTTGGGTCTGAGCTTGAGCTGACAAGCGAGCACTTCGTCTTGCCATGTCGTCAAAGGCGTTACTGTCGTAGGCGTTATTATCGAGAGTAGTATTATGATTAAGATAAAGAAACGGTTGGTGGTATGGTTGATGAACGTGGTTATTGACGACTGGAGGTTGATAGCCAGAGGCAAAAAACGGTGAGGCGTCGTAGGAAGCGCGTTGACCGAGAGGGCTAGCGAGGTAGGGTGGTTGTGGCTGATACGCGTTGTTGTTGTTGTCGTTGTCGTTGTTATTGAAGGTGTTGTTCGGGAAGGATGGGAAGGAGGAAAAATCTGGGGATCGCGGCCGGTAAGAGCTCTCCGGGTCTGTCATATTCTGGTGTTCTTTGGCGACGGGTTATTAACAATCGTCCTCTTTTATCTTTCTCGTCTTTCGTCTTTTTATATCTTTCTCGCGAAGTCTTTCTTTTCTCTTCAAGGATTGGCTGCTTACAGAGCAGACCCACACTTGACAAGGAATTAAGGCTTTGAGCTTACCTGGTGTGGCTGACAAGATAAATGAATTGTCAACGAATCAGAAGATGAAGAAAACCGGCCCTTGCAAAAAAGCAGGGAAAGTCGTTGGTCGCAAGCCAAGAGGCGTATATCGAGTTACTTGGATATGGCCTGATAGCTATGTCAAACCCTCACAAGTACAAAACTCCAGATCGCTAAAGATAGATCGGACGCAATTCTATCCTGAAAGAGATGAAACAGCGCCAATTCAAACGGGCCGCTTTCTAAGTCTTAGTCTCTGTAGCCTTTCGTTGTTCTCGTTGCTCTGCTTGCGATGCTTTTCCATCTAGATAAGATGGTCCAAGCTTCTCAGAAGTATATTTTCAATTTTCAGTGCGGTGTTGAGAGTGCGTGGCGCAAAGGCAGGCGCAGCATAAATTGACAGAGGTGGGGCGGTATCAAGGTAAGAAAGTGGGGGAAATGTGCGTGGAAGTAATAGAAACAAGTTCTTCTCAGTCCTCTGGAGCGCGGGTCGCAGCAGCCCTTTTAACCCTGCGCGGTCCAGCTCCTGGCTTCACGTGTGATGGGCCTGGCTCAGCTCTCGACCTATCACACCGCCGCATGCCGTAGTGGGTGTCTCGCTGACGATTTTGATTGACTCGTCTGTGGTGTAAGATACCGCGTATTTACACTGGTATTTTACCAGGGTCTGCGCTCTGCCAATAGAATCGCGCAAACTGCTGCAAAATTTCATCCCTATTAGCCTAATGATCCGCGCTAGTACCAATCGGCGCTTACGTATTTTAATGTCATCATTTTTCATCTCAAAACATTCACGCGTCATCAACATCTTCCTTTACTATGAGTGTTTTCAGGATCTTCTATACGAGTATACTTGGCCGATATCCGCCTGATCGAATCTGTTCGACCTATTGCCCGCCATATACAAGCTACTGCATGTCATCATAAATAAATGTTATGGATCATCAGTCTGGAACCATAATGTTATCCCATGATGCCGATGAAAACTTCAGCCTAGGAATGACTCACAGCTGTTACTTGAAAATTAATATCATCTTCTACAGCCTTGAGCTCAATGTACACTATTTTACTTGTGCTAATCCAAACAGGCACCAGGGTATGACCACACATATTGTCCCATGATGATAAGAGTTAAGGACGAGATGTCGAGCCAAAGAGGCATGCTAGGCTGAGGCCGGGAACCTTGACAGTTCTACGGTATCGCCGCTGTCTCTTTCTCGAGAAGCTTGCATCGATGACTGACCAAATTACTTGATCTAATCTGAGGACTGGTGGCTCATCTACTCCTTCGGCAATATATGAACATCTGGCACATATCATTCCACGGTTACCTAAAATATAGATATAGATATCATGTATCTTTAAAGCCCCCTCAAAGTCTCCATAGTAATCATATCGAGATTAGACTCCTATAACGCGTATCACTATATCTGTTGACTCCCTGGTCGAATTTTAGGGTGCCGGTCGGTGGAAGGTTCATCCGTTCCGTCCGTAAAGTAACTCCAAGTCTAGATGCGGAGCACACTCAAAACCTGCCTCGAAAAATCATTAGACATCAACAATGTCTTTCAGAGACCGGACAACAGATTGATTCGTTTGACCCTGGATCTATGTGTTGCTCCGTCATGCCCGTCGCTATAGATGCTCTGTTCTGTGCCGCTATACCCTCCTGAAACAGATTCTCGGAAATAAAAAAGGGTTGTCTCGCGACAGCACCTGGTTCACGATGGCTGGTGCCGAGCTTTCTCAAAGTCTGTTAGATATCATCTCGTGAGTCATTTACCATCAATTGTCAAGCGCAGAATGATATTGACGGATCTAGTTCTCTCACACAAGATGATATCCCATTCAAACTACGTTGCGCCATTTGCAACAACCTGGCAATCAATGCATTTCGCCTGCCATGCTGTGACCAGGCCATATGTGAAAGTTGTATGTCGAATGCCGAGTCATCTTACTTTGTTTCATAGCGTTTAGAACTAACAACTAGCTTAGGCCAGGCGTCACTACCCGAAAGCTGCCCAGTCTGCGAGCATAACCCTGTCTCTCCCGATCTGTGCAAGCCGAACAAAGCGCTTCGTACCACACTGAAGGCCTTCCTGCGAACAGAAGAGAAGAAGCGAGAGAAAGATCGGCCACCTACTACACCAACTGTGACAGCAGCTCCGGCTGCGGTATCCAATGTTCCTGTCGAGGCCAAAGAGGAAACGGCCGTCTCTGCGCCGACGAACTCGGATAATGCTGTGTCGGAGGAAGCCATACCAGCTGAACCTGCTTCCGCCGGAGATATTGAGAAAACAGTTGATGAGAACGACGCCGTGACTAGAGCTCCACCCCTCCAGGTTTGTCTAGCTCATCTTACTTGTCTGTATTACTTTCTGACTTTCTTTAGGAGAATGGAAGCTTGGTTCCTGCGGACAAAAATGAAATCGATCCTACCTCAGCGGATAGCGTGTCAGTCGATGCTAAAGCTATCGACAGTACCGATGCCCAGCCTTCGCAGTCGGAAGGCGAAACGAACCCCGTGTACCCAAACATGGGAGTCGGCATGGCACAGGGTATGATGCCTGGTATGGGGTGGGCTGGTCAGGATATGGGTGCGATGGCAAAATTCATGCCTGCTGCTATGGGTAATTTTCAAAACACCATGGGTGAGTTGACCTGATATCTACATGCGTCTATCTTGACTTCAACTAACGTGATTAAGGAATGCCTGGAATGGGTCCGATGAATGCGGCTCAAGGAATGTTCGGAGGTTTTGGTATGACCATGAATAATATGAGCAATGGCATGAATATGGGATATGGTACAGAGCAGCAAATGTATAACAATTGGGACAACTCTCAAAACAATATGTACAATCCAAATCCGTACTCGAATGGTATGGGCCAAGATTATGGTGCCTCTGGATATGCTGGATACATCAACGGGAACTATTCTCAAATGCAGCAATACCCTAACCAAAATTTCCAAAATGGCTATTATGGAAATGGCCCTGGATATATGAGAGGCGTGGGACGAGGCCGTGGTCGCGGTTATTATCGTGGCCGTGGTGGGTATGATCATGCTAACTACTACCAACAGAACTACCGAAATAATGTATCTCAGGGCCCCATGAACCAGGAAGCAGGGGGACAAACTGAAGATGATATTAAAAGGTTCAACAACGAGCTAGCTCCGGGTGGCGGTGGTGATGATTATTTAACAGACGGCCCGCCCAAAGATAGTACTACCATAACTGGACCAGAAAATGGGAAGGACTCAAACGTCGTTGACAGTACAGACCGGACTGATATGTTGCCCGATTCTAATATCAATGGTGAACCTGCTGGCCATGATGGAGATTCTACGAGCCAATTACAAGGTATTCCTACTATTGACAGTATTGATAACGATTCATCTATGGATTACTCAAGAGGGCCAATGCCGGTCATGGATCACGGATATGGTCGTGGTAGAGGTTTTGGTCGGGGAGGATTCATGACGCACCGCGGTGGTTTCTACAATATCAACATTCAAGGTCCACCTACTGGACAGGGTGTCGCTGGGGCTCCGGTCGCTCCCCGCGCTATGCGTGAGGGCGGCAATAGGAGCCGATTCTCTGGGTCGAGGCGAACTGCTTCAATTTCGCAGACGGCCGAGAACAGCTCACGCGGGTAAGCTTCTTATCTACCATGTGTCTCCCAGTATAGCATCAATGACTAACCACGTTCCTAGCGCAACCCCGTCAATAGCACAAGAGAACATGGTTCCGCACTCACCTTCTGTTGTCGAACACAAAACATGTTCACCATCACCGTCCAGAGAAAGGTCTCCCAGGCGATCGCACCCTCAATCACCACCTACTCCAGAATCTCGACAATCCCGGGCTCATCGCAGAGATCGATCTGAATCTGCGCATGATAGTATTGACGACGACAAAGAAGCTCGAAAAGATCGCCATGGACGATCCCACCGAGATGAGAGAGACTTTGACTCGCGCTCGCAGTCGCGGTCACGCTCACCATCGCAGACAGCTCGACGCTCATCCCATCGTTCCGGAAAGGATGGGGTTCATAAGTCTAGCCATCGGTCATCCAGACTTCGCCGTCGTGGCAGCCGCAGTGAAAGTCGGCATCGTGATCGTAATCGCGGATCTGCCACCATGGCCACAAATGGTGACGACAAATACGATCTTGCGAGACGGATAACGAATGCCCAGCGACTTGGTAAAGGCTCTTCGTCAAGTCGCCATGAAAAGGAATCGCGCAAGCGTGATCGTCATGAAAGCGACCGTGGTACTGATCGGGAGAGAGACCGCCGTCGAGAGCGGGACAAACCGCGTGACAGGGATCATGAACGAGACCGTGGGAAAGATCGCAAACGTTCCCGTCGCGAGCGTTCCCAGTCAGGCGATGAGAGCGACTCTTCACATCGTCATTCCCGTCCCTCCAAGCGTAGCCATCGTGATGGTGGTTATGATGTCGTTGAAAAAGAAAGCAGCAGACCTTCAGAAAGAGAAAGCGATCGCACAGACTCGAGCAAAGATCCACATACATTAGAGCGCGAAGCTCGCAATCGGGAGCGGTTGGTGAAGGAGAAACAACGTCGGGATGCAATGACTACAGAGCATCGTGACAGCAGGAACCCCCGCCGTCAGCATGAAAGTGGACGAAGACTCAATTACAAATACGAAGGTGACGATGATGACATGTCTCGCGTCGAGAAAGAGCGTGAGGCTGGTCGGTGGAGATAGTTTCTATCTTTGTCTCGAGGACTATCTTCAGATGTATAGACTGAAAACAATCAATATATCTTCTCCTGCAATCTTGCATCTCTAGTAGCTAGTCCTATTCAAAGTTGAAAGCGGTACTTGAATGGGGAATAGCATCGAAGACCTCAGAAGCAGACGAGAAGTCTGCCCTCCATGTCTGACCATCTTAGCATTGGGAATCAGGAAGAATTAAATATAGATGAATATTTCACATAACTTTTCATACATATTAAAGATAAATGCTTTTCCGTAGCATCAATAAAATGTGTTGATATCACGTGCCAACTTTACGATAAGATTAACTGTCGGAGTGAATATAAACCGATTTTCTACCAACCACAAACTTCAGCGCCGGTCGACACACACATATATGTATACGGCAATGACCAACTCATGATATGAAGCGAACGTATGAGGTATGGCTTTTTTTTCTCCGTGTTTATGAGCTTTCTAATAGTCAATGATTAGAATGCACTCAAATTACTTGAGTCCCGTCGGCGTACGGCTCGACCAAAGACTCCTGCCGCGCTGAATGCCGGTGTAGCAACACCAGCTCCTAGCTCCCAGACATTAAGAGGCATACCCAGTCTGGCTGGGATGAAAGAGTGGCTTGAAGCTCTAGGACATTCGGTACGTAGACGTCATTAATCTCGGGCATCACATTTGTCATCATTCTCATCAATATCTAGACAAACGATATCAACGACTTGAACATCATCCATGTCGCAGGAACCAAGGGTAAAGGCAGTACATGCGCATTTACTCGCTCATTTCTTCATGCGCACGGTTTGCGAACCGGGTTCCCCAAGCGCGTCGGCCTTTATACTGGTCCTGATCTACAATCTATCCGAGAAAGAATTCAGATAGACAATCAACCCATCACCGAAGATTTATTTACAAGATACTTTTTCGAGGTGTGGGATCGGCTTTTGCCGTCTGATAGGTCTGATACCAACAATGAAGGCCTCCGACAGCCTCGCTATTTGCAACTATTAGCTTTGTTGGCTTTCCATACTTTCATTAGAGAACGGGTACAAGCAGCTATATTCGAAACTCATCATGGAGGTGAATATGATGCTACTAATGTCATATCGCAACCAGTAGTCACTGCCATCACGTCTCTTGGTATGGATCATGTCATGCAGTTAGGTCCTACGATTGAGGATATCGCTTGGCATAAATCGGGGATATTCAAGCCAGGCGTTCCGGCATTCTCAGCGCCACAGGATCCAGGTCCGGTTGAGGTTATGCGCCGGCGCGCGGAAGAGAAGAATGCACCGTTGAAGTTCGTCTCTATCAATGAAAACTTGCTGGAGAATAAAAAGGTTCTGGCTGTGCCAGTTCAGCGGATCAATTGCTCCTTGGCTCTGGAAATAGCACAGTGTTTCTTGCGGGCGAAAGCACCGAAATATGTAATGGATGATGATCTTGTGCGTGAGGGAGTTCAAAATTTTAGCTGGCCCGGCAGATTTGAGATCATCCAGGACGGTGCAATACGGTGGTTCTTGGATGGGGCACATAACCCGCTGAGCCTGATACAGGCCTCAAAGTGGTTTGCGGACAACACAGCTTCAGGGACGAAAAAGTAAGTACGAGGTTCGATGACTTGACCGTAGCTAACAACACTCTTCTCGACCAGATGCCGCATCCTTATTTTTAGTCATTACTCAGAAGAAAGAGATGGGGTGACGCTCGTCGAGGAGCTAGCTCGTGCACTGCTGGAGAATGATGCACGGCCAGATAAAGTCATCTTCACCACCTACAATGAGAGGAAAGATGGTACGAGGCGAATCGGTAAGTTGGCATGTCGGGATTGTTAGAAAACCCTGTCAAAATGTGACTAATACATGATAGACAAGACCCTCAGGATTCCGGAAACACCCTTTCCAGATTTGCGCACAGTATACGCTACTTTATGGGAACAGAAGGATCCACGAGCTATGATTTATAAAGAACCAACAATTGAAGACACCTTGGCACTTGCTAGAAGGGTTGCAGCGGAAAACGAGGGGGCCCAGATTCTAGTAACGGGAAGCTTACATTTGGTTGGAGGTGCACTTAGCACCTTGCGGCCATAGTACGTGAATACCTACGGCTTAGGTCGATATTATCCATGCTGTCCCTCTCTTACAGCTACCCGGAACCTATTGGAGCAAGTCAATAGGCCATAACAGCTTGGCCGGATATAGACCCCAGCACCGGAGCGGAAAAATTCATACGTCCTTAGAATTAACCCCATAATAATTAACGTATGAGGCATTGAAAGATCGCATTGGTCATAACTAAAAAAATCCTTTTACAAACCCAGCCAACTTGGCACTTTTCGTCCCGGTACATACGAGCCGGCGGGGGAAGCGTTGGCTGATGTCACGATATTGTTGTTTCAGGAGTTTACAACTCAAAAAATGATTTTCCGATAGAAAGATTCGGTGCAAGTTTTCTTGTGGACAGAGATGGATGGCGGATATAATCTCTGCGCAGATGTATCAAGGTTCGGCTTCGTTTCCTTAGAACATTTTCTTCCACCACTATCACTAATCGATAAGTCAGTACTGCTATTATAGTCCAACAACATACAATTACCCGTGTTGGTAAGTGATGTATATCGTGTTGATGAGCCAGGTCTTCTTAGTACTTAGTGCATGTTCCTCGCACGAAGGTAATGGATGAACGGACCAAACTGTCCGTTATCTTGAATGGCTTCATGTTACGAAATCTTGGCAGAATAACAAAGCAACCCATGAATGGTATAAATACTTACGTTCTCCTCGACTGATAATTGCTTTGTATCACTAATTAATCAGGCTTTCGTTGTGTGTCAATTGTATATTCTCCAACCTACTCCAGGGTTTTGTCTTCCCGAGCCCTAAGCTGCCTACAATACAAGTCTCTTTCCCTCAGAATGCCGACATCGACTAGCAAACTCGCCGGCAAAAATGTATTGCTGATTGGCGGAACATCAGGAATTGGCTTTTCCGTCGCTGAAAAAGTGCTACGAGAAGGCGCCCATATCACCATCAGTTCTTCATCCGAAGAAAGGATCGCGAACGCTGTCGGACGACTTCAAAAGAGTTCCCCAGAATACGCATCAAACGTGAGAAGTTATGCGGCCGACCTTTCCATCAAAGAGAAAATCGAGAAGAACGTCGTGGGACTACTTCAATATGCTGCAAAAGACTCTACGATTGATCACGTAGTGTTCACGGCCGGAAATGTGCCACCCATGGCACCACTTCCCGAGTCAACTTTTGAGCATATAGATGCTTTTCTTAACGTGCGTTTCTACGGCGCTCTGGCAATTGGCAAATATGCACGCAAATACATAACCCCATCCAAGACGTCGTCGATAACTCTCACTTCCGGATCGCAGGCCAGTAAGCCCTCAGCATGGCTTCCACCAATCGTTTGCATGGCCGTTGAGGGAGTGGTGAAAGGTCTAGCAGTTGACTTAGCCCCTGTCCGCGTGAATGCGGCGGCGCCTGGGTTTGTTCAAACAGAGCTTCTGGAAAAGATGCCGAAAGAGATGGCGGAGGTGGGTCTTAAGATGTCCAAGAATAAGTCCTTGACTAAGGATATTGGTTACCCGGATGATACTTCTGAAGCGTATTTGTACTTCATGAAGGATACATTTGTGACTGGTATTGTGTTGAAGACCAACGGCGGCATACATCTAACTTGATTTAGTTGTCTATTGGTCGATGTAGCTTGGACTTGTAAAAAGTGTGTCCTATCTAAATGTATTTTGAGATCTAATGGTACTGACCGATTCTGCCTTTTGATATGCGTTTATACTCTTGCGTATCGCACACCTGAGATCTACAATGGGTAGATAAAGTACTTGTTTTCCAAATCAGTGAGATCCAAGAATGCCAAATCCACAGTGGTCTGGACTACCTGTCCCTCATCATCGACCTGCTTGACAACACCAACAGCTCTTGATGCCTGCTGTTGTAAAATCCATGCTCGACGCTCTTTGTTTCTCCGCGAGAGAATGAATCTGATCACTAACAAGATTACTGGAGTACCCACCCAGCTGATCACAATCTGCACTATCCATGCTGGGTAGTAACGAGGCGCATCCCTTGCGGCCCAAATCTGTGGTGAGATGATGTTCGCGATACTATACCCGACCATGAACATGACGTTGCGTAACAATTTCTTCGTGTATCCGGATGCAGTTGAGGTTGTCCAGCCCAGAGCGATGATATAGGTAATACCGAAAGTAGCCCCTGCCAGACACAAACAGGCGAGCAAGCCAATTTTGTTGTCCCAAGGAACCGTCACCATACCAATTCCACCAGCTATAGCAGGCAGAACCCAGAGCACTGACCAGTAGGCGTTTTTGTTTGGGAACCACCTCAAAAGGAAATACGCCACGACACAGCAAACTACGGAAAATCCAGCGCTGGCGACGCCAACCAAAGTTGATCCCAGGTTCGAGACACCGAGACTCAAGAATAGCAGATTCTGTTGATAGGCCAGATTATTTGAAAGCATCAGCGTAAATACCTGCAGTAAGAACAACCACGAAACAGGATCGCGAATAGTTTCAATTGCCTGGTATCGTTTGAATTGTTTCTGCTCGATGGACCCCTTGGTTGCGTCATGCACACGCTTGATAGTGTGAAGCTTTTCGGCACGACTGAGAAATTTTGCCTGCACGGGATTGTCGGGGTAGAAGAACCAGCAAAAGATGGACAGAAACAGACTCAGACTGCCGGTAATGATCATGAGAAACTTCCATGGGAGGATACTGCTCTTGCTGTATAACAGGCCGTACGCGATAAAGCCCGTGGGTATGTTTGCCCCCATACAGGAGATCCAGAATAGCGGCTGTAGGGCACTCTGTTCCTCCGGAGGGAAGAACATGCCCAAGGTGATCTCCATGGCCGGTACCAGTGATGACTCGACGAATCCGAGAAAGAAACGCAAGGGGATCAATCCGCCATAGCTCCTTGCAGTATCGTGCAGGAATATAATCAAAGCCCAGAAGAAGGTGGTGCCAGAGACGTATTTTCCCAAGGGTAGGCGTTGCATCAGATAGTGACCGGGAAATTGACCAACAATATATCCTGAGTTTGTTAGATGTTGTTAAACCGAGAAAAGAACCCTATTTGGATTGTAATTACATACCAACATAAAACAACGTATTGAGATTATTGTATTGAGTGCCATTGAGGTGTGTTTCCTCGAAAATGCCGAGCAAGGAGGCATATGACAGAGTAGACTTGTCAATCTATATCCGATTCAGTTTGTTAGCATTGCTTGAAGTGGTATGGTGTATAGATGACCTGATCATACAAATAATAGCAAATTGGTGATCGTAAGCAACAATATAATATACCAAAACAGCTTTCGGGATAGCTTCTTTTCTTCCTTTTCCGTCAAGGGCGGAGTAGAATCGCCGTATAACTCAACAAACTCGAGAGTTACGTCGGCATATTTCTTGGAGACAACCGGATTGATGTTCGCAGGTTCAGCGTTGACTGTCGTCTTCAGGTTGGCTGTCTTTTCGGACATGTTTGGTTCTGTTCTTTGTCAAAGTGAGGAGCAACTGATGTCTTATCCGATATTTAGGTATATGGCAGATGACTGCCAAGATATTTATAGTTATAAATTTCGTTCTACTTTGTTTTATTTTTTATATTATTTTTCTGAGTATTGCATGATACGGAGCACGCAATCGACGGCGACAATTAGGCCTGTCAAACCCCACCGATAAGGATTTCTTCACTACGAACTAATTTCTTTTTTTGCGCTTCTTCAGCGCTTCCTCGCGTCAAATCTCCCGCTTTGAGCCATTGGTCTGTCTCTCTACGGACATATGGAAGTCTGCGAAGCGGCCGAGGAAGATATTGAAGTGCCCACTTCTCACAGCTATACGCTATACGAGGAACAGTTGAATTCAATCCTTTAGAAATCGCGCAAGCTCCAATTAAACATCATCCAGACTATTAATTCCGACATGATTCATGAAATGTCTGCAGCGGGCAGCCGCATTCGTCAATTTTTGTTGTTACCAACACCTCGGTGTCGGAAGATTCCACCGGGCTACATTGACTTACAGGGACGAGTCTGAAAACCATATGAGAACTCAAGAAACTCTCTAATTGCGTGACTGAATACCAACCTGGTGTATCGCTACGCATGCCGATATGAGATCGAACGGCCCGACTTCTTCACATGACACAAGACCTTCGCAATGTATCTTGAGAGATGGGAGCAAGGAATTCTCTGTATATTGCTTAATTGATACCTGTGCCCTTTCTCCCAGAGGCTCTAAACTACATGGGGCAGGCGGTGCTGGCAACAGGGAGGAGCCTGGAGAACTTCCCGTCAACAGTGTATGTTCGACGAAATACACGAATTGACGTGATCCTATGCTTGGTGGAACCATTCACCCTCAAGCAGCTGCTTTGTAGTCGGACTGCCTCTCGGACCCAGTTTGATTATCTTCGAAAAGAAATCCTTTTCTTGTGTTGACATCTTACGCTGGCCAGCAAGTGAGAAGGTCTTAGATACTTAGGCAGTACATCATTCGTAACAATTGACAAAATTCCCAGCGTCTCTTAAGCAACAATCTCAGCATACAAATGTGGAAATGACCCAAATCAGATACGATAAGGACGCCGTTTATTTTGATATCTGTCAGAAGATGATTGGATCAGAAAACAATGCTTAGCTTTGATGTTCTGCATGGAGTTTAATGTTACATGTGTGTACATATCCAACGTGATGCAGCACTTTCAACCACCGAAGAACCCTCTTTGATACGTGTCCTATTTCATCCATTGAGCCTTTTTGCTGCCGAAGTGGTCAGTAAACCATCTTGGATACGCTTCAACACGATGGCGGAGGGTCCGGCGGCTAAATTATCTTGTCAACCAAGGGACGCAGATGCGGCGTCCTAGGTTGAAACTTCTAAAGAATGTCTCTCTAGTTTAAGAAGTGAAAAGGACAGGAGACTTTGAAGATTATAGTCTTATCATCATTACTACTGGGATCTGTGTTAGTACAAAGTATGAGTCCAAGTTGGAATCAACATTTACCTTCCCAGCTAAAAGAATCCATCAAGATTCCCAGTAAGCCGTTTTTGTACTGAGATTGCACTTCGGGCTCCAACTCAATCTAAAATGACGGAATACCAAAGCCAGGAAGTGCATAAGAGATAGCTTATGGGAAGTCTAGAGAACAGAATACCAAGAATGCTAGCAATAGATCTGCCGATAGCTATGCAACACAGTCAAGGGCCATCTCATTTATGGTGAAAATAGAATATAACGCGTCACGAGATTGAGGAAATTAACTTTCCCTTAAGAAATTTGATAGGACCGAACAATTATAATAATGGTGCTTGCTTACAATGAGATTCGCCATTCGTTATATGCCCTAAGCCCTAGCCCTAGCCCTACCTGCAAGCCCTAATGCCGTTGGTCAAGTCGAAATATTCTTTGACCATAGATCAATCCCAAGCCTACAAACATTATTACGAATCTGTTGTAGTACCAGAGTACGATTCACCGTATGAGCCACTGAGTTGATAATTGTCATGATTTCTATCTCTTAATAAACACCGAGGACTCAGCAAGACAGTAGCATACAAGCTCACAAGTGCTAATCAATAAGCCAGCTGACACTTTCACAGAAGTAACTTTTGTCTAGAGGATACGTACTCTAATCAACTAAAGAGCTTATTTAAATATGATTACATATCATTAGTGACTAACGCTGGTTATTCAAATGTTAGCTGGTGCGTTATTTGTAATGATGAGTAGTCAGCCTAATGCTGAATTAGGTTAGCTAACAGCCTACTGCACGGTCTGCACCATGACTCATCTCGATATTACTATTTGAAACTAGTGTTGCAACATTGTTCAGCTGAGTCTGATTCCTCTGTTCGTCTAAAAGTCCTCTCTGTGAATTTGTCTGAAGTGTAGCGATTGTACACGAGCGTCAAGGATCGAATCCAGGTACTATTTAGGGCTTTAGGTGATAACAATCGTTGGCTTCCGTTTTCAAATCCTTACATGCGCCAAATATGAAAGTCTCCGCTGATATTTCTGCACTATTGACTACTGACAAGTTAGAACTCGTTCCAATCAATCTCAGTGATCCGGTTCAACATGCTGAGTTCAAGCGACAACGAGAAATTTGCGGCTGGGATTACTTGGACGAAGATCTGCAAGCATTCAAAGAGAAGCAGAAAAAGAAGCTCAAATCTTTGTTCTGGATAATGATACAGCTTAAAGCGCAAGCTATTGGAAAAAAAGAAAACAGTGATAGCCTTCCTGAGAGCAACACTCTTATACAAGATGCGACACGCGGTGACACTGCTGGATCATCACCATCGGCTGGGTTGTTCACCGTTCGAGCGGGCCACATCTCTCTTGACTCTTATGCCGATCCCCCCGATCCCGAACTCGCCCTCGAGGATAGGTCAATCTTGACTGTTCAGACTTTTTTTATTTTGCCTGAATATCGGACGGGGGGAGTGGGACGGGCGGCAATGGATCTCGTCGAGGTCCTAGCCACAAAGGAACCGTATGGAGGCCCTCGGTGCCATACGCTCACTTTGACTACGGCTAGTAAGAAGTATCTTGAAATCGACGAGCCGGAATGGAAGGGTATTTGGAAGAAGTTCGGAATGGATATTCCCAAATTCAGCGCCCAAATCTGGTACGAAAAACTGGGCTATGTATATTGGAAGGAGGAGCCACGATATAGATCTCCAACTCTTGATGGCTCAACCTTAGTCGTGATTGCTTCTTTTATGCGGAAGAAACTGCAGTGATGGCAGTGAATATGATCATCCATGCACTGATGATCCTCAGGAAGTTATTCCAGGTTGGCATGAGCGTATATAGAGCAATATAGACGACCACCTGAGCACAAACAAGAGCATGAATAGAAAGTAGGAAGTTATACCAACCTTGGAGGCCAGATAACGAAATGAAGACGGTTGAATGACCTTTCACTGGTGTATTTGGGGATGCGATGATCTAGATCGTACTTCAACCTAATCTGCTGCAACATAGAGTATGTTGAGAACGTCGTAGAATGATTCTGCAGCAGCTATTATGTTCCGACCGACTTGAGCTGTCTCGGACTCTAAACTCGAAGGAGGGGGTACTGAAGTCAACCATCATGGCCCATTTGCATTTGCATTTCATTCCCTCGCGATGGTACACCAACAAGAAAAATACTGTCGCCGCATGACAGTTCTCGACAATGGGATAGTTAGAACAATAGTGGCCAGTCGTCTAATGGAGGAATGGGTGGCGAAGATTGAAGAGCGTGTCAACCGTGCTTCATAGCCCTCCTCAGCCTCAATTCAGCTTCCTAAATAGGTGCAAGTACTTCTTTTGAAGATAGTGAATATTTGCCACTTTAGGGAATACTCTAAGCACAATTCATGTTATCAACCGGTCATGAACCATTCGTTCTACAGTAACTGGTCTGAATTTGTCATCTTGCCAGCCCAGGTTCCTGAGTTTTAGCTCTACATAGTCTCTACGCCAAAAAAGGCTACCTCGGATGTTTTGGATCGAAGCTGTTGTTGAGGCTTATCACATGCTTGTACAACGGACTTTCTTGTCCTGTATGTTGGGAGTCGCAGGTGCGTTTCAAAAGTGCTTAAGCGGCAAGGATTAGGGCTATAATGAGTTTAACCCTAGGCATAGGATGGAGAATGACGATGGAATCAACTTGAATGAAGAGAACTCGAGTCCTAGCTTTGAGTGATTACAAGCTTAATTATTTCTTAATGCAAAAAAAAAAGGGAAAAAAAATATTTACTCATGGGACTGCAAGAAGTTGAGATCTAAGAATCATGTTTTTGTTGAGACAGTGATAGCGTCTGACGAATCACTCTTCCGTTTTGTGTTTCTGGTACACACCCGGGGAGTTTGATGTGAAGCTTTTAACTTCGGTCTATATGCTCCAAAGCAGTAATGCTCTTCTAGGCTCTGGATTAGATATGCAATGTACACTAAAAGTAGACGAGGAGAAGTCAAATCGAGATTAATACGTATCTCTCGCGATTCACTTTTGCTCCGTCTTCCTCGTCGTAGCTTGGCAGGTTTGAAATGGAATCAGGATTTATCCTTGATATCCACTTAAACATACACAAAATCGTACGTACTATGTAGCAAGCGGAGTTTGTAAGAGTTTTCGGCATCAACCGATACGCCAAGAACAAGTTTGCAAGGAGTGCACTGTGCATTCACTGAGACGATACGCTTTCTCCCCGTATCATGATGAGACGACTGCGCCTCTAAACCCCCTGTTCACGTTCTCCCTATCGGGTTTCAACGTCGAACCGAGTCTAGCCACTAAACTGACAAATTCGCAGAGGCTAGACTCCGCACCCCAGCCAGGATGAAAACACGGTCTAGGGCTCAGATCTTATCTGTAACAAGCTTCGGAGAGATCGCTCAAACTATGGTCAACTGAGCGTTCTAATGTGGGATGGGAGTACACAAGTCTGCGGAGTCCGGACTACTCACACGGTTCATCCTCTGGCCATTGGGCCTCGGCGATTAGCATCTGATAGGAGAGCACAAATACATCCATGATTCACCACGGATGTGCTTGTTACGGCTCTTTTTCATGCCCCTTCCCCTACGACCAACAAGCAAGAAATGTTGGGAATCTTCTCTGCCTCGCCTTGAGACTGTGCCGACTAACTTGAGGCACATACCCTGATCGACGTCCCAGTTCCAACAAACTGTACTAAGGCTAGACCTAGTCTGTTGTTGGTATTCTGTATCGGGAATGTCGCCGATTTTCTGCTGGATAGGTTACTTTTCCAGATATGTTTGAGAAATGCAAGCGAGAGATCTATTCTGTATCCCAGCCACTTAGCATGAAGGAAAAAGAGGTATGCTTGGTTTGTGACCAATCGATTTCTTCTTTTTCACTTTTGGGCTCATGTTTCCAAATTCACATCTAGGATGCGTCTTCTCGGACCTGCCTGTGTCGACGTCTACAAAGGTATATAAAGGCCTGAAGATCTCGAGAAATCCATCAACTTTCACTCCCACGCTCATCGACTCAACTTCCACTCAGCTTGATAATCTTGTTCATTCTTGTTGCGCCGGCCGCATTAATTAGTCTTTTACATCTTTGCTGACTTTGCTATACCCACTCGTACTTTTCCGAAATATCGAAAACAATTTCCAAAATGCGTTCTACTATTTATGCAGGTCTCCTCTTCGCCCTGGCGGCTGAAGTTTACAGCCACGGTGTGGTTACTCAGATCCAGGGTGCCAACGGTGTCAACATGCCCGGCCTATCAGGTGAATTCATTTCGCATCTCTAATTTGTAATACCCCGTCTTCTTTGTCTAACTATTCGATAGTCATTGACGGAACTCCTCGTGACTGCGCAAGTCCAGGCTGTGGTGCCGAGGCCGATACCTCCATCATTCGCCAGAATGAATTAGGCGGCAAAAAGGCTTCTGCTCTTGGACGTACCAAGGGAGGCGGTCCTGTTGACGCTGCTGCTGCCATCGCTTCTTTCATGGGAGGGTCTTCAGCAGCTGCTGCCTCATCCGGAAACTCTACTACGTCGGCAAAGCGAGGTCTCCTAGGCGATCTTCTTGGTAATGGTATGTTTGTTATTTCTTCTTATAGACTCTCATCGCTAATGGCATTGTAGGAAAGAACGGAGGCGGTGCAGGCAGCAACTCTCAAGGCACTAGCACCAAGAATGCCCCTGTTGAAGGTGGTGTCAAGGCAGCTGCAGGCACTGGTGCAACAAGCGGTTTGCCTACTTGCTCCGACAACGGCACCATTAGCTTGACCTATCATCAGGTATTATCATCCCAGCTAAGGTTTTCTTGCTGTTATCATAAGCTGATTTCTTCTTCTCTTAGGTCAACCAAGACGGCGCTGGCCCCCTGACAGCTATGATTGATCCAACCTCCGGCGGTACTGACCCCAGTGCCTTCCAGAAGGCTGAAATCATCCAGGACGTTCCTGGTAGTAAACTAGGTCTCTCCACCGCAAAGACTGAAGACTTTCCTATCCAGGTTCAGATGCCTCAAGGTATGACATGCTCTGGAAGCGTTGGTGGTGCCAGCAACGTCTGCATTGTACGTGTCAACAACAACGCTCTTGCGGGTCCCTTTGGTGGTTCTGCTGCCTTTACACAGTCTTCAGCTGCCAAAAAGAGAGCCGTTGAGTACAACTTGAGCAAGCGCCACATGGCCCGCGGTATCCTCAAGCGCACTGAAACGGAACTCGAGTAAGGTGACTGCTCTAAAGACATCCGGCGTGATCTTAATAGCGAGACAATTACAAGCCTAATTCAATTTGGCCATTGAGAGATGCCGATGCTTGAGTGGGACAACTGGTTGGGGAGGGAAGGAGAAGGATTAGGTACCTGGCAGGGAGGTGAAGTGAGGGAAACAAGAAGAGAATAGGAGGAAAGTATGGATGATTTTTCCTGATAATGTCAATGTTCTTTCATGGTTACTTAGTCAGAATTATATTATCCATGCCAACCTCGGAATAATATCAGGAATATACTCAATTCATAATCAGTGTATTCGGCGTTAAGAGCCTGGTGACGTGCTTGGAATACTTCCGTTAGAAGTGCTGCTTGTTCATCGGTTTTTCTTGCTAGCTGGTTATTTTTCCGATTTTCCACCTTGGCAGGTTACAATAAGATCTTCATAAATGCAGAGACGGTTATCCCGGAGTCTAGGCATGAGTATTGTCTTGTTACGCAATTGGCTACGAGGCATCATTGATCCGGAAAATAGGATTGGCAAATACTAGTTAAGGGAGTAGTGTTGTTAGCCACCTCCATAATTTAAGGCTCTGATCCTTGATACGTAGAGGATATCTGACTAGCATGTGCACTAATATCGGATTCAGTAACGATCTGGGACCATTCAACAAACAAACTGTGGGGTAATCTGCAGGAATCCAAATTCAACTCCTTGAGGTACGAAAGGCGCCGAGGCTCATCGTGAAGAAAGTATGGGGTAAAGCTCGTGAGATCCGAAGCATATGCTTCGGATGGTATGAACTGGCCGCATGACACAGAGTGTTGTAACAACAGAGTTGAGCTCAGCTTGACACATAAACAGAACGTTGGCACAATGCGTGTCGAGTACTCATATTACATAGGTACGGGCTCGTCAAGTGAAACTGGGACCCAAAATGATCAACCTCAAGTTCTTGTCTTGCTGGCTTCTCATCCTGTTAATGCCGTTTCTGGCTTTGGGTGTACCTGTCGTGAGGACCCCAGGGCCACAATATCCTGTCGGCGACCCTTTTACGTACCTCCTGAGGGATTCGAGTCGACAGTCGCAGGAAGTATTCTACGCTATCGGACACCACCATATCCCATTGCAGCATTCAGCTTGGCTCCAATCAATCTGGCCGCCTCCTACCAGATCTTATATCGAACGACGAATTCGTTCGGAGACGCTGTCGCTACTGTTTCTACCATTCTCGTACCGCATAACGCAGATTTTACGAAGTTACTTTCATACCAGGTGGCACAAGATGCGGCCAACCCTAATTGCTTGCCGTCTTATGCCTTTCAGTTGGAAGCTGCCACGGATTGAATCCTTGGTATAGTCATGCCTCAACTAGAATTGGTTTTTATTACCGCTGCCCTCGACAAGGGATGGGTAGTCACCGTACCTGACCATCTTGGTACGAAATCTGCCTTTTTGGCTAATCACCTATCTGCACAAGCTACCCTCGACAACGTTCGAGCTGCACTAGCATCCACCGAATTCACAAGCATCTCGAAAGATGCTACTGTCACCTTATGGGGTTATTCTGGAGGTAGTTTAGCCAGTGGATTTGCCGCTGAACTGCAGCCGACTTACGCCCCTGAGCTCAACATTGCTGGAGTTGCACTTGGAGGAACCGTTCCACAGATCCTCCCCGTGGTTTATGCAGTGAATAAGGGTTTATTTACTGGGCTAATTCCCGCAGGTATCCAGGGGTTGGCAAATGAGTATCCAACTGCTGCCCAGCTGGTTGCTGATAATGTGCTGCCCTCTAAGGCCGCTGAGTTCAACAAAACAAAAAGTCTCTGCCTCAGTGGTGATACAACCACTTATTTCGGTCAGGATATGTTTTCATACGTCAAAGATCCAAACATCTTTACCGAACCTACAGCCACTGCACTTTTGGGAGCCAATGCCATGGGTCAACATCTGCCGAAGATACCGCTGTACATCTATAAATCCGCTGGAGACGAAATAAGTCCGGTTAACGATACTGACGCTCTTGTCGCGCAATACTATTGCTCTGGTGGAGCGAGTGTGCAATGCAAGCGCGATGAGCTATCAGAGCATGCAGCTATGGCTATTCTTGGTGCTCCTGATGCATTCATGTGGTTGGAAGATCGTATGAATGGGCGTCCTGTAGAACTTGGATGTTCGCAATCTACCGTTCTCACGAGCTTGACAGATCCAGATGCTCTGGCAGCTCTAGGAGCTGGTCTCGTAGATGTTCTACTTTCTCTGCTTTCTGCGCCTGTTGGACCTATCATGATTGGATGATCTGAAATGTTATGGACTCATATCCTTCGATGTTTAAGCTTACTGTGATGGGGATGACGCGCGCCGTAATAGTCATAATATTAATGTCACCTCAACAATCTTTGTAACCTCTGAAATATTTGAGTCCCAGTCCGCTGTGCCAATAAAGTTTGGGGTTGCATGTTGATGTTTGCTGGATTCGATATGTGTTTTCCTTATTCAAATATGAAAGGGGACTACAAAGCATAACAGAGGTCCTTGCAATTTCATTCATTTATTTCTCTCTTGTGAAATACATCTGTTTGGGTTCCGTGTGGTCAGAAAAGGCCGCTTATGTACCTAGGTCAGCATGGAAGGTAGACTTACTCGGTACCTCTGGCATCCAAGAGACTCGGTCTTTGCAGAAGAATTCCCCCTTAGGAGGCAGAGCCTCTGGATCATCCAGTGAACCCACAACAATATACCGAAACTTATTTTTCACAGCTTCCTGCATATATGATTAGTTGACTATGGAACGTCGGAATTGAAGAAAAAAGGGGGAAAGCTCACCCCATATTCGAGAATGAAACTCCCACAATTACCACAAAACTCCCTATTAATCACCATACCCGACCCATTATCTGCCGAGTGTCCTTTTGGTTTTCCCTGGGTGATCTTCAAAGCGTCCTTGGGTATCTTTGCCGTCAGTCCGTAGTTGGCTCCAAATGCTTTTTTGCAGTTCCGACAATGACACAGTGAGGTGCGAGCATCATCAGGCGAATTGAGCGTGACTTCGTATTTGATGTTTTGACAGTAGCAGGAGCCCGTTAGAGTTGTCATTTTCCTGATCAGTTGTGAAAGTCGTGAGGAGGTAAATAGGAGATAAGAAGATGATGGGTTTGCTCTTAGGGTTTGCCAGGGTAGGTGCTTGGATAGAGCTGCGAGACGATTCATTAATTGATGTAGATGGTTGATTTGACTAAATCTGTTTTGAGGCCGACTAGTGTGTAAAAAACATTTGTTTGAAGTCGAAAAATTGATGCATTTATCTCATTCTGGGAAGCTTGATGTTCACTGATTATGGAGGATTGACGTCACAGTATGCCTATCCTAAGTAGGGTTAGGGCTGTGGGATCATCACTTTCTAGTGAACAAGACAGCAACCACCTAGGTGTTAATGGCCTGAAAATGACATAAAACAATGCCATCGGTTTCTTAGAATATATTTATACCTCTCAATTATGGTTCACAACCTGTATTCCGGATAATATCTCAAGAATGGCAGAGACACTTTGAAAGAGGGGATTTGATCACGTGCTTTCTATAGCCCTAGCTACGTTCGACAAGGATGAGTTACCTAGGTAGGGACATCGTTTCGAAAGTGTTCAGGTGTTGCTCTTAGATTACAGGATCCAAGGAACCGCGATACGATGTAAGAAGCAGGCTCAATGGCTGACCAGGGCTATGTAGGTGTGAGTAGGTTTGCTTGAGAACGGCGATCAATAACGTCAATATACTCATCTCTATCGACACTTTAAAAAAAAAAAAAATAAATACTCGAACGAAATCTTCAGCTGCACAGCTACACAAATATGTTCAATACTGCAGTCAGGAGCAGAAAGACCAAACCGAAACGAAGACGACGTGACATCCTACATAAGATGTAGTGTGGAAGTGAAAGACAGTCATATAGCAAAAGCCAAAAGGGAATCAACAAAAGAACATGAACTCCAAACACCAATGCAATTCGAGAAAAGGCCAACAGTCACTCGTGGTATCATATCGTAAAGAAAGGTTATCAGTAGCTGCTTAATTCTGTATCTTTGAGACACGTTTCGCAGTTCCAATGTGTGTATTATGTACTTTTGTGGCGAACTTCAGACTCGTCAGGGTCTCCCCAAGATGTGCCTGCAGAGGACTGACCATGACGAACATCAGCGTCTTAGAGTTGCCACCCAGCGAAAATTGCAACAGATATGTAAGCTGGAAAAAGATCAGTTTGGTTAAGATATGAGAATGAGTTCAGAACAAACCTTGCTGTTTCTGTACGGAATGTGTCCACCCTCTTTGCCTGAGCCCAATGCGCCGATAACATCTCCCAAGCAGCTCAAACTTCGGTTGATATTCTGTGTTTCCTTCAGACGTTCCCCTGTTGCACCACTGTGACTGAGTCGCTCACTACCAGCGAGGTCAACCAGATTGAGTGTTCCTTCGCACCGCTCTCCTGTTATGGTGTTATGGCCGAGTAGTCGCAGAATAAATACGGAATGTGACCTGGATGATCTCTCATTTGCTTTTGTTGCTGCGACAGATCGATTGGCGGCTGCGCGCTTAAGGATCGACTCAACCATCTCAGGAGAATCGAGTGTAACAGTGGTGACATCCGTAATCGTGGTTTTGCACCTCTGCATGTCATGCCGAATTTCATGCCTCTTCTTATCCAGATCATCGGCTTTTCCAAGAAGATCATTCAAGTTCTCGTTGTAGACTTCAACAAAGTTGCCCTCCATGGTGTAAGTCCACCCCTTTTCTTCCAAGCTTTTTGCAGTATCATAAATCTGGTGAACAGCACGTGGAATCATGCCATCTGCGGACGACATGGTGTGTGTCTTACCGCTTCCGGTCTGTCCATAGCAGAAAATACACACGTTGTAGCCGTCAAGAGCACTCTGGACCAACTGACTGATTTCTTCAAAAACATCAGCATTCTGGTTACTAGGTCCAAAAACACGATCGAAGGAAAATGCGTTATTCTTGCGGGATACAGTTCCAAGGCTGCTTCTCTCTTCAGGACCCATTATTGCAATTTCTTTGCAATCTTCTGCATCGTCGGGAAAAGCGATTTGCGCAATATCGGATTCCGGCTCTGAAGCGAGAGGTGGTCGAACACGACAGAAAACGCGAATATTTCCCTTCAATTCTTGCACCTGGTTGTGTAGCTTGCGTCGAAGTGTCTCCTCTTTACGTAGCTTCTCCTTCGCTTCGTTTGTCTCTGCGAGGGCATCTTCTAATTGTTTCTGAAGGCGTTCAAACGCTTGAGACTGCTCTTGGCTGCCGGATTCCAGGAATTCGATTCTTGCTTTCAAAGCGCGAATTGATGATTCCAGAGTCAAAGTATTGTTACTTGCAGTACCCAAATGACCACGGAGTTCCCGATTCTTTGATTTCTCAGCTTCTATATCGTCAAGGGCAGCACGCAAATCGCGCTGGAGGGATTCAATCTGCCTGTCTTTATTCGCTACCTCCAAATGGACCTTCTGTGTTTCGAGGGCATTCTGTGAGTTTACCTGGCCGAGTTCACGTTGATAGGTAGTGCGTTCATCGTCAAGCTCTCTCTGATGGCGCAGACGCAGATCCTCAATTTCGTTTTGATGCTGTGAAATCAAAAGCTGTAGTTGCTTCTGACTCTCCTCACGAACCGTATCGGTCTCGATGCGCAAACGCTGCTCGTACTCATCCATGGCAATCTCATGTTCTGTTTCTGCAATCTTTACCGCCTCCTCAGCGGTCGAGACTTTATTTTTCATCGACTCCACCTCGATACGAAGCGAACAATTGGTGGTCAAGAGCTCATCTCGATTTCTCTCGAGCTCGTCAACTGCGAAGTGTTAGCGACGATTTCAATCGTCATGGTAGAACATACCTCGTGATTTGTATATGTTGACGGCATCCTTCATGACATCGCTGTTTTGACTAACTTGTGTAAATTTTTCGAAAAAATTGCTTGTAAAAGATTCGAAATCCTGGAACCTAGTCTCATCCCAGGCTTTTATTTGAGAATACTTGGTTAGAAACGGTGTGACAGATTCTTTCTTTTGAGGAGAGCCAAGCTTGCGACGGGATGGGGAATGTGCCAATTGTGTAGACTTTGTTTGACGTAGAGGTAACCTTGTGGACTTAGGGCGGGAGGGGATCTTGCAGGTTTTCTTTGCCGGTTTAACTTGATCTTCTGGGGCAGTCACGGGGTCTGATAAAGATAACTTGCTCATAAGGGTACTTATTGAGGCATCTCTGCGTTGGGGAGGCAGGCCATCGGGAGTGGAAGATGGGATGAAAGGGGGGGTCCATTGTATTGTGCAATTGAGGTGCTTATCGTACGATCCAGGGGTAACTTGATAAGGCTTTAAGGAATTTTGCATACCCTTTCTTTTGCCTAACACACTGTTCGGGGATTCCTCCTCATGGGTATCTAGTGAAGTATGCGGTCGTGCAATGGAAGTTGCGCCAGGTTTCCGTTGGGTCATAGATGTCTGAGGTCTCGCTGCTCGAGAGCCCGTTCCCACAGTCTGAGAGGAAGAGGCCGATGTTGCTCGAGACTGGGTCGTCCGGGTAGAGACCGACGAGGAAAATGAGTTTGTCCTGGAATGAGCCCTTGGTGCACCATTGGGTATCTTGGAGGTGGAAGCGGATGGTTGATGGTGGCGGTTCGTTGTCGTAGATGTTTCTGCAATGAGTTAGACACTGAGCGTAAATAGAACGAAAGCTATGAAACATACTCGACGTAGCTGATGGCTTGAGTCCAGCTGTTGCAAATCCTGGTGGTTTCAGCCCTGATCGCGAGTTGGTCTTCGCTGAATTCATCTCAGTCAACCCAGCTTGCGGTATGCGCGATTTGCTATTTAGCCGAGATTCCATCTGCAATGTACAGCATTCGTCAGTCGTTGCCATTGAGCTGGGAAAACAATCGTACGTCGATAAAATTCTCATCCATGCGTGTTCCGGTCAACGCAACAATGCGGGGAGCAAAAGTCGGCGATTTGGCGAGAAGACAATTGGAGAGAAAAGCTACAGCATCAGACGAGAAGACCAAAGAATTCGCGTATTGAAAAGTCTTCGGTGTATACAAGACGCCTATACGCTCCTTCAAGTACAGATGATGTCGATGGTTGTCGTGTTCGTGGCCGGAGATGAGTGCAATGCTGGCTGAAGGTCGTTGAGTTGGTGGAAGCAAGTTGATCAACAAAGCAGACGAGAAAGTGGTTACCCGGAGAAACGATGTAAACAAACTCAGGAGACTTAGTCAGCACCCGTTCAGGCAAGCAGCTTGAGCCTGAGTGCCTTGGCGCCTCAGGCCAGCAGAGGGGCATGTTTGAGCCGTTGAACTAGTCCTCTTTGGAATGTACTCAGGCTTGTCGCCCACGTGATGCTGTTGGACAGCTCTTTGTTCACTGGATACTCATAATATAGGATAATAATCTCAGTAAAGATTCTGATATGGCTATACTTTGTATCAAGTAGTCCTTCTCGAACTTGTTGTCGTGGATGACAACGTACGTGGTGGGCTAGGACCCCTGGACTTTACCGGCAGGCAACTAACTTATCGGCGGCGAGGCTGAGACTCCAAGCTTGCTCCCTTCTCTTCCCACTCTTGTTTCTCCATATTCTCAATTGTTTATCAAGGTCCTGGCGACCACTTTCCTATTTTCGGTTCGTCAATTTCCACATTATTGTTTCCACCACCATGTCTGGTCGTTTCGTCCGATCGTCGAAGTATCGTAAGTCTTATTGCTGTTGCGCCGTTTCCTGGCGCAAGAAGCTAACACCTGTCTCCTGAGTAGGACACGTTTTTGGCCAACCCACAAGACGAGTACGCCTAGATTCGACAGTCCAACTACACGAATGAAATGAACGATCACTCATCTTTACGAACAGGAACAATGCTATGACAACCTGCGAGTGTCCCGCAATGCTTGGGACACCAACCTGCTCAAAGTGCGACGGGAAGGCTCCCATATTCTCCGACTTCACTAACCCGCATAACAGGTCAATCCCCAATACCTGGCAGTTAACTGGGAGGCCGGTGGTGGCGGTGCGTTTGCGGTCATTCCTCTTGAAGAGCGAGGGAAACTCCCCGAGAAGATGCCCTTGTTCCGAGGACACACAGCCGCTGTCCTCGATACCGACTGGTAAGCTTGACAAAGCATGTGCATGGCCCTCGTTAAAACTGACGGAATTATTAGGAACCCTTTCAGTGACTCCCTGATTGCGTCCGGTTCCGATGATGGCAAGGTAATTTGGGTCGATTCATCGTTCACTATCCTTCCGCTAAGATTCTAGATCTTCCTTTGGCGTGTACCCGACAACTTTACCATTCGCCCCGACGTCGAACCCGATCAAATCCAAGATATCTCTCCCGTCGGCAAATTGAGTGGACATCCCAAGTTAGTTGCTGCGGGTCGGCTTGATTGTGTGCATCATGGCTAACAGACGTACAGGAAGGTTGGGCACGTCTTATTCAACCCTGCCGCCGAGAACGTGCTCGCGACAGCGTCAGGCGATTTCACAATCAAAATCTGGGACATTGAAGCCGGTGCCGCCAAATATACCTTGAAACTAGGCGATATTGTCCAGTCTCAGTCATGGAGCGCCAATGGATCACTTCTCGTAACAACATCCCGTGACAAGAAGCTGAGGCTGTGGGATGTTCGCCAAGAGCGCCCTGCTCAGGAAACTGCAGGACATTCTGGAGCCAAAAACAGCCGAGCCGTATGGATGGGCGAACATGACCGCGTTGTCACAACCGGTTTCTCTAAGATGAGTGATCGTCAGCTCGCTCTCTGGGACATTCGCGCGGCTCGTGAACCCATTAGCGGGTTCAAGACGCTGGACTCTATCTCTGGTGTGTGCGTTCCTTTCTGGGATGACGGTACTCAATGTCTATACTTGGCTGGTAAAGGGTAAGTTTTTCAGCGAGATTTCCTGCATTCTATGATGGATCTATGACTGGCTTGTTTCGCGACTGACCGATTTAGTGACGGTAACATTCGCTACTTCGAGTACGAAAACGACAAATTCGAGTTTCTGTCCGAATATAAATCAAGTGATCCTCAACGAGGACTTGCTTTCATGCCCAAGCGCGGTGTCAATATCCATCAAAATGAAGTCGTCCGTATCTACAAATCCGTGGCTGACACATATATTGAGCCGATATCCTTCATCGTGCCTCGTCGGTCTGAAAATTTCCAAGACGATATTTACCCTCCCACCACTGGTATTACGCCTGCTATGAGCTCTGCTGAATGGCAAGCAGGCAAGGAAGCTATACCACCCAAGATTTCCATGGAGGGTATCTATGACGGCACTGGACTCAAGGAGGTGACTCCAACTCAAAACAAGCCGACATCCACGATAACCGCCGATACTCCTAAGCCTACTGAAGCTCCCAAGTCTACTATTGCAGAACCCGTCCGCGCAGAGCCTACCCCAGTGGTGGTGCGACCTGCCCCTTCAATGAAAGACCAAGGTGCATCCATGGCCGCAATGGTCGACAAGTTCGCCGACGATGACGAGAAGGAAGAAGAAATTGATGACGCATCCAGCTTTGAAGAAGTCACAAAGCCAGTGGAGCGAGCGACAGCCGCGCCTGTTGTCAGTAAACCAGCTCCTCCAATCAAAGAAAAAGAAGCTACGACCCCTGTGACTTCTACACCCACTATCGAAACACCAAAAATTACCATCGAAAATCCTACTACTACCACTTCGACCTCTGTATCCGACGACATTGCCGAAATCAAAGCATTGATTGCTCAGCAGACCAGGACCATTGCATCCCAAGCCGAACAGATGCAGAATCTTACTGCGGAAATTGAATCTCTGAAGGCCAAACTCAACTAAGCTTACTCCAAATTAGTTGACCAGCTTTGTTTTTGTGTCTTGGTATAAGCTATACAGGAGGAAAATTCCTTGATGAGCTCTGTGTGGGCTTTTTTTAATTGTCGCCGGATATCTTCTTTCTTCTTCTCCATTTTTCTCTCGTTTAGTATCTGTTTGTAAAGTCGAAGCAAGCGTTCCATTTGGGTGCTAAAGGAAAAATATGTGTCACTCCTATCAATATCAACATCAACATACTCTACAAGAATGTGACAAATACGAATGAACAGATAGGAAATTTGAAATGACATTGTGCTAAATAGGACTACTTACTATATCCATATCTCAAGGATGTGACATCGTTTCTTACTAACTTCGGGACCGAGAGTCGTTGAAGATTGTGGTAGAGCCTATCGGATCAAAGAGGTAACCATGAAGCTATTCGAAGACACATCCCAGCCCTAACCCTGATGAGACCCTAAAATATCCCTAAGATGATGCTCGAAGGGGCAGTGCACTCGCATGCTCACGTGCTTGACGAGGCATTGGCGCATCTCCTCGATGTGGTTGGCTGCTCCGCCACCAGTCAGGTTGCGCAGATCAGGTGAGACAGTCAATCCTCAAAAGAGCCTTCTTCTCACCTCAAGCTGTGTAACTATCTACACAATATGACTATACAGTGACTCATGAACCATCTCTACAGGCAGGATAAATAAGATATCTTTCGTCCTCCTGGAGCTTGCTGGTTCAAGCTTGTGTCTTCGACTACCTCTATGTAAACAAACTACGCAATGGAAGCCGGGTCAATTCCAGAAACACCTCCTCCACCCTATCAGACTGTACCTCCAACTCCGACACAAACACCAAATCAAAGTCATGCTGTGCCAGCAACAACACATGGACCTTCCCAAATAAACCCAAATGTAGTCTATACACCTGCATTTGGTGTCCCACCTCATGTCCACAAGGTACATCCGCAGTATCATGCCAACTTGATAACTCTACCTTTTCGACCGGTACATCATTATACACATACTATTCCACACCAACACCCTGGGAATCAAATGTATTATGCGCACCATGTTGGAGGTCATACTGCGGTACCAGCAGCTCCTGCGCCTCCCATCATTCCACGACCGCAACAGCAACGCCAATGGCAGTCATATCTTCATCTTGGTTCACTCTCAGCCACCTTAAATGATGCCGGCAATCTTGCGGTTGAAGTTTATGACTCGCTAACGAGTCATAAGCCAACTAAAGAACAGTATGGAGGAGCGTTAGATGCTGTTGCTGTGAGGTTGGATGATGTTCTTACTTCAATGGACGATGGAACATACAGAGTAGAGTCTACAGACCTAGGGGAATATCTTCCGGTCCCACGCAAGGAATCAATTGAATTAACGCATACCCTAGCTATGGCCGAGAATCAGGTCTTTGCCAGCACGGATGCTTCTGCATCATCTGTGACCCTAGCTGATTTGCCATCATCTTCATTGGAGAGGAATCATACACATTCAAGGCACAGAGACCACAGACGAAGACCTTCATCCTTAACAACAAAGGTAAATGCAACGACTATTGCACGTATACCAGGATCTTCAACCAATCCATTCTCCAAAGTCTACCACTACGCCAACGCTTACACCTCCTCTGCACTTCCTCCACTGAAACTGTACTTTGCGACCTGGCCCCTGATCTGTCTTGCATCGACATATTCCCGACGGGCATACGAGAAACCGTCGAGCAAAGAACGGCAGAACTTTATCTCTGGGGACTGGAGACGCGGTACCAAGAGCGTAGTGCTGAAATCAATCCCTCTTGACGAGAAGAACACAATTGTTCTAGCCATCCGTGGCACGCAAAGTTTTCAAGACTGGGCCGTCAATATTCGAACCGAACCTACTGCGCCTACAAATTTCCTCGATGACGAAGGCAGTCTATGCCATGCGGGCTTTTTAAGCGTTGCTAGGAAGATGATTAAGCCTGTTGCAGCGCAGTTGCGAGATTTGCTCCAGGAGAATCCGCGACGGGCGACTTGCTCCCTGGTTCTTACAGGCCATAGCGCTGGGGGAGCTGTAGCGTCACTTTTATACTGCCATATGCTATCGCAGACGGTATCCAGCGAATTGACCGAACTGCAGGATCTCTTCAAAAGAGTTCACTGTGTGACTTTCGGCGCACCACCAATCTCATTGTTACCCTTACAAAAGCCAACTGGCAAGCCACGGTATTACAAGAATATCTTCTTCGCATTCGTCAATGAGGGTGACCCAGTCGCTAGAGCTGACAAAGCCTACGTCAGGAGTCTGCTAGAACTTTACGCGCGACCAGATCCTCGGCCCTCGTCCTCTTCACTCAAGTTACCTTCTTGCTCTTCCGATAGTAAGATCACGACTATCAGTGGCAAGGGGAAACCAACATGGAACGTCCCTGAGGCAACACTCTCGTTGGCTGGACGTATCATCGTTCTTCGGACCCGTAAGTTTTCGTCCTCTTCGTCTCCTCATCGATCATCAAAACATCAAGGAGATAGCAAAAGGAAGAAGACAAGCTCGTCCTCCTCGAACATATCACTGGAGGCTGTAACTGCTTCCGATGCTGAACTCAGAGGTCTGATCTTCGGTGATCCATTGATGCATACGATGGACTTGTATGCACAACGAATTGAGCAGCTAGCTACTAAGGCTGTTGTTGGATCGAGCGTTCCATAGGAATCTCGCTGGCTTAGGTTTGTGGTATACCCCTTTCTTTGATTTGTAGTTGAGCGTGGAGTTGCTATCGGCTTGTGTTTTCGGTTCATGTATGCTTGGATATTGTTTCTGGCATGGTGACTTACTTTCTTCGAATGCTGCATGTATTATTCCGTGGCCATTATACCCTGTCTATACATCCTTAGGTACCTAGGTACGTTTCATACCTGCGCTGATGAACTTCTCAGGCATAGCTGCTGCGGACTACCGTGTAGAAGCCAATCCGAAATTAAAGATATATCCATATAAATATCTAGCAAAAATTTCTATCTATATTTTCATGTACTTTTCCTTCTCATAGAATGTATAACGTCATCGAAGTCTCTTATTCCTAGTCCACAGATCCACAAAATCCTGCTTCTCTTTCACACCCAATCCCACCCTCTTCACTCTGCCCAAACGGGCCAGTGACTCGCCAACGTAGTCTAGCACAGCTACCTCACTTTTCGTCAATTCCGAGTCCTTGTTCGAGCCTGCATACTCCTCGAAGAAGGATGTGGGTTCATCATCGTCGAAGAAGTCAGTACTCGTGCTGTGGGCTTGCGACGACAGCGACAAGTTCTTATTAGAAGTCGTCACGTACTCGGCAACACGCACTCGGATGAAATGCGTCGGTCTGCTGAGCAGGTTCCATAGGAACGTGATGTATGTACCGGGTACCGGTGTAGTTACATCAGCCTCGGTATAACGCAAGCTTACTGGGTAAATTTTGGAGCGTGGTGGTACAGATACGAGAGATCTGCTGAGGGGAAGGATACCCCGGCCATTCGTCGTTGTACATTCAGCGAATACAGCGACGGGCCGGGACTTATACTTCTCGAGCAGCTCGGAAAGCTCGACAAGCTGTGTATCTGGCGGCGGGTTGACTAAAGGGTATGCGAACGAGCGTAGTATAGCCTGTAGGAGAGACAAGCGCTCAACTTTGCGCGTATTGGGATACGATGCGGTAAAGACGGGATCGAAAACGGCAGCGAGATAGACTGGGTCGATAGGAGACGTGAAAGAAGAAGCAATGATACAATTGGAGATGGGCAAGCGGGCCCGTTGACTAGCAAGGCGTCTATTCCAGTTAGTCCTCAAAAACTGCGAATAGTGTTTGTGCCAAAGATACGAACCCTCTCTTTACGCCGTCAACTTGCAGATCAATCCACCATAGGCTCGGGACACCGAGTATACACCAAAGCGAAGCTTTCTTTCCCAAGGAGCCGATTGGGAGCCATTGCAGGACAACGAAATAACTCAGACACACGAATATGAGCAGCGGAAGGCGGAAGCAAAATAGGAATATGTGTAGTGGCAGCGCATAGCCAGATTTTGACGTAGGAACGGGGAGGAAGGGCGCAATGCCAGAACCTGGACGTTCGTTGTTAGCTTTAGTAGCTTTGTTATCTGCAAAAGTATAGAACATGCCTCGGTCTCGGAATTGGGAGTATTTCTCCATTTGTAAGTTGCTATGGCGCTATATTGCCATGCGACGGAGTGAGGATAGCGGGTGGAATGATCGTAATGTGGCACGTGTTCTCCGTTGAGTATGTCAAGAGAGCTGATCACAGAAGAAATAACCGTAGCTTTCTAACTATTCGACACAGATCTCATTGTCAGAGTCGAGAAAGATCATGCATCGCAAGACAACGGTGGAGCATCAATAGGCGCGAAATATTGGCATGAGTGCGAACGGTCACGGCGGACGGAGCTGCGGCGATGTACGTACAGCTTGCTGATCTGTCTAGAATGCCAACAAGAGAACCAGTGGGGCCCGACAACGACGATAAGGCAACCTGCGAACTGCAGGCAGTTCTTAATTTGAAATCCTGGCAGGGATAATTAACGAACAAGAGGAAGTTATAGCGAGAAACGTGGTTCAAGTTGGGAGAATTAAATTTCGGCCGAGCATGTGATTCTACTCCTACGGCCACGTGACCTCCAGCGAAAACAAAATAAAGCATTTCAACGTTTCTACATGACCAAGTCTATCCCCAGACGCTCTGCACAGTATCCCCGACTTTATAATCCCAACGCTCAAGTGTATTTTCTTCACTCTCCAATATCTTCTTCCGTATCAGACTTTGATCCCGGCACTGATGCCAGGTACCAACACCATCGATACTGTACTCCTTATAACTGCCATTCTTATATGTGTGGATATGTGGAGGCTCGATTGTGTCGTCAACTGCACATATAATTGACTATTCGTCAATTAGCAGATAAGTCTCTTCCCAGCGATGTCCACTATTTCATGATCTTACCTGCACGAGGTAGGAGAAACAATGCTTGTAATGGTCATCAGAAATGTCGGATTCATCAGCTCCATCATGGTGGTGCCCATGTTTCTCCTGTTTCTCAAGAGTCTCGCTACCAGACTGGCTCGCTTCTTCCTCTAGGTTTTGGATCTTGTTTCGAAGTATTTGGAGACAATGCAAACCATGAAACATGCTTACACCCCAAGGCTCCCGGGGAAATGATGCATTCTTTGGTTTCACATATAAGTAACCGTCGCTGGCAAAGAGATTGTCCCAATTTTTGTCACCTGCGACGCTCGTGTCCTTCAAGTCCTTGGTTTCTTGAAAGACAATACCATTTCTGCCTCTCTGGCCCGGGCCTAGACTTTCGTCTTGGAGTTCCAGCCTCTCCTGATCAGGACGATTTGAGGAGACATTTTGTGCAAATGGCTCGTTGACCAAGTCACAACTCGTCGGCGAGAGCACGGAAAAATAGATGTCAATAGTCACGAGAAGAATGAGGATGCTGAACGTGCTGAGTAGACGAATGCTCGTCGTTTTATTATTCAATAGGGCCATTTTGTGGGCCATCTTGATTCTGGTTTACTAGCGTTGAGTCTTCGGGGTGAAGATATCCACGGATGATCAACGAGAGAGAACAACATCCGAAAGACCGGACAGTCCTGTTGCTCTTTGATGTCCTACGTCTGGGATAGGGCGGGGCTGTGACACCTACTCCAGTCGGGATATATCGAGGCCATCATCTTATCCGAAAACTTTTGGACGGGGTATTGCAGAACAGTGGATAAATTCTTTGTTCATTATACACCTGACTAGAGGGCTAGTGAAGGTCAACTTTTCCATATTGGCCTCTCAGATTGCATACGAGGCACAAAGAGAGGCAGTCCTTGGCGTATATCCTACAACTCGCACCTTGCCGGTCTCAAAACTACAGCGATGGATACATCAGAACTGTCTAGCCAGTTATCAATTCAACAAAGCTATTCAACTACTCACAAATCTTAGCAGTTTCCAAATGAATTTAACTCACACTCTCCAATATAACATCAAAAAGCAATTTGCATGAAATACAATCAAAATAGACACATCTCATCAAGCAACAACCTATGCTTAATCCGCCAACTAGAAACTAAGGTGTTGTGCCATGTCGGCACCACTTTACTCCTTGCCAGCCGACGTTTCGGGAATGTAGAACTTGACAAGAGTATTAGGGTCGCGCTTATCCAGATCAGCAGCTTGTTCACCGTCAGCCGCGCCTGGTGGATGATGATGATAGATATAGAAACGCTTTTCAAGAGCATCGGCTTCACTATCAGCCGCTCCTGGTGGATGATGGTGATAGGGATAGAAACCCTTTTCGGGGGTAGCGTCACCTTGGCCATCAGCCCCAGCCTCGGGGACATAGGACTTGGCCATTGTGTTAGAATCGCTTTCCGTAAGGGACCGGGGAGCTGTATCAATTCCATCAGTCATGATAATCCTTGAATCTTCCGGCGAAGAACCCTGGTAGGAGAAACAAACCAGTGTTGGCTGGCAGAGCAACTGCAGCAGTCACCAAGAGGGCGGTAATGACGGTTTTGGACAACATCTTGTACGATAATCCAGATCCCTGTAAAGATCTAATTGCTTTTGACCCTAATGCTGAGAATGAATGGAAGTTGGGTGGTCGATTGTATGAATGAGTGACCTGAAGGAGAAAGCATTCCAGACCTCAAGCTCAACCACGGCCTATTTATAATCAACCAGACAAAGCGGAGTGCTCATAGACAGACAAAATACTGGATCAAATGGTTTCATCATCCAAATATCCATATCCGACCCCAAGATTCCCTATTCAGGAGACCGGAAAGTCATCCAATCATCGCGTCAAAGAAAGACTAATGTGCCCGACCATCGTTCTGTGAGCAATTTATCCCATTCTGATATTTTCAATTTGTGACACTTATTACAGACTCTTTTCTGTTGCCCTGAAGACACATTAGAGACTATCGTTCTGAGATGTGTTACCTATGGTGTGAAAAGAAGCATTCCACAGGTTTGTTTCTTTCATGCATGACAAAACTGCTTGTTTATGTAGTTTGACAATGTAGGGACATAGGTCACAAATATGTTCATATATTTTTAAAATCTTTATTTAAATTTTGTTCATCATATGACATGCTTGAGATGGGATGATGTCTCCCCTGCTAACCCTATGTCACTCAAGCGTCGTACAATCAATTTCTTTGGTAGACTTTTAGTGTCTTGGATAAGAAAAACACACAAGTTTGCTCCATAACCAATTAATAATGTGTAACCAAGGTGAGCCTTAGAGTCAGACTAGTGACCTCAGGAGCTGAGACACATGCTTATAACTAAGTAAGTAAGCAGGTAGATGATTATCTAATGTAGAAGACCACATCATAACTTAACTATAGAGCCAAGTTTTTATAATAGTTACAGTTACGTACTGACAAATTGAGAAATTGCATATGAAAATATCTATCTGGTAGTAGCATCTTACTAGGGCGGTAAATTCCTCAACCCCTGGTCGGGAGGGGTTCTGCATTTCTAATACACAAGTATCCTCTTGCCTCATTCAGGTGTAACTGATTAACGGCTTACACCGGTCATTTCTTTGTGCCAAATGGTCTTATCAAGAATCACAGACATGCGCCATGATGGAATACAGTACTATGGGGAATATTGTGAGAGTGGCAGTCTTTTGTCTATGTCTCAACTGAAATTCCACTGACGCAGCAGTCAAACAAGCATTTGTGTTACATTGCTTTCGTTAGCCAGGACAAGGGACCCCAGACAGTGCATACACCAACAACTTTTCCCCAGGATGACCCTCAAGTTGAGTTCTATTTACAGTTAGACAAGAAATATCGCTCAATATGACGTGTCTAGAATGGCCATGGATAATGAAGTAGTTGCATGATAACTCTTTTCTTTTCCTCTCCAGAACCTCGGGGTTTTCTACCTCGGAATCTTCTCGATGCCCGTGACTTTCAACTTTCGCTTTATATTTCTCTAAACTCCAGTAGCCTGCTAATATTATGAGAGGAAATGACCTTCGAAAATACTAGGAATCTCTTCACTAAGGACGGTTACGATCAACTCTCGGATACAGTGACAACCAGTGATGCAGATCTAGAGGATGAGCAAAATTCACTCTCGCGAGAGAAGGACTATAGGCGGAACACAACAATATTCTTACCGGAAACTAGGCAGGGAATTTTAATATCCGTATGGTTATCCGTCGTATGCATTGCGCTGGCTATAATCGTGACGAACGTTCTGCGGGAGAAACACAACGCTAAGATTGAGGATATTTGCTTTGAGCATTCGACATATTATAGTCAGGCTTTTCGCAGAAAATAATTATGATATCTATAAAGTACTGATGTATAGCCATCACAGGCCCCGTAATTAAAGATATCGATACGACACCACGCCTCGTCACCACCAACGGAAGCCTTAACTGGCCTTCCATATACCGACAACCTCCAGGTCCAGAGGTAGACGCAGCATGGGATGAGATATCGTCTAATAGTAAGTAATATTTTCCAGCGATCTTACATAAACCCATTGAACTGACCTTTGATCTTGCTAGTGGGCGTGTTTGCGCTCCCGGAAGAAATCGCTCTAAAGGCCGGACTGCATAAAGGCGATGTACGTGTTCCAGCTGGTTATCAGGGTAGTGGAGATTACATAGCGTCTCTGGAGTTAACGCATCAATTGCACTGTGTGGTGAGCTCTACTCTCGTATACTTTTTATCTGGATACGAAATCTGTTTCAAGAAAAAATTACTGTAATAGGAAAGAGATATACTTTTTGGGAAACTAAAACCCTAAGCCTTCACCCCAACAAATTCTACAAGTTCTACCTACATATATAGCTCACCACCAACTGACTACAAAAATAGAACTTTCTTCGCAAAGCCATCTGGTTCAATTATCCACACTACAGAAACAACGGCGACGAATTCCGTGATCCGCAACCAGTCCTCGAAATGCATCTATACCACTGCCTTGAAACCCTCCGTCAATCAATAATGTGTCACGCCGACCCCGGTGTAGTAGGTTACAAATTTGTTCGTGGTCGTGAGCAGAGACCCTATCCGGATTTTAATACGCCGCATAAATGTAGAGATTGGAGGGGGATGATTGATTGGGCATATAGACATATGGTTCCTGGGCATCCGGAGGAGGAGGATTTTGTGCCGGGGATGGATGAGATTGTTTATGATGTGGAGCCTTGATTGTGCCTATTAGTACTAGTTAGTTGATGGTATCACTTTATGCAAGAACTAAGGAGGAGCGACGTGGCTCTATTTATTAAAAGAAGGAATGAAAGCGAATTGGTGCAAACAACCTTCCAAGGCTAGGAATCATGAATGCCCGACAATCTGTTGCGAGTATGCTCGCGTAATAGATTGCTAGGTCTATGCACTGAAAAGATCTGACAAGTGTCAAGATAGATTACGAGGATGTTATGTTCAAGCAAAGACCAATATATTCCAATAATAAATATCTAAGAGAAATAAGGGGTATAGAAATAGCCAAAGGCCAAACACACATAATTAAGCTCGAAATCCACGTCTAAACAAATAGTACAAAGCCAACAGCTGCGGCAAGGAAGCCTACAGCTGATGGTGTTATCCTGCTGCCTGCGCCAGTGAAAGCGGGCTTCACACTGGTGGAAGTAACGCTGCCACCACCGGATAATGAGCCTGATGGCTTGGGAGCAAGAGGGACGATAGCAGATGAAGGAGCTACCGGAACAAAACCACCAGTCGAGTAGATTGGAGGACGACCTGGGTTAACTGCCGTGCTAAGAGTCGCGGGTGCAGAGACAGCAGGTGCGGGCAAAGTCGAAGTCTCTACAGCTGATGCTGGGTTGCTCCCAGATCCAGGAGCCGTACCGGCTGCTTTTCCAGGCAGAGTTGCAGTCTCAGCGGGTGCTGGGTTGTTTCCGGAACCAAGAGCCGTACCGGCTGCTTTTCCAGGCAGAGTTGCAGTCTCAGCGGGTGCTGGGTTGTTTCCGGAACCAAGAGAAGTACCGGCCGCATTTGCGGGTAAAGTTGTAGTTTCCGTAGCGGAAGCTGGGTTGCTGCCAGATCCGAGAGAAGTACCAGTGGCTTTTGCTGGGATTGTAGCTGTCTCCACTGGGATCACAACGACAACAGTTGTGGGGGTGGGTGCACAGCCAGTAGTGCAAAGCTTTGAGGTGGTTGTGAAGACAGGAGCGATGCTGGTTCCGGTAGCTTCAGCAGGGCAATAAGTGACAGTTTGCGTGACAGTCTTTGTGGTGAAACCGGTAGGACAAACATCCACATATGACGTGACAATAACAGTGGTGGTGGTCAGTTTCGAGGATGCAGTGCTAGCTGCTTGAACTGAAGGAGCAGGACTAGAGAAGGCGGTCACTGTCAAAGTGCTGGTAGACGAGCAGGGGGTGGTTGTCGGGACGACCTGAGCACTGCTGGTGGGAGAAACCAGCGAAGTCACGGTGAGTGTGCTCTTGGAGGAACAGGAAGTGGTACCCTGGGATATACGAGCAGATCCTGGGGAGGTGCCCGAGCCTGAGCCCGAGCCTGATCCTGAGCCTGAGCTGGGGGCAACTGCTTGGCTGCTAGGGTTGACCACAGGAGATGAGCGGACGGGGCTCCTTGTAGGCGAGACAGATCCGGTTGAAGTAGGAACAGTGGACGTAGGAGCAGAAGTGGGAGCTGAGGACGCAGGGGTTGTAGATGCAGGAGCCGTGGATGTGGGAACAGAAGTTGTCTGAGTTGTGGAGGTTACAGTCGCGGACGGAGGTGCAGACGACGATGTAGGAGCAGCTCCCTGTTGGTAAAGCTCGATAGACGCAATCTCCCAGTAAGCTTCAACGAAAGCAGATGGGTTAGCTCCAACGTAAGCTTCGCAAGACGAGTGGGCTGTAGAAGGGCTAGCAGCATCAGCTTTAGAGGCACAGGTCGAAGAACCGTAGCTGTAACCTGCCCAATCACCACAGAAGTCGGTGTTGATGATAATCTTCTGGTTTCTGAAGCCGCTTTGGAAGTCGCAGGTGCCCTGGAAGACAGCCATTGGTGTACCAAAGCTGGCGGGATCAGGGTTGCCAGAGGTGATACATTCGGGGATGCTTGAACGTGGGAAGAACCAGATTTTGATGCCCTGAGAAGTCACCTCCATGGCATAGACACCACCGCCCAAGGCATTGAAGGCGTCTCCATAGCTACCTTGGGTTCCCTTGACGGTACAACCACCAGCACCATTAGTGGTTGAGCAAGCGGTCGCCATCAATTGGCCAGATTGCTGAGAGCCAAGTGTAGAGATGTCACACTTTTCTAATGTATGCAGGGCTACTTGAGTAGTGGCCTGTTGGTTGATGCCCTCGATGATATCGATCTCGCCATCTTGGGGCCAGTTGGAGCCGGTAGTCCAGAAGGCGGGCCAGATACCGCAAGCATTTGCGGGCATGTGGGCAATGTCGGCAATGAGAAGGCCCTGGTCGAACTCGACGTTGGACTCGACACGAGTTGAAGGGCGGCCGCCGCTGGTGTATGTGTTGGTATAGTCAACACCGAGATACACATTTCCAGACTGAATTTTGGCAAGGCCTGCGTCATGGGCATCATTGTAATCCAAGTACTTGACGAATCTAAGGTCCAGTTAGTCTCAATTGTTTCATACATCTCAATGCTCGCAAACGTACCCGTGGGTCGGGTCAGGGTTGGAATTGAAAGAGAAGTTTTGAAAGAAGTTGCTTTGGTCAAATTTGTAGAGCAAGTTGTAGTTGGTGTTGGTTGCAACGGCCGGCGCTGCAACCAAGGCGAGCGTCGCCAGGTTAAGGAGAGGCGATGGCATGGCGAACAAGAACGAACCCGCAGTCTGGGATATCTCCTAGTGTTGAGTAAAGGATTGAAAGGTGAAAGCAGCAAGATAGAACAACACGGAGGAGGGTTTCAAGCCCAGGTTGGACTGATCGAACAAGCTGAATACCGAGGAAATGAATGGATGGTTTAATAAATGAATGGACGATTGTTTGTATTGACCGGAATGTTGTTGAGCCCGGTATTGAATCCTGAACAAGCAGAAAGGAATGACTGCCTGACCAGTAACGAATGAAGTATGTCAACTGACAAAACGGGACGAAAGAGAGGAAGGGAAGCAGAAACCAAAGTAAATAACCGGCGTCCAGCGTGAGGTTATATGAGAAACGAAGTTTCAGAGGGAAAGCCATGAAATTCATGCTCGGCTTGAATGTTCGATATTGTCTCGGACCCCTCATTGTCGCCTAACTGTACCCAGACTGGCGTCGAGACTCGACTGGGTCCGCAGTGGATCGCACTCATGGTGCGCTTCTGCCTTTCTACTCTCCGAGGGCATAGTGTGTAGTCGTGTAAAGGTAGAGTGTGCAAATCAGATGGATGTTTTCTGTGATAAGCCAGGGACTGAAACGGCAGTCTCGCGGAACGGGCCAATCAGAGGGCGCGTGTACCTGCCAGCGTTATCGTTCTGAAACGGAAAGAGCCACACCATCGCACCTTCTGTTGCAGACAGACCCTGCGAGGGTCGCTCCTGCCGTTTGTTTGCCAGTGTTTGCTGACTTGCTCCTTCCTCATTGGACCATGTTTCTTATTACTCGTCTTTTCTTTTCTTCTTCTTCTTCTTCTTCTTCTCGTCCTCTCTTTTTCTTTCTCACTATTGACGCTTGTCTTACCTTCAATAACAATAACAACAACAACAACAGGATGAAAATGCTGCAATAGCCCACATTCCTTATTGCTCATTGCAACGAATCAATGCTCCAACACGTGTATTTCCCAAGTGTCCGTATCACTCCCCCATTTCCCAGTCTAGAACAACATCAATGGTCGCTCTGTTTGGACATGCCCTTGCTCCTCCCACCGCCACAACGCCATCGCTCAGGCACAAGCCAGGCCACTTCCCATTCGGTGACTTTGTTCCGGGCCTATTGATACGAGGAGCCGCCTCAATGGACCCTTGGCATGCCATTCCTTGTGCAACTTGAATGCACTCAAATCAGAATGAGTTATTCTCGAAAAGGCGTTGTACGGTTGTACATCAAGCAGCAATTCGCTGGCTTCTTGTGCACATTAGCACATACGCGTACGGAATAATTTTTACTCGTCCCATCACAACGATCTGAAAACCAATGCAAGGGACCAATCGCGTCTTGGCATTTCCCTCTCGGCTCCGGGTAAAATTCCCGCCTCAAGCCACAACATATATAGCTCACGATACTACTTGGTGTGAATCAGAAGAAACCAACTGGCACAAACGATAGTCAGGAACGGGACAACGGTATGTACCCCTATTCAATTCCGTGGGTGATGTAGGCGCGGGCGAAACAATAATTCAGCCAAGACCGGAGATGGCGGTGCATCTCTTCCGGCCGCATGAAAATATCCCTTACCGGAGTTGGCCAACCTTCTGATTGCCTGTCCGAGAATGATCGGTGATCGAATTAGGTGATACGTAACTAAATACATGCTACGACTTGTGGACAGCGGGGTTACAAATAATCGTGGTTGGAAGGTTCACTTTGTCTGGGAGAACCAGTGGAGAAAAACTATTTTCTTTTCATCTCTCTCAAAACAAAATGCTCGGCTAATTTGGAAACAACTCAAAAAAAGACTAGATTGCAGCTATCATATATTGTACAATACGTTCATAACACAGACATCAGCAGGAAAGCACTCAAAAGAACAGACAAACATGACTCAACCATTACTCGACCGCTCGACCTGCAGCAGATCGGCCCGACTGACCTTGGCTCACGACGCTGGGTAGGTCATCCTCGCCGGGCCCTTCATTATATGCATTCCTCGAGCGCGGCTTAGCGTGTCGCAATCTGTCTCCTCCGAGGATATTCGATTGGTCAATTGCCTCACGCTCGTCTTGGGCTATACATCGCATCAAGCCATTAGCACGCGATTAATTTATTGACTTGCCGCCAGTCAGTATGGCAGAAAGAAAGACATACCCAGTTGCTCATCCGTGTTCGAGTATGGTGGCTGCATTGGATCATCGTAACCGGCTTCGTCGTTCTGAACGGGCACGACGTTTCTCAAGTTGGAGTTGGTCTCGCCGACGTATGAATTGTCTACCTCGAATCCTGGGACAGGTGAGGCATCGTTCTCCGCTTCGTAGCGGTCCTCGGCCTCTCGCTCTTGTCTGTTGCTCATTTTTGGTCGTATAATAATTCGGTATGTATACGAGTAGTCCTGTATAAAGTCTGGCGGAGTGTGGTAGTAATGGTAGTAATGGACCGGAAGTGCCCTGGGGATGCGAAACTGGCCTCTATATTTATGCCCTTACTTCATCTGCAAACAGTGCCATCCATTACATTATCAGTGGCAATCTCCTTGTCTGGTTCATGATGATCATATCTGATGACATGAAGGCGACACAAACATACATCATGATTGTGTAGTCATGCCCAAAATAGGAAATTGAGGAACCTTTACGGGAAGGCCTTTTGAGTACCAGAATCGAGGATCTTTCTATTGTCTAACAGACTTTCAGCGGATATCTACCGAGATCGGTGGTGCATGCCCCGATCTTCACTCACTCCCTCGATGCTTACTTAACCTAGAGTCAACGACATCAACTACGCTGCATATCTTTTTACCCCGGATCGAGAACCACAAAATCAATTCAATGTTAATACCCATGCAGTGCTAATGTCTCTTCCCCATGGCAATGGCGAATTCTTACGACTGAATGACTTCGATCACCTTGCCACTTGCGTTCGCTTTCCGTCATATAGAGCCGTGGCACATTTGAACACGCCATTTGGCCACATATGAGCACTACATCAAGGCATACTTTACGTCGAGAATCGTTCGATTCAGAGACTGATTTTCTCTTCTCCTTCTCGCCGTATCTGTCTATCTAATACGAAGTGCGTTATTTCAACCAAATCCAAGAAACAAATCAAAATGTCGGCATTCCAGAATCTCGATCCCGCCGGAGTTTCGCCTGAAGACCGCATCAATGCTCTTCGGGGCTACAAAGCGTATGCTCTCTTCCATTCTGTTACCGTTGAGAATGACTGATAACTCATGGTTTGAGCAGCACAATAAATAACCCTCGCGTCTCTGAAGAAGCGAAGCAGCATGCACACGAAATGATCGATTCTCTCGGTGGTGATCAGCCGCGCGCTGAAATGAAACAATTCGATCAGCAACATGATCAGAATCGTGTCGCGGGTGGACTGAAGGCGTATGTATTTGCTCTTATTATACTCTCAGACATGGAACGTTGGATGTGCTGACTGGTATAGATCACTTTCGAACCCTAGAGTTAGTCAGCAGGGCAAGAATCAAGCGCAGGAGAAGCTTGATAAGTTGAGCGGTCCATCTGAGTAGATCCGTCCAGGATCTTTGTCAAGTTTCGTTTAGATCGTTAATCTTTATATGTAGTTCTGAGTTTCGAAATATCATGATGAATGCTTTTTTTTTAGCCTTCTCCACTCGTGTGCAAGTGTAGGCATCAAGGCTGAGTGTTGAAGGGGAGATTATGGTCTGGTAGAATTTCATCGAACTGTGTGGTAACAATCAGCGTCTGGGAATACGTGTTCGTTTAGTGACTTACTATGTAACTACATAGAAGAGCTTATGTCAACCTGACATTTTCGCCGATGCATCATACTGCCCAATTAGAGGATTCAAATGGATGAGAAGTCGTCGATGTCTAGAAGAGAAAGCAGGGATAAATATTTTGCCAACCCCACCACGATGACTTCATTTGAGCTCCATTATTAATGCGCTCTTGTCTCTTCAGCGAGACATTACTATATAATCGTGATACTCATCTGCTGTTACCTAGTTATTTTCAGGAGTTTCAAGGTTGACATTATACAGCATTGATCAATTGACACCTAGAACTGATAAAATGAGCAAAATCTTTCTGTAAGACATCAATTGTTATACCATCAATCTTGGAATATACATAACAAGCTAATAATAACAGAACCGGCGCAACAGGCTACATTGGCGGCGAAGCCCTATACGCCATCAGCAAGAAACACCCCGACTTCTCCATCTCAGCCCTAGTTCGCGATACCACAAAAAACCAACGTATCAAAGCCGCTTTTTCGAACGTTCGAATTGTGAATGGCGAACTCGATGATTTTGAGTTGTTGAAGCGTGAGGCTGCTAATGCTGATATTGTTGTTCGTACGTCTATTCTTTCCTTTCGTTTTTAATATACTAATATTATATACAGACACAGCGGACGCATCGGATCACGTTATAGCCGCTCAGGCAATCGCCGCGGGACTCGCAGAGGGCCATACAGCCTCAAAACCAGGCTATTGGCTTCATGTAGGTGGAACGGGTATCCTGACGTTCAGAGACTCTGATCGTAACGTCTATGGAGAGTACGATGATAAGATCTACAATGACTGGGAAGGGGTGGACGAATTGACCCATCTACCCGATCATGCATTCCATCGGAATGTAGATAAGATTGTGCTTGAAGCGGGGACCAAGAATGCTGATAGAGTGAAGACGGCATTGATTTGTCCGCCTACTATTTACGGTATTGCCCTTAATCTTAATATGTGTACAACGGTAATATACTGACTGGCGAGACAGGTCCTGGACGTGGCCCCATTAACCAAAAGAGCCGCCAAGTTTACGCCCTAGCAAGCATGACCCTTCAGATCAAGAAAGCGCCACTCCTCGGCGCCGGCAAATCCATCTGGAACAACGTTCATATTCAGGATTTGGGCCAACTATTCGTCCTCCTCACCGAAGCTGCCGTCGCCGGCCGCCAGGACAAAGGTCTTTGGGGTGCCGAAGGATATTATTTCGTCGAAAACGGCGAACATGTCTGGGGTGATGTGTCGCGATCCATTGCCCAGATCGCCGCCAAGGAAGGATATATCCCAGAACCAAGCGTTGGGGAGGTTGATATCGAGACTTGTGAGAAGTTTGCGGGATATCAGGCTATGAGTTGGGGGATGAATTCGAGGGGAAAAGCGAAGAGAGCGGTGAAGTTGTTAGATTGGAAGCCTGTGGCGCCGAGTTTGGAGGAGGAGTTGCCTGGGATTGTCAATATGGAGTATAATGATTTGAAGAAATAGGTTACTGTAGTGTGATGTGTATATATGAATGAGATAGTGTGAATGTTGTGGGATTTCCATGTTGATTAAATGTAAACTGTAATGTGCAATTTGATAACTTGAAAAGATAAAAGACTCTGTCTAAAAGCGATAGTATACATGCGACGACGATATGAAAGAAAGCGAGTACATGAATGAAAACTGATCAATTTGGAAGTAGCCAAGAGCAATTCTAAAACTGGGTATCAATGCCGTCTATTCGACTGAAAGAAAGTCATGATTCCTATAGAAGATTCTATTAGAGAAAAGAAACATGATATATTGGGAGGTACTCACATTGAGACTCGAGTGAATGGGAAGGAACCATATGTCCTATGCGAGTTTGGATTAGACGGTGTATGATAGATGGCAGGAATCTACTAACATTGCTCCTCGTCAAGCTGGAAGATGGCACCCGTCGATGATGCAGGCGATGCAGCCTGCGAGAATTCCGCTTCATCCCTTCGTACAGGAACCTGCAGCAGATGGCTCATTGCATCCTCCAGTCGACGGCGTGCATAAAGTCCTGATGGTCCTCCAGGACTGATCATGAGCAATGCAGGAGCAGACGAAGACTGACGAATCTGAACACCACTCAAAATCCCGGATGCAGATACTTCCCTGTCCAAAGATAAAGTCATCGACGAACTGGGACGACCAGGAGGTGCTGGCCGACTTTTCTTTGTTGGATCACCAGATTTTCCCCTGTTCATCGAGCAGAAGGGATCTCCAAGGTCGATAACAGAGACGTCGGAGTTGGTCCGACGGAGTTGGTCTTTTGGCCATCTATTCTTGGAGTTTGCAATACGCTCGGGGAATTGTAGTGGTGGTGCAGGAGGCGAGGGCTCCTCCTTATCCCTAGAATTCCTGGAGAGCTCGGCAATGACGAAGGGATCTCGCACAGTAGGAACTTTATAGAAGCCAGAAAGTGATGGTTTAGGAGTACGCTGAGGTGGAGACCCTGGCAGCATAATTGGAGATGGAACGTCGGTATAATCGGCATAGGGCTTGAGAACAGTGAACTCATGCTCCCACCCATTGAGGTTGACTGTAATAGGCTCCCAACGCATGCCATGTTTTGTTGGATCTATGTGATTAGATAGGATACGATCTGGGCTAGGTCGAAGCATTGGGCATGGTGAGGTAGGCATCACCCTGTCCTTGCCTATATTGGTATGTTCTTGGTGTTCCAGGTTATGGACGTGTGAGGGACCAGAAGGGCCCGGACTGCTGTGAGAGGGAGGAGTTGTTGGAATCGGCATCGTGGATTCTTGTACTAAGCCAGTTATATCAGTGAGATGACCACCAAAACAATAAAAGTAAAGATAGATGATGAACTCAAAGACAGCAGTGATAATCTTATACAAAAACTTTGTTGAGAAATCACGATGTTAGTCAGTGTAGATACAAGTATCATGAGTCTTAGATACAAGTAGTAAAAGAAAAACAAAAAGAAATAGGGAATAAACAAGCAAGTATACGAACACTGACCTTCATAATTCTGCCCACCTCCCAATGGAAGCTCCCTTCCAAAATCCTCAAATTGAAAGCTAATGCCCGTAACAATCTGTCCAATTGACGTGCTGGACTCCATGGAACACACTTTGTCAGGACTAGGGCAGTAGTAAAAACTGTTCCCATCTTCTTCTTCCTCGCTTTTATGGTCTTCTTCCTCTTCATCCCACAAACTGTTCCAACTAGCTGCCACCTGGGCGTCGTCTGGTGTGATCAGAAAGCCAGTTACTTGGACCTGGCCACCTTCTGCTTCCAGGAAAAGAGTGTTCTGCTCCAGAAAGATTTCTTGGGCTTCTCGTCCCGTCTGCCATCGATGATAGAAAAGATCCAGAGTTTCATTATGATGGGTTGTTGTCGTTGTCCAACCGTAGATGGGATATTCGTATTCAGTATCCATAAGGGTTGACTTGATGAATGAGGGGAAAACGAGAAAGGGAAAACAAAAAAAAGGTATGGTCGGCAGCAAATCAAAGGACTTGTCTGATGTGTTTGTCAATACGCCCTGTAAGACTCACATCTAACAATCACAATAGTATCCCATTCACAGTGGATCTTCCTGGTAGGAAGGATAAGCAGTCTGTACGTTCAGGCTGCTACAACAAATGGTGGAAACCAGATAAAATAGTAGATATGAGACATGGATACACCGAAGAAGAATGGATTCAAACAATATGACATTTGGGTTGTTTGAGAGAGGTTGTAGTCAAGTGTTTGGTAGAGCAGATAATGCTCTCGTATACCAGTAGTATCTAGACGACTAGACCGAATGCATAAAACAGAGATAGAGGCAGTGCTAACTAGCCAGCATGGAATAGAGAAGGCTTTGGAAAATGAGCGAAGTACCAACTTGTTTGGCACAACAGGGACAGCAGTAGGATCTTAATAAGAAGACAGCAATGTTGAACCATACAAAAACAAATGTCATGCCACAAAATGTCTCTATTCAGCATGACTTTACCATCTGAATACATCCAGGTCTTCAGGGAATGTCAGATACTTGAAACAAAAGAACTTGTCCAGTGACTAGCTGGAGTGACTTGGTAAGGTACAAGGCACAAGGCACAAGGCACAAAGCAATGTACCCAGCACCGTACCAAGGGAGGTAAAAGTACTTGTACAACAAGTGGCAACTTTATGCATGATTTTAATTTAGACTTCTCTTCTGATTCCTTTGCTTTACCCTCGCTTGATCAAGCACCCTCAGCCGCCAGCTAATCGCCAACCAGGTAAGGTAAGACTAGCGATTTCGTACAGATCTAGACCCTAACACGGGGATCGTAGAATATACATCCGGCTTGACCCTGATTTCCGCCTACTGCTTATGAATTTCTAATTAGGTCCAAAAATTGTAGTCATTCGGCCGTGGTTGGTTGTACGAGGTCAGGTGGATGTCAAGCGGTACTCAACTAGAGCGCGGGTGCCTACATTTTTCTTCGCAAACCCTAACTGACTTAAATATCCCATGAGCCTCACCGAGTCACATGCTCGAGCTCTTACGCTGGGGTCATGTCCGTCTTGACGTCAAAATATCTTATTGTTTTAAACTTCTACTGATCGGGAATATTATCACTTGTCAATTCGGGTCAGCATGTATGTACGGATGCATGTTATTTAGGGCTGACTCGAAGGATGAATCTTGGTTTTGGTAGCCCAGCCACGTCTATCGTATGCTTGCATGAATTTTCGGATCTTGCATAATCTATGGCCTCGTACTAGTGACCTACATTGTCCAATGTTCTCGTAGTTCAAGGAGTGAAGACAGTGTCAGTGGACTGCACCGCCACAGGTCGCACCGCCACAGTCAGCTGTGCCCTAACTCACCAACATTTCTTTAGTTACTCAGTTTTTGCTCAGATTCGATACGAAGAGTCAGTGTAAATAGGATCCATGCAATGATTGGATGTATGAACGTAACTATGCAAGGTTTGTAATCATAAAAGACTGGGAATTTTCTTTTCTACATGCAGCGCAAACCAACAGAATAAGTGAGCCTGGAGTAATCTAGTCTTCTTGACTGTCACCTAACTCCGGCACGACCTGGTCATCTTCATTTACACGTAATTCGACAACCGGCAAATCCTCATCACCATCGCTGGCAGTTCCAATATCATCAATGACAGAATGGAACTTGGCGCTTTCATCACCTGCATCCCCATTAAAATGCTGCTCGAGGTCGCTCATATCACCTCCACCAACTGCTTTATTGCTATCATTATCGTCATCATCATCAAACAGTCCATCGTCGTCATCCGAAACAGGCCCCGTGATGTTGGCAAAAGACCAAGCTGGTTGGTCCATAATAGAGAAATTCGAAGAACTATGTTGATGCTTTTGTTCATAAGGTGGTAATTCTTCGCCATCGCTAGAATCAACCTCCACGCTCCTCACTTGGGGCTCGGCTTGCAAACCACCAACTCCCGCTTGGTGAGCTGCTCCGGCTCCGGCTAAGGCGCTCGTAGACCCATCGCGGGAGGAGTCGACGAGGCGCCTGCCTTCCCCCGCCGGCGACGAGGTATCTTCTTCATCATCGGAGTTGGCTCTTGTCGAAGTTTCGGTAATTTCTTGTAGCAATTTGCCTCCGAGAGGGCGATCAGATCGTCGGCGATAGAATAAGAGATAGGCAGCTGTCGATACAACCTTGGCGGGGTTGATAGCTTTTGATACATGAGAGTCTGTAAAACAAGAAATTAGTATTAGAAATACCGATGCTACACAAAGTGTACATACCGTTATATTCATTCCACTCGTTCGTCAAAAAATTCTTGGCATAAGCAGTATAATGCCCTCCACCAAGACCACCATAATGATTATCAACTGCAAAGAGATCGTAGATAAGACTCTCGTCAGGTTCGGCAGATGCGACGCGTCCGTTCAGGTCAAGCCCTTCTATAGGGAAATCGACTAGTTCGTCGATCTTATCCCTGAAACCCCGACTAGCACTGAATCGCTTGAGATGAATGACCAAGATATCAGGGGTCTTCCAAAGCTCAAATTTCTTGCTTGCCCGACGATGTTCCTTACAACGTGGGCAGTACCAAGCATCATTTTCAGACAAAATCTCCTCCCGACCGAACTCATCCAGACACTGATCCAGCGAAAGCCCCTTTTTTCTGCGGTTCGCCCGCTGTGCGCGTTTACTAGCTAGCTCTGGGTCAGGTAGGTGCTCAACGTTTGTCCATGTTGGCGCACCACGTAACTCATTACGGTCTTTCTGGTCGGCACCGAAGAGTCCGTCATGGCTAGTCTCCTTCCAATCGAGAACAATTCCCTCGCCAGGACGAATAAAGTAGACTGGCTCTTCGTCTTTAGTAGTCTCGGTCAGTCGTCTGGAAATGGTGCTGAGTTCGTCTTCAGAATCGCTGGAGTCGCCGTTGGTCAGTTTACCAAACTCGCTCGAGGACCCGCTAGTACGAGAAGGCTTCTGGTCCTTCATATTTCGGATGGTATTGATTTCATCTTCGCTACTAACAGGACTGTCGGGACTCTCTTTTGATTGGGCTTTGCGAACTGACTGTTTCAGTTTAGGCTTCGGTTTGGGAGCTCGAGACGAAACCAGTGGATAGTTGGTATGATCATCTACTGAAGAGAAACCCAGGGGAATGACTTCGTGCCTTGACCTGACATATTTCATTTCAAAGAGGTTTCGGAAACGCATCGGAGGCGACTTCTTAGTAGTCTGCTTGGAAGATTCATCAGGAGTTTTCTTTGTATCGCTAGCGTCCTCCATAGACACATCGACAAGCCCTTCTTCACCCTCCACAGACGCAGCTTTGACCTTGGAGTCAGAGTCATCGTCATCCGCGTTCATTATCACGGCGTCAGAATCTGCGTTGTCGTCTTGTGTAGTTTCCTCATCGCCTGCGCTCTCATTAAGGAAATCACGTGTAGTCAACGTCGCCACCTCTTGCAGAACCTTACGTAGAATAGCATCATAGTCTTGAGCATCCTCTCTGGTCACAACGATGAATGAGGGTGCGCCAAAAGTTTGTTTTGTTCCAGTTCGACCGACTGATCGTTGAACTCGATTAAAAACCGGAACGAGAAGACGATCGGCTCGGGGAGAGTCAATCTTGGGGACATCCTCATGGTCCATACTGTTAAAGGACATTGTGTAAGATGACTTCTTGGGGCGGTCTGGGTTGTAGTTGGTGGGAATCATCTCGACTTCAAAGATACCAATATCATCCCCTGCACTGATATTGCTATCGGCAATGGTGCCGGTGTTGTCGAACAACCTGTAGAATTTGCTCTTATAGATTTCCGCCATGACAAGTTTTTGTGGATCAGTACCTGTCTTCTGTGCCACAAGTTCTTTCAGTGCTTTGATGCTGGCATTCTTATCTATTTCAACATCAATAAGTACGGGCGGTTTATGTAGAGGGAAGAAAAAGATGTCCTTGGTCCACAAGTTCTCGATAGGCAGCTGTAGTGTAAGGTTGTTGAAGGGGTCGAAAATGATGCTGACTTTGTCGCACACAGGACAATGCAGTGTAGATTTGTACATTCCTGCAAACAGGTCTGTTATAACCGAGTCATTGCGTGCTTTGTAGATCTCCCAGCACCTGTCGGCAAAGCCTTTCAAGGCAACTGCATCGTGTACCATCTCATCGGTAGAATCCGGCTTTTCAATGTACGGCTTCTTCTGAATACGATTAAGATCTTCCTGTAGACCATCAAGAAGGAAGAGAACGAATTCCTGAGAATCTTGCTGACCGTATCCAGAAAATGCAGGTCCGTATCGTCCAATGGTATGTTTGAAGTGTTTCGGAGAAAAGGATGCAGGGCTCTCGTCGTAAACGGCGTGAAGCAGATTGGCGTAAGCTTTTGCTACATCACCATTGTGTGATAATGGGTTACTTGGGTTGAGATCTTTCTTGTAATAATCATCTGCAAAGCTGAGTTAGTATGCTGGAAAGGCCACCTGAAAGTTCACCAAACGCACTCAAAAAGTATAAGGTAAGTTCTTCCACACTGCGAACACATTGCAATGCCGATGCCATGTAGCAGGTATTTCCAAGGTTCGTGAATCCCGTGTTGCCCTTTGGTCTCCCATCCTTCTTGCGCCCCCGGATAGGTTCAGAAACTGGGGTTGTCCGACCACTGGTGGTAGTAATGGCTTTGGATTTCACCTTATTAGCGCCAGCCCTATTAGCCCCAGGTATGGCCAGACGGTTCAGTGTCGATCTCGAGGCGTCAGAAACCCATTCACCACCTCCAGGCCCGCCAATTTGCTCTTCAAGAACCACGACGGCATTATCACCGAGCCCAAAATGATCAACTGTCGAGTTGCCATTGTACTTTTCATTATTCGTCTGATCCTTTGCATCCTCAATCAACTCTCGGTGGGTATCTGAGAGAGAGGAGAATGTGTTGACATCCAGTACCAGACTGTTCCCCGCGTTGGCCACCAAGGTAGCTCCTGGGGCAGGGGAGTTGCTTCGCGAATGCGCGGGTGTAATGACGCCTGACGTCTGGGTACTGCTCAGTCCATCTAAAATCCTCCATACACGAACCTTGGTTGCCATGTCAATATGGGCAAGCTCTTTGGCCTTCTTCAGCCATTTTTGAAAATTGGTCTGTCTGCTAGCAAGGAACTTGACAGGAGGCGCGCTTTTATCCCTCAAAGTATGATGAGACATTCCACCGGCAGAACCGGGGAGCTTATGGACTGTGTAGATTGGCGGAGAGATCTCGTACTGAATATTGGTAGCGTCGCCCTCACTTGTGTTGTGTGCATAACGGACAATGGCTGGTGATTGTTCAGCTAGTCCATACCACTTCATGATTAGATCCCACGCAGCTTGAGGAACAATCTCGAAGTCCTCATTCATCTGTAAACCGGGACGTAAGGGGACAAAGGGCTCTCCTCTCTCATCCTGAAAGATCTGGGAAGGGTCTGTGTCGAGAATGATATCCGAGTTATCGACGGGTCCAATTTCTCCTTCGGCGAACTTCTTGTCGATGGCTTTCAATCCACGCTCCTTTGAACTGCGGGCCAGCACTCGATTCAGCCAGTTGTACGACAAGACATATCCCTTTTGTTTGTCCTCTGGGAACTTTTGGGCCAACTCTAAGACTTGCTGGACCTGTTCATCAATAGGTGGGAGCTCCGCATCCGACGTGGAGTCGTGAATCTTCGCACCTTCCTTTGTTGTCGACGAGCTGTTATATGTTGACATACTGGAAGGAGAAGGATAGACGGCATCCGGCTCGTGGTTATTGCTGTCAATTGCATCCGCCATTTCGGCGTCCCCATCAGCTCCAATCATGTCCACAGAGGTAGCTCTTCTCTGAGCTGGCCGGGAGTCGCTCTCATCCATTTGATGATCTGTATTGTTATTGTCCATGTCAATGTCCTCTGCAGAAGGCTCGTCCTGGTTCATCTGAGACATGCGACGCTTGACGGCGGGAGAAGAGGAGCGGACTTCGCGTTGTTGATCTTTTTCCGAACTGGACATATCGGTCGCAGGGTCACTGTCCAGCGTGAGCCCTGCGTAGGCCGCAGATGGAGAATCCGCGTTGGCGGCAACCTGCTCTGGAGGAGCACGGACACTGGCGGGTTTAGAATTAGCTACACCGAGAACTTCGTCCTGGAGATGCGCGGGAATGTAGCGTGGTGACGAGCCGGGCGATCTGGATGATGCCAGGGTCGCCGTTGACTGGGATGATGGTTGTGGCAAGGAAGGCGGCGCGGGTGAAGTGGAGGTTGCCAGGGAAGGTGAGGGCGAGGGAGACGACAAGCCGAATTGTTTTGGACGACCGGCGGTCTGTTGTTGTCTTTTATTATTTAGATATGAACCGTGATTCCTGGTGTGTTGGTGTTGAGGGCGAGGTTGGCTGTTGTCGTGACTTCTAGAAGAACGACCGTGACGTCCTTCCTCCGAATCAGCGTGCCTGGCTCCCGAGCCACTAGAGGGCGCCTTGGGATGTCGGCGAGGCTCTTCAACAACTTTGCGACGCTTGGTGGACGACGTCGTGACGGTGAGCTGCTCACGTTGAGTGGCAGCTCTGGGCTAGATAGATAAAAAAAATAGTAGGATAAAAAAGAAGGGAAAATTAAAAAAGAAAAGGGCGAGGAGGGAAAAAAAAGGCGCCAACGAAGGATGGATCAATCAGGAAAAATTATTAATGTGGAGAGAGCCAAAAGTCAGTGTACGTCGTAGTAAGACTTTGTAAGAAGACTAAGATCCGCCGCCAATCAGCTTGAGAAAGAGCAAGAGAGAATAATCAAGAAAAGGAAATGTCTCATGAAGCAAAAAAGATGAGTCCTGAGAGAAATGGAACACTTGCTTTATAGCCTAATTTTGGTCAGCATACTGTTTGCCCGTTCATCTGAACAGACGCCCACACGACTGTGTATGTAAACACCAGAGTATACTGCCAGTTGTAAAGAAGAAGGCGGTATAAAGGAAGACTCAGTATAAATCCCAGACTATCAATTACCTAAAACTAATTAACCACCCTAGAGAATTTTATATAGGTATTATTTGATATTAATAGACAACATGTTCCATCAGTTGCGGTGTCGAGTGCATTGTGGAGTGAAAAAGGTGGGGGAGACTCCTTTTACTTGAAGATCAGAAAAGGACATACATTTCCATGACAGAAATAGCATCCCAGATAAAAGAGAGAAAGGAACGTTGACCCTTGATGTATCTACATGTAAGATCTCAGGAAAGGAGATAAAAAAATATATATATCGTAGCATGGTCTCATTAATTAGATACATACACATAACTAAGCCTCCAGTTCTGTACAGCAAACAAGCAAATATAAATCGACCCATCTATCGCGCAACGATCTTGTCAACCTCATCTTTGGCTTCTGTCCATGTCTCGAGATTCTTCCGTGCCCAGTCCAAGTGACAACGGGCATAGGCAACCTGTACGGGAAATCAATATCAGTTGATACTTTTGCAGACGATAACATGTCGTGAGAGACATACCATGTATCGGCGAAGATCCTCTTCCTTATCCTTCTGGAACCGCTTGAGGTCTTGTAACACACCCGCGCTGGCCTCTTTGACATCTGTCTCCGATACTCGAAGTGCTTGTTCCAACTAGATAAATATAGCACATTAGGTATGAGTCATAGAACCGATATGAAATTCTGCCAAACTTACCTGCACTAAGCTTTCTTTCGTCTTTCCCATCTGATCTCGCCGCGTTCGCTCAGGATCGACATCTGCAAATCCGTGTATAGCATGACTAATACGACCAAATAGCTTGTTTGTCACAAAGTTTCCACTCGGGCTTTTGCGGTGAGCGGGCGGTACCTCTCGATACGGATTTGTTTGGCTTGGAGATCCTTGAGGTGATATATCGCCGTGTGTAGGTGGAAAGTCAGAGTCAATCGAGTTAGTGTCCTCCGACGTGCGGGACGTGTCGTGCTCGCCTTGCCCACTGCTCGTCGCAGAAGAAGCAGAAGCCGATCTAGACGACCTGGTCGCCGTTGAAGCAGCATTTGCTTGGTTCAAATATTGATCGATGCGCTTCGCTTCCTGCTCGCTCCGCTCCAAAGACTCCAGCAAGGCTTTCTTTTTCGCAAGCTCATCTCGTGTCATTTCCTCTTGCACCCGTTTGAGCACTCGGTACCGTAACACGCTGCGAACAACACTTGCAAACTGAGCGCTTTCCCGCATGGGTTCCGCAAAGTTCGCTCCCAGTGCAGTGGAAAGCTCTTCCGTCTCTATATAAGATGTGTCGGCAGCTTGACCGATGCGCTCGATAGCCGCGGCGACAGTTGGAGACTGTTCTGATAGCGAAAATCCATTGTAACGAGCACCAAGTTCCATAAGATCTGCAGATAGTGAAGATAAATGTGATAGAGTGCGGCGATTGACTTTCTCGATATTTCCCTGGAGCAACAGCTCAAGCTCCCGCGTCGATGCTTCGAAGTTTATAAAATATGGGTCAAGATCTTGTTCACTAAGCGTCTTGGACGTAGGAGGGAAACGACCAAGAACCTGCACGCCAGGCGTCGAGTGTGCGGCTGTTGACGGGGTTTGAGAGTATTCAGATGGGGACATGGGAGTACCCGTGGCACTTGTTCCTGATGAAGATCTCAACTTTGCCGATGAGGAAGGAACAGGGAGCCAAGCATGGGCCGGAGTAGGATTTGCTGGGTCCAGAGGCGGCGCTTTCAGGTTGTTCTTTGGAACTGATGATGCAGGGTGGGAATGCAGGACCTCGCTCTGTAGCTGTATCAGAATCGGATCTTTCTATAACACGAACTACGCTCGATATACTCACCCAGCTGACATTGGGATCCAAAAAGCGCCACCAGACACCATCTTCCCGAACTTCTTTCATCTTTCGACACCGGTTAAGGAACACGCCCAACATTCGCTTCCGAAGTTCGATGATAGCACTGTCCTCTTTGGCCTTTGTCGGCTTTGCGGCGTAATCGGCCATCGTATGTTTCTCGGGTATTGGGGGAATTATAAGGGTGGGATGTAAGTTGACAAGGGTTTGCCGAAGAGAAGCAAATTCTGAATATCGACGGCGGACCTCCAAATCCTATGCAAAGATGAAGTCAGCCAATGCCCTATGTACTAACAAGTTTACGACCTTACCCCGGTACGAATGGTATAAACAATGTACCCGCCGCCCCCTTCATGGTTCTTCCCAGCATCCGTGATCAATATGGGCATTTCGGGGTTCTCGTAAAGTATCTGCTCGATTCGACTGTCGTAGATGCCCTTCTTCCGCCCTGACGAATGAGGCTGGTGAGACTCAAAATCATGTTCGTCCTCATCTTCGCTATCGGTCAAGCGCGATACATAGTCTGGCGGTTGGGTTGATACAGGTGACGAAGGCGCGGAGATATCGCGGTCGTATGGGGCTTCAAGAACGTATGCGTTAGAAGAAGCGTTACGACGTCATTGGCCGAGGGAAAGGGGATCAACTTACGAGGAGAGACAGCACCGGAGTGCAGCGAGTCAGAGAGATGGCCGTCGGGGCGATCAAAGGCCCCATATGGATTATTATCTTCGTCGTTCCACATGATCACAAGGCTTGCTTTTGTTTAGAGTGGTGAAAGGATGTGGGTTCGAGAGAACGGAAGCAGCAGCCTCAGCTTTAGCTTGCCGTAGCTTAGGCCCCCGGATAACAACGAGCGCCGGCGGACAGCCGTAACAAGAGTATTTCCAAGCAAAGCGACAATGGTCTAATCGGCTGATGCAGCGACAAAATGCAAACAGTTCGTCTTCGGACTCAACTGGAAATAGAATCCATTCAAGCTAATATATGACGCGGGAAGCTGGAGATGGACCCGAGGAGTAAATAGTCTCGATCGATCGAGGCTTAACAAAGAGAATTATCGTCTTCAAGAACCGCTGAGAAGCGCTAAAAAGAACAGTGCGTAATCCAGATTATATAGACGCGTGTGAAAGATGAGAATATTGGTTCAGGAAGAGGTTGCCCAGGAATCGAATCGAGTGGCTATTGAGCGGACGATGTTGTTGCCCGTCTAAGCGGGGTTGCTGAAGGGGTGCTCTAACTTACTTGGTTGCCTGAGCCTTGAGGTGTCTGTTCTACGGATAGTTCGCAGCCTAAACGCTGAGGCCGCACTAGACCCTCTTCCCGTTTTAGGAAATTTCCGGTTCGAAATTTGAAACAAGAGTTAAAAGGAGATTGTCGAGAGAAGACCGATGATATTCCAATTGAAACTTAGATCCAATACAAAGAGGAAAGCAAGACATGATTTCAGTTTCAGACAAAGTTGGCCTTCATCCAGCCCCCTCTTTGCCTGATTACCATCAAAAACAGTTCATAACGCCTCTTCAGACCTCGCCATATGATGTTGTGGCTTGATTGGTAGGTAGAGCTAGACGCAGAGACAGAAGCGGAGTCAGTCTGTGAATACATTTATCGTTTTCGATGTCTCCTTGTTTGTGAAGAGGGCTCTTCCAAGGTTAGCGAGACGCCAGGAGAGGACTCGGGATAGCCGTTCCATGGGTTCAAGTATTCCGATAGGCTATCACATGTTCTCGATGGATTTATCACTAACAAATGACCTGATTTCTGCTGCAGAGCACAAAATTTAGACGAGGTATATCGAGTATGTGGTGACCGGAAGATCTGAGTTAGGGCAAGCTACAAAGATTAAGATTCTTTCAGACAAAGACGGTTAAACTCTCATTGTCTCCATATTCTATGTTCCATACTATCCTACCACTAATAATAATAGATAGGCTATGCATGCAACCTTCATGAAATAAGATGAATATGTCTGTATGTAGTCTCTATGTACAGTATCACGTGGTTTGTTCTGCCCTTGCACCTTCCCTGCTTTCATTTCTAGTCCTGCCTGTTCAAATCTCCCCTACTTCTCTCTTCACAATATACATCTCATCTTTCCTGTTATCTTTCAAACCAACAAGACTAGCAACCCTGCAAGCTTGTATCTTGATCTAGTTGCGGTACCAGACCATACCGGCTCTCTCAAAAGGAGTAAGCGCCTTCCAAATCAGTTTTTCCGGCAGAGGGAAAGTCGGACGTGGTTTGATTTTTTTCTTGTCTGGAATTTTTATTGGGCCGGAATGAAACACATCACTGCATGGTCGATATGGACTTATACTTCGGCCCCGCAATTGCTGACCTCGCCGTGACTGGTTGGGACCTTTTTGATACTCGCGATACACGATCGACCTTCTGCCACCACTGCCTTTCTTCTGCCTAGGATACCTTTTGAGATGCGGAGATAGTACGCTTGGAATCCCTCGTTCGAGATCGATGTTGTGAATATAGTATTCCATCGGTCGTGTCCGTGGGATGTCCCTTATCGAAGGCGCATGATCCTCACAGTCAAGGAAGTAGTCCATCGGCCGTTCTGCTGGGATCTCTCCTATCGAGGACCCATCATCGTCTGCTGCACCGCTATGAGACAAGTTTGAGTTGGGCTGGGATGTTGGAAGGAGTTGATCATCTCCATGGCGTCGCAGCCAGCTCCATGAATTGGTCCAGGAGCTTGCGTTCGAGGATATGAGTGGAGTTATGACATTGGGTTCACCTGATATAATCTTGTCGATGTCGAGATGAAAGGATTGGCGAAATTTGTACCATCGGACGCCAGCAATTATAAGAAGAATTACCAAAACAGTCAAGAGTAGCAGAAGTATTATCTTTCTTGTGGAAGTCATGTTGGATGGCGCGTTCATATCACAACAACAGTGCGTTGCAGCGCCCCCATTCGCGATCTCGAACTCAAGTCTACTCTGATATCGAAACGATCTCGAAGCAAGTAATGATCAGAAGATCCAGGCTTGGAAGAAGGTAGAGAGATGTTGGAATAGTCAAAAAAGCTGCAAAGAGATGGGAGTGACATGCTAGGAAGTGTGATGCCTGATCTGGTGAGAGATGATGTAAACAGCAAGAGTTCTACTTCATAAGCCTGAACAGCAAACCCAAAGAAAAAGACTTTTGCAGTCAAAGTTCCTCAGGACTATTCAAAAAGAATAAACTAATTACAAAATTTCATGGAACGCCCCGTGAATTTTCATGATGATATGTGTTGGGTTTAGGCCAAAATCTCCTCTGATATGAATAGGTCCCGGGCGTTACCATGAACAAACAAATGAATCAAAATCCACACAGTGCTTTCTGTCTCTAAGCTGTGTTCATGCTACAAGGCGAATAGACAGCAACATCCCCCTAGCAATCTTATCATTAGCCCTTCTTATTCTAATCCTATCTAATGCATTTCACCAGTAGAAATTGCAGCTTGAATCCTATCCAACCATTGAGGATGTAGAAAGATCATCCTGCCTCTCTCATGAATATTCTCCAAGGTCTCTCTAAGAAGAGTGGTGTCTGATTCCCCAGAAATAGGAATGAGTAATGATGCGACACTGAATAGCAAACAGCCTAAAGTATATACCTCAGGTTTTGATGTCCAGCCAAGGACGTTATCTCCTTGATCATCACTAGTCGACAATGATAATACTTTGGCATTGAGATACTTCAAGCCATCTGACACCCATATTGCAAGCTTTTTTATAGTAGTTTGATCACAGGCAGACTTGTCGAGGTGTCTGAAAGCCTTTGTCCAGATATCGATTTCTCGAACATCATCAATGAACAGGTTCTGTTTCTCCTCTTCGAAAAGAGCAATACTCTCCTTTGAATAGTCCTCAAATAGCGTCTCAAAACTCTTGAACTCGTTCCGCTTCTTTTTGGGGAACGTCTCCCTCATCAAGCGCGTAACGACATGATGAAACAAGGCTGGTTGCTTTGCGTAATTGCTAGCTATAAACTCCACAAGACTTTCGCTCGCGGGCATAGCTCCCAGCATAACTCTTTGGTTAGGAAATATTTTGGAGTGGGAAACTACCCATGAAGCAATTGGTGCTGAAAGAGAACGAAGTTCGTCGTCATCGTCATTCAGCATGTCGTACAGTATCAGGTAGATTTCGAGAGAGGTAGGTGTTGCGTCAGCTGCCTGGTTAGGTTTGCGAAGTATTCGACTGAATGTTTTCAGTGACATGATGGCAGACAACCGAGCAGAGAAGACCTGTCACAGAACGAGTTAGATATCAACTCGATCATATGAGCATAAAATTATGAAAGATGAGGCACATACTGTCTCTTCGCTCAGCGCAGATCGAAGGTTAACAGCCCAACGTCGGACAGCAAGCGAATCAAGACCCCCATTTGTTTCTGTCGTTGAACTCAAATTCTCTTCATCCATGTATTTCAATGTCAACAGAGACCCTTGTAATCGTAAAACGTTTTCAGTCAATTCGCGGCTCCAAATATTCTCTTCTTCTTGGATAGAGAGATGATCAGAGACTCGCGCCCATTTACTCGGGAATTCCACTTGGATACCCCTTTCTAATGCATCTTCCAAGATCCCTGCAAGATTCAAAGCGACCTTTGCTTTGACATCTTCCTCATGGAAGCTTTGAAGCAGAACGAGTAGATAAAGACTGAGGAATTCCTTTTGTCCCTCATAGCCAGGGAAGACGATAGGAATCCGTTCCAAAATCCAGCAAGCACCGTCACTGTCGCTTGATGAGAGATCAAAGAATGGCCCCATGAGCCCAGTAGGTGATAATTCTTCAGGAAATGCGACCATAGACAGTTTGTTATTCAATATTAAACACCAGCTAAGCGAACGGCGAAGTAGGGATTCGGCTCGCATTGCACTTATCCTGCTTGGAGGTTGAGGTCCAGAATTGAGTAATTCTGCTAGACCGTGTTCAAGAGAGTAGTTATCGATAATTTCGCTCACAAACCGTGTTGTTTTAGATGTGACTGTAACTCAATCATGTCAACATGTCGTTTCCTTGCTCAAAAGAGATTAGTGAGTACTACCTTCTTTTCCAAATCCGATGTTGCTCTCAATCACATCTACTAAAACATCGAACAACGTAGCCTGGCCAAACGGAGATCGTATATAGGGGTAGAATCCCGCAAATACCTTTTGCACAGTTGCAAGGACGTCATCGACATTACCTTAAATGATTCAGTAAGAGCTTTTTTCAAGTGGAAGCATGAGAATTGTTGTTTCTTACCACGCCAATATTTGGAATGCCACACCCTTAGAAATGTATATCGAGCACACAACATCTGCCCATGTAAGTGTATTTGAGACAACTTTGCCAAATCACCATCGATCAATTGATTGATCGACGACAACATATCATTGAAACGCAGCAAAGAGGCATATACTCTTGCTGCCTGCTCGCGGACGGCCCATATAGTGCTTTTGACATGGCGTAAAACCAGACCACGTAGCAAGTCGTCATCATCGTTGGTCGTAGACGGCACTTTTTCAGTAATAATCTCCAGGGCAGGGAACACCTTTTCAGTCTCGTTCGAAGCCAAGACTCCCTTTGCGAATTCCTTGCCATCAGATCGAGCTTCGTCTGCGGAGGCAAGTAACTGAGCCAGAAGCTGAGTTAGTCCTTCATATTTGGGGAAAGCAAGTGTCATATTTGACTCTACACCTGAAGCACCACCAAATCCAAATGGTACTCCTGGGCGCCGCGCGCACATCCTATTCATCGAAGCATGAAAGAGCATGAGTCCACAGTTTCGTATAGCCCAACTATAAAATTGATGAGTCAGTCATCCAAGTCTGCTTGTTCAAACACCCGCCACTGTGGGAACTATGTGAGACTTACATTGGGCAGCTTAAAGAATCTGCAGCAAGCCTCAGAACATCCATGATATAACTCTCCGCGGACGACGCTAACTTAGCGTTCGCGAGAATGTCCTTAAGGCAATTCATTGCGTGAACTTGAGGTAGAGAAAGCTCGTTGTAGCTAGATGTTTGCACTGCTGGCACACGTGATATTTCTTGTAGGTCGCTCATAATCTTTCCAAATAACGGATCTCCAGATTTGGAGATACATATTCCGGTCACGAGAGCCGGAAGTCCAGCGGATCTTCTGGTTAACTTGGAAGCTTGATGCTGAATCATTTTCAAAGAGTCCTATCCAGAGATCAGGTATTGACCGTTTCAAAAAGTAGAAACCAGATATTGCTTACCTCATACCACAAGTCTGGAAGGCCAGAGATCTCAGGATTTTCATTCTCAGCGCATCGCAGACAGCAGGCTGCAAAAGTCTGGGCAACAGTAGAAAATGCACCTCGATGTCTGAGTTCTGATAACTGAACGAAACTCAGAGTACCGATAGCCTCAAAATCAGCACACCGCAGGCCATCATGTTCATTCTGAGGCGCATAAGTCACGTTTGCTACGACAGCATGAAGCAGGTTACTGTTCAATCTTTTAGAAATAGTATAACACGCGATTCATATCGAGAATGTTTCATACCTAGAATCCTTGAGAGCGCGCCATGAATAGGATAACAGATCCTTTGGGCCGACCATAAAGTCATCTATAAGCTCGACTGTATGCCCCTCGGGTGAGTCGACGCAAAGAACAGGCTTGACCTTCGTCCAAATATTTTCGCAGATAGCTACAATTCGATTATGCACTGTGCGCCAAGATGAAATATGTCTGTCTGATGAGTCTGAAATTGTAGTATAGAAATTCGGTGTCGCTACGATATACCTATATCAAGATAAATAAGCACCTCTCGTAATGCTGGTGTATCTCAACTCACCGTATGGCAGACGTATATCCGTGAAGTGGTCCGTCTCGAACAGACGGTTGGAAAGGACCCGTCTCCTGAGAAAGCTTGGCCTCTAGCCTTCGTAATATCTCATTTACGACGCCAGCCTTTGTACTGAACCAAGAATCAGCAGCCTCTGGGTTATTTCCATCTTTAGCTGTAGAATATAAAGAATGGTACAGTCTGGCAACAGTGTCCGCATGGTCCGCTCTACTTGTCTTACTAGCTAGTGCCTCAGCCCTTAACAGGGCTGTTACTAGCCTTTCTGCGACGTTGAACCCGTTATTGTCCGCTTCAGTAGACAGATGACTTGGAAATAGACCAATGAGGTAAAGAGCGGTTGCCCGTACTTCTTCAAATGGGTCGAGAAGAAGATCAACTAGCAGTCGGAAAAGACTTGGTCGTAGAACGTTCACTTTGTACCGCCACAACATCTGGTCCTCATGTGGAACATTGGGCGCATTTGGGTCAACACCCGTTTTGAGAACGAGGGAAATCGACTTTAAGGCGGATATGTGACGTTGATAAGAAGCGGTTGGGAGCAACTCGTTTTCGAGAAAGTCAACGTAACGCTCCATGAACAATTTGCTATCCTTTCCTTCTTTTTCCATGAAGTCTTTTTGCACTCCAGGTCCTCGTAAGCGTAACATGAGTTTGCGCATTAAAGACATTGTCTCTTGGCGAATATATGAGTCGGAATCGGCGTGCATAAAAAAGAGACCTTCTGCTATACTCTTCAGGGCAATTGCAGAAATGGGCTTTGATAGAACTGGTGCGGTAGTCAGAAGTGATAAAGCTAACAATCTTACTCTGGGTTCGTTATACAGTAAGAAGCGCCCAAGTATGTCACTTTTTAGAATAAGCACCTCCACAACGTCGGCGTTCCTCGTTGCAGCTGTTCTCTTCTCGAATTCTGCAAACTGTCAGTAACGACTAAATGGAGGTAAAAGAGGCAAATATGGATTCTACATACGATCCTCGTGTACAAAACCAATCTTCTTGCCTACTCCTAGAGCAGAGAATAGAAGAATAAATTCATCAACAGTCCAGTCGCCTTCCATGTTACCCGAGAGTACTGGGTCCAAAGGTAACTCTCCGATAAAGGCTCGAAATCCTTTTATGTCTGTTTCAAGGAGCGGGAGAAGTATAGACCTAGAGAATAGTTCCAAACAATCCATATTCTCCAACATAATGCGCTTGCTGGGCCGAATCCAGCTCATCATTGGATAGCAACTCTGTCCACAATCTTTGATCTCTTGTCCCGCTTTCTTGTATAAGTATGCCATCAAGGATCCACCTACCAACATAAATCCTTGCTCTTTTGCATGTATGAGAATTGCCAGACTGAATATTGTGGAGACACTATGCTTCACGCCGATGCGAACATCGTCGTACCTCATACCCGTGCCGTTGAATGGCGATATATCAACCGATAAGGCTTGACAGTGCTGAGCATAGAGAGGCTGCCAGTCACCATAATGCCCTATTAGCCAGTCGTGAATTAGGGACATGAATGCCGAGACGGGAATCCCACTCTCCCGCAGAAGTCTCTCCAATGCAACAAGAGAAGACTTTAGTCGAGATCTCGGGTCTGCTAGTATGATACTAGGCATCATTTTGTCTATGAGACCTACTTGTATCCGGCGAGTCTCAACGGTATCTGGGTGTCTTTTAAGAAACTTGAAAAGACCGCTGAGGACCTGTTTCATTGGCTTGGGCGTAGTGTCGTCGAATCTGGTCAGAACTACTTCAAATACAGCCAACCATATCTGGTCTGAGTACGCCAGATCCTTTGTTGAGGGTATGCTTGAGGATGATGCAGTCTCCAGAAAATGGATTACCGCATTGCATGCCGCCTGTGTCTGTCCCTTCGAAACAGATCTGGTGGAGAAAGTAAGGAACAATGAATCCCACACACATTTGACCTGCCTATGAATGATCAGTCTCGGTGCAGATATTGATGTTCTTAATAATGAGGATACTCACTGTTCATCTCGACAGTCCTGAAGAAACGCCCTTAGAGGTCCTTTGCATATTCTTGACAAGACCTCTTCGGGAACCAATTGTATACTTGTGGGAAAAGATTTGATATCGGCGTCCACATCCGGGATATCACCACCGGCCAGGCCAGCTTCGGGAAGTATCATTATTGCCGCAGTCTGACACGCCCTGGTAACGATACCTGCTTGGTCAAATTGGTCTTCGTGCAGCATCCAGACCTCATCCCACCGTGAGGATGTTCTTGTGGAAATTTACGAAGTGTTTCCACTTCGGTACTAGTGTGGAGAGAGATGCGCCCGGCCCGAGAGTTCTTCCGTGCCCTCCTTCCCTTTTCCCCGTTCTGCGCTGTGCTGTGAGTGGCTCCTTCCTGATCTTGCCGTCAGCGAAGGAAAAAGAAGTTTTTATCGGAACTCTCGATGTTCGTCCATCCAGTCCATCACTCCATACCGAATCCGCCATCTTCTCGGTAATCTACTGTCATTTACGACTTATTTAATTTCTATTGCCACGTTCAATCTGCTTCCCGTGTACATCGGTTGATTATTCCTACCTGCCATGGCTATTTGGGACTCGTTCAGCGGCCGCAAGGCGACCACAAACCAAGATACCTTCGATCCCAGTTCTGCACAAGATGTGTCGTCCTTCCTGGGCCAGGCATCCTTTCCAGACCCATCTCAACTTCATCCGCTTGCAGGTCTCAACCAGGACACGCTTGATTATCTCACACTAGAAGACTCTACGTTGGACGAGCTACCCGGCTCGCGGTCAGCTCTACCCTCCAGAGGCTGGTCTGATGATTTGTGTTACGGTACTGGATCGACATATTTGGCCGGGCTCCTAATAGGAGGAACATGGGGATTAGCAGAAGGCCTTCAACGAACGCCAGCTAGCGCTCCCCCCAAGCTGCGTCTCAACGGTGTACTTAACTCGATTACTCGAAGAGGACCATTCTTGGGAAACAGCGCGGGTGTCGTGGCTATGGTCTATAATGGTATCAACTCGATGATTGGGTATACTCGTGGCAAGCACGATGCTGCCAATAGCATTGTTGCTGGTGCTCTGAGTGGAATGATTTTCAAGAGTACCCGAGGCACAAGACCTATGCTTATTTCGGGCGGTATTGTTGCTAGCATAGCTGGAGCGTGGACTGTACGTACTCCATCTATTTTTAGTCTCGATTTGGATTTATACTAACTCATGCATAGGTTACTCGAAAGGCCCTCTTCGAATAAACAAACCTCCATCGAAACGGAAAACTTCTTCGCATCGCCGCTTATCTTCGTTCTCAGCGTCGTATTGCCAGCCGACATTGAGTTAGTGAGACCTCTACTTATAGAGTCCATTTTCGGCAACTAACCCGCGCTTCATTCTCGCGCAGTGTATCAACAAAGTTCATTTTGGATTTTCAATAACTCGGACCTACTTCTTCACTCCGGCGTCAGGGCTTATTATGAATGTTTGGCATCTCTTGATGGGTTCAGACCGGATATGCTCAATTGGATTTGTATTGTACATATAGAAACTTCCTTTTTTTTTTCTCTTCTGTTTCATCTTATGGTTGTTTCGTCTTCTCATTTCAGCGGCTATTTATGTTAGCATGGCGGTGACCGCATGGTTATTAGATAATACATGTTGCAATGAGCACATATCAGACATCATTACCCGTCGTTTCTAGGGCCAGGATAATAGATCAATGCCACAATGATTGAGCGCTAAAAAAGAACTCGGAATATGGAATTGATTGAAACGCAGGTACTCTTCAAGAAGTCTGAGATTGAGAGAACTGCAGTTGCATACTATCTAGGAAACGGTAGTCAAAGATTACGTACTCATGCCAACCATCCAGCCTTCTGCTGTGGTTAGGCAATCTACATAGGTCTACTTCGCTGCAACGCGGTCTAGTGTGCCTTCTTTACTTTCCAGTTTGTTATCTCAGCAGAATGCTTCTTTAAAAGCATATGGTTGGTATTTGTTCCAATGGCTATTCCCCTACTCTTATCCAGATAACTAGGAGAAGAGATGAACATTTACAAGACGAAATGCAATTAACGTAACAGCAATACACAAAAGTTGCAGAGGTATATCGTTTTTAGCATAACATGAATCATTAGCATCCTCCTTGGTGAGGAATGGAGATGTTGTCAATGTCCTCAAACCAGCATATAGACATATGCTCTAGGATCCCAGATCTTTGAGCTGTTCTGTTATATGTGGATGAGCATCTCGTACTTGGGTAAGGCCTACACCGTGGCTTTCTCTTTCTCATTCATGGAGTAAAGCTACGCACTTGCTGGCGAAGCAACCTTCTCGGCAGCTGGAAAATTTTCCACTGGAGTAGCACGCTTCCTAGTCAAACTGATACCTCCAACAAGCATGATCAACGCTTCCACACCGAGTATAACACCGAGAGTCACCATTGCTCCGATTACACCGGCGACTGCCTTGGAGATTCCTCCCGCAGAACTGGGAGTAGCACTAACAGATGCGTTCGAGGCCGTGGAATCTGCGGCGGAGCAGATAGATCCCGAATTTCCACATTGCTGGCACCATTGAGCCTCGCTTGTAATAGCAAATGCCTGCGATGACGAGACAAAATCTGACCAAGAAAGGAGAAGGCTGGGTTGATTGAAGAGCGGGTAGCTTTCCAAGTCAGGTGAAGCAGCTGAAGTGCCATTGTGGAAGTAGAAGCGCACGTAGATGTCAGATGTTGAGGGAAAGCCGTTCTCGAGAGATGAGTTGGTCACCAGTTCCCAGATCATTGAGGATGCATAACTGGGGATTCCAGTGAAATTTGAGTTTGCTGCTGGCAGCTGTGCGAGACCGAAGTACGACAAGGCAGTTGCGTATGAGCCAAACTGAATGGTGAGTTTATTACCCCTTCCGCTAGAGGTGATGGTGTTATTGAGTCCCTGCAGTACCTGACCAGCCAATACCGCGCCGGCAATTGCACGAACTGGGTCGGAGGCGTTGTACGCAAGGTTGTATTCATGAATACTGGCCAAGCCGAAGAGCTCGTTCATAAGACTTGAGTTCAACTGCTGTAAAGCAGGATACTCTTTTGTCGAGTTATGGATTGATGCCACATTGAGGACATCCCAAATGGAGAAGGCATTTTTAAAGCTCAAGTCTGACAGAGAAAAGGTGGCCTTGACCATCGGCAATAAAGACTGATACAACGACTTGGTGGACAACAAGAGAGCCTGATACGAGTCAGACGAGAAGTAGTTGTTGCTGCTCACCTGGGCATTCTTGCAACCAGTGACGCTCTGCAGCCAGGGAGCACTCTCGCTGCCAGAGCCACTGCTGGTCGTTCCGATTGGGATGAGTTGAAAGCCATTCAGCGGTGGCTCCACAGACGTCCCATTGCTCAAGGTTTGGCTAGCAGCTTGTCCAGCGGGTGGATATAGACCCTGAAGCCAGCCTGCGCCGGAATTTTGGATGACATTATCCCAAGGGGCGGTTATATTGAGCTGGGAGAGTTTCACAAGATCTGTCGCAATTCCATCTATCTGGTAGGAAGAGTTCGAGACAATGTAGCGTTTGTTGTAGTAGGAACCTCGAGCAAAAACCTCTTCATATCCAAGAGCCGTCAACGACGGGGAGCCGATGATCTTCGGGGTGCGATCGCCGTGGCGTTGGTAGATGTATGCACCCAGAACCGTCTCACTAGAGGCGACCTGCAAGTGCATGGCTGCCAGCACAGCCAGCACAATGCTCTGGAAGTTGATGACCTGCATTTTGAGAAGGTAGACGCAATAGTTCCTTCCCTGGCTTTCAGAAAAGTGCCCAGGTGAGACAGCAGGATAAAATCAGCGTCGAGAAGATACCGAGGAGCCCTAGCCGGGTTCCGTGGTTTTATATTCTCGTTCGTTTTTATTTTTTTTCGAACAGTATCACTTGGGCATTAAAGCCTTGGAAATACTACATTTTACCTGTATAACCCCGCCAGCTAGCAGCTTTTCGGCCTGGATGTGAGCTCCGGAGCCGATTGTTTGAGCCTCTTATCAACACCTGGAAACGAAGGTTGCATCTCGGCCATTTCCCTTTTCCTTCTTGAATTTCGTTGCCCATATGGCCGTCGTGGCATGATCGTACTGCTTGGCCCGTCAAAACATCTCAGCTCGTATGGATGACTGACTAGCTCGCCATCTTTGCATAATCAATGTGATTAGTAACAGTTACTAATTTATTAAAGTTGAGGAGTCAGCACGACCCATCGCACCAAAATGAGCTAACTGGAACAGGTAGGAGTATTTAACCTGTCAAAGAATGTCAAACTGCACTTGAAAATTTCTTCCGGATGTCTTATTCAGCCTCTACTCGAATCAGATCATTGTTTCCCCGACATGGATTTTCCTTTCATGCACGTCCATGACGTGGTCGACTCCATTCCACAGGCTGACTAAACTGAGGCGTCCTGTAGCTCAGCATTGGCCTGAGACGTTTATCGAGTATTCATACGGATGATGAACCATGATTGCGGCGAGCACCGCATTGACTCAACAAAAGACTGTCTTTTCAGGAAATTCTGACTCGGATTTGTGGAAATCATGAAGGCGACCGTACGATAGCGCATTGCGTAAATCCAAAAGGAAGTGGGAAAAGCGCTTGGAGACGTAGTTGGCACTGCGTTGATAACGACACGCTCCCATCTGTTTCCAATTGGTCAATGGCCCGTCTCAATGCTATATTGTACATGTTGTATGACAGTATCTAGATGGAAAAATGTTCGGTTCCAAGTTTGGCACGGCAAGTCATGGGCGTGAGCCTTTGATGTAATAATGAACAGGCCTGCAGGCGTACTCTTTCGGAGTAGCTCAGTGAGACTCCTTGCTTGACTGGTACGTATGTCCATCACTAACCCACATAAAATGCCTGCTCCCCTCCTTTCCGGTTTCTGAGTCGTCCCATGGACGTTTAAGGGTTTCCTCAGAGTGTTCTTGGCCTCCGTTGAGATATTGATCAAACTACGATTGGGATCACTGCTGCTGTGATATTCGAAGTTTGTCTATTCATTTGATTGATCGATTGTTCTTACTCCTACTTTGGTTCCATACACTTGCCCAAAATGCCTGGGTTGGAGCCTGCATTGCGACCTAGGCGCGTCTCTTTCGAGACGAACAACCGTCCCGATGAATGGCGTATCGAACAGGGTATGCAAGGCGCCAAGTTGCCAATTATTGACCAAACCGGACCAAAGCCGGTTTTCATACACCCTGTCGATCCTTCGGCCATTGCCAAAGATCAAGCGGCCATCGACGCCGTTGGAGACCGTGACAAGCTGTTCGCTCGTGAACTAGATGGCTGGAAGGGGTAAATTCACCTCCAGAACCTTCAGAATAGGAAATACGTTCTAATCATGAGGACAGGTTCGTCGAGTGGGAGAATTACCCAGAGAAAAAGGACGCTGCGCGCAAGATCCTCAGCTCCCAGACCTTCCCATCCGTGCCGGATTACATGACTGGTCCGATTCCGGGCACGAATCCAGTGCTGCTAGGTGACGACTTCACACAGTGGCATCAGGCTATCGGCGGTGAGCTCGCTGATGTTCCTGAAGACTCATGGCAAACGGTCCTCAAGGAGAAGCACAAGGACATGTTACATTTGCTGAAGTTTCCCTACAATGGCGAACCACCCAAGCGTCTAGTGACTGCAAAGCCCATCACTCCTAACCCTCTTCACTTTGTGCGCAACCACGGTGGTATTCCCCTGATCGATAAGGACAAGTTCTTCTTCACACTGGATGGCCTGGTTGCTACTCCCAAAAAGTACACGCTAAACGATATTATGGACGAATCCCGGTTCCCACAGATCGTAGAAACAGTCACAATTCAATGCTCAGGAACTCGCCGTATCGAGCAGATTGGCTTGTACCCCGGTCAAGGAGACGAGGTGCCCCAAGCGCCATGGGCTGAGGGTGCCATTGGCACAGCCACGTATCGTGGCATTAGTTTGAAGAAGCTTATTAAGGACTGCGGTGGCCTGATCAACGGTGCTAAGCACCTTGAACTTTACGGTGCTGAAACATATTTTAAGGACTTGGAAGTCATGAACTACCTGGTTAGCGTGCCGTGGTCTAAGGTCAAGGCCAATGAAGTTTTGCTCGCCTGGGAGATGAACGGTGAGGCACTGCCCGCAATTCATGGCTTCCCTTTGCGAGTTGTTGTCATGGGCTACATCGGGGCTCGTAGCGTCAAGTGGCTCTATCGTATCAAGGCAATCGAAACACCATCATTGGCTCCGGTCCAAAGCCGAGAGTACCTGTACTTTAACCAGCAGATCGGCAAACACAACCAGAGGCCGACTGACGGCATTCAAATTCAAGAAATGCCGGTCAGTTCCGCTATCATGTCACCTTGGAAAGGACATGTCATTCTGCACAATGGCAAGATTCACTGCAAGGGCTGGGCCTATTCGGGCGGTGGCCGCTGGCCCGAACGTGTTGAACTATCTGCTGATGGTGGTTTCTCATGGTATGAAGTGCCTCCCGAGAACATGTCCGAGAAAGGACGCTGGACCTGGCGTACTTGGGAGATTGACCTGCCCTGCGACGTTGAGGGCTGGATTGAGATCGTCTGCCGATGCTGGGATAATGCACTTAACACGCAGCCGTTGACTATCCGGTCCGCTTGGAATTGGGGCTTGCACGTCACTCATTCAGCCCACCGGATCAGTGTTTATAGCATCAACAACACACGGCCACGGACCAAGGAGCGTCTCGCATTCCTGGAAGAAAAGGGCATCCCGTTGGCACCAATTACACGCTATGAGATCGTGCACACACAGACTGATAAGGAAATTCTGGAGTATTACGAGAAACATGGGCCTCGTGATGCCGATAACTTTTACACAGGTATTTCTGATGACTAAGTTACGTTTAATATGATTGATATACGAGAACAAATTATTGTTTACTGGTAAGCACCTACAAATAAAAACCAAACATCAATATTATCCATAGTTAGGCAAAGCAATTGATGTCACTTTCATGTTTATACTCGCTACGTAAAAGACAGAATGGTAACTTGCAGTATATGCATAGACATATTGCGCCCTGTACCTATTTGATTCGTCTAACATCTTGAACTTCGACCAAAGGCACTCGGACTCTTCCCTAGAGAGCTCTCAAAACGGGCTGGATCGCTCTCACGACTCTTGGGAGACGGCATTTAAAGTTTTCCTCACATAAGTCCACAACATGCTTACGCTATTTTCTACTTGACGCTAACTCTTATGCAAAATGCTCTCTATCCGTGTGTCAGCTAGCGGCTGTTCTGCGGGCCTTGGACTGACAATAAGAAGCCATTCGGGGTCCACGGATGATACTGCCATCTGAATACGATAGCTTTAGCCTCGAGCAATGATTCATAGACATGAAATTTACAACCGCGACTCTCCGTCCTGCAGGAGAGGCAAAAGTCCATTTCTTCAATCCACAATTTCTCGGCAAGAGCCTCCCACCAATATCAAGTCATTCCACGGTTCTAATCAGCACGACACTAATTCGCTCCATAGTATTACTTAAGATAGGAACTAGAACGGCGATTTCTTACTAATTTCATACTCCACCTAAGCGCTATTCCAGAGTTGGGCATGGTACTATTTCTGGATATATACGTACGTATATGCATATTACTACTGCAAGCACTCGGTTATCTCTAGGAATGATAAGTTCGTCACAAACGTGTATGGCATGTAGAAGTTGCAATCAGTACAGCATTGCGGAATTGAAAGTTAAACAATGCAGTCGCAATACCAATGCGATGTCAGCCAAAGATCTTTTTTTTTTCGGTATCAGATTAGGGCTATCATTCAATTACTTTGCGCCTGCGAGATCAATCAGTTGTAATAGCAGGCATTCTTACGGGAAGAGAGTGTTTATGGCTCGATTGTCTCCAAAGTAGACGGCTTACGATTCCAATTCGCGAAGACCGCGTCTCCTTTAAGAGACGACTCAACAGCGAACTGGACTTCGTTCTTTGCTCTTTCACTCGATATCATATATAGGTACAGCCGTGCTTGGCTTCCAAAGTGCGACGATAGCAACTAAACCACGGCGTCACTACCATAGCATACTATGGACTGGACTGAGCCCCAAGAGAGCCGTGATAAGACAGTCACTCTTCCAACCGTTGGTTCTCATGTGTCCTGCGGTGATTTTATGCCTCGAGGAAGATTAGTCTCAAGGTTAAAACAGAAACTGTCTCCGATAACCTGACGGATACTTTCCATCGACAATATGACTACCTCCGAATCAGTGTGACAGAACGCAGCAACCTGTGATGCATGTACTGCATGCCAGAAGAAGGAATTGACTTGTCACCACCATCACAGCTTCTAATTAGTTTTGAAATTGCCCATTTATCAACTCTCTTCGTATCAGAAGGAGTGACAAAGTTTTGGCTCACCGGTGGAGAGCCGACGGTGCGTAAAGATATTGTTCTCCTATTCTCCTAAACCAAGCCATTGGCAAGCTTTCGCCAGAATGGATTACGGGAATTATGCGTCGCAACGAATGGTATATTCCTCCCGCGGATGCTGGATCCGATGCTTGAGGCCGGTTTGACTGGCATAAACCTGAGCATGGATACGCTGGATCCATTCCAATTTGAGACCATGACAAGGAAAACTAGCAAAGGGCTTGAAGGTGTTATGAAGAGCATCGACCGGATCCTGCAAATGAAGGAGTTACAAGTAAATGACGATAGGATCACCGTGGATCGCGAACTCCTGGATCTTATAGAATATGCCGTCAAGCGGAAGAAAGCAAAGCATGCCGGCATGACGGAGCTGGCAAGTATGAATAGACCGCTGATCTTTATCGGTGTTTAGGTACCTTGCAAAAGTGCTTACAATATTACGAGAATCCCAGTAAAGCCTCACCTTGACGAAAGACCAGGTGGTGGCTTACCATATACATGGTTATTGCAAAATTGAAGTTTATACCCAAACTGTATATAAGGCAAAGTCGTTTGTGAAATAATGACTACTACAAGGAATAAACTGAATCCTAAATACTGCAAAAGATCTGAATTATACTGACTCTCAAAATGGAATGGCCTACTGTATAGGATCTACGACATGATCTGAAAGATGCTGTTGTAGCGGTATGATTTGCATTTACCGAGGACATAATACCATCGGCCAGTAAGTAGACTTGATTAGGATAGATAGATAAATAGCTCAAACGATTCTAAGATGATACCTGTTATACCAGACTTCTTAATTCTTGTTGACGACTTGTGCCTCCGTGGCCTTCTTGAGGCGCTCGCCCAACTCCGGATCCACACGTCGATAGAGGTCTAACAATATTTCCAAGGTTAGTTACTGATGGCTCAAAGTACTTGAATCAGGTATTAGACATACCGTATACTTTCTCTCGAAGCTCCTTGCTAATCACATTCTTCACACTATTAGACACATTCTGAATGTATCGATCTTGATGACCCGGCTCACGGCCCAGAACCTTCCACAATTCTGTAGCTTGCACAAAGTCATCCTGCTGAATGGTGCTGGCAAAACTAGAGACCTCTCCCACCCACTTTTCATGCTCTGTGATAGTGGTTGTTGAAGGTTTACTGGCGAATACTGTCGGTTTTAGGGATGATCCCACGTAGTTGGGATCGTCACCGTAGTTCGTGGAGAAGTTCATGAATCCGTCTCTTTGGAAGGGGCAATAGACGGGCGCTCGAGCTGCGTTTGTGGGCAGCATTTGGTAATTTGTACCGAGACGGTAGCGTGCGGCATCTGGGTAAGCGAACATTCTAGCTTGGAGGACTGTTGAAAAGATTAGCTACTGAGCTTTTATGAAAATATCTGAGGAAGGCCACGAACTAGGATCAGCAGAGGGAGCCCATCCGGGAACCATAGTGGATGGAGAAAAGGCAGCTTGCTCGATGTCGGTAAAATAGTTTCGAGGCTATGTCTTGGAAGTTAGCTCCTTTGAAATTTTAGCTCAACCAACATTAGGTATTACCCACATTACGATTCAAGGTCAATTTTCCAATCTGACGGAGTGGAAAGTCCTTGTGAGGCCAAACCTTGGTCATGTCAAAAATATTGACTTTACAAGTCTCGGCCTCCTTTGGATCCATGACCTGGACATAGACATTCCAAACTGGAAAATCGCCCTTTTCAATTGCATCGAACATATCTTGCATCAAGAAATCTGGGTTCTCTCCAGCAATCCGTATAGACTCTTCGGCAGTCATGTTCTTAGCACCGAGTTGGGTTTTGATATGGACCTTGATGTACTTGAAAGAGCCGTCCTATTTTGGTATCAGACTTTGGTGGGCCCTTTTCTTAAAGACGTACGCAATTTGGTAAACTGTACCTCCTTTGTGAACTTGTACGTATGCCCACTGTAAGCATTTATATGACGAAGTGAGGCAGGAGTTCCGCGGTCACTGAATAGGTGTATGAGTTCGTGGATTCCTTCGGGGTTACCGACATGGAAACTGAACAGAGGTATGTGAGTATAAAGAGTGCGATTCGCTAATGGTCAATGGTCTAATCTTACTCCCAGAACTGAAGAATTCGTCAGCACCTCTTTGATCCCAAGTTTTTAGCCTTTGTCTTACCATGTTTGCATCCGGCCGATGAGTTCGTGGGTGTCTTTTATGAGACCGGTTCAAGGATGGAAATTTGATAGGGTCTCTGATGAAGAAAACGGGCTAAATCGTGTTTGTTAAACGCTGATTTTCGCCTTGATATCCACTCCAAATGGTACTGACTGTATTGTTGAACACCCAGTCCAAATTGCCCTCATCCGTGTAGAGTTTCATGGCCCAGCCATGAACATCACGAGTCGTATCCGCAGAACCGGCTTCTGGGCCAACTGTAGACACGCGAAGGAGAACCTCAGTCTTCTTTCCCACAGTATTGAGAAAACTAGCCGATGTAATATCGGTACAGTCGTGTGTACACTCGAAGACACCATACGCTCTAACATCGGTTAGTTTAGGGCAAGAGGTGTGTTTCTCATAAAGGCTACATACCCAGCAGCTTTTGCATGTACTACTCTATATACCAACAAGTTAGAAAAGCTGACATAGCGTAGCTGGCGAAGATTTACCTCTCGGGAATTCTCTCACGAGAGAAATGAGCCAACGTCTCAATCAATTGAGTGTCTTGCATAAGGACCAGGCCACCGCCGGAGCCATTTCGAAGCTGGACACTGGTATCATTTCGTGCATAGGGGCAACCTATTAGAGAATTAACAAAACCATAGCCAATACATGGTGTAACATCATTTACCCTCGGCCAATGTGTAGTAGGACATTTTTTGATGTTGATTATGCAATTTTATCCTCCGAAGATGAGTTGTAGTGGTTGACTGCCACAAGCTTGTAGACGAAACATAGGAGCTCTTATATTGTAAATTAATAGCCTAGGTGAGAGGTATCACATATCAGAAGGTTATCCGAACAATCCGAACACTAATTGTTATCGACTTCATCGCATAGTCATCATATAATTGACAGTGACCAACTTTAGGTTGATCAGATTTTAGGGTTACGTCGGACACGTGTCGATGTGGATATTCCCGTTCAGGAAGTAGTAACTGGCGAATGAATAGTCTCTCTAAATCTGGAACATGGAGCTGTCAGATGTCGCGCCACTGACATAGATGACTTCAGTTGTAGCCTATAGCTAGCTAGTTATTATTAAGAAAGTCAGTTTTCAGAAAGATGCTGACTCAGATAATTTTGGAGGGAAGGCAAAGAGATCACTTAATTGATCTGTATATAAGTCAAGCGGGTAGTCGCGTTTATTTATTTTCCTATTCATCAAGAATAAGTACAGGTTTACTCCAGCGATGTCCACCAGGCATTGGAAGAACAAATGTTTTGATTAATGGGCTTTAAATTTGGTGCGTGAACAAAGGCGTCCGAATGAAGAAGTATCAAATCTGAGCCCTAATCGGATATGATGCCGACGGTTATGCGGTTTGATGTGGCGTCGCGAAATTTTTCGACAAGATTTCTAACGTTTTTCCATGAAGCTATTTTCTTCTCTAAAGTGACGCAACTATGTTGATCAGAAATTATCTTGCGAGATGTATATATTTATCTTAGTCATTCGTACTTGGGGAGTCTTTTTAAGCATAAGCGGAGCGGTTAATCATCTACCTAATTGTATCGATATCAAACCATGTCGCAATCAAAAAGACCGGAACTTGATCCTTCCAAACAGAATAGTAGTAGGGTGCCTTTTGCGGAAGACAATGACCAATCGCGTTTCACTTTCGTTCTCGATAAGAATCAGCCTGGAACTCGCAGTCATGCTATGCGAGCCCATTGGCAGGAAAGACGGAAGCGTATGCAGGACGAGCGCAAAGCGAACGACGGAAAAGGAAGAACGCGACCATTACGATCCAAGTCCGACAGTGCCGCTGATTTACTAGCATCGCCCTTAAGCACTACTACTGCTAGTGACACTGAAAGCCCAATCGTAGTCACAGCTGCACCGCCGCCGCAGACAAGTGTTCGAGACCCAAGTTTCTACCCCTTTTCCGATGCCGGTTTTCCTAGTCCATCCCATGATTACGAGCAGCAACAGCCACAACAGCAGTATGGCCTGTCAGAGAAGCAGCAAGCTGCGTCTCCTCCATCTAATGTATCACAAGGTATACAAGCACAGATTGTGAACGGGGTGAATTATGCTTTCACCTCATCGAAATTGGACCCTTTTGACACATTCCCTGTGGTCCTCACCACTGAGCACCACATGCTCATCCATCACTGTATGTATATCCCGATGGTTTTCGTACATCTTGGAGATAGGCGTCGATTAACAAAAATAGGGCTGACTACACATGCTACAATGATGTTCGACCAGATGACAGCATCAGATTTCAACCCAATGAGGGACGTCTGGTTCCCACTTGATTTCTCCAATGCTGCTTCCTTTAATATAATCATGGCCCACTCTGCTGCACATCTAGCCTACTGTTACGACGGCACAGCGCCAATTCGTGGGACTAATTCCTTCAAGGCTTTAGAGTACAAGGCACATGCTGTGGAGATACTGACTCAATGGATGAGCAGCCCAGAGCAGGCCTTGAGTAATGATGCTTTTGCGGCTGTTGTAAGGCTTCTCACATTCGAAGTATGTTGCTCTTCTTCCAGCAAGTAAAAGACGATGTACTGATCTGCTTTTATGTAGAGATACTGGGGCACCCAAGACCAATGGCAGATCCACAGAGACGGGCTGGAACGGATGATTCAAGCGAGAGGAGGCCTCCACGAACTTCACAATGACTGGAGATTAGAACTGGTCGTTGGGCTGTAAGCCGTTCCTTCTAACAACTGTGACGAAATATGAACCTGATGATACCTCTTCTAGGGTCTCGCTCATGTCTCAACCGTCCTGGTTCTCACCTACGAACAACATATCCGGTATTTCCAGTGCTGTTCTAGGAATACGCATTGCTATCGAACGGATGAGGTCTTTATGGCTGATCTCCTTCATCCAGGACATGCGCAACTTAATGAGCATGTCATTGCAACTTTATCAAGGCGGCCTTTTGATGTTTCCTGCTATACACACCGCAGTCTTGCTCATACAGTCCAATTACGAGTCGGCCATAAATGGCTACTCTGACGCAGAAGACAGTGACAGACTCGCAGCCCTATTCTGTATAAGCATAATTGTACAGGAATCCGCATCTTCCAGCTTTGCGCATTCGTCCACGTCCGCCACCGAGAACAACAACGCACTATCACTATTGGACCTGTCCCTCTTTGGGGCTCCTAATACGTGGAAGACGTCTATGCGCAACTTACGATCTTTCCTACACCAATATTTTCTTCAGTCTTATGTTTCTGGTTCCGAAAAAATTAACTATGTCATGCAAATGACAGACATTGTTAGTAATCTGAGTTTGGAGTCTCGTCAAGGTATTGAGAGATGTCTGCTTAACATGTTCTGTCGGTCAAGTGATGGAAAGTTCATATTTCGGCCGGACGAAGGTGCAACGCCGGATTCTTTACTCTCTTCTGTACGGGGGCTATGAAATAAACACGACAATTGCATGACACGGCGTGTTCTGGAGATCGTAGAACTGAGCGGATGAAAGATAGTAAATATGATATTATGTTATAGATTGTTAGTTATGTATAATTATTTATGAAGTTAACCAAGTTTAGCGAGGACACTCGCGGTCGGTGCAAAGAAAGTGGTGCCGGTCACTGGTTTTGAAAAGTCCAGTATCCTATCGTGCAAACCAGGAGGATCACCAATAAACATCCTCTCCAACATGCGCTCAATAACCCACAAACGCCTGGAATAGCCAATAAAGTACGTGCCATAATCCCCGGATCCAGGAGTGCCAAACGGCATATTGTCGCGAAGAATACTCTGTTCATTACCATCCTCATCTTCAATGGTCGCGAGCGATTTATGTGACTGCTGTTGGCCCGGTTCGGCGTCATCGAGCTCTATATTGTCGAGCTTGGTACGGCCAATTATAGCCTCTTGCTGCTCGGCTTTAAGCGCCTTCCACGCCTTGAGGTCATGTAAGTACTTTTGGACGACAATATAACTTCCTCCCACGACGTGCTGCTTTGCATCGTCTTCCTCGGCAACAAGAATTGAAGAACCGATAGTGGGACCGACTGGATTAGCAGTGCCGTCGACAAATCCGAGCAGATCGCGTAGATCAAAGTAACGGAAACCGGTAGTCTCATCTTCTACTGCCACCGAATCCCCAAGCAGATCTAGGAGCTGTCTTTCGAACTCGAAACACAAATCCCGACGCTCTGAGCGGATATGAAATAAGAGATCACCAGGAGTAGAGATAGCTACGTGCTTTTCTCCTTTTACTTCGCGAAATGAATGCAACTCTGCGGGTCGTGGTAGTCCTGTCAGACGGTCCCAGATATCGCTGCCGATGGCAGCGGTACATGCAAAGCCGGCACTGGGGTCCCGAATCGCAACATTCTTCGAGAGACTGGCAATGCCGGCCAGAGTTGAGCGAACAGTAGCCAAGGCGTCATCGGTATTTTTGACAGTTAAGACCAGGAAGGTCGCTGATGCTGTTAGCGGGGCATCAACGGGCTGGAGGCTGACAGCCGCGCCAGAGGTGCTCATTTTATTCTTTCTGGTGTGATTGAAAGTCGAGGCCTTGCTGAATGGAGGAATGTGCCGGCGTATTTCGTTGTTGGACTTGGATATATGCTGGCTCGATAGTGTTGATATGACCCTATAGCGAATGGGTGTAGGGTTGTACTTGAGATAAACTTTCTTGCCTAGGATGTGAACAGACCGGAGGCTCCTAAAGTAGTCCATCATGAGACGTTCCCCTCCCCTTAAGAGCTGGCATCATGGCATGATTAAGATGTACGTACAGCTTACTAAGATTACTGATTACCTCTCTCCTGATTGGTCAATTTCGTACCACCAATGCGGTACACTACGCGCCCCACGTGATCTCATACAAGCTCCTGACGGAACTGCCGGATTGGGTAAGAGTGAGTGGCTTCATTTCACACAGTGTGATAAGAGACTGTAGTAGTTAGTGCTTATTCCATACGACTATACGTGAAGATCCATGCGGTAACAATATCTCGACATCTCTTCAGTTCTGCTTTGTTGCTCTGTACTGTAAATACTGTAAATACTGTAAATACCGTAAACGTAGCCCTTTTGTCGCGTCGCCCCGCGTAAAACGGGGTCAAAGGCTTTTTAAGCCTTCCAAGGTTGGAGCGGGCCTCGATTAATTTACCGTCGCATATCCTGGCTTAATTTTAGAAGATTGGAGTCTGGAAGTGAAAAAAAAAGGTGACGCTCTGACAGATACACAACCTCCAAGGCGACTGTCACGTTGGATTGGCTACGTACCATTAGAGCTGCAGGCACCTATCAAGGAAAGATGTTCTTATAGCAGGCACCGTGGTCGATCCCACCAACTTACTCGCTCTCTGCTGCTTGCGATCGACCATCCACGTCTTCATGCTTTGAAGTCCTGACTCTGTATAAATATTCCGACAAAGCAGACAGAAGGAAAAAAAAATATTGGATTGCTCTGCTGACACCAGGAAAGTTGCCGCCAAGCCAGGTGACTCGTCCGTTTCCGTTCCATACGATTAAATCATCACAGCTTCTCTCTAACCCTCACAGTGAAGGGGGAGGAGAGCGAGATAAGGGATTTCATCCCTAAAGCAGATGATCCATCTCCTCATCTCATTATAATCAACAACGTCCATGTCAACTCCCGAGTCTAATCGGCAGACCGTTGGGTCAGACAATCCGTCGCAAGAGCACCCCCGGACTTTATTCCCGACGACGGCGTCAACAACGCCCACGCAGCCGCCAACAACCTCGGAGCCCGTTTGCAGTGCTTCTCACCTACATACAATAACACCTCTATGGCCTGCTCACAATGTAGCGCATTATACTCCCAGAAGCAATCCGTTTCCATCGCTACACATACATACCGACCTCCCCTCTCTCGACCGCCGACCGGTGACGCCGTTGAACGACAATGACACCTATCTACGCCAGAGCCTTTCTTCTACCAGCCTGTCTCGGCGAACTCCTAGCTACTCTTTGAGGATGAATACGATGTCGAGTACTGACTCGCTTTCTCCCTCGTCAATGCGGTCGTCGAACTTGTCCTCGCCTGCGCTAGCTGCCATGGCTGATATCACGCCCTTGCCGTCACCGATCGGATATCTTAGCCCAGCCTCATGGCGTTCTGGGGGACGCACAATATCGTCGCATTCGCTTTCACGAACATCGTCGACGCTTTCGCGTAGTGGTTCGGTCTTGAATTTGCGACTGAGTGATTCCACTCAATTGCTCCGAACCGCGTCGTCCAGGTCGCGCTCAAGGAGATATAGCAGTACGAGATTTGCCGGGAGTGAGGCGCGGGAGAGCGGGTTGGATGGGCACGAAGAGGTTCGCGGGCATTCACGGAATCGCAGTCTGAGCGAACATATACCAAAGAGGGGACCTGCATCACTTCAAAGACCTGACGCCCTACCACGTGCCGGCCACCCGTCCGGTCTCTCATCGTCATCATCTGTGGATTCAACGGTCGATTTGAGTCGCTTACATCGCGAGCAGTATCTTGGAGTCCAGCGGGGGTTGGCGCTCCCAACGGCCAGGCCGCCCACGCCACCCCGGTCAACTCGCAATGGGGATGAAGATACAGACTCGAAGCCCATCATCCAGAGCGACACACCCGATGGTTCTCAGACCGAGACCTATTGTGTGCGATCAATCCGTACCAAGCAGCCGAGGAAATACAGGAAGCTCCGACAGTTGGGCCAGGGAACATTTAGCCAAGTTAGCCTTGCAGTGAGGATACCGGACGATGCGCCCGTGAAGGATGGGCACGTTCGGATGCCGAGTCTGATGTCTCAAAAGCTGGTCGCTGTCAAGATCATCGAGTACGGACCCGCTGGGGGAGCGGACGAGGAGCGCGTCGAAGTATCTCTGAAGCGCGAGGTTGAAATCTTAAAGTCGGTGAACCATCCGTCCTTGGTCCAATTGAAAGCATTTGGCAGCGACGATAAGCGCGCATTGCTAGTTTTGGATTATTGTCCTGGAGGGGATCTGTTCGATTTTGCAACGTCCGATATGAAGTCACTGATGACTCCGCCGCTGATCAGAAGAATGTTTGCCGAAATGGTCAGGGCAGTGCGTTATCTGCATGCCAACTATATTGTCCATCGTGACATTAAGCTCGAGAGTAAGTTGCCTACCATTTGTCACTGCTGTTTTTAGCTGTGATGTGGGTTCTCTGACTTCTTGTTCAGACGTTCTGGTCAACTTGCCACCTTCAGCTATGGGACAAGTGTCCGATTGGCGTACATATGATCGCGCTGTGATTACCATAAGTGATTTGGGCTTGTCACGCAGAATCCCAGAACCTCCAGAGAGCCCTCTTCTCCACACTCGTTGTGGTAGTGAAGATTATGCGGCACCAGAGATTCTGATGGGCCAGCCGTACGACGGACGTTCAACCGACGCATGGGCATTAGGTGTAGTGCTGTATGCTATGATGGAGAACCGGCTGCCGTTTGACGCTCTACCAGGGACCCGGGGTGACCCTGCGAAACTCCGGGCCCGAACCCCTCATCGGATCGCACGGTGTGAGTGGTCATGGTATCGATACGCCAATGAGGATGAGGAATGGGATCCTGTCAAGGGACAGGGACTCGAGGGCGCGCGTGATTGTGTGGAAGGATTGCTAAAACGACACTCACGACGGAAAAGCTTGGGTGAGATTGCGAAGCACCCTTATGTCAGTGAAGCTCTTGATTTGGATGGCGAACTGAAGAGAGGGGATAAGGAAGTGCCGTGAATAGTTGGAAAACACCTATATTATACCATATGTTTTGTACTATATTCTACGTGTTTATGATTAGCTATGCATCATGCCTTTATGACCATGACAATATATTCTTGCCTGTTTTTGCCAAATATCATTCTGTACAAAGTAGTGTAAAGGTTTACCCCATACTCTCTCTGCGGAGGACATGCCATAGCTGACCATACAGCGAGTGCCGATTGGCTGACCCGGCCCGATGTCGCACCTTCCGGAGATGGTCCTTGGCTCCCCGAATGAACCAAGTTTGTATTTCACCGCATCAACTGATTATATTCCTCCCTCTCATCCTATTTTCTATTTGTGGTATGTGATCCAAATTATAAGAAGGTGGGAAATAGACTTATACTTTTCTTCTGTTAGACGATCTCCGCTCTAGCCCTTAGCTCACTTCGCACAGAAAAGAGAGCTCGAAGCGTCTGGAAAAAAATGTTTTTGTCACAAACACGAGGGCGGTTGCCCTCGGCTCTGAAGGCTTTTCAGAGTACTCAACTGGCCTCGTGAGTTAATCAATTTCTCAATTGAAATCAATAGACAATTGTCTCATACAATCTGCTTTCGACAGACGCTCGCTCTCAACCACACTCCCACGGCGAAATGGCGATGAGGGACTCAACAAAGTCTCACGGACCATTACACAGCCAATCTCCCAAGGAGCTTCACAAGCAATGTTATACGCCACAGGATTAACGGAAGCCGATATGAACAAAGCTCAAGTCGGAATCTCGTCGGTGTGGTTTACGGGCAATCCATGCAACATGCACTTACTCGAGCTTAACAACCTGGTCAAGAAAGGTGTGGAGAAGGCCGGATTGATCGGGTACCAATTCAACACAGTTGGTGTGAGTGATGGTATTAGTATGGGCACCAAGGGAATGCGCTTTTCTCTTCAGAGCCGAGATCTTATCGCCGATTCGATTGAGACAGTCATGGGTGGTCAATGGTACGATGCGAACATTAGCATTCCCGGTTGCGACAAGAACATGCCCGGTGTCATGATGGCCATGGGTCGAGTGAACAGACCCAGTTTGATGGTCTACGGAGGTTCCATCAAGGCTGGCTGTGCCGCAACTCAGAACAATGCCGACATTGATATTGTGTCTGCGTTCCAGGCCTACGGTCAATTCTTGTCGGGTGAGTTCACCGAGGAGCAACGATTCGACGTTATTCGTCACGCCTGCCCTGGTCAAGGTGCTTGTGGTGGTATGTATACTGCCAACACTTTGGCTAGTGCGATTGAGATTATGGGCATGACCTTGCCGGGTTCATCATCCAACCCAGCCGACTCCAAGGTCAAGCAGCTCGAGTGTTTGGCTGCTGGTGAAGCTATTAAGAATCTTCTGAAGGAGGATATTCGTCCATCGGATATCTTGACACGTCAAGCATTCGAAAACGCCATGATTCTTGTCAACATCACCGGCGGTTCGACAAACGCGGTCCTCCATTTGATCGCAATCGCAGATTCCGTCGGCATCAAATTGACAATTGACGATTTCCAGGCTGTCTCTGACCGCACTCCCTTCCTTGCCGACCTTAAGCCGTCCGGCAAATACGTTTTCAACGACTTGTACCAAGTCGGAGGAACTCCTGCTTTGATCAAATTCTTGCTCAAGGAAGGATTAATTGATGGCTCTGGAATCACTGTTACCGGAAAGACACTCGCCGAGAACGTGGAGAAGGCTCCTGATTTCCCCGAAGACCAGAAGATTATCCGTCCATTGTCAAACCCTATTAAGCCTACCGGTCACATTCAGATCCTGAGAGGCAGTCTTGCGCCAGAAGGCTCTGTTGGTAAGATTACTGGAAAAGAGGGAACCATTTTCAAGGGTAAGGCGCGTGTCTTTGACGATGAGGATGATTTCGTTGCTGCGCTCGAGCGCAAGGAGATTAAGCGAGAGGAAAAGACTGTAGTTGTCATTCGCTACTGTGGTCCTAAGGGTGGCCCGGGAATGCCTGGTATGTTCTCTTTTCCCTTTCCTGATCAGACTAATACCTCAGGTTTCTCTATTAGATGAAATGTACTAACTTTGTCAGAAATGTTGAAGCCTTCCTCTGCCCTCATGGGTGCCGGTCTCGGTAAATCCTGCGCTCTAATCACAGACGGTCGCTTCTCTGGCGGTTCTCACGGATTCTTGATCGGTCACATTGTCCCCGAGGCTGCTGTCGGCGGACCCATCGGACTGATCAAGGATGGTGACGACATCACCATCGACGCCGAAAGTCGCGTTCTAGATTTGCATGTCGATGAGAGCGAGCTGGCCTCGCGTCGCAAGCAATGGGAAGCGGATCGCGCAGCTGGTAAATTACCAGCTACTGGATTGACTATGCGTGGAACTCTAGGAAAATATGCCAGGTATGTTTATTTTTCTTTTATTCGACTTTTTAAGCCTACACACTGACTGTTGTGGTTTACAGACTTGTCAGCGATGCCAGCCACGGCTGTGTAACGGATGCTTTGTAAGATGTGCAATTGGACCAGAATGTCAAATATGAAAAGTTTATGTACGTTTAGGATTTAGTATCGAGCTATTGGTAATCAGAGACATGCACCATGCTTTGATTCTTGACAGGTGGACTGACTGAACGGGTATCGGACCCTGTATCGCGGAGTGCTCCGTAGCGTTTCCAAGTACTTCGCACTACGTATCAGAAAACTTGCTCAGAGAACCGTGCCAAAGGTGCAGCAGGTGTAGCGTGTGATGTAAACGTCCCTTGCTTTTTGACTTTCTGACGGCCAGCACTGAGCTTGTGGAGTGTCTGATAGGGTTACGGAAGTCACAAAATTCTGTAGAAACAGGCTCGTCCTATGAAGGTCACTCAATCTCTCGAGATCTGCATATAGTACAGCGAACAAGGTTATTATCTATAATTTAGGTACACCAGTCAGTCATATCAAGACATGAATGAAGTAAGTGAAAAATCTTTGAAGAAGTCCATCCCGAGCGACAAGGCCATGCATGAATGATATCAACTTAACATCTCTGGAGTAGAGGCCATCAGCAAAGGCATATTGCTTGGCATTTACCAGCCCTTCGTGTCAATTGCAACGACCTTGCCATTGGTAGTGAGAGATACTCCACTGCCGCTTACGGAGAGCCCATCAGTGGAAATGTATAAAGTGTTATGGTGATGGATACCACGACCAAAGACTGCGGCCACAGGCCCGAACAAGTCAGACGAGTTGGATCCGCCAGCAATGGTTTGGACCAACCCGTCAGGAGAAACACGAACTAGAGTGTTTCGCACATTCTCGGTGACCCAAAAGTTTCCAGAACTGTCCATGGCGAAGTCGTCGGCAGCAGGAACACTTGTGGAAATATTGACGGGCGAGCCGGTCAGAATACCATCGACTGAAATAGGAACCTTTCCAAGAACACCGAGATCTGTGTTGATGAAATAGAGAACCGAGTTCGCGACATGGACGCCATTGACCCCGAACTCTACGCGTGCACCTTTCACAGGCTTGAGCACCGATGATCAAAAACGATTTCGTACGCCCCAGTGTAGACGTTGAGTTTCCGTACCACACCAAGAGTAACCCTAACCCTCGCCCCTGGATAGTAGCCCCATACCATTCAGTACACCAGCCTCTGGAATTTCAGCAATTTTGCGAACCGAGATTTGAGATCCTTTCTTGTAGCATCGCTCTCCCAGACCACAGTGGCGTTAGGCAGAAATTTGAAGTGGTAAACGTCTCCCTGAACACTGGGGACATAGAAGACATCTTCCTGCACCTCCACAATTCCCGCGATACGAGTGCCATTGGCAAACTGAGCAATCACAGGAGGATCGGTTTGAGTGCGGTGAGGATCAACGAGGTAGATTTGGCTGCCACTGATATCAGTGCCTAGAATCTCTCCATTGGATCGAACGGCCTGTATACTATCAGAAGACTGATGCAAATATAAACATGCTGATATGTCACATACCATGTTTTCAATCCACGTGAAATTGGGGAATTGGTGAACAATCTCCAACTGAGCTGCACGGGCTTCAAGGATTGGACTGGACGATACTAAGCCGATAGAGGCCGCAATGACCATTGGAAACAGATTGAAAGATTTCATGATTCTTCTGCTCCTTAAGCAAAACCAAAATGCAAAAGAGCAATGCAGATAATAGACTAGGATCGCGAATTGAAATTCTGGAAGAGTTTAGAGAATAATTTCCTCCTTCTATACCCATGACTCCAAAATATGTCTACGTATTTGAAGCTCCGATGTTTCAACCTGTCAACCTACGAATATTCGGATTCTAGAATACTTGTTATTGAAACGAGAAAATCCCCGACATTTTATTGGCTCACATTGCAAGAACTGAAGAACAACCAGTACAGAGAAACTTGTCCTAGTCTAATTGTAGTAGTGTATATCTTGATTAGGGCAAACGAGGGCATCAGCCCCAGAAGTATGTACCTAAGATTAGCATTTAAGGCCACTTTAGTGCGTCAGGGATTGAGAAACGGTGAACGCTAAAATCTCACGAACTCCGAGACTAATACTAACGGGGATAAAGAAGAGGCATTTGGGTAATGAAGCAATTCCTGCCGGGAAACTATCAATCAGACCTCGGGACGAAACAAATATTGCTGGTGGCTTGGACATCAACCGGCGGAGAACACGGAGGGACTTGAGGCCTCAAATATTCTTAGGGTACTACCTAATTCGGCAGGATGTTAAAGGTACTATTACATACAGATTTTAAGGTTCATGCCAAAATCATCAGCCAGCTTACTTGAATAAGATACAAATGTCCATGCCAAGTCTATGTCCAACAACGAAGTTTTGCACGAACTTTATCATCTATTTATGCAATTGGACTCTTATGTACTGACCACTGGACAGTCAGCAACTGTACGAAAACGGCAATCTCAAAAATCGCTAATGGAGGACGCCTCCTGTCCATTTGTCCACCACGCTGGAAATAATTTTCCAGAGAAAGCATCATCATTTTTATTTGTGAATAAAAATGCGTTGTCAGGTAAATTGACACGAAGTGATACGATTGATGAGAAGGTCAACATCCTCAGTCATGTCCAACAACGGCGCCGCCAAAGAGCAGAGAAAGTAATCAAGTCTACTCTGGGTTGGGAAAAGTCTGGTTTATCTGTTATTGCAACTAGTAAAGAGCAGACTGCAAGCAAGTCGAATGCACAACACGTGCCGACTGTTCAAAAATCGACCAAGGATCTCCTACGAATCTATCCCATGGACAATGCAACAGATCCTTTCCATAGTACTATTGTTGGGACAGAGGCTCAAGTACAACCCATACTAACTTATGCTTTTTCCCGCTTTACAAGACCCACTTTCTTAGCAGAAGCATTTGCACCCTTTTCAGTGACCCGGACAAGAGTTCAGATGAGGCACAATGACATAATGACGGAGAGACTAAGGCGCTGTGTGCATGATGAGATGTTGATGTACTCGACGCTAGCATATGGATCGAGTGCAATGGGATGGACTCTTGGGAAGATAGAGAAAGGCAGACCACCGGAGTATTTCATTGATAAGGCATTGATATCAGTGCGGAATCGTCTATCCAGTTCGCATAGGCAGGTAGACACGTGGCTGCTATTGTCCATTTATTCCCTAGCAATTACGGAAATGTGGAATAGTCTTCCTCAGATGTGGACTAAAATCCCGACTAGGTGCGCTAGTATTTTGAAGACAGTCAATCATGGTAGGGAGGCATCTCGTATACATTTACAAGCAATGATCGAGCTGGTTAAGAGCATAGGCGGATGGCATAAAATAGATGCTTATGTTCTGGAAAGCATGATATTGGTCGACAAATTCTCAGCCATGATCGATATGACACATCCGATCTTGCCTATGACATGGGTGCCAGAGCCTTTGATTCAGTATAACCCTGAATACCAACATTCAGAAACAGCCGACAATCTTCGCCGGTTAGGGGGGAATTTCGTCCCAATGACGGTGTATTATGAGCTTGCCAAAACTCTCCAGGATATTGCCGACTTTTGCCGAATAGCACAATGGATCTGGAGTCGCCAGGATGTGAGTTCAAAGGATGAAAGTGACATGTTTCTACATCTGCAGTCCCTCAACTATCGTTTACTTTTGCTTGACAAGCTATCGAGTACCGAAAACTGTATTCGCCTTGCGGCGCTGGTCTTTCTACAGAATATCATACATTACCAGGGAGCCCAGCTGTCTGCGATTCTCGTTATACGGCATCTCAAGAACGCGCTTAGCGAGGTATCACCACATATTCAGCATTCATGGGACGACGAATGCATGCTCTGGATATTATGTACAGGTGCAATGGCCACAGAAGCTACCGATGAAAGAGAGTGGTTTCTAGCAAGAACTGCCTATATGTCTAAAAATTTGTCAGTAGATCTGGGAGGACTAGCGTTTCGAGAACTTCTTGAAGGATACTTATTTATCTGGGAAAAGCAGGATTATCAACTATCTGCAATGCTTGAAAATCTTTGCTTTGCGATGGATGACGCGTGATAAATAATGGTGAATTGGCTTATAGCAAGTTCATGGCTGTGGAAAATTTTCGAATTTAATTACTCAAGTAGGCTACTAGGCATGGTATTTAGAGGAGAGAAGGTATGAAGGATTCTGCACTTGAATTAGGTAATGCAGCTTGGTTTAACTCATTAAATTGACTGATATCTTCTTCTCCATTATTGCCTGTGTTCATAAACGGTGCTACACATAATTTCTGAATCATGTACGACATACATGCAATCTCCGTACATCGTGGGTCAACGCCACGGAAACAACCTAGATATGGCACACCCACTTCCAAGGTCTCGTCTCTTGTTCAGGCTGGTGAGCGCGAGTCATTAGGGTAACAGTGGCATCGATATCTTCTTCAGTTCTATGTCCATGCGTCTGCGATCGGTGCAAACTAAGCTTTGCTTCGTCGTTGCAGCCATGACAGATAAGCCACCAGGGAGAGGGGTCACAAAAACCTTAATAGCGATTGAAATAAGCCACACCTGCTGAAGCGCAAAACGAATACGAAAATGACCTGTGGAATGAGCAATTATTAAGACATTCGCGAAGCACACCTGGTCCCAAAATAGTACCAAAGGCACAGTGAAGATTGGCATATGTGGTAAGATAGGCATGAAGATTCACGGGACAAACTTCTAGGCATAGACTATAGCCAATGACTGGTATACTTTCCATGGGACACTACCAGCGCGCAGGCCCTTGATATGTACCATTTGCAAGATGCTCACCATAGCGACACACAAAGGGGCCAAAGCCTGAGAAGAAACCGGCAAGCAGGTTTTGCAAATCGTCATTTCATATCTTCACGGGTAAGCAGACGTCAAATGCATGTATGCATATGATATGGTGATCTGTTTAATGATCTCGAACATCTCGCAGTCTAATCGATATACGTAGTGTGACAACGGTCATCAATTCAGTAAGTATAAAGAGTCACGTTGTTGGAACTCTCAGACCTCGATTGTGTTTCTCATATGTCCCGTTTCATCCCTCGATTGATCTATCTCATGCATAAATATCGAACAAGTGAAAGCTTAACGGCCTGAGGGACATCTAGAGAGTCGAGACCGATGTTACTTGCCATGCATTGATACTCGGTTCTCCCGGCTAAATGCTCCTTTTTTCTTTCTCATTGTGGAGTAGAGTGAACACTGTCTCGATTGAGTGGGGACTCGGTCTTGGAAAGTTTTGTTGGAAGCTTTGATTCGCCAACTCATCTGTGCAGAGTTAGATCTTTTCGGTGCATAAGCATACAAAAAAGGTTAATCTGTGAGCAAGTGATAGCCTCGAGATGCAGCATAGGACGGTAAATAACGGACCTTGGTATTACGGATTCAAGATCTTGACATTGTGAAGCTGATTCTTTCCCTTTTTCATCTGTCTTGTTTCTTTTTTCTGTTTCTGTCCGCTATGTGGTGCTCCCTAGGGATTTGGTGTGGATGTGCGTAATTAGGGCTACGTACCTCAAGCTCTGGGTCACTCAAAGCGTCACGGAGATAATCCATCCTCAGGTAGACCCCAATCCATGGATTAGCTGTTCGCCTAACGATTTACTTTTAAACAAATTCGGCCAGTTACGTAGCTCCATTTAGGTCTGCTCCGTCATCTGCAGTGGTCCAAGTGGATTCTAGCGGGAGTTTCCCAAACCGATTTTCGATTTGCTTTCCAAGCCATGTGGCTCTGCATCGGAGATCTCTGGAATCCAGTAAAAATTCGATGATAGCGACGACGCAGTATGTAAATGAACCGAAAATATTTGATCCATCAAGTAATAGATAGTCCGTGATGCTGACTTCATACATAGCCATGTTTACGCTTCACAATTCAAGAATGGATCACTCATGCAAAAACGCGGCCTAGACTCGTTACTCATCTGGTAGCGCAGGGATTGCAGGGAGATACCTAGATTAGTGGCGAAAATTTTGTTTCATGCACTCCGTACTGCGTACCGCGGCTATGTACTAACAACCTGGATTCCCTGGCTGATTTCGTAATTAATCTACTATAACTAGTTAGTTAGTGTTCATCTGATTTGTCTCCGTCTGTTAGGTAAGCTCTCTCTCAGTCCCTGGGTTACAAAGTCTACTCGTACGGAGGACTTCCGATTGCGCTAGCTGGAAACTTCCAAGTTAGCAATTCGATCTAGATCCATGTGGCTGACTGAACAATATCCCCTCAATCTATAACAAGCCATCTTATAGGTTGATGAGTTCGAATTTCCAAGGATGTGTACTTTAAGGCTGTGAGCCACTGAGCCTGGTCTCTTGATGTTATCCGGATACCTGCGATCTAAAATTCATGCTAGGTACAATTCAACAATTTGGGCGATTGCGCCGTGATCCCTGTGCTTAAACCCTAGGATCTCACAGTTCCACATTGGTAGATACGTCCAGTCACCATTCCTCATGGTAATAATTCCATATTAGCTCAATTTACTTTCCCTTCGTCGAGCTTCATGTTATGCATTAAGTAGGTCCACAGAAAACCTTCGGCATGGTCTCTGTCTCCGTCTGTATGTGATCGGAGAAATCAATACGAGCATGTCCCACCCCTTGATAGATCTCATACCCAAACCCGATGGATAGATCCAATCCCACCAGTATCGGTTGGGTTTGCTTTTTGACAGCCACATGGCTGATTTTAGATTTGAGATAGATGCCTTTCTGATCTTTCTCTTCTTCTTTCCCATTTGCCCTCGGATTATTCCGTTCTTTCTGTTTCTCAGTTCTCGACGTGCTTTATATCTCGACATCATGCCTTCCTCGGGGATATAGCAACTCTCTTCTCCTATACGGATGCTTTTATCGATTTCCCAACTACCGAGCTTCCCACCTGCCTACCTAGCAGGCAAGTAGGCAAACAGGTAAGTAGAATACAATGGCTGTGCCTACGCAGCAAATGCTTGACGGCCGGGTGCCGATGTCAGTCAGTTATGATGGCGGTTACATTGCTCTCTCGTACATCGTCAGTGTCATGGGTTCAACTACTTGTTTGGAATTGCTGCATCGTCGTTCCTCACGATCTGGGTTGCTCAATTGGTTCGTATGAAGTCTATTCTGTTCGTCTCTTTTATCTAATGAGTTTTTATCTAGGTATCTACTACTTGCTTCATCTCTTTCCATGGGTGGAATTGGCATTTATAGTATGCACTTTGTGAGTCATCGCTGTCTAGCATGAAACTTCCATTCCAGTCAGCCTAACATAGCCTGGAATAGATCGGGAACAGAGCAATCGTTCTTGGTGACGGCAGCAATGCAGAACAAATATCATATAACATTCAGTTCACAATCGTCTCCCTGGTGTTACCGGTATTAGTGCTATCGACCGCTTTCTACGCCATCTCCTTCGAAGAAAAACCCTCGGTAATACGGCTTTTAATAGGAGGTTTTCTTACCGGTGCCGCAATATGCGCTATGCACTATTTAGGCCAGCTCGGTATCTCGAATTATCACTGCTCATACAGGCCAGCCTATGTAGTTGGTGCTGCTCTTATTGCAACTGTATCAGCTAGCATTGCCCTGAGTGTATTCTTCAGATGGAAAGCTGCCTGGACAAATAGCTGGTGGCGACGACTCGTTTGTGCAGCGCTGTTAGCCGGTGCTGTCTCAGGGATGCATTGGACAGCTGCTGTAGGTACCTATTATAATCGTATCCCAGGGTTTTTGGGTGTTGGGCAGCTGTCACGAAGTCAGACGGTCATTATCTGTGCCGCGTTGGTAGGCCTTCAAATCCTCTAGAGACGTTTTCATGATACGTATCGCTGACTAGGTGCATCCAGTCTTTCGCGGCCTGTATCATTCTTTCGATTTGTGCAATCATCGCTGGAGGTCGCCGACATCAATCTACGACTCGGTCACGCCAGCTAGTCCTGTCCTGCGCATTCTTTGATCCTGCCGGGCGTGTCATGGTGTCACCAGCAGCCCTTCTTCCGACACGAAAAATCGTGGATCGCTATATAAACAAGGTATGTCGGTTTCAACATGTGTGGATTCGCTTCGGATGACTGACCAAGGGGCACATGTAGTCCATGAAAGACGACGACTTCAGCCGTGCACATCCTGCCTTTTTATGGGCATTCCGAGCATCTCATAATTGGGCTTTGGTTAAAGGTATCATCCCATCGATGAAAAACACTCTACAAAGCAACGAGCTAGAAATCAAACGACTTATGAGTCAACGCGGCATGGTCACCGAATCAGACCAAGATACAGAATTCAACTTCGACACTATTTTCAAACATTTCTTTTGTATATCAGCCCAGAATCTTGCGGATGAGTTGCGTCTGCCCCTTTCGGGTCTTGGAGAGCTTTACCACCAAGTATTATCGACAGTGACTCAAGTATCAAGGTTCGAGATGGGATCCAGAAAATTACCCAGACTAGGTAAGGGGCAACTTATGTTCACTGTACGCCAGTTGGATGGACATGAGGCAGCACGGTTTATGGCAAATGGATATCGTTTCGCTCCCATTGAGCGAGTTACTGGCATCTTGTCTCGTCGTATACATTTGTCACCAACAGATCTCACTATTCATTTACATAAAATGCGTGATTATGCCAGCAGTGATAAAGGTTATTCGCCGGGCGTTCACCTTGTTGCCTTTGGCTTACGTCCCACAATCCGTGAACATTTCGAGGTACTTACTCGGGCTGGGGGGGGCATGCCATTGCCTAGTTCAACACTACCAGTCTCTTCTCTTAAGAAAAGTGATCTGGAACTGCTCAATTCTATGGACGGAGGTGGATTCACGGCATGCCTGAAACAGCTCCTTGCTCTAAGAGGAACTACCGGAGGTAGCAGTGGCAGCGTTAGCAGCGTCGATACTCTTTCAACGATGTCAGAAGAATCATTTGCGACGCATTTGTATAGGGCCATGCTTGAGTTAATGACCATTCTGCCTGAAAACATTGCATCAGCCGCGAGGTTTTCCGCAAAGCCTCTTCTTGCACCATGTCATCGACAATCGCCGTCTGATCCGGAGCAATGTGTACTGATTTGTTTCCGGGTGGTATCTGCTTTGGACACTCGGTTATCCGACACAAATCTCACATTCACCCCGCTAAGGCTTTTCAGAGTGCAAGAGCAAGTTAATGACAAAATAAGCGAGCGTGAACGGTTCATTCGTGAATTAAATGCGGAGTTTGCATCTTATTCAGCACAATCAACAGCAAACCATAAACAGGAAGAGCCTCTAGCGCAACCTTTACGAAAAGTCATAATGTTTCCAAATAGGATATGGAGCCGAATTCAATCAGGGGTGCTCAATCAGAAGATCCAAAAACCTGGTCACCTCCAGCATGCTATATCTCAAGAATCACTGGTTCGTGTTCAACAGCAACAGTTGGAAAAGAGTAAATCGATCTTTTCGTCTGTTCCAAAATCGCCGTTGCTAGGCGGTAATCCACCAACAAGGAATGCTCTCAATCCATTCATCAATGAAATTCTTGTGAGCAAAGAAGTGACAGTGGATGTGGCACGATTAGACGATGTTGAATTAACAGATATATCGATAAAACGAAGATCATCTCCAGAACAACCAAATACGTCAGCGCAACAGAGCAATGATGCAATCAGCGACTATCAAGTTGATGGAGATGTCAGTTATTCGACAGCCTCACTGGCTAATACGGAGAGGAAAACGGTTATTGAAGGTGGTCTTTCCAGATTTGGCGCAACTTATGTTGATGAGTTGTATGGCTTGTGCTTAGGCAGGGAAGTGAGAATGAAACCCGGGTTTTATAATTCCGATAGCACTGGAGAGAGATGACCTCCTGTGTGTTTACAGAGGTCGCTGGGATGCTGTCCAGAATCTAGGGTTATGTGTATACGGCGTCTGGACTGGATCTTTGGCAATGAACTTTTGAATCTGTACACATAGTGTAAGATTTCATGTGCTTCAGGCGTATAATTTTAGAAACCCAACATCTGTACCAAATAACTTGAGTCATCAGTGAAGGGTATACCTGCCGATCAACCAACACTTAACCTGTTGGAGGGCCCCAAGTGGTAACGTCGAAAGTAGTCAGCTTAGCTATGAAGTATGAAGCAGCTAGCATGTCGCATTATCCAACCTTGGAAATATTGACACGATCATCAATATCCCATGACGCCTCTAAATGTCAAACGAACAAATAGTCGTAGTCTCCAGAGTTTGCAAGGTCAGACATTCAGTCTGTCTCCAATGGTTGAAGTAATGCTTGTCTGATCCTTTTCCGACTTAGGGCTATTTGCCTTGCTCTGCTTGAAGCCACTCTTTGTTTTCAACTCCTCGAATGAAATTATGCATACTCACTTTGTACTGGTCCTCCGGGCGAGCTATAACGTAGAGAACAATATAACCAACCGGCTTTCGGAAAATGACTGAAGAGTCAACCTTAGCCCTAAGATCGTCGGTTTGTTTGCGGCAGTACGGAAGCGGCCGGCTGCAGTTTCATTATACAAAAACTAGTGCGCCCCCAAATCAACATGCGATCGCCATAAGAAAAGTGGGAGGGGCAAGAGTTAGGTCCTTAGGCATGATCCAGCCCCTTTTTAATGATGAGGGAATCGAAAATACATACCACCTTACTAGCGCGTAAGTAACTTGTATCCAGGCAAGTCTTCATGAATAACATATCTGCCAGCAGGCAAGCATGGCTATGTGTAATAAGGCAGTCCCTGAACTTTGCGTGTGGTGCATTGTGCTGATTAGCTCGATCCGAAGTAATTACTCCGTGCAGAATAATGTTACCGAAGGAAAAGAAGGAGAAATTTTGGACGGTAATACGTAATACCGAAGTACTTACATCTGGTAACAATACCGGCTAATAAGGTTAAGTGGGGCCTAACCGAAAACGGAGAAGATCTAACCGTATGGCCCCACTACATCACGAGCACTTACACCGTGCCAAGTCGAGCCATGCCTGATTAGATCTAAAATATCTTGATATAAGTATTTTTATTGGTTCGAGCTCGCCCCATTTTGAGGCAACAAATCTCGCCGTGTTGGAAGCTAGCCCATATCCGGCATGGCGTGTTGTATTTATTGAGTAAAATACAGCTTCGTAATTGGCTGTGTTCCATTGAAATTTTCTATGCGGCTTAGCTGGTCGGGTGTCACCAGCGTCCGAACGTTGACTTCTCTGTGCTTTTACGCGAGCGGAAGATTCGAGGAGGCGCCAAAACAAAAATGCATCTTACCCTTCCCTACCATCTGCCGCCTCTGATCCCGGAAAGTAACCAGTTGAAACAACGCCAGATTCTCTGTTATCTCTTCATCCTATCAGTGCGAATCGTCAGTGTCTTGATAGCGTGACTCCAAAAGCATCATAAACGTCCAGATCGGAAGGGCTGGATTGCGGGTCGGCCAGCGCTGAATCAAATTTCACTGCACTAGTAGTAAGCATTGATTACCTGAAATCATACTAGTCAGAAACAAAACAAACATAGTTGGACTAACTTCCATCTTCTCCTTTTCTCTTTAGTTCTTCAACGAACGTTCAGAGTCTTCACTGTACATACTGGGAAGCAATCGTGCTATCGCCACTCTTTTCCTACCCACCGCTTGCTCTGTCCTCTGGTCCTTTTACGACTCTTTTTCATCGGCAACTCTCTGGAAATCTGATCGGGGACAAAGACAGAGCGAGAGCATCCAGCAAAGAAAGAGGGGGAGAATAGGAAGAACAAAACTTCTCAGAGATGAACCACAAATATTCAATACCCGGCTGGGCATATTCCAGGCAATTACCTTTCCAGTGGCGTCTCGGGCGACTGGCATATTTCGCAGCTGTTACAGTTGTCGCTCTTTTCGTTTTCTCTCTTGCCTATGTCTATGCTGAAGAGCCGCCTTTCTGGAAACCCGGGCCAGCTCACCCGCCTTTTGACGATATCGATACCGGTAGTACGCACATTATAGTTTCACCAGGCTCTCGCGTCGAAACAGACCAACCCGACCTACCTCCGCTTCCAACACTTCCCCCGCTACCCAGACCTCCGTTGGGTGCAGCGCCAGGATCAACGCCCGCTCATAATGCGACTTCATTTGCAGATGACATCGCCTCCGCTGTTTCAAGTCTGCAGAAGCCTGAAGGTCTCAGGGTCGTTGGCGTGATTTTCTACGGACGACGCGATCGTTCGTCTATCCTAGAATGCTATCTGCGCCAGAATCTGGTTTCTAGTGGTGGCTGGTTGGACGAGGTTATTTGGGCGGCCAATACTGATAATAAACAAGATTTAGCCTGGCTCGATCGAGTAGCAGATGCTTCAGGAGGGGACTACAAGGTCGTCCATATGGAAGAGAAAGGATATGGCAACGTTTATGAGGCCTCTTTCAAGGAAAGAAGGACGATTTACGTCAAGATTGATGACGATGTCGTCTTCATCGATCCTCAGGCGATCCCCAAAGCCGTCACTACATTGATCAACAACCCGAATGCGCTCATGATCTCCGCAAATGTTATCAATAGTCCTGCGCTAGGCTGGTGGCATTATCATTCAGACGCTGCGCGATCATACAAACCGGAACTGGAACCGAATGAGACCGCACTAGCCACACGCGGAAATGGAGCATGGAAGACATCTGAGTTACCCACTTGGACCGGTGAACACGATCTTGATTTTACACGCTTCGAGAACTTCACGGACTATTTCGATGTCGACACACCTGAAGACATTCCCAAACATCGCTGGTTACCCACACGAAATGAGACGGATATGTACACCTCGAGTATCGCCGCGACAAATGCAGAGGGTGGTCCTCATCTTACACATTGGGAGATAGGTGCTCAGAATCACTATTCTTTCTTTGAGCACCTTGAAAACAATGAATTGGGCAAGTACTTCTTGTCCAAGGACTATGGCAAGGGCACGATCTGGCATATGCGCGGCTATCGCTTGAGTATCAACTTCATTGTCATGCATGGATCAGACGTGCTCGACTATATAGATCTCATTACCGGTCACCCACAAGGCGATGATGAGCATCAGTTGACCGTTGAGATGCCACGGCTGCTCCATCGACGTGAGTCTTTCACGTTTATCTTTGATGACCTGATATCATGCTAACATAAACACAGCCGTCCTTGTGGAATCTCAATCTATCGTCTCGCACTTCTCATATGGACCTCAACGCTATCTTGAGAAGACCGACATCATGGAACGATACTTCAATTACGCGAATGACAATGTTTGCCCTCAACAGAGTCTCATCGATCCAATGAACCCGAACAAGACATGGAAATCGCCATCAAATCCTGCATCCACTCCGCAATCATCTCCTGCCCCAAAGGAGCCCATCTCTTCCCGATTCTTCGTCAGGAAAAGCAGAGACGGGCTGACGCAGCTCTTCGAGTAATCTTCTCCTCGCCTCATATTATGTGACTTATTTACTTCGGTTATCGGCGTTTTCGGAACATTAATGATCACAAGATCGGTTTCCAGCGGAGTACAAGGGTGTATTCTGTACTTACTTTTCCGGATTTATTATACTTCTTCTTTCGATATATACGCATATACTACTCTGGGGAGCGGCGCGATTCATTTTCTTTCTTTTTTTGTTCATGTCTCACGGGTCAGCATATCATACTTTTCACACGGTATACAATACCTCTTTTTCTTATATCTATAATTATTTTTCATGTATATATGCCAAACAGGGCACTTGATCTGCGGTTTGCCTTATATTCGAATTCTACATGTTGTATGAGACTACTTATGTAAATGTTGACAATGCATGGATGACATACTTAATCACTTCAGCTGAATTTCCTCTTACATAGAACTCGGATGTCGTCTAGCTATGTGTCGGGCTTGTCATTTCGTATTGAAGAGTCGCGTAGCTGCATGGACCCCTTGGAATAGAATACCATGATCGACATTCTTCCACGCTCCTTCCCTTACAGGACAGAAGAAACACATTCCTCGCAGGCACGGATTACCTCATTCTCACAGTCAACGTATAGAATTGTCGTTGATTTAAGCTCGATCTAATCTTGGATTTGCAGATCTCAGATCCTCGATAAAGTTCAAGAGTATATTCAGACTTCATGTACTCATCCATGGGTATACCCTCTCTAGATCCACAGGATCATATCAACCTGTTCCGCTGTTGTAATTATTCTTCAGGCATGGCTTCGCAATCCAAGTTTGTATCCTGCTTTTGCCACGATGAAAAGTCCGCCCAGGACGCACACCAAGGTAATAATAGTCAACAAGTGTACCGTGCATGCAATCGTGATCACTGCATCTTCCCAGATAGAGGAAGAGCGACTGCTTGAAAGTACCTCGAGGTTAGCCTCTTCCCCCTCAACTTGTAATGGCTCATGGATTGTGTATTCATCGGTAAGTTTGCCGGAATGCTCATGGTGCACGTTTCCGTCGTTCCTAGTTACATTACACTTTGCCTTGTCGACAGTGTTATCAGATGCTGGTCTGCTTGCCTCTGCTTCGCGGATCATGTACGGCGGGGGAGCACTGACTTTATGGATGGGAGGCGTATACTTTGGCAATGGCTCTGGAGAAGCGATCGTTCGATTTTTGGAGTGACGAGGGGGGTCAGGACTTTTCATGAGCCATTCACGGACCTTGGCATTGGAGTCGGAACGAGGTATACAGAAAGTGACCATGCTTGATAGCTTCGAAGACACTTGTAGACTCTTTGGGGGATCGAGTCAATTGTTTTGTCAAAAGAGGAGGCTTGTCGCGTTTTGTTTTTGAGGGGTAGTTTAGAAAACAGAGCCTATAAAGTTGAGTTGAGGCGAAGACCAAAACAGAAGATTTATTTGATGGCTGGTAGAACGAATCCAGTACAGTCGAATCTGGTTTTTAATGAGAGAAAGGCCTCTGCATGTGTATACTAATCTCACCTTTGATTACTTTAATATGGAATGAAGAGCACCTTATGTATTAATAGTAAAAAAGATAAATATATTGGAATACTCTTCCACCCCTAAATGATTTACTTCTAGATATATTGACTTGGGTAGTGAGAGGCCTCTAGTTCATTATAGTTAGGTTCTACTGTATATTCACTGGAAATAGCTGACTCATTTGACATGGTCTGAGAAATGTAAGTACGGTAGAGACAAGGGTTTACTTAACGAAAAAGATGTTGTCAAGACTTCTTGATCTCTTAATCTGTAGTCTTTCAACTAAAGACTATTATTACATTGTTCACATTCATGGTTCTTCACTTAGCTTGTAATAGACAGGGCATGTATTGCATCAGATCATCCCCCATACATATGAGCAGTTACTTACTGTGATTCACAAGACTCAAAAGGCTCCATCTCCATCTCATGACTGATTATTCTGCATGATGTTGTGGTTTTTCAGCCTCCATCTCACTCCTAATATCATCATTGTCCTCCACCAGACTGTTCACAAGACTTTCAAGTATGCGTCTAAAACACCACCACAGCTCCCATAGCCCAAGAGCCCAGGGTAAAATAAAGAGGATGAGCAAGAAACCAAATCCGAGGAATCCTAGCAACGTGCCTGCTAGTAAGACACAAACCACGATGCTGATTGCATGACTGCGTATCGTGCTGTACTGGGTCTCGAGATCATTGAGTACAGCAAGGAAGTATGCATTGAGTGTCATAAGACTAGCCAAAACCGCGTCGTTGGTTGTCTCTTGGGACTGCTGGTGATGGCAGTTCTCGCAGACTATTGACGGCATTGTTGGCTGCTTGCGGTGGTTGAAGATACGGCGTAGGTCTTTGATAGGAACCAAGCTCCAGTTAACCATTTCTCTCGAGGTTGATGAGCAACGATGTACGGCTGTCCTCTTGTGATCTGCTTTCTTAGCTTAACGGGGTCAACTATCTGACGACAGTGGTCAACGTACCTTTTCGAGAATAGCCCAGTTTTCGATGAATGTCAGGTGTTTTTTTTTGGGCTCAAAATTTCGATGACCTTAGAAATTATAGATGCTTAGTAAGGTAAAAGTAAGGAGAAAAACTTGTATGTGATACCATGCGCTGGGAAAGGAGAGAAAGAAAGGCCCCAGATAAAATGAGAAATATGGTGAACACTCACAAGCGTTTGCTCCCTGTACTCATCACTGCAGTCTCCATATTGCACAACCACCCACACTTTATTTCCCATCCATCAATACTTGAGAACCAATTTTTTCAAATGACTTGAAATAAGGCTTTTCCCCATGGCGTCTTGTATCTCACGATGACCCTGGCAAAAGGCATCTCCTAGCCATGTTTTTTTCCCTTCTCATTTTCAGCTCAACATATTTATCACCATAATCGATAAATCCTTTATTATGAGGCTGTAGAACTCTCAGAATGCTGGATAGGTAGACCAGAAGAATGCTGAACTCAATTAGTAATCAAGGATCTCAGCCTCACAAGACGGAGATAATCCTCAATCCAATGGAGATAAGCACGACTTGGATGACAATCAGTTCGTAACGAGACAAACTCCGAAGTAGTAAACCCCACTAATTCAAGTCAGTTACTTTACGACGTTCATCTTCATCTTCATCCACTTTCCCAGCATACACGATATCATGCCTGCAACATTCGTGGTACTCTCACCCAACCATGCCTCGGGCCAACGAAAACAGACCAGAGGGAGGTCATTCAAGCTTTCAAGGGTGGCTTCACCGAACCGTCAAAAACGCATTCAAGTGACGAGAGCCTGCGACTGGTGTAGGGTACACAGGATCAAGTGCGATAACAATTATCCATGCCAGAACTGTCATAGCAGACAGGGCCACTGTAGCAGACGCGAGCGGAGTAAGACGAGAACACTTCCCAGTGCCGTCAGGTTAGTTGTCCCTGTTCAAATACTTCGATAGGACGCCCTGAAGCTGATTTGAGATCACCATAAAGAGAAATCGAAAAATTGGAAGAACGCATTCGACAACTGGAAGAGCAGCTTCAAAATCCTACTAAACCCGTTAATGATGGATCACTGGTTCCAGCTTTCCTTCCGTCAGAGCAACGCGGTTCTAAACTTCGTGAAGGTGTATATTCCGCTGGAGTGCAATGCGCGCAACGTAGACAGTGGTATGGCTTGCTATCCAATTTCTATTATATCAGTCGGCTAAGATCACATCTCACTATTGCACTCCAACAACCCCAATCTGATTGTAACATGCAGCCCAAGTCTGCTAGTCAGGTTTTTGTCAGCCCAACTTCATCCAAATCAGCAGACTCGAGCCTAGCGGAAACCGCACTATCCGCAGACCTCGGAGAATCTGGAAGCTATTTGACTCCAACGCAGGAAGACTATTTTCTAAGTCTTTTCTGGGAATCATACCATTGCACCTTTCAGATTCTGGATGAAGGGGAGTTCCGGGAGCATTACCGGTCATTATGGGAGACATCATCCCCGACAAGAAAGTCGTCAGCCTTGGTCGATATTATCCTTGCCATATGCATGCAATATGGACTTGCATTTCTTCCTCGAGAGGACTCCAACTCGGAACCCAAGGCCATGGTGGATGGAAATGATGCGACCATTGCTGGTAGGTGGTACTACCATCGATCACAGATGCTTCTGAACTCTCAATTGGAGAACCCAACAATTATGACGGTACAATGTCAGATCCTTACTGTCAAGTATTTATGCAATGCCTCCTATCAGAACATGGCCTATAGTGGCTTGGCTACTGCTGTTCGGACGGCACATTTGCTTGGTATGCATCTTGAGCCCCCAGCAGATATGCCGCGAGAGCAAAGAGAGTTGCGCAGGCGAGTGTGGTGGACTCTCTATTGTATGGAGTGTAAAACATGTATGAAGCTGGATCGTCCATGGAGCGCTCCGTTCTCGTTGATCACTTGTCAACTGCCAGCTGATGATCGCCAATTGGCCCTGATCTCCGGGTCCAACTTTGCCTCCTATGGAGAGAATCTGACCTGGTTGACATATACCCAGCAAATAACCAAGATGATGCTTGCTGTCAGGACCGTTTTTGTTGCGTTCGCTGACAAGTGTGGAGATGTTGTAGCGAGCAACTCCGGAAGAGGCATCTACACCGATCCTCAAACCCTCGAAGATTGTGCTATTTTCCTGGGTTCAAAGATGGAAGTGGTCCGAAGCTGGGAAAGTCAAGTGCCAGCTGGAATGAAGACTAAGAGAAAGAATGATGGCGTAGCTCTTTCAACCGATCGCACGATGCTCGATATCGAACTATATGCGCCCCTTTGGCTTCAGCGACAGCGTCTCATGCTTGAGCTTCTCTATCATAATCTTCTCATGAACCTTCACCGACCGTTTATATGTTTCCCGTCAACTCTTGCTACCGAAAACGACAGTTCTACCCCATTGGTGTCGCCTTCACAGTCCGTCTTCTCCAATGCAACTCCAATGACTGAAAGCCATACAAGATTGTGCATTGAGCATGCCATCACTATTACACGTATAATGCACCAGGTTCTCACTGGCTCTGATATCCTCAGCGGGATGCACGAAGCCTTTCATTTCCAGTGGAATGCGACTGTTTCGCTTATCGGCTTCATCCTGGCATTTCCACTATCGCCATTGATCCCCGAGGCTCGCGAGAATATCAAAAATGCAATCACCGTGTTTGAGACTTTTGGGAGACACTTTGCAGTAGGAGCAAGTGCTGCGAATGTGACTTGGAATCTTGTGGCAAAGGCTGACTATCTTACTGAGCGTTTCCATGCTCAATTAGCAAGCCTGGAATTACAGTCGTCGAACACTCCGGACCTACTTCATTCATACCTCGGAACATTGACCGTCGACAACATGAATTTGGCTGGCCAGTCTCTGGATTTCATGGAACTAATGAACTTTCCAATGTCTGGAACGACAGATCTGGGATTCTCGCTTGATCCATTTGCTAGTTCCGAGCAGTTCTTTTCAGGTTCTATAAACCCAGATGATGCATGGGTGCCTAATCAAAGTTGATACTAGCTGGATTTTTTTTTTTTTTTCAATCTCGTTCGTGTTTCCTTTATGTTCTTTCAAAATTAGGGCCATGTTTAGGTTTCTAAAAGCATTAATTTCACTAACATTGATCCTCGAAGAAATACGTAGCTTCATCTGACTCCACTGCCTAGGTACATTTGCTTTTCTGTATCACTTTGACAAATTAAGTGACTCTCCCGTGTGAAAGTTCTGCGTCGTATCTCAAACTGTAACACATGGACTACAAGCAACTACTTTTTATCGAAACATTCGTGGATCACTTCTAGGTCATCTTGATCACCGACCGAAAACGAACACTTCCATTCAGCATAGCACCTATAGAGGTATTAGCAGTGAAAGAAGAGAATAGGGTGTGTAGATATCTTACCATAAGCCTCATTGGCTTTTTCCAAAGGAAACGTCTCAACCATGCACTTGATATCTTGTAAGCCAGCAAACTGGATCGCCTCTTCTGAGTCCATTGCGTGGCCACTGGGCCATGAATGAATTGAAGATCCGCGACGCATCTACATCATTCGAGGGTCTATTAGCACGGCTGTTATCTCATTATTGGAATGTTTAGAGGTGTACTAACCAGAATAGCACTGTTGACCGGAAGACCATCGACAACTAAAGTAAAGTAATTAGAACTTTATCTCTGTGAGATTCATTTTGAGGAGTGTACTGACCGGACAGAATAAGCAATTTCCCTCTTATTCCGAGTCCGCTCAACAAAGGGGTGATAGAGTCCTTATCTGGTGCAGTTGAAACAATCAAAGAAGCGCCACCTAGTCTCTGCAGTGCTTGACCAATGTCTTCCTTGCTACCGTCGATATACTCGTGAGCACCAAGCTGCCTAGCAAACTTCTCCTTCTTGTTGTCTCGTGAAAGTGCCACGACGCGATATCCGAATTTGTTGGCGTATTGTAATGCAAGATGTCCTAGTCCTCCCAGGCCTTGAATGGCAACCGTCGAACCTGGAGGAATCTGCATGTGGCGCATCGAGTTGAAAACTGTTACGCCAGCGCAGAGCATTGGAGCATACTCCGAAGCATCGACGTCTGGTGGAATGCGGACAGCAGCCTCGGATCGGAGGATGCAGTACTCAGCGTCTGCTAGTAGTATCAGTAATAAGGCTCAATCGCCTGTGAAAAAGAAAAGAACTCAGAGAGAAGAGGCACGACAGAAGAGTAACATACATCCACCAACTTTCGTCACTCCATTTATCAATTGGTTATCACACATTTGATAGTGACCGGTCTTGCAAGCTTTGCATGTACCTGTAATAGTTTAGGTCCTGCTTTGCTCAATTTGTTTGATAATCGGGCTTACCATCATGTCCTCCGTGCCATCCACCACCAATACGATCCCCAACTGCCCACCCTGAGACTCCACTTCCAACAGCAGCAACTTCCCCAATTATTTCATGACCCGGAACTTGTGGGCTAGATAAGGTCGAGATCGACTCCTGGTAAGCCTGCAATTCTTGGTTGGATATAGAAGGGATGTCCATACAATCCGCCACCCATCCAGTTATGCTGTGCGATGGTATCCGAATAGCATACACCGCATGCCTCGACCTTAACCAGAATTTCCCCCTGCGCAGGAGGGTTCAGGTTGGCATCTTCGATGACCAGTGGGCCACCGGACTCTTTGAAGACAGCTTGGCGGAATGTTTTGGGTAGGCTCATTTTCAATCTTTCCTTGAATTCTTTAGGGACTATCTTGGTCTTGAATTTCCAAACTACTACTGTGTCGGAAGTCGATTGAAGCTTAGTGTGAGAAGGGGAAAGATCGATTGCGATCCATGGATAATCCTGTTATTTTATAATTTTTCTTACATTGTTCAATACCAATTAGATTCCCTCTCGAAGAATAATGGGCGTTGGAGTTCCAGGAGCATACAAATTAATTACCCCAAGGAGTAACCGGAGTTGCATCTAGCCCTAATTCGACTCGGGTGCCCATGTTTGCATTTGCAGTCTCCGATGTAATGACTCAACTGTCACCAATCATTTTCTTATCTGCTACTGTGATGGACTTCCCCCCAAGTTGACATTTTTAAATTCTCTGCATTGAAGCTGACATGCTTACTAAATGCAACATGATAGGTGTTGGTCCTTCTTGGACAACTATCTTTTGGCCAACTCCGGTTGTTCCGAAACACGCCGAGTCATGGCACGGAGCTCGGTTTACACAAAAGAGATGATACTAATTTGACTTGCTGCATTTATAATCTGCATGAATTGTCTAGTGGAATGAGAGAGACAATCCATCGCCTCGGCGGGGACATAACAGACATTCAGTCAGGTGCTGAAGGCAATCCCCGAAAATATGAGAGTTCTAGAAAGATAGCTATAACATCGTTAACAGAAATCCACTCTTAAGTTCGGTGCTGAGGGTGCCTAGGTAGGTATAAAAGGGCCCATGAGGCTTAAACGATCAATACCTTATACAGAGCCATCATGATGGCTGAAGGTCAGTGCAACTGCGGAGACATTCGAGTAACCCTCAATGAGGTTCCAACTTCCCGATGGCTGCATTCTCCGCCGGGTAACTTAAGATTATAGCCTGATGTCTGCGCTGCAACTTTAGTTGGAGGATCTGCACAAGTTAGAACATCAACAGAAAGGAAAACAGGTGGCTAAAACTAACCGACCTGGAATTGGCGATTGCTTCCATGAAGAAGGACCTTTTCGCTACAGACTATATCTTGGCTGTCAGTACGGAGGTTGGGAGTCAAAAGTGATGGGAATACGCCAAGTTACGCTAGAGTGCACTAGAAATGTATATCATAATTAATTACAGCTAATTATGATTTGAAGCTCTCTTATTCGCCAATATACATCCTCACTAGATCCTCTTTGGTTAAGCTGTGTATGAAAACACTCCAAACACGTTCAACGCACATGCTAATCTGTAGCGTATTGCCATCACCTTTTGACTACCACCTCCGTACTAACACTGCAATCGCCATCGATCAGAACATTTTGATGTCCACCAAGCATGAAGAAAGCGTCGCTCAGCGTGATCATCAATTGGCGAGATGTATGGATAGAAATCAGCATGATATCCTCGATAACGTTGCTGAAAATGGACCACTTTCCCAGGAGTTCGACAACAGCGAGCGATCTCCATAGTCATGGGAGATTTGATGGAGCGGATGACTCTTCGTAATAAAGATGATGGCAGAGACACCACTCTGCGTTTGGCTCAAACATACCGTGCTATTAAACGATGTGACACTTGCTTGGACGATACTGATATTTTCTTCAAAAGCTCTTGTAGACATGGATATTGCTGGGATTATGTTAGGCAATTATTTCTTGGAGTTACCAAAGAGAGCAATTGTACCCAGAATGGTGCCAATGGGCCATGTTCATTGATTTCAAACAAGCCCAATATGAAAGATGGACACCACTGGGCTCTATTGCTGCTAATCAAAAACGGAAGCCAGAGGCCAGCGTCTGGGGATAAAAGTCCAAATAAGCGATCCAATTTCTTTCTGCGGGAATTGTCACGTATGAGGTCTGAACTACGATCTTGAATCTTGAGACTTGTCTTTACTTTGTTATCCCGGTCAATCAGCGTACCGGACAAGGCTTGTCGATTTTATCTGTAAGCGGCCCTGGTCTATGATAGCGTACTGTCTATTATTGGTGAAGTGCACAGCGCAGCGAGGCTCAACTGGCGTACCAATCAGGAAGAAACACGTATTAAAGCGAGTGGTTTTGATTCTTCATTATAGAGGACAATTCCCTGTTAGAAACAACACAGCTTTGTCAAGGAAGCAGAGAGAAATTCAAGCCTTCAGTTGAAAAATTATAGGATCATCTTGTTTCAATCAACTTCACGAGATTGAAGGTAAAATAAACCCCGGTAAATCTAACACATACAAGTGTGTCGTCATTGAGAATAGGAGCATGCTTCAAACCTTGCAGCAGCACTTAGAGGAACAAGAAGCATGAGAAGAGAAGATATCAGTGGAGCATAGGCCCGAAGAGGAGAAGTTTCTCGCCAGATAGAACAAGAAGGACTACAACCAGACCCTTTTAGGCTTCTAGGACAGGAAGAGAAGTGAGGCGGCTTGGCTGTCCTTGTACGAGTCAAAGTTACTGCTAAACTTTGAGAGACAGAATATTAATTGTGACTGACATGATGAAGGTTTGGAAATATTTCCGTGATTTTCCTTCTGCAAAACAAAATCCATATCCAACCGCTAGTGATGCTGAGCAGTCTCGTATGATAGATAATCAACGCTGTACAGATGACACTGTTCTTTAGATTTCTTCAAGTTGTGTGTGGCAGCTTGTCCTACCCAGCCTCACGAAGTTATGAGCTGAGCACATCTCAAACTTTCATGATGGTTTTATCAAAATAATTTCTTGCACAATTCACCTGGTTGGAAAAATGCGCGCGCGGCATGCAGGCCTCAAACAGATCGCGCATTCTGGTAATAGTACTGAATCACAATCATGATTGAAGCAATCATTATATTCCATCCTGGAATGAGTATCCATTCATAATCTTCCTCAATCGTGCCACCAGCTTCATATCTCTAGGCTGGATAATCACTCGGTGAGCATGAAATAGCTACCAAATTCGCCACTAATACATAATTAGTATATCGATATTGACCGTAAACTCCAAGTAGTTCGACTTACTCTCAAATCCCTTGGCAAGAAAAGCCTCGTAGGCCTCTTGTAATGCTTGAATTGCCGATCCTTAGAGGTAAGCTTTTGGTCCGACGATTGAATACAATGCTCATCTCCTCCATGTGTATGTATGCTTATAATCAATGTTCGATGTCTCATCTCGAGAGTTTAGGCTGGAATAAAACGATCTGGAGAATGTCGTGACTGTCGCAGGCCATATCGGCGACTGGGAGCTGGACTCTCCACATGTTGCTGGACAGGAACTGTAGTAACAGTCAATTTTCGACCTCTTGACTTCCCATGGCCTTTTCTTTGAATTTTACATTGTCCATTCTTAAGAGTAGTAGAGCACTTTTCGTTCTTCCTGAAAAATTTGCCACGATATCCGACCAACAAAGATTTCTGACTTCCTTCAGATGTATGATCAGCTCATCTTTTTGGGGACTATACTCGTTGCCTTTGGCCGGTACGGAGATTCCCGCAAGCTGTGATGATTCATTGTTCTCTATGATGTCGTCCTCGCCCGGAGTAGAGTCCTCTCGATGGGATAGTTGATCGATCTGGAGTGGTGCGTATTTCTCTTGAAATGAACAACTCCATGTATATCCACAAGGCTCAAGTGTTTACAGTCTGATGACCGAGAATGGGTGACTGCAATCAAAGCAGTCAATTCAACTGGATGGGCCCTGCCTTCATACGTTATCTTCAAGGCAAAGAAGTATACTCGATTAGACTGGTTTGAGGATCTTCCAGATGACTGGAGAATCAATATAAGTGATAATGGATGAGCAACGGATAAGATTGGATTAGAATGGCTTAAAATCCATTTTATTCCTCTTACTAATGGTCGTACGATGGGAAAATATCGAATGCTAATTCTTGATGGCCATGGAAGTCACTTAACTCCCGAATTTGACCGTACATGCACTGAGAATAAGTTATGTACAAAAAAGCCAAACGCCTTTCTTCACGAGGGATAACCTGCCCTATAGAAAAACCGAGAATCCCATATCCGTTGACGTCTATAGAACAAAAACTCTAGTAAAAAGGAGGAAGAATGCTTGTCGAACCTTCGCAATGCTGAGCAGGGTATAATATATTGTCCCACACGGGGAGAAGAAGCAGAAAAACGAAGAGAAAACAGTCGAATAAAAAGTAGGTAGAGAACATTGGGAATGTTTCAGTTCTTGAAACTATGAATGCGTACTTCACAGTCTTCGCTGCCTGTCACAAAACAGCTGTCACCCAATCCAACGCAGGTGACGGGACCGGAATGTCCAGTGAAGGTACGTTCGCATTTGCCAGTCCTAGGATCCCATATCTTCACCATTCGATCCTCGGCACCAGACACAATGCGCAGCGTATCGGCAGACAATGCCCAGACGCCTTCCAAATGCCCGAAAAAGGTGCGTAGGCAGCGTCCACTATAGGTTTCCCATAAGCGAATAGTCGAGTCGAGAGCGCTGGTGAGGATATATCGTGGAGGTGCAGGACGGTCACCTTCAAAGAACGACGCTCCTGGAGAGCAGGGCTCTTGACGCAAGGGTGACTCATCTCCGGAGACGGACGCGTTACTATCTTCCTCGTGACCTGCGTCGTGATCCTCTTCAAACTCGAATTCCTTTGGCAATGGAATGACTTGTTGTACCTGACCAACGTGACCTTGGAAAGTTCGAATGCATTGCTTGGAGTCGAGATCCCACAGCTTGACTGTGCAGTCGTCTGAAGCAGATAGAACAGTTCGTGAGGCACTGTCAACACGTACGGCGTTGACCCAGTCAGAATGGCCTCTTAGAAGGAACGTAGACTTGTCCTCAAAGTTCCAGATCTTCACGGTGTTATCGATCGATCCAGAGGCCAGCACGCTATTTTCGAAATGTAATCCGATGATACCACCAAGATGACCGGTATACGTGGAAATACATTCCCCAGTCCGCCAGTTCCATACCTTCAAAGTGCGATCTATACTTCCACTAATGAGTTTGGTATCATCAAACTGTAAGCAACGAATACCCGAGGTGTGGCCGGTAAGAGTGCGAAGTTCCTCGCCGGTCTCCATGTCCCATATCTTGATGGTCATATCATAAGAGCCCGTGGCGAGAATGTTATCTTCAAATTGCAGGCACATGACACCATTTGTGTGGCCTTTGAAAACTTTGACCGAGCATCGTCCATATTTCCAGTTGGTTCCAACTTTGAAACGATCCTTGTAAACGTCCTTCCAGGGTCGGACGTTCGTTCTGTGTAGTTCAGTATCTTCTGTCGGTAGGCGCTGGCGTTTAACAACCTGAGAATCGGACCCTTCTAGATCCTCAGCTGTACGCTTCACTCCCGAAGTTGCATCAACCGTTTGTACAGCAATGGTAGATGAGTCAGGGGCCACGGAAACACCTAGAGCACGCTTCTCGATTTGTTCCTTTGAAGCTCGCAACCGTTTGCGTTCTAGCAATGGTAGTCCCCACCCGCATTTGGTACATTTGCGATGGATATGTTGTTCACACATTCTGTGCCAAACTACATCATCGTCGGCCAAACATTTCCAGGCCCGGGACACTTGGGCAGCGCGGCAGAGGGAAGCGGTGTCGAGGTAGGAAAGGATCTTGAAAGAAATTTCAGGGGGCAGAGCGGTAATAAAATCGATACGAATGAGGTCTCGTACACTGCTGGATATTAAAGACAATTGAGGAAAGCAGCATTGGGCGAGAATGCCCCGAAGCATAAGCTCTCGCTGTTTTGCGGGGGCAGCTGAAAACAACGACCACACATGAGCTATACCTTGTTGATCGCTTTGCGACAGAGATTGCAATTCCTTCTCTTCGTTAGTATTACTATCCAGCGGCCATATGTCCCACTGGGATGAACGTACCCATTGCAGGTGATCCATCGATGGTTCATCAGCTTGCCGCCGACATTTTAGATCAGGCCTATGACGGTAACAGTACCTCGAGTTCATAGGGCGTGGAGGTCCTGTCGTTTTGCTAGCATCTGCGCCAAGGGGAGCATATTGGCTTGGGATGTGTTTGGCCAGGAAAGGCGCTATATTCTCGTCGGCAAGTTTCGCTTTGGATATTGCTCGCTCTTGGTTTGTGTGTTCGTCGGTTAATTGGCGTGACCCAGAGGAGTTGTCGAAAATCGACCGCACGCCATTGTAAGGAGTCATGGTATTGTCTTCGGGAAGGCCGAGTTTGCGGGGTGTCGGATTGAACAAGGATTCCTTCGCAGTCGAACCGCTACCGTTCATAGCTGGCAAGTTGAGTCGTTTTGTGTTAAGAGACTGGGATAGCGCAAAAGCGATGAATTCCCCGCAGGAGCGGTCAAGTCGAGAGTGCAAGGAGTTGGGATGTTTATCGCATTCGAGTCGCGGCAGAGCGGACAAAATGGGATCGTCGAGGGACTTAAGGGAAAAGCCACACGAGATAATTGCAACAAAGACGCCTAATCATTCCAGGGGCTGACTGAAATGATTTATGAAGGGGCCATCTGGATTTGTCAGAGGCGTAGTAAGGCGATGAGTTGACGCCGGAGCCCGATAGTCTGGCGTGATTCTGTAGAATAGATTGAGGACCCGGATGGAATCACGTGCGAGATTTGGCTGATATCGCCATTCAGCGGCAGAATTTTAACAAGCAGCCAATCACAGGGCGATAACGCCATCTGAGCCGCCTTGCAGAAGTGGCAGTCACGCCATCGCTTGGCGCTTTCCCTTTTCCCATTCCTGGCTCCTTCCCCGGATTGGATCTCGGATCAAGTCCCGTGACTTCCGGCTGTCCTTACCACCGATCAGCTTGAAGCTCTGGACCTTCGACCTCTACATACATCCTTCAGACAGGAACTGGTACTCGTCATTTTATCGACGAAACTCGGCACCCCCCCCTCCCTGAGACAATCTTCAACTTGTGGAGGCATAAACACGAAATGTGATTGATCTACGGATTTTCCGGAAGTACTAGTCTAGAAGCTTTGGTACAGCTCCCAACCTCGCTGGCGACTGACAATAATCCGCATCGATATTCGTCAACGACTTAGCCGAGGGCGTCTTCAACAGACGTTGTGCTAATATCGGACTTTTATTGAGCAGTTTTTACCTTGCCAATCCCTGTCCCGTCGTGCTCGCGAGTCGATCCTACAACTCATCATCCTGGTCCAATTCCAAGTCCTGTCCATGCATCTGTCGTAACCCAAAATTGACTCATATATCTCGAAATGTCGCAATCCTCCGCTAAAACATCCTCACCGCCTCAATCCAAATCAGAGTCTATAGAACTAGGCCCCCAGGGAGGCGCAGGCCACGACTCGCGTCTATTGGCCAAAGAGCCCAAATCTCAATTGGACACTCTGATTTCTTATCTCGTCGCCGCGAAAAGATCCTTGTCGTCCATATACCATGTGTCTCGTGCCGATGAAATCGTCAACACAGCTCGAAATGCTTTGGAGGAGAGTGTAATACTGTCTGCAAAAACAGGGTTTCTTAGACGGGGCCAGAAAAACGAGATTCGATTATTATATAATGTCCGGGGTGAAATCGAGAACATCTCTCACCGAGGACGTGCTGAGTTTGCCGGTGTGCTGACGGAGCTTGATGATGTCGACGACCGCTTGCGTCAGACACTTGACAAGCTACGGCAGACCATTGTTCATCCTTCCTTTCGTCCAGAAGGCGAAGAGTCGAAGAGTCTTCATGACTTTGTGGACGAACGTGGTGTGGAGGAACTGCAAGTAATTCTAAAGGCTTCTATAGACCGAAGTACCGCGGCTCAAGCGCAGCTTGACACCTCTAGCTCGAGTTTTGACGAAGAATTGCGCGCCTTGCAACATGCACTGGGCAGGTATCGTACCACAATGGAATTAGCGTCTTCACGCTCATCGCTCTCGGCATCGTCTCCTGCCGCTTCCAGCCCTGGAATAGTGACTCCGTCAGCCATCCCACCCATGCTACGATCATTGGAATCTCATGCTCAGGAAATGGCAGACCTACTTGAGTCACTGGTACATCATTTTGATAGATGTGTCACCGCCGTAAAGCATACAGAAGGTGGCGGGGCGGTTGCACGTTCAATTACTGGGGATATGCCTCAAGGTCTCACCGTTCCCCATACGGAAGACACTGCGGAGGATGCTGATTCCAACTCGAATGACTCAGTTGATCCTATGACTGACTCGGACTATCAAGATATGTTAGGCGTGCTTACAAAGGATGCTGCGGAGGCGGAGGATGTCGTGCTTGAAATCCAGGAACGCAGTAGTGAGATGGAGACTATCTTGGAAAGCATTATTGCACATCGCGATTCCGTAATCACAGTATATAATGCCACGACGGAGATTTTTGATCATCTCTCCAATCTTGCGACTAGTCGTTTGCCTGAATTTATCTCCCAAGCACACGCTTTCACACATGTCTGGAACGAAGAGCATGAGCGCATACGAACTGGTATGGCAGATCTCGCCGACCTTCGATCGCTGTATGTTGGGTTTCTCGACGCTTATGATGGACTTATCCTCGAAGTATCCCGTCGGAAACATATGCGTCAGGGTATTGAACGTATATTGCGAGAGACTCGTGTTAAGTTGGATCAACTATACGAAGAGGATATCAATGCCCGAGAAGCGTTTAGGGTTGAGCAGGGAGACTATCTTCCGTCAGATATATGGCCAGGTCTTGGGAGAGCTCCGATGAGAATCAAGTTTTCAAAGCTATCTGGCGGTAGACTCCCCGCCATTGCTGACCAGGACGATGCCGACGAAGTCCCTGTAGAAGGCACTGCTATTGAGGATGAGCAGTCAGGAGAAGGCGGCGACTATATACCTGACCTACCCAAGCATATCGTTGATGAAGCTATTGCGCGGTTGAAAGCCCGAGCCAGAGAGGATAGTCTTCCGTGATATCATCTCTCCTTAAGCTCCTATACTATTGTAATGCAGGTGGCCACCTAAGCGCCTATGTTCTCGCGAATGGGGATCGTTCAAAGGTTGAACGTCCTACGACGCTGACGTCCAACGTGCCAGGATCCGGTCCCAGCTCTACGCCATTAATTTCCCAGATGATGAACAAAACATATCTGTTTCTTCAGCCTCAGATCCGTCGTGTGTTCCTAATCGGTTCACGCATACTCCTTCCTTAGGCCTTCCAGGCTAAGACGGTGATGTAGGGCTGTACGATTATGGGGACCACTAAGCGTCGTGATATGAAGATCAAAGAGAGCTCTGATGGGACAGCTACCAGGGCGTAGTCTGGTAGATTTTATTGAAAGTTCCATGATAATCTTCAAAGCAAAGGTTTTTTTATTAAAAGTGATTCATTAGTTGAACTTCGTTTGATCATAGCGTACATGAATTATCTGAGCCGAACTTTCATAATCTGACATTAAACATGAAAAGCAAGAATCATGACGATTTACCACCGTCTCAAGAATCAAATCAAATCTTCTTTGGGAAAGGCCACTTCCAATTCCGAATCTCCTCGGAATCAAGCCCATCCTCAAAAGCTGTATTCCTAGCCGCAATCTGCAAGTTCACAAACTTTTCACGAACAGAAGAAGCCTTATTGTGCAAGCGAGGGATGTGGTCGATAGCAGCAATGGCGAGACTATATCTATCCGTTTCGTTCCTCACGGCAAGCTCAAAGGGAGTATCGATGTTTCCTTTCTCGCGATAGCCGCGGACGTGAAGGTTCTGTTGGCCAGGCCGTCGGTAGGTCAAGCGATGGACGAGGAAAGGATATGAATGGAAATTGAAGATGATGGGCTTGTCTTCTGTGAAGAGTGCTTTCCATTGCGAGTCGGACATGCCGTGTGGGTGCTGAGTTTCAGAAATCAGACGGAATAAGTCAACGACATTGACGAATCGGACCTTGACGTCTGGGAGGAATTCGCGGAGCAAAGCAGTTGCGGCAAGGGCTTCGTGGGTTGCTACGTCACCGGCAGAGGCCATGACGACGTCTGGCTCTTCGCCTTGGTCGTTGCTGGCCCAGTCCCAGATGCCTGCTCCTTTAGTGCAGTGTTCGATGGCTTCTTCCATGGAGAGGAATTGGAGATGTTCTTGTTTGTCGGCCACGATGACATTGACGTAGTTGACGCTGCGAAGACAGTGATCGGCTACAGACAGGAGCGAGTTTCCGTCAGGTGGTAGGTAAATTCGGACGACTTCTGGGCTCTTGTTGGCAACAACATCCAAGAATCCAGGGTCTTGATGCGTAAAGCCATTGTGATCTTGACGCCAGACGGTGGCTGTAAGTAGGATATTTAGCGAAGCGACTTTGGCACGCCATTCGACTTCAAGACACTTCTCGAGCCACTTGCAGTGCTGGTTGACCATGGAGTCAATAATGTGAATAAAGGGTTCGTAGCTGTTAAGCAAGCCATGACGTCCTGAAAGAACATAGCCTTCAAGCCAGCCTTCGATGGTGTGTTCACTGAGCATTTCCATAACCCGACCTTCAGTGGCGAGGTTACCTCCGTCTTGATCTTCGTCAAAGTATGCGCCGAGCCAGACTTTCTTGCCTGCCTTGTAGACTTCGGCGAGTTTGTTAGATTCAGTCTCATCTGGACCGAAGAGACGGAAGTTTGTTGTGTTCTTGGCGATGACATCTCGTAAGAACTTTGCCAGGCCAGTGATGTTTCCAACGATTGAAATTCCAGGTTCGACCTTCTCGGCGCCGTATTTCCGGAAGTCCGGCAGGTCTAGTGGTTTGCGAAGAAGACCACCGTTTCCAACAGGGTTGGCGCTGATACGGGAATTGCCTGTCGGTGCGAGCTCTCTGAGTTCCGGAATGAGCTTGCCATTGTCAGCAAACAGCTTCTCGGGGCCGTAGCTGCGCATCCATGCTTCAAGCAGCTTCAAGTGATCGGGGTTGGTGAGGACGTCCGGGATAGGGACTTGGTGGGATCGCCAGAAACCTTCCAGTCTCTTTCCATCGACGTCTCGAGGCGCAGTCCATCCTTTGGGAGTACGAAGCACAATCATGGGCCAGCGGGGGCGGAATGCCTTCTTGGATTCTCGAGCTTTCTTCTGGATCTCCTTGATCTCCAAGACACAGTGCTCAAGCGTTGCGGCCATAGACTGGTGCATGCTCTTGGTGTCACTACCCTCGACGAAATAGGGTTTCCAGCCGTAGCCAATGAACAATGCTTCAAGTTCCTCATGGCTGATACGAGCGAGGAGAGTGGGGTTGTTGATTTTGTAGCCGTTCAGATGCAGGACTGGGAGGACCGCACCGTCGGTAATGGGATTGAGGAATTTTGTGCTGTGCCAGCTGGTGGCGAGTGGTCCGGTTTCGGCTTCTCCGTCACCGACCATTGTCAAGGAGATGAGATTTGGGTGGTCGTATACCGTTCCAAAGGCGTGCGAAACCGAGTATCCCAGCTCTCCACCCTCGTGGATACTGCCAGGAGTTTCGGGAGTAGCGTGACTGCCAATGCCACCAGGGAACGAGAATGACTTGAAGAAGCGGCGCATGCCATCCTCGTCCTCAGTCTTGTCTGGATACACCTCGCTATACACGCCCTCAAGATACGCCTGAGACAAGATACCAGGAGCGCCGTGTCCAGGACCAGAAATGAACAATGCATCCAGGTCGTATTTCTTGATCAGACGGTTCATGTGAATCCATGTGAAGGCCTGGCCTGCATCTGACCCCCAATGACCCAACACGCGCTTCTTGATATGCTCTTTCTTGAGAGGCTCTTTGAGAAGCGGGTTGTCGCGTAGATAAAGCATACCTAGACAGAGGTAGAGACTGGCCTTGAAGTATTCTTCCATCTTGCGAACTTCCTCTGCATCGAGGGGGTGGTCGACCTTGACGGTGGAGCGAGCAGGTCCATACGCGGAAATGGCCTGTATGTCGACCTCGACTGCGCTGGGCGCCATTGTTGTTGTTGACTATGTTATTCGAAGTTGAAAGTAGTTGTAGGTCGTCTCGTATTTGGTGCTGATTGAGAGACTTGTCAGAGAGAAATGTTAGTGAAGACCTAGGCAATAGCGACCTCCAGGGACTATAAGTAGATGTCAAGGGACTGAGCGCATGGGGACCGGGGTGGCGTGTGGAGTCTCAGTAACTCGTAAGTTGACGCGACATCATCATGCCATGCCTTTACTTACCTAGGTAGTAAGTATCAGTCTTCCCTGCTGGAAGAAGTGCCGGCAGACCCGGGAGTTGGATGTGGAGAGCTTGCGCGACACATGTTGTTGAGTCTGACGTAGGAGACTTTTGAGACCTTTCCGCTGCAGACATCGTACGGTGACAGGGCAACGACTCCTCCGGGGAATCTTGTATGCCACATCCAACCGTCTTCCTGTCTTTTTGTAATTATTATCATTATTTCGTTACTTTTCATCGTAATTGGCAGGAAATGCCGAGCGTACCCCGACCCTGAGCGCTAAGATAAAAGTACATCAGACCACTCGCGATAAACCCCTCACTTGAAGTGACACTGCCAATATCTACCCAAAAAAATCTACAAAAAAATCTACAAAAAAGTCTACAAAAATATCTACAAAAATATCTACAAAAAAATTGCCAGACAAGTTTATTCTGCTTGGTAATAATAAGCACAACATCGCCGGACTATGCTTGGGTTGTCTCACGTTGCCCAAGGGAACGGATGCCTTCCGTCAATCCTTCATCCTGGATACAAACCGCAATCACTTTCCCGAATACGATATTAACAGTGCCCATGGGTGGATTTCCTGGTAGCCGCACGGCGAAGTGATATCCGCATGCAAATTTGACCGGTGATTCCTTGGCCATGGGCGCATTGATAAGGGTAGCCGGCTCGTTCGAGATATATTGCGACACTCTTTCGAACTCGTCAACACCGTAAGGAACTGCTTCGGGTTGATATCCAACCAATTGGTCTGGAGATTACGCATTCCTACACAAGAATAGTTTATGGATTAGCACATATCTCGAACGGTTCTGTTATTGCTCCTGGAAGGATATACAGCAGAGGTTCATATATACCTCGAAAGGAGCATGGGCTAGACCGTGATCTGTGACTCCGGGCTGGTAAAACATGTTCGGATTGTCAAAATCGCCTCGACTTTTAAGATGATGTCAGACTACCTAGGTACGTACTTCCAACATTCTTATACTGCAGACAACATCTCTTTGTCTGGCTTGCTTTCGAGTTGTAATGAGAAATCGCTATTTGGTGAGGGGCAGTGCGTATGCAACACCCCGACATATACGGTAGAATACACATTACTCGGAGCTATCAGACTAAGTTAGTACATGATAAAAAAAATAGTGCTTATTTTCATTTCAAGATCCCTGATTTCAGCCAAAGAGAGTTAGCAATGTAATTGGCTCCAAATATGTACCCCAAATGCATATGTCCAAATTCCTGTAACAATATATGCAAAATGCGTAAACCCCTAAATCACATTTCTATCTACCGATAATGAGATATACGTCTCTATTTGCGTTTGGTAGCGTTGATAATCTTTTTCTTCACGTGTTTCGGCATCTTTTTCGCTCTCTGTTCCCTCTTCTCTTCCTTTACTTTTTGCTTGTGTTGGCGCTTTGCTTCCTTGTCCTCGTGTTTCTTGCCGCGAGGAGGCTTTTTGGCGAACGGATCTTCAGCATCAGATCCCTCTCCGTCGACGCTTCCATCGGAGCCATCGCTGATGGACACCCCGCCACTCTGTTCGGACTCATACTCTTCCTCAAGCTGTGTCTTGGACACCTCCCGGTTCGATGATGCGATGGCTTTCGCTTTGTCGGCCAAAAGATCACGGTACACGAGGTCGGAGCTTTCGCCGTACTGCACTTTCTCAGCGTCTCTCTCCACGTCATAGACCTGTTCAAGCGTTTGTGGAATATACTGTTGACGAAAAACTGCAGTATCCACGTCATCGGTAGTACCTTCGGCGTCTCCGCCATTCTCGTCTCGTATTTCAAACAGCTTTCGAATTGCAGCAATCATGGGCTCATTATTGCCTTCGACCATCTCAGGTCCTTGGCTGCTGATAATGAACTCAAAAACCACGCGTTCAGGAAGGGTGTTTACGCCCTTGCGTCTAAAAAAGTCGCTGACGTTCTTGATATCCATCCGTAGGAACTCTAAGCTGCGTGGGTGGTCATGCTCAACACTTTGACTCACGTCGATGATGTAGAGTTTGTTCTTGTGGTACAGGATGTTATACTCGCTCAAGTCAGCGTGGACAAGTCGGCATGTTTGATACATAGTACGCATATAGCCGACTAGCTCCATGTATAATTCCTGCCATCGCGTCTCAGGATCTGGGATATCAAACTCAACATCTTTCAAACGCGGAGCGGGTATTCCCCGTGAGTTGCCAAGAAATCCCATGACGAGGACGTGAAGTCGAAGGTAGAGAGGTTCAGGACTAGGAATACCTGCAGAATGAATCCTTCGCAGGTTTCGCATTTCCTTCTCGGCCCAAACTTTGACCATAGCCCGGTTGTTGCTCTTGTCGTAACCTTTTCGGAATCGAAACTCGCCAGTAACGTATTTGTCGCGGTCCTTGAACACTAATATACTAGTCTTGTAGACTTTGATTGCTCGTTGGAGGGTCTCGATGCCAGCGGCCCCTTGCTCGTCTCGTACTGTAACAGCATGGTACACATTTGCTTCTTTTCCAGTAGAAAGACAGCCATTGATCTCCGAAACCAGACTTCTATTGATCATCTGCAGAAGGATCATTCGCGTACGTGGATCCAACACCTGCTCTGAGGTAGCACGGTCACTCTTGTCTACTGTTCTTCCATCCTTCCCTCTGAATCCCGACTGTTGGTCGTCAAGTCTGATCTTAGCGGCGTGTTTTGACAGTGACGTTATTTGGTCATCCACTGATGCGTGTATGTTTGCCTTCGGCTTCTGAGGATTGGTCTTTGGGTACGATGATTTTGGCGCATTGGCATCTGCCATGACCTCGTTAAGTCGACGTTGGCGGTTGTATGATTTCGTAAAGTCATTTGGGTTTGCAGAGCTGAAGTCTTCTTCTGCAACATCTTCTTCCAACTCATCTTCAAAGATATCGTCATAATATTCATCGTCCTCCTCTTCTATCTCCTCGCCCACTGGTGCATTTGTGTTGTCTGCATTATCAACTGCGGGGTTATTTGGTGTGGTGTTGACATACCCTGTGTTTGGGACGAACCGATGTGGTGGAAGTTGGCCATCGGCCAAGCCAGGAGCAGCACCATCTGACTCCATTCTGAGATTTAATATTGGAATAGTCTCAAGAAAGTAACGGTTGAGTGAAATCAACTGTTGGTGATGGAGAGAAAAGAGAAAAAAAGTATGCGCCCAAATCGGGTTAATCGATAAGGAAGTGGCGGACCCCGCGGTCTTGGCGCCCAACGCCCAAAATGGAAAGCACTTTGTCTCTTTCGGTAAGGCGGTGTGGGCTCCCCGACGCGAATCTGGGTCTTTGCGACCACGCGTCTGGCTTGCCTCTTAGACCGCGATACTAAAGTTCGAAAAAGATCAGATAAAGCAAGGCTGCATCGAATTCAGGCCCCAAGCTGCTGGAACAAGACTGTGCAGTTGCGAATACGCCCTTGAAGCAGCATTATCTGTTCGGCTACCTCGGTAATGTTTCTATCTCTTTAAAGTCGCTACGATACCGTCGCGTGTCTCCGTGTCACGATGTATATCAAGCAGATTATCATTCAAGGCTTCAAGAGGTACGCCACGCACAGCAATTATCAGATAAGTCCAGTATTGATGAGTGATCTTACAGTTACAAGGACCAAACGGTCATTGAGCCCTTTTCGCCCAAACACAATGTCATCGTTGGCCGCAATGGTTCGGGCAAGAGTAACTTTTTCGCCGCAATTCGTTTCGTTCTGAGCGATGCATACACACAGATGGGCCGTGAGGAGCGACAGGCTCTTCTTCATGTACGTGATGATTTTCCCAAAGTGCGGTACATCTATTGACTGGTTGAGTAGGAAGGTTCTGGTTCCGCCGTCATGTCAGCATACGTCGAGGTAATATTTGATAATTCTGATGAGCGATTTCCTACCGGCAAGCCGGAGCTGGTGCTTCGAAGAACGATTGGACTGAAAAAAGACGAATACACTCTGGACCACAAAAATGCCACGAAAGCGGACGTTATGAATCTCCTGGAATCGGCTGGCTTCTCGCGATCCAACCCTTACTACATTGTTCCTCAGGGGCGAGTCACGACACTGACAAACATGAAAGATTCGGAGCGTCTTGTCTTGCTAAAGGAGGTTGCCGGTACACAAGTCTACGAAGCGCGACGAGCCGAATCACTCAAGATTATGAATGAGACGAATAATAAGAGAGCCAAGATCGATGAGCTTCTTGACTATATCAACGAGCGACTTGGTGAACTTGAAGAGGAGAAAGATGAATTGCGGAATTATCAGGAACAAGACCGCGAACGGCGATGTCTGGAGTACACCATCTATTCTCGCGAACAACAGGAGATTGCCAATGCGCTTGACAGTCTTGAGGGCCAACGACAAACTGGCGTTGAGGATACAGATGTCAACCGCGAGCACTTCATACAAGGCGAAAAGGACATTACTCAGATTGATTCCGAGATTGCCGAATGCAAACAACAAATAGAGTTTCTGAAAGTGGACAAGACACAATTGGAGGATGAGCGCCGGGAAGCTTTTCGTGCTTTAGCCCAGGTTGAGTTGCAGGAGAAAGCTCTGAAAGACAATCAATCCGCTGCTCAGGAAATGAAGGCCCGACATGAAAATGAATTGAATGCAGTTCAAACAGCCATCAGTCAACGAGAGAGCGAACTACAGACCATATTACCTCAGTTCAATGCAGCCAAGGAACAGGAAGATGCCGTGAAATTGCAATTGGAACAGGCCGAAACTTCTAGGCAACGACTTTATGCAAAGCAAGGTCGAAACTCTCGCTTCAAGAGCAAGTCTGAGAGAGACAAATGGTTGCAGAAGGAAATTCAAGAAACGAAGAATTCCATCAAGGCGGTTAATGCAGTGAAAGCTCAGACCACCGAAGATATTCAAGACCTTCAGAAGACTATTGCGTCGCTCGAACCTGAAATTGAAAAGTTGCGGAAACAGATCGACGGAAGAGGCGATGCGATTCAGTCAATTGAGCAGGAAATCCAGAATGCTAAGGATGAGAGGGATCGTCTCATGGACCAACGAAAGGAGTTATGGAGAGAAGAAGCTCGTTTGGACTCCATTCTGTCGAATTCGTCACAAGAAGTTGATAGAGCCGAACGCAACCTTTCACATATGATGGACAATAACACTAGTCGCGGCATTGCAGCCGTGCGAAGAATCAAGCGTCAGCACAATCTCGATGGGGTTTACGGCACACTGGCCGAACTTCTTGAGGTAAATGAACGTTATCGCACGGCTGTGGAGGTAACCGCCGGCACAAGTCTGTTCCACTACGTTGTCGATACCGATGAGACAGCTACAAAGGTGCTTGAGATACTGCAGAAAGAAAGGGCTGGTCGAGTTACGTTCATGCCTTTGAATCGTCTGAAACCCCGCCCGACAAACGTACCCAAAGCGAGCGATACTATCCCGATGATTGAAAAGCTGCAGTACGACCCGCAATATGAAAAGGCCTTCCAACAAGTATTTGGCAAGACCATCATCTGTCCGAACCTTCAAGTAGCATCACAGTATGCGCGAAGTCACGGTGTCAACGCCATTACTCCAGAAGGTGATCGATCAGATAAGCGTGGTGCATTGACGGGTGGTTTCCACGACTCTCGTCAATCCCGTCTTGAAGCTGTCAAGGCATTGACTAAATGGCGCGATGAGTATGAGTCTAAAAAGAATCGTGCAAGCGAGATCCGTAAGGACCTGGAAAAGCTTGATCAACAAGTAACCCGGGCTGTCGGCGAGTTGCAAAAGCTCGAGCAGCGCAAGCACCAATTCCACGGCAACAGTGGCCCTCTACGACAGGAGCTCCGAAACAAACGTGAATTATTACAGAACAAGAACGATAATCTCGATGCTAAGCAACGAGCCCTTCGCAATATTGAAAATAATCTTACTGCTCTCGAAGGTCAAGTGGGTACATTGGAAGCGGAAATCTCATCTGGTTTCCAGAAGGCCCTTACAGCAGAGGAAGAGAAGGAGCTTGAGTCTCTGGGTATCACTGCACAGACTCTACGGCGCCAGTATACCGATCTCTCAAGCAAACGTAGTGAACTTGAGGCTCGAAAATCTGTGTTGGAAGTGGAACTGCGTGAAAACCTCTACCCTCGACTAGATCAACTAAGCAACCCTGATACTGACATGGGCGACGATAATACTCAAGGCACATTGAAAGAGGCTCGGCGACAGATGAAGAAACTGCAAGAGGCTTTAGGAAAGATTACACATCGGCTAGCAGAGGTTGATCAGTCCATTTCCGAAGGCAATGCACAAGTTGCCCAGCTTGAGAATCGCAAGTCAGAAGTGCGCAACAACTTGGAAGCACTTGCGAAATCAATTGAAAAACATCAGCGCCGTATGGAGAAAAGCATGCAGAAGAAAGCAGCCTTGACCAAGCAAGCCGCTGAATGTAGTGCCAATATTCGTGATCTTGGTGTCCTACCCGATGAAGCATTTACCAAGTACAGCAAGACCGACTCCAATACCGTTGTCAAGAAATTGCACAAGGTCAACGAATCATTGAAGAAGTACTCGCACGTTAACAAAAAGGCTTTTGAACAGTACAACAATTTCACGAAGCAACGGGAAACGCTTACCAAGCGAAGGGAGGAACTCGATGCATCTCAAAAGTCGATTGATGAGCTTATCATGGTCCTAGATCAGCGTAAGGATGAAGCTATTGAGCGTACATTCAAACAGGTTTCGCGTGAATTCCACAATGTGTTTGAGAAGCTTGTACCTGCTGGTCGTGGACGACTCATCATTCAACGCAAGACTGACCGTGCCCTTCGCACGGATAATGATCTTGAATCCGAGGACGAGGATCGCCACGAGAGTGTAGAAAACTATGTGGGTGTGGGTATCAGTGTCAGCTTCAACAGTAAGCACGATGAGCAGCAACGTATCCAGCAACTGAGTGGTGGACAAAAGAGTATGTCCTCTTTCTTCTTCTGTCAAGATGTATTACTGACATATAGCCAAAGGTTTGTGTGCGCTTGCCCTCGTCTTTGCCATCCAAGCCTGTGATCCCGCTCCATTCTATCTCTTCGATGAGATTGACGCCAACTTGGACGCTCAATACCGTACTGCCGTGGCTCAAATGCTACAGTCCATCTCAGATTCTACAAACGGTCAGTTTATCTGCACGACGTTCCGGCCTGAAATGCTCCACGTTGCGGAGAAATGCTATGGTGTCAGCTTCCGCAACAAGGCTAGTACCATCGATGTGGTTTCCAAGGAGGAAGCTCTCAAGTTCGTGGAGGAGCAAAAGTCGTAATCATACGAGACTTGTATTATTTCAGAAAGACGTGTGACGGCGTTTCCGATTCTCAATGTTTTCATTCTTGCTCTATTTCGCTTCATTTTATATCCATATTCCCTTTATTCTGCTGGCCGTGTACGATGGAATGTCTTTCTTCCTTTAGCTTTGCTATATTAGTGTATGTATAGGGCATAAAAGGTGATGCACTTCCGATTGGCTTGCTGGAATGTCGACCTGCTCTTTTGAGCAGTACAATAACTTATTGATAGTCAATATCCGCCTCGAGTAGAAGAACTACCGCACTACACCACTCTCATCCGTCCATTCAGTGATCACAGCGTCCGGAACCCCTCTAACCAGCACATGAAAATGCTCCAGACTCCTCACACTCTGCAGCGCAGTCCAATTCTTAAACCACAGCACATGGTTATTCCTAATGACATCTTTATGCACACCCTCGAACACCGGATCCTTTTCTAGACGCTGCACAAACGTCCGATCTACAAACCCTTCAATCAACGCTCGAGATTCATCCGTAACATCCCCGTTCTCAGGTTTTGTGGCAATAGGAGTCTTGGACCAAACGACAATGTGCGTGATATCCGGCGTAACGCCGTAAGGCCAATCGTTGCGCAAGACCTTATAATCGGACGGATCTGCGAATGGAGTTGGGTTTTTGAAGGGGATTTCTGGGATGGGTGTCTCTACCAGATTCAAGGATGGGTGAGGTGCCCACCATTGGAGACGTTTGAGGCATATGTATTTTGTGATGGAGCCGTGGGTGGATTTGATGTCGTTTGTCCAGGTTATGTAGCGACGGAGATCGGAGGGTTTGCGACGGAGGATTGCGAGATCATTTCGAGCTATTGCTATTAGATCTCTTGTCTTGTAACTTTTTGGATAAATAAATAGCTGTCGTCCAGATGGGGGAAGGTTTGGATGCGGGGAAATCAAGGACAGTGAGCTACGCCTATTAACTCACCAATTATCCCTTTCAGATCTTCCCAGTCATGATATACGAACTCCTCGTCTGTTTGAGCAAGGACTTGGCGGTCGACCTCGGTCAGATTGAACGGGGTCGACTTTTGTTCAGTTGGCTGTTCTCCCCCGACAGAGCCCATTTTGATATATGCCAAGACCGTAAGGATGTTTACTCTTCGATAAGGTCGGAGTGCTAAAAGGGAACTGGAAAGTAGTCAGTAAGCCAGCTGATCGAAGAACAAGAAAAAGCAATAATAGACTGTTGTCTCACCGATAGCTTTGTGTATGCGGAGTAAATGCGACAGGGAGAGCCTGGCCCGATATCGATCTACTCTAAGGAGATGCCTCAGCGTGCGGGGGCTATCAAGGCCCCATCGCCTCTTAGGCACACACGAAATAGATAGAAGAAACACATAAGAGACGGAAACAGAAAAACATTTCCGTCTTAAAGGGACAATTAGCTGGAACAGGGCATGGTTTCCGATGTCGCTAATCGCGCTGCTATTCTCTCTTGATACGGGACATTCCGTTTTCTCCAGGTCGGATCATTGCAAACCGTATATAATAAATCAATATCAGAATCCACCCCTGGTAAATTCGTCAGAAATAATCCCCGGCGGAGATCGGCCAGATATCATACGACGTTGTGTTCTCTTACCGACTCAGCGAGCCGGGGTAGTTAACAACGGTAACTAAGCCTACGCTAGCTAGGAAAACAATAATTTCGTTCCCTGTTCACAGCGTTCAGACCCTGATACACGCACATCAGCAGATAACACCACAACGGCCACTGAGCATATTTCCTTGTCAATATGAGGTATACAGTGGATATTTTGCGAAATCCGTACAGTTACTAACTTATAAACAGCAGCCCTCTGTCGTCCGAAACCCTCAGTGGTGTCCTCGTCCCTTCGGCCCTCCTGATCGCCGGCACTTTTTTCGTCAAGCAGGAATGGGTTCCTTACGCAGTCGCCGTTGCAGCGGTTTTCTCTGCTTTTAGGATCCTAACAGCCCGTATGTTCCTGATTATTTCCAGTTTCTATATTCGTTATTGAAAAGAACCGTACCTGACTCTACACCTTTTCCGACTCAGGCCCCCGAAAGGTGCTCAACCCCAAGGAGTTCCAAGACTTTGTTCTCAAAGAAAAGAACCTCATCTCCCACAACGTTGCCATCTACCGATTTGCGCTCCCCCGTTCAACCGATATTCTCGGTCTCCCAATTGGTCAACATATCTCTCTCCAGGCGCAGATTGCCGGAAACCCAACCCCCGTCGTTCGCTCTTACACCCCCATCTCGTCCGACCATGAAGCTGGCTATTTTGATCTCCTGGTCAAGACTTACCCACAGGGTAATATCTCGAAGTATTTGGATGAGCTGAAGATTGGTCAGACCATGAAGGTCCGCGGTCCCAAGGGTGCCATGGTTTATACCCCGAACATGTCCCGTCACATTGGTATGATCGCTGGCGGTACTGGTATTACTCCTATGCTGCAGATCATCAAGGCCATTATCCGTGGCAGACCCCGAAACGGCGGCAATGACACTACCAAGATTGATCTCATATTCGCCAATGTCAATCCCGAGGATATTCTTCTCAAGGACGAGTTGGACAAGTTGGCTGCAGAGGATGACCAGTTCAATATCTACTATGTTTTGAACAACCCACCGGAGGGATGGAAGGGTGGTGTTGGATTCGTCACGGCTGACATGATCAAGGTGCGTGATCCTTATGCTATTATAATATGAATAGCGTTGAAACTTACCCGACAATAGGAACACCTCCCCGCCCCTGCTGATGATGTAAAGGTCCTGCTCTGTGGACCACCTCCTATGATTTCTGCCATGAAGAAGACCACCGAAGCTCTCGGATACAAGAAAGCCAGCCCTGTCAGCAAGCTTCACGACCAGGTCTTTGCTTTCTAAGCTGTCATTAGATACCTTGTTAAGAAAATGAAATGACTGTACTGTCTAGCATGACCTCTTTGGTTAAGAACAAGGAGGTCATGCAACCAGAACACGAGACGAAGACTAGGATAATATCGTGTATGTTCAAATGCCATATACTTAAAATGCGTTTAGTTCTACGATATCCGCTTGCTGCGCTGTTTTACTCATTGGATTGGAAAGGTATTGAAGATAGAGAAGACACTATTAGTTATTTCAAAGGATTCGGGTCATTCATCGTGTGCGAATCACAATTATAAGAGTACGGAAACGCTTGCAAATTATCCCTGAAGCTCAACAAGTCCATCTACCATCTGAAGGAACTTCTCACGATACTCCTCAGCCGTGGTGGTAATAGACATCGGACCCTTGCGTCCAATAACGTTAAACGTCTGCACAACACCAGTCATAGCTTGAGCCTGCAGTTTATGTTTTGCCCAAAAGAAGTCCAGTAACACAGCCCTATATTTCCATTTACCATCTGTCGATATAGCGCCTTCTCGCCACTCGCTTTTCCGATCTGTCGGCGTCCGAGGACGTAAATAAGCTGGGTATCTAACTAGAAACAAGGAGTAATCAACTGTGTTTACTGATCTGAGGAATTTGGTGTCTTCCTCGATTTTTCTCTTGAACTCTGAATATTGTTGTTTTGTGATTCGTATTTTATCTTTGAATTCGTCGAATAAGCGTGACATGGTTTCCTCACTGGTCAGTGGCTCAGGAAGAAGATCCCGCTCCGGATAGAAGTAGTCAACAGGTTTGAGGTCGTATGTCTCCCATTGTTCAGCTCTTCGTGCATCATCGTCCCTGTCGCAGAGCACGTTTTCCATGATGACATGATGTGATGGCGTGCATTGACACAGTGTGCCTATTGCGGAATATGCTGTCCCTAGGAAGTCTGTTATTCGAACGAGGAACGAGTCTGGATTAGACTTCATATAATCGTAATATGGTCGGAGAAAGTCGTCCTGGAAGAAAGAATGCTCTGAGCGTCGGGGTAGACTTTTGATCAGGAATTTTGAATCTGCAGTTTTGAAAAATGTCTATTCAAAGTTGATTAGTCAAACAATTGTATAACCTCGTGGTGTCAAGAAGTATTATTACCGAGCCAGAATAACCCAGATCCCCCATAGGCTGTATACCATCTCCTCCTACCTTTTCCTTATTGCATACGAACGAGTCGACGTAATCAGCTTCATCTATGTTCCAAACTTCATTGCGAAGACTCTTGAATAACTCAGCCGATATTCGGACAAGACGTATTTGCCAGATCGAGAGAAAGGCGAACAGTAAGGTCAAGACATTGTATCTCCTAGCCTCTACTTCGTTTTCTTGGTCACGTATGAGGGCTCGATGGATCGAACGACTTATCGCCTTCTGCCTCTTGTTGGCCATGGCACAAAGATAACTCTTTGATAGGTGCTTATGAGTCTATTGGTGTATTGCATCTTCTCTGAAGCTGAAAATCTTCAGCGTAAAGATAAGAAAGTCGCAGACATCTATCCATGACAGTGACGTCACAAAATGCTAAAAGATAATTTCCCAATGGGGAAAAACAGTTGATGTATTCACGTGACCATTATCCCCTCTTCGCTCACCGCCTTTCTTTTTGAAGCTTCCTCTTGGCGGCAGTATCAGAACTAACAAAAAAATAAAAAAATGAATGCGCCCCTCTTCTCCCTCTCTGTCATACTGTGACTCAGTCAAGTCTTGCGCCGCTTAATGGGCCGCCATCTGCTAAGCGGGGCCTGGGTATTCTCAAATAATTTTATACTTCTCAAGCCCTCCCTCAATTGCTCCTCTATTGCTCATTCCTCTTTTCAGTTACAATATTCTTTGACATCCCCTGTCAAGTGTTCGCTGTCTGCTCTGAGTTTACTTCGTCGACAAGCTTCATATACCACCATGGCAGCACCGTCGCAGGCCCTCGCTGAGGGCCAGTCGATTCCTTCAGTTGAAGGTTTGACTCTACACTCGACCAACGAAACGTCCAAATTCGCCGGCTGTTATCCGTCTCTGAACCCCGTCGATATCTATCGCGAACATATTGCCGAAAAACTAGGAGAAGCGGCTGGCGTCGATCCGCAACTGGTATATGGCAAGTTGGCATGGACTAGCACTCTTGACAAGGGAGACTTGAATCTTGCAGTCCCCGCTTTACAAATCAAAGGAAAGAAACCTCAGGACCTGGCTGTCGAGCTAGCGGAAAAGTTCCCCGAATCAGACTTGGTGGAAAAGCCAACTACAATCGGTGTCCATCTCCAGTTCTTCTTCAAACCGGCACCTCTCACGAAGACAGTCATTAGCCGTATCTTAGAGAACAAATCCACATATGGAACAAATGGTAATTTGGGCCTTCGGGACCCTTCTGACCCTTCCAAGGGTAAGAAGAAGATGATCGTTGAGTTCTCATCGCCTAATATCGCCAAACCGTTCCATGCTGGTCACTTGCGTAGTACAATCATTGGGGGTTTCCTTGCGAACCTATTCACAATTACCGGTTGGGAAGTCATCAAGATGAACTATCTTGGTGACTGGGGGAAGCAGTACGGCTTACTCGCCAACGGTTTCGAACGATACGGCAGTGAAGAAGCCCTTACAAAGGACCCTATCAATCACTTGTTCGATGTCTACGTTAAGATCAACAAGGATATGGCCGAACAAGAGGTCCCCATCAAGGAGCTGCGGGAAACAATCAAAAACAAAAAGGAGAAGAATGAAGATGTATCTGATGAAGAAGTCGAGCTCCAAAAGTTGGTCGACGCCAGTGACGACGAAAAAGCCCGTCGCTATTTCAAGAAAATGGAAGACGGCGATCCAGAGGCGCTTGCTCTGTGGAAACGATTCCGTAACTTGAGTATCGAGAAATATAAACAGACATACTCCCGTCTAAACATTGACTTTGACGTGTACTCCGGCGAATCTCAAGTCTCTCCTGAGAGTCTCCAGCATGCCTATGAAACAATGGAAAGGACTGGTGTATCAGAAAAGTCCGAGGGCGCTGTTATCGTCGATTTTACTAAGCATAAAGCTAAGAAACTCGGCA